CTTTGATCTTATATAGTTAATAGGCTTTTATCCTATAAATACTAGACCTCTTTCTTACACTACCCTAACGCGTTTATACACTTAATTATAGTTACCTATGCGCGATTCGAGTAAAACCCAAAATTCGACGGAATAGGCGAGAACAAGAATCAAAAGAACTTGTTCTATAAGGCAAATACCTTCCAAAGTATACCTCTTAGTATAAAGGTCCCTCTAGCTTAGTACCGTGTAGGCCTCGGTTTAGTGCGGTTCCGATTCTAATAACTAGAACCGCGTATCGCACCTTATATTTTCGCGGTTCCAAATTATAGGACCATAGATTTATTACTATTCTAAGAACTTCCTTTTTTAGATACGTAAATTAATAAGATATTATAAAATTTTACTATTACTAACCTCTATTGTTTACTACGAAATAGGGGCAAGGTAATTAGGATTTTTTTTAGTTAGTTTCGAGAGCCCTTAAGATCCAAGAGGTTAGCTTTCCGAGGTGTAGGAAAGAAGGCCTCACAATACCTACACCTTATTAATCGAGCTAGCAATACTATCCGCTATTTTTAATAAAGGTATTATACTACTAGCCTAATCTTGTCCCTAGTTCCTAGCCTATTTAGATATCCGCTAGAGATCCTAAGGTCCTTAGCTAATAGCTTCTTTCACGAATTCACGAAATATAGTCCTAAGAGTCTATTCAATTACCTTTCCTTTCTTATTCTTCTCCGATTTATAAACCTTTAAGTCCTCCTCGGGGTAGCTAGTAGTATAACGCCTAAATATACGTTATATTTCCTTGATTGTTTACCGATATTCACCGGTAAAAGAGGGATTGTCGTACTAACTAGGCCTAGCAAATGATTTAGATTTATCTACGATCCTATTGATTATCACCTCACTAAGATAGTTAACTACCGTTCCCTAAATATGTTTATTTATTAAAATAATCAGATCGAATTAGTATTCTCGTTAATATAAAGATATCTTTTCTGTAATTGAAAAACTATTTCTCCCTCCTTTATATTAATTTGTAATAATAAATTATTATAACTAACATATTTCACTAGTGAGCTAGCCACACCCCCAAGTTAGCCACCTAACCCGAAAACGCGTCAGTAAATTAGACCTTTCTTCTTTAACCACCTACTATACCACCAATTCGCACTCAATCTTCTTAGAAATATATAGAGCAAGAGGGTAGGATCTTATTAGCTATTTAGGCTATTAAGAAGCAAGAAATTACCTTAATTCGCGAAGTTACACGCCAATTCAACGTACCGCGTTTAACTCTTACAATACGCCTTAATAGGGTTTAAAACCGCGCGTTTTCTCGCGCAAAAAACCTAAAATTGACGGAAATTAAAGAAGAATCTCTCCAAAACTAGATTCTCTCTATAGACTCTCGTGGAGCAGCCCCTCGGCCTTCTACTATACGAGAAATAGTAGTAGATTTACTACTCGCCACGCGTGGATCTACCCCCCCTCCTTCGGTCGGTCAAAATTGGGTTACAAAATTCGTTAAAAAGCATCCTCTACTTTCCTCCTATTTCTCGAAACGTTACGATTATCAGCGAGCTAAATACGAAGACCCTAAAATCATATCTAAATGGTTTTCTCTCGTCCAAAAAACGATTCTAACGTACGGAATTGATCCTAACGATATCTATAATTTTGACGAGACCGGTTTTGCAATAGGCTTGATTGCGACCGCAAAAGTTATTACGAGAAAGGAATACTACGGTCGGAGATCGCTTCTACAGCCTAGAAACCGCGCTTAGGTGACTACAATTAAGTGTATAAACGCGTCGGGGTGGGCGCTTCCTCCGTATATTATTTTTAAGGGTAAAGTCCTTATCGAATCTTGGTTCGACGGCCTTCCGGAAGATTGGAGACTCGATATTAGTTCGAATAGATAGACTTCCGACGAAATTAGCCTTCGGTAGCTCGAAAAACGCTTTATCCCGTCTACTTCTTCGTGTACGAAAGGGAAGTATAGACTTTTGATACTCGATGGCCACGGGAGTCATTTAACCCCGAAATTCGACGAAATTTGCGTGAAGAACAATATTATCGCAATTTATATGCCTCCGCACTCGTCCCACCTTTTACAGCCTCTCGATATTGGCTGTTTTGCGGTTTTAAAGCGCGAGTATAGTCGGCTAGTCGAATCGAAAATACGGCTTTAGATTAATTACGTCGATAAACTCGAATTCCTCGAAGCCTACCCGTCTACGCGAATTAAGACTTTTGAATCGGATACTATAAAGAATAGCTTCGCCGCCGCTAGTCTAGTGCCTTATAACCCTGATCGAGTGCTTTCGAAGCTTGATATCTACCTCCGTACGCCAACACCCCCCTCGAGCCGGGGTAGTGAGTAGGAGCCGAAAACGCCTTCAAATTACGTCCAATTACAAAAGCAAGCTTCTTCAATTAAAGTATTGCTAAAACAGCGCTCAAAAAGCCTACCGAGCCCACTAAATTCCGCGATTAATCAGGTTTTAAAAGCCTACGAAATCACTATGCAATCGGCTGCCTTGCTCGAGAAAGAAGTAAGCGATTTACGCGCTGAAAACGAGAAGAAGAAGCGAAAAAGGACTCGTTCTACAAGGCAAATACCCTCCGGAGAAGGCCTCTCAGTTTTAGAGGCCTCTACCTTATTTGCGCAGCTAGAGCAAGCAGTTTTGGCACCGATACCCCGCGAGCCAGGGTTAGCTCAGACACCTTCTCAGCCACGTACGAGAGCCTTACCGACGTGTAGCGTTTGTGGAATCAAAGGTCATAAATTGACTACATGTCCTAATAGATTTCGAGTTTAGCTTATTAAATTCAATGGCGTTTTGGTTGAGATAAATACATTTAAAATTGATAGGTCGGGTGGGGTGGCCAACTCGGGGGTGTGGCCAGCTCACTAGTGAAACACGTTATCACTTTCTAGATTTTTAGTAATATAGCTATGGTTTACTTATCTTATTTTATTATCTTAAATACACTTTTAAATGCAATATATAATTCTTTTCGATTTTGTCGAGAAAAATAGTTTATTCTTTCGGAATTTTTACTTCTTTTTGAGTATATCTAGATCTTTAAGTACTAATTTTTGATACTTTTAATTGCTTATAAGTCCTTTTTTGGTTCAATTTTTAATAGATTCTCAAGGTCTTTTCTTTATAATAGCTTTATTCATTATATCCCAATAGATATCTACCTTATATAATGTATAGCGGCTAAGATTCATGTATTTTTATTGATGTCTTTTTTAAGAAGTTATATTAGAAAAGATGATGGATATCCCTTAGCTAAACTTCTTATTTTAAAATAGTATAAGTTGAAAAAGAATTTCATTCTATATCTATTCTCTCTACTATTTACAGAATCTTAATCGTTATTATACTAGTACTCTTTTGACGTCTTTCACATGCGAGCCGCCCGCCCCCAAAACACCGTAGTAAACGCGATATCTTATATCCATCTATCTCAACAACTACAAAATTTGTCAGATTTATTTTCCAGATATCAATTATTTGGGTTCTAAATAATGCCGCAATTCATTCTACCATTATTTGGATGAGTTTCTAGTGGTGTTATAATGGAATTTGACAATAAATATATAAATATATTTTAGTCAACATCAATTTATTAACCTTACCTTCTAAATTTCGTAGTTTGTCTTATTCTGAATCTGTATATATACGATTCATAGTATTTGGTAAGCTCCCATTGTTGACTTTAAGATTGTAAAATATGGTGTTTACTATGGTGTTTTGGGGGTGGGCGGCTAGCTTATATGGGCGGTCTGCATATGAAACGCTATTAGAAGTTATACTTCGATGGTATATTACGTAATACTTGTTTAATATTAAATTCTCTGTGTAAATTACTCTGGAAAGCATATTCTTTTAAGGGTTTAGATTTATACTTTCTAAGTTTGAATATTTAAAATAAAGTAGTTTTCATTATTTATAATTAATTTACAATTCCCTAATTTATCGCTTTTTCCCCATTTGTTGACTCTACAGGTAATGAAATAAGAGAAGAAATCACGTATTATCTTTTATTGAGTAAATATCCTATCAGTCAGGTAAAGTAGAAAGATAATCAATAGCGAGGGGATAGAAATAGTTATCTTATCATATGATAAACTCTTTAGAGAGGACCAAGTATTAAGAACTCAATATGCTACACTATAGTAGTGAAAAGGTAGTAATATATTGTGCAGGCGAGTGGAACGGCTAGAACACCACTGTTAAGATCACTCACTGTGAGAGCTCAGCAATCGGAACGCGGACCAAAAAGGCCACTATGATTGCCGTCAGGCAATAATGCTCTTACACCGTATTAAGTACACGCTCCGCTCACGTGCCAGCTGACCCAGTCAGTATGGCCACGCAGCCTGTCAGACCCGATGGGTCCTGACAACCACCTTAGAGGTGATAAACTACAATGTCCAAGTTCCACGCTGATGGGATGATAATAACTATAATTATAAAAATGTGATATATATACTTAGGGGCCTTGGATCGTTTAGAGACTCTAGGACCAAGATATATGTGTTTTTATAAAAATCTTGTAGCTATCTAGTCCTACTACAATAAGATATTGGTCAAATGATTGAATTATGAATAGGGTTGGTTGTCGATATATATCGTCATCAAATTTCGCATTCAAGCTAATGTTCTAGCTGTTCCACTCGCTTACACAATTCGTGATATATAGTAATAATAGGGTAAATACAATAGACGCGTATAAGGATAGTATAATATATCAACGATACTATAATCATGTATCTTATTATTGTATTACAGACGACCATAAAGCTAGTTGTGACATAGCTATAACCATTTACGTTCAGTTGACGGATCAGTACTAGGATAGAGTTATGACGAACGTTATATCTAATTACGCCTCACCACTCTATATCCATTCCTGTTCAGTACATCGATGTCACCTACGCGTATAATTGTGGTGAAAGAGGTTACATGTGTGCGATGAGAAATGTATTTTTGATCTCACATTGTCGATTCTTGAGATTCCTTCACGGATAGTATTTCAGAGATCAAAGAAATGTTAAGTAGAGCATTCTCCGCAGCCTCATCACCCGCAGCAGCTTTACTCAAGCCTTGGCCAGAGCTTAGATGTCGTTTCTCCCACCCCCACCCAGTGAGGTATAAGCCGATGAAGAAGGTTTGGGTGCCACCTTTTAGCTGGACGGATGGACGTTCCTCAAGGTATTCAAGTTTAATGTTTTTGCCCATGATCTTCTTAGCAAGAGCCTCCTTGGAGCGCAAGCCGCATTTCTGGCGCCCCAGGTTTTTGAGGATTGGGATCCATAAAGCGGTCAGCCAATTTTCAGCTACTTGATATCCGTTTACCGGATCCGATAGTATGACTGCAGCAACGTAAGCCTCGAATACATCGCCTTTGGTTTTTGTCCATCTCTTTGATGAGTTGTTGTAATTTGAAGGCACAGCAACCTTGCGATCGAAATCAAAAGTTTCCGCAAACCCCGAAAGGGTCTCATTCTTGACAAGTATCTCCCGAATCTGTGAAATTCGACCAGATGGTAAGCCCGGAAACCTCTCCCAAACAATTTTCGTTGCAATCAGCTCAATGTAGGCATCACCAAGAATTTCAAGCCGGTCATAAGTCGTGTCGTTATTATTGCTAAGCGCTGGATGGGTAAACACAGCGGTTCTCAGCTTGTCATCCATGATTGGGGGTAGCACAGGTGTAGACTGTCCATCGACTCTGGTTAGATCGTCATCAGAATGTTGGCGCCATGGAGCCTGTCGAGTCCCAGTGGAAGTTTTATTGAGTGATGGATTATTTGTCTGACGCAGTTTTTCATCTAGACACGACAGTGCTTCCAAAACCTCCGAGTCAGCACCAGTGAGGTCGCAATTGTCCAAGGTCTCGCGAACAAAGCGCTGCAAGAGAAGAAGACGGGAGTCGGTGCTAGCACTGAAAGCTGCACTACCGTCATCGGCAACAGATAGCCCAGTCACAGATGGCTGTCCGACGCGATGTACCTTTGGAAATGTCAGCAATCCATTGCACCGACACGAGATATCTCAATTGTGACGATGACGTGATAATAATCACCTTCGGCCTTTTCAGTAGGTCCTGAATAGCATCGGCGTCAGACATGGAAATTGGCCTTTTCCGATCGGCCCTGGCGTTTTTCGGCCCTGTCGAATCCATTGTCTCTTTGCCCCGAGGCATCTTGGGAAATTGTTGGTGTTTTGGAGAATGAGGTAGGCGCCGTGTTAGTCCGGGGATCACATGACCGAAGCAAAGTTCAGCCGACATCTCCGCGCATTGATCAATCTATCAGCTGTTTGACCAGCTGCTTCATTCCCAACTGTCGCATGTGATTCACTGCAGGAGTAATTATGGCCCAAAGTCGGATTCTGGATTTGGTCAAAGTCTGTATATCCTCTCCAAGCTCTTGTCCTACTCCTTATCATTAACTGTACTTGCTTCAGACCCAATGCCGCATATTTTCCCTCAATTTCAACCCACAACGGCTTCGACTGGGAAACAAAGTCTTGAGGCAGCGCCTGCGAGGACCTGCACTCGCAGCATGGTACCCCAAAAAGACTGTGTCCTTCCGTGATCTACAGAATACCTACAAACCTCTTGGATTGACAACATTTGATGAGGCAGAAGATGACCGGGAAGAAGCTATTCAGATGTAAGCAGTGACACACAGTCTATTGTTGAACAAACGCACTAAGATCCATCAACTTGTAGTGCCAAGTTGCGTGGCAAGGGCCGGCCGAAGAAGAAACGCACAGCCGCAGGTACTGTTTTGCTTCACTTAGTCCATACTCAAGAGAAAAAAACAAAGTCTAACGCTTCATAGAATCGCGGTCCTCCAAGAAGAAGAAATAATCTGGTTACCCAGCGAGATGGAAGGCCTATATCCGTTGAACACCAGCGCATAATTTTCATTGCCTGAATGAGATTGAACTTTCCACCTGTCTACCTGGAATGGTTCCCATTTGCAGTTTTATAGAACTCCTTTTGTTCTGATCTTGTTGCAAAGCCTGGTTTGTACGGGCACATCATTTATCCTTTTGTCCTTCTCTCTTATTGTACACTAGATATTCTATGGTTTACGCCATACCCATTTTGATTCGGACTGGCCCGTTTGATATAAGTAACCTATAACGGTGGAGTAAGCCCTCTCTACATCTACATCTCTACATCTCAAGTATTGTATGCCTAGGCCTGGAACTCGGCAGAATAAAGGCGGTAAACAGCGGCAGCTCCTATCACGTGTATACGGACGACCGTTGCTCTCTGCATATTTTGATTTGATATCTTGCCTTGCCAAACCAACTTTCCTGATCATTAGAGTCTGCGCTCTGAGCTATCTCAAAATTTTGACTTGGTCAAACAGGCTTGACAACTGCCAATCTCTATTCTACGTGTCGCCGGTTGAGCGACTGTCAACTCTCAAGCAACCATGAAACCAAGCAAGAACCAGCTAAGAAGGGCAAAGAAAAAGGCTCAAAAGGCCGAGGTGAGATCAAAGTCGTCGCGAAAATATTATACAGAGAGGATCGAAGCTAAAACCACTGCAAAGGGTGCCACTTTGCCCGTTCAAAATGCGACCCCGATGGAGCCGTCTACGCCTCTTGCTACTGCCCAGGATACGATTTCCAACGACTTCGAACTGGTTCCCGAGCCCACTGATCCACTATGGGATATGTACAAGGACGTTGCTGGCAAATTTGACGAAGTTGTACCGGAAGGCTCGACTTTGAAGGATTCTGAAAAACCCGAGGTCTATTTTGATGATGGCGATGAAATTCCCGACGAAGAGCAGGAAATCGAACCCAAGCTCTCGAAAAAGAAACGAAAGGAATTGAACAAGCTCTCGGTTGCAGAACTGAAGGCAATGGTCAGGAAGCCAGAAATTGTCGAATGGACAGACACGTCCGCCCCCGACCCTCGACTTCTCATTCACATCAAAGCCCATCGCAACGTTGTTCCTGTTCCATCACACTGGTCGCTTAAACGAGAATATCTTTCGTCCAAGCGAGGAGTGGAGAAAGCCCCATTCGCGCTGCCAAAATTCATACAGGAAACAGGAATTTCTGAAATGCGCGACGCCGCCTTGGACAAGCAGGAACAGTCCACTTTGAAGCAAAAGCAAAGGGAGAGAGTCCAACCCAAAATGGGAAAACTCGACATCGATTACCAGAAGCTCTACGAGGCATTTTTCCGCTTTCAGACTAAGCCCGAGCTGACTCGCTATGGCGAAATTTACTACGAGGGCAAGGAATACGAAACTAACCTCAAGCATCTTCGCCCTGGTGAGCTCAGTGATGAGCTCAGGGATGCTTTGAACATGGCCCCAGGGGCTCCTCCCCCTTGGCTTGTGAACCAGCAACGATATGGCCCCCCACCTTCATATCCTGCATTGAAACTCCCAGGCCTCAATGCGCCCCCCCCGCCAGGCGCGACGTGGGGTTATCACCCAGGAGGCTATGGAAAGCCACCCGTTGATGAACATAATCGCCCACTTTATGGGGGTGATATCTTCGGCGTTCTGCAGCCTCAACAACACGCCCAGCAAGGAGAACCGATTGAGAAAGACCTTTGGGGTGAGCTGCAAGAATCGGAGGAGTCGGAGCTAGAGAGTGAAGAAGACGAAGAAGACGATGACGACGAAGAGCCTGATGAGGATGGAATGGAAGCAGATGCTCAATCCCCCAGTGGTTTGGAGACCCCCAGTGGTATGGATTCAATTGTACCGTCAGAGTTTGTCGGAGCTGAAAGTGTTTCTGGGGAGTTTGATGTCCGCAAACATCACCGTGGAACCGAGACAGAGGAATCCGTGCACCCTAGAAGTGCGTACCAAGTAATTCCCGAGAGACAAACGAACGTGCAAGGCTTTTTCGGAGGTGACAGAGCATACGACCTTACCGGGTCCTCAGGAAAGCATCCTGTTCTTGGGGCAGATGATTCAAATCGGAAACGAAAGAAGCCCGGGGACGTTGAAGTTTCTGTTGACCTGGACGCCATCCAGTCCAATGATGGCATCAGCAAAGAAAGCCTCCACGACATGTACGAGACCGAGAGGCAGCAACAAAACCAGCCAAGCTGGGGGTTCAAGGAGGACTTGAGTGATATGATTGCCCAGGAGAGCCGCAAGAGGTTGCGAAAGGAGGAAGAGAGGCGGACGAAGCATTGAGTGCTTTTCAATGTTGATTTCTGAATTTATCTCAGGCGCTTATTTTGTGACGGGCATTCGGGGGTTGGCTACGCTGGTTTACTTTAGGTTCTGAAGTCTCTAGCCTGTAATGTACGGCAGTTCTCTTTATTTCAGACCACGATGACTACTTAATGACTATGTCGAACCCATTTCATATGTGAACCAAATGAAGTTGTAAGTCACATGCACCCCCGAAAGCTCTGAGTTTCCCAAAAAGGGTTAGCTCGCATACAACCGCGAGATCTTTCGGACCTTCAACTCCTTGCGCCCTGGACTACCACACGGAGACTTCGCACTTGGTCTTGAGCTGCTCTTGTGCCCAACAAGGAAATAAACGAGACTTTATTTTCCACTGAGCTGCAACGCTCTAGCCAGAATGGATTGGGATCGTAGAAGGTATGTACCCGCAACTTGAGCGGTTCAAGAAGAATTACTGATGGGTATTACTCCTTTAGATTTGACGATAGAAGAGGAGGAGAAAGCTATCGTCCAGCTGATAGGACAGGCCGCTCACCCTCTCGGGGGTACGATGTTCGTCACAGGCGCTCGCCACCACGAACTCGCTCTCCACCTCGACAGCGAGCAGACACCTGGGTGCCTTCGTCTAATAGGGGATATGGACGCCCACGAAGTCGATCTCCACCAGCCTACCGACGCCGCTCGCGAACACCTCTGGGGAGGGGATTTGGCCCAAATGGCTACGAAAGAAGACGATCACCGCCAAGAAGATTCTCACCCAGGAGAGAAGAAAGGATCAGGTCACCGCCGCCGATTTGGCGTTCAAAATCGCCTTTCAATGACGGAAGATCGCGCGATTCATCCCGTGGCCGCAATAGCCCCAGACGGCCGCGCGACGCAACACCAGGCACCCAGGGATTCCGACCCTCCAGGAGAGATGGCCCACCAGCCCCTAGCCTCGACAAACCCGCCAGAACTTCTTCACCAAGAGCGCCATCAGGAGTTTTGCCGCCGCCAAGTCCACAACCTGCTCCCCGCCGAGACTACGCGCTCGATGGAACGAGCCAAGACCGGACCTTATCATCAAGACATGCTTCGCCTGCACAAGTCATCGCTTCAAAATCCGAGGGTATATCTCATCGGTCATCCCCACCCGTGGAAAGGGCTGGTTTCATGCCACAGGGATCCCGTAGTCGCTCACCTGTCTCCTTGGGCCCACAGGATTCGTCCAAACCACCAGGCCGATCCTCATTACAAGACCAGATCCCTGACACGGGATCTTCCAATACTCCAAAGCGGTCGGAAAATGGAGAGCGTCTGTATTCAAATGACCAGTCCACAGCTTTCAACTCAGAGAAAATACAAGATCAGCACCAGATGAGCGGACCCAGAGTTAACAACATTCCAACCCAGCCCAGAAATCACAGCGCAAGCCCACACCATCTCCCACCACCAGGGCAATATCACGGACCGAGGCCGCCATCCAACCCACGTGGGGTACTATTGGCGCCAACTCGCCCTCGCCGTGGACCAAGCTCGCGCGAATCTTGGATAGGATCTCCTCCGATGCGCCGTGGCCCCATTCCAGCTTCGCATGGTCCTCCGGCAGGACCGCGTGCTTCTTTCTCCTCCTCGGTCGCAGGCGGAAGTTATCGAAATCTTACCCCACGACAATCTATATCCGCCTCTGCAGCTCAACCGATACCTCCGAGAGGGGGCAACTCTCTTGCAGGGCTGTGTGCTATCATACCGGAAGGGAGATGCCTTCCGTCTCTTCTGGAACCTGCCGTAGAGAAACGGTTATCTCAACTTGATACCGACAAAGAAAAATTGCTGGAACAGATGGCAGAAACACAGCGATCTAAACGAGCAGAGCTTCGAGACTGGGATCGACTTGACCGTGAAAGCTCCATCTGTGCTCTCAAAAGTGAACTGGCCGAGGGCAATCTCCAGCGAATGGCCGACGAGAGTACCGGGGGTGGGATTTTGTTTTAAGGCGCTAATGTACATTATGACCAAGGGATGGGAGCGACTCTTTACTCTACACTAATCTATGAACTGTACGATTTCCATACAATAGTTTATATACTTCCATGTAGATCAAAGATGGCCAAGACAGGCAGATTAGTACATCTGAAACTTGTACATTCCCCACTTGTTGCCGGCCAGATAGTACTTCTCCAGAATGTACCGTACGAATACAGGTCGCGTACCTGATCTGCATTGCAGTACTGTAATTACCTTTCCCCTTCCGTTTTTTGCATTCGTGTCAACTTGTCAACAACTCTCCATGCTCTCCTTGTCATCTACTCCCCCACTTTGCTTTTGACGCTTATCCTTCTCACGATGAATATCTTCAGGCTATTAGGTACGCCATATTCTCTTGGGTCAATGCCATCTGCTAACGCTCCGCAGCCGATTTCTCCCATCTGGCCTCGATCTTCATGCTTCTGCAGAAGATGAAGACGTCGAGCGTACGCTTCTCTGTCGGTTGACCTGGGACTTGCAGCTAATTGGAAATCGCAGAGCTGTTCGGGGTTATCCTTCAAATCACAGGTGCTCTACCTCTTGGTCTTTGTTACTCGGTATCTAGGTCAGTTTCGACGTCATCTTCATCGAAGTCCTTCAAGAGCGCTACCGCTAACGTGTGAACCTCTCGCCAGACCTCTTCTGGACATTCACCGATTCTCTGTACCTCACCACATTCAAGCTCCTTTTCATCGGCTCCTCGGCCTACGTCATCTACCTCATGCTCAACGATTACAAACCTACGCATGATCCCAATCTCGATACTTTCAAGGTTCAATACCTCCTTGGAATCAGCGCAGTGTTTGCGATCCTCTTCACCCACAAATATCGTTTCTCTGAGGTTAGTGTCGAGTTTCAGCGCAACTCTTTTTTTTCGCTCGAAAAGCTGGGGTAGTAGGACTGACAGCAATGCAGATTCTTTGGACCTTTTCAATTTGGTTGGAGTCGGTGGCCATCCTGCCTCAACTCTTCATGCTCCAGCGGACTGGCGAGGCGGATACAATCACCACCCACTACTTGTTTGCTCTGGGAATTTATAGGGCGCTCTATATTCCAAACTGGATGTTCCGCTACTTAACCGAGACCTCATTCCAGCGCTCCTTCCAACCGGTGCCAATCATTGCTGGGATCATCCAGACCCTTCTTTATTCGGACTTCTTCTACATTTACTACAACAAGTAAGCCGGGTTGCCCACACCTTCCACGGACCAAATATGCTGACGTTGATGGTTGCCTAGGGTTATGAAAGGCAAGAAGTTTTCACTTCCCGTTTAGACTATCCCATGTCATGCACTGAGGACTTCATGGGATCTTGGATCACTTATCTCAAGTCTGGCGTTTGGCATCAATTTTCTGGGGTCCTATTGCTTAAATTTGCTTGGATGCAGTGACGGTCCAGTCATCTCAAATACCAAGTGTGATACCCGCAATCCATCCAATTCCCACCGTTGTCTGGGATTTGCTGGATATGAACTAATGTTTTCATGTTGCCAATGTATGCATCGACAATCCGGCAACATAGGGCTGCTAGGATATACTTGAACTCGATTACACAGACTACAGGATGATCTCATCCAATGGGTCTGCAAGCGATGGCTTGATGTTGATTTATTTTTATTTGTATCGACAGCACCTTTCTCTTGCCATGAACCGTGCAAGCAATAGTCCAAATATGCGGCATTGAATTGACCTTGTAAGCAACGTTTATTTGAATGTAACACGGATCGTACTTTCAGAATGCAAGGATTTTTATTTATTTTATATTTTACTGCTGCTGGATTTTTCCGTCTCTCCATACATCAAAGGCATGAGGTGATACACACCCCTGTCTGTTCTTCTCCTATTATGAGGCTCAATGTCGGCGAGGAGGTGAGGAGCGATCTAGAGGCTCCGAAAAAGGTACACTTTTGGGGAATACACCAAGTATATCCCGTACAACAAGAATGTGAAACAACACCAACCAACGAAGGCACTCAGAACTCTCTCTGGGCAGGGGCTCCATGAGTGGGAACATATCCCGTTGTATAGGTCAACTGGGAAGGAGGAATAGACAGATCGTTGGTGTACGGGTCCAGTGGGCCCGCAATCGAGTGCGAAATGTTTCCTATGGGCTGGAACGACCGTACTCCGTTTCCTGGGGCCGAACGGCCCTGCACACTTTGGTGGATATCAAGCCAACTATTCTGGCCGTGCAGATGGCCGAAATAGTCAGACTGTGTTCTGTCGATGGGCATTTGACCAAAGGTGGACTCTCGCCGTGAAACCGGGGGTGATGGGAGTCTAGGGGATCGAGAGGCCATCTCTAGTGGCGGGGAGCTTCTTCGTGAATTGGGCGGCGTCAAGCGCGAGCCTCCACGGCGCACTTGACAGGTTGGGCAGATCTTGACGAAACGGGAGATCAGTTCTTTCGGAACCCTAAAAGACAATTAATGGATGAACAATCATATACCCATTATATTGAGTATAACTTGTCCCGAAGTTGCCTACCATGAATAGATTCGCCGGACCTGGGCAGAGGTTTTGTCGCGGCCACCATGCTGGCATTGCTGATGTGCTTTGGTGAGGATCTTGAACAGTTTCTCTCGAATCGCAACCGGCTTCCCCTCATGACATATCATCTTCCTGCACTTTACACCGAGACGCTATTATTAGCATCGAAGAGCCAAGTCTCTGGAGGTAGCAGAACTTACTTCCGGCGTTCCAGCCCCCATGACCTGCAACTTGAACATTTTCTTAACCCAAAACCTGACCCGTTTAGCGTAAAGTGCACCAGAAGCAACGAATTCCATACCGAAATTGAGCCGACTCCACCGCCGTATCCTTTGGATCAATCAAGACGGTCCTAATGTTACGGGCTCGTTTACCGTGAATCAATGCTTTGTCTTGCTTCTTGACAGAAAGATCATTGACGTAGCTAGAAGGATGAGATCAGTCTCGAACTCATACATGAAGAGGGGGTTGCTCATCACACTTTTGCATCATCTGGTCAAATTCTTTTACATCAGGGAAACCGTCAAGGGCGGGTACCACGGGCTCTGAGAGCTTGGAGATCTCATTGCGAGATTCTTGACTTTCAATCTCTGTTTCGCTGAGCGACGGATCGCGAAGAGGTAGATGTCTTGGTGCGTGAAGATAGCGCGACTGGGGCATGTATTGCGGAGGATGGATCCTGGGGTCATCCTGGGTTGTCATTGATGGAACGGAATGTTCTGACGAGTACTGCAGATGTTGCAAACCCGGAGTCAAGCTTGACTGTGGTCCGTAAGGTTGCCCAAACTGAGATCCGTATGGGTTGAATGAGTGTTGGGGGAAGTGATATGAGGAACCATGTGCAAAGTCATGATTCTCTTGCTGGCCATATGAGCCTGGCACTGCCATTTGGTGGTTCATGAGATAGGCATCATTCCCTTCGTTGCGCCTTGCAAAACTGCTCATAACTGGTGCCTAGTTTCCGCTCAAATATCGATTTTGCAGCATATGATCTGTGGAACAAGCCCCGAGTACAATATGGACAGACACGAGACGACAAAGTACAGTATAGTGAGACGAGGTGTGAGGCAGTCACTCCCACAAGTATGACAAGAGAATATCAAGGAGAGAGAGAAGTCACTGGAAGCCCATCTAAGAACGGGGCAGCAATTGCATTAAAAGGACCCCAAAGGGCGTGGACATCCCAAGAGCACGAGACCATGTCGAAAAGACAGACAACAACAGAGGGCATCCCTGGAAGACCAACAGCAAATATTCCACAGAGAAAAAGAAAGAGTCGAGGTAAGGTACAGAGGGCCAGAAAAAAAAAAAAAAGAAAGGGTTCGTTTTCGGTAAGGTGATGCGCTCTAGAGCCACGTTGGGTATTCGAGGCATCCTATCGGGACAAAGAGGCGGGGAGATGATGATCTCCCCGATTTGCATAAAATCGATCTTCTGAACGTTTGCCAGGTCACAAACAGATTTCCCCTGCAAGTAACCGTGCCAATTGGTAAGAAACATGGATGCGTTCTCTCAGGCTTGAGGATGAAGATGTAACTGCCCTCGAGAGCCTAGGGAATCCCGGTTGTGTGTATGCTGTGTGTCCATGTCCCACTGCCAAGTATGTGTTTCGGTTTGACGTGGCAAGCATCTCCGAGTGACAGGTGCAGGGCAATCAATGCGGGACGGCAGGATTGCATACGTTTGGCTCGTAGTGAGACACGATTTGTCGCCCAACACCAAAGGTTCGGACCCTCGCAGGAAGCAATCGGAATCCTGTTCACAACTGAAAAGGGGAGACTGTTGCTTCCCGATAATTTCCCCCGGAAATGGTCTGCATAACGTCCGAGTCCGAGTTTCAGTACTTTATCGATCATGAATAGACCTGGGAGACCGAGATGGAGATGGGGGAAGAGTTGAAGAGTAGGAGTTGCAGGAGTTGCAGGAGTTGCTATTGTTGGATTCTGCCCAACTTCTCAGAAAATAAAAGTTCACTCTTTACATATTAACAGTACTGTATAGTTACAAAAAAAGTCAGGCGTGAAAGTCACCGTAAATTCATGCCAGTAGGTCGTAAGGTCGTGTATTTGCCAGAGGCGAAGTCGCCCCATCTAGGCTGCTTCTCCCCTGCCATCAAGTGCCACCAAATCACGAATGATCCATAGGTGATTTTCGTGGCGGTCGAAGCCAACCCACTTGTCAACCTTGCGCCTCCACTTTTCTTCCTCGGCTCTCTGTCGTCGAATGAATTCTGGTCCGACATCGAATTCCTCTGTCATGGGGCCTTCGTCGGAGGATTCACCGGCACTTGCCTCATCTCTCTGGAACTGGGGGGTTTCGAATGCCCCCGAAATGCGTCCATGGGGGCTGCTTGCCTCCAAGTCATCTAGACCGGCAAAAACATCATCTTCATCTGCAACACCGTCAAGTGGGGCCTTGAGCCAGCACATACGATGTGGATCGAAGACCATCCCACCGACAGTCTGGACGTTGTGCATTGCGCCAACATTGGTGATGAGAGCAGGCGCAGGCTTAGGTGATTTTGGGGCAGGATCGAAATCTTGCACCAGGTTTTCATTTCCTTCCCAGCGGAAGTTTGTAGGGTTATAACGCATACCTCTCACGGCTAGAACCAGGGAATAGTGAGCTTGGGCCAATGACTCAAAGATGGGACATGCTTACATTTGGCATCCTGCACCCCAGACCCCATCGGCTTGATCAGGTGTGGTTTTGATGTCGATTTGATACTAGGCCTGCTTTTCCGGCTTCGAATTGTTGCCGAGGGAGGAGCTCTTGAGATAGGCTGGGGCTTCCAGTTCGAGCTGAAACTAGAGAGGTGATTTAATTCACGGGTTTTTGAGTTCATCGCCATGGAAGCAATACGTTGCTCTCTTGCATTCCTGGATGCATTGGTATCTTGGGCAAACCTAGGTGTCGGGCTTCTCATTTTAAAGGCCGATGGGGATGTTGACGATTGAGCAGGTGACACATCTTGCGGTGGCTCAATCCGACTTTGGCTGAGTCTGGTGCGAAGAGATCTAGGAGCACCTCGACCTGTGGGGGTTTTGACAAACTTGCTCTCTGCCGTGACAGACGTAGACAAGTCGTCAAACGACTCGAGCTCTGTGCCATCTCCAAAATTACGCCGTTTGGTTGGTCGTGTGAGGGTACGCTTCGCAGAACCAGCAGAATCCGGGTTTGATTCGCCAAAGCTAGTACGGAAGGACTCATTCCGAGTTGATCGAGGGAGCCGACCCAAGGTTCCCTGTGGGCTAAGGAGACCGCTGGAGCCGTCTGAGTTTGTGCGACGGGAGGAGCGGTATCCCGTCGCATTAGTATGTAATTGAGATTCTGAGGGGCCAGCTGGCATGAACGGGGCCTGCGGTCTGCGACCAAATGTCCTCCCATCAATGAAGGGGCGGTCCACCGGTGTTTTAGGTCTCGCGGAAGGGAGACGCACAGGGCGATCTATCGATGGGCGCTGAGAAGGCTGTGTCAACGCCGCCGATCCCGTGCCACGGATAGAGGGCAGGGAACGTTTCGTTTTCAAACGCCTAGTTGGGGGATTAGCCTCGCTGGCCTGGGAACTGTCCCTGGGAGTTCGAGATCCGAGAAGTCGTCGACCAGAGAGCGATGGAGTTGGCGATGTCGAAATGACATTAGATATGGGAAGACTTGAGGTGGATGATTGAGATGAATGCCCTAGACGCGATTGAGATGTTCGGAATTTGGAAAGAGGAGCACCACTCTCTGAGACAGTCTCAAGATGGGTTGAATGTGTCCGGTCATGACCGGACAAGCGAGGGATGCGGGTTCGTGGAGAACCCGTTGCGCTGGTGAATGTAAGAGTTGTTGCAGACCGACGAGTCGGACTAGAAGGCCGTTCTGTCTTGCATTTTATGTTAGGATTCAAAGCCAACTTCCCCGAAGAAAAGGCCTTTCCATTGTCGATTTCGATTCCAGAGAAGAAGTCATCAGCATCCGGGACTTGATCCAGTTGATTCTCTCGTACGTCCACATTCTCAATCTGTGATGTTTGGCGCTTCTTGAGTGAGGCCTTGAAATCTAAAGGACCTTCGGGGATGACGAGGCCGTCGAGGCCATCATCTTCACTTTCCGCCGTAAGACAGCTTGAGACGCTGGGGCTGGCAATCGAAATCGAGGAGCTGGGAACAGAGCGACCGTCCCTTGTAGTGCCACCAACCCTGACGCCGATACTTCCTTCAGACCACTCAAGATCGAAATCGTCCAGGGTGGGACTAGAAGCGTTATAATTTTCCTTTCGGTAGGACAATTCTAGGGGCTGAAGGTTTTGAGGTAATTCGAAGTCCTGATTAAAGTCATCGTCTGTTTCCTGTTCCACATTGGGAGCCCCGGCATTGCCCGTAGAGGATTTGTTTGGAGAGCGAGGGGTTGGAGCTTTAAGCGTTGGTATGCATTGGGGTTCAAAGCCGTCGAATTCAAAGGCTGATTGTAAATGTGTAGAGATATCATCGTTCCAGGATGGCGAGGCCGCGGACTTTATTGGGCTGGTGGCAGCAGAGCTGACATTTCGGAGGCTATCAGGAAACACTGTTTCCCGGGGTGTCTTTAGCTGCAGGACAGTCTCAGGGTCTGGAAGCTCAACGTCCTCTGACCAGTCGTCAACAAAGGTCTTTCGGGTCTTTCGGGTGGACAAGCGCTTGATCGTGCCGCCGATGAGAGCCGATTTGGGAATATCTGGAGGAATGGGAATACCCGCGGTCTTGGCTGAGGCAATAGCTTCTTCTTTTGCAAACTCGTCATTCTCGTATAGCGGGACCTGCCAATCCTCGTCTCCAGCATTGGAGTCGATATCTGAGCGTGCAGAACGTCGCGAGGAAATCGAGTCTCGATGCCCAGATGGCCGGAATGACGAATTTGTTATGGATCCCGCACTGGATGCGGTGCGAAACTGAACATCCCCGTTGAATTGCAAATCGTCGTCGTCATCCCAGCATTCAATCGGTTCCTCGGTGCCTGTTCGTAATTGGTTTGGTAGCGATTCCATGATAGGCTGAGGCAGGTCAGGGGAAGGGGCTCGGAGCATGCGGCGCTCACGGAACAGGGACGGATGTCCCTGGGGCGATTATGGCTCAAATGGCAGTCTTCGAACTTTGCGACACTGACGGGGATTCAGGGGGCGAGAACATGAACGTCATTCCGGGTTGGCGGGAGTAAAGCGAGGACAGGAGAAGGTGAAGTTAAGATATCGCAAAGCGGATCGGGAGCATCGACAGACCCCGTGGAACGACAAATAAGATCGGACAGGATATGGAGATCAGGTTCTCCCAAAACTGAAAGAGGAAGAATCAGGTCCAGCTTGAAGATTTGAAAGCTAACCAAAGGGGTGCAAAAGGGAAAACAGGTGGTTGTGGCTGGATCTCGGATTCCTCGTGGAGAGGAAGAACGTGTCTCCCCTCTCGGGTAATGGATGCAATAGATTGAGGGGACGACTGCATAAATATTCAAATTCAGGATACGAATTATTCTCTTATAAATTATACCGTCCCATGAAACATTCTGCGTGAATCAGAAACGAAACTTATTGAGGAGGTACCCGGTACTTGGAGTATTCATTAGGTTTTAGGTGGGGGGTCAGGTAACGACTACTTACCTTCCAGGTACTTACATATGTATACTCTGGGTTCCACTCTGTTGCCTTGGGGTTTCCTACATAGCTGAGGTGCTATCTTTTGACTACCTTTTCTTCTTCTCTTGATCTCAATGTCTTCCCCAGACCGAGTCCTACGGTTACCTAGATCCGATAAAACCGGGGCATTTGTGCTCATCCATGTTTCACGGAACGGGTCTGCGCCTCTTGATATAACCCTGACAGCAACTGAAGGAGAACTGCCCTATATCAGCTTGGGTAGGTGATTGTCAATGGGAGTTGGTGAATTCATGAACTCATACAGTTAGTACAGTGAAGCAGACACGTCTGAAAGATCTTCGCGCAAAGAACTACCAAGGGTCAGAGGATGACTGGGTCAATACTTTATCCTTGATTCTGGGACAATCCTCCCCTCCTTCGGATGAGCCGGATTGGGCGACTGGCCTTGAAACAACGGCTACTGTATCAGAATCTGAAGAGGACCAGGAAATTGTGATTACCATAAGGAAGCGAGTGCAGACCATAACGGTTCGTGTCCTACCGCTTTTTTTTTACACTTCAGTTAACCGGCACTCTAGCAACGTCTCGGTACACTTGTATTGAAACAAGACGACGAGCAAGCTGTTGAGCTTTTCGATTGGACTGGGATTGCTGCTGCTCGAGCTGACATGCTAGAGCAACAAGTCTCCAGCTTAAGTTCTCGTTGTCACCTCGCTGAGGACACAATACGCACGTTAAACGAACAGCTTGAAGACCTCACGCAAGCAAAAACCCACCACGAAACCCAACTGATAGCCAACTTTGCCCAGCTTCTGAACGAGAAAAAGCTCAAAATTCGCAATCAGCAACGCCTTCTGGCATCAGCGATTCCAGATCCAACCAAAGGTGAAAATAAATAGCCGAAGTCTTCTTATCATCCACTGTACTGACTGAACAGCGCTAGTCTCTGAAATCCAAGCTACAAAACCAGAAGAAGAGCATGGTGTCGTTGGACAACCCCACTCGATAAAAAGAAGTGCTCGGAGTTTGAGCGAGTCAGAGGACTCCGATGGGTTTGAACAGATGCATCTCGACACGGAAAGAGCCAATAAAGACGCCATCAATGACCATGATGCGGACAACGAGCGCTCAACTCCTCGGCCACTAGAAGAGGAGAACAACAGCACAACAGATGATGATCTGTCCCCAGATAACTCTGCTCCTCTGAAACCAGTACTGCAAGCAAAGCACACGGCTCCCCCTCGGAGAGACTTGCCGTTTACCAGAAGAACCGGTGGAACAGCAGCGAAGACCTCATCGACTGTGGTCCATCAAGATGCGGAAGAAACGACCGGGGAGACTGATGACGACGAGCTGTGAAGTGGGCCTATAAACGTTCAAGCAGCCCATTTCAGACAGGCAGGATCTGTGACATCCTAGAAAGGCATTCTACAATGTTTGGGACCGGAAGCACCTTGATTGCCAGACAGTGCTGTCTTTACATACCTATTCCAGCTAGTGCTTCCATATCCGTATGCAGGAGACTTATATCCTTACCTTGGTTTCCAACAGAACCTCGTGGAAACGTATCAAAGGGTGTGTTTAGACGCTATGATTGGAGCCATAGAACGCAGCCCAGAAGTTGCCTACGTGTGAAAGTGACAAGTAATAATATCATCTCAAATGCCCATGGAATTGAGATTTTGGAGGTTCAGTCTTTTTATGTACAAGTCAACCACTACCGATTAATCCCAAGCGACACCGGAGAAGAGCACGGAGGTCAACCGGAACCGGAAGGGTGTTCAAGATGATAGGGAAAAAAGCACAGAATATGGAAAGAAAACAGTACATCAAAAGGGAAGTTTGAGATGTGGTACAATAAAACGCCTGCAAACATTAGAGAAACATAGAATCAGGTTATTCAGACCCCGATCTAGCCGTACAAAGCCTGGGGAGACATCTCTCCTGCGGCCATGAAGTTGGTCTCAGGGTTTCCAGTAGCCTTGGCAGCAGAGGCACGAGCCATGGTAGGCGAGCTGGAATAGAGTCAGCGATACAACACGATCGAAAGTGGGGGAAAAGGGTACCAACCTTCTAGAAATAGCGTCGGTAAAGAAGAAGTCCTCAATGACCTTCTTGAAAGGAGCTCCAGTCGCCGAAGAACCCTTGTTCTGGTCCACGAGTTGAACCTTGCTCAGCGAGCCAAGGGAAGTTGGCTCAACAACGTCGTAGCGACGCATCACAGGGCTGATCTCCTCCATGCGGTCTCGAAGAGCCTCGATATCATCGTACGGCAGTGGGGCACCAAGGAATTCACTAGTCGCACGAATGATCTTCCAATCATCACGAGCAGCACCGGGGAGTGACGTGGCAGCACGGGTAACCTGAACACGGCCTTCTGTGTTGACGTATGTACCAGACTTTTCAGTGTAAGCGGCACCTGGCAGAACGACATCGGCAAGCTGAGCACCACGGTCACCATGGTGTCCCTGGTAAACGACAAATGCGTCCTTGGGGATCTCGCTCTGGGCGACCTCGTCGGCACCCAAAAGCCAAACCATCTTTGGTGTGGTTTGAGCAACTTCAGGGGATGGTGCAGTGAAGCCAACTTCGTAAGCGCCAGCTCGAGACGCCGCGCGCTGGAGAACATTGTATCCTTGCCACTCAGGGGTGATGAAATTGTCGGCATGCTTCTCAATAAATCCGCCGACGGCCTCGAAGATTGTCTTGGCGTCGGGGTGCTCGGCGGCAGCGCTACCAACAACGATCATTGGCCGTTTGGCGGCAGCAAGCTTCTTGCCAAACTCTCCGGACAAGGCAGCCTTCAAGGAGGAGACATCGGTACCGAGGTGGTCGAAGTCGAAGGTACTCTCGAACTCCTCACCAACAAGACCAATCTCAAGATCGGATCTGAGATACTGCTTGCGGATGCGAGCGTTAAGGACTGCGGCTTCGTGACGGGGGTTTGTCGCAACCAAGAGAATGGCATCTGCTTCCTCAATGCCATAGATCTTGGAGTTGAACAAGTAGTTGGAGCGAACATCAATACCGTGAGCAATAGGGGCGCTGCCACCTGGTTGATCAAGGGCGAAGTTGTCGGAGCCAAGCTTGTTCACCAGGTCCTTCATGGCAACGAGCGACTCGGTGTCAACCAAGTGTCCGGCAACAGCCTTGAACTCATTAGCCTGCGGCTGGATCTTTTCGTGAGCAGCGGAGATCTCCATGAGAGCCTGTTCCCAGGTTGCAGGAACAAATTTACCCTCTCGGCGAATGAGCGGCGTGGTGAGCCTTTGGGTCTTCAGTCCATCGCACGCAAACCGCGACTTGTCGTTGATCCATTCCTCGTTGATATCATCATTCAATCTTGGGACAACTCGCATGACTTCCAAACCTCTGCTATCAATCCGGATGTTAGAGCCGAGAGCGTCAAGGACATCGATCGATTCGGTGTGCTTTAGTTCCCATGGACGTGCGCGGAAGGCATAAGGCTTCGAGGTCAGCGCACCAACTGGGCACAGATCGATAACGTTGCCTGACAACTCCGAATTGAGGTTTTGCTCGAGGTAGGTTCCAATCTGCATGTCGTTTCCACGTCCGGCGGTTCCGAGTTCGGGGGCGCCGGCAACGTCATTCATGAATCGGACACAACGAGTGCAGTGAATGCATCGGTTCATGGAAGTCTTGACCAGGGGGCCGATGTTCTTATCCTCCACAGCACGCTTTCCGCCGGTTTCGTGGAATCGACCCCGATCAGCACCATAACGCATTGACTGGTCTTGGAGGTCGCACTCTCCTCCTTGGTCACAAACGGGGCAGTCGAGAGGATGGTTGGCTAGTAGGAACTCCATCACACCCTCTCTAGCCTTGTGAACCAGCGGCGAATTCGTCTTGACCACCATACCCGGTTGTACTGGCCAGGCACAGGAGGCGACCGGCTTCGGGGCACGTTCGACTTCAACGAGACACATACGGCCTGTATGTTTGGTTAGTCTGTCTGCTTATGTGGAGGAAGAAAGGTGTCAATTCCACGTACAGTTTCCGGCAACCAAAAGTTTTCTTCGAGGACCTAGGTTAGCAAAAAAATAATATGCGTGGCTTGACTGAGGGTACATACTCGTGATAACAATATCTATTGCATGGTTAGTGCCTGACGTAGGAAGTCAATTGGCTAGTGATTGTCTTACCTAGGGACTGTTGCGCCTGCCTGCTCACAGGCCTGGATAAGAGCCGAACCGGCTGTCAAGGGAAGACGTGAGAAAAGATCTAATGCATTGCCAAGGTTGATAATTTACCTTCTACCGACACCTTCTTGCCATCTAGAAAAAAACAATTGTCAGTCATCAATTAACCGGGATGGACCAGAGTAGACGTACCAATGGTGAGTTCCACCTCGGCCGCGCGAGGGGCTGTCGTCGCGAAGGTCCTGGGGGTGACCTTAGGAACCCGGAGAGACCGGGCGGCCGCACGGAACAGCTGCGGCCGCATGATTGACAAGTAAACAGAGATGGGAGGGTGGGAAATAGGGTAAGGAGGGCGAGGGGGTGGAATCCTGGTGACGGTTGGGAGGTCAGAGAGCACTTTGCATCGGAATCTGCGGTTACATAATGGGGGTGCTGACCATCCCTAAAGCTGACTAAGGACAACGCAAATGGATTCACGCGGATTGGTTCGGTTAGACGGATAAACCTCTGCTCCGACCTCCCTTCAAAAACAGCCCGTTTTGCCCCCACGATATTCTTTTTCTCATATAATCTCATTTCACGGGCATCATTTATTGTAGGAAACCGGCGTTTTTGTTCCTTTTTCCTCTACAGTATGTCCCAAGAGCAGAATTGCGCCGTAGCTGGAGCTGTCAAGGGTTCGCCTAATGATGACTTTGTTCCTTACCGACGGTAGCTACATTACTCTTAATTCTTAGCTCTTATGACTAGTCCTCGTTGTACTAGCTTATCAACTGTATGCATCTTTGGAAAGCTTTACACCTAACATTGCCATGTCACCTCTATGAAATTTCGGTTTTCGATTTTGTAAATTTTCACAGTTGTACAACCGATTGGTGTGGCAAGAAGATTGTCTTCGCCAAAGTAAACGACCCAGATGGGTCAAAACACAAGGGGATATTAACGTAAACTCCCCGAAGAACGCCGCAACGCCATCATATCGTACACTGAACTAAAAAGAAACATAGGTGCTAAGCTGCTGCTTGGGAATCACTGACCTGCCAAGTAGATTCTTGTTTGGTTCCTGGCAACCATGTACGAGAAACACTGGCTCCTCTGGGTCGTACACGCCCCGGTACATCATCTTCCTTCTTGGAGGTGTATGCCGCCGCGTGTGGATTGTTCAGGCTGGATGCATCATAGTTCCTGCCTGCGGGGAAGGCATAGCCATTCGAGTCCCACGGCTTGCTCGAGTGTCGCACATTCATCGGCAGGATGGACTTTTGGGCACGGAAATGATCTGCGTTTGCCCTTTGGTCGGCCACATCGTCATGGCTGTTGCGGTCGTAAAGGTAGAGACCCACGAAAGTGAGACAAATACCAATTGCTTGTATCGGCGTGGTCGAGCTCCCAAACCACACGATCGCCACCACAATCACAAACACGCGTTTGACCAGGGACGCAACTGAGTATGACACGGGAGATATCATCGACAAAAGTACAAAAGCCAAGATGTTCTGGGCAAAATGTGAAACTCCGTTGAAGATGAATTCGATGAGAAGTGCACCATGGTCCAGCGATCCTTTCTTCTCCGAGAGCGAGATTACACCATCGTTGATAAAATCAGAGACCAACGGGTAGCCCTCAGTGACAAACCATATAGGCAGAGTGAGAAAAAAAGCCAGCCCAGAGCAATAGCAAAGGAGATTGAGTTTGTCGAGCTTGCGTCGCCCCGGGTTTTGCATTTCTGCTTCCGCACGATCTGCCTCGTTGAAAAGCTTCTTCGAAAAGATGTTCTGTGAGACAAACACAATAGCTGCGGCAAATGCGCAAAAGATGCCGAAGAAATTTGTGGAAACCCCAGTCGAGCAGGCAAGCATCACTCCCATAGTAAGCGGAATTAATGATAAATATGTTGCCCGTGCATAACGAATGCGGAACAGGATTCTGTATGCCAGAACCGTGAAAAGGGGGGGAAAGACCCTTGATAGTATGGACCAGAGAAACGGGAATTTGCGCCGTGGCCATTGAGCTGAGAATATGACCGGCTAATTGAAATACTGCCAAAGGTAAGGCTGTAGATATGACCTCCCGTGACGGATAGCGGATACCATGTTGAAGTACCGGGACACTTTGTCGCAAGCGAGGAATTATTGTGGAAAGATATACCAACAACAAACACCAAAAGGAGACAAATGCAAATTGAATGATGGTTAGAGTAATAGGCATTGGAAGGGCGTTCAAGATCGATTTCGAGGACGTGTTTGTGAGGGCTGAGGTAAAGTACCAGATGACACACAGCGCCTTTGGGATTTGTTAGCGCAACCAAGGCCCGCCAATTCGTTTATGAAACCACATACAGTCAATCGGTAGGATACTGGCGCACGGAGAGCTTCGGCCAATTCATGGGCATTGGCACTCATACTGCCATTGCGCGTTCTGATGGTTGATATGGCCTCGCTGATACTCTTTCGTGGACGATGCTTGGGGTTTCTCAATGGCTCGTTGGCATGGTCTCGCGAATAGAAACTGGATTTTCGGGGTTCCCAGAGCTCGTTTGGGGCATATTTCACAGAAGCACTTCGGTTTGGACGAGTTGACCCCGCGACAGTCTCGGTCGTATCCTCGTAAGGAGGAAATTTATCAATGGGGCTGCTGGTTGAATGGGAGGCGGAGGACTTTGGTATTTGCAGTTCGGTTTGTCGCATGGAGGAGCGTCGCCCATGTCCAGTTACTGTGGTTGTGGCCATATTCTGGAGATGTTAACAAAGCAAGCGCGAAAAGCACAGGTGTCACTTACCAAGGACCTGAGTTCTGAGAATGGTAGGTTTCCAGAGTTGGGGGTTGAGAAAGGGTGCAGGTGGGCTGGGCCGATGACGAATCTCCCTGGGCGAATAAGCGTCGAGAATAAAGCACACACGCTTCCGGACACTTTGGCCGGAGTAAGGGATTTGATATTAACTAGGTTTGAGTAGATATATTTATTTGCTATCTATTTGCCTAACTATATGCATGTACGAATGCCGCTTTCCAATTGGGTATTCGGCGACCTCCGATGTCGTTGTACCCGTCCCATTTCCCCAGTATCTTGACATTTCTATTAATAACACTATATACTTCATTTTCAGATAGGTTAACTTCACTGTGGTATTGATCTCTACCATCACGTGATGGGCTGGATATAGTTCGGTTTTTGCTCACTTTGAAGCGGGTGTACTGTTTCATGGATTTGTCTTGCCTTACTTGGCCTCTTTTTGCACATTCCAAAATGTCTCGGCTTGTATTGATTTAAAAATGGTGGACTAATCATCTAGGATTGCCAATATTGAAAAGGACTCAATGCCCTTGTTGTATGTAGGTGAATATCAACATGGACTGCAAATACTCTAATTATATGGTACCCAGAACGTACTTCGCGCTCACCAAGTGTGAAGACCAAGTGTGAAGACCAAGTGTGAAGACCAAGTGTGAAGACCAAGTGTGAAGACCAAGTGTGAAGACTTATACTAATACAAAAACCTTCATGATTACTTGAACTGCATAGGAAATTCCCCGAGAGTTGAAGCTCGTGGCTCTATAGAGCTGTAGATGTTCGTCGCTGTTTCCAGCTTTGCCTCGTGCTCCTTCCTGATCTTCTTACTCTTGCACTCACTTCTCTCCCTTCCATTTCTCTTTTCTCATCATCCCACGCTCTTCAACTTCATCTCCTGAAATCCCCAAATGTTTACCGTCATCTCGTGAGAATCTGCTCAGAATCCTTTTCGTTGCATGTAAACTCACTTGGTTCCAACAAGCCTGTCCGTTTCAACCTTCACACAGCGGCTTTCTCGCTTTTTCTTTCTATTCTTCTGTCTTCTCTTTCTTCATTTTTCTTCCGGTTCTGTCAATATGTCTACCCTCAGCGGGCCGTCAACGCTTGGTCGCCTCGGTAGTGAAACACACTTTATTCCTCATGATGGCATCGATGTGCGAGCTCTCACTTTTGGACATGAGCAACCAGTATGCCCCTTCCTACATGACGGCTTTCAAATGAGTCCAACACCTGCTAACTGCGCTGTTCATTACAGGGACACCAAACCTCATCCACCCGCTACGGCTCTTCTGAGCCCATGGAAGTCTCTCGTCACGGGAAAATGCCAGACTTACCCAGCGGGGGGCTGAGGATTCGGTGAGCAAGGTGTGTCTCTTGTGGTACCAATTCTTGTTGCAGTGGTCTCACAATCCCAGAAGCAGAAGCTAGATCACGTCAAACCTGAACCTTTGAGTGGACAACCATCGGACATTGAGAGGATTCTAGCAACCCTTTCTCCAAAAACAGTACAAACCACCCGCTCCAAAGCTGATCTCTCCTCTGGACCGTCCCAGCTCACCCCGATTCTGAAACCACTGCCAGTTCCATACCTCGCAGATCCTCATCTGCCCTACGGCCAGGAAGATAACACAGGGGAGTTGCGTCGACTTAAGCAAGAGCTGCTGGCTGCGAACTCAAAGATAGCTTTGCAGGAGCAGGAGCTTGCGCAAACTCGTGTGATAAAACATACGCTAGACCAAGCCCTTGGTCCCCCATCCGAGGCAGACTTCAGCAGTCGTGAGACCAGAGAACAAAACATTGGTCCCCTGCAGAACGTTTTCAACGGACCCAACTCTGCTTTCCGTCAATTCCAAAACTCTTGGGCTGGTCAAGACGACTCACTGTCTGACATTTCAGACCCGTTGTCTGCAGGGTCCTACGGTGGATCTCGCGGGCCGTGGGCCCGCCATGAGCTTTCCCTCGATAGGGACTACAATGTGCCTCTTTTGGCCTCTAACAATTCCGCAAGCCAGGATCCTAGCCGATTCTGGGGCTCTTCAGGTATCTATCCTCCGTTCACGGGACCCTCATCTTTGCAACCTCAGAGAATACTCTCGGGACCTTCGGCCAGTCCATGTGGGTTCTACTCGCGACCCATGGGTGACCAGGCGCAGTTTCTCACAAGCTCAATTCCTGCGCCTCGTCGGTCCAACAATCAATGCAGCCGAGGCGGGTCTCTGTTTCCAGCCCAGTCCGCTACTTGGATTGATTTCTCTCCTGCGTCTTCGAGTGACCAGACCCCGAAGTCACCTCCATCGCCGGTAAAGAGACCTCTCAGTGCCTTTCAACATGCCGGCCTTTACCCGGTGCATTCTTACCACCCTAGGCCAATTGGAAGCCCTCTTTCTCCTACTGCCAGTGAGTTCACAGGCTCCAGTGCCAATGATAGCTCTTGGTCCACTTCCGCGGTAAGAATCTATACCAGTATCGCTCGTTTAAACTTACTCTGACGTTTTCCAGATGAGCGGTAATTACATCCAGACATACGTGCCGCCGCTTGAGCCTCTCAACTACCGACGGCTCCTTGACAAGAATGTGTCGTGTGATTGGAAATATATTGTGGATAAGATAGTTTGCAGTAACGACCAACAAGCTTCGATCTTCTTGCAACAAAAACTGAAAGTTGGCACAACCGAACAGAAGTATGATATCATTGAAGCCATAGTTCACCAAGCCTACCCACTCATGGTCAATCGCTTTGGAAATTTCCTTGTTCAACGCTGCTTTGAGCATGGAACCCCGGAGCAAGTTGTTGCCATCGCCAATGCAATCAGAGGCAATACGCTGAATTTGAGCATGGATCCGTTCGGCTGCCATGTGATCCAAAAGGCTTTTGACTGTGTTCCAGAAGAGCATAAAGCCGTCATGGTGCATGAACTTCTTCGCAGAATCCCCGAGACAGTGATCCATCGTTACGCCTGTCATGTTTGGCAAAAGCTTTTCGAGCTTCGGTGGGACGGCGAGCCTCCGCAGGTAATGATCAAAGTAAACGAGGCATTACAGGGGATGTGGCACGAGGTTGCTCTGGGAGAGACTGGAAGTTTGGTGGTTCAAAACATCTTTGAAAATTGTGTGGAGGATGAAAAGGTGAGTTTCCCTGCCCTCTTGAGCTTCTCATACCCATGGGATATTTATCTTCCCTTGGTAACCTACCCTTTCAATGAATGCTAATGATTATAAGCGACCGGCAATTGAAGAAGTGCTGGCAAAGACTGATGTACTCGCTCATGGGCAGTTCGGAAATTGGTGCATTCAGCACATCTGTGAGCATGGTGATCCCCATGACAAGAGCCGTGCTGTGGAGCATGTTCTCCACTGGGCTGTCGATTACAGTATGGATCAATTTGCGTCTAAGATAGTAGAAAAGTGTCTCAAGATCGGCGGGACGGAGTTTATGGACCGGTATCTCACTCGCGTCTGTATCGGGCGCTCTGACCGACCTCGCATGCCGTTAATTGATAGTACGTTGTTCAGACCTTGACCATGAGACGAAATCAAAAGAACAATACTAACTTATCTTTAGTAGCGGGTGATCAATATGGCAATTATCTTATCCAATGGATTTTGATGAATGCTCCGTCTCACCAACGAGAGGTTGTGGCCAGTCATATCAGGTACTATTTACTCCGGCTTCAATAAAGAACCATTTCAAAATTAACCTGCTTTTGATCAGAAAACACATGGTTTCCCTTCGTGGATCCAAGTTCGGCTCCCGCGTGGCTATGCTTTGCTGTAACCCGTCTCATGCTACACGCCCAGGTCCCGGTGCCGGTATGCACATCGGTCGCTTCAACAACTTCAATGAAGAGAAGTTCTCTACCACAAGCCAGTCCAGTGGTCGATTCGGCCGTGGACAACAATGGGGTCCCAATTATGCACTCATCAATTAAGTGTGTTTCTTGATGCCCACTGATCGCCTGCGAAGAAAAACGGCAAACGAAACCCCCCGCCCAAATGATCTACTGAATTCGTTAATCAGTTTACCCCTGTTTCCAGGTTTAGCAGCTTGTGTCTCATTACCTGTCAGTGTTCATTCAATATTGTTTAATCGAACTGCTCATCAATCTTGCGAGTCATTGCTGCTTGCCGATTTATTCCTTTGGCTTGCTATTCCAATCATCATTGTATTATTCAGTCGGATGGATAAAAGCTTTCAGCGTGTCATGTTAATTACAGAGAAATAATATTGTTATTCCAATATTCTCATCTCAATATCGTCCCCTGCCTCAAGGAACACCAGCTGCAGCCTCACTGGAAGCAGTTTCCAGGTCCTCCTTCTCCCAGGGTTTTCGCCGTCGAGGTTTCTCGCTCGATATATCATGCCCAGTCAACACTGTATCAGGTATGTCCTGAATTCCAGGGATTGGTTGTCCGGTAGTGATCAGTTCCACGATATGCGCAAACGAAGACGGATAAGCGGGCTCTGCATTCGTTGAACTCGCCCCGTCCTGTTCCGTGGATGTGCCAGCAGATACCTGCGATGAGCTTTTTAGGCTATCTGGAATCTGGGACTTTTCCATTGACTGTGACGCCAACCATGACTTAAAGGCCGCAAAGTCAATTGCTGGGGTAAGCTTTTCTTTTCTGTGGTTCACTGGCATATTAGTCTATGAATAAATCCATATAAGCTATGGATTGGTTGCCATACCGCGAGAAAAAGAAACACTTTGCTTGTAAAACCAGGTCGTCATCTCGATTCATCTCCGCCTCGGTGGCGGGGGTATCGGGGTGACCGAGTATGATTGAGAGACCATTGGCAAATTCAGGATCTGTATGGAAAGAATATGACTGTACTCGCTCATAATCCTGAATTGAAGGTTGCGCCATTGTTGAGGAATATATGTCTGAAGGACACCTGAGATGCGGAGGATGCGTGGGGCTAGTCAAGCTAACCGAGGCCCGTTGATCCTATATCGATCCACCGACTATGAATTCTTACGATGTACGGAATACATGCGAAGGATTAACTATCAATGTAAACCTAGTGCTCTTTATTTCCCGCTTCTGTAAAATGTTGTATTTCTGTGGTACACCTTACTCCAATGCTGCCCTCTGGGCTAGTAAACAGATAGGATATCCCACGAGTGACGCCCAAACCCATGCAATTTTGAAATAACCCGCGGCCCTAGAGTGTGGTATCCATGCCCTCACTTGTTGCCTTGGGCGCGGAGTGCAAGCTTGCACTTTTACTTTGACACCCAGGACAGTTGTGTACTACCTCATGTGCAAATAGATCACAGTCGATACAGAAATGGTTCTGACACGCTGTACACCCGTAGCGACTGCTCACACTCATTCCCTTGGTATGGGTTTCGGCCACTTGCCATTGATCTTCTGGGGGAACTGGTGGAAAAGAAATACCACAGGCAAAGCAAGCAGAACTTTGTGAGGCTCGACGCCACGGGACCTCGACCCAGTTTATCAAAGGGAATAGATGATGATACGAACGTGCCAGGTGAGTCGAAAGAATCAATGTAAGTCCACAGGATGGACACTCTGCAGGGAGACTACACACTTTGCTATTGCATCGTGAGCAGAGATAGCCGCCCCGCGAGGGTTTTGAATGACACGCGCAGAGAGAAGGGCTGGACTCCACCGTACGAGACGGGAACCCCATCATTAGCAAAGAGCTCGCAGATTCCTTTTGCGAATAAGCAGCCGGTGGTGTTGTTACGTCCATCATCAGCTCCCGAAAGTGTTGTTCGTTCAGTGCCACCCCATACGCTGTCTCGTCCCCGCCATTTGTTTTGGTGCAAAGCTCACGGCAGATTGCAACCTGCGCGGCAAGACCGACGATCCCAACTCGGATCTTGTCGCTGATCAGGTTACTTATTGTCTGGTGGATATCTCCAGGGTCAGAGGAAAGGAGAGACCCGAAGATGATCAACACCTCTCGAGTGCCATGGCTTGGAGTATGGCTACATTCACGGATTAGCGGATTATTTTTCTTCGGGGAGGCTGTTGCCGACACGGGGACATACAAAAGCGCACCACGCGCCATCTCCAATCCGTTTTGAAGGCTGGGAAGACCTTTGGGATCCTGTGTTTTTAGCGCTTGGATAGCCGCGAGATGCTCCGTTGGATTACCGCTCATATCACTGACGCGAAGGGCAAGGCCATCTCTCAGTCCAAGGACGCCGAGCTGGGAAATGGGATTTTGCTCAAAGAATTCTCTCACAAACTCCTGAGCATATCGAAGCGTTAACAGGTACCGTGTCGGTCGCAGATCTTTCTCAGACATGGACTGTGAAAGGTCGATTATGAGGATGAGATGTCGAATGATACCGCGCTGCAATGGTGTCGTATCTTTCAATAGCCTGCGCGATAGGAGCAAGTTAGTAATGAGATGTGAATCGATCAGTGAGGCTCACCTTTTCCTTTTGCCCGCCTCCAGAAGGCCCTCGACGGTGGAATTGATGGTCCCATCCGCACCCTCAACCAGAGTCTCCCAGGTTCTGGATAGCTCCCATTCTGCGCCTCCGCGCTGTTTTCTTTTCCTTGCTCTTGTATCGCCTCGAGTCACCTGGAGATCGTCTTCATCCTCTGTTACCTCGCCCACATATTCTTCGTCGGAGTCGGCCATAGTGGCAAAAGTGTGTGAAGAAGGCGGAATCGTTACCCGTTGAAAATGGGGTCCAAGCTCCGACGGAGCTCCGTTTGAGGAAACACTTTACTTTTTGTTTCCTCCTTCCACCGCTTCTTTTTCTTTCTTTTTGCTTTCCAGTCCGACGATAGCCGTAGACGGTTAAGCTGAACCCGCCGATGTGGGGGAGAAGATCCATTGCGAGACGAGCTGGCGTAGCAGTTGAAGCCGTCCGTCCACTCTCTCTCCGCCCCTCCCCCTCCTCTTCTCTCTTTTCCTCACTTTCCTACTTGCGTTCCCCTCAATTGCGCTCTCGTCTACCTGCACCAGCTGCTAGAATAAATCTAAATTCCACTCTTATTAGACATTGTTCCGCTGAAGCCCGCATGATGGCGTCTCAAGAGAGAGAGACTCTTCCTGACGTGTGAGTGAATACCTACTGGAGTTGTTTGGGCTGTTCAAATTCGCCCACAGCTACAGTTGACCTCGCAGTTCACCTCTGGAATATCCCCGTTGAAAAAGAGCTGACACCGTAATAGAGCCAAGCCCGTCAACTACCATGTCTCACTCTTCGACTTGCAGTTCGGTGGATCGTGGGAATACAAAGGAGCCGTTAAGATTGATCTCAAGTTCACCCGGCCTACCAGCGAGATCGTATTGAACTCGAAGGAGATCGAAGTGCAGAATGCCGAGATTCTGGGAAAAGACGGTATGCATGGCGGAACATTTTCGACATGGGAAGATACTGACACTGGTCTGTCACTTAGGTAGTCAGTTGGCCAAATCGTCCGGCATTACCTATGACAAGAATTCCGAACGAGTCACCTTTGCTTTCTCGCAAGAAATCGCACCGGCAAACGTTGTCTTGTCCATCAATTTCACCGGTACCATGAACAATGCTATGTCCGGTTTCTATCGCTCGAAGTATAAGCCTGTTGGGGAGCCATCTGCCGATACTCCTAAGGAAGATGACTTTTATTACATGTTGAGCACTCAGTTCGAGTCCTGTGATGCACGACGGGCTTTCCCTTGCTTCGACGAACCGAATTTGAAATCTACCTTTGACTTTGAGATTGAAGTCCCCAAGGGCCAGACTGCGCTGAGCAACATGCCTGTTCAGTCGGAAAGAGATGGAAGCAACCCCGGGTTGAAGTTCGTGACCTTCGAGAAGACCCCGGTGATGAGCACCTATGTCAGTACTACCTAGCTTGAGCTGCTGGTATTTTGAATTACTAACGCAAGCTCTCTACGTGCAGCTTTTGGCGTGGGCAGTTGGTGATTTTGAATATGTTGAGGCAATGACCCAGCGCAAGTACCAGGGCAAGAGCATTCCTGTTCGCGTCTATACCACACGGGGTCTCCAGGACCAGGCTCGCTTTGCACTGGAATGTGCTCACCGCACGGTCGACTATTTCTCTGAGGTCTTTGAGATCGAGTACCCGCTTCCCAAGGCTGATCTACTCGCTGTTCACGAATTCGTAAGGGGTTGCTATTCTGCACATTTTCTAAAGCCTCCATATGCTAATTTTCTCATCCCTAGGCTATGGGAGCCATGGAAAACTGGGGCCTAGTGACATACCGAACTACCGCCGTTCTTTTCGACGAAGGAAAGTCTGACAACCGCTACAAGAACCGCATCGCCTATGTTGTAGCTCACGGTTAGTCTCCACAATCCGCTCTCGGGGCTCCAGACATCGATGCATCATTTTCAGCTGACCAATAAATCACAGAGCTGGCTCACCAGTGGTTCGGTAACCTTGTCACTATGGATTGGTGGAATGAATTGTGGCTGAATGAGGGTTTCGCAACCTGGGTTGGTTGGCTTGCCGTTGATCATTTCTACCCAGGTAAGTTCATATTCTACTTGTGGGGCTTATCCTGTATAACTGACAGGCACGCAGAATGGAACGTTTGGTCTCAGTTTGTCGTACGCAATTCCCGAGGTAATCAACACCCCCCAAGACCAATGTTGACGTTATCCTAGGCTGAAGGCGTGCAACAAGCATTTCATCTCGACTCGCTGCGCGCATCCCACCCAATTGAGGTTCCCGTCAAGAATGCACTTGAAGTCGACCAAATCTTCGATCATATCAGTTACTTGAAGGGAAGCTCTGTCATTCGTATGCTGAGTGTTCACCTCGGCAGAGAGACTTTCTTGCGCGGAGTTGCGGACTATCTCAAGTCGCATGCATACGGTAAACATGGAAAAAGAGGCCAACGACAATCATGCGCTAAAATTTCTTACAGGAAATGCCACCACGAATGACCTGTGGTCTGCCTTGAGCAAGGCTTCTGGCCAGGATGTGCATTCTTTCATGGTAAGTGTTGGACCTTTGAAAGAGAAGACCAACATCTAATAACTACCCAAGGATCCCTGGATTCGCAAGATTGGTTTCCCCGTTGTCACGGTGGCAGAGGAACCAGGCCAGATCAGCGTTCGGCAGAACAGATTCCTTTCCACTGGCGACGCGAAGCCCGAAGAAGATGAGACAAAGTGGTGGATTCCTCTTGGCATCAAGTCCGGACCCAAGCTGGCCACTGTTGATACCCGTGCTCTCACCGCAAAGTCTGACACCGTTGGTGGAGTTGGCGAGGACACTTTCTATAAGATCAACAAGGACCTATCTGGATTCTATCGCACCAACTATCCTCCTGCCCATCTGGCCAAGCTCGGTCAGTCACTTGGTCTGCTGAGCACCGAGGATAAGATTGGTCTGCTGGGTGATGCAACTGCTCTTGCAGTCTCTGGAGAAGGCACCACTCCCGCCTTGTTGACTCTTTTGGAAGGGTTCAAGGATGAACAAAACTATCTGTGAGAAGTCAATCCCCTCTAAACATGGTTCATTTTACCTGACATTTCAATCTACAGTGTTTGGTCTCAGGTTTCCTCATCTATGGCGAATCTCCGCTCGGTTTTCTCCCAGAACGAGCAGGTCGCCGAAGGACTGAAGAAGTTCACTCTTCAGCTGGTTTCACCAGTCGCCGAACGGTCTGGTTGGGAGTTCCAGGCAAATGAAGACTACCTCATTGTGCAACTCCGGAAGTTGCTGATTGCAATGGCGAGCAATGCTGGCCACAAAGAGTATGTGCCTCCTGTCATGCTTGAATTTTTCCAAAACTCTATGCTGATCCAGTTTCTACTCTTATAGCTTCGTTTCGGAGGCTAAACGCCGTTTCGATCTCTGGGCCACTGGCAAGGATGTCAATGCCATCCACACCAATTTGCGGTCGACTATTTTCAGCATTAATGTGTCGGAGGGTGGCCGTAAGGAGTTTGATGCCGTCAAGGAGGAATACCTCCGGACCGACTCCGTGGATGGAAAGGAGATCTGTCTGTCTGCTCTTGGTCGCACCAAGGATCACGCTCTGGTGCAGGAGTACTTGGACTTTGTGTTTTCGGATAAGGTGGCTGTCCAGGACATCCACAGCGGCGCTGTGTCTTTGGCCGCCAATTCGAAGGTCCGTCACTTGCTGTGGCAGTACATCAAGGACAACTGGACTGCTGTGTCTACCCGACTGTCATTCAATAACGTTGTCTTTGAGCGCTTTGTTCGCATGGGCCTGTCCAAGTTCGCCGATCATCAGATCAGTGATGACATCACGGCCTTCTTCAAGGACAAGGACACCGGCGCCTATGACCGCGCCCTTGTCATTGTCGCAGATAACATCCGGACTAATGCTTCTTACAAGGAGCGCGATGAGGCGTTGGTTCTCGAGTGGCTGCAGGCTCACGGTTACGCTTAAATGCGTGTTTAAGTCTCTCGTCTAGTAATACTCATTTCGTTTCGAATCCAATGTATCTTTTTTTCTGTCCTGTCACATCTTATATTGCGGGGGCTGTCTGTATACTGTAATATGTAAACATTTAGATCCACCCACGAGGCGGAGTTTTAGCACGGGATAGCGTCAGTTGGAGAAGCAGGTGACATGAGAGATTACCCAACCTGTTTCCAGCAGTTTCTCAGACGATTTTCAAAGTAATTTCATCCTATAGAGAATCCTCTATTTTTTTATAGTATATTCCTGACCCAAAGGAGCGGTGGGTTGTGACGTGAAACAAAGCTGCACATCAGGTGCGTCTGGCCACCTGCACCTCCTATCATTTCAGGCGACTGTTCCATCATTGTCCCCTCCCCCGACTTAGCCCTTCGAACTCTTCCATCACTTGCTTTTCCTGGCTGTATTCCTCTGGACTCGGCCCTCGATTCATTTCTCATTTCCCCTCTTACTGGTTTCCTGTGCCCATCATGAATCCCGAGTGGTAAGCCTTCATGGAGATCCCCCCAAATTCCCCTTGCGCCAAAGGAGTCCGGTTTGGATTCTGATTTTCAGTGCGTGGAATCTGACTGATTGTGGTGTTGATTTTTAGAGTATCGTCACGTCGCTTGAGTTTCCTCCAAGCGAACCCCCAGACTTGCCGATCTGCGTTTCTTGCCTAACCATCGAAATAGATATGACTACCTGTTCAAGCTGCTCCTCATCGGTGACTCCGGTGTTGGAAAGTCTTGCTTGTTGCTCCGGTTTGCCGACGACACCTACACGGAAAGCTACATCTCGACCATTGGTGTCGACTTCGTACGTCTTGGAATCTGCGGGGTATCTGGCCCACAAGAGTGCTGACATCTGGACTGTTGTAGAAAATTCGCACAATCGAACTAGATGGCAAGACTGTGAAGCTTCAGATCGTACGGCTATATTGGATGAAACTCATTTTCGAGGCAAACGCTAACGGTTATGCAGTGGGATACCGCCGGCCAAGAGCGATTCCGCACTATCACATCTTCCTACTACCGGGGCGCTCACGGAATCTGTGTGGTATACGATGTCACCGACATGGACTCTTTCAACAACGTGAAGCAGTGGCTCCAGGAGATTGACCGGTACGCCACCGAGGGCGTCAACAAGCTGCTTGTTGGCAACAAGAGTGATATGGAGGATAAGAAGGTTGTGGAATACACTGTAGCCAAGGTATGCTGCTCTGGTTATATTTGGAGATTGATGCGTACAATCAGAATTGGAATGTTAAATTGTTTGTACCGTTATAGGAGTTTGCCGACAGCCTCGGAATCCCTTTCCTTGAGACCTCCGCCAAGAACGCGTCGAATGTTGAGCAGGCTTTCTTGACAATGGCACGACAGATCAAGGAGCGCATGGGAACGGCCACCGTCAACAACAAGCCAACTGTTCAGGTTGGCCAGGGACAAGGTGTCCAGTCCGGATCGGCAGGTGGCTGCTGCTAGACGACACGATATTCTATGTGGTGCGGTGCTTCCATTTGGCGCAATGTTACATCATGAAATGAGGGTTTCCAAGCGTGGTATCTAATCGGCAGGCTTGTCAAACTTCTTTGATACATGGCATGGTCAAGACGAGCCTGGAGAGAACTCTTGACGGGACTGGCAAACTTGACAGTACTGTTGAGGCTCCTTGCTCGTCTTAACTTTGCTTTAGACGGCCTACGTTTTGTCCTCGTTTCTGCGTTTGCTTATGCGATTATCGCTGGCTTCTGCGTTTTCATGCTTTTCTGACCACGTCTCTGACTTCTTGGCCCATCATTCTCTCCGTGTCTTCTCTTTATTTTCTATTTTCGCTTTCTTATTGTAGGTTGGATTTTTCTTGTGAATGGACTAATGGCGAGAACTTGAGCATTCGGCCCACGGCCTTCGTAAACTGTAAATTGTACATGTAAAATGTAGAGTTGTACGGAGTAGTGCCTAGGCAGCGCTATAATCACATGCGGACCCCGTATTTGGAAAGAACGGAATATAGGATATCGATATGCTCCTTGAAAAGAGACCTGATACCATGTGAAACAGCCAACGAAGACTCTACTTACAGGTGCTTATACTCGTATATAGCCCCGGAAGTGGAGTTGGACGGGAGCCGAGGCACACTTCATTCGGCAAAACGTCATGAACCTCCCCCCAGCCGAATCATTATCGCTCCCTGTGTTAGACTCCTGACTCCTGACTTCTAACCATCTTCCACTCATTCACTCCTACTCCTTTTGATCTTCCATTCTATCGCCTGCCATCTGCCATCTGCCATCTGTCATCCAATCCTCAACCTCCTTCCATTCACCATGTCCCAGCCCGGAGCAGAACAGAGAAAGGCGGCGGCATCCGCTGCTGTCCAGCAGAGTGATAACATTGCGCACGCGTTGTCGGGTGCGGGAGGTGGGATCTTGTCTATGGTCTTGACGTGCGCTTCCCCACCTTTTGACTCCTATGGATACCGCTAACCCCATCTCCACTCTAGATACCCTCTGATCACTTTGTCGACGAGGGCCCAGGTTGAGTCAAAGCGCGCACACTCAACCACCCTTGATGCTGTGCGCCGCATTGTGCAGAGGGAGGGTATTTCTGGGCTTTACTCGGGTTTGGAGTCCGCACTGTTCGGGATCAGCGTGACCAACTTCGTATACTACTACTGGTACGAGTTTACTCGTTCGGCCTTCGAGAAGGCTGCTGTCCAATCCAACAGAGCATCCAAGAAGCTCACGACTGTTGAGTCTATGATTGCTGGTGCTATTGCGGGGAGCGCAACCGTGCTAATCACCAACCCGATCTGGGTTATCAATACTCGCATGACTGCCCGCAAGTCTGAGGCCGATGAGCAAGCTCTTCCTGGTGCCAAGAAGACAAAGGCATCCACCTTGAGCACCCTCATGGATCTTCTTCGGGAGGAGGGCCCCAAGGCCCTGTTCGCCGGTGTCCTCCCGGCATTGATTCTGGTGATCAATCCAATCCTGCAATACACCATTTTCGAGCAATTAAAGAACATCGTAGAGCGCCGGCGGCGGATGACGCCCAAAGATGCGTTCTACTTGGGTGCGCTCGGCAAGATCATGGCCACCAGCATCACCTATCCCTATATCACTATCAAGAGCCGGATGCATGTGGCCAGCAAGGATGGCCCCAAGGAGAGTTTGAATGGAAGCTTGAAGAGGATCATTCAAGATGAAGGATGGAAGGGGCTTTACAAAGGCAAGAATTTCCGCGCAATATGTCTGGTTGCTTTTTGCTAATTTTTTTTCTTTCTTCTTCTGTAGGCATTGGTCCCAAGGTCACGCAAAGTGCTATTACTGCCGCATTCCTATTTGCCTTTAAGGATGTGTTGTATGATATGATGGTCTCTGCCCGCAAGAGAGGCCGCATCGGCAAATAAGCGAGCTATCGCCTTTCCCGGTCTTCTGAGCTGTTACGATGCTTGATGAGACTTCCTATCGACTCCATGATAGGACATCTCTTTTCTCACTATGTATAGTGGCAAGATCCAACATCGGATCACTTCTACTTATCAGACCTAGGGCGTGTCCGGATGTGCGCTCTGCTCGTGCTTTACATTGTAAATATTGTGACTTGGTGTTTCGCTCCATGCATAGGCCTTGTGCCCATGTATATCTCGGGGGTTTCCTTTGAAAGTGATACCCCGCAACCATGTAGTTTAATTTGAAGTCATTTTTATCCTCTCTTAGTCTCAGTATTCGCTGCTTTGATTGCTCCTAATTAACGTGTCGTATAAGAAATTTTCTGATCTGGCCTCTTATTCCCTTCACAGCCATCGCATCCTCAGTAACACTTTTTGAAGTTGGATTGAGGCGAGTTGATGTTATAGCTCCTGACCGCCTCACCTCACCGCCCACGCCATTCTTCCGCGTCGAGACGCGATTCTGCTTAAATTACTCCACAGCTTCTGTACCTTTCTGTCTTCAAGACATCACATATTCACACATTGTCATAGATATTCAGGAACAGATAGTATCGCATTCAGCCTGCATTCATTTCTCGGACTTTTGTCTCTCGAGTACTCCGAGTGGGTAATTTCTGATCCATCAGGAATTCAAGCCAACCGACCTCTCACGATCATTGCATTCTCGATTGACGCTTTTATGACTGGCGTGAGATATTCTCCTTTCATCGGCGTGTTATCTGCTTTGGCTTTTGGATATAGCTGAAGGGGAATCTCGAGTCCGCAAGACGCAGGTCCATTCAACGAGATACATCTAGCTTCTTTCATACCAACTACCGACAGACCTACGCCGGAATAAGAGAATTGACGCCCAGGGACTTGGATGGGGTGAAGAACAAGATTAGCATTTTGTTCCACAAAGTGAAAGGGCCGATGTTATGTCTCTCTCACTCTGGACATGCCCAAAGCCAGACGTGAGTGAGAATCAACGTTGCTCGCAAACTGAAACAGGTATATGACCTTTCTACTTCCCAACCAAGGCATAACTGATTTGTTTTCTTTAGCCTGAGCCCAGTATCTATGATGCCTCATAGTTTCCCTAAAATCAATGGCCAGGCCCCTACATTCCGTGGCCTCACAGCCCGAAGCATCCCGGAAAACCCTGAAGTGCAGCGAGAGACCCTGCGCTTACTGCTGCAATTCTCAGCTGGCTCACAATCTAAAAGTTTCGAACCAAAAACATTCCCCAACCCTAAGGCGGAAGAGGAACAAGGACGTGAAGCTTCACAAAGTGAAGGCCAACAGAGCCCCGAACCTGCGCTTCTCTCATCTAGCTCATCACATAGCACATTTACATCTCAACATAACGTCGCCCCTTCCCAAAATGAGACGCCTCTCACTTCTTCCCGTACGCCGGTCGTTCCTTCCCCAAGTATCTCCCAAGACCGGGACAGCCGCGAGACGCGTTCTAACTTGAGAAAACAAATCGCGCTCACCATTGCAAAGAACGATGTGTTGGAGCTTCCCTCTCAAACCCCGCCTCTCCCCGATACCTTCTCAATAGGGTCGCAAGACTCCAACAAATCTCTATCGAGATCCACATCTCCGATGGATCAGCTCTATGTTCGTCGCTCTAGTCGCGCTAGAGTTCAGCCATCAAACTATTACGCCCGCGTTAGAATTGGCTCTGAAGAGCCCTCTGAGACTAATTGTGACCCACCAAGGCAAATTGACACACTCTCAAACTTGCCTCCTCAACAACCGAGTCGCGCTGTGCCACGTCGCACAAATACTCAAAAGCTTCTTTTTGGCCGTGAACTTGGTAGACAACGCCCTGTTGAAGTTGACATGATATCAGATCTAAAGCCATGGAAGACTTGGAATGGGGCCTCTAAAGATCTTCTTGTTTTGGCATGGTCTCCCGATGGCACTCAGTTTGCGGCAGGGTCTGCTGCTGATGTGGACGAACATAACATGCAGTACAATAAAAGGAACAATCTGGTCCTTGGCAATCTTCAAACCAGCTGTTTGAAGGAACTGCCGGACCACTGTATCCCCCGACCCACATACTCTCCTGTGAATGATCCATACCTATTTATGAGCATCACTTCTATGCAGTGGGTAGGAAACAAGCTGTTTACTGCCAGCTGGGATAAGACTGTCAAGATCTGGGACACTTCGCGGCCAACGACTCCGTGTGTCCAGTCTTTACAGCATGACTCTCGGGTTGAAGTCATGTCTGTCTCAAAAATCCATCCTGGAATTTTAGCAACTGGAACAAATTCTATCCAACTTTGGGATACCAGAGATCCCACAAATGTCACATCAACGGCGCTCCCTTTCGATCGGGATTCTCGATACAAGGCAGATGCTGATTTTACATCAACTGTCCTAGCTTGGGGACAAACTCCGTCCACCAAAAATTTTTTAGCCGGAGGTATGGCTGATCTTAGTGAGGAAGTGAGCTACAAGGGACACTTGGGCTTATGGCAAGCTCGTGAATCAGGTTTCGAGTCCCTCCGAACCTCATCCTCACAAAATGTCTTTGATATCAAGTGGCATTCATCATTGCCACAATTTGCGACAGCTAGCCCTGAAAGTGCACACAATGCACGAATGAAAGGGATTGGAACTAACATTAAATCTATTGTGCGCGTATTCAGTCTGAATTGTGATTTTTCAAAGCGTGTGTCAGCTATTATGGAATTTTCCTGTCCGGCGCTCGATGTTAACGAGGTGACCTTTTGTCCGACAGATGCGACTAGCACCTACGTCACAGCTAGCTGCACAAATGGTGTGACCTATGTTTGGGACAGTCGCAAGGGTGATCAAATCCTTCATCAGCTCCGTCATGGAGAACCCGCTGTTCCCATTGATCATGAAAGAAGTCGAGATCTAGCGGATGTCGGCGTGAGAGCCGCGTTATGGGGTGCGTCGGTTGACCAGTTTTACACTGGTGCCTCAGATGGTGTGCTCAAACGATGGGATATCCGACGCTCACCTGAGGATGTTCTTCTTGAGAATACTGCCTCTTTCGACACGGGGATTATGTGTGCTGAATTCTCCCACGACAAATCTCATCTTCTTGTTGGGGATTCGGGAACGGGGGTTCATGTATTGTCCTCAGGGCCTTGCGGAGACCCTGAAATCACAAACTTCAGATTCGAGGCTGCTCCAGAACCCCCAGAGGAACAGGTAGATGGTATCGAAGTTGCCAATGATCTCATATCATCTGGTCAACTTGTACGACATGAACTATTTGGTGTAGGCCAAGGTCCCGCATACGTTGGACCTTTTGCTTCATGGGCCCGCGAGACTGATGGTAACACCTCCCATACTCAGCTGGGGGACATCCCACTACTTCAGCACTACCAAGACCAACAGCTCGATGGTCCGCCTGTTCAAGACCGTCCTACCCTTGATGTGAATCAACGCCGCGAGGTTCTAAATCAAATTAAGAATGCTCAGGTGCGAAATGTTAGATTTCCTTCTACGCCACTCCACAGCCGCACCGAAAGCTCTGCCGGTCGTCGATATCAGACAAGTTCCTCGCCTGTACCTTCTCCGAATCTTTCTCTTCCGAGTAAGAGAAAGAGAAGCCAGCACAGAGATGGTGGGCCTCGCAGAAAGAAAAGGAGATCTATTCTAGAATTATTGATCACGAACATCGAAAGCGTTGATTTGACTCTCGACTCGGATGATGAAATACCTAGTGAGGCCTCGGGTTTGAGTCTCACGGGGTCACCTTCTAGGTTCAACCTTGCCGAACTCCAGGAGGCCCTAGAAGAGGATCATTGGTGGCCGAGCAGTGGGACTTATGATCCTAATATCCAACAGGAGACAGTCTAAGATCTAGATGTTTCAACTTATGTTCTTTCTCGCATTAGCAAGGGGTTCAACGGTCATTTTTTGTCATGTCAGTGTGTTATGTTGCTAGGTGTTTATGTATGATACTTGTGTGGGCTAAGCGATAATATACCCGTATTGAATTCGGACTTCTTTTACCCATTCCTCCTTTTTGAGTCGAAAGAATATATACCCCTAGCGCCACTCAAAGCAATTTAAAGGGACATTACCGTTCTCACACGAAAGTGAAAACATACAAGCCAATTAAAGTAGATATGTGACAGAACGCCTTGGATGAACTGACTTGCCTACCGCGCATCTGCGGAGCGGAGGGTATGGATGCCAAGAATGACATCATCACACAGCCACCGAGGCGCAGTTGAGTTGCGTTGCTTCTAGTGCCTGAGGTTGCCACTCGTTGCTTACCCTCAATCATATATCCATGAACAAACAAGGACCCTCCTGTCCTTTCCGTTCATCTTCATCTCTCTATCTCTGACCTCATCTTCATCTCTTGAATCCCTGCACATTTGATCCCCTATCTACCCCATTTTTGTCGCAAATAAGTCGATGTCGTTCGCCCCGCCTTCCGGGCCTCCCCCGCCCTCAGTACCCGAGGGATGGAAACCACAGTACGATGAGAGATATCATGCATGGTATGGATCTGGTTCACAATCTGGTTCACAATAAACAGCAAATGCCTATACTGACAATTGACTAGGTTCTACGTGAACCTCGCCACCGGCAAATCGCAATGGGATAAACCCGAGGCTGCCGCCCAGCGCGATGATGACAACCTCCCACCTAACTCTCCCCCGCCATCGTACAGTAACGGCGGACCCGGTGACCCAGCTGCCATCGCCAGTGCCGGCGACAAGAAGCAAAACATGGGCTCAAACAACCCATACAACCCAGTGAACACCGGACCAGGCAGCAACAGCCCCAGCATAGACGAAGACGCCCGACTTGCCGCCAAGCTTCAGGCCGAGGAAGATGCCCGGGGCGGCACACGAGGCGCTGGAGCCCCCGGCGCATCGTCAGACTATTACAATGACCCATCACGGCCGCAATCAACCGGCCCGAGCGGGTACGCGCCTGGACCATCCTCGCAAAGTCCCCTGCCAGAACGGGAACAGAAACGGAGCAAGGGTGGCTTCTTGAGCAAGCTGATGGGCAAGAGCAGCTCGAGCAGTCGGCCGCATCGACCTCAACAGCAGTACGCCTCGTATTCTCAACAGCCTCCTCCGCAGGCTGGATACTACGGTGGCTATCCCCAACAGCAGCCTGGGTACGGCGGCTACCCGCAGCACGGTTATGGAGGGTATGGAGGGTACCCGCCGCAGGGTGGTGGTTACTACCAGCAGCAACCGCCTCGCAAGTCAGGAGGGGGCATGGGAACCGCCGGTGCGGCGGCTCTTGGTGTTGGTGGTGGTTTGCTCGGTGGGATGTTGATTGCTGATGCCATCGATGATCACCACGATTATGACAATGATTATGGCAACAATGACTATGGCGGAGGTGGTGATGATTTCGGAGGCGGTGATGACTTCGGAGGTGGTGACTTCTAAGCTTGTTTTGCTTTTTGCTTTTTGTCTTTGATTTTCTCGATGATTTTCTCGATGATTTTTTGGTTTTTGTTTTTTTCCAACTGAGATTCGGCTCCATGCAGCCTGGGAGGATTCTAGGCGCTTGTGGACATATGGATTGGGGAGGATTGCTTTCGTTTCTTTCAAACTGCTCTAGCCATTCAACGGCATTCGATTCCAACTGAGTTCCTTGGGCGATGAGCAGTTTTAGATAATAATGTATCATACAACCGATCATGAGACAAGGACATCATCCCGTTGCACACGGTAAATAAAATTAAAGATGATAGGCATCTATCCGCGTTTGCGGGCAGGGCCACTGGTATCCCTACCAGTTGCACCACCCTGAGCTGCATCTGTGTTGGTCGTGGGGTGAGCAGAGGTGCCTGCCATCCACCCGGCCAGGTCGAAGCCACCACCGGTCATGGCATTATTTGTGGCACCACTGATGGGCGAGGCGCGAGAGTGCTGTTCAAACTCAGCGCGCAGTTCAGGGTCCACTAGGCATTAAAGTTAGCCACGGAGCATCATTGAGCCAAGAAAGAGTTGGTGGACATACTGTTTTCCATGAGTTTGGGCATTCCAAACATAAGACCCATTGCAACAATTGCAAGCAAGATCATAGGGTTCTTGACAAGACTCATTGGCGAGACTATGAGAGTTAGATTAGCATGAATCAAGAGTTTACCGCAGGCTAGATATGAGCAGGAAATGTCGATCTCACATTTAGCACGCTCCTCGTAAAAGGCCTTGCGGGCAACGACTTTGGCCTCAACTACCACATCGTCCTGCTTTGTCGCAGCAACATCCACGATATACTTCACGGCACCAAGGTTGTCCCACGGATTCCCACGGAAGGTCTCCCAGACACCGAGGATAGTTCCATCAGCCGCAACATCGACACGGTAGGGGGCGAAGACATATTCGCCAGCGGAGCGAATGTCGAGCAAGTAAGACTCGGGTTGAGAATCTGGACCAGATGATGGGAGATCACGGAACACAAATGAAGCCGAGCGGGTCAGTGAGGCGGAGAGGATGTGGTCTTTGCCGCCGGAGGGAAGCGTAGTGAGAGTGGCATGGGTGGTTGCGGGGAGGACGTGCGGGTTGGGAAGGGGACTGGAGACCGGGATGTTAATTGTTAGGGAGCGGGCCGAAACCAGACAGCTAATCCCCAGCAGGAGCAAGGAAGTGAGAGAGAACTGCATGGCGGATATGCGTGGTACTGGATGATGGAGGGTCGTCGATTACCACAGCTAGTAATGACCACATCACGTGATATACATATCTTGGCTCTTCCATGCACGACTCGCGGACGGCATACACCATCAGCTCTAGAGACCAGCGTATCATGCCTGTCTACCTTATTTCCAGGTATGGGAATTCTCCCCATATTTACATTTCCAATCCCACATGTCCCGAATGAGACTGGGGTTTCTAATGCTTTGTACCATCAGGATCGCGGATCCCCTCTTCGCCCTGACCATGGGTGTCACAGCTGCTCTCACTCGTATACGCCGTGACCAGCGTGAGAAGAACCCCGAGCGAGCATCAGAAATCAGCTATGGAACTGTCGTGCAGACGGGCGGACAGCGGTTACAACGGTGGTGGAACGGAGATTTCCAGGATGTTTGATCCGGACTTGCTGATTGATCTGGGATATGGAGTTCTGCTTGGGTTTGGGGAGTCTCTCGAAGAGAATCCATGTTAACTTTGTACATTATACTTCTACAGGGTCTGATCAATTTGGAGATTACGATCTACGAAAGTCTCAACTCCGTGCAATGTGCAGAAGATTGACAGACAGGCAAGGTGTAACAGAAATACTCCATGCTGTGGAGTTACTCAAGGTCGAGTCACTCACGGCCGAGTCCGATTCAGCAGTGTAACTGCAAGCCATTTGCAGAGACCTTCAGAGATGACCAAATCTACAATTGTTACTAGAAAAGATTATTTGAATTAAATGAAATTTTGATTCAAATGGGAGTTTTTATCCCAAAAGATAGCCTTGTATCTATGCAATCATGCGCGAAAAAGAAACCGAATCCCATAAGTTCGTAAAACAAGACGTGAAAGGAAACGTCAGCCAAACAGCAAACGAAGAAAGAAAATCACTCAGAGCGAGATATTTAGTCAAGCTCCTCGGGCTTCTCCTCAACCTCGTCGGCGGAGCGGGCACCACCGGCACCAGCGTCAGCACCGGGGGGAGCGGCGCCACCGTAGGCAGCGGAGATGATGGGGTTGGCAATAGCCTCGAGCTCCTTCTGCTGGGACTCGTACTCATCCTTCTCAGCAGTCTGGTTGTTGTCGAGCCAAGAGATGACCTCGGTGATCTTGTCCTCGACCTTCTTCTTGTCATCCTCGCTGATCTGGAGCTTGCCCTCACCAAGGGTATTCTTGAGAGAGTAGGCGTAAGACTCGAGACCGTTCTTGGCCTGAATACGGGTGGCCTCAGCCTCATCCTCCTCCTTGTACTTCTCAGCCTCGGCAAGCATGCGCTCGATCTCCTCCTTGGAGAGACGGCCCTTGTCGTTGGTGATGGTGATCTTGTGGGACTTGCCGGTGCCCTTCTCGACGGCAGAAACGTTCATGATTCCGTTGGCGTCGAGGTCGAAGGTGACCTCAATCTGGGGAACACCACGGGGGGCGGGGGGAATGCCAGTAAGCTCGAACTTTCCGAGCAAGTTGTTGTCCTTGGTGCGAGCACGCTCACCCTCGAAGACCTGGATCAGGACACCGGGCTGGTTGTCAGAGTATGTGGAGAAGGTCTCGGACTTCTTGGTGGGGATAGTGGTGTTACGCTTGATCAGAGCAGTCATGACACCACCGGCAGTCTCGATACCGAGAGACAGAGGAGCAACATCGAGCAGGAGGATCTCGTTGGTGGACTTGGAAGACTGGTCACCAGACAGGATAGCGGCCTGGACGGCAGCACCGTAGGCAACGGCCTCATCGGGGTTGATGGACTTGTTGGGGTCCTTGTTGAAGAAGTCGGAGACGAGCTTCTGGATCTTGGGAATACGGGTAGAACCACCGACGAGGACGATCTCGTGGACGGAAGACTTGTCAATCTTAGCGTCGCGGAGGACACGCTCGACGGGCTCCATGGTGCCGCGGAAGAGATCCTGGCAGAGCTCCTCGAAACGGGCACGGGTGATGGAGGTGTAGAAGTCGATACCCTCGAAGAGAGAGTCGATCTCAATGGAGGTCTGAGCAGCGGAAGAGAGGGTACGCTTAGCACGCTCGCAAGCAGTACGGAGACGACGGAGGGCACGAGCGTTGGTGGTCAGGTCCTTCTTGTGCTTGCGCTTGAACTCGTTGACAAAGTGGTTGACAAGACGGTTATCGAAGTCCTCACCACCAAGGTGGGTGTCACCAGCAGTAGACTTGACCTCGAAGATACCCTCCTCAATGGTGAGGAGAGACACATCGAAGGTACCACCGCCAAGATCGAAGATCAGGACGTTGCGCTCACCCTCGACCTTCTTATCAAGACCGTAAGCAATGGCAGCAGCAGTGGGCTCGTTAATGATACGGAGGACGTTGAGACCGGCAATGAGACCGGCGTCCTTGGTGGCCTGACGCTGAGAGTCGTTGAAGTAGGCGGGGACAGTGATGACAGCGTTGTTGACGGTGCCACCGAGGTAAGCCTCGGCGGTCTCACGCATCTTGGTGAGAATCATGGCGGAGATTTCCTCGGGGGTGAACTGCTTGGCCTCACCCTTGAACTCGACCTCGACAACAGGCTTGGTGGCCTTCTCGATGACCTTGAAGGGCCAGTGCTTCATATCGGCCTGGACCTCAGCGTCCTGGAACTTGCGGCCAATGAGACGCTTGGCATCGAAGACAGTGTGGTGGGGGTTCATGGCGACTTGGTTCTTGGCGGCATCACCAATCAGACGCTCGGTGTCGGTGAAACCGACAAAGGAGGGGGTGGTGCGGTTACCCTGGTCGTTGGCGATGATTTCAATGCGGTCATCACGGAAGACACCCACACAGGAGTAGGTGGTTCCCAGATCAATACCGACGGCGGGAGCCATTATGAATGTGTATCGTTAACAAAGAAAGGTGGAAAGGAAATTCGTGAGGCAAGGTAGAGAGGTAGTGTACAGGGTAAAGGGTATTTGAAAAGTGAAAGAGAAAAGAAGAAGAGTCAGAGGGAGGGCAGCGAAAACCTGCTATATAGTGAGCGGTGTATTGTTCAGAAGCTTCTAGTAGGGGACAGCTTCCATGGGGGTCCATGGGATTCCACGGGCTTCGATGCCCCAGCAACACCTCCCTAAGACCTTCACCTATCATCTAGTGGGTTCTTGAGGCGCCCAAAGGAATCTAGAATGGACTCATGACTTCATTCTGCCTGATTCTTGGACTCACGGGCCACAATGCTCGACAATGGAGTTCTTTGACTCACTGACGGTTTTTTTTGGCGGGGCGCAGATGATGTAATTAGTGGGATGATTCGATGGTATGGCTAATGTATTGGATTGCAAATTTACCAATAATACATGGTTTACTATTGGGTCGGGGCCAGTGTTGAGTGTATGGTATGGTCATTATTGGGCGTCATGATGAATTCATAGCCTATGATGTAGTGAATCCGAAAATTCAATATGGTATTAGACATTGACATCTACAACATACGTATAGATTCTGTCACTTTCAACCTTATCAAATCCAATCTCTTTTTTTTTTTTTTTTTTTTTTTTTGATTCGAGGTTGATTCGAGGTTTCCCTGGAGACCGGCAGATATCAAAGCGTCATGAGCTCGCTATTCCTGCCTGAGGTGTCAATGGCACTACTTCCAGATTATCCGGTTTGTCTAATTTGTCCAGTTTATCCGAGACAGCTAAGCCTTGCCAAGAACTTGACTTCGTATGCTTCATCTCTGTACGTTTAGATCAGCTTGATCCAGCTTAGGCTGCCCGGTATATGACGAGGTCCCATCTTCATATCTGTACCGAGGATAACTCCGGGTTATCCTCTCTCTTCTTTCTCACCATTGTATTGTTCACCTTATTTACCTCGAACCCTCGGAGAAAGCCCGGAGGAATGTCTCGAATCATCTCACCCAAGTATGATAACGCCATCCGCGCTAAGCTTTAGGTTAGAATTCTATCCCATCTAAGCTCGTCGGTCCGCCGTCAATGTAACGCTCCATTAGTTGCATATTCCCGGGTCGCATATCGCAGTCCAATAAGAGTTCAGAACAAGGAACAAAGGTGGTCTGTACTTCGGACAATTCACAATCTAGAGGTATCCATTATGTAGTAACAATTGCGATTGTCTACTCCGATCGCACACCATAAACGATAATTAATAAATACTCGAGCTGGCCCTGTAGGGCAAAAATAAAACATTCTGCCCCTTGTTGATTCCTGGATTCCTCCAGCTCTCCAGTCATGGCTGTGTTTTCATTGAAGCGACATAAGGATGAAATCGTCGAGGCTGAATCTGAGGCAGATACTTCGTGTCCAAAAAAGCCAGATGTGACAGAAATCGCCGTGGATGAGGAGAACTCCAAGTTGCAAGGGGAAACTGCTGCTATCGAACAAGAGACCGAGGAAAACCCTGAACTCGCCGCATTGCCTTTGTCAGTTCGCCAGCTGATCAACCTGGAAGATGATCCCACTCTACCTACCATTACCTTCCGGTACTTTATACTTTCTGCCGTCTTCGTGATCCCAGGAGCGTTCTTGTCCCAAATGAGTTATTTCCGTACGACCAAAGCCCCATACTCTGTCTTCTTCGTCCAGATTGCTTGTCATTATGCCGGTCACTTTCTCGCTAGAGTCCTCCCGGCTTGGAATATTGGCATTCCTGGCACTCGCTTCTCTTTCAACCTGAACCCGGCTCCGTGGAGTATCAAAGAGCACGTGTTAGTCACATTAACAGCCGCATCAGGTGCGACGTATAATCTCGGATATGTTCCAATAGTGCTCGCAGAGCTGTGGTACGGAGAACGAATCAATCCTGCCGTTGCAATTTTCTTCATGCTTGCTATCATCTGGATCGGGTACTCGTTTGCTGCCCTGGCACGCCAAATTCTCCTTCCCGATCCCGAATACATTTGGCCCACGGCCCTGATGCAGACGACCTTGTTTGAAACATTCCGGAAGCAAGACAACTCGTCGGCTCTTGCTCGCCGACAGATGAAGGTGTTCTTCTTTGCGCTTCTTGGCATGACCCTATGGCAATTTCTCCCTGAATATGTCTTCCCATTCACTTCCTCCCTCGCTTTCCTCTGTTGGGTAGCACCTCATAACCCAGTGGCCAACTTTATCGGCTCGGGGATTGGTGGCATGGGCTTCCTCAATCTCTCCTTGGACTGGTCTAATGTCAACTGGAACGGATCCTCCATCATGCTCACTCCTTTCTGGACGCAGGTCATTCTGTTTTTGGCCTTTGCTTTCAACTGTTGGGTACTGCTTCCTGCTGCGAAGTGGGGCAACCTGGGTTCCTATAAACACGGCCTCATGTCGAACAGCCTCATGCAGGCCAATGGTACCAGTTATCCAACACTTGAAGTGCTCACCTCTGATTATCATCTCAACGAGACTGTATACCAAGAGTTTGGGCCGATGTACATGGGTTTGCAGAATGTGTGGGCGACTTTCTTTGACTATGCCAAACTCCCAGCAGCGGTCACCTGGATTTTGACATTTGGGTTCGTCCAAGTTTCTGGTAATCTCCGCAAGATTTTTCGAAACAAGTCAGGGAGTCCTGAAAAATCGACGGAGAATAGAGGCATCCACTATCAGTACCATGATCGCCTGAACGTTATCCAGAGGAAGTACAAGGAGATTCCGTGGTGGTGGTATGGTGCCTTGTTCTTGGTGTCCTTTGTCAGTCTGATTACCAGCATTGCGTGTGGGTATCTCTTCATTCCTATCTGGACTCTGTTTGTGGCACTTTCAAGTGCCGCCATCCTAGTGGTTCCATTTGCCTGGCTGTACGCCATTTCCAACTACCAGCTTGAGACCGGTTCCTTCAACGAACTGATGTACGGATACATGGTTCACACAAAGGCTGGCGATGCCCATCATCATCCATGTGGCCCTTCTGTCTATGGATCAATTGCGGGTGATGCCTGGTACCGAGCACAATACATGCTTCAGGACCAAAAGATCGGTCACTATATGCATATCCCACCCCGCGCAGTGTTCTTCTCTCAGGTATTTGGAACCTGCATGGGGGTTCCAATTAATTACCTTGTCATCCGCTGGATTATGGATACCAAGGCCGATTATCTGACTGGTAAGAAAGCCGACCCGCTGAACCAGTGGACAGGTCAGTCTCTCCGAAGCTCAAACACAATGGGAGTTCAATATGCTGTGCTTGGCCCGAAGAGGCTATTTGGCGAGGCAGAAATGGTAGCACTTCCTTGGTCATTCCTCGTTGGAGCTGTGATCCCTCCTATTCTGTACTGTTTCCATCGATTTTTCCCACGTTTGCGCATTGACTTGTGGAACGTGAGCATTTTCTTCGGAGGCCTGGCTATGTTCTACGGAAATATCAGTACCGGGTATATATCTGCTATCATCGGGGGCTATATTGTGATGTACCGTGCCTACCGTCATCACTTTGAGGTCTGGAAGCGCTATAATTACTTGATTGCTGCTGCCTTTGATGCTGGATTCAACCTCAACATGTTGCTTATTTTCTTCTTCTTCGGAGCGAGCAAGCAGATTTCAATGCCAGAGTGGTGGGGGAACAATAGCAACTCGGTGGAGCGCTGCTTTGCTCTAGATGGCTGATAGAACCAGTCATTACAATATTGCTTGTTCAGATGATAGCTCTCGATCAAATAAATGATCCTTGGCAAAGAAAGAGAATACAAATACAACATATTGTGGCCCTCCTGTGTGCATGAGTGCAAGTGCTCTTCAGTGGCTCTATTTGTTCAGATGCATATACCTGAAGACATACAAAAGTAGAACTTCAAGAATTAAAGTAGAGTCAGGGCACGATTTGTCATGGGGCAATTGGCCGTGCGCTTGGCCAATCAGGCGAGGCAATCGCGCCCTTACTCCCTTGTTTTGGTTCGAGGGGAACACCTTACTTGCAGACAGTCTTTTAATTCCCCTTACCCCCTCTCTTCCCCCATCCATTTCCACCATCTTCAATAACCTCACATTTCACAATCATCATGGGTGACCACGCAACTTTCTCTAACCCCTCCGATGCCACCTTCGAGAAGGGCAAGTCCAAGGAAGTCCCCCAGGACATGAGCATGGACGAGGAGAGCTCTTCGGAGAGCGAGAACGAAATGGTATGCTTGCAACACCTGCAGCCACTGATGATACATGCTGACTCTATGCGCGCTTCTAGGCCGACAACGGTACGCATCCCCACTATTTACATGGCAACCTGTGTTTCGATGCCACTTGCGCCCTGCTACCAATTACTCTTTCTGATACTAAATTTCTATCTTTCCAGATGAGGAGGACGATGGACAGGATAACCTCGAGCCCATCGACGCCAGCAACATCATCCAGGGTGGCCGTCGCACCCGCGGCAAGACCGTCGACTACGCCGAGGCTGCCAAGGGCCTCGATGACATGGAGGATGAAGACGACGATGAGGAATACGAGTCTCGTGAGGACAACAACAATGATGACGACCAGATGCGCGACTAAGCAACCTGCATATAAAACTTCCGGGCGGCATGGGACTTGTTTTGAATCATAGGCGCCACGGATCGGTCGAGAAAATCCCCACGGTGTATCTTTTCCTATCACGCGACTTGTGACGACAATGAATCAATGAATCTTTTTCAGGGTGTTCTTCATCCATATTTATCCACATCTCAATGCAATCCATTGATGAAGACTATTTGTGCCGAAAATGATGTAATTTGTAGCGCAATGTCGGTCTCGATTCCTTACAGCCAAGAGTATCAGTACATATCAAAATCAAGTAACCAATACATAGATATCGAATCAACTGGCTTCCTTGCGATTCGCCGTTCGCTCAATTTCCATGCCCAACACTATAGCTATCACGTGCCGCGGCGAAACACAACGCTATGGCCACCTTGATGTTTTTATCTCCGCAAGCATCGAGAACCCGAGCGGTGGTGGTTATCTTGGATCTTGACCCTTGCGCAATGCTCCTTGACTGTCAGTAACGAATTATCGACTTAATTTATTGCCCACTTCTCTGCTTGAAAGCTACATTCTAAGCGGCGTCATGGCTTCACGGTATAGTTCCAACCCTATACCCTTTCCTGGGCACAACCATTCAGTGCACACTTGACTAATACCAACTGATGCTGACAGATTTCCGCGACAACGTGATCCCCGCGCCTCTCTCTTCGATCAATACGGTGGCGACTCCCGCCAGCCCAGCAGATCCCCAGCTCCAACAGGCGGGTATGGATATGGAGGCTATTCCAGTCCAGCGCCTAATGGCTTTTCAAACAACGGTGCAGCTGGGAGAGGATACCAGAATGCATCGCCCAATAAGAAGTATGTCAAGAGCTCGCTTCTCCGAGTCCCTTGTTCTCGACAGTTCAGTGACTGACTCGGACTTGCTACAGAGGACATTACTCTGACGCAGTACTCTCATCACTCGAATCACAAAACGATACCGAAGTCGAAGGCATCAGCGCCAAGGTCAAGATGCTGAAGGATGTAAGATCTCCTCTCGCCTTCACAGGCAATAGCAACTGTTGTATGAAACGCCCAGTCTAACCCGATGGTTCAGATCACACTTGCAATTGGCGATGAAATCCGCGACACCACACATATGGACGACCTGAACAGCTCATTTGAAAACACCCGAGTCCGTATCCGAGGAAACATGAACCGCATGCTTCGCATGGCCGAGAGCACCGGCGTCGGCTGGCGAGTATGGCTCGGATTCTTCTGCGCCGTCTTCCTCATCTTCTTCTATGTGTGGATCTTCTGAGCGCAACGATCTGCTGTCCCCATTGCTGGCAGCGTTGTGTTTCACTCCACGACTACGCCCATTTCACCTATATTCCATTTAATATCTTGACTTCTTACGCAGAACTGTCTATGCTCCTTCACTCGGCCTCATATGGATCACTAAGTATGGACAACTTATCAATACTTTCAGCATGAGAATCTTGGCTTTGGCGCTTCTGGTGTTCTGGGAATATGGATTCTTTGAGCTGTTTGTCCAAGATCTTACCAGTGTCTCGGATGTTGGTTATGCACCAGTGCTCTGTGAGCATCAATATGGTGGTCAGCGTTCACATTGGTCATTTCTCTGGTATCCCCAAAGGAATCGAGGAATTATCTAATGTAGTCCGGGACTGGTTAGGTTTCTTTGGCTGTACATACTGCATATAACATCAAACACGCAGGGGGTCTTTCTGGTTAGAGAACTCAATGTCTTAACGTTACTAATTTAGGCTTAAGATGAGTAAAGCTCAAGTCATATTGAATGCATCTGCTCATAGAGCGTGTTGAGTATCATAAATCACCACAAAACTCCCAAGGCCTTCAACCCAATAAGTACAAACACCGTTGATGCAATGGAACGTCATGCAACCACAAAGCCTAACCTCCATAGCGACACTGTTTAGCAACTTCGCCTATTCCAGGCTATCCCTAGGACGGCCAATGTGCCGAGGGAAGCGTCTCGCAAACCCGCTGCGTCGACTGGCCTGGCTCGTGATAGAGGCGCCCAGATCCTCGTCGTCATAAAGCATACTGCTCGAATCAAGGGCGTCGCCTCCGCCACTCCATCGCTGCAGAAACCGGCGCTGGGCTTCAGTTTCAGGCTGACGACGAATAGACGGTGGGGGCGGCAAGCCACCACGACTGTTCGGTGTGCTAGTGCGGAAGTTCTCCAATCGAGACTGAATGATGCTGGGCTCGTCATCATCCTCGTCACTCAGATCCTCCTCACTATCCGTATGCTGCCATTCACCTTCCTGCTCCGACCCCTCCGCCGCATCAGGGATATCATCATCCAAGTCACGCGTCATGCCCTCACTCATATCACCATCAGCAGCAGGAACCTCCGCATCAAGATCAGGTTGATTATCGAAGTCCTCATTCTCATCATCGTCATCATAAAACCCAGAACCCTCGTAGTCATCGTCAGGAAACCCTTCAGGAATATCATCATCCAAGTCCCTTTCCATATACCCCTCATTATCACCAGTATCATCCTCCTCGAGCCCTTCCTCCCCTTCCTCGATGAGTCGGGACTCCTCGGCATCCACATCTGCATCGGGGATATCATCATCCAAATCACGCTCCATCCCCTCATCCTCCTCCCCCCCATCCGCCCTCTGCATCCCCGTATCATCATCCATAATACCCTCCCCCTCAACAGCATCCATTTCCGCCGCCGCAGCCTGAAGTGCCTCTTCACGCTCCGCCTCCTCCTCTTTCATGCCGAGCATTGTCTTCGCACATCCCGCCGGCCGGATCCACGAGTATCCAAAGGAAGCGATATTCTGTTTCCGGGCTCGTAGTGACCGTTCCTCTGCGACTAGTGCGGCGAGTGTATTCCCCGGTGAGCGGGATGGCATGAATGTGCGATGGTTGCTGGATGTGCCATTGTTACGGCGGGAGGAGTGGCTGGTGGCATTGTCGGGGCCTGATTCGGTCGATGCGCGGTATGGCTGGGGAAATCCAAACCATAGTTCATGGGACTGTTGAGTTGTTAGTGTCTGAGTTGGAGTCTTGGGGTAATAAAGCTAGGTTGGGCTCACATCGCGCGGGGTGATGAATGGAAGGGACAGCATGGTTGCGGTGTCTGGTTTGGTTTCAGTCTAGCAGATAGATGGTATGGTTGGTGTAGGCTTCGTCGGACTGCCAGGAGCTTTTAATGTCGGTGGAGTTGCTTTGTATTGTTGAGGTGGTGTGTTTTATGGCAATTGCGCAGTGCGGTGAGGTTTTTATTAGGGGTTTGCGACACACATAGAGGTTGACTGTGCAATCTAGTTTCAATAATGAGCAGAGACAAATTAACGTGAAAGCGTAGGGATCTCGGCGTTGATTCAAGAGAATGGAAGGGAGCTTGCAAAAAAAAGCCGCAGCTCCACTGCCAATCATAACAAAGTCTATGCGGGGAACGACTAACTCTATCTGTACTCTATGCTGTAGATTGTTTAGGCTATAAAGCTCGACTTTCGAATGTAAATTTTTTTAACAGGATATAATAGTTGTTGGAGTTTACTCATCTTGACTCTGTATACGTCCATTTTTCATTCTACTACCTGAAGGTTGTATATCTATGCTGGTTATTAGCATATATAGAAGCAACCCTGTACGTAGGATACGCACTGAACAATAAAAGCAAGAATACCCCCAAAGCCTGATCGATTACCATACAAACCTGTAAACGTAAGTATGGTAAAGATTGAACAGTGAAAAGGAATTAGCCCACAGCTCTTCAGAAGCATGAAGAAAGGACATGGCATTGAGCCACAGGGACAATGCCTTTGTCGAGCCACTTGAATGATTGGATAAACAATACTCTGTAAGGCTAGAACTGCTAAATCCCCTTGCACAAGAGTAAGTAAAAAATATATGAGAAAAGAGATGGCCTTCTTGACCGTCTGCTATAGAGCTAGAGTGTGACTGTTACACACCCCCACCAATGAACAGTGGCAAAATCAAATAATACAAGTACAGTCCAGGCAACTGGAGTGCATGCCTGCAAAGGTATGCACAGTAGCAGACATCAGCGGGTCTCTTCGCCTCCAGACCGTGAACTACAGGAGATGTACACCAAGACACTTGGCCGGAGTCCCCCGAAGCTGGCGGTGAGCCCAAAGCGGATGGGTCGGGAGAAGTCGGGGGTCCCATCGTGACGTCTGACTTTCAAGTGGGAGACCATTGGCGCGCAGGAACAGGGATCATGTGATACCCACTGCTATACATGTTAAGATGATAGATCGAAAACAATTAGCATGGAAATACTGTATGATACGAGGCACTGTAAGACTAGGCGGAAAATGGAGAAGAGATCCAGGTGAGAGTTAGGTAATGCTATTTTCACATATCGCCTTATCTCACACGTGTTGAGCCGGATCGCTTTCGTCCGACTCATTTTTGCGTTAACTCCGAACCTCATAAATGTCGACGACCCAAATGGAGGAAAGAAAGGCTATTCAATTGACATATGGGAGCGGAGTTCAGTCCCCGGAGTCTGGGGATTCTGGGGATGCAAGGCCTCCAGTGAGCGAACAGGGAATTCGATAAGCAGTTTACATGACCTCAAAGAATGAGCTGGGGAAATAGCATGGACCAATCCGCATGCAGATTAGACATGCCGGGGAGTGACTGGACGGCCCCGAAATCGGGGGGTGGTATGTTGGCCATTGAAGGGAGAGGACTATCCCGGGATGTCTTGGCTGTCGGGATTGAGAACCGTACTATCATTACCAGAGGCAAATACTGTGTCTGGGACTTTTGAAATTTACCGTCTGTAATATGCCGATGCCTACTGTATAGTCTACTGTATAGTACTTTCACCCCGTGCATACACAAATCAGGTCGGAACACTCTGGATTAAGCACTGCATGCCCCACCGGGGATGCGCCCATCCACCCGGGTCTCCATGTGATGCGGTTTAGTGACTGAATCTCCTCCATTCGGGGCTCCGATGTTGGTAATCGTGTCAGTATATCCTGTCCAATAGGCAGCTCGGATCGTTATGGGGTCGGCCCACCTCCCGACCTTGATTTCTCGTGGATCCTGAGAGTCAATGGAAGGGAGAGAGAGAGAGAGAAAGGAATGAAAATGTTCATCTTGGAGAAAGTGAACATAAACACAAATGACAATACCGAGAATCTTGACGTAGCAAAAAGCTAATCTTGGATTGTAACATGTGCAACTTGATTGGTTCAATGCTTATCTCGATGATTTACCGTAATGATTATCATTTGCCTCTAACGTTCTCTAATGGAATGCCCTGTTTCCGGCCAATCTGTGTATGCAACTGGGAACATCCTAGGTAATCTAATACTTCCAATTACCATCTCGATATTCTCATACTCTTCTCATACGTAGCTCCCCACCATCGTATTTTTCCCTTTTGGGTCGCTGCAATCCCCGGAGTCCCTGCACTCATCTTTTTTCTCCCCCTCCTTTTAATCTCTTCTCTGTTACTCTCTCTCTTCCCCCTCTTACCTCTACTTCGCGGGCCAACATTGTCTTCGCTTTTGCGCTGCGACATCTGTGACGACATCGCCCGCTCCCTATCGATACGCCCCCCCAAATCGGCGGGGATTTCCTAGAACTTCAAAACCCCCACCTGTCATTCCATTCTCTGTCGGCTCCCGGCGGAAGAATGGGTCTTAACTTAGAAGAGCTCTATGGCAAAGATCTAAGTGAGGAGCAGGCTCCCCAGGAGTATTCACAGTACCAGCCCAAGCAAGGCTATGGCTGGGCCAATGCCCTGCCCGAGCGGCAAGGTCTGTATGATCCTGAATATGAGAAGGATGCCTGCGGTGTAGGCTTTGCGGCGTGAGTCAGCCCTATCTCAATTGCAACCTGGAACCAAGTCTAACCCTACCCAGCCATATTAAGGGCAAGCCGAGCCACAAGATCGTTAGTGATGGTGAGTTTCCTATAGGATCAGGAGTTAAGACAAACGACTGACCGCAACTGAATTCTAGCCCGCAACCTGCTGTGCAACATGACCCACCGTGGAGCCGTTGGCTCTGACGCCCGGGACGGTGACGGTGCCGGTGTGATGACCAGTATTCCTCACAAATTCTTCATCAAGAACTTTGCCCGAGAGGTTGGAGTGGACCTTCCTCCATTGGGACAATATGCAGTCGGCAACTTGTTCTTCAAGCCTGACGAGGAGGCACTCAAGCAGTCTATTGCAAGCTTTGAGGAATTGGCTACTTCTTTGGGCCTCCGAACTCTAGGATGGCGTGAGGTGCCTCGGGATTCAACCATTCTTGGTCCCGCTGCCCTTTCACGGGAGCCAATTATTATGCAGCCCTTCGTTGTGTTGAAATCAGCATACGGCGAAGGTAACAAGCCCGAAATCACCGACACCGAAAAGTTCGATGAGAGAAACTTTGAGCTTCAGCTGTATGTCCTACGGAAACGGGCCACCCATGTTATTGGCCTCGGCAACTGGTTCTATCTCTGCTCCCTCAGCAACCGCAACATCGTCTACAAGGGTCAGCTCTCTCCCGTACAGGTTTACACATACTACCACGACTTGGTCAACGTAGATTATGAGGGTCACTTCGCCCTGGTGCACTCTCGATTCTCTACAAACACATTCCCCTCATGGGATCGTGCTCAGCCTTTGCGATGGGCTGCCCACAACGGTGAAATCAACACGTTGCGAGGAAACAAAAACTGGATGCGCGCACGAGAGGGTGTCCTTCGATCGGAGGTTTTCGGCGACGAGCTTGACCAGCTTTACCCTATTGTTGAGGAGGGTGGTTCTGACTCTGCTGCATTTGATAACGTGCTCGAACTTCTTATGATCAACGGTGTGTTGTCTCTTCCCGAGGCCGTTATGATCATGATTCCCGAGGCCTGGCAGGACAACCCAGCCATGGACCCGGCCAAGTCTGCTTTCTATGAGTGGGCTGCCTGTCAGATGGAACCCTGGGATGGCCCAGCTCTTTTCACCTTCTCCGATGGACGCTACTGCGGTGCCAACCTCGACCGTAACGGTCTGCGGCCTTGCCGTTTCTATGTCATGGATGACGACCGCATTGTTTGTGCTTCCGAGGTCGGTGCAATTGATATCGACCCCGAGAGAGTCGTGCAAAAGGGTCGCCTGCAGCCCGGAAAGATGCTGCTCGTCGATACTGTCGCTGGACGCATCATTGATGATGCTGAGCTGAAGCAGACTGTCGCCCGCCGTCATGACTTTGCTAGCTGGTTGGATAAGGAGCTTTTGAAGCTTCCCGCTATCAACAAGTTGCTACTTGACTCCAATGTGGACCTTTCCTTTGCTCTGGATGATAACACCATCCAGAACGACCCCCGTCTTCGTGCCTTTGGATACTCTTTTGAGCAAGTCAGCTTATTGCTTGGTCCAATGGCCGCTGATTCCAAGGAAGCTTTAGGATCCATGGGTAACGATGCACCTTTGGCTTGCATTGCCCAGCAGCCTCGTCTTCTCTACGAGTACTTCCGTCAGTTGTTCGCTCAGGTCACCAACCCGCCCATTGACCCTATCAGAGAGGCTGTGGTCATGTCTCTTGAGTGTTACGTTGGACCCCAGGGCAACTTGCTCGAGATGGACCCCACCCAATGCCATCGTCTCCTCCTGCCTTCTCCCATCTTGAGCATCCCCCAGTTCAATGCCTTGAAGAATGTCAACTTGGCCCACAAGGATTGGACTGTCCGCACCATTGACATCACATTCGAAAAGAGCAAGGGTACACCTGGTTATATCGAGGCCCTCGATGCCATCTGTGAGGCCACTACCGAGGCCATCCAGAACGGCGACAAGATCATCATTCTGTCGGATCGCGCTACCTCTGCCGAGCGCGTTCCTGTCTCTGCTTTGTTGGCTACCGGTCTCGTTCACCACCATCTGGTTCGCAACAAGTGGCGTTCGCTTGCTGCCATCGCCGTCGAAACTGCTGAGGCTCGTGAGGTCCACCACCACTGTGTCCTGCTCGGATATGGTGCTGATGCCATTAACCCTTACCTCGCGCTGGAGTGTATTCTCAAGATGAACCGTGAGAAGCTGATCCGCAAGGACATCTCTGATGAGAAGGTCATTCAAAACTACCAGTCTTCTTGCGATGGTGGTATTCTCAAGGTCATGAGTAAGATGGGTATTTCCACCCTTCAGTCCTACAAGGGTGCCCAGATTTTTGAAGCCCTCGGTATCGATGACACTGTCATCGACCGTTGCTTCGCTGGTACTGCCAGTCGCATCCGTGGTATCACCTTTGATCTGATTGCTGAGGATGCTTTCGCTTTCCACGAGCGTGGTTACCCTTCGCGTCCCATCATTGAAATCCCCGGTCTTCCAGAGTCCGGAGAGTACCACTGGCGTGATGGTGGTGAGGCCCACATCAATGACCCTGTCAGCATTGCCAACATGCAGGACGCCGTTCGTACCAAGAACGACAAGTCTTACGAGGCCTATGCCAAGGCAGAACATGAGCAAATCAAGAACTGTACCCTGCGTGGTATGCTCGACTTCGACTTTGAGCAGCGTACTCCTATTCCCATTGACCAGGTCGAGCCTTGGACTGAAATTGTCCGTCGCTTTGTGACTGGTGCTATGTCTTACGGATCAATTTCTATGGAATCCCACTCCACACTCGCTATCGCCATGAACCGTTTGGGCGGCAAGTCCAACACTGGTGAGGGTGGTGAAGACTCTGAGCGTAGCAAGAGAATGGAGAACGGTGACACCATGCGATCTGCTATTAAGCAGATTGCCTCTGGTCGTTTCGGTGTTACATCCAACTACCTGGCAGACGCCGATGAGTTGCAGATCAAGATGGCACAGGGAGCGAAGCCTGGTGAAGGTGGTGAACTGCCCGGCCACAAGGTGCTCGGCCCAATTGCTCGCACTCGTTTCTCCACACCGGGTGTCGGTCTCATCTCTCCTCCTCCACACCACGACATCTACTCCATTGAGGATCTTAAGCAGCTCATTTACGATCTCAAGTGCTCCAACCCGCGTGCTCGCATCTCCGTCAAGCTCGTTTCTGAGGTTGGTGTTGGTATTGTCGCCTCTGGTGTGGCCAAGGCCAAGGCTGACCACATCTTGATCTCTGGTCACGATGGTGGTACTGGTGCCTCTCGCTGGACTGGTATCAAGTATGCTGGTCTTCCGTGGGAATTGGGTCTCGCGGAAACCCACCAGACTCTGGTTCTGAATGACCTTCGTGGTCGTGTTGTAGTCCAGACTGATGGTCAAATCCGTACTGGTCGTGATTTGGCTATTGCCTGTTTACTCGGTGCTGAGGAATACGGCTTTGCCACTACTCCTTTGATCGCAATGGGTTGTATTATGATGAGGTTTGTAACACCCTGACTACTTTTAAGATATCATTGAAACTAATTATTTGATGCAGAAAATGCCACTTGAACACCTGTCCTGTTGGTATCGCAACCCAGGATCCTGAGCTCCGCAAGAAGTTCCAGGGTACGCCTGAGCACGTCATCAACTTCTTCTACTATGTTGCCAACGAGATGCGTGCTATTATGGCCAAGTTGGGCGTCCGCTCCGTCAACGAGATGGTCGGCCGTGCGGAGCTGCTCAAGACCCGGGATGACATTCGCAACGCCAAGCAGGAGCGTGTGGACCTGTCACTTATTTTGACTCCTGCTCACTCTCTTCGTCCTGGTGTTGCTACCTACAATGTTCGGAAGCAGGATCACCGGCTCCACACTCGCCTGGACAACAAGTTGATCGCAGAGTCTGAGCTTGCTTTGGAGAAGGGACTTCCTTGCCGCATCGAGTGTGACATTGTCAACACTGACCGTGCCCTGGGTGCCACCCTCTCTTACCAGATCAGCAAGCGCTATGGCGACAATGGTCTTCCCCAGGACACCATTCATGCAAACATCAAGGGATCTGCGGGTCAGTCCTTTGGTGCTTACCTTGCTCCGGGTGTCACCCTTGAGCTCGAGGGTGACGCCAACGACTACGTCGGTAAGGGTCTGTCCGGTGGTCGTCTCATCGTCTACCCACCTCGCGGCGCTGCTTTCAAGGCCGAGGAGAACGTTATCGTTGGTAACACCTGTCTTTACGGTGCTACTCGCGGAACTTGCTACTTCCGTGGTATGGCCGCTGAGCGTTTCGCTGTCCGCAACTCCGGTGCTACTGCAATTGTTGAGGGTGTGGGTGACCACGGATGTGAGTACATGACCGGTGGTCGTGTCCTTGTCCTCGGACCTACCGGCCGTAACTTTGCTGCTGGTATGTCCGGTGGTATTGCATACGTGCTGGACATGAACCAGGACTTCCACTCCAAGGTCAACCTGGAGATGGTTGAGGTATCTGGTATCGAGGAACCCTCTGAGATCGCCTTCGTTCGCGGCTTGGTTGAGGATCACCACCACTACACTGGTTCTGAGTTGGCTGCTCGTATCCTGCTTGACTTCACCCGTGCTCTGCCCCACTTCGTCAAGATTCTGCCCATTGACTACAAGCGTGTCATGGAAGAGGAGGCCGCCAAGACGCAAGCTGCGAAGAAGGCCGAGTTCACTCTTCCTCAGCTCCCTAGCGCCTCAGTCAAGGCAGAGAAGGCCAAGGCTGACGAGGACAAGAAGACCGAGTTGCTGGATATTGAAGATAGCATCAGCGACTCCAAGACCGAGAAGAAGCGATCCGCGCTGATTCTGGACAAGACAAGAGGATTCATGAAGTACAGCCGCCGCAGCGAGAAGTACCGTAACCCTACTACCCGTACTCGCGATTGGGGTGAGATTTCCAACCGCCTGAGCGAGGATGAACTCAAGTACCAGTCTGCTCGTTGCATGGACTGTGGTGTTCCCTTCTGTCAGTCTGACACTGGTTGCCCCATCTCCAACATCATTCCCAAGTGGAACGAGTTGGTCTTCCAGAATCAGTGGCAGGACGCCCTGAACCGTCTGCTCATGACCAACAACTTCCCTGAGTTCACTGGTCGTGTCTGCCCTGCCCCTTGCGAAGGTTCCTGTGTTCTGGGCATCAACGAGGACCCCGTTGGTATCAAGTCCATCGAGTGCGCTATCATTGACCGTGGATTCGAGATGGGTTGGATGGTCCCTTGTCCCCCCAAGACTCGCTCTGGCAAGACCATTGCCATCATTGGTTCCGGTCCTGCTGGTCTAGCCGCTGCTGACCAGCTGAACCGCGCTGGTCACAGTGTCACCGTCTACGAGCGTGCTGATCGCATGGGTGGTCTCCTCATGTATGGTATCCCCAACATGAAGCTCGATAAGAAGGTTGTCCAGCGCCGTATTGATCTCATGGCTGCGGAGGGTGTCAAGTTCGTTGCCAGCACTGCTGTTGGACCCGACTGCGAGGTTTCTCTCCAATCGCTTCGTGCCAGCAACGACGCTGTCATCATTGCTACTGGTGCCACTGTCGCTCGTGACCTCAAGGTCACTGGTCGTGAGCTGGATGGCGTGCACTTCGCCATGCAGTTCCTGCACAAGAACACCAAGTCTCTTCTTGACTCTGGCCTTTCGGATGGCGAGTACATCTCTGCCAAGGACAAGCACGTCGTTGTCATTGGTGGTGGTGATACTGGAAACGATTGTATCGGTACTTCCGTCCGTCACGGCGCCAAGTCAGTGACCAACTTCGAGTTGCTGCCTCAGCCTCCTCCAGAGCGTGCCCGCGACAACCCTTGGCCTCAGTGGCCTCGTATCTACCGTGTCGACTACGGTCACTCTGAGGTCAAGACACATATGGGCAAGGACCCCCGTGAATACTGTGTCATGTCTACTGAGTTCGTTGACGACGGCAACAATCGCGTTAAGGGCATCAACACTGTCCGTGTTGAGTGGACCAAGAGCGCTACTGGCGGTTGGGACATGAAGACCGTCGAGGGCAGTGAGCAGTTCTTCCCTGCTGACCTTGTTCTCCTCTCCATGGGCTTCTTGGGTCCCGAGGATCGTCTCCTCGGTGAGGAAATTGACCGTGATCCCCGCAAGAACGTTAAGACCCCCCTGGTCACTACTCAACCAACATTGGCGGTGTCTACGCTGCCGGTGATTGCCGCCGTGGACAGTCCTTGATTGTCTGGGGTATCAATGAAGGTCGCCAGTGTGCTCGCGAAGTGGACAGCTTCCTCAGCGGCACCAGCTCCCAGCTTCCTGTCACTGGTGGTATCGTCCGCCGTCCTGCCATCGACACCGTTCCCCAACCCATCGAGACTCAGGTTGTCGCCTAAATCTGGGGCTAAGGGACATGTTTACGACTGTGACGGACACGACTATGACCAAAACTTCATGAGGCAACCAAAAGTTCCTCAAGTGGGATACATCTGTGATTTAGACGGTTTTTGCTCATGATCGGTGCAATTCAACAAAAGCCTCCGGTACTGCGCTTTTTGATATCTTTTCCATTATTTTATTCTTGATCTATTGTTCTTTGTTTTTGTTCTAGCGTTGTTTTCTTCAAGTCTGCAAGGTATTTAGAGCGTCTGCCAATACGGTCATCGCTCTACATTGCTGTAAATAGCCTTTCCATTTCTGAAAATCCGACACTTTGTTCTATTTTTGCTATGAAACCTACCGTGAAACTCATCTATGACGTCGTCACAGCTTTAATTATCTCTGAGGGGAGACGAAAGAAGACAGAACAAAGAGCCTCAAGAGTATGGGGCGTCGATAATATGGTTGTGGCTAAGATTTCTCCAGCTTTTCTTTGTCCAACTCTTTTTTTATACCGCCAGCTTTGATGAGTGCCAGGCAAAAGTATTCAAGCGTTCTGTTCTCCTTATATCTAGGCACATTCCTATTCATCAAACATTCACCCATTCAAGGGTTCAAATATCAACGCCAGCATCCATCCAACCTCAAGCATATCAACTTTGTCGATTTAACACACTAAACTTCAAAATGCCCAAGGTCACAAGACAAACATCAGCATGTGTCGACAGTGATGAGCCCACCGATCATCCTTACGGCTTCGTCACCCTTCGCGAGATTGATGGCCAGCGTACAAACGTGCGCCTATATATTGACGGACGCGTATCAGGAACATTCCCTGATGGAAGCCTACCAGCATCTCGCAGCGGAACTCCTTCCACACAAGGAGTATCACACTCTATTGCATAAGACGATGGCAGAAGTGGGGCACACCGCAGCATGTCGACGCGAAGGGGATCTCGCATGCAAAGCACAAGGTATCACCCTTACGGACGATCGGCCCCCCGCAGTGTCCACGAGAACTTTGATCCAAAGAGACCTCAGGCTTCTGCTAATCCATCCACATTATCACAGGTAGAAAGCCATAGTAGCGGTGCTGGCGGTGCTGGCGGGCCCACGTCGGCACAGACTATGACCAGTTCACAAGAAGCAGCGTCTGAAGAAGCCCGGGGACGAAAGCTCAACTCTCATCAGAAGGCGAGAAGCGATTCGACAAGCCCCGGGTTTCAAGGGCATCAAACCTTCGTCCTTAGCGAGATTGCTAAGATCCATTATAAAGAAAGAGCGGAAATTTAACGAGGAACAGTCAATGGAAAGACAACACTGATTAGTCTGGCCTGAGTGGTTTGAGAGATGAAAAACTACCGTGGCCTTTTCTATTATCCTTGTATCATCGGCTTTGATGCTGACATTATCGAGTTGTTCTCTGCAGCAGGTCGTGCTCCGCTACTGAGCTTTTATACATGTACCATCGGTTACTCACAGGTTTCTGGTATATCAGCCTCTTTCCTGCGCTTTTAATACCAACACTATCTATACAAGTCTGTTTGACTTGTCTTGTTCTTTTTGTTTTCCCGAGACATGTATCTGCCATGTCTTTGAGCTCTTGGTTTTCTCGTTTATATGAGTGTCTTATGCTGAGATCCTGTGGCTGAGCTTTGATATGTTCTTTAACTTGTTTTGACTTTGAATTCATTTCCTTCAATCTTGTCCTTATATCCGATGTCTTAGCGTTGCATTTTGGAGCGTCGTATAGCAATGGTGCGGTTTTCATCAGTTGTTGATACCATGGTGCAATTCAAAGGTTCTATTTCTTTTTTCAGTCAGTCGAACAACTACGTAAGTTTTTCAAAGAGCCTCCTAATCCGAAGATAGACAGAAACGCAAGCCCTAAACAAGGGTCTATTTCCTACGGCTTCTACGAAAAATCCCAGACATGGGGAGAATTGGGAAGGTCATATTATACATGAGTGAACAAAAGAAAGTACATATCTACATATTGTAACAAAATTCCCAAAGGAAAAAGAAAAGGGGTATCATGAAGCCGCCTTTCCTCTCGCCGCCTCTTCATCTTCGGCCTTCATTTCCCGCTCCAAAGCGGCAAAGTCTCCCTTGAACGAGTCCCGAGCCGGTTCGAGCCGTACATCCCAGACATCCTCGCTACTGGGGCCAGTCTTGTACTTGATAGCCTTCTTCCGGTTGTGGTCCAAGATGGCCTTCTTGCGCAGGTTCTCTGGCCATGTGCGTGTCTTCATACAAAGCCACAAGTTATCCCAGTGATCGCTGCACGACCGTAGTTCTCCATATCGGTAAACGTTCACAAATTGTCCTCCGAAAGACTGGCAGAAAAACGCGTAGTCAAAGGCGTTGCGGCAGGACATGGTATCTTGGTAGAGGGATTCGGGAGCGATGGGTGATGTAGGTGTTTGGGATTGTGCTGAAGTATTGCCATCGGATGTGAGACCACCAGAAGTCTGCGAAAGTGCGGTTTCCTCGGCTCTGAGATCAGCGAGGATTGAGTTCCATTCTAGGTCGGCTTGTTCGCCGGGGGTCAGGGTCTTCGGTGGTGCATTCTGCTTTGATGGTTCCGCAGATGTTGTTGTTGTTGTTGTTGTTGTTGTTGTTGTGAATGGTGTATCTTTTGGTGTATCACTAGGACTCGATCCCCATAGCCAGCCCATTTTGCGCCGTTAAATTGACCTGAAATGATTGATGGATGTCGCGACTAGTCAGGCGACTGCGGTTATCTTTTTCGTGATCAAACATCACGTGATCGATAACAAGCCCGATCATCAAGACCACGACGTCATTCATATTCAGTTGGTCGATTTAGACACTGGATCTCTTCCAAGATTTTCTCCCTCTTCAACATGTCTCTGTCAACATGAGACAGGCACCCTTCACAAGAGTTCCCTTGGCGGCTTGCTCTCTACGCTCCCATATCAATGCCAATGCATTTGGCCGAGGGTGGAGACCTCCGCTTGGGGGACATTCTACGATACGATACACTTCTTCTATCCAGTCAGGACATATTTCACTAGCAGACAACCAAGGGATAATCTATGTCAATAGTAGGAGCTGCAGCTGTCCAAACTTTAAGATTTCCTCGCTGACCAGCTCTAGATATCTTTCCACACCGGTTACAATGGCTCCTGCGGGGCCCCCTCAGTCACGTTCAGCCCCTCGAGGGCATTTTGAGAAAGATCGACAAGCCCGGAGTGGCAGCGTCTGATCCACTTCGAATCGTCCAAAGGGCATTGCCTAAAGACTTGGATCTGGAGATCAAAGAGGTCGTCACGAGGTATAAAGAAGGCGGTGCATTCCTGAAATATGCGCGCAAGCCAGGCATGGATGACAAGTCTATTCAACATGCAGTCAAGGAGCATCTACAAAAAAATCCTATCAATCCCTGGTTCAACCCATTCCAGGTGGTGGACGCGGACCTCGTGCGTGGAATACCGTGGATCGAAGACCTTTATCGAATTCCAAGCCAGACCATCAAGGTGGAATTCTTGTCTACCTCTCCCGATAGCTCAGCTGCTGAGCTTACTCAAGAAGCTTTGTACTCGCTGTTTCGCCCATATGGAAAGCTCCTGGATATCCAACCCCAACCCTCTGACTCCAAAGTGGAACCTCGGTATGCGACTCTGCGATTTGAACGACCTCGATATTCCGTCATGGCAAGAAATTGTATGCATGGCTTTATTGTTTCTGAGGAAGCTGGTGGTGGTAAATCCGGAACAAGGTTCAAGATCAACTACGAACGCAAGATCAAGCTGTCTATGATCAAGGACTGGATTTTGAACCACCCAAGAATAGTTATTCCCGCTTTGGCTGCCTTGATTGCCACCATCACAGTCATTATCTTTGATCCGATTCGCACATTCTTCATCGAGCTCAAAATTAAGTCGACACTACAACATGAAGAGAACCCGATCTTGCAATGGGTTCGCGCGCAAGTCAGCAAAACCAACATGTTTTCCTTTGGCAAGAGCAAATCAGACCCGCGTGGCCTGGCAGCTATTTGGGAGGACCGACAAAAGGACATATCGCAGCTGCAAGCCTGGCTAACCGAGACTGCGGAAACATTCATCGTCATTCATGGGCCACGGGGCTCAGGTAAACGTGAGCTGGTCTTGGAACAAGCGCTGAAAGAGCACAAATACAAGGTCGTCGTTGACTGCAAGCAAATCCAAGATGCTCGAGGTGACACGGCTAAGATCTCACGAGCGGCGGCCCAAGTCGGCTACCGGCCAATCTTCTCCTGGATGAACAGCCTAAGTAGCCTGATTGACTTGGCCGCACAAGGAATGATTGGTACCAAGGCTGGATTCTCCGAGACACTCGATGCGCAGCTGAGCAAGATCTGGCAGAACACCGCTGTTGCTATGAGGCGGGTTGCTTTGGAAGGAAGACGCAAGGAGGATAAAGATTTCAACATGTCCGAGGATGAATACCTGGAGGCCCATCCGGAGAAGCGACCTGTTGTCGTCATTGATAACTTTGTGTATGATGCAGAGGACAGTGTTGTGCTTGACAAGATGACGCAGTGGGCGGCTGGTCTGACCTCGGCAAATATTGCACATGTTGTCTTTTTGACAACTGATTCCTCCTTTGCGAAGCCTCTGAGCAAAGCTCTCCCTAATCAAGTTTTCCGCACAATTGGTCTGGGGGACTGCTCACTCGATGTTGGCCGTCGTTTCGTTCTAAGTCATCTGGATGCAGTGGGAGGCGAAGGTGACAAGGAGCAAGATGCGAGACGTAAGGAAACACTACATGGCTTGGACTCTTGCATCAAGGTACTTGGCGGTCGAGTCACTGACCTTGAGTTCATGGCTCATCGGATTGAAGCTGGAGAGACACCCGAAGGTATGTCTACATTCTGTTTTGGCTGATAATAGTTTCTAACACTCGATATAGCTGCTGTGAACCGTATCATTGAGCAGTCATCATCGGAAATTCTGAAAATCTTCATCCTGGGTACAGACTCGATGACACCTCAATGGACTCGTGAACAAGCGTGGCATCTGATCAAGTCTCTGGCAAGCTCCAAGGATGGCACTCTACTGTACAACAAAGTCCTTCTTTCCGATCTATTCAAAGATAATGGAGAGGCCACTCTACACGCTCTAGAGCAATTAGAGCTCATCTCTGTGGGCACTGACATGGGGTTCCCAAGATACATCAAGCCCGGAAAGCCCGTATATCGCGCTGCTTTCCAGCGCCTAGTCGCAAACAAGACTCTCCAAGGTCGTCTTGATATGTTGATTCTCGCACAACTTATGAGCAACGAGAACTCGAGTATCAGCAAGTATGAGCAGGAACTACAGGTTCTCGGCTCTTTGCCGAAGTATCCATGGGAACTCACTTCTAGGATCGAATGGCTTCTACGCAAGGTCCATGGATCGCAGGCTAAAATTCGGAAGTATGAGAGCGAGAGCGCGGCTCTCTCGAAGATCCTGCAGAATGAGAACTGAAATTAGTTACTGTCTATATCTCATCTCAATTTTACCTTTGAACTATTCATATTACTCAGTCATCTGATTATCTCAACCTTGGGCTGTATCTATAATTACCCAGCTGTTTTGCCTGTTGTATATCAAACTTCGGCTTTGTAAACAAACATTGAGCCTTATTGGGAAACCCCACTTAAGTTACTATTCACATTTCTTATCAACTCAAATTCTGCATCATTATATAGATACTCACTCACATCGCGATGAAAATCAAAACGGTCATTGCAAATTAGTAGAATGTCCAGGTGAGACCTCAGGCTTCAAGATGAGTCAGCAAGGGAAAGAACTCGACCGCGTCCTCGTGTCCCTTCCATCGCCTGAATCAATACATAATAGAGAGTCTTTGGCTTCGATACTTACTCGTTTCTGGTCAAAGTCTACAAATCTCAAGTCTTGCGCGAGCGTGGGAGTTGGAACACCGTGTCATCTCTGATGGCAGTGTTTGTTATTGACAGTTCATATTATCACCATGCAGTATGAAACCTCACCCAATGGACCTTTACAGATTGCCCGGAATGGGTTATCTCATGTAAACTGGCCTATATTTTTTGCTTTCATTATTTTCGCATGCATCACAACCCGGTTTATTTCGGGGCTTCAAAGTCAACGCCGTGATCAAGACCCTTCAAGCCCAAGGGCAGTGCTATTAGCGCCCTACTGGCTTCCTCGGATTGGACATGGATTTCCTTTCTTGTGGAATCATGTCAATTTCTTCATGAGAACACGGTATGTATATCTAATTTCCCCCCTTTTCTGCACTTGCTAATAATAGCATACAGAGAAACCATGAATGAGCCTGTCTTTGGTATCTATTTGCGCGGCGAGAAGCACAATGCCGTGCTCTCGCCATCTATGATGAAAACTGTTTTCTCTGCAGAAGATGCTTCGAGCACCCATGTCCTCGATCAGGCGTTGCAAAACGTATTTGGCGACCGCAGTCTCACGCGCAAATTGAAGCTGACTCAGAACAAAGATATCAATGATAATGCTTTTTCTATTATTCACGGAAAGCCATTTATCACTGAAGCTTCGTCTGCAATCACTCGCTTGGTGCAGGGCAACATGCCGAACTTGGTGAGCTTCTGCCGCAGCCTTGTTGACCAAAACCCTTGGGAGCGTGGAAGCAGCCAAGTAGAGCTACCCGATGAAGGAGATCAATCATTTTGTGAAGCGAACTTGTTTGCTCTTGTGAGCAATTTCGTCGGCCACATCACTACTACCTTCCTGATGGGCGATGCTTTTGTGGAAGCGTTCCCTGGTTTGTCGGAAGATCTTGGAACCCTGGATAGTAGCTATGTGACGCTATTTATTGGCACTCCTCGCTATATACCACACCCTTCTGCTTCAGCAGGCCATGCGGCCCGTGATCGGCTCCGCCATATCATGTCAATCTTCCACCGAGCTCTTGCCGCTTGGGACGACGGGATTGACGCCGGAATTGAACTGCGGGATCTTGAGGATGCTTCAGAGCTAGTCAAAGATCGGATGCGAACTTTCCGCAAGCTAGAGCTATCCCCCGGCGCCAGTGCTGCGGGACACTTGTCCTTATGTTATGAGCTGATCGAGCATACAAGCAAGATCGCTTTCTGGACAATCACCCACCTGTTCTCGGATACCCCACTCCTCGAGCAGGTTCGAAAAGAGATATCCCCTTATGTGGTTGCTTCTCGACCAAGTCGCCAAGAGACTGGGTTCCCATTCGATGAACCTCCGCGGCTCAGCCTCGATATCGAGAAAGTGCTCGAATCTTGCCCATTGTTCAGGGCGTGCTACTACGAAACCCTGCGTCTTCACTCTGCAGGAATCACTTCCAAGAAACTGGCATCCGACATTACACTTTCCGAGTCGGCAGAAGAAGCCGCATATGGCCTGACCGAACCTCGCACCTACACAATCCGCAAAGGTGAAAAGGTCATCCTTCCACACGGTGCCTATCACCATGATTCTCGATATTTCTCTAACCCGGATCAATTCGACCCTCTTCGGTTCCTTTTGACAGACACTGCAACGGGCAAACAGCGAGCTGATTCAGATATTCTTGCTCCATTCGCAGGCGGGCTATATGGATCTACCAATGGTGGCTTGAGTGAAAGAACCATCCTGATATTCACCGCCGGAATTGTGGCCATGTGGGATATTGAGCCCAAGACTGGTAAATCTCTCGCAGTTCCCGGGCATAAAACTAGTTGGGGAGCTTTCCGACCGACAAAGGAGCTGAGAGTGAAGATGAAGACTAGAGTTTGAATTTCATTTGAAACGACATTGCATGTGTCTAGAGCCAACATATCCACAATAGTCCATTGATTCCATTCGCATTTCGTACTTCCTCGGCTCGGATTAATATCCGGGTCGGCCTTGCGCCGATGACACCATCACTAACAAGAGGGGGATATATAACTTATGTCGTCGTAGGTGTTGATAGTATTTTCAATTGCTTTGAATTTCGAAAATGCAAAAGGATGAAGAATCCAACAGGGATTATGATCTCACAACTCCAATCACCTCCACTTCGGGACTTCGTCAGGGCCTAACCTCTTATGGAGATGCTCACTTCTCGTTGTTCCTTCGCAAGGTATTTATCAAGGCACTTGGATATTCAGAAGATGCGCTATCACGCCCAATTGTGGGAATTATCAACACATTCTCTGGTTACAACCCCTGTCACGCTAATGTACCCCAGCTCATTGAGGCTGCTAAGCGCGGCGTGCAGCTCAATGGAGGACTGGCTATAGAGTTTCCTACTATCAGTGTTGCTGAGTCATTTTCTACTCCGACTAGCATGTTCTTGAGGAACCTCATGAGCATGGATACCGAGGAGATGATTCGGGCTCAGCCGTTGGATGCGTGCATCATGATCGGGGGTGAGTATCTACATTTATGTCGTCCTGATGGCTCCTTGGATCATAGTTGACATATCTCAGGATGTGATAAGACTGTTCCAGCACAGCTAATGGGGGGCATTTCTGCCAACAAGCCCGTTCTACCTTTGATCACCGGCCCAATGATGCCTGGGAGTCACCGCGGCCAGCGTATTGGTGCTTGTACTGACTGTCGAAACAATTGGGCAGCATTCAGAGCAGGCGAGATTGACGTTGAGGAGATCTCGGCAATTAATGAAGAGCTTGCTCCGACGGTATGTGCTGAGAGAGGTACCTCGGCGAAGATGAAATTGTCTTGTCAGCTAATGTCGGCCAATTTTCCTGCAGATAGGGACATGTGGTGTCATGGGCACTGCTAGCACAATGGCTTGCGTTACTGCAGCGCTAGGTATGATGCCACTCAAGGGTGCATCTGCACCGGCGGTGTCATCAGCCAGACTGCGAATTGCAGAAGAGACAGGCGCAAATGCAGTTGCAATTGCCACATCCCAGAGGAGGCCCCAGGAGATTTTGACGAAGGAATCCTTTTGGAATGCTATCACGGTTCTCCAAGCCATTGGCGGCTCAACGAATGCGGTGGTTCATTTATTGGCCATTGCCAATCGGCATCCAGAGCTTCAAGGAGTAATCACTCTGGACACTTTTGAAGTGATTGGACGCAAAACACCACTGCTGATTGATCTCAAGCCGAGTGGAGATAACTATATGAACGATTTTCACAATGCAGGAGGCATGATGGCGCTCTTGCAAGTGCTTCGACCCTTGCTTCACTTATCAGCCACGACGATCACCGGGCAAACATTGGGCGAGGTCTTAGATGCCTCTCAGTCCAAGCAGCTCTCATATTCACAGCAGATCATTCGGCCAATGTCCGGTCCCCTGTTTCCCTCGTCATCGCTGGTCGTCCTTCGCGGCAATCTTGCTCCAAATGGAGCGATTATCAAAGCCTCGGCATCCAAGTATAGACATTTGCTGTCTCATACTGGACCCGCTGTAGTATTCGAAAACTCAGCAGACCTAGCCAAGCGTATCGACGATCCTAACCTCGCCGTTACGAAGGATAGCGTGCTTGTCCTGAAAAACATTGGCCCAGTTGGCAACCCTGGTATGCCCGAGGCAGGCCTCATACCTATTCCAAAGAAACTAGGAGAAGTAGGGGTCAAAGACATGCTGCGTCTGTCTGATGGTCGAATGTCAGGAACTGCCGGTGGTACCATCATCCTTCATATCTCGCCCGAAGCCGCGCTGCCAGATTCCCCATTTGGTGCAGTGGAAACGGGGGACTTAATCATATGCGACATCGAGACTCGCACGCTGAAATTAGATGTATCTGATTCAGTATTGCAGGCTCGTATTGAAGAACGCAAACAGGTCCTTGCAGGAGATGTGCAGACGCGAAAGCAGCGGAGAGGATATCGGGGGTTGTACGAGCGGTCGGTGAACCAAGCTCAGGAGGGAGCAGATTTTGATTTCCTGACTGCTGGAGGTGCCAATTAGGAGAAGCCATAGAAGTTAAATAAATCATTCTTGAGATGTATACATTCAGCCTGGAGACGGAGACCCTTACCCTGAGCCCTGAGCCCTATTTTATTTCCCAATCGGGTTAAATCAAGGCGCGTCACGCGGACGCGTCGGAGATCCCTGGACCTTGCGCTCCACCAGATTGAGATCGAGACTCCAGACTTGTTGATTGCAACTTCAATTATCTACATCAGATCTCGGTAGAGATGAGTTTAGACGCTCTTCGCCCGCGGGGGCGCCCAGCCCGTAAGCCATCTATATGAATCTGTTTGCGACATCTACTGACAACGCGCTCTACAGACACTCCCGGTACAACAGTATTGGCATACACGCCCGACGGACGACGGATCATTACTGGCGGTTCGAATTCCGCAATTCGCATCTATACGGTCGGCGAAGATGGCGAACCGAAGACAATTGACGAGGGTGTCGACGCGCATTTCGGTATTGGTGCTACAGTAGGTTGGGGAGTCTGCGGTTCCGCAAATGGAGCTGACGAGGTCATTAGAATGGGTCCTTTATCATGGGCGCTGAGGACGGAACGGTCTGGCAGTATGACATTCTCTCTGGCAAGATGCAGAACTTACTGGTCCGATGCGCTTTGCCAGTGAGAGATATCGCGGTGACGAGAAATGGGGAGTGGGTGGCGGTAGCAAGCGAGTGAGTTTATTATTTGCGGATATAGGAGATTGATTGCTAACATAGCTAAACTAGTGAACTCACAGTCAAAATGGTGAAAATCGATGACATGACGCAAGTGAAGTACCTTCGCGAACAGTCCAAGGGAACGAAACATGTCACTTTTGATCCCAATGGCCGATATGCGACAGTTTCCGGCACCGATGGAATTCTTTACATCTACTCTCTACACGAAGAGGAACCTGAACTGGTCCGCAAACTTGACGGAGTGATTCGACGACTGGAGCCGGATGCTGAGGCGACATCGCGAGCTGTGTGGCACCCCGATGGAACTGCATTCGCTTCTGCTGAGACAACAAGAGATATCTCAATATACTCAACTACCGGATGGAAGAAAGAAAAGACGTTTTCTGGGGAACATACTGGCGATATCACGGCATTGAGCTGGGCCCCGAACGGAACTCTTCTGGCTTCTGCTGCTGCGGACGGACAGATTGTGCTATGGGAAACAAAGACGCAAAAGGTTCTGCAACGATACGACTTTGGAAACGTTATGAACCTTGCATGGCACCCGACCAGGAACTCACTTTCTTTCACGACCTCAGATGGAGAGCTTTTCATCTACGATAACTTTGTTCCGAAAGACCACGAATCATTGCTGCAGAAGCCCTTACAGGCCGCTCCTATCTTCCCTGGGCCTCTAGGCGAGATCTCTAGCAATGTCCAGCGAACAACGTTGGCAGATCGGTCTAAGGAAGCCATTCAACGAGCTGCCAGAAGGGGAACCCCGGACTCGCTGGATGATATTCTAGGCGGTGATGAGGAGATGGGCGATTTTGTTGACGATGATGATGGAGCTGGCTATGCCGAGGATGAGCTCAATCTCTACGGAAAGCGACCAAATGGTCATCTCGATGATATTGATGGCCCCGTCAGCAAACGACTTCAGTCTGTCGGTAGCTTGCAGCCCTTGGCTCACCCGCCTCTCCAGCCTGGCAGCACACCATGGGCTGGAAGCAGGAGATATCTCTGTATGTTTTGATTTCCCTTTGTTCTGATATGGAATTGCTAACATAGCTAGGCCTAAACTTGACCGGTGCCGTCTGGACTGTCGACCAAGAAACGCACCATACTGTGACTGTGGAATTCTATGACCGCGAGGCCCATCGAGACTTCCACTTCACCGACCCTTACATGTACGACAAGGCTTGCCTAAGTGAGTTGGCCCTAATCTCGCTTCTAGCCATGTAGCTGCTAATCAAGTGTAGATGACAACGGTACGCTGTTCGCCAATAGCCCTACTGATGGTAGCGCCGCCACTATTTTCTATCGACCACATGAGACATGGACTACGCGAGCGGACTGGCGAACTCAATTGCCCGAAGGAGAACAAGTTCAAGGTAGGTTATCCAAGGCTTGTTCTCGTTGTATCATTTTGCTGAGATATTATTAGCTTTGGCGCTCAGTGACTCATACATCGTCGCTGTAACATCAAAGGACTATGTCCGCGTGTACACTCTCTTTGGAACCCCTTTTAAGGTGTACAGGCAAAAGAGTCAGGCCGTGGCCTGCGCAGCTTGGCGTGACTACATTATGAGTATCGGCAATGGACCCGTTGGACCCGATGGCCTTCACACGAGTTTACGATTTACGGTGGAAAATGTCAAGCGTGACGAAATCTGCCAGAACGAAGATACAGTGGCCCTTCCGGAAGGGGCTTCATTGCAGAGTGTTTTCTTCTCTGACTCTGGAGTATGTAACGCTTGAACCAAAGTATGATTACAGTGAAACTGACCATATGTCTAGGATCCTTGTATCTATGACTCCACTGGTGTCCTACTGGTGCTACAGCATTGGCGCACCCCCGGGCAAGCCCGGTGGGTTCCTCTCCTTGACACAAAGCAAATGGCACGTCTCGCAGGTGGTAAGAAAGAAGAAACATACTGGCCCGTCGCTGTTGCACAAGACAAGTTCCACTGTATCATCCTTAAGGGTGGCGACAAGAACCCCTACTTCCCGCGACCACTTCTCAGCGAGTTTGACTTCCAGATCCCTGTTTCCAGTGCTCCCCCGAAGGATTCCAACGAATCCGAAGAAGCAGCAGCAGAGCGTAACGAGAGCTCCCGATTCGAGGAAACCTTTGTACGCGGAAACGTCCTCCTGTCGCTCTTCCGCGACTTGCTTTCCTCAACCAATGCGACAGCTAGTCAGCGTTCCGATATGGCGCGGAGAGAGCTCGACCTGGATAAGAACTTGCTGCAGATGCTGGCCATCGAATGCAGAGAGGGCGAGGAGCGTGGAATGAAGGCACTCGAGTTGGTGGCTATGATGACGGACCGCAACGGCAAGATGCTCGAGGCAGCTGCTAAGGTTGCTCAGCGTTATGGACGTGGTGTTCTGGAGGACAAGATCCGCGATCTAGCGGAGCGACGAGTCATGGGAATGGGTGATGATGATGATGAATTGGCTTGATTAGGGACTCAGATGTTTACTTTAGTAGCATAATGTTTGGACGATTAGTTGAAGCACAAATGACCTCTCGTCTCCTCTATCCCCATTTCCTTCCAATTCTAATAACTTTACATTCCTTGTAATTTGAATAGAATATTAAGGAAATGCCATGTCCAAATGTAACTGTTCGCCTGTTCTGGTTGTATACGGGCCGAACGTGATTGGCTCCGATAACGTCATTGGAGATAGGACTTCTCCATCTTCAACTTTTAACTTACAAACTGCACGTTTCAACCATTTCTCCATGGCTTGACAACACAATACACTGGGAGCAGCTCAATGATCCAAACATAATGCCGAAGCTGGTCTATCCGCGCATCTCTCTCCTCAATAAGAGGTCTGTGTCAGCGCGATCTTTTGGCTCGCTGTCGCGACAGCAGCTAGCACAGCCTCGTCATGGCCTTCTCAATGAGCCGTGGCTTCCTCCGGCAATAAACTCCCCACTCCCAACCGCATATTTCTCTCCGACCCGCGTACGCCGCGAACTAGACGGAGGGGAAGGAAAATCTCAACGAAACGACCATAAGCCACCCGATGAAAGGACCTTGAAGCTCGGAAAGAGTAAGCATGCCCTCTTCACTGTTCTGATATGCTAGACTAACATTACAAAAGCTTTACGGACCCTATCCCCTTTACTCCCAACTCTCCTGTACAATACTCTTCCCACCAAAATCCTTGCCCCAAGCGTGACCCTTCATCTTTTCCCATCTACACATCCACACCTCCCAACAGTCAAAGGACGCACCCTATACCGCGCAGCACTATGGACAGTCCCAGTCGCATGGAGCAGCGTGCCCTTAGTCGGAAACGTGAAGCTACAAATCCTCAGCGAAAGGATCGTGCGCTCAGGCACACTGCTCGATCCGTTGCGCAACGGTGACCACCACGACTGTGGCGATGAGCGCCTAGTAGTTCGATGGAAGACCGAGCCTCGGACAGATAGCGGGCCTTTCCATGCCCCGTCTCCCTCGTCGAAGACAAGTTCAACCGCGTCTCAAAATGCTGCTTCGTTGCAAGAGAGCCATCTGTCAGCCTCGAAAAAGGGTACTAACAAAGGCCTGAGTGTGCTGCTTGGAGGTGAAGAACCTATATTCAAACTCTCAAAAGAAGAGCAGTTCACTGGTCTGTTTATTTTTTCTTTCGATGAGGAAGGTCGCATCTTGACTCATACTATTGAGCACGCTGATGAAGCTGATGGCTGGGAACGGACTTCTAAATTCGTTACTTTGACAGACTGGCTTATTGGCAAGGCGCGTGGCTCTTTGGATCCAGTCACAAATCCAGGACTGGCCATGGAATCTTGTCAGAATCATGGGTTTGATTCGAGTGACCACCGGAGATCATGACTACACCAACGGCCTTGAAAGATTTTTTCTGAATTGGTGAAGCTTGTACTGGAGAAGCACTTTGGTTTTGATCTCATGTGGCCTTTGGACATGTTCTAACTTCCCCTCTTTTATTGGACTTGTCTGTTTGGCAGGACCATCTGGACATCTTCTACTCACCACTCTATGTATTATACCCCGTTTCTAGATTATTGAGCAAACGAATCAAATAAGCAGTTGTACATTCTACCAAAAATCAACCCAAAGATTTCCAAAACATTTGCCAATGTGAGAGCAATAAACAAGATGATAATACAAATACACGTCACGCATCGACCAGCGACACGATACCACCGTTGAACTATCAAGCGACACAATCATTCGGTCTTCTTGTGCACAGCAGGCGATTTCAACAAAGTGAAAACACTAACCGCAACAACAGACATAGCCACACCACCAGCTGTATAAGCAGCCTCGCGGCCAGCCCACCAGAACAAAGAGCAGAACACGATAGGACCAGTGGCCCTACCAGCCTGGCCCCATCCTCGCAGACGACCCATGACCGCGCCACGGTCCGCATCCTGTGCCTCGAAACTGCCCAAACTGTTCAATCCTGTCACAACGGTAGCACTGGTAACAGCCAGCAAAGCGCCAGCTGCATATAAGCCCGAGGGAGAAGCGACTTGAGCAAGGAAGAAGAATGAGATGGCACAGGCGATGACACCAGCGCGGAGGGTGACCAGAGGAGGAAGACGGCGGACGAGAGTTCCCTGGAGCAGAGAAGCGATCAAGCCCATTAGGGATAGAAGTCGACCATTCAATGCAGCGGGGCTGGCTGTTGTAGCTGTGCCAGCATAGAGAGTGGTAGTCAAGAATGGAAGAGAGAATTCTAGACCCGAGAACGGAAGCAAGAAGAGAAAATGAAGAGCGTTGAGAAGAGCAGGGTTGTTAGTATGGACACGTTTAGTAGGGACAGACTTCTTCTCATCTGCTTTCTTACTCGACGCATCTGCCTTCGTCTCCGTCTTCTCATCCTCATGCTTCAGCGTCGTCAACCGCGGATGCGTCTCCGGCAAACAAGCCCAGAGATAGGTAGTCTCGATAAAGATCAAAGCCAAGGACACAATGGCAGCCACGATGAATGGGTTCTCGGTAACAATATCAACAGTGCTGAGTGCCGCACCGAGCATCGGACCGAACGTAAACGCAATGCTGAAGCAAGCTCCAACCAACGCCATGGACGAGCCACGATGCTCAGCATCTGTAACATCCGCCACAATGGCATTGGCCATTTGCACATTTGCCTCACTCAAGCCGCCGACAATGCGGCTTGCAAGAAAAGTGCGAAAGTCCCGGGCTGACACCCATAGCGCGACACTCCACAGATTGCCCATCATGGAGATGAGGAGCGCGCGACGACGGCCATAACGGTCGGAGAGGCGGCCAATAACTGGAGCAGCGAATGCCTGGAGGAGAGAGAAGAGGGAGCCGAGTGCTCCTCCGAGGAGGACGATGTCATAACGCGAGTCAATGGGGCGGGCGAAGGCGTTCTTGTAGGCGTTTAGATAGTGGAAGATGCGGTTGAGAAGGGAATTCGGGGATGGATCTTGGGCGCGATAGAACGAGAGTAATGAGGGGAACAGAGGCAGAATAAATGTAAAGGAGATCTGGAGGTATTGTCAGTTTGGGCCAGATTGGTTATTGGCTTGGAGGGGCTTTCATCTTACCAGATCTATCAACAATGAAAGCATCAACACCTTGAGCACCTGCTTACGTTGGGCGCCAGCGATGGCCATGTTTGCTGGCGCCAGATATAGATTGGTTGAATTGAAAGAGTGTGGAGAAAAGAAAGTAAGAGGATGAAAGGAAGGGAGTTGACAGTTGTACTCGAGAATTGATCTGATTGTATGCGAAGCTCCACTGATGGCATGCCGGAGTTGGTTCCTATCGTGGTTAGCGTCGCATGGCCTGACGCGATGTCATGTGATGCTATACTTCCCTAGCGATTGTCGACGTCTACATCTACATGTACAGAGAATAGAAAAAGCAGCGGTGTAAGTCACCTCAATCAATTCCGCTCCATATCCGACCTAAGCCTGTCCGGTCCATTCACACGCGCCGATAAAACATTAGCCATAGAATACAGATGTATGTTGTGAGAGCAAAGCTCTCGGAAAATCGGAATATGCACGCTCAAAAAAATAGCAGAACATGGTCCATAAGACTTTGGCAAAGCCAGATGAAGAGATCAGAAAGTGACACTTCATGAAGAAAATTCGTTGCGTTCGTGATCCATGAAATCGGACCAGTGATCATAGAGGGGAATAATGAATAAGCAGATGGCCCGGAAATCACTCGATAGAACGTCATATCGAGGAAGCAGCTTGTGGCAAGTAGGCTTCAGCGGATTAGTTAGATGTGCCACCATTGGTCTTGAGCTGGGCTTCAGTAGGCGAACCATTGCCACCACCGCGTCCACGACCGCCACGACCGCGACCACCACCACCACGACCGCGCTCACGCTTGCCATCACCTCGGCCGCGGCCACCACCGCGAGATGCCTCACGACGAGGGCCACGCCCGCGACGTCCATTGGCTTGTCCCTTGGCACCGTTCTCCTGGGTAACGTCGGCGCCAGCAGAACCGTTGTTCAGACCGCCATCAGCGCTGGCGGGAGTAGCCTGGAGGCCAGTGTCGGTCTCGGCAGGGTCACGAGGAAGCTCAACATTATCAGCGTCGCCGGCCTGGTCAACAGAGCCATAGCTCTTCTCTGCAATAGTGTTGGCAGCATCAGAAACAAGAGTCTGGGCAGGCGGAGCGAGCTGATCGTTCTCGGAGGTAGGTGCAGTATTGGCGCCGAATGAAGCATCCTGAAGCTCGGTGAGGCCAGCGTTGGCCATGGTAGGATCAGAGGCGGGGGTGGTCTCGGGGACAGTCTCGGTGATCTCCTCAGTGGGAGCGAACTTGTTGGAGGCCTGCTTCACATCACCATCTAAATTAACCAATATTAGTAAACAGACTCCGCGACATGGAGGCGCGACCCGCGCTACTCACAGCTGAACTCAAGCGCTTCACCCTCCACACCAATGACCTTCTCATCGGCACCGTCAATCAACTTCACCATTGCATTGACTGCATCCTGCGAGCCACCGTAGACCTGGAACAGGACACCCTCGAAAGCAAGACTCTCCACAGTAGTAGCATCACCGTCGCGACGGAGGTTGGCTGCGGCACACAAGAACTTGCTCATGGTAAGCAGGCGCTCGCGAAGTGCCTTGGCGCTAGATTCAGTCGCATCGGCAACTGCATTTCCACGGACAGCCTCCAACTCCTCCTTGTGGGCCTTCAAGAGTTCAGCCTTCTGAGCGGCCAACTTCTCTTCGTATTGGGCAGCAAACTGCTTGTAGATGGTGATCTGCTCCTCGATCTGATTGACGGCAGCCTGGAGAGAAGGCTTCTTCATAGCCTGGGCCTTCTGGTCGTTGTTGATCTTCTTCTCCTCAATGAGTTCGTCGAGGGACTTGCCGGGGTTCTCAGCGAGGATGGCATCGAGCTTAGCGGTAGAGTTCTGTGAAGGCGGGGTTATTAGCATAAGATGAACGGAAGATGACGCGCAAATAGGTCTCTGGCTTGGATGCTTACCAGCTTCTTGATGGCATTGCGGAGAGACCTGAGTGAAGTGTATGGTTAGCTCACTGTGTCCGACGAGTCATGGCGCATTAGGCCAAAGCCATGCGACAAGATTCACGCGAGGGGAATCATACTTCTGGAGCTCTTTCAGGTGGCTACTCTCAGTTCCATTGGCATCAGTTATGGGACTCTCAGGATCAGCCTTGGAGGTACTCGAAGCTCGGGAGAGGCCCTTCTCCTTGAGGTCTTTAGGCTTCTGAGTGGCGGAAGCGGGAGCCATAATGGAATGTGGGTAACACAAGTGAAAGTAGTAAAAGCCTGTACAGGATCACAATGATGAAAACGCAAAATGCGAAGTGATGATTAGGAAGAAGAGATGTTAAGAAGGAAGAATCAACATGCGGGTCCGAAACCCTTGGTCGGTGTGTGCAGCCACTTTAGGCACTCTCTAGCAAACCAGCACTCTACGCTCCATGTGGCTACAAGGCTTCAATTCGGTCGAAAGTAATCATAACTTCAATTGAATATTCCAATCCTGCTGGGTATCATATCCCAGGCGCCAGTACGCCGTCAGTGTCTAAATCACAGAATCCATGCAAGCCCATCAATCCCCAGCACAATAATTCATTGCCACTTGTCGCGAAAACAACTGATCCCGAGGGGTATTCTCTATCCCTGAAACTTGCGCAACGTTTTCTAAATGAGCACCAAAATTCGTCAGTCGTATATTCTAGGAGTTGTCTGGATCAAGCCCGGATGTGATCGATTCGATGTGACATACCTCAGTAACTTTGCGCACTGTATTGGCTGAGATGTTCTTCTCGCCAGATTTACGCGACTTGATTGATGCCTCGCGCATTAACCTACAAAAGGGTGTTAGCTTACCACTATTCCAGACACGGCTTGGGGCGTAAATCGACGGGCAGCAATCAAAAAGGACATACTCTTGCATGAACAGCATATAGTCAAGGAAGATCTGAGCAGAGTTGGTTAGGGGTGTTTTTCATAGGGGCGGGGACAGCGTACCAGGATGTCGGCATTTTTGCTCACATTTCGGTTTGAGTGGGCTTTCACAATGCGCTTGACAGTGCCTCGTGGGTAGAGCTTTTGAGCCATGGCGAGCGTAGAGAGAAGAAGAGGATGTTGACCCGACGTGGGGAGCTCCCGTATCTAATACGCGTGACCCCAGATATTGCAACATCCATACTTCCCCCGGCCAACATAGTTTTTTTTTTTTTTTTCAGTCTATAGAACTGGACTTGATGAGCTACATAAAAAATGTGACATGGCTCAATTGGCTTGATCTTGAAAAGTTGCAAGTTCTAGGGGTCCATACAAGTGCTTTTAAACCACAAGTCAAAAGCTGTAGTAACATAATTGACGCTCCAGAAACTCATTATAATTCTACTCTCATACTTCAATACCCGCGCTCACGTCAATTGCTGCTAATAGTTTGTAGACTAGAGCCTAGGTGAGCGAGGCTAGGAAGCTCTACATCTTATTTAGCTTAGTACATCACGAATGCGGAGACCATACTGGAAGAAGTAGACTGGTTTTTCTTGGCAAAGGTTGTGCTCACGCCGATATTAATTTGTACTGCGCTTCTCATTTCATTGTACACTTAAACGGGATCGTAGAAAGCGCCATGCAAGTATGCCAGTGATCGACGCAACCGCTGCGCGCCATGCTAGGAATACATAGATGGCTTTGCTCATGCGCTGGTAATATCCGCATAATAGAATGCCTACGGCATAGTTCATCCCAGCCGCGGGACGGTCTTCAAGATCATAGTATCTGGCCACACCAAGACCTAAGATCCCAGCAGGGCTAGTCCAACAGCTTTTATCGGACGTTTGGCGAGGGCGAGTGCCTGAAGTAGCACGGATGGCATTGCGCTTCCTCAGACCGTAGGTCATTAAGCTCACAATAAGGCGAAGATCGGGTGTAGTGAAAGTTGGATATTCCCACTGTTGAATTGAGCGATGGGGTGGAAGTATGTTGAGGAAATCAGTCATGACCCCAAGGGTCAGTCCCCAAAGTAGTAGTGGACGAGCAATGTCAGTCGAATCCGCTTGGTTACTTAAAAACCAATTTTTGATATTGTGGGCGATGGAGGGTTTGGTACTAGCATCAGGGATAAAGCCTTTGATCGCTGTACAATACTGGCTTTCCGAGGGGATTAGTCGGATGGCCGAGAATTGCATTTGACCCATCAAAGAACGGATTGCGAGACGAGGTATAAATCCACCTGGGAATGCCAGTCGCAATCGTTGAGACACATCCACATATTCAATGGTTCGAAGAGGAGGTGACAGGAGAGCACGCAGCGGGACCCAATGGATCGATGCTACTTCGGTGGGTTGTAAACGAAGAGGTGGAATGGTAGGGCTGGTAACTATGAATACGAATGGACAAAGGACCATCAGACTGCCATTAAGGTTAGTATATTTCTTGCAAAAAGCCAACGGGAACATACATTTCAGACCCGAAGTTGGCATAGACCACTCGCTCCGGGAGGTTTCCCACGGCGATACAATCTGGCCCAGTCAAATCAATACCAATCTCCTCATCAGCCTCTCGAATAGCTGCAGCTTGATCATCCTCGTCTTCGGGGTCTCTTTTTCCGCCAGGTAATGCTACGTGACCAGTCCATCGATCTCCCACCCGAGAGGAGCGCTTGATGAACAATACCTCTGGCTCGCCGTTTTGAACCCAATCCTGCGCACAGAAATCGGATAGACGTTTTTCAACGGGAAACTCGGTATTATCACTGCAGGATGTTTCAGGCCAATAGTTATAGCTTGGTCGAACGTGAAGAATCACAGCGACCGAGGCTCGTTTTTTGACAGAGAATGGGTTGGGAACATGGGGAAATGGTTCGCGATATAAATCTTGGAGACCATCAAGAAGATGTGTGATGAGCCCAGGGCACCCTCTATCAATGTCGTTCTCCATAGGGTACAGCGTACTGCTCTGATGTAATAATGCCCAAATAAGCATCAGGAACCTCCTCCGTCCGGGGGCGGAGAGCGGCGCCAGTCGAGAGTGAGTAGGTGGCCCGTGCGCCAACCAAAGGGCTGAGATCTCCCCGGGAGCCGCCGCTTCAAGTCTATTGCCTCTTATCTTCAAAGGGCACATAGACTTGTCAAAAAGAAAGAAGGAATGGTGTATTCTATGAATATACACAAGCTAGCAAAAAAATAGAATGTAAACGCTACCCACGGGGGTCGAACCCGCAACCTTCCGGTTAACTGGATGGAGGTTAGTATTATAATATTATGAAAATGATGTAAAGGGTTACTGACAAGCCGGACGCACTACCATTGTGCTAAGGAAGCTAGTTGAAGGAATATGCCAGACTAGACCAAACATGAATATACTGGTTATGAGAATTGAAAGCAAAAAATGAACGCTACCCACGGGGGTCGAACCCGCAACCTTCCGGTTAACTGGATGGAGGTTAGTTTTGTATTCATGTGAAGAGAAGTGTAAAGGGTTACTGACAAGCCGGACGCACTACCATTGTGCTAAGGAAGCTGATTGAAGGAAACTACCTTAACTTTGGTATATGACTCAAACAGCCATGCCACTGTTGAGGCTTCTGAGTTTAATGTTTGAATAAAGCTTTATCGCTTGGTAAGTTTCTCTTATTAACTGCAGTATAGCTGCACACTAATCTTTAGTGAATCACTTGGCACAGATTTTGTTTAAAGACAAGTCCTACATATATTCGCTTGTGGCGATATGTTGACATTGCCACAGCAAAGGCGAGGATACAATACGAGATGATCATGTGACTCAACGGTATGGATCACGTGGGGGCCTAGGTCTTGATTTAGTCGTCATGCATCTTAGTCTCTGATTGGCTGTAATTGAGCACGTGCGTCTATCGCTGGCTCTACGCATTCGTTTTAAGCTGCTGCCATCGCTTAATCCTAAGCTATTTTTTTAGGCTTCTTTTGCATTTCACCCGCAGGATAGGATCAAATTCTTTACAGCCTCTCTATCAATTGCCTGTTGGGTATTGAATTGTTCCTCAATCTTTCTTATCTGTTGCTCCCTTCATAAAGTGCACAGGGCCGTGCCTGAGTAACCAGCTGCACCACTCCATTCTCAACCAGACTGGCTCAAAATGCGGTTTGGGAAGACCCTCCGCACTGCGGTGTACCCTCCTTGGAAAGGGAAGTACATTGACTACGCTAGACTTAAGACACTGTTGAGAGAGCATGATGTCACTGGAGAGGATGTTAGTGACTCGGACGACGATCAATGGACCGAGCAGGATGAGGAGGCCTTTGTGCAGGAATTACTTAATGTACAGCTGGACAAAGTGAATACCTTCCAGGCAGAGACCTCACAACAACTCCGAGAACGTACAACGGCCTGTGAGGCTAAATTGCGACCATTGGCACCCGCCCCGGAGCAGGATGCCCCCGCGCTTGACGATCAGAAGAAGAGAACAATTGCCTCAGAGGTTCTTCAAGAGCTGGACAACATCACAAAGGAAGTCAGTGCCTTGGAAAAATACAGTCGGATCAACTTTACAGGCTTCCTCAAGGCTGCAAAGAAACATGACCGAAAGCGTGGAGCCCGATACCGAGTGAAACCCTTGCTCCAAGTGCGACTGTCCCAGACACCTTTCAACTCGGAGGACTACTCTCCACTTGTTCATCAGCTCTCGGTGATGTACTCTTTTGTTCGAGAGACATTGAGTCAAGACATCGTGCAACCAAAAGAGCCAGAGCGTGGATTTGGTCGTGATACATACTCTTCCTACAAATTCTGGGTCCACGAAGACAACGTATTGGAAGTGAAGACTTACATTCTGCGTCGTCTCCCTGTCCTTATCTACAACCCCGGAACCTCCAAGGACCTCGATACCCTGACTGAAGACCCAACGATTACCTCCCTATACTTTGACAACCCGCAATTCGACCTCTACAACCAGAAGGTCGCACGAGCCCCCGAGGCCGGATCTTTACGACTACGCTGGACGGGGTCGCTGAAAGACAAGCCTGCTGTGTTCTTGGAGAAGAAGATCGTCACCGATGACGACGAAAGCCGACAGGTCAAGATTCAGCTCAAGAATAAGCACGTCAAGGAATTCTTGGACGGCGAATACCGCTTTGATAAGAAGGTCAATCGTATGGAGGATTCTGAAAACGGAGAGTCAGCAGCTGCAGAAGCTTTGAAAAAGGATATTGATGAGCTCCAATCTTTCGTCAAGGAGAATGACCTGCAGCCTATGCTCCGTGCCAACTACACACGCACTGCATTCCAAATCCCCGGTGATGATCGCATCCGCATTTCTCTTGATACAAACCTTGCTCTGATTCGTGAGGATTCTCTCGACAGCGAGCGTCCGTGTCGCGACCCAGCTGAGTGGCACCGCGCCGACTTGGATGACGCCGACATGACCTATCCCTTCACCAATATCAGAACTGGAGAGATCAACCGCTTCCCTCACGCTTTACTCGAGATTCAGCTTCGGGGCAAGGCCCACAACACTGAGTGGGTTAACGACCTGATGGTGTCCCATCTGGTCAAGGATGCTCCTCGTTTCTCCAAGTTTGTTCACGGTGTTGCTTTATTGTTCGAGGACCACGTCAACAGTTTCCCCTTCTGGCTGAGTGGACTGGAAAATGACATCCGTCGTGATCCCGAAACTGCATTCCACGAAGAGCAAGAGAGATTGGCACGACGAGCGGAAGAAGATATAGCAGTGGGTAGTTTTATGGGCGCAGCAAACAGTCCAACTCGTGCACTTGTTGGCTCACCCTACCATCACTCTTACGGAGGCTCTCCCTCTGTCGTACGGAGACAATCAGCCATCACCGAGCCTGCACCGCGACCCTCCCGCCCTTCGATTCCTGAAGTGCAACCCCAACAACCCGAATATGAAGATGAACCAGAAGAAGAGCCTCAAACACCTTCTCGCCTCGAGTCCATCCTTCAGTCCGTGGGATTGTCCCCGGAACGCTGGCTGGGACAGAGCCCTATTTCTCTGCCTCCTGGCGTCCGACACCCTGGTATCTGGATCAAAGATGCTGGCCCCGTTCGTGTGGAGAGCAAGGTCTGGCTTGCCAACCAGCGAACCTTTATCAAATGGCTTCACATCAGTATTCTGTTGTCGAGTCTGTCCCTTGGTCTTTACAACGCTGCTGGCAAACACAACAGGATTGCCCAGACCCTGGCTGTGGTGTACACATTCTTTGCTATCTTCGCCGCAGGATGGGGCTGGTACATGTACGAGAGACGGGCACGACTCATCCGTCAGCGAAGCGGCAAGGACCTGGATAACATGATTGGACCTATCGTCGTCTGCATCGGTTTGGCCATTGCTTTGGTCCTGAACTTTATCTTCAAGGTGAGAGATTTTCCTGTCCTGTTCTCCGGACTTTACTGACTTCCAAACAGTACACCTCAGCACTTGCGCAAAACGATAACCCCCCGTCTGTCGGCGTGCCTGTTCACTCTAACTCGTCGGCTGTATTTGACAGCAACTCAGGGGCTCAGTGGGCTAATCAGGCCCAGCAGGTTCTTTGATCGAGTCTGTTTAATTTGTCAAACATAAGAGTTGGCCAGTAGATATCCCGGTTGGCTCTGTCCAGATTGCCCAATTTTTGGAGCATGCACCTATGGAACTTACGGTGTAAATGTATCGAATAATAGCGTGTACCTCAATACCAAATCCCTTTTTGCTTATCAGTTTCATCCTCTCCTGTCTTCATCTTCATCTCCCAGGCATATTTGCTTGTAATCACCAAAGTTCATCAACGACCGCAACACGAGGGCGAACACGGGCTGGTCTATACAAAAGTACGAAACTACGCCCCAAATAGAAGTGATCCAATGAAGAAGTAGACATTCGATCGAACCCCTTGATCCCGAATACTCCATCAATGAAACAGTTCCATCCCAATCCCCTGCTGACAAATCGACTGTCATCCCCGACATGAAAAGCAACCGACGCCCAAAAAAAAAAAAGCCCAAACCCAATCCTTCTTTCTCAAACCCCTCATCTGACATTTCAGACCCCTCACAATGACAAACTTCACCATTCAAATCATATCAGACACGGTGTGCCCGGTAAATACAACCTCAATCCTGCCCCAAGCCCCAACCCAACTATACCTATAACTATAACCTACACCATGACGCAACCAAAAGCTAACCCTGCCCCAAACAGTGGTGCTTCGTAGGCTACCGCCGGCTATCAAAGGCCATAATAGCTCACAGAGCCACAAACCCAGCAGATACATTCAGTCTGCACTGGAAAGCATTCTACCTAAACCCAGCCAGCGCGCCCTACCCGGGCGTTAACAAGGCCGAGATGTACGCTCAGAAATTCGGCGCGGAGCGAATGACCGCCATTTTCTCGAGACTTGCGGCTGCGGGTGAAGGGGATGGAATCCATTTCTCCTTTGGGGGGAATACGGGGTCAACGCGGGATTCGCATCGACTGCTTTGGTATGCTGGTCAGCAGGAGGCTAACATGGAGAAGAAGGAGGAGGAGGAGGGTGTGGTTGGGGGAGTGCAGAGTCGAGTTGCAGAACAGTTGTTCCGGGCATATTTTGAGGAAGAGAAGAATATAACTGATTTGAGGGTTTTGGTTGAGGCTGCTGTTGGGGCTGGCTTGGATGGGGATGCTGTTAAGAAGATGTTGGATGAGGATGTTGGGGGTGAAGAAGTGGATTTGGAGGCTAAGACTGCTGCTAGGAGGTTGGTTTCGGGTGTGCCTTATATCTCCGTGCAGGGCAAGTATCATGTTGAAGGTGCGGATGAGCCTGAGGCCTTTTTAGAGATCTTTGAGAAGATCAAGCGGGAGGAGTAAGTGGATGTGTGTTCAATTTATATGTTTATGTTGGCAAAGAGAATGGTTGATGATCTCGTGCAAAATGCGTTTGTTATAATCAGCAACAGCAGTTCTAGTGACAGCCTATGGTAATGCTGTCGAGCCCTATCGAGCAGTTTGTCATGGCTAATTCTATCTTCATGTCCGTGTGCCGGTAGGATAGCGACAAGACAATGGGCAGCATGAGAAAGTAAAGTAACGCCTAGCATGCAATAGACGTGTGCTAACTGAGAACAAAACACAAGCCGGGTAATGAGAAGAAGAAGCATGATAATACAGAACGAGGATGCTAATGGGAAATAAAATAAGAGACCCATCAACACCAGAAAGAAGAAAGGTGGAGAAAGCATTTGCATTGACATGGGAGATGGCTGGGGCCATGTCATGTCAGAGGCAAGTCATGATACATCGTAGCAGGTCATGGAATTGCAAAGCCCCATCTTTGATTGCTTGGGGAAAGGGGGGCTCTAATGAGTCGTCTGCGAACGGACTTGATGCAGTTCGTAATTTGGGAGATAGTCGAACCAATCACTCTCAGGGTTGTAGCGATACGCCTTGAAGTCAACCCCATAAGGCTTCGGTTCCAGCATGTAAAGCACGCCCATTGGGACGTCGAGGTCAGCAACCTCATCACGCTTCAGGCCACGGAAGTAAGCCAGGAGCACGCGGGCAACAGATCGGTGACTGACGAGCAACACATGGTCGGTGGTACGCTCAACCTCGACAATGACGGCGCGAGTTCGGTTGATAATGTCGAGATAGCTTTCTCCACCAGGTCCGGGGTAGCGATAGAAGAGCTTGTCCTTCTTTCGGTGGGCATACTCCTCGGGGTACTGCTCCTGGATTTCCTTGTAGGTCATGCCCTCCATCTTGCCGGAGTGGATTTCGTCCAGCATCCTCATCTGCTTGACATCGTATTCATCTTCATTGAAGTATTCGGCGGTTTGAACGGAGCGTTGCATCATAGAAGACCAAACACAGAAGTTGCGAGGTCCCTCTCGCGGGATATAAGATGGGTTGGGAGGTGTGCTGTCACCAGGGCGCGGTGGGAAGTGCTTCAGAAGGTCCTTCTGCCGCTGGTATGATTCCCATTGTTGGCGCTGATGGTCAACGAAGCGAGCCAGCGCCTTCGCGTACCGTTTGCCATTCTCACTGAGATCGGAATCGCCACCAATGCGGCCAGCAGCGTCATCCAGACTCTCGCCGTGCCGTGTGATCCAAATCTGGCGCGGGGAGAGGTTGAAGTTGAGCAAGTAGTAGACAACTTGAGAAGAGAGGAATCCATGGGTCTGGTGGGCGACCACTTTACGACCGACATCAATCATCTGGATATAGGCCATGCGATTCCTTTCCTCGTAATCGCCCAGGGGCACATAAGACTTCTCATAGAGAGCCACACGCTTCTTAAAGTCGACCAGAGCCTCAGTAGGGTCCTGGCCCTTGTAGTCTGGACCAGAAAGCTTCAAGCGCATATTAGCCTCAAGGAGATCCGGGTCCACACAGCTACTCTCAAGGAATAGAATGTTCAACTCGGGACCAGCACGGTTGCGAATGTGGTCAACAATTGCCTTGCGGCGCTCCATGGTGCTGTTGGTAGCATCGAGGATACCGATGCTGCCACCATCGTCCAGAATGTAATCGAGCAACTCATCAAGAGTGTCAAGCGCCACTTGCTCTCTCATCTTGACAGCAAGCTGGTTCTGAGGGTCAAAGAAATTTGCAGTCTGATCAATTGGCTCGGGAGAAGCTTCGTGGATAGCTTCTTCATTCTCGTGGGATTGGCCAGGGCCTGCATCAATCGAGGGCACCACGGTGCTTCCATTTTGAGAGACATGCTCTGGTTCCTCTCCGTTGACAAGAATCTTGGCGGGAAGGACCGGAGGGGGGAGTGGTGCCTCGTTGATAGGTTCGGCGGTCTCGGACGAGTTCAAGGTAGAGCCAACGCTGACACTCAATCGACGCACTGAGTCAATGAGATCATTGTGAATAGCGCTTGGCTTGCGGTTGCGGCCAAGAGGGGCTGGCGACGGTGACTTTCCAGCAGCCACACGACGACGCTGACCAACGTTGAAGATTTCGGTGTCGTGTTGGAGCCAGTTCAAGTAGCGGGCCAATTTCTTGGTGATATAACTCTTGCCTCGAGCCGGAAGGCCGACCATGACAATGACCAGCTTTGCGCCGACATCACGTTGGGCAATACGTCCATCTGGAGACACCTTGGACTTGGTCAATCCGGGGATATCAAGAGTGGTTGCTCGAACCCGACTAGGGGTTCCGCCAGGCTGAGGAGTGCCAAGTCTGAAGATGAAACAACGTCAGATAAGGTTCGCAAAGTGCATAAAGTGACAAACATGAGCACAAGGGACTGGGTCTTGGTTCCGGGGTAAGCAGACAAGCTTAGAATAAGGCTGCAACTCAGCCTTGGAGATCTATTCCGAGGTGCGTCTTGCCGATCATACTTCTGATAGGCCAGAGAGCTCACTGAAACGCAACCCCCAGAGGATTGAGACAAGGGGATTGGACACACTTACATCTGTGGAGACGGGGGTGCGGTAGAAACCGGAGTGTCAGCCAGAGTGTTTCCGACTCCACCCTTGGGCGGCTGTGAAGATTCGGAATGCAAGTCATTGCCTAGCGCTCGATTGACCACAGTTTTCGGAGGCAGCAGGGCTCCTTCTTTTCCCGATCCCGAGCCATTCCCGGTGGACGTGGCGCCGTTGGGCCGAGTATTATTCTTTTGATCTCCAACGTCAGGCGAGGTGGCCGACATCATGATAGCCGACCGGGCGATGTTGGAATGTTGCGCCATCCCCTGCAGGGGGATTTTCTGATCTTTTCTTTTATAGAACGTGTTGTCGTCTGTTTGTCAGGACTTGATTTCTGATGCAGACGACCTAGTCGTTGTGATTGCGATGGGTTCCCTCAAGACAGGATTTTGATGAGAAAAGAGAGAAAGTGGCGAGAGGGGGGGGGGTTGTGGATGAGTCAACCCGGGCAACCAGAACGTCACTTCGCTGCCTTCTCTGTACACAATAACCAGAATGACAGGAATAACAGAATAATAACGAGATGCTTATGGGTTGAGTCTTTGACAGTTTGCTTACTTTTTATCCTGACGGCGAAGCATCTGTCTCAAGGACTGGCGCTAAGGGCAGTCAAATGAGGTAAACGAACCCTTTACGCCCTAAAGCGAGAATCGCTTTCAAATGACGAAATGGCTATGCGGGTCGAGCAGCTAGTGCAGTGGATCAAGATTCCGATCAATAATGTGAAAGCAAGATCGCCAAGTATGATGTCAAAGGTGAGCTATAGCTAGCTCAGATGTGTTTTGAGAGGATGAATGGAGGGCAGGATCAAGAGATCTTATACTTAAGATCCATGCGAGGGAGGTCTCATCATGCAAGATGTATTCATGCTATCTCTAACTTAAGGGAGAATGCTTGGCTATGGCATCTGAAAGAAACGGTGGAGCAACAAAACAACATGATCCCTGTGCTTTGCAAATCCCCTGCGACATGTGCTTACAAGTAACCCCTCTTGGATCTCCGGACAGCGTCAGCACACCCTTAATGGGTTGATTTCAGACACGGCTAGCTCAACAAAAGTAAATTTGGATCTGGGCTCAGCCGGTATATTAAAGACCAATAATTAGAACACGGTGTGACCTGAGGCTTATCGTGCTGATACCTCCCTTTTCTCGGGACATACTCGGCTTTCTTGGCTTGTTCTCTCAACACATCAGGTTGATCTCTAACCAACTGTAAGCTCCCGTTCAAGCACGCTGATCTCCGCTGCTGTAAGCTCCGGAAGGGTTGACCCATATCCAGTAGGTTAATGCGGAATCCTCGGCGCTTGGCGGTAACGCAGGGGGGACCCCAGGTAGCATGCCGAGAAGATAGGTGGAGGATAGGGATCTGGAGTGTCGGATACGATGGAATCGATAAAACGGTGTGGCTGATTTCACGCAGAAATCGCCTAATCAGTTGCTCAGGTTCAAGGTCAGGCCAATCAAGCATGCGTAGGCTGCAATACTTAGTGCTGTGAGAACCAAAACCGCATTCCCACTGGTCCTGAATTTATGTCGATGGATCCCATCCTCTCCTACTTCAGAGAAGAACTGTCTGTTTCCTTGGGACCGGCGAAAGAGTCCAATTATGAGGACACCCGTGCCATAAATCGCGAACAGGGCTCCGATGCTGTAAAACTCCGCGGTGAAGATCTTGAGCACAACAAGGGCGAACGAGAATTGAGAAAGGGCAGTCCGAACATAGGCACCTTCGAAGGTTCGTTGAGCCGCGCGCACTTCCACAATCTCATCTGATGTCAGAACGGCCGAACGCGCCCGGTGCATTCGAAGGCGATACCGATCCGCGGCACGACGCTGAGATAGAGATGGTCAGACATAACAAGGACAGGGAAGGTGAGGGGAGATAAATTGGGGTAGGGAAAGAAGGTCTAGGTAAACACACTTCAAACATGGTCTCCACCGATCAAACGTCAGAGGATGCAGGGTATACAGTACAGTGAATACTTGAGGGGAAGGAATTTGAATTCCGGGGGAGTTGGGAAGCTGAGGTCTCACGTGGACAGTTGGTTCAGGTGACTCGACAGTATAACCTTCAAATCTTTTCCTATTCTATGCTATATGCCCTTTCATTTTGAAGTCATTATTTGACACACATTGGCCATTCCCATCCACATTTATCCCACCAATGACGTGGGGGTGTTTTCAATTTGTCCTGTCGGCAATCGAAACGGCGCCCAACAAGGAAAAAGCGGCGACCGACCGTTCCCCACACTCTCTCCATGATGTCGCTTTTTCCGGACTGCGATCTCTCTCTTACAATTGTTCTTTATTCTTGAGTCGCTCTCCACAGGTAGATACCCTGACCGTATCCGGTTTTTGCTTGCGCCTTCAGAATGGCTAAGGTATTCGATGCGACAGAAGGTACTTTCTCCGCACATGTCCCTGGACCCCCCACGCGGGATGAATTGACGCTGACCGAAGAAAAATAGTCGCAAAGCACAATACTCGTGAGAGCTGTTGGGTGATTCTATACGGCAAGGTCTACGATGTACGATTTCCAATTATACCTTCATTCCTCCCAGTCCTCCAATGGATGTCTGACTCTTCCTTATCTAGGTCACCGATTTCCTGGGCAGCCACCCTGGCGGTGCAAAGATCATTCTGAAACTCGCTGGTCAGGATGCCACCGAAGAATATGATCCTATTCACCCGCCGGGTATCTTAGAAGAGGAGCTCAAGCCCGAGGCATGCTTGGGAACAGTCGATGCCAGCACATTACCAACGGAAGAGGCCCCGGCTGAACCCCAAGAGGAGGCCGAGGGCCCGCCACCTATGGAGAACCTTCTCAACTTGGATGAGATGGAGGAAGTTGCTGCTAAGCAAGTAAGCAAGAAAGCTTGGGCGTACTACTACTCTGCATCCGACGACAAGGTCAGCAAGCACTTCAACAATCAGGTCTACCGGTCCATTCTCCTGCGACCAAGGGTATTTGTGGATTGCGCAAAGTGCGAATTGGATACAACAGTATTGGGCCACAAATTAAAAACGCCAATCTATGTGTCTCCCGCCGCTATGGCGCGTCTCGGTCACCCTTCTGGTGAGGCTGGTATCGCAGAGGCATGCCGTAGCTTTGGAGCTATGCAGATCATCTCCAATAATGCTTCCATGACCCCCGAGCAGATTGTCAAAGATGCATCACCAGACCAGATCTTTGGTTGGCAACTCTATGTCCAGATTGATCGTAAGAAGAGCGAGGCTATGCTTGCACGCATTAACAAGCTTAAGGCAATCAAGTTCATTGTTCTCACACTTGACGCCCCGGTTCCTGGAAAGCGTGAGGATGACGAGCGAACCGGTATGACCGGAAGAACAGCCGCAGTCACAAGCGGTGTAAAGGCCGCTGAGCGTTCATCAGACGACACCCCCAACCCAACAGAGGGATCAGGCGGTGTTGGCCAGCAACTATTCGCAGGCACAGATCCTTCTCTGACGTGGACAAAGACTCTGGCCTGGCTCGCCAAACAGACGGATCTTCCTATTGTCTTGAAGGGTCTGCAGACTCACGAGGATGCATACCTTGCTTCGCTCCATGCACCTCAGGTGAAGGGTATCATCCTTTCTAACCACGGAGGCCGTGCTATGGATACTGCTCCCCCAGCTGTACACACTCTTTTGGAGATTCGGAAGTACTGCCCCGAGGTCTTTGACAAGATCGAGGTTTACGTGGATGGAGGTATCCGTCGCGGTACTGATGCCGTAAAGGCTCTCTGTCTGGGTGCGAAGGCCGTTGGCCTTGGACGTGCTGCTCTCTGGGGTCTTGCAGCAGGCGGTGTCGATGGTGTGCGTCGTACTTTGCAAAGTAAGTTGATGGATTATTCGAACTGGGGGCGAGCACCTTGTTAATGTTTCTATAGTTTTGAACGATGAAATGAAGACGTGTATGCGTCTACTTGGAGTGGATAGTGTTGATCAATTAGGGCCTCAGCATGTAAGCACGCTCGCGTCATCTTGCCAAATACTGGATCAACTAACATGGCTTATAGATCAATACCCGTGTGACCGAGCAACAGATCTACGATGGACCTGCTGGTCTCGAACAACTACAACAGGCATTACGTGCAAAGCTATAGGGATGTCAGTGATTTCAGAGCAATATACACCGAATGTAAATTTTCTTTCTACATAGTTCAACCTTTCAAATGATCTAGTCTGTTGAAGTAGTCTTCCAATGATGTATAAGATAGTTGCGTTGTTCCATTGCGCTAGCCCTAACAAATCTCATGGTCCATACTCCGTGTAAAGCAGTGCATACCATGTCAGACTAATCTTCCATGCTCTCCATTCCTATCTCTTTATGTCTTGCAATCTGTCAATCACATCCTTCCTCCCCTTGATATTGTTCCCGTTGGGTCCACTATAGCGCCACTCTAAATGGATCCCACCCCACCACAACCAAAAAAAATTATGCCTGTCTGTAACTGCTAAATCGAAAGGACAAAAAATGGTTTCCCTGGGAATCGAACCCAGAACCTTTCCGGAACACGTGCTTGAAGCAATTGTTAACGGAAAATCATAACCGCTAGACCAGGAAACCAATTGATGTAATCTGAGGCTGCCCCTGCCACCACATTCGTGAAACGCAATGTCGCTTCGAGGTTATAGTTGAAACTCAATCTCGTGGCAGTTCAATTGATTTATATTATATTGGTGATTGTATAGACAGTGTTAGATTAAGTAGATTGAAGGCTTGGGGTACTCCGCGGAAGAATTGTGATTATGCATCAATTGCGCGGGGCAGCGTTCTTACACGAGCATATATTGCAGGCCTCCGTGTGCAACAACCTAGTCATTCTATCAACACAAAATCGGGGATACTCTTGTGAGATCTATAGCCCAGCTTGTTCACCATGGATACATTTTTTCTGAAGCAATGGTTCGCCCATACATCCACGCCATTCATTGCCAATGCACCCATGTTTGGATTCGCAGATGTCAATTTAGCAACTGCAGTGACGAAAGCGCACGGATTCGGTATGCTTATGATATCTTCTCAGGGTAGGAAAAACCTCTACGAACAGAGTTAATCATTCTCAGGTTTCATTGGCGGCGGCTTCGATTTCAAGCCAGAGTCCCCACAGCTCCAGAGCCTGGACAAGCAACTGGCAAATGCCCGTACTATCCTAGAAGTAGGTGAAGAGGAAACACTACCACTTGGTGTTGGCTTCATCACATTCCAGCCAAGCGGGTTTATCGCAAATGCCATTCCCATCTTGCGGAAGCATCGGGTAGCAGGGATCTGGCTATCATTCCCTCGGACGGATGGTGATCATCTTCCTCTCATCCAAGCTATTCGAAAATCTCAGGAGGAGTCCGATTGGCATACGAAGGTTTTCGTTCAGGTGGGGACTATCAGAGCAGCTGAGGAAGCTATCAAACAGGGTGTCGATGTTTTGGTTGTTCAGGGGACTGATGCTGGGGGTCATCAATGGGCTCAGGGTGCTAGTTTGATGTCTCTTTTACCTGAGGTGCGGGATATTCTGGTGAAGGCCGGGCATCAGTCCATTGCTGTGCTTGCTGCTGGTGGTATTGTTGATGGGAGAGGGTGTGTTGCTGCTCTTGGTCTTGGTGGGTTTTCGCTTCTTGATTCATGTTCAATTGTCAAGCTATACTAACTAATTACAAAGGCGCGGATGGGATCGTTATGGGCACAAGAGTGAGTTTGATTCTCTTGAGCATATATCGAAGGTGTTGTGCTAATCAGGTCCAGTTCGTTGCAACCTCTGAATGCCCGGCGCCATCTGCTATGAAGGAGACCATTGTGTCTAGCAGTGATGGTGGGGTCTCAACTATTAAATCTACCCGACATGATGTGTTCCAGTCAACTGATGTCTTTCCGAGACAATATGACGGAAGAGCTGTTATTGGGGTTAACTATGAGGAATCTGAGAGAGGGGTCAGCGACGAGGAGATCATTCAGCGGTATAATGAGGCCAGTAAGGCAGGTGAGGTTCAGAGAAGAACTGTCTGGGGGTGAGTTTCTGTTCTCCTTCTACATGAGCTGTGCTAACACCGTGAGAAGGGGTGCTAGCATTGGAAGTATCAATGCAGTGGCGTCTGTCGACGATGTCATAAAGTATGCCCAGGAGGAAACTCGGGCTATCTTGGAGCGAATGCGAGGTGTGGAATAAGGTCATCTCTTAATTTTGACATTTGCTCAACAATCTTAGTCGAGAATCTATACAGCATGCACCATGTCTTGATATATATTGCGGAGATAGACAGAGTCGAGACATATATATTTTCAGGCTAAAAATGAAATATGCTTATATCAACGAAGGCCCACGGTGAATTGAACCGATAGTTACATCAAAAGCATGAAATTGACTCTGTACATAGAGTATGAACTGAGAGCTGAAACACAGGCATAGATCGCCAAGTACTCCGAGAACAGCATTCACTCCCCCCCTTCCCCCTCTTTCAATCCCTCTTCTTGCAAGCTTCTGCATATCTGCAAATCTCACTTCTCATATTCCAAGCAATCAAAATTCCCAGACGTGTTTGGTCAGCTCTGAAGCTGGGACGACGTTCCCTCCTTAGCTGCCCCCCGCGATTAATTCCGCGATCTCTTCCTCTCCGCCAAGGCACGCATAGATCGCAAAACCTCGAAAACCCACCCACTGGCACCCACCAGGGCATTTTTCTCGGTCATCTGCCCGGTGGAAGCCCCCCTGGACACCTAGCAACTACACCACCGCCATGAACGAAACCACTCCTTCCCCGAGTCCCGCACCAGCTCTGAAAGCTTCGCCTGGTTCAAAACCCTCACCCTCACCGACCGCCGGCATAAAACGCAAGAGAAATGGCCCAGCAAAATATTATGCCGTCAAGGCAGGTCACAAGCCGGGCATCTACCATGGATGGAATGAATGTCTGGCTCAAATAACGGGGTTCAAGGGAGCAATTTGTGAGTGCCATTGTCGCAAGGTCGCACCGGCGCGTTCATTTGGCCAGCAACTGACAATGTCAATACTTTAGTCCAATCGTTTCCCTCACAAGAAGCAGCGAACGCGTTTTTGAATGGTGTCAAGCTTCCGACGAACGCTTCCTCAGGCGCGGAAACTAGATTTTACGGGATCCAACGAGGTCGAGTCCCAGGCGTATACACCGACTGGAACAAAGCACAAGAACAAATTCGTGGGTTTGCTCGGCCTAAATACCGCAAGTTCTCGAGCCGTGACGATGCAGAGGACTTCGTACGGGATGGCCAGAAGTCAGTTCCTGCGGTCGGATTCGGCGCACCTGTAACCGAGACTGAAGCACCAAAAGATGCAGAAGGGGTCGAATTTGCACCTGGTGACGGCCCACTCCCCCAGGGAGCTGAAGATGGCTTTGACCCTAATGTGCTTCTAGATCCAGCCACAGGCAAGGTGATGTACAAGACCACAACCCAAAAGGCAGCAACAAAGACACAAACCACCGGAATCCCGGGAATGCTGCGGATATACACAGATGGAAGTTCATTAAGGAACGGCACCCCGTTAGCATCGGCCGGAGTAGGGGTATACTTCGGCCCTGACGATCAAAGGTTCGTCCACCCCCAAGAGAGGTCTATTGATCACCTCTGACTCACCTCACTTATCCTAGCAGAAATGTTTCGGAGCCACTCAAAGGTGCTCGTCAAACAAATCAACGTGCCGAACTGACAGCCATCCTTCGGGCCATTGATATTGCTCCTCGGCACCGAGATGTAACCATATTCACCGACAGTCGATATGCAATTGACTGCGTAACGGTGTGGTTCGTCAACTGGCGTCGCAATAATTGGATGACTCGTGATAAGAAGCCAGTTGAGAATAAGGATCTGGTTGAGTCAATCCTTGTGAAGATCGAGGAACGCAATGAGCTCAAGGTCAAGACCTTGTTTGAATGGGTCAAGGGCCACAATAAAGACTATGGCAATGAACAGGCTGATCGTCTAGCGGTCAACGGAGCCCACCAGGGCGTAGTTGCCAAGGCAGAGGCACTTGAGGTAGCCCAAGATGTGCCTGACGAGGTTTTTGACGACGATTTTTACTAAGTCATGCAATTTTGGATAATGAAAATCAATTATGAATCAAACATGAAGAATCAACAGCCAGAAGTATTGTCAGTCAAGTGAAAACATCGCCGAAACTGGGAAATTCCGACTTTGTAGATCGAATAAGCTGCCAAGACCCCCGGATTGAAGAGAATCTCTGCCGCTTCACCTTCACCTTTTCACTGCATCTCTGCACATCTGCACACTCTTGCTTGGTCCCCCCCCCCCGTTTGCCCTGAATTACGAATGTTTGTCCTGATCAAGCCTGTCGTCTTTCAAACACAAATGCTCGCGTTGCGCATCTCACAGGATAACCAAATTATGATTGAATAACATTCGCTTGCATCTGTGTTATTTCCATCTGTCTCCGGACAAATCTATAGGACTAGCAGTGTCCTCCCTGATATTACCTGATTTATAAAGACCGACTCGATCTACTCACATTTGGCCCCAATCACACTTGACCGCAAACCATAACCCACGAGGCGGGCTGCATGCAATCAACATGCCGACACTCGCCTTAATCAACTTCAACATCGTCTGCGCGACGCTAGGGGGCTTCATTTCCCTATTCGGACTTGTCTCTTATCTCTGCAAGGACGTGTTCTATCTGTCCGAGGCTTGTTAGTGCTCCCCCATAATCACCTTCCCCCACGCGACACAATTGCTAATCGTTAGTAGTGATCTCCCTCCTAGCGGGCGTCGTATTCTCCCCACATGCAGCGAACTTCATACGACCGGAAGACTATGCCTTGCATGACCAACAGAACCTCGAAACAATCACGCTGCACTTCACCCGTCTGGTCCTCGGCGTGCAGCTAGTCCTTGCCGGTGTGCAGCTCCCCAAACGCTACCTGCAGATCGAATGGAAGAGCCTGGCCTTGCTGCTCGGCCCGGGTATGGCAGCCATGTGGATGTGCAGCAGCCTGATAATCTGGGCCATGGTGCCAAACTTCAAGTTCCTTCATGCATTGATCGTCGGTGCTTGTGTGACCCCGACAGACCCTGTCCTTTCCAACTCTATCGTCAAGGGGAAGTTCGCCGACAAGAACGTTCCCCGTCCACTGCAGAGGATTATTATCGCCGAGTCCGGTGCTAATGATGGTCTTGGATATCCTTTCCTTTTCTTTGGGATCTACCTCCTGCAATATACTGGCATGGCAAAGGAGAGTTATAGTGGCGGTGCCGGGAGAGCTATGGCGTTGTGGTTCTATGAGACCTGGGCCTATACAATCCTTTTGAGTGTCGCATATGGAATCGTGGTTGGTTACATCTCGAGGAAATTGTTGCATTGGGCCGAAGAGAAGCGCTATGTTGATCGAGAGAGTTTCTTGGTGTTTGCCATTGCTCTTGCAGTAAGTCGATATCCGGAACATGGGGGTTTCATTTGCTGATCTATATATATAATAGTTGTTCATCGTGGGAACATGCGGTTTGCTCGGAACCGATGATCTACTCGCTTGTTTCATTGCTGGGAACGTGTTTACACAAGAGTAAGACTAACCCAAAAGCTATACGAGGAAGAAACTAACTTCAATAGTGACTGGTTCCGTCTTGAAACTATGGATGACTCCCTCCAGCCAACCATTGATATGCTGCTCAATTTGTCTGTCTTCATGTGGTTCGGAGCAGTCTGCCCGTGGTCATCTTTCCTGAACAACAGTGTGATCCCAATCTACAGACTCATCTTCCTGGGAATTCTGATCCTCCTGGTTCGAAGACTTCCCATCGTCTTCGCCATGCACAAGGCTATCCATCAAATCGAGCTCGTCTCGCAGGCATTGTTCGTCGGATTCTTCGGCCCGATTGGTGTAGGAGCCATCTTCTACCTATCAATCAGTCTCGAATTTCTTCGCGAGATTCAAGTCAATGGCGAGGTCCCAGAGGATGTCCAGCAAGTCATCGAGACCATCCAAGTTGTTGTCTGGTTCTTAGTGATTTGCAGTATTGTAAGTCTTCAAATCCCCCAACAATTTCAACCCCAGCATTCGCTAACCATTACCAGGTTGTTCACGGTCTCTCCGTCCCAGTCGGAAAAGCAGGATACCACCTGCCACGAACAATTTCCACTGCAATGAGCACAGGCACACAGGACGAGCCATCACCGGTGCCAATCTCAAGTATCAGACATACCCACAGCACGGCCACACCGCTCGAGCAAGTCGACAGCCACCAAAGCCAAAGCCGTAAGCGTGGCGCTGCACGAGAACACAATGGGCCATTCACTGGGATTCACCGCTCGGTGATTCGTCCTCGTTCGCCGATCAACCAGCCTGGTACTGGCCAGACGGATGAACCCGAGAGACCTGTTCACCTTGTCTTCCAGGAACCGACTGGTGGTGAGGCCAATCGATAGGGCTGTATCAAACAGTAGTGGTTCGATACGGGGTTGAGGACTAGAGATATACTCTTTGGTCAGAAGGATGATGATTAGCGAGGGAGAGGTAAGTGGAAAGGGGAAGGAAAAGAGAGAGGCGAGGAGAGGGGAAAGAAGTACCGCTTCACGCTTCTGGCTGTTACAGTCACCCAGCGAAGCTAGCATCAGCGTGACATATTGCTATATCGGACATAGATATTTGCCTTTTGCACATACATAGCTTACGTGATACCTAAGCAATCCAGTTGATCCATGAGAGATTGTTTATCCAGAGTGCTAGTTGCATCCCATAGTGCTCAGCTTCAACTGCAAGCTGGGGATACAAATAGACAAAAGTCTTCAACTACAAATTGAAACCAAAAAATTTCGAATAACCAGGTTCATAATGATGCCATCTCATAACAATTGAAAGCAAATAAAGATAGATACAAGCATCGAAGATGCAAAGAACAAAAGTGCTTTACACCGACAAAACCCTACACAACACAGCTCGTGCCCATGATTATCATAAGAAACCAAAAAAAACCACATTGGATAATCACATTAGCAGAAGAAATGTCCAGACAGGCATCCGATCTGAAACCACAGCCATCTCATTCATCCCCAAGAAAATCCATTTGGACCCATGCTTCATCGATCCAGACGTCCTCTCGTATTTTTTTTGTCATACTTTCGATATCATTACACGTCATACTAGAAAGTAGAATATGAAAAAGAAACTCCATTGAATGTAGCGGTGTCAAGATCATGATCATGAATACATCGAACTCATATCGAATTCGGACCTTGCGAATAAGGCAAAGTAAAAAGCAAAGATGCAGGCACTCAAATGGTGGAGTGCAGCTCCCGGGTACGACGGGCAAGGGGCGCGATGAGGCGCAGGATCGGGTCGTGCGGGTTGCGCTCGACAATATTCATGTACAGGGTGTTCAGGCGTTGGCTCATAATGTCCAGGATGCGGGGTGCGACTTCACGAAGGTCATTGTCCTAGAGGCTACAGTTTTAGTTTGGAGAAGAGGTAAGAGAGCGGAGTAAAAACATACGTCGGGGTTGGCGCTCTGGAGAACCACGTCGAGCCAGTGAAGGCGTTGACCGATGTTGGTCTGCCAGGTGGAAGTTACAGCCACGGCGACGGAGAGCAGAACAATGGCGGGAAGACGAGACAAGAATGCAGGAGACACGCGCACGAAGAAGTTGTCAAATAGGTCGGCTTGCTGGTCCGATTGGAGCCACTGGAGCAATAATGTTAGTAAAACATACTCAAGAGTGAATAACACGAAAACAAACCTTGACAGTGCCTTCCTCATAGTGACCGGTGTTGATACATTGGATTATATCCGCCAGCTCGGCTTCCTCGGGAGTCCGAGGAGTTTGTGCCTGGATTGGGGCAGGAACTGGGGCGCCTTGAGGAATTGGGGCAGGCTGAGGCATCGGCTGCGGCTGCGGCTGCTGCTGGGGCATACGAACCTGGTTTCCGGAAGGACGTCCAGCCGAGGCGCGCTTGCTGACGTTGACGTTCTGGACCTCGCGCTGGGCCTCACGCGGGGCCTCACGCTGAGGACTTGGGTGGCTCTGGTTGGCGGCCAAAGAGGCAACAGTCTGGGTCAAACCACGCAGCATATTCGACATCTCCTCGATCTTTGCACTATCGGCTTGGCGTTGGGCTTCGTAGTACTTGATCTGAGCCTGCAAGTGGCGTTCCATATCCGACTCCACCTTCTGTGTAGTACGTCCCAGGCTCTCGAGCATGGGGGCAAGCGAGGTCTGCATGACGCGGACCACTTCAGCCTCAATGCGAGGAGATAAATTCTGGGCAATGGAATCGGTAACAGCCTTGATCACAGGCGGCTGCTGCATAGCGTTGATGATTGCATTGGGGAGAGCCTGTCGCAATTCCTCGTTCAAGGCGCCTCCAAGCTGCTGCGCGACGACACCGTTCAGCTGCTTGTTGACTGCAGCCGAGGTGCCATCGGTGAGAGTGGGGATCACATCACTCTGAATACTAGTGGAGACAATACGGGCCAGGTTTTTCTCGACGTTGTCAGACAGAGAGCTGGAGACCAGGCGCAAAACTTGATCCTGTCTGGCGTTTCCGGTAGCGTCCCAGTGGCGGCGTTCATCGTCAAACAGACGGTTCAGCTTGTCGAATTCAAGACCCAGAGTCTTGCTGAACTGGGTAGAGACAGTGTTCTCCAGGTTCTGGATATGTCTGCCAAGGGCCTCGCTGGAAAGATTGTAGCCAGACGAGCTGGGGGTGGCAGACACGGTTTGATCGGCAGCCTGAGTCGCACCCATTGCCGAGGTAGATGAGGCAAGAGATTCGTATTCCTTAGCGACAGGAGGAACTGGAAGAGGCTCGACAGTAGCAGTAGCAACAGGGTCCTTCGCCTTTGCCTCGGCAGCGGCAGCCTTCTTCTTTTTCTTCTTATCAGACTTTTCAGCCACGATGGGTGTCGCTGCGACATCGGCAGGCCCATCAACAGCCTTCTTCTTGGACGACTTGATGGGCGATGCGTTACGCGAAGGAGCAACACCAGAGGTCGATTCTCCGATATCTGTCTTCTTGACAGGCTCCTTTGGACCAGCGCGAGACTGGACGGAGGCATTGTCACCATTGATAGAGGGGTCGTCAGTGGCGAAACTGGGGAAAGTTGCCAGGTCGCTGATTTCAATCAGGCCATGCTCCACAGCATCAACTGGTCGAATGACCTTGTTATCGGCCGTCCAGCCCAGGTCCTCCTTCTTAATGTTCAGACAGGTGACACCACGCGAGTGCATGACGTACAGCTCAAACAGAGCAGACTCCTCAGTACCACGCTTGTCGGTGGCAGACTTGGAGATGGGAAGGAGCTCCAAGCTTCTCAGCTGGCCCTTGGAACCGAGAGAGATCTCGCGAATTCCACTTAAGCAGGCGGTAGATTCTGGCTTGGGCACGGCGTTATCCTTGTCATTTAGGGCCTGGATGTATGCTGCCTGGGACATCTGAGGCAGGTTGTATCGTGGTGCAGACAGGTGGGCAAAGTAGATCGAGTTGCGAGTAGGGTGTCCGACAACAACGACCCCAGAAGCTGGGTGGTAGGCAACGCTACAGATGGCATCAGACTCGTTCTCGTGAGGGAACTTAAGCTCCTGCACAGCCTTGCCAAGCCCGATATCCCAGAGCTGCAAGGTGTGGTTTTGCTTGAGTCCAACTAGAACATAGCGCAGCGCCATGGATCGCGAATAAGCACGAAGCTTATCAAGGAAAAGGACCGAGGTGGGCCAAGACTTCTCAGTCGGGGAACCAGTGACAAAAGTGGTCAAAGGGACCCGGATCTCGGCCGGAGGAGGACCTTCCAGCAAGCTCGCGTCGGTGAGCATATCATTGATATCCCAGAAGCGCAGGCGGCCAGTCTTGTCGAGAGAGGCAATGACGGAATCATCGTCACTGAAAGCAAAGTCCTTGCCGGCTTTACCAGTAGAGATCTTCAAGGCACGCTCCTTGAAGAACTTCTCCGTATTGACTGTGCGCTGAGTACCGGAAACCCCATAGGCAGGATTCATAGCCGCCTTGGGGGAAATAACGTAGATGTTCTTGCCCCGTCCAATAGCGAACAGGTTGGTGTGACGAGTGCTCCGCTTGGCCCGCGTTTTCAGCTGGCCGCCAGAGGTATTCTCATCGGACGCTGGGAAAGGCGGGAAGATCAAACTTTCACTTTCCAAAGCATCCATATCGAAGAGGTCCTTTCCTGGTCGGGAGATCAAAGCCCAGTAGACAGAGCCACTGACTCCGATGCCGATGATGGCTTGAACCTCAGAATCACCGGCTGTGCAAAGAGCGACATTGAACACACGGTCACGGGTGGCACGGAAAACCTGACGGTCACTACCGTCATCCTGTCGAATGATTCGAATTCCACCGGTCTTGGCGAGCGCGTACACAATGTATTCGGAGGTAGCCGCAGTCAACGAACGGTCAAGCTGATCAAACTCCTTCTTCAGGCGGGCAATGTCCATGACGTCGTCATCACGGAAGGTGTTGAGCTTTCCAGACTGAGGCTTGACAGCAATAGAGATGAATGGCTTCATAGGGAAGTTGTGAACAGAGACAACTCGTTCTTCTTCCTTTTCAGCACTGTCCTCGGCGCTCTCCCAGCTATCAGCCAAAGCCTCGGTGTTCTCATTCATCTTCTGTGGGACCGGAGCCATAGCAACTTCCACCACGGTCTCCTGAACAGTTTCATCGTCTTGAAGCGAGGCGGCGGCTTCCTTGGCTTCGGCAGCAGTCTCTCGCAGATTGTTGGCAATCGATGCAAGGTATGCGTTGGGGGACTCATCCTTGACAACAGACAGGGCAGCTTCCGCGTCGGCTGCAGCCTGGGGCTCACCACCACTGAGCGAACGGCCAATCTCATCTACGAGACGACCGACAACTCCATTCACAGCTTCGCGCTGGTCATCGTTCAAAATTGGCGAATGGCTTCTCTCCCGAGGAGCCGCAGGCTGAGGAGCCGGCGAAGGCTCCAGCTTAGCAGTAACGTTGATCCTTTGCTTCTGCATGACTTCCACAGCGGGGCTCTGAGTACCCGAGGTAGGCTGAGGAGACTTCTCATGAGGTGACATAGCGGCCAATTGGTCGAAGGGGTTGACATAAGTGAACATGGAGTCCTTTGAAGGGGATGCGACCGTTTCCGGGTGCGCAGGCCCCTGGGGACTTTCTTCCACAACCTCCATGAGAGTATTTTTAGTCGTCTCGACCTGGGGCTCATTGAATGCAGCAGGAATCTGAGCTGCAGCCTGGGCAGATGGGTCGACAGAAGGACCGGATTGAGAACGGTTGAGCAGACGAAGTAACATGTCTTGCGTGTTCTCATTAGGACCCTCGGGATGACCAGATGCGAATCCTGGTGGAACAGCAGCTGGGGCAGCTGCGGGAACCGCAGGAGCATTAGGGTTCTGTCCGAACAAACTAGCAACCAAGTCAGACGCGGATATATTTCGTCCGTGCGACGAGGAAGGTTCGTGGACTGGCGGAGAGCGCAAGTGTTCAGGGACAGCAGCTGAAGCCTGGGGCTGGGAGGCAGCACCGGCACCCTGGTTGAATCTGAGCAGGCTCAAAAGGTCGACAGCACGTTCAGGGTTGTTTGCCATTTGCGGCTGATGAGGCCATTCACCACGAGGAGTTGGCACATTAGGGCTCATAATGTCCGAGCCATGGTGTGGTGGGGTGTTCATGGGCGCAGGGCTCTGGATTGTCGAGGATACGGATGGGTGGTGGTAGCCGTGTGACTGAGGATGGGGATAGCTCTGACCGTCATAGGGCTGCTGAGGATGTGGCGGGAACATGCCAGGCTGGTAGTGCGATTGGCGCTGAGCCTGGGGATTATCATGGCCGGGGTTGTTCGATGGGGACGGACGAGGACGAATGCTGGCCAAGAGGGCCTGGAGATCGTTGGGGGTGGACATTTCTGCCGCACGCCTTGGTTACAGGCGACCTCCGTGAATGAACCAAGCTTTGCACAGCTCTCAGAAGCTCTGCTTCAAGAGCTAGAGAGGTAAATAAAATTCGCAAGCTGAAATGAGCAGTGAATGAGCGAATCAGGAACTTGTGCGAGGAAGGAAAGATGAAATTGAAAAGTGAAAGGCAAAATAGAAGAAGGGTGAAGAGAAGAAGAGTTCACTCTGGTAATATCGTTCGGGCGTGGGTGTGACTGTGGCTGATAAGTGTGGCGCGTGTGTGGCGGACATCTCTTGCCTGATTCGCGTCATTCGGGTTTACTTTGCTCTTACTTCAACCTCACTATAATTCTCTGTCTTTTTCCTACAAAGCGACCAAACTGGGCTCAAATATTTAGCCCAAGGTCTTCAAACGACAACTGTCATCCTCAGTGTCGATTTGCCTGCGCCCTTCCGTTGGAAGGCAAGCGGCCCGCAATCGCCATCACATCATGTTCTGCCTACGAAGGTGCGTGGAATTTAACAGTGACCTAACTGCTAGACAATTCAGGCTTACATGAATGCGCTATACTATAGTTGGCTACCTCTCCTCTTCATCCCGACCAACGCATCACCACTCTTCATCGTTTCGTTCGTCGCCTTAACATATATCATCCACCGGCCATGTGTCTACTGCTCGGCCCTCCTCCTGATCCTCTTCGTATCCTCATGTCACTGGTCAGACCGCTGTATATTTGACCTTCGAAGCAACTGGTTTGCCCCGCGGTACAGCTCGGCATCTAGCGACTACGGCGCTATCTCAGGCAACAACGCCTCTGTTGCGGCTCCGAGTGATGGAATGGCAGAATTCATCTTCGACACAGTTAATTCTACCGCTAAGGCTCTGGCCGGTGCTGCTATGGAGGGTGTGCAACATCGCCTCGCCTCCAATAGTTTGGAATCAAAACCCGACGAGTGGACTGGCGTTGGGCTAGAATGGATGCGCAGTCTCCTCGGCAGACGGGAATGGACTCTCCCATGTGTGGATGTGAAGGTCCGTCTTTGAATTCTCTGCTTAGCAGGAAACTGCCTTCTCTCCAGGCTCATCTTCTCTTGTGTTCTGGGGCCTGCACAGCTCTTGGGAAAGACGCTGCAACAAAATCACATGAAATCATACTCTGTTTTCTTGTGTTGTGACTCGATTTACTCATTAAACGCTTATGAATGACCACCTATTGATTGTACATACCCCCATTGGTATTGACTGGCCTCCTACAAAATACAACGTTATTTCAGATGTAAACAGCTACGTTCAATTGCGGAAAAAGTAGCTCCAAAGAGCAAGTTCCGGAAAACTAGAAGCAAGATATATATCCAGACCTGACAACCTCAGAACTAAACATCATTGGGATGACCAGGGTCTTCATCGCCTTCAGGAGGAGTTGGAGCTACCACCGGACAAATGCCTAGAGCCATCAGAACATTGTTTAGTGCCGGGATACAAGCAATACAAGAGCAGATCTAGTGTCAACCAAATAAGCTTCTCACGTTCCCATATCCAAGAAATGGTGGAAGATACCTGTGTCATAGAAGTCGTCAAACACTTCTGCAAAGCAGCCGGATCACCATTAACAATAGCATTTGCAATACAAGTAAGCTGAGCAGTGAGGTTAAGACAGGCTGCGAGACTGCATGCCTCCGGGAGCATGGGGACGATATCTAGATTTTGTTGAAGCACTATATGCCCAGTCTGTCAATTTGTCGGTCTTGATGTTTGACATCCCAGAAATTATCAGAATTCGTACATACATATGCTTTGATTTCGGTGATGTGCTGTATGATTTGCGGTGGTCAAGGCCAGGCCCGAGCCGAGGATCAGTGCAGTAATGTGGAAACGCATGCTGAGAGTGGGATTCGCATAGAGATTTGACTATCAAACGGCAATTTTTTTTGACGATTTGGCCATAGGTGGACTAATGTACGCTTTGCTGGATTAGGTGGGTGGTTATACACAATCAGAAGTGTGTGTACTCCATAGTAGCCATAGACAGGAAGCATGGGATCAGCGTATCTGTCCGGCCGGACGTCACATTCGTGACGGGCTGGCGCACTGATATTTGAGGCGAGGTGCAAACTAGCATGTCACACCGGGTGATATTTGGGGATTTGTGCTTCCTTGATGTTTGAATTGGGGTAAGTAGTATCACAATTCGCGCCAGATGTAGGCGATCTAAGAGGATTGGGTTGGGGAAGGAAGCTCACATAAAGAAGGTTTATGATCACAGGCTCTTCATAGATCTACGGGTGTACAGGACGGCAGGAAAAGCTGAAAAGTCGGTTATATGACACGGATTACTACAACTAAATACAATGCTGAGAGGTATCTGACAATAAAAAACAATAAAGCATACAAAATTGCCCACGGGAAAGGGGGCGTCCAGTCTAAACCAGGCAGATCGAAACACCGTAGGAATTTTGATAGAAGAAAGCATAATAGGGCTGGACCAAGTCACAACGCAAGACATAAAAACCACCGTGAAGGCACATAAGGATGCGATGGCAGGCAAATCGTGAAACATGACCGAGGATGTGGTATCACAAGATTAATAGTCCTGTTCCAAGGTTCAAGATTGAGACTCATCACAGGCATGAAAGCAGGAACGATGAAGGATTGCAGAGAAAAGATGTTATGTATGGCAGAAGCAATAATATCGAGGAATTTGCACGCAAGAAGTCGACTTATTGAGTCGAATAAACATAGATGGAATCATGGAGCTAAATATCAAATCAGTTATTGTACCCACCTCCTCCGACGGGCAAGGGCCAGTCGTCTTCAGTGATACTGCTCCAGAAGGTCCAAACTCCCGAGACAGCAAGGAGGGTGAAGAGAGTTTCGAATAGAGCGCCGTTGATCTTGCCATCCGCGGCCTGGCAAAGGTGGGTACTGATCACATAGTTGAAGATCTGACCAATGGCAAACAGCAAGGCAGCACCGGTAAGATACACTGTTACATTATTAGCAGGTACTTCATTTGCCTTGGCATAGTGCACACTTACACATTGGTCGGAACTCGCCCAGAACACGTAGCACCAGCACTGCCTCTAGCACATAGAACAACACGAGGCAGACGAGAGGGAACAGCTGGTACAAAACGTAGAGAGCGATATTGCGATTCGGCGCATCATGACTAGATTGGAAATGGCCGGTCCAGTCGAATCCAGTGTCCAGCGCAATATAGCCAGTACCGATGAAGAGAACCGCAGCCGATGCGCAGATCAAACCGATTGAAGCCGGTGTACCGTCGTCAAGAAGCTGGAAGCCAACTAGCGCGTTCATAAGGAGAACCCAACATGTCGCAGTGATTGCCGCAATGTGCACCGCAGTAAAACCCTGAATACCCGTCAGCTGCAGCCCTGTGTTGACATGAAACCCCATATATATACCTTCCGAACCGCGTCGCTCAGCGGGAAACCGCCCACAGTGAAGATCTCGCAGATCTCAATGATGATAAATCCGAGCAGGAACAATTGCATTTCCCTATCCAGGCCAATTTGTCAGTTGTTGTTTTGTCTCGGATCCCAGCGATTCGTACCTGCGCCCGACAGCAGCGTGCTTCTTATCCGACCTCCATAACATGCCCACAGTCAAGACAATTGCGATAAAGGCGAGCAGAATGGAACCTGTCTCAGATCAGCCAAAATCCTCCATAATCCCTTTGATTACCCCTCGGTCTGTGCTCGTACCTAGGTTTCGAAGGTGTCTGTCGCCGCTCAGCGGAATGCCGACCAGATCGCACGCGCCGAAAGCCTCAGCGGCGGTCTCATTGGTAAAAAGCTATACATAGAATCCAGTCAGTTGACATTCAAGCGACAAGGTAAGAAGGTCTCATACGTTGCAGACTGGTAATGTCGAATCGCGACAGAAGTCCTGTCATACCCAACGGGCGTACGGTCAGTATCTATTGGACGGGCGGAGCGGTCTCGAGGACGATCTCTCATAACTCAGCACTTATAACTCACGTGGAAATTGCCGAATTGAGTCGAACCCATGGTGAAATGCCAAGCGAAGGCGAGGTAAGACGATGTTCGAAGCGAGTGTCGAAGCGAGTGTCGAGGCCAGACCAAGATTTTGTGAATCCCCTGACCCGCGCTGAGGACTCAGAATCGCTCGGCGACGGATCTCAGGGCAAATAGCAGGATGAGAGGGAGAGAGTTGGAGTGTGTGGGAGGGGACAGAAGTGAGTCCCAAGTAGCGGGTTACTCGAACGGGGAAGCACCGGCGCTAGTGTGGCTTAGGCGTTGCTCTAGCAAAATCTTGGAAGACTGAAAATATGGGCTAATAACAAACGTTTTCAGGTACAAGTAGAGTCATTCAATATCTTAGAAAAGGGGAATTTGAGGTTCCATGGAGTGGCGACGGTAATACCCATGGATTCCTCGTGCTAAGAATAGAGGATATCCGTCGCACTGTATGTCTTCAACTGAATATCTGAATATCTGAATATCAACACTGCATAGACGTGATCATCGGTGGATACTTTAGCTATAGTTGTATATCCCTAGAATTTAGGCCCAGAACATCTCTTTCGTGAACCCTTGCTGAAGAAAATGGTCGGCTAGGCGACTGATACTGCTATCGCCAACTCGCGGCTCATAGAATTGCTATGTCTTGCATCTGGCCCGTGTATAGTTCTGTTAATGATACCCCTAAGCTGATCCAGTTAATTTCCCAATTATTGAGTTCTTTTGCCTTAATCCCTTCCAATTCTTAACAAACATCCTCAATAACCTGCTCCTTACCATCGTGCTCACCTAGGTCCAGCTTCAGAGTGCGACCAAACAGCTCGAGCAGCATCTCGAAGCAGACCTTGGTAATAGCCGGATCGTATCGGCCCTTGCTGAGCTCATCGCGGATAAAGGCATCTAGAAAATTATTCGCGTCAGCATACATCTACCTGCACCCCTATACCAGAACCATGTGTGCAACTCACGCTGTGCCCAAGCGACCTCATAGAAGCCAAACAAGACACCCTTGTCATGCAGGGTCTTGCGAATGAGGTCCCGTCCCTCAGGTGGGACGTGGTTATCGTTCTTGCCGAAGATCTAGTAAAATCAGCAACCAACCAAACAATATAACACATATACCAGCTAAAACATACCATCAACATCTCACCCTTGATGTCACCAGCCCGCTCCAGACTGTCATCATTCTTACCCAAGGCGAGGGTCTTGCTGTGGATATCCGTAGCAAAGTAGCACACGGAAGCCTTCACGCGCGCATCGAGCGCACAGCGATAGGCCAGATGCCCACCAAGGCACATGCCCGTGGCACCAACACGACCATTGCAGGTGGGCAGCGAAACCAGATAATCCACACTGAGACTAGCGTCTTCGTCATAGGCCGCGAGTTTCTAGGGCTATCAGCTTCCGCAATCTAACAAGATACATATAAATGGATTGTAAAAATAGAGACGATGCAATTCATGCACAGAATCTGCTCTGCGTACCTTGCCAATCTTCCATGCGTTTCCCTTGTCCGTGTCTTCGGCGTCGTACTTCAGAGCTTCTGGGCCAGTGAATTCGTGATAGCTTGAAGGGGCCGCACAGATGTAGCCCTGGCCTGCAATTTGGCGGGCGAAGCGTGCCACGGGACCAGTCACTGTTATTAGGTTAACTTTTGTACAAGAATCGAGCGTAGAGAGTTTGTCTGCTCCCCGCACCTTGATAGATCTCGCTGAAGACAACAACTCCAGGGAATCGGGCGTTGGGGTAACCGGGAATAGCGGGGTGGAAGACATAGATGCCTGGTAGAGGGTCAGTATATAGATAGAAAAGCAAGGTTGAATTTATGCTGCCAAGTGGGGTGGTGTAAGAGTGCAACTGTACTTACGCATCTTGCCCTGGCCATCGGCCGTGGTGGGCACATCGACGTAAGATTCCTGGATCAACATTGTGTGCGATGGTTGATTTCCCGAAAAGAGTAGTACTACCCCGCGACAAATTGGAAGTCAATTGGTATGAAATGAAATGAATGAGCTGCGCGGAGGAGTGAAATCATTATCGATAAGGCGCGGGGATCCAGTCATGTGCTTGGCATATCAACCTCGAGTTTTATACATAGTGCTTGAACTTCAATTAACATAGAACAAGAAGAGCCATTAAATTGAATATAGCTGAAGCTTCGGCGGATTGACTGAGCATTTGCAACCCCAGCTAAACCTTCACCAAGTGACCCGTCATCACAGTCGTACAAAAAACGATTTTGAATTATCGCAGGTATTAGTCTATTTGACGTTTTATACATAAGAGTAGAATATCCTCTAGCTGAGAAAAAAAGTCTAATTAGACCAGAAGGAAGAGAAAAGCTCGATCCAATTGTCGAGATCCTACTTAGCCCGAAAATAACAGGGCTGCAATTAGAAGACGTACTGCGAAGTAAAGTTAGCAAGATTTTCGAAATAGTTCAAAGGCAAAACTCACCGGAATGAACAGGTAAGGCACCTGTCTTTCATATTCGAGCCAAGTCTCACCGTACTTGGTGCGACACCGCTGGATGTCACGCAGAGCACGGTGGCTGATCATGCAGGCGAAAAAGAGTGGGTAGAACCAGGGGAAGGGGCTGGAGAAACCAGTGATCAGACCCCAGTTCAGGGCGAAGTAGAGATCGCACGAGTAGTGGATCTTGCGGGCCTTGCCATCTGCACAGCATATTAGCATCGGAAATTGCAGGTTTGTACGCCGAATAAACTTACACCACCCATCCACAAGAATCTTGGAGCCGTCCTCGGCAGTGAGAGTCTTTGGGTTCTCAACAGTCTGCCATGGGAGCTGGGGGAAGGTGTTACGGGCCACCATGGTGCCACGCTCCTGCTGACGGAAGCGGTTCTTCTGGCTGTTGGTGGTATCCCAAACCCAGTAGACAAACAGATAGGCGACATAGAGGAAGGCAAGGAAGTAGCGGTTCCAGTGGTACTCGGAGGGGTCGTGGTTAGCCAAGTAGATGGTACAGTGGCAGTAGCTCAGAGGGACACCAGCCAAGTTCCAGAAGATAAGCATGAAGCCCCACTTCTCATAGTACATGTCCCTGTTCAATGTTAGTATGGTCCAAACTATTTTCTGGAATTCTCCTTACCAGGTGGAGACAATACACTCCTCGCCCTTGGAACAAGCGTTGGCGTAAAGGAAGTGAGCCATGACAAGGAACATAACCTCACCAGACACGTAGCCATAGTTTTCCCACTGGCGAGCAGCGGCACCCATAGAAAGGCCCAGCAGGATATACCAAGGAAGGCGAACCTCAAAGAACATCTTGAAATCGAGGAGCTTGAACATGCGGGGGTTGAGCTCAGCACCCATGAAGAAGTCATAGATCGGGTAGCCGGTCATACGGTGCTCGGCACCACGAGCCAAAGCCGAGAAGTATGCAATGAAGGAAACAATGTATCCAGACAGAATGGCAACACTGAGCAAAGGTCCAAACTCATCAATGATGGTGTACAGCTTGAAGAGGCCAGTGACGTGCAGGATAAGAGCAAGTCCAATGCTAGTGTAGAAAGACCAGACAGCGGAGCAATAGTAGGGCAGCTGCTTTCCACCCATGTGCGGCAATGGACGACCCGAGACGCTCACACCGGGGAGAAGCAGGTAGCAAGCACCCTCGAAAATGAAGAACACCCAGTAGATAGTCCAGGCCTTAACCGATGGGTAAGCACCGGTGTAGACCAGATCGACCAAGTGCGTGAAGAACTCGCCGTAGCTCTGACCCTCTGCGGGACGAGGGAACTTGCCATCGTAGTAGGTAGCACCGATCCACATGTAGTACATGAGTATGGGGAAACCAATCATCATAGACAGAACTCCCAGCGAGCCACCGAACTCAAAGTGACCGCTGTAGTCAACCTTGGGATCAAGGCCTTCTTCCCAGCCGTCAACGAGGCGCGACTTGGACTGCGACTTCTGCGACTTGGACTTCGACTTAGGCGTGGCGGCCTTGCCATTGACCGCGGGCTTCACCGGGGTATCATCCTCTTCAATCTTGACCTTGGCCGAGGTGCGACGACGGGTAGCTGACTTGGAACGTTCATTGGACGGAGAATCGATCACCTCGCTCTCGCTGCCATCGAACACGGAGCTGTTGCGGGTGACACGACGGCCGGGTGTTTCGATAAAGCCGGGCCGATCCATTTTTCTATATAAATGAATGTTAATTAGCTTGACAGAAATACACAAAAGAAAGTTCCCCGGTGGGAATTGGCAAGATATAACCATCGCCTTGCATTCAGGGTGTGGATACGTCGCAACAGGGATCCGGTGCGAACTACTTACTTAGGGGTCTTCCCCGTTTGGGAACGGGTTAAAGTCATGGTCGCTCAATCGGAAGACCAAAGTTCCGACTGCAATTGAGGGAAAGGAGAGGGAAAAGAAGGCAAAGGGAAGCGAGGGTGGGTAAAAACAGGAATGTCTGAATGTTTACTTGTGTAAGTTACTCCCCCGTTGATTACATAATATTTTGAAAAATATTTTGAACCGGTTCTGCATGTTTTCGCGCTTTATATCCAGTGTGAAAAGACTATTTGTTGCTCAATTGCAGATTAGGTGGTTATAAGCTGCCACACAGCAATTGTGTTCATGTAACTACGTGAATTATGTGAAAATCAATGTAATTTTCTACTTTGTACACCCAACGGAATACAATTTAAGGGGGAAATCTTCAAGCGCAAATTACCCGGACATTGACCCTCACCCCACAAAGCAATTTAACTAGCCGATAGAACCAGAACTGCTGAGATGTTCCGTGGCTTTACAGTGGGGGCTCGCTGTCAACTGCTTTTTTGTAGTGCCAAGTTTTGCTTAGATTCTGGAGTACACATTCACTTTGACACTAGACATAACATTATTGTACTTGGGCTATCCTAAACCTATCCTGTTCCTGCTTTGGTCTTTGGATTCTCTCCCAGAATTGCTTGGTGACATCTTCATACCTCAATATTTCACAAAGGAATCAGATCATCGGAAAAGGTGTCTTTGTATTCATGGTTTGTATTTGTATGTTTATTTTCATTCATGCCCCAGACAATTCAAATATAAATCTGGAATGCGAACTGCGAACGAATTCATACACAAAACCCAAAAACATTTGGCGACGTGGTAAGTATAATAATGTAGTATGAGATAATGGGAATCGAAAAAGGTAAAAACAATAAAACTCCAACCCATGCCCTCCAATATATGAAACTTGGATCCATATAGACAACAGAAATGGTATCCCTCAGTAGAGGTTTACGCTCCTCTTTGGATGTTAGTAGACATCAAGGTAATCTTGTTTTTCTTCTTTTTCTTGCCACCAGTTGATGGACCGGGATTTGAATCCGCAATTGCTGTTTGAGCCATTAGATCAGACTCTTGCTGAGCAAACAGCTCATCTTCCCAACCCTGTCGCCAGCCGTCACTGGGAGCTACTCCTTGAACTTCAAGGCTGGGTGAGAGCGAGGCCACTGCCGTTGTTCCCCAGACAGTACGGGAACCTGGGGGACTAGTAGAAGGGGATGCCAAAGCTCCAAATCCTGACGATGCGCGTGGAGGGGACGCCGATGAAGCGCCGGCGTCGAACAGCGGAGGATCGATGTTGTTAGGCAGCGGATGGAAATCACGAGCAGAAAAGGGAGCTTCACTGGAAGCTCCGATGCTTGGTCGCTTGCGCCGAGCAGAAGCCCATCGTTCGTCATCTTCTTTCTTCTCTGCACGGATACGATCTTTTTCTTCCCGTACTTCCTTTTCTCGATTGCGCTTTCGTCTTCTATCGGTTTCAGTGCGGAATTGCGCCAAGATCTCAGGGACAACCACGTCCCTCCAATCACACTCGAGGAAATTAACTTCACATCCCTGTGGCAGGTGCCCGAGATATTTTACTCTCTTGCGAAGTTCATCATCAACTATATGGCCGGTTGATATGTGCTCCACTCTTGGTAGAATGGTTGCAGGGAACTGTGCATATTCCCCAAATGCAGCCTTTAGAATGCGAATATCGAGAGGAGAGAGATAAAATTGAGGCAAAGCCTGGTAGAAGTAATATGGCTGTTCTGATCCGGAAGATGACTGCTTTTCCTTGCGGCGCCCTTTGTCTTTGGACTTGGAGGTGGGTTCTGTATCAAGGTGGACACCGTCCATAGCATGGGAGATGTGATCTGTTTCATCTGATGTAGCTGGCGTAGACGTGGAAGTCACCGAGGAGGCGCATGTAGATGCAGGTGCAATAGAGCGCTCCTTTGCTGGCAGGACCTCGGGTGGATTGCCAATACCGTTTAGCTTCTCAGTGGCATCCTTGATTGAACCGATTGCCTTTCGCGTCCAGGTATTTTCATCTCCAAAAAGTAGCTCATCCTCAATTTCTTGTTTGCGGAGGTCTTCAACTTCGGATTCATACTGAGAGGTCATGTATTCTTCACCTCCTTTCATGATTCGGGCATAGTCTGCGACCTCCGCAACGTGATACCATGGAATATCCTGGTCTGCTCCATGGGTCTCTGACCCATCACGAGGAAGAGCAAGGGTGCTGCCTGATCCGCGCTTCATCAGTCGCAGTACCACATCACCACCTTCGATAGGAAGATCGCCTTCCTGACCACGGAACCACCGAACAGGACGAGTCTCCGATATGTAAATCGAATCCCAGCAAATGGGACACTTTTTCCACCGGTGCCGTTTTTCAGGCACAGGATTGTCGTCATCGGACGAGTGCATGTATCGAATAAGACATGGGAGACAGAAGATGTGACCGCATCGTGCCATTCGTGGTGCTACTGGAGTAGACAAACATATAGGACAACTGGCAGCTTGTGTCTGTGCCGAAACAAGCACTTGAAGAACAGATGCCCAGTCGAGATGAACGTCTGCGTTTGCTGCCTGGGCGTGGAAGTTTTGATTTGGCATCACAATAAATCTATAATTCGCATGAACGTAACGTGCTTTGTCCACAGTACCCGCTCCCCAGGAATTATACCGCCGGACATTGCGAGGAGGCGGTTGATATTGCGGGCGTGGTGGAAGGGAAAAGTTCATCAAGTGAGTGATGGACGTCTGTCCTTTACGACTGGTGGTTGACTTCATAGCGGCCTAAGTCGGATCCGAGGTCAGCAGGCGACTCTCATTCAAGATTAACCTGTCAACCCACCGATTCGTTATACTCGTCATCATCCAACAGCCGAGGTTTTCTCTGCCGATTGTGTTGGTTCTTACGAGCCTGGTTATTCCTTGGAGCGGGTGAGTTCCTGGAGGATGGACCAGCTTTGAAATTCCCAGAGCTTCCACGTCTCTGAGAGCTGTTGTCCGTAGGAGCTGAAGGGTGGTATGCCGGAGACGAGGTTATAGATATGTTTACCGCTTTTGAAGGAGGCGGATTTTGTCCTGCATTGGATGACATCTCTCGGGGGTGTTGACCGTGCACAAACAAGTGTTTAGCCTTGCTGAAAAAGCGGCTTAATGGGAATGAGAAGCAACAACTTGTCGAAGGCGAGGGGTTTGGATAAACAGGCTGATAAGAGACCAATCAGCTCTCAGATTGCTCTCAGCTTGTCCTCAAATTGGATCATCCACCAAGTATAGGTCAGGAGTAAAGAAAAGAATGAACAGTGACCGCAAAGGCCATGTAAGAATAACTTGTAGATCGAGCCAGGACGGCCCTCAGGGTGCCAGTTGATGTACAGAAGTCGGAGGAGGGGCGACGGTTACATAACCGCAGGCTCACGTGACCTGACCAATTCGCTCTTCAGCTTCATTTCGTTTGACGTATCGAGGATTGCTGCTTCATCTCGCATTTCTTTGTTCCCGTTCACTGGTCTTATATCCAACCGGTGGGGCCCTTCCGCATCAGGAGCGACTTGTACAGTGATCCTTCCTGCCTATCTCGACGAGATTTGCCATCTCCTTCCAAACACTTCCAGCGATTCAACCCAACAGCTCTCCCCAACCTACCTTCCGCCTTCGCCTAGCAATATAATTCACTCACCGCCGAGGCCATTATGGCTGCGTAAATGCGCTCTCAGCTTCATATTTAGGTTCAACTTGACTACCATCGCGCATGGCACTCATTTGAAGTAAACGCGTGACCCACCGTCAAGGCATTTTCTCTGGTTAAAATGAACCACCATCTGCCCGCCATGCAGCATGGGCAGCCCATGCCTCCCCAGCGCCGCCAGCAGGACTTTCCTTATAACACTGTGCCGCCGAATATGCGCTCTTCGCCATACATGGGATACCACCCGCACATGAATGGCCACATGCCCCAGTCCTACGCGCCGCAACCATACCCTCAATGGTATCCGCCATATGGGCATATTCAACAGATGCCGCAACGTCCATACCAGCCGCATCCTTATAGTCCAATGATTGTGTCCTCATACCCTCATTCGCAACCCGTTATGGTGCCGACTCACCTTCCCCCTCATTCGATGTCGATGCAACAAAGAATCCCGACTCCTCTACAACCGACAATGTCTCCATCCATCCAGATCCCATCGCTTCAGCCCGAAATGCACGAACATCCCGCCGTGCTACCTCAGCCAGTTCCAGTATACCCTGTCGCTTCGCCATCGCCGCGATGGGAGCCGAAGTCAAGCCTTCCGCCTAAGCCTGACTTCACCGCGCCTGTGAGTTCCCCTCACCACTCCCATATAAACTACAACTGATCACTCACTAACAAACAATGTAGCTTCCTTGGCTGTCTGTGCCCGAGCAGCCTTTCCCGCCTAGAATCCCACGCAGACGACGTAAGGGTCGTGCGATGCAATATTCACTTGAACTGCCTGATAAAGATGCGCAAAAGGGCATTGAGACCAACAACCTGGAAGAAACTAAGCTGTCATCATCTATTCAAGTACCCTCCGAACCCCAAACCCCGACTACTACGTTCCAACAATCGGATACCGACTCTACGCAGCCCACCACACCTTCCTCCACAGCACGATCACAGGCTCCTTCCAAGTCTTCAAAGCCTGCTACTGCTCCTGTTGTCCCAGTAGTACCCAATGTACCGGCCACCCCACGTCGCCATACCAAAGGCAGCAGCAGCGTCACATCTGGAACGCCCAAATCTACTGCAGCGACTACTGTAGAGACTGAAGCTGACACAGCTCCTGTCACTGACACCAAGAAAAGTTCTCCTGTTCCCGCCGCCAACAAGCGTTGGGCCGATCTAGTCCGCTCCAAGCCATCTGCAAAGCCAGCGGGTACCTCCGCCCCCGCCCCGGCCACAACGAATGGAGTGCCCCAGAAGAGCGAATCGCTTGCAGATGTCCTGGTCACACTGGGCGAGGATGTAACTCAGTACAGCGATAAGATTGCGTTCCTGGAGCCTCGGGGTCTTGTCAACACTGGAAACATGTGCTACATGAACTCCGTGTTGCAAATTCTTGTCTCGTGTACGCCATTCTTCCAGTTCCTAGACCATCTTGGCCGTCGCGCCACGCATAGCTTCCATAGCGATCTTCCTTTGATCGACGCGATGATCATGTTCATGAAAGAGTTCCGCGTTATCGACGCGGCAACTTCAGAAGAGCAGTTGCGCCTCAGATTGAAGCCTACCGAGCTTGAGCAATATGGTGAAGCATTCATTCCAGAATTTGTCTACGAAATGGTTCGACAGCTACCGAGATTCAGAGACATGCGACGCGGGCACCAACAAGATGCCCAGGAGTTCCTCGGATTCCTTCTCGAGGAAATGCATGAGGAGTGCGCTCGTGCTTCCAAGTACACATCGATCAAAACTCAGGAGTCTGATGATTCTGGCGCTGATGAATGGCTGGAGGTTGGCCACAAGCAGAAGGCAGCCGTGACACAGCTATCTGGCTCTATCGCCGCGGAGTCCCCAGTCACTAGGATCTTCGGGGGCAAGCTTCGATCAGAGTTCAAGGTTCCCGGAAACAAAACCTCTGTCACTTTGGAACCCTACCAGCCCCTACAACTGGATATCGGAGCGCATGATGTCCACAACATTCTGGACGCTCTCAAGGGTCTGACCAAGCCAGAGAGTATTCAGGGTGATTTCAACTCATCGCGTGGTCCCAACGTTACTGCCACGAAACAAATATTCATTGAGACTTTGCCTCCTGTCCTCATCCTTCATCTGAAGCGATTCCAATATGACAGTATCACTGGAGCTACTCAGAAAATTTGGAAGAAGGTTGGTTATCCTCTTGACTTGGAGCTGCCACGGGAGGTTTTCCCGGCTCACCAGCGTAACGCCATGGCGGCTCAGGGTGGTCCCCCCAAGTACCGCCTTATGGGAGTCATTTACCACCACGGAAAGAACGCCAGCGGCGGTCACTACACGGTCGATGTCCGTCGTCAGGAAGGCTTGGAATGGATCCGTATGGACGACACTATCATCCGTCGCGTTCGCAGCGAAGACGTGGCTGAAGCTGGTGGCGAGGAAGACCCTAAGGTGCTTGCTGCTGCTCTGGAACAGCACAAGCAGAACAAGACCCCCAACGGCAACATATTCGACCACATTGACCAGGACGACATGGACTCAGCTGATAGCGACAAGGGCTGGAGCCAGGTCAATGGCAATGGTATCAATGGACATGCAAGCAAGAAATCTGTCAACGGAGTTACCCCATCTCCCGGTCAGTCATCTGGCGTGCGGACTCCAATTGGCCGCTTTGGCTCCCGCGATAACAAGGTTGCCTATTTGCTGTTCTACCAGCGGATGGATTGAGGCCTTTAGCAGTGAGAGGGTCCTCTTGACGTGACCTTTATGCAGCCGTCTCGCCAGCCTCAGCAGTAGGCTAGACAGTGTCTTCCACGCATCCAAAAGCATCATACCCTTTACTTCCTGCGGCATTGAATTTTGTGTCGCCTCTACGAATCCTTGCATCAACCCCCCTTATTTGCAGCGATTACCTCCGTCTGTTTTGACAGGCCATACATAACATTTCTCTACAGCGGCGTGCTTGAATCTCTCAGTTCGCCATTGCACATGAACACAGTCCAGTGGACTTATCACGGATAGGATGCAAGATAGGGTATGGCAGACTCTTTAAATTACATCTATCCCAGCATCTCGAGCTTCCACCCAGCCCGGACCTCAACCCCGTGGCTCATCACCATCTTCTACCTCTGCTTTACAAGCATTCATTCATGGGACGGTCCTGCCCCTTCCCCCCTTTGCCTCTGATGTGCCATTATAACCCTCGGGCAATCTTAAAAATCTGCAATACCCATTGTCTCTTGAGCCATGTCACTTTCTTCCTTCTTATCTATCTCTGGGCTGTATGTTCTGGGAACGTCGAATCTCGGTTTTTATACCCCCTTTCGTTTTCTCATGGATACATTCGAAGCCATATTTTGGCCTTGCGCAAGAGGCGCACGGAGAGAGGAGGAAACGGCCATTGTGCTACTTTCTTCATGTTTCCTTCCAATTTACTTTGCTTTTACTTTTTATGTACTTTGCCATGTCCACCGCCATTGGGCCATGGACGCAGGAGATCTGTGACGATGTCATGAATTTCCTTGGTCTGCTTTTGTTTGCATAGATCGCGGGTGTGAAAAAAAAAGGGCTGAGCTTGTTCAGCCCCGGGGCGTCGGGGATATCTGAGTTTGTGAAGTGGGAGGTGATACGAGCGAGCTGTGGAAGCTGCATAGTATGGAAGGGATTGGAATTGTGATGGAAGGAGCAAGTTGGCCTGGTGGTGGTGGTCTAGATGGCCTATTCGCATCTAAGACCGGGGAGAATATCAGACGTAGGTATACTCAAAAAGCCTGTCTTTACCAAAAAATTTTCAAAGGAAGTTTAACTTAATATTGTTTTGGGGTATGTAGTGTGGGTATGTAGTTGCTAGTAATTCGGTTGCATGTTCATACATTGAGTTCACGTTAGGAGGTAGGGCTAGATGTAGTCCAGAGATATGTGCAAAATAACCCTGCTTCATTTTAAGCATGAAACACAGGCCGTTTCGGTTCATCCTTGATCTCTTCATCATCTTCTTCCACATACTCAAATCCAAGAGCTCTCCAATTCAACTCTTTCCTCCAGTGTAGTCCGTAGTATCCCCTCTCGTCCTGTCCTTTTGTGTCATCCTCAGGTTCAACTTCATCAGCAGTAGGAGCAACAACCGGCTCAGAAGCAAGACCTCCGCTCTCCAACCTTCCCCGTCTAGGGAATATTACCGCCCGGAATCGGGAAAGAAGCATACCCATGGAACAGCATAGGCAGGGCTCGTGGGAGACATAGACGTCTAGGTCCGTACAGAGATAACCACCCTGGGAGCGTGTACGGATGCGGGAAGTTGCTGGAGCTGTGATTGGAATGGGGGGACCAGAGACAGCTGTTGTAGAAGGGGGAGGGGCAGGTAGAGGTGGGGTTTGAAGCTGAGACTGCTCGGGGTTGGATGGGTCGATGGTAGAGCCAGACTCCGGGTTTGGTTCCTCGTGTTTCCTCTTCTTTGGAGAGGAAGGGGAGAATAATAGTTCACCAATTGTGGTATCTGATGCACCAGGGCGATGGCGGTACAAGAAATAGGATTCAAGAGAGCTCAATTCCTCCGTGTCTTGTAGGTGTTCTGGATTTGATGCGTCTGCAGTCGCAGTGGCATCACCACGGCTATCGTTCTCTCGTCGCCAGCGGGCAATGAATCCTGCTGCGCGCATCAATGCGTGCAATTCAGGCCCGCCCTCAAATTCTGCAATGTATGTGGTGCTGGCTGGGTTCGGTGCTACACCAGGATGTAGCTGTGCCTGGGAAGGGGCACCAGCCTCGGGGCGGCAATATCGCGCATCGCCAGCTACTGCAAGAACTGCCTCGTCCCAACTAGCTGTCTCGCCAGCTCCAGACTCCCAACTTGCGGCAGAGAGCTCCTCTTCAATGGCTGGGTCGACTATGACTGCGCCTACGCCGCGGCCGAGCCCGGATTGCTCTGCTTCCTCTGCGACTTTGCGCGCCAGGGACAAATAGTAGCCAGCTCGTGGCTCGATGGATTCCTGTGCACGATTCAAGATCTGAGGAGGTGGAGCGACTGTTGAGCGAGGTGCGGCCGGGTTGAAGACCACCGGCCAGAGGGTCTTGGTCCATGCATCAGCTTGCTTGCTGTTGAAGGGTGGGTAGAGGGGGATTTTGGTTGGGTGTAGATAGATCTTTGGGCTTGGAGAATCGGGCTGTGAGGCATCTTCGGGTGTCTGGCCTGGGGTGGCCGGCGCAGCGTTCGGCGCAAATGGAGCGAGTAGAGCTTGAAGTTTGTCGAGATCGGGCAGTGGAGGGGAGATAAGGACAAAGATTGTCTGCACTGGTGCTGCTAAAGGTGGGCTTTGTTCTTCAATTGCTGCTCGCAGCGGCGGTGGGAGTATTTCTCTTTTGGCAAAGCGACGGAGGTGGGATAGTGGGAGGGATGGGTCTTTAGGGAAGGCAGAGTCGAGAGCCCTAGATCAGAGTCAATTCCGTGCTCATTCTAATGGGTATAAAATAATGTGACTCACTTGATCACTTTGGACGCAGTTTTCACGTTGACTTCTGTGACATAGGCGTCGGCTGTTGCTAGGTTAGTCTTAATGTCGCATGAGACGTCGCATAGCATACCAAAATCTTCTGGGGGTCTTGTCTCTTGAACAGTTCGAAGGGGGGTGACCTTCCCATAGAGGGGCTGGAGACCTCTGATGGTCTCTCGTATGTCCATCTTGATAATGTCAAAGAACGAAACTATCCATAGGCAACAAATTGGTGTATCGCTCCACCGCGGGGCTCAAGTGAAGCGGGACAAAACATGTGAGGTCCGCCACAAGCAGTTTCAACGACACAATCTGTGAGGTGCCGGAGAAAAGCAAGACTGAAGTCTTGAGTATCGAGAGCGATGACTCCAATTCTACAAGAAAACGAAATGAGGAAAGGTTCAAGTGGGAGACCAAAAAAAGAAGAAGCGAAGGCTATACAAAGCGTCAAACACTGCAAACATCCCAGTACAGTCTCAGCCTCACGATCTACGAAGACAAAATCTCAAATGTTACGAAGAATTGGATTTTCAAAGTTTGTATGTTTCTAAAACAAAAGTGAAGATTGGGAATTTGATCGTAGAAAACAGTCATCATCCCGTGAGATATCAAACGCCGAATCGTTCCGCTGTAAATGAATCGCTGAAAAGGAACATGGCATCGCCCATCGACCCTTGATATATGCTGAGATAGATCCCTGTTCTATAGCGCCATGACGTCTGATGTGTGCGTTCCTCGATATTAGAACAAAGAGAAGCAATGATGCAGAGGACTACATCAGCGTCCCTGAAATGCAAGTCGTATGTATTAAATCACGCCTCGAATCACTCAATGGGATGGAAAATCCACACGTGCACAGCTGACTCGAGACCGGCCCGAGTTTGCCGTGGCAAAACAATGTTTGTACAGAGTTCGCATCGGGGGCCCCGGGTGATTGCGCCTTGGTCTAGCCTGACACTGGAGTAATACCTGTTGCAGGTGCAATACCGGGTGGCCCGGCCATGGTATCGCCATTGCTGCAGGTGTGTTCAATTTCAAACCCGTCGCATCGATCAACGAGGCTTTGATAGTAGTCCACGAGCACTTCGGGCTGTGGGACGATCCGCCATTCGACTCGGAACAAGAATTCAAGTTCAAGCATTGCCAACTCCGTCATGCCAATTCCACCAACTCGGGCATACGTCTTGTTGGTCCAAAAACTGTCGCTAAGTCCCTTGCTGGCGACGGTGGCGCTGGCGATCAAGAATCGATGGATGGTAAGGCTCGAGACGGTGAAAGCGGGGTACAGTGCGCAAAGTCGATCGATGTAATAGACCATGCTAAGAAGGATAGGAGGCGAGAGGGTGGCGTGGGTCGTCAGTCGCTGCAGGTAATCTTGCACGGAGATTCGGGGCGGAGAACGTGAGTGGAAGCGCGTTAGACGACCTTGGTGTAAAGGAATCTTGTCGTTGAATCGGATCAGTTCCATGAGCATGCTGGAAATCAGCACTACCATGTCACGGGGTTCTGCAAATTCGTATTGTGCGGGCAAAATCTTGACCTCCGGCTTGGAGGCGCGCAAGCGCTTCGACTGGGGACTCTCCAAGTCCTGGCCATCGGACTGACCCCCCGGCGCCGCAGCCGGTGAGTGATGGTCACTTTGGCTATTGCGCTTGTTGGAGCCTGAGGTGGTAGGGGCGAGCATCGAGGGGGCGGTGGAGGAAGCCGGGGGTGGGTTGGCAGAGGCTGTCGCTGTGGTCACAGCGGCAGTGGAGGAAGTGGCTTGAGGGGCAGAGGTGGCTAAGGCCGAACTGTTCGGGGTCTTCAGAGAGTCAGATGCTGATGCGCGTCTGCGAGGATCCCCTGAGGTTTCAGGAGAGGAGGGATCGACGGTATGGCGGTTCAAGGCCGAACGAAGTTCCTCAATGGCCAGACGCGAGGAACGGGGACTATTGAATTGTGGAGCGCCAGTAGGTTCATAGTGTGTATGCGATCCCGAAGTAGGGAGTGGGGAGCGCAAAGCAGCCGACGAGGGCGAGGGCGAAGATGCCAACATAGTGGAATGTTACCAAACCGAGCATTCACAGTGCAAGGTCGGACCACGTGGGTGCACAGTCGGGGCGCTGACGCTTGTTTAGGTGCACGGCCGGCCTCATTCTAGGCTCAAAGGATGAAAAGCAAGCAAGGGCTGTGTAAAGGAGAGAAGAAGAAGGAGGGGAACAATAATCCGGGGGATGACTCTTTAGAAGAGTGAAAATCTTGATTTCCTTTATCGTGAGGTAATTACATTCAGCCCGTCACTGGTCAGAGGGGTCCCCATGACTGTATTATTACGGTATATTGTATTTTATCTTGGCAAGTTGGATTACTTGCAGTGTGAGTGGCTATATCGTTGCATAGTCGCATTGGCAGTAGAGATCTGAGCATACTAGAATGGTCTAGAGTGTTGGGGTACAGAGGCCTGTCCATTGGGGGGTTCTTATAGGCCTCTAGGCTTAGTCTGCATGTTAGTAGAGACTATTAGTGTACAAACCAGCAATAGGAGATGGGCGACCTCTTCAGGTACCTGAGTGTACTCCAGCTACCCAGGAATATAGTCCCTTCTGCAACTCAAAGCCCGAAATCAACATTATACCCTCCATGCCCTATGTGTAGTTCTGTATACTTCGTGCCGCTATCCGGTATCGGGTGGTACCCGCATCTGGTGGCGGTGGCGCCTGGCAGAACAAAGTGCGGAGTACTGAGCTTCGGTTGCGGGCTCTCATCTCCGGCCTGACTATTCCGGCCATCAAATTGCTTCGATATTTTTCGCGGTTTTGTTGCATTTATCACACAATATCTCCAGGGATACCCTCAACCTGTCTATTCAAAGTTCCATTGGAAACCTCCCACCGGGAGGGGTGGTCGCCGGATGATGACGCGAGCTGCTGCACCGCCGATTCTGGAGCAACTCCAAAGCGCGGAATCGGCCTCTGCTCAGATTACAGCTCTGCGAGCTCTTAAACATGAACTTATCGGTCATGATCAACGCAAGGAGGCCCTCATCGCCGAGGGTATCATACCCGCCCTCTCACATGTGCTGACGTCGAGATGGCCGACAACGAATCAGAATGGATCCGCATTAGCCCAAGACCGATCAACTCCTAAAAGCCTAGAAGTCTACGAGGCCTGTCTTCAAGCAACTCTAGTAGTGGGAAGCTTGGCACAAGGTATGTGTAGATCGGAGCTTAAGCTCTATTTTCACATCAAGTGTGCTAACTGGTTGCTACTATGAACAGGTGGACCAACCTTTCTTACTCCTATATTTGCCAGCAACATACTACCGAATGTCCTTTCAATACTTGCCTCAGAAGATTGCCCAGAATTTTTCTGTCTTCCCATTCTACGGCTTCTGAACACAATTGCAGACCGACTTCCGTTGCAAAGTCAAGAACATTGGCCTCGAGACACCCAACTGGCTGATCTGATATTTTCGGCCTCGAATGTATACTCTCTCAAACGAATCATGCAACGGGATTACACAAATCTGCGTGATCAGGCCGCCATTGAGTTATCTGCGGCCCTGATTGGAAAATTATGCACCGAGGAAACTCATAAAACAGCTATTGCTCTATCTGGGACTCTGGATGCTCTGGCACTCAAGATTGCGTCATTCGTTGTGGCTCAAGGATTCGTTCTGCCTGGTGCAGAGGGTGATTTACCACTTCCGGCCCCAGAATCCGCCCGCCTAGCCCCAATTTTGCGGGCAGTCAGTGTTACTATTGAGGGCTCTAAATGGAGGGCTGAACACTTTTTGTCCTCGCCAGGTATTACTGTGGTATTTCCCAAGCAAGTTCCAGACTTTGCGCCGGCAGACATCAAAAAAGCTCCCTGGGGCCATACTTATCTGTCTGGCTCTGCAGTGCCACGTCACCCCGGAGCAAACCCCATAGATCAGCTTCTGCCCTCAGTCCCCCAATTACACGCCAAGTCATCATCAAACTCTACTAATTTCCCACCTCTTGGCTACGGGGGCTCACAGCGCCGACCCAGCCATTCCTTCCCAACAGCATTTTCACTCCCCGAAACACCTGTCCCGGAAGACGATGAGAACTCTATTGTGCCATGGCTCATCTACATTATCCGCTTAGAAAGTGGCATGGTGCGATTGATGTCTGCCCGTCTCGTCACTGCGCTCTATCGATTAGGGCTCACCAAGAAGCACAGAGTTTCGACCTTCGGTTATCTGTTGATCCCTGCTTTGGTTGAGATGCTCAATAAGGAATTCCGCATATCAGAAGAGGATGGCACTAACTACGATGGACTGCTCCCGCCGATCCAACGCCTCAAAGAAGAGGCACCGGCAGTGCTAGCCAACTTGGTTATTGACGACCAGGAGCTGCAGAGACATGCAGTGGAAGGTAATGCGTTAAAGAGACTATCACAACTTCTCAAGGAAACCTACAATCCTGTCCCAGATAGCAACCGGCCGATGTGGAGTGCAGAGGATTCACCGGCCCGAGATCTTGAATCACTCCCGTTGGAGTGTCGGCTCGGGCCTTCGGGCTACTCTCCGGCTCTATGTCATGTCATGCGTTACCGGGAGAATATTCTCAAGGCTTTGGCAGCGCTCGTTCCATTCAAGGATGAATACCGCAAGGCGATATGTGAGCAAGGTGTGGTACCTTATATTATTGATGCACTCAAGCCACGGCCTAGTGATGCACCAGCCGATGCCTCCATGCCTAAAAACACTGCAGAGGATGGCAATCCAATCCCTACAATTCTAGCTGCTTGTGGCACAGCCCGGATGCTGACAAGATCAGTAAGTGTGTTGAGGACAAGCCTCATTGATGCTGGTGTGGCTGAGCCACTGTTTGCCCTCATCCGACACTCCGATGTCGAAGTACAAATCGCAGCTACCGCCACAATCTCCAACTTGGCATTGGACTTTAGCCCCATGAGAGAGGTTGGTTGAAGTCTGGTCATTCAGAACATCGAGCTTATTCCTAACACTTATCTCAGTCTATCGTTTCTGCCAACATTATTCCGATTCTCTGCGAACACGCTCATTCGCCCAACATCAAACTACAGATCGAATCATTATGGGCAATTAAACATCTCGTCTATGACACCACAATCGACATCAGAATGAAGATTGTCGAGAATCTTACACCCGAATGGATCATGCAGGTCCTCTCTCGTGATCCAGTTCGTATAGTGTCTAGACAGAGTGTGGAAGAAGAGGTAGATCAGAACGCTGGGATTGCGATGGGCCGATCTAATTCGGCAGGGGAACAGGTTGACATCTTGAACCCAATGGCCGTGTCCGCTCAATGGGACGAAGATTTCAAGATGACGGATAACATGCCTTCCTCGAAGATGAGCCTGGAAATGTTTGTGCAAGATGCAAGCCGTCGACGCAAACTTGTTCTGAACGGATCCCTGGCGCAAACGACCCAATCTCGCCACGACGACATTGCCGTCCAGGAGCAAACATTCGACCTGCTACGCAACCTTACATGCGGCGACCATGCAACCGAGATGATTGACTACCTCTTCAGAGAGATGGGTCAGAATGAGCTTCTGGATGTAATCGCTGAAGCTCTCCGACCACGAACCATCCAGCTTCCTCACCGCCGAGAAACGGGCAGCCAAACCAACCAAAACTTACGCATTCCCAAGGAAATCATTATCGCAGTCTCTGCGCTCCTGATTCATCTGGCAGCTGGACACCCACGCCACCGCCGTGCTGTTACATTCCACCGCAGCATATTGCCCCATTTGGCGAACTACCTCAATCATCCCAACATAGATGTGCGACGAACGTGTGTCTGGGTGACTATCAACCTCGCTTTCGAGGAAGATCAGAATGACTTTGAAGGCTGTCGGGAGCGCGCGATCCGGCTTCGCTCGCTAGGCTTTGGGGAACGGTTGACTGCTCTTCAGGATGATGTAGATCTGGACATAAGGGAGCGCATCAAGGTTGTGTTGCATTTCTTGAGCAGATTGGCCCCTACCTCGTAATTTTTGTATTCAAATCATCGAGGAATGCTTTACGAGTTGATTTTAGGTAGCGAAATTTGTACATTTCCATTTTGGCTCTTGGCTTGTACAACTCCTAAGTTTTGCGTGATCCAGCTCAACAATGTAGTCCTGAGAGGACATGTACACATCTTATCGATAAGAGTTCATGCGGAGAAAATACGTCATAGCCTTCATCCTGTTCACATCACTCTATGAGGTATCTTTTCTAACATTCTGATATCTCACTTACAACACATTTTCATAACCAAATTAGACACCCCAAAGAGACACGAGAAATGACTCCAGTGCCTCAACCTATTCTCCAAGCCCTCTCACTCCCCGATCCATCAAAGGTCCACCTCTCCGGCCTTGGTTCAGGCTTCACAAGCACAGGCGCAATCCGCGCCCAAGTCCCAGGAAAAGATGGACAAGAAGAAGAGCGCCAGTATTTTGTGAAAACATCAACGAACGGCAAAGCCGCTGAAGAAATGTTCCAAGGGGAATCCGAGTCTCTCAACGCAATCGCAGGCTCAGTACCAGGATTCTGTCCACGAGCCCTCGCCTGCGGACCATTAGACAAAGACGGTGCGAAATCAAAAGGCTACTTCCTTGTAACGGAGTTCCTTGATCTCGGGGGCTCCATGGGTCGCAGCAAAGGCGACGAAAGTACACCCACTACACTCGCCCACAGATTAGGCAAGCTACATACCACTCCCGCACCTGCAGACCCACAAACCGGCCGGCGCAGATTTGGATTCCCCGTGCCAACTTTCTGTGGTGATACCAAGCAGCCGAACCGGTTCCATGACAGCTGGGCCGACTTCTATGCGAATGAACGGCTTCTTACCATCCTGGCTACGTCTGAAGAACGTAACGGGAAGGATGAGAGTCTCCGCAACGCTGTTGAGAAAATAGCTTATGAAGTTGTTCCCCGACTTCTAGGAGATGATAATCTGGGGTATAATTCCAATGGTGAAGGAGAAGGTATTGTGCCCGTTGTTATTCATGGGGATTTGTGGAGTGGGAATGCGGATCGAGGTCGGATTGTTGGCACTGGCCGGGATGAGACGCTTGGTGATGTTGTTTACGATTCCTCGGCTTGCTATGGACATAGTGAGTTTGAACTTGGGATTATGCATATGTTTGGTGGGTTTGGGTCGCGGTTCTTCGAGCAGTATCATCGTATTGTGCCGAAGACTGAGCCTGTTGCCGAGTATGGGGATCGGGTTGATTTGTATGAACTGTAAGTTTCTCTGATCTCTGAGTCTTTTTGCTCCTACTGATGCTTTCTGACTAGCTATCACCATCTGAACCATCATGCTATCTTTGGTGGAGGATATCGCTCTGGTGCCATGTCGATCATGCAGAAATTGATCAAAAAGTATGGGAAGGATTGAACTGACCCCGTGGTATTTTCAATCTAGCAATGTTAAGTAAAGAACCACACATTCGTTGGGGAATTCATATCCCCGAAAATGAATATTGCTTAATTCCACTTCTGTCCTCGTCCAATAGAGCAACCAGTCCCTACGTAGTTAGAACATTCATTTAAAAAGAGGTGTGATTTGAAGCTTTCCCTCAATTTTGGGAGGAAAGCGCCAACAACACTATACCAATTTCACCAGGGAAAAGTAAGATCTAATTGGGGTTGGTTTCATTTGTTGAGATTCACGACGCATGTCTACACTCGCAGAAGTGTATGTCGGGCGGTGTAACCCACCTCTAACACGTGACCGTGGATATCAATTCACCGATTGCTCGTCTTCGCCTTGCATCATCCGGGGTCATTGCTCGAAACTCTCGTACATCTAGGAGCATTGCGTCTCCCGAATCCACCATGGAGCATGATATGAGGGACATGTCTCCCCGCGGGGGCCCGATGATGAACCCCATCATGCCAACACCCCCAGCCATCCACCCGTCTTTTATACAGGTGGCCAACCCATATATCTTCGAGCAAACAGTCCAGAGCTGCATCGAGTCGATGGGAGTTAGCCCCACTCGTGAAAATTCCTTGCGTCTCCAGGGTGTAGCATGGATTGACAATGTGCGGAAAGCACTCAACCTGTAAGCTGATCCTGAGCCAGATTTACAGAGCAACATGAGATTTGTATCAAGATACTGACCGATGTCGCAGGCCTATCCGGACTTTCAACACGGCTGTGGGGTACTACCACCGATTCCGGTTGATGCATCCAGACAATGAGTACATCTTCGCGGTAAGCTCTCTCAGTTGTTGATGAACGAAATCAGCCTGACCAATACACAGGATGCGGCAGCAGCAGCCTTGTTTACAGCGTGCAAGATTGAAGACACGCTCAAAAAGTCCCGAGATATCGTCTGCGCGGCGTACAATCTTAAGCTATCACCCTCAGAGCACCTGGCAGCAGATGACCCTGTAAGCTGTGATGCCAAAGTCATGGAGTACGACAGAGTGCTAACAAGTTTTTCAGACGTTTGAACAGAGTGCGCGTGGAGTCATTGGTCTCGAGCGTCTAATGTTAGAAGCCTCTGGCTTTGATTTCCGAACTCGCCATCCACAGAAGACTCTGATGAAGCTGGGGCGGCATTATGGTGTCCCGCAAGGATCAGAGATTTCCAATCTTGCCTACCGTATCTCAATCGATCTTTACCGCACATTTTCACCCATCAAGCAGAGCTCATCGACGATGGCTTACAGCTGCCTCGAGCTTGCGGGACGACTCTTGGATCAGCGCATTGAGCCGGTCGAGGTTGGGATCGACTATGCGCATTGGAAAACCAACCGCACGGATGTCATGGGTATGTTTCTTTGGCGATGTTCATCACCTTCCTTAGTCACCACAGAATCTCATGCTGACAATCAACCTCAGAAACCATCTTCGATCTCCTTGAGCTTTACACTCACTACCGCAGTCAAACAACCGTCGGACCAGAGTTCCCCGCAGACAGATTCTTGACTGTCCGCATCCCACTCAATCAAGAAGCAAGCACACAGCATATCCCACGACACGCTTCGTGGGTTGACCAACCACGCCAACCAACCAATGGCACCGCCAACCACGCAGATTATCCCACAAGGCCCGCTCATCCACTAACACCCGTTGCTGCGAATGGCGATCGCCAACGGACAGGCGAGCGAGGCCGGGACGCTGCTGTACGGTTCACGATTGATCCGATATGTGCGGATGATGAGGGGCGGCAGGTTGCAAGATACTTCAATGTTGAAATGGAGGAGTATGAGGTTGAGATTTAAAAGGGACAGGGTGATGCTGATACTCCTCTGTGTTCCATGACGAAGGCGACACAATCCACGATTTTCCGATACCCCAGACATCTATGGACAGCGCGTTGATAGAGATGCAAATGAACAAATCCATTATAATGACAAAACTGTTATATTTCGTAGGGATCAAAGTAATCTTGCAGCATGAGCTACAGGTGGATGGTAACACCACGTCAGGAATCAAGACGAAATATAAGAATACAAAAGACCAAGTTCAGCTTCAACATAGAATTGAAAGCTATGTACAATCAACAGTTCATCCCAATCCCCACGCGTCATAAACAGCCGCGAAATTAAAAGGGCACCAGACTGTGAGGTCAAAAAAAAGAAGCATGGACATATCCTCACCATCCTCCCTCCTCTACCTGATCTGTAGGATGTGCCCATCCCACACGTTGAAAATATAGCAATGCTCCAGGTCGGTATCCCCCAACCGAGAAAACGAGTCATCAATTTGGGTTCAGTCCAGAGCCCGACATCAGAAAAAAAAAAGAAACAAAGAAAAAATACTAAACAATTGTAAGGCAAAAAAGAAGAACAGCCATGAAGTGAAGAGGGATCAGCCCCGTGCCTCGGTGTGCAAGATTGGTCGTCTTGATACCGGTTCATTATGGTCCTTGCCAGTGGTAATTTTTGTCGGATGTGGATGTCATGTTGAAAGACGGGTAAGGAAAGACGGGTGGTGGGGTGCATATACATTTCATGCATGCACATTTTGAGGCTTGCATGCATATTTGGAGAAACCCAAGCTGGCCCCGAATGAAGCACAAGGGAAGGCGGATGGGGAGATTGACACAGCATACGCAATCGGGTGAGAGTCGCAAGGTTGAAAGCACGAGATCAAGTGATCTGCCTCGGTATGGATGAAAGCAGAGAAAGAAGAATGTCATAAAAGTTAGATTTTTCCTGGGTGAGGCCGGGCGTGTTCAGATTCATCGGCGCTTGAGCTCGGTGACGAGACACTCAAGAATCTAGGAGAAGTTAGTGGCTCGATCGTTGGAACGAGTAACAAAGAAACATACCGATTCTGAAACGGCGCCCTGGTTATACAGGTATTTGCCCAGACCGCGGACGACCTCGAGCTGCTCGTCAACTGTAAGGCCGTTGATGGCAGTCTCGATGATATCACCCACGCTGGCCTTGTAGACAGCGATGAAGCTGTGGTAGTACATGAAAGCAAAGAATCCCATAATGAACTGGCAGTCCATGCGGTCAGTAATGCCACCGTGGCCGGGAATGGACTCGCCGAAGTCCTTGATCTTGAAAGTACGCTTCAGACCGGATGCAAAGAATCCACCGAAAGGAGCGATCAGAGAAGCGAAAGTGGCGAAAGCCAGAATGTGGAACTGGATGGGCTCCATGTTGAAGCTGTAGTCCAAACCAAAGAACTCAAGGGAGTAGGGTTGAGTCGTGAAGACTTGGTTGGGCACACATTCCAAACCGGTCAAGACATTGGATCCCAGGTCGTTGACAGGACAAATGAAGTACTTGTAGCGCATCAGCAAGTTGGTCATAAAATAACCGAATCCAATGGTGCAAATCCAGGCACCGAGGAAACCCTCAACAGTCTTCTTCGGGGAAAGCTGAATGAGTTGGGTGCGTCCAAAAGTGATACCACAGACGTAAGCAAAAATATCGTTGGTGATCACCAGTGACGCAGGGAGGAAGAACCAGATCATGCCCTCGAAAATGTTGTTCATGACAAAGTGAGCCTGAACAACAATCAGGTACAGAGCCATATGAGTCCAAGCAAACTGAGTGAACTGGAATCGGTAGTGGCCCTTCTGCAATGATCCGACGAAGAACACGAATCCTAATGGAGCATATTAGCTTAGACCAAAGGAACGAAGCCGAGGTACTTACCCATTACGTAGAGCGTGAAACTGATGAAACGGTGGTGGGTCGCGAGCGGGAGAAGCACCTTGTCAACCAGCAGGATATGCTTGAAGTAGTAGATGACGCTCTCTCCGTACAGGAAATACATAGTGGTGGCCAAGAAGTACCAATTCAGACTTTTGGTGAAGCGCAGGTTCTTCTCCTTATTGGGCACATTGGCGATAGCGATGACCTCCTTGAACGAAACAATTTGAATGGCAGTGACCAGGGCGATGATATAGATATGACCGGAGAACATGGCGATGAAGAAACCAGCAATCATCACGAAGGTCCATATCGTGCGGGTGATGAAGGTCTGCTTCTTCTTCTCATATTCAGACTGGACGGGCTTCTAAATAGGATAAGTGTGTCAGAATGTAGCTCCCCCATCGATATAGAGCTGAAGCTGACCTCTTCCTGTATCGTGGATGGCTGAGAAACATTTCCATTTTTGTTGAGGCTAGGCTCTGAAGGTGCGTCGCTGACGTCGGAGGACACGCTTAGCCGCCGTTCGCCGTTGCGGTGTTGGAACCTGACATTGCGGCGAGATTTTGACATGATGAGGGGGTGGGAAAGGGGGATGGGCCAGAAACAGATTCTAGGAAAGGGAGTGGAGAGTGCAGAGTGAGGATCGTCGGATTAGAAGTTGATGAGCTCATGTGAATTGCGCCGAAAGCGGTCAGCTCCGTGTTTATGTTTTTTTTATGCTATTGAATAATGAGTTATGCGAGTAATTTAGTATTATTTGGATTTGTATCTCCACATCTACAGATCTCTAGGGTTCGTTGTTTCTCGAAAGGGGAGTTGCAGGTTGCAGGGTTAAGGGTGAGACTGCCGCTCTGCAACTGAACACTTCTTCCCGCATACTCCATTCATGGCGGGGGCATGGACGACGACGACGACTACGGCTCCGACGAGTTCGACTCTCTGCCACCGGGTACCTTGTACGAGTTAGAACAGAATGCTTTCCAGGCAACCCAGGCTACGGCCTCACAGCACTTCAGTGTCCCGATAGACAGCAATTCCGGTTTGCGCGCCCGCGCACCCTCGAATCACACTGGTTCTCTACGACCACCGCTTCGCTTACATACTGGCTTGACCAATGATTACAATACACTGGAGGTGGGGGAGCTGGAGGCCGAGGTATACGACAATGTGGATGGGCAACATGCTGTTCCATATGGCCACCATGCACCCGCTCAGGACGTCGAGTGGATTATCAATAGCGAGATGGGCGATGCAATGGAGGTGGACGAAGGCTATGGACAGGTGAATATGGCCGAGATAAATGCACGCCTAGCTCAGGTTAGTCTATCGAACGAGAGCTTGCATTTTGAACGGTATCTAACACCATATACAGATGGAACAAGAACGAGAACAGATGATACGGGAGCTAGCCGAGGCCAGAGATCAAGTCGCCATGAAAAATGGAGAGATCAGCATTATTCGATCAAAGCAAGCAAGGATGACCCAAGATTATGACCGACAACTTGCAGCTCTACGGACATCAATGGCTGATGCGACGGCCTCACACAAGCTTGAGGTAGAGGCCGCGATGTCCGAGGGCAAAGTTCTGGCAACGGAGAACGTTTTTCTTCACCAGGAACTTGTGGAGGAGGCTTTCCAGGCTCGGAACTACAAAGCACGACATCGAAACGAGGACAAGGCGGCCCCGGTCACTCCCAGAAAGTCCAGGATATTACCCTTCCGTGATGGATTTGATGATGATGAGATCGCCATGGTGTCGCCTAGCAAATCTGCAGCACGTTCGAAGCGAGCCACGCCAACAGTACCGGGGAAACGGAAACGACAAGCTAGTCAGGATAGCCCAGCACCACTAGAGCTCAATCCTGCAGGTGCGGAGCTCATCATGGCTGATGCCTCGGTTGATGTGGCAGAAGTCGCTCAGGCGAAACGCAAGTCTGCGCAATCAGGTCGCAACCAGCGGTTCATGATGCGGCTTCTGAGTCACAAAATGCACCCCAGTGAGGAAACAGATCTTGAAGCAATGACTAAGTTGGCCTTTCCCTCTGGGCCAGATCGCTCCATGTCCAGAATTGTCATGGATAGTATGGCCCATGTCGATATGGACAGCTACATAGTAGAATATACGCAAGCGATTGCCTCGCTATGGCAGCGTGCAATCAACGAGAAGTTCTACGAACCGATTCCTCGGTTTGCCTCTATCGTCCGATTCATTCTCATGTCGGATGATACACCACTTCCTGAAATTATCATACCTCTAGTCGGAGTTCTACAGGATTCTGTGGAAGTGAATGCAGTGCCTCGGTTCAAGTATGCTCCAGCATCAAGGGACAAACGAGTGGCCGGACAGACGCCGCAATCAGATCTCCAGCCTCTAGTTGATTCAACTGAAGCCTTGCGGCTGCTCTATCGAATCGCTTGCGGGGTGCTGCACAATAGAAATGCTCTCCAAACTTTCTGGGAGAACATCCGGATATCCTTCATTCTTGTGATGCTGCACCCGTCACATCCACTCGGGGACATTGTGCTACTAATGAACCTCCTGTCAACAAGCATTCGTCCAACTTCGTTCGGCTCGATCAGATCATCAGATCAGGACCAGTTGGATGTGCAGAAATGGATCGTGGACCGTCTAACACACATGCTCAGCGAGCCAGCAATACCAGACGAAGGTGTTGAGCCATACACTCCATATGACATATGTGCCATGCGACTCGAGGTGCTCCTTCTGCTGGAATCACTAGCATTCAGTCCAGCAACTGTATCCCAAGGTCACGCAAGTGCCATCCTAGCACTACACCCAAATGCCCTGGCACGCTTATTTCGATCGATGCACGACGAGCTGGATGCACTGTATTCCTCACCGCCCGAGCAGGACCTGCGCGTTTCTCTGGTCAACGGACTGATGCGGTTGATTTTCGGAGTCATGCGTCAGCATGGACCCTCGATCAACATGCAAGAGAAGCTGGCGTGTGTACCCGGCAGCAAACAGAAACATCTCGTTGTGTTGACTCGTTTGGCATTCTGTGATGGTACTATTCTAGAGGCGGGCATCGACGATGATACTGTTGATATGGCTCACGAGCTGCTTGAGGAGTGGACTAATCCTCAAGAAGCGGAGTCATTGGCGGAGGCATTTCCGAGCTCTAGGAGGGATTGATAATGTTGAGAAGATGTTCAAATAATGTATGATTGGATTGGATTGGGGTTTGAATTTTATTGGGGCGCTGTGGTCTCTGGAGTTTCTCGCATCATTTTAACAAGTCCCAAAATTTCTTTCATTTTAAATAACAAGTGGATCAAGATCTAAAAGCTATTTATTTCACTTTGGTGCGCCAGTATGAGATGTGGTAGAGCGTTATGCAGTCAATTGGCCAGTGTTGCCTCAACATCTGATCGCAATTTGGAAGCGACGCGTCTGGCAGTTTCAGCTGGTAGAGCAGGGTCTGGCGCCAGGCCGCAGTAGAGATGTCAAGGATGATGTGACAACTAGACAGGGATACAGCATCAGCGGCAACGATATGATACAGCGACTCAGCACGTAAGCCGGGGCAGACCGAAGGGCGACAGGATGCCACCGGAGAATGAGAACATCAAGCTCTTCATACAACAAACATGACACGACTATCTTACCATAATTTGTGCTAAGAGTATTTAGCTCCTCTTCTCCAAGCTCGAGCCACTGGCCCGAAGGTTGATGAAAAGAAAGAATTCCACGAGTGGAGAGTGCCAAAGAATACGCCTGTCAATGACCCGAAAGCCATTGAACAGACTGTTCCGCCGCGCTGTGCAATGCAGGGACCAGACTGTGGTGAGCCGCCTTGATGATCGCAGCCACCCAAACAAGGTAAGTATGAAGAAGAAAGAAAAAAAGAAGAAGACCGCGGGGAGGACGTGGTATTTATAGCTTTCCAGCTGGTCGAAACCACGTGATATATTACCACATCGCCACTAAGCGAGGTTAAGAAGCCAATCACCGCTCTATAGTATCAGACCAATCAGCGACTAATGTAAGATGAGTAACTGTAAGCCTTGTCACTCAGGTGTCAATGTTGATCAGTCACGTGGGAGAAGTTTTGAGACTCCGGGAACTCGGCCAGGACAAGCCAGACCATCTAGCACCAGTATTGTCATTACACACCCACCATGAGGAACAGGGCTAGCAACACTTTGTCGAAAGGCGTATGTGTCAATTCCTTGCCTCGTTTCATGCAATTCGAGAAACTAAATCAACTGTCTAGAAAATCCGTCAATCATGGAGCAAATACAACCTCTATAACATGTCGCGGTTCCGCAGCCCTGCCACCATGAACCGAACATTCTTCCAGCAGAAGTGGTCTGCCAAGGCTGTGTCTCGTGCCTATCACGGAGAGCAAGTCCGCGAGGGTCAATGGAAGCGCATGTTCTCCCGCCGCATCAAGAGCGTCATACCCATGAACACCGTCGATTTGGCCGCCGACGATGGATCTCTGGTCTCTGCTGGTCGTGGCTCTGGTCTGACCAAGGAGGAAAAGTCGAGATATCCTACCCGCCAAACACCTTACACCAATATGACCTTTGCACCCCTGGAGCGTCGGTTGGATGTTGCTATCTTCCGAGCTATGTTCGCCAGCAGTGCCAGACAGGCACGACAATTTGTCATTCACGGAGCCGTCACTGTCAATGGACAGAAGGTATGATTAGGCCTACACCATGACCAATTAAAGGATCCCACCCTGACTGATCTCGTATGATTAGATGAGACACCCCAGCTACCTCCTCAACCCCGGTGACCTGTTCCAGGTCGAGCCAGACCGTGTCATGTTCGCTACTGGTACCCCCAAAAATAAGTTCGAGCGCCGTGAGAGCCGATTGGCCCAAAAGCCAGCAGAGGAGGCGGAGGCGGAGACAGAAAAGGCTGAGGCCGAAGAGCCAGAAGAATTGAAGAGCCCCAAGGAAACTCTCAAGGCACTGATGGCCCGGGCCAAGTCGGTTATGTCGAACGATAAGGATACTCTCCCGGCCAAGCGCAAGCAGGAGCTCCGCGGTTTCCAAAAGGCGGTCCGCCGTGTGCTGTCCCGCTCAGGCTCCGAATCCAGCAACATCCTCACACAAAGCCTGGAGGTGCAATTCTCCCACCTGACCGAGCTTCTCAAGGCCAAGCGTGAGACAAAGAGTCCAAAGCAAGACAAGAAGCAAGACAACAAGGCTGCCAAGCCCGAAACAGATGATTCTCTCGCCTTCGAGGCCGATGAGCCTGCTGCCAGTGACAAGCTCTCGGCCGCTTTCGAGCAGGTAACCCTCGGTAAAGACGTCGATGTCTCTGAGCTGTCAAACGAGGAATTTGACACCCTTAAGCGCGCTCTCACCCAGATGCGCGACAACCCCATCGACAACACTAAGCCATATGCCACCCCCTGGCAACCGCGTGACTACATGTCCGCTTTCGCCTTCATCCCCCGCTACCTCGAGGTCAACCAGAACATCTGTGCCGCCGTGTACCTGCGCCATCCCGTTGCCCGCCCCGGCTCCGCTGAGGTTCCCACACCCTTCGGCGAGTCCATCGCTACTCCGGCTTACGGTTGGTACCTGAGAAGACGTTGGTAGAGAGCGAGCTGGCTTATAGCCATCACTCTGTCTGGTCTTCTTTATTGTCTCTACTAAACTACTATTTACTCCCTACTTCCCATCTGTGTATTAGTGGGCTACTCTTTGTTTCCCCTCCCTTTCTGCATATTTCTGGATCATGTTGACCATGGTGTTGGTTCTTGTTTTGCTTGTCTTTGGAGCTTTGTGTCCGCTCCACCCCTGTACCACCATAGCCATGATGGATTGTAAATGGATATCTTATTGATCGATGTCATTTTTGCGTAAACAGTTTAATGGCTTCCCCTGCTTGGTATCTGATTACAATCTATGGTTTACAAAGCAAAAGACTCGGCTGTATGGTTTTGTCTGAGTGTACTAAAGATTTGGGACCTAAAGCCTCATATCCTGTTACACAGATATATTATAAAACTTACAAAGTCCATGCTGTGAAAGACCTAAATGTAGATATAGAAATGTAGACTCCGTCTAAAAAACAAATAAAAACAACCAAACATTGATACAGTTTACTTTACGTGCGAGCACACAAACGCATTCAAGAAATCGAGCACAGCTATAGATGCCCGCGCACGGACCCCATGGAAAACCCTCTTGAAATCCAACTTAATCTTCTCCACCGATCGACACATCTCGAGGTGTCCTTTGGATACAGCAGCTCCATTCTGTAGCAACTTATATTCTGCTACTCTAGACTCCAGAGGCAAACACCGGCCTTGTCCCCTCCACCAGGGTGTGGCTCCTGCCAAGCAGCCATCCTCAATGCCGCGGGTTCAACCACACAAATACATCCATCCATCATATCGCCCATCTGCAAGCACATACACAGCACAAGACCTCCGCACAGGCTTCAGCCCGGCCTCGCAGTCCGTCTCAGTGGTGGCAAGAAACCCACCGGGGACCGATAACAACTCCGAGAGCAGCTGGGAGACACCCGAAGAAAGTTTAACCCCAGGCAATCCACAGGCAGCCGAGGGCATTATCACCGAGAGTGATATATACTATGCGCCAATGCCCGTGGCAAGTCAACTCAGTGAAGGTGATGACTCAGTTCTGATGTTGGGCTCCAACCCACGAGGGACGAAGCGGGTCCATAAGGCTGATGCTGATCTGGACGTCGACAATTCCCGACAACACCGCCGCCTAACGACCAAAGAGGAAGTGGCGCTTTTCGAAATCTGCAACCAGAATGCAGACACCTTTGGCAGCCGTAGCAACCTGTGCAAGTGGTGGATATCTGTCGCTGATGAGTTCAAGCGCACCCACGATGGCCGTTCATATTCCTGGCATTCAGTGCGCCGCAAGGTGGAAATGGTTACGAGACAGCGTATCAAAGCTCTTGAGGATCAGAGGCAGCGTGGCTCAACTGCTAGTGAGAATCTGATGAATCCGCAATGGCGTGCTGTTGTCGATGCTTGGGTTCCAACGTGGCAGCGGTGGGAGGATGCTGAGAACCATCGTATTGCGAAACGCGACGAAGTTCGGAAGCGGAAGCAGCCACCACCCAGACCACAAAGCCAGGATCAGAGTCAGAGTCAGAGTCAGAGCCAGGTTTTAAGGAGCGGAGAGCCATGGCGGGTTCAGCTTGGGTCTGCTACCAGTCCGGCTGATATTGGTCCTACAATGATGGGCCACTCTGCTGCAAGTCTTGGAGACCCCCTTCCAGCGGCGAGCCCGACACTCTGCACCTCGATCCCAACCACCTCACAACCTGGACCATTCTCCGAACAATCCCCCACACCACTACCAACGCCCTCTTCTCTCAGACTACCACCGGGCTTCGAGAACATGTTCTCAACCCCTACAATGCCTGCACCATCCGCACCTTACCGCCCTACCTCTACAACATCAAAAGCCCCAGATGCCGACGGCGGCGAGATATTCAACGCTGCTGTCCAGACCCTAAACAGATTACACAATCACTTCGACGAAAAAGATCTCGACGCACCGAGAATCTCACCCATTTTTCAGGCTGTAGCTAAAGCAACCTCTGAAAAAGCCAAAAGGAACCACTCTTCTCAGCCCCCATTACCACGGCAGTCACAGTCGCAGTCATCATCAACCAGTCCTACTCCGATTGATATCGAACAGATGAAAGAGGAGCTTCGACAAGAGATGAAGATTGAAATTCGCCGTGAACTAGAACGGGATCGAGCTGCTCTGGAAGAGAAGTTGGATTCTGTGCAGAGGACCCAAGAGATGATCCTTGAGATGTTGAGACAGGAACCTTCTTGAATAGCAGGTTACGCCTATCTCTTCTTTTGCTTTGCTTTAGCTTGGTCTGCTATGGCTACTTGCTCTTTTTCTCACTTTGATGTACTTATTTTACCCTCTTTGATATGATACCCCTACTCGACGGCGACGGCGTATTTGGCTTGGCTATGACTGTATGATAACACACATTAACATTGCGATGCTTTTCAATTTAAGAATAGAAAAAACTATTCGATGCATGGAACAGGACCCGGTATGGTAATTGCTCTCTACTCTAGAGCAGAAACCAAAGAAACAAACATAAGAGAAACTAGTCATCGGGCTAAATTACAGATAAATAGAGAGGAACAGGAGAAGGATTAGTTCATCCCGGCCCTCCACACAACAGATTAAACTCTCATCCAAGGAACACAACGTGGAATATGTACCCCGAAACGAAGCGATCTACATTTAGTAGTAGAAGGTCTCGTCGACGGTACGGCCACGCATCCACTTGGGCTCGGAGCCACGGACGTAGATGTCCTCGAAGAGAATGCGGGAGTTGTTGTCGGGAACGGCCATCTTTTCGGCCTCGGCGACCTCGGCGTCGACCTTGGCGCGGGCCTCCTTGTCGAGGGCCTTGAGGTCCTCTTCGGAGGTGACACCCCACTCGAGCATCTTCTTCTTGAGACCGGCGATGGGGTCGTTGGTGCTGCGCATACGCTGGATCTCCTCACGGCTACGGTAGGTGGTACCGGGGTCGGACATGGAGTGACCACCGTAACGGTAGGTGACGTACTCGAGGACGAGGGGACCGTTGCCGGTGATGGCGTAGTTCTTGCTGTACTGGACGGCGGCCTTGGTGGCGAGGACGTCCATGCCGTTGACCTTGAGACCGGGAATGTACTGGCCACGCTTGTAGTACTCGGTCAGGGCGGAGGAACGGGAAGCAGAAGTACCCATGCCGTACTTGTTGTCTGAACAGAGAAAAGGTTAGTAGTCTGGCTTAGAGATTCGTCGGAAAGACGAAAGACGAAATCAAGGGAGTTGACATACTCTCACAACCAAAGAGAACGGGGAGATTCCACAGCTTGGCCATGTTGAAAGCCTCGAAGACCTGACCCTGGTTGGAGGCACCGTCACCGTACAGGACGATGGAGGTGTTGGGCTGCTCGTTGTACTGCTGAGCAAAGGCGAGACCAGCACCGACGGGCACCTGGGCACCGACAATACCGTTACCACCGTAGAAGTTCTCGGCGAACATGTGCATGGAACCACCCTTGCCGTACGCGATACCCTCGCGACGACCGAGAAGCTCACCAATGATGGACTTGACGGTACCACCACGCATCAAAGCGAAACCGTGGCAACGGTAGGCAGTGATGACCTTGTCCATGCGGTTGATGGCGTGCTCAATACCGACAGCAACGGCTTCCTGACCGGTCGACAGATGGCAGAAACCCCGGATCTTCTTCTCCTTGTACAGACGGTCGGCGGCCATCTCCATGCGTCTATGAACCAAAGAAACTCGAATCAGCGCCGCTCAATCTTCCAACGCGTCATAAAAGGGATCTGTACCTCATCGAGACCATGTCGTAGTACATCTGCTTGAGCTCCTTCTTGGTGGTCTCCAGAGTGTATGGGGGAGGGTCGAGCTCGTAGGTCTCGAAGCTCTCGTCGGAGAGACGGACGGTGAACGGCTTGTCATCCTCCTATCGTAGCGCAAATAGCATCGTTAGCATTGAGTCCGGGGGCCTTCCGGCGATAGATTCCAGTTTTCCGGATAGGCTCAACAAACCTGCGGGACAGGGCTCTCGGTCTGCGCGGAGGCGGCGTCGGTGGTGACAGTGCGACGGGCGAGAGGAGCGAAAGCCTGACGCCTCAAGGGCGCAGCCTGGCGGGCCGCAGTACGGAAGAGCATGATGGGAGGAATTGGAGGTGGTATTGGGTTGGAAGATAGCACTTTCGCAAAGTGTTGGGATACACCTAAGATTTTCGTGCACGTGACCTCTTTTCCGCTCTGTCTCACCGGTCGCCGCCGGCCGACTTGGAACTCGGAAAACACTCCGTAAGTACAGTATGTTTTGAATTAGTATTCAATTGCTAGAGATTGGAGTGTATAAGAGGATAACATGTAGGATTTATCCGTGTATACAGGTTCTATCTCTCAGGTTGAATATATCAGCAGCCCCATAGCGGATTTTATTGGCTCTTATATCATCAAGTTAGCTCTATTCTTCTCTCTTTCTAAGCTAACAAGGTGTCCGGGGAAAAAGCGAACTGCATAGTACTATGAAAATATAGCTTTAGAAGTGCTCTAACATCAGAGAAACCTGATATACCCGGCCAACCCCTTTTATCGTATCGCGGGCTTCTACGGAACATGCGTCATCTGCTTACTTCGTAAATACAATAATGCTGAGTTCTTTCACACCCTCAGTTCTATGTGCTCTGATTGATTCACCCAGAGCACTCGAAAATGGATGAAAAGAGGCGAACAAAGAGGAGCCCAGTGAGGGCCTAATAAAGACATGAAGTAGTGATAGGATCTTATCAAGACATTGTCTAATACTTCATAGCACTATCAACAGATTTATGACCCTGTTGTATCACCTATATCCTACTCTCACAACAAAGAGAAAGTTGTTCAAGATAGAAGAGGCAATTGCAATTCAAACAGATCCAGAGAGATGTCTTTCATGGAACCAAAGCATCTCACCAAGGAATATGAACAATATAAACGGCCAGTAGTGTGTACTCACTATTCGAACATGTTCAAACTAGGCTCTTCTCAAATGGCAATATTCTATAAAGATAGGACAGCTAGTAAGCAGCTATCGGTCCTTTATTTGCGGTCAGTTGAGGTATAGACGAGGGACGGCAAAAGCAGAGTAAAAGAGAGAAAAAATAGAAGTAAAGACCATATAGTTGCATTGCAGTCATATTTCAAGTAGTAATTGGTCCGCATATTCTATTCCATTAGTGACGGATATACCGCGAGCAACTCGTGTCGGGATGTTGTTGATCGTGAACTCAATTCAAGAAATACTAAATCTACATGACCCCATCTAGCGTAACAATACACATTCGCCAAGGCTCTGACATTATAAAAAGAGACAATGTGCCTGATCAAACGAATTAGTAGAGATAGGAATATAGACTATCATGCAGTAGGGAGGGAAAGCAGATGTCTTCTTGGAGCATAAAGCAACAAAGGCAATACTGAGTTTACTCTTCTCTAATCAATTCAACCCTAATACCCCAGTCAAACAGGCTACTGTATCACCAACCCTCCTGGAAATCAGTAATACTGTGTGCCACTAAGTCAATAGCTTACTACAACAGCTGTAGCACTTAGGGCTAGAGGGAAAAGCGAATGATTATGAATATCATGAATATACGTCGACGTTGAATATGCATTCAGCCACTGTAATGAGCAATCATTGATATGAGTCACATAGAAATCGTTATGATTCGCTCCATAGACAAACAGGTGCCCTTCCTCACATGTGATGACGATAATACCCAGATTAAGAAATATTCAGCTGATTTCCCCACAAAAAAGTAAATCCACCATCTCAGTAGATGTCAAAATCATAACCAGTGTCAATATTGGTAGCCCCAACTTCCACAGCATCGGTCATCATAGTTACAGACTCATTGGCAGCATACTTTGGCTCCTCTTGGTTGCCCCGAGCAGTTGTAGTGGATGAGCTTACACGACCTTCTTGGCGATCACCTTCGGGGCTAAAGCCCATGGCAGCCAGAGACCGCTCCATACGGACTCTTCCGGGTGCGATCAACTTGTCCCACGAGGAGACCATTGCCGAGATTTCAGCATGTGGAGCCATAGCTCCCATAGCCACATTGACTGACTGCAGTGTAGCCAGAGCATTTTCCACCTCGTCAATTCCAGGAGCCAGGTATTGTTGCCACGCAGTGGCCAGAGCAGAGAGATTTACGGGCAGCAGCTCCTGCTGCGGAGGGGCGCGCTGAGGCAGGATGCTCATCTGAGCGCGGGAGTTGATGGAGAGGAGGACCGGTTCCTAGACAGTAATATTAGCATAAAGTGAAGCCGGCATGTAGATTGTACTGATCAACGGAAACTAGTTCTCTTGCCTGAGGCTCACGTACAGTCATGCCGATGCTGCCGGCAACATGTCTGTGATTTGTGAGTGCCCATGCGTTATGGCGACTTGCAAGATGACCCGGTATGTTGCAGATAAAGCAGCGGCGTCTGTCATTGCCACTGGCACCCTTCTCATTATGAGAATCAAGCTGACAGTCAAATAATTGATAGGTACGTACCCTGCCACAGTAAGAGTCATAATCTTCCTCACGGTAATTGTTGGGATAATATTCTCGACGACGGTATCGCTCTCGATCATTCTCTCTCTCGTTTGCGTCATAGTCACGGCGAGAGTGCTTTCTCTCATAATCACGATAATAGCTAGAGCCATGATCACGACTCAGGCCACGACCAGACTCCTGTCCATGCCCACGACCGGACTCACCACCGTTCAAACGCCGGTCAGACTCGAGGACCAGATTACGGCGACTGGACTCGTGGAAATCGTTGCGACGATGAGGCTCGCGGGCATCCATAATGTATCCAAGCTCGCGGGAATCAACCCGACCACGGCGAGACTGGTCCTCGAACGAGAGAGTACGATCAAGAGAACGACCCCAGAAACCTTCTGCACCCGAGACTGCACCCCGGGTTCTCATTGCAGACTCAGCCATGGTGGCTGGTGCCACTTTAGGTCAGTCTTGACTAAATAATGAGAATGAGGATGATGAAAGACGGGAATGGGACTTGGAAAAATCACAAGGTTATTTGTTTGATAAAAGGGCGGGGAGAAAGAGAAGTGAAGTGAAGGTCAAATTGAGAAACAACAACAAACGATCGCTGGGCACCTCCAGGTTGGACTTCCTATTTGGGACTATCCAGACAACGTCGGTTCTCAGATTTGGCAAGTGCGTGTTTCCTGTCTGGCAACAAGACTTGTCAAGCAGATCTCACAACCTTCACTTCTCAGTGACAACGGGACTATGAATCTTATTCTGTTGAAAAGAGGGTGTCTCAAATTTGTTAGAATACTCGTTGATTGTATTGGGAATGTAGTTCTCTATCTCATGATACGGGCACCAGAATACATCCCACCGTTGGAGAAAAATCTGTGATAAAATAGGGCTTCCAGATTGGCTCTGACATTCTCAGCTCAAATCACAAGGCATTTTGTAATTCGTTTTTTTTTTTTGGCTATATTTTCCCATTGACCAAGCAGACCAAGGTATACCAGCAGCCTTCAGCAGGCCCCGGAGATTGCCCTGGGAAAGACAAGAAGGACTGATCGATCTATGCACCAAGATCTGACAACAGTCCCATTTAACAATTTTGTAGTGGGTGGTGGTCGTGGAGGCTTGAGGGGGGATATATGTTGCAAAACAGGCCGATCCCCAACCATTTGCGTATTAATATACCATAGTTCCACCAGAATAAGTACATCTAGATCACATTTGCAGCACTTTCTGTGAAGACCACTGGCCGGGAGCCCAAGCTCGGTGTCCTCAGACTCCGAAATAGTAGAGAAGTGGAGGGGTTGTCGCCCTTATAGAGGTATCACCGGCAAAGGAGATGGAGTTGGAATGGACTTGCTTGCCGGTCTATATATACATATTGCTCGTATATGCTGACTACCTCGTGATCATCAGGACTGTATACATACAAGATGATGAGGTATACCAGAACTGCCATGGGTAGTCAAGAGTTGGAACCGCTTGCTCTTGAAACCAGGGTTCTCCAAGGTAGGCATATAATTAGTAGTCATATGTCCTCACCATAGGTGGTCCCCATTCGAACCCACGCGAGTATCTCCAGGGCATCGCAGTACAGACCAGTCTAGAATACCCGCAGCCTAGATCTGCAGCAAGGGGGCAATCTGCCATCCTTTTTTCAAGACCCACCACTTAGTAGCATTGTTATTAGCACTGCGCTCGAGATCAGTGATTTGGGCGCGGTCAGAACGGATAACTACTAGGATATTTTCAGTGTCTATCCAACCTCAATCATCCATATATACTCACTGACTCTGTTATGCTTCTCAAAGAGGCGACAGGGACCGTAGACCGGGAGTAAGTTTTGTCCACTGTTGAATCGTATTAGCGTTGGTAAGATGTCCTCAAGATACGGAAGCTTGCCAGTGCTAGATCACTCGTATATCAATCCAGGTGATTCTGACAGATGCGGACAATGATCTGTTTTATCTTCATTCATAGATAAGCTTTGCACGTATTCCAAGGTTTTGCAATAGACCACTTTGACACAGGTAATCACATATGTTTAACTGGAAGCGATGGAAAGAATCAAAACGGTATGATACAGGGAAACAGCTAATAAAAATCCACACTCTGATGACCAAGATTGCTTTGTATGGCTTTAGGGTGACGCTGAAGTTTAAAATGCTACCTGGTAACCTGAATCTCGATAACTGAAGCATATCTGGAAGTCTCCTTTGTGTAACCGTGTTTTGCATTCCTTCATCGGGGTATAGCAAACACTCCAGTAAGCATGCACAGAGGTAGAAGTAACCTTACATCAACACCGACCAGATGGTCCATTCTCATTGAAATGATCTCCCTGTTGATCGGATTAGCTCGATCTAGTTAAAGCCGTCGAACGTGCACACTAGGGCTGATATATGATATATCAGTCAACACGAGCCAACCGGATCACCCCCACTAAACAAAGACTAGTAAACTAGCACGAGTCAAAAAAACACAGACAGTTTTGACAACACACCGAAGGAAACAAGTATGAAATCGACACATCACAATTGAATGGCATGATCCGAACCGTTGACAGCTGCAAAGCATCCATGGCAAAATCGATGTATCGTGCGCACTCGACATAAGCTCAGCTTTCACAGCTCACGATGTCACATGTCCGATATCTTCGCGTGACTTTGTGAGGAACAGCCTCGAGCGTGGAGGTACATGTTCTGTAACCCCGCAGATAAATGTGATAGATCGCGATTGTCAACAGAACAGAACACGCAAGGATCGTTGGTTCGGGGAACGAACGGATAGAAATTTCAAGCTGTGAAGGATTACATGCATTTCGATCAGGTCAACTAAGGTATCTACTCGTTTGTGCATTGACCTAATTTAATCGAGTAAATTTGCCAAGTAAACCCAACCCAATGCAGTAACCCCAAAGCCCTAACTTAATTCACATACACACAAGAACATAACTAATAACCCTCAAACACATACACCCGATATGACGAATACCGACATCACGAACTATCCATCGTAGACATATTGAAACAGCTGACGAGGCAATCGGGCACCTGAGACAGATTCAAGCAAATCGGTCCCAGCACGGAGGAAGCCAGTAGTAAAATCACACCAAGCGGATACGATAATGGCCAACATTGTCTCTCAGTTGACGAGCTCTGTTTCGGGGTTGTTTCATGTATGATCCTGCTTCTGATTCGGATACTACTACGGACTCTGTCAATATGAGTTATCTTTTAGAGAGATTAGCAGATGTGACGATGTCATATTGCATCCAAAGGAATGGACCGATAAATGAAATAAAATAAAATCAAATCAAAAACCGCCCCCTGCAACATGTACAGCAAAAAACACACCATGCCAGGTGGAGCAACTACCACAAACAGCTACAGTAAATCCAAGTATTGCATGACCAGTTCGTCCAATTCACCCTAAACCCTCGGTCGCAGCCCGATTGACGCAATATACCAAGAACTCCACCGAGGCACAATATACATGTGGCCAGATGCATACCGCAGACTGCAAAAGTTCCATACCTGCGCCCGGCGCCCGGGGAGGGCTGCATACTACAAATCCACCGTTAAACTAGGAAACTAGGCGCATCACTAATGCAGGCTGTACCCTCCCCGGGCAACCATTGAATCTGTGGGTCTACCAGCCTGAATGGAGCTAGTAAGGCCGGTGCTTATGCGACTTGCAGCTTATTGTACTTGTGCATTGCATTTGGGTTGAGTTTCCATTCGACATCAATCCGGATTTTCACTCTTTTACATGTCCGATTTCCGGATCATCCGAGTGTTGTTTTCTGTTTGTAGCGGCTAGGTAGGGCCGGGGTTTTGCCCGGCCAATGGGGGTTGTGGGTTTTGCCCTGCGTGTTTCAGTTGTGAACTTCACGTTGGATGTGTGTAGTGTAGACGTAGGGTTGCGTTTACTGTAGTTTTGTATGTGTCATTTGGGGTTGATTTGTGTTGGCAGTGATCAACTCGGATTTTGACTCCGACTTGAAACACGGGTTTTGGAGAGCGGCGGAGTTATAGGGGATTCACGAGGCTAGAGCTAGTGATGTACATTACATCTCCGCTTTGGAATCTCGCAACGGTGATGATCATTCGGTGATCTCTGCAAGGAAAATGTATACAGTTATAAGACCGAAGCCAAATTTTGAGACTGCAAGCAGAAGATAAGAATGGGATTTGGAATTGAAAAGATGGAATACAGTAGGATGACTGCCAAGGGCGGATCATGATCTACAGACCAAGACAATGAGCTGTCATATATGCCACGCAGGTCGCATCCGTGACAGCTCCAGCAAGGAGGTTGCGGACCTAATTCCCCGACTGATGTGCAGAATACGAGCCAACGCTCGTGGACAGATCCAATATCAAACGCCCCTTTCTTAGTGGGGAGAGACCGTCCATCATCATCTCACGATATTTCAATAGCCAAGCACGGCCTGGCATCTACCGAATCAGACCCCATTTCGGAATTTTGAGACAATGGACGATAAACTAACGCCAGCACAGACGATTGCTGTACCCAAAAAGCAGGACCGTGTCGATCCCCGCTGACGACTGTTCGCTAGGTGATCCATAAACGGGACATGGAGATAGCGATGTGCAAATCCATTCCCCTTAGCTTCGACATGTCTCCAATTTCCTTGTTCAGCGCTAATGGGTATACATCAAAGAGGGACGACGGCCGATGTGGAGAGAGTTGGATAGGAGATCCAGAAAGGAGGCAGTGAATCGTACCGTCCCCGGGAGTACGAAAGGATGAAGGAGTTCAACTACCGTTAGCCGAGTGATTGTGTTTACCAATTCCGGTCGATCATTGGAGGTGCGGAGTAAGAAACGCCACCCAGAGGAAGTGGACGATCATGTCCGCATATGAAACGGTGATAGGATGCACCTTGCTGGAACTGGGGAAGCACGTCATTGCAGAATTGGAGATGTTCTGGAAAACTTCATGGAACCAGAGATGCCATTGACAGGTAACGATGATCGGCAAAGATCACGGTTCCGAGTTTGCCACCAATAGATAGGGTTGGGCTGATTCCAGGGTTCCATCCAGGCTGAAAGAGGCATCCATGGGAATCACTATCCAGACGGTTCGGATCAGTGGAAAAGATCGGAGTCGTCCCGAGATATCACTGTGGCCAAGTTGGGTATTCTATACACAGAAAGACTCACGAAGACTAAAACGGATGAACAGAGTAAAATAAAGCGAAAAAAAAAGTATATAAAAAGCTAATTAAAAAGGTGGCAAAAGAGGGAAAAACAAAGGACAAGAACAGTCAGTTAAGGGGAAGTTGGAGGCGTGAACCATGGAGGTCCAGGGCTCTGAAAGAGCAGCAGGACTGGATAGGTTTCATACTTGTAGTCTAGAGACCCGTACTCCGTCAGTCTACGGTGGGATCGGACTGCGTAGGGCACTCCTTTTCCCAGGGGCTTCTCCACCGTCTAGCAGAACATGCACCATGGCTCCAAGTGGGTAAGTCTGTACCTTTTTTATTCATTTAGCCTCCCTGACTCTTTTTCCCCCTTTTAGCCTCAGATTATTTTTGGGTTTCTCCTTTCTCTTTTTTCCTTTCATCTCCACCCTTTGAGAGTCCATGTGGAAACGTTCGCCTAGATCGGACTCCAAGTCTGGGAACTCAACTCAACAACTGACTGAGCTGGGATTCCTAGGTCGGAAAAAGTCAAGTAAGTTTCATTAGATCGGATTTGGATCTGAGACCTTGATTCTGGGATAAAGCCCCGATCCCCTGAGTTCTTCACATGTGGCCCTGTATCCTCCCCCCACCTTGCTAATTACAGACAGAATTACAATCGGACTCTCGTTCTCCCCTCCGTTCATTCCGTTCATTCACTCGAGGCGCGGTAGAACGACCTTCTAGTAGTCTTTCCAACCAGACTGACTTCGCCCCAAGAGCACCTGCTTCGATCCATTCCGGTTATCCAGAGTCTGGTCAGCCTGCGCTTTCCAATCGCTCACGAGCATCCTTTCATTCACGATCTGGAATCCAAACCGGCCCTATGGAGGTCGACCGCACCCGCACTCGGCGGGAGAGAACTTTCATCGGCAGCGAATGCGCCGTCTGCGAGGAACCTTTGGAACATACCCTACGAGGCGAGCGTATCCTGCAACTATCCTGCTCACATGTCTCCCACGAGGCCTGCTTCTACGAATTTCTCAGAGAATGCGACGGACAATACTGCCCCACCTGTGATGCGCCGTTGGCCTTGGACACGAGTCGCGGTGGCAATGTTTTGGATATAGGTAAGTGTTCCACTCAGTTTCAGAGTGACAGGGAACTGATGTGATCGGCAGAAAAAATCAGTAATATCGTGCGGTCTGTGACGGGAAATGATAGCGCGACCATGCGGAGTGGTCTCACCACACCAACTCCGTGGGAGCAACAGTCGACCCGACGAGCACCAAGTGATGCAGGAAGTCGTTACACTGGCGCGCGAGAACCCTCTTATAACCCACCGGCCAGGGAGCCATCGTATAATTCGTCGGCTAGAGAGCCATCTTACACTCCCTCAAGGGATCCGTCCTACACCCGACGCGACAGCCGCGACACCAGCAGCCAGCGCGATCGCGTGGAACGATTGACCGTCGCCTCTCATCCTCGTCAACCGCATTCTCGCAATGGCAGCGCGGCAGGCTCCTCCGGCGAATACACCGAAGGCCAGCACACCAGCAGTGGGCGACGCCATGACTACGATGTGCAGGCAATGGAATCGGACCTCAGTGCGCGCCCGGGAGTCGCCAAGAATCCCATCCCCGCGCCGATCGTCACCGTCCGCAGCGAGTTCCCTACCATGAACCGATCCCGCCAGCAACAGACTCTCACATGTTTAATTACGGTCGAGGTGCCAGAGGCGAATTGGCGTCCTGATGTGGAAGATCTGCGGCATACGCCATCCGGCCAGTCACAGCCGGATGAGCCATATACGGGACGGTATGGTGGACAGGACGCTCGGTCGATCCAGCACGAGCCAATGGAGAACTTGGATGAGGTTGCGGAAGAATTGCGCACCCGGGTGGACAATTGGCATGGTTTGGAGTTCCCTCGATTTGGCAAGTTGCGTCTCCATGGACATATGCGCGTGGGCAAAGATCGGGATTCCTGGCAGGAGCTGGAGTGCTACTTGTTCGGGGAGATGCTTATCTGTGTCAAGGAGAAGAAGTCGTCTGATTCGAGTCAGTTCGATGAGAGTGGACGACGCAAGCCTGTCCGGTGCTCGCTCAAGGGTTCGATTCTGATTAAGAAGCATCTCAAGTCGATTGAGGCTTCATCGGATGAGCCCGTTCTCGCTTTGAACCTCTCTGTCAATGAATTGCCCTGCTTCTATCTGCGGTTCCAGAACCGCAACCAATTGGAGATGTGGCGTCGCTCCTTGATCGACTTGCATCCTGTGGAGAACATCTCGCGCCAGAATGATTACGACTATGACAACTCTGGAGAGGAGGAGGACTACCGTACCAACCGAATCCAGCGACAGGCTTCTATCAACTCATCCTACGGTGCATCCAAGTCCAACAATACCGCTATCACGGACTACACCAACCCGGACATGGAAGCTCCTCCCATCAATACTGTTCACATTCCTCTCGATATCGTTGTGGTCATTCCAGTGTCTTCGTCCATGCAAGGCTTGAAGATTACGCTGCTTCGTGATGCCCTCAAGTTCCTTGTTCAGAACCTTGGCCCCCGGGACCGCATGGGACTGGTGACATTCGGCTCAAGCGGTGGTGGTGTGCCCCTGGTGGGTATGACCACCAAGTCATGGTCTGGATGGCCCAAGATTCTCGATTCGATCCGGCCGGTTGGCCAAAAGAGTCTGCGCGCAGATGTTGTCGAAGGAGCTAATGTGGCCATGGATCTTCTGATGCAGCGCAAATTCAACAATCCCGTCTCCACCATTCTCCTCATCAGCGACTCCTCCATCTCGGACCCTGAAAGTGTCGACTTTGTCGTGTCTCGCGCGGAAGCAGCCAAAGTCAACATCCACTCCTTCGGTCTCGGCCTGACCCACAAGCCCGACACTATGATCGAGCTCTCCACCCGCACAAAGGGCTCTTACCTGTACGTGAAGGACTGGATGATGCTGCGGGAATGCACCGCCGGATGTCTAGGTGCTTTGCAGACAACCTCCCATCAAAATGTCAAGTTAAAACTCCGCCTTCCAGAAGGATCCCCTGCCAAGTTTGTCAAGATTAGTGGTGCTCTCCACACCACGAAACGTGCCACCGGCAAGGACGCTGAGGCAGCACTCGGAGACCTCCGATTCGGTGACAAACGCGATGTCCTTGTCCAGCTCGTCATCACACCCGACAACACTACTCAGGACAACATGCCCCAGGATCCTTGGGAGAGCTTAGTCTCCGGACTGGAAGCACTCGGCGGCGGCCCAGATGGAGACGAAGCACGCGTGGTCAGCGTGGAGGAGGTCCCTCTCATCCAAGCTGATCTCACCTACGGCGATCTCCTCCGTGACGGTCACCTCACCCACTCCCCTCGTCCCTCTCTTCTCGCCATCACCATGCTCCCCCCGAACCCGCGAGCCAAGAGCGGACGTCCCTCAACCCCACCAATCCCACCTCACCCCTCAATCGTGCAGCGCCGCATGGAGCTCCTTACCTCCGACATGTTGACTCGTGCCTTGACCCTGGTTTCCCGAGGCCAGCACGATCGTGCCATGCACCTCCTCAATGAAACTCGCAGTATTCTCAAAGGTCTAGGCAAGGGTGGTCTACCGCCTCTGCCACCAGGTGCTTCCCGCAACCCAGGCAGTGATGCTGGCAGCCGCGGCGATACCCCGATCTCATCCTCCCCCAAGTCATCGACTTTCGGCGAGACTCATTCCCCGGCATCTGAGACAAATACCATTACTCCCACATCGTCTGTTGACACCCAGACCATGACTGCCCTCAACGCGGATCTCGAATCATCCCTTGAGTGGATCAACCACCCAGCTGTGTTCGGCCGTGATTCTCGCAAGGCCGTGCTGCAGAGTATCGGCGTGATCTCCTCCCAGCGCGCTTACACATTCCGCACACCTTCCGAAGCACACTGGGCCCAGCGAGTCTCAGGTGTCCGTCGATTGACCGAGCGGTCCCAGGACTGGCGTGAAACCGGCGATGACGCTCTGACCGAGGAGTGAGGATCTTCCTACTCATCCTACACTTATCCTATACCACCACCTCCCAATTTTTTTGATACGCTTTGCCTGTTTCTTGCTTTTATCTCATAACGGTCTCGACCTTCCACGAGTCCACGAGTTCCATATCCCCCCTCCCCTATCCTTATCGCCATGCCTCTCCCCCTCCTGTTATTGATTATTGATGTATTCCCCTTTTCATTTTCCATCCCTATGATACCATTTGTTTCCCACCATGACTACGTAGCATGATACCAGGGCCTTTGTTCTTGATGTGTTTCCGCTCACCCCCAGTTGGATTTGTACTGTCCTTGGACATATCTTTCTGTTTCTATGTAATTGCTCTGCTTGGTCTCGGCTATGGTGCGCGCTGGTGGGATGGGTTTTTTTTTTTTTTTTTTTTTTCTTGGTGAATACTTTTTTGGTGTGGTTTGGATTTTTGCTCTTTTTTTTTTTTTTTTTTTTTTTTTGAACATATACTTATATTTATATCTTATTGTGACCTGACGATCTACTGGAACTTGATTTTTTTGGTGAATATCTATATAGCCTTGCATTATTTCATCTGGACTGTTTTACTTTACCTCAGCCAATCTCATGCCTCTTTCATACAAGTGTCCTTGTGTTGGTATTATAACAGGTGCCAGTTTATTCTATCCATCTGGATATTCAATGCGGATTTGACATATTGCTCGTGGCCTAACTGAGTAATCTTTTTCTCATCTCTTTTTTTAATCTGTTGTCAAGTGCCTCCGGTTAATTGGTGAAATTATATGAAGATGTGGGTGTAAAAGGGCTTATGTTATGGCCCCTACGATAATTCCAGCCCACAGAACCTTTGACGCAATTAGAAGTATAGGTAAATGTTTTTCCAGCTGCTTGCCTTTCATCGACAATTCTCATAACCGTGATCAGAATAGCACTTTTATCGAATCGAGATGTACTACTCATCTCATCACGAGATATTTACCCAAACAAAGAGAAGGATTACACCATCATCCGGAATCCTATTGACCAAAGTTCAGACATTTTGTCTAACAATCAATACAGCCACCGATGTTCCTTATACCCAAGGAATCTGTGGTCATTGCCATTAGCAAGTTCAAGTTCTGTCCAGTTCAAATGTTTAAATCTGACTCAACTTCATAATCATATCATCCCTCCTCGCATGAAGGAATGGGGCAGTAGTTGAACTTTGGCATAGTAGAGGGGTTTGTGCTCTAGATGTTTATTCACTACACTATCAGTTGTAAGTGCCTATATGATCCAGTTGATCAACCCAAGGCGTTCAAAAATACGCAAGAAGATGTATAAGAAGAGAAGCTAAAGTAGGGTGTAAAAAATGGATGAATTTATATATTTGCTTTGAGTTTTTTGTATAGAAATTGTCTATACTTTTTAGCTGTGAAGAGACCCCTCTTGTATACTCCGTAGCTGGTTTAAGCTTAGAGCCGATAAGGATGCTTATCGCCGGCTCATCTTCCAAGTCCGAGATGCCGCGACTTTCTCTTCTACCTCACCTCCAACCGTATCCTACATTCGTTGAACCCAGAAAATCCATGCATTTGAGCGCATAAGGACATAGAAAATATGTTATCTCACCAGACAGCCTGCGCCCTTCGCAGCGTATTTACATCCAAACACGCATCCTTATCGCCGAAACAAGCACCCTCCACATTTCTCACTCTGTCGCAAACAGCACCAAAGCGTCCATTTTCACCCTCACTCCAAAGTACAAGACCTCATAGCCTCAGAAGCATTAAAGCCACGCATCAATCCAGCCCAGAATCCCGTCGACCCTTCTCCTCAACTCGCAGCTCCAACTTCGGAAACCAAAACCGCTATAACCGTTTCGGAGGCTCAGGCGGAGCGCGCCAATCACTCGTCTTTCGACTTGTGCAGAATGCCAAACCGGGACATTTTGTCGCTATTGGTGTTGGCATCTCCGGGATTTATCTTTACAATACGGACACTGTTGAGGTAAGACAAACTATTTTTGCAAGACAAGACACATCCATAACTTGTGCTTGTACTTGTAGCAGCTTACAAGAGTCGATGAGTGTATCATATGCTGACATGTCATGTTCTGTGTGGTATAGATGACCGGACGACGACGCTTCAATTGTGTATCTAGCGCGCAAGAATTGAAAATGGGCGAGGAGAGTTATCGCGAGGTTCTTCAGTCTGAACGGGGGAAGGTCTTGCCTGATTATCATCCTCTTACAAAGATGGTCAATGGGGTTTTGCAGAGGTTGATTCCGCAGGTTGATATCGAGGGGGCGGATTGGAAGGTTCATGTTATCAAGGATGATGGGATGGTTAATGCTTTTGTTCTTCCTGGGTGAGTTTGAGTTGGATTAGTTTTGGGATTGATTTCTATCCTTACTTTTCCTTATCTTTCTCATCACGGGTTGCTAAGATCTTCTTTTCTTCCAGGGGCAAGGTCTTTGTCTACACAGGTATCTTACCTATCTGCAAAGATGAAGATGGCCTAGCTGCCGTGCTAGGGCACGAGATTGCACATGTTGTGGCTCATCATCCAGCTGAGCGCATGAGTAATAGCTTTATTACGCTAGGAGCTGTTTTCGCTCTCTCTTTCCTCTTTGATGTTTCTGGACAGTTGTCTTCTATGCTGTTGAATCTTATGTACAGTCTGCCCAACTCGCGGACACAAGAGGTGAGATCAGATACCCTGTTTACCAGGAGCCAATCGACTAATTACTTTGACAGGCTGAAGCTGACAACATCGGACTGAGTATGCATATTGATCCTGGTATCCAATCGTGACCATTCACTGACCAGTTTTATTAGTGATGATGTCCAAGGCCTGTTTCAATCCAGAGGCTGCTGTCAACCTGTATGCTCACCAAGGATTAATTTAATGTCTCGAATGTCGCTAATATCTACTAGATGGGCTCGCATGCAGGAGCAGGAGAAACAGACACCGCCGCAGTTCATGTCCACTCACCCTTCGGTATGTTCAAACACTGTCAAATAAAATCCCATTACTAACCTGTATCAGAGCTACAACCGAATGGAAGCCATTCAAGGATGGTAAGAAGGTCTTTCATTGTTGACTCACTTGTTACTAATCTCATATTGAATAGGCTTACCAAGGCAGAGGGAATCTACGAGGAAAATGGGTGCAGCAATTTGAAAGGATATAGTAAGAACATCTTCTTCTCATTGTAAGATTGAATGCTGACCCCACAGTGCCTGGATTCCGCAGTGCTTATGACTCCATGGCGTGTGGATTGGTGAGATGACCAATACCAATGACTACTCAATGTGTACAATAGAATTAGTCGATGCCTCTCTGAATATGAGTATCTCCCATAGCACACATGAAAGGAAAAGAATATGTGACAATATCGTAAATCGCTTGATAATTATATACTCCAGTGCCAAGCAACTGGCGGGCTCCCCCTCGTGCAAACGGAGCAAACCCACCACCGCAGCTCCAAAAATTGCCCGGCACAACAGCTCCATCCACTCCCATCACCCCCTTTCATATCCCGTCGCATCTTTCTCGGACGCGACATCTAATAATGTCGCTATCAATTCCAGGTCCCTCCCAGGCGGGGCTCTTCAAGCCTGGGTACCAGAGGTGAGTAGAAACTCAAGGAGACACGCCAAAAACCCGCCCACCGCAAAGAGCGACCTCCTTATCTGTTCCCCCCTCCAAAGAAGAAGCAAATCAATTGACAAGTTCTGTGTTTATATTGCAGCCACGATGCCGAAGATGGAGCCGTTATCCGTAACATTGAAGCCTGCCAGGCTATCTCTGGCACTGTGCAGACCTCCCTGGGCCCCTATGGCCGCAACAAGATCGTCATCAACCACCTGCAGAAGATGATCCTCACCTCCGACGCCGCTACTATCCTCCGCGAGTTGGATGTCGTGCACCCCGCTGCTAAGCTGCTCGTCATGGCCAGCCAGCAGCAGGATGCGGAGATGGGTGATGCTACCAACTTGGTTATTGTCCTGGCCGGTGAGCTCCTCAAGAAGGCTGAGGAGTTGATCCGTCTTGGTTTGAAGACGAGTGATATTGTTTCCGGATATGAGAAGGCCCAGAATTTTGCCTTGAAGGTTTTAGAGGGTATGTGTTGCTCGATATGCATGCATCTGGTGGGGTTACTGATTTGGTGTGATTTTGGTTAGATCTCGAGGTCGACAGACTCCAGGAGATGCGCTCGGCAACAGAGCTCAGCAAAGCTCTCCGCACAGTTATCGCCGCCAAGCAGTCCGGCAACGAGGATGTTCTGGCTAACTTGGTTGCTGAGGCCGTGCTGGCCGTCCTGCCCAAGAACCCCCTCAACTTCAACGTCGACAACGTACGAGTCGTTAAGATCATGGGTGGTAGCTTGGAACAGTCCCGTGTGGTGAAGGGTATGGTTTTCGGTCGTGAGCCCGATGGAATTGTCAAGTCTGCTAGCCGCGCCAAGGTTGGTGTCTTCAGCTGCCCCCTCGATATCAGTCAGACCGAGACCAAGGGTACAGTTCTCCTGAAGAACGCCCAGGAAATGGTGGACTTCACCAAGGGTGAGGAGGAGCGTCTGGAGACTGCCATCAAGGAGCTCTACGACTCCGGTCTCCGCGTTGTTGTTGCCGGCTCCACTGTCGGTGACTTGGCCATGCACTACCTCAACCGTTTCAACATCCTGGTCATCAAGATTCTGTCCAAGTTTGATCTTCGCCGTCTGTGCCGTGTTGTCGGCGCTACTCCCCTTGCCCGTCTGGGTGCCCCTATGCCCGACGAGATGGGCCAAATCGATGTTGTCGAGACCACCGAAATTGGTGGTGACCGTGTCACCGTGTTCCGCCAGGAAGATGCCAACGCCATTACCCGCACAGCAACCATCGTCCTGCGCGGTGCTACCCAAAACCACCTTGAGGACGTCGAGCGTGCTATTGACGACGGTGTCAACGCTGTCAAGGCCATCACCAAGGACCCCCGTCTCGTCCCTGGTGCCGGTGCCACCGAGGTTCAGCTCGTTGAGCGTATCTCCAACTTCGCCGACAAGACCCCTGGTTTGCCCCAGCACGCCATCCGCAAGTATGCCGAGGCCTTCGAGGTTGTTCCCCGCACACTCGCCGAGTCCGCCGGTCTCGACGCCACCGAGGTTCTCTCTCGCCTGTACACCGCACACCACCGCGCCTCCAACACCGAGGAGTCATCGTCCGAAGAAGAGGAGGGCAGCTCATCTGAAGAGGAAGACCCCTACTGGACCACTGGTGTGGATCTCGAGCAGGGTTCCGCTGATGGCACACTCGATACCGTTGAGGAGGGTATTCTAGATCTCCTGGCCTCCAAGGCCTCCGCTATCCGTCTGGCTAGTGAGTCTGCCCGGACAGTGCTGAGCGTAGACCAGATCATCGTCTCTCGACAAGCGGGCGGACCCAAGATGCCGCAGGGTGGTGGTGACTGGGACCAGGACTAAATTCGTGAAAAATAAAGATGAAGATGAATATTGAAGAGAGGAGGGGAAGAAGAGGCCTCTCTAGGACGATTCACGAGAAAAAAAGGTGGTGTGTATAGCTACACTTTTTGAGAACCATGTAAATTGGATTTAATCCTCCTCCAGCTCAGTTCATACTCCGATGTTAGCACATAACTATTCTCCAATGAACAACTACATGTATCCATAAAGCGCATATTTAACTTCCGCCTCAGGCCACAAATGTCCTAATTAGGACTAGCAATCGCAGCATCCCGCTGACATAATCCCAAAGTTGGATTTTCCTGAAGGGGATTTTGCTTCTATCAACAAGGCCTCCAATTCCATTCCCCACCACCTGTGTATTACTCCTCTCTTTCGGAGCTTTCCTCCTCATCTCATCCTCCGCCATGTCCTTCCCCACCCAGGCCGCAGCCCGCTGCTGCAGACAGCTCTCCGGCTCCGTCCGCCCGTCCTCCCTGCGCATCGCGACCTCCGCTACATACCTCACAGCCCGTCGCACACCCAGCAGCCGGCGATGGGAGTCTACCGAGGCCGCTCCTGCTGCTGCCGCCCCTACCAACCCCAAGATCGCCCAGATTGTCGACCAGATCAGCACATTGACCCTGCTCGAGACTGCTGACCTCGTGTCTAGCTTGAAGGTGCGTTTGATATCTTTTTCTCCTTTCTCGAGGATTCTATGTGCAATTGGGTTCGGAAAATTTAGGGAATGCGATATATGCCTGGTTCCAACGCTTGGAATCTTCAATTACAGAATCCATCGCTGATCCGAACCATTCGCTAATCAACCTTCCAACAGACCCGCCTGAACATCCCCGACCTCCCTGTTGGCGGCTTCGCCATGGCTGCCGGTGGCGCCCCCGGAGCCGCTGCTCCCGTCGAGGAAGAGGAGGCTGCCCCCGCCGCCGCCGAGAAGACACTGTTCAACCTGAAGCTCGAGTCCTTCGAGGCTGCCTCCAAGCCCAAGGTCATCAAGGAGATCAAGACCATGCTCGGTCTGTCTCTGGTGGACAGCAAGAAGTTCGTCGAGTCCGCGCCTAAGGTCCTGAAGGAGTCTGTGCCCAAGGAGGAGGCAGAGAAGATTATCGAGACGCTCAAGGCTCTGGGCGCTAAGGCTATTATGGAGTAAAAATTGTTTATTTTATAGGAGGATGGGGAGTGGGATGCTGATCGCAGAACTCTTCTCTTGCTTTGATTTTCTCCGGTTTTTCTCCTTGGTTTGAGGCTCCTCTTGGGCTTTTACTTGTTGTTGGCCTGGTAGATCAAGGCAAATTGTACATTATACGCATTGTGTTCTGGGACCTTCTGGTACAGAGGACTCTTTTGGTTAATTGATGCCTTTAGCATTCTGATACTACTTTGTTCTATATTAAATTAGTGAATATTGGATGTCGTAGAAACAGCGTACGGGATGTTGTCTGGGTCCGGTGACAAGGCACTGTAGCTTCCCCGAATCCGACTCCAAAATTTCCGTACACCACCTCCAACATTCCTCCAACTCCAACCTTATGGCGAAACCCTCACTTTCGCCAGCACAATGGCGTCAAGCATGCCGCGCTATTAATCCGAACGTGCACGGCGTGTGTGATACGAGGTTGTCAGCCCGCGCAGCTCCCGCCATCAACAATGTGACCGCAGCTACGACAACGAAACGACCGTTTTACACTACCCAACCTCGATCGATCGCTGGCGGAAGGAAGACACCACACCTTCACAATGGTAGTCTTCAAAGGGCAACAAGCAGGGTACTAAAAAGCAAACAAGGCGTGCATCTGGACCGTGATGGCTTTTTTAATCTGAAGTCCGGAGCAGATGTGGCTAAGGTGGTCAGAGAGTTCCAAGACAGTGTTAAGGAGACATATGAAGCTGCTAGTAGCATTCTGCCTCCTGGCATTGGCCTCACTTCGTTCAAATCTGTGGGCGAGCGGTTGCTCAAGGCGATTCACGCTGGTCACCCCTCCGCGGCAGCTATTCAAAGTATCTCTATAGGTAATTTTTGCTCTTATCCTTCCTTTGAGACAACAGTCGGAGACAAAAGTACTGACCAATGGAATTTCCCTGTCATAGACGTTGACGCTGTCTACCGAATTGGGCACGTCGTCGCCGGCCGCAATTTCGTCTTCCGGGAATGGATCCAGAGTGCTTGCGCAAAAGCAGGGTCCCGTCGAGCCGTTGTTTTCCTCGTGTCCAGATACATGCGCCTCGACGGTATTGATATTCACCGAAATAACGAGTGGACCACGCAGGTCCAGGAGCTTGCTCTCAAGGAGGACTTCCCGCCCGCGCTCCTGGTCTGGGCAGAGCTTCTGACCTGGCGTGGCCAGACCAAAGAAGCCAGCAAGATCTTGGAGGAGAGAGTCCTTCCATTCGTCCAAAGCACACGAAGCATCCCCAAGCCGTGGACGGATCTTACCCTGGATGGGACTGTCTCCTCGCCCTGGCGACTCTATGCTCTTGCTAATGCCGACGACACGGAGAAGGTGAAAGAGGCCATTAATCGTGCTGCGTTGGAATTTGGCGAGCCCGTTGCTTTGACTGAGCTGGCGATAGATGCTCTTGCCAATCGGCAAGTGGGAGACGATTTCATAAAGACATTCATGGACACAGACAAGAATGCGTGGGAGGCATTTGAAAAGTACGAACAGTACATGAGCATGGCTGCCACAGCCGGACACGATAAAGCTTGCTTCTATCTTGCCAACTGGTACTATCTAATATCACAAGGCTGGATCGACAGCCCTGAAGCGAGGGCGACTAAGATAAGGACGAGAGACTGGGAGATGTCACGGCAGGACGATTGGAATAATCCCTGGAAGAAATACAACCCTTTCTTTCTGATACCCATGTTTTTTTCCAGGTGGAACAAACCTATGGAGCGCAGTGAATATCGCAAACTCTCAATGGACTGGCATGAACTTGCCTTGCAAAGAGGGGATAACCCGTCATCTGCTCTGATTCTGGCATTACTTTTCCGTGAAGATGGCCTCATGGACGAGAGTCGCAAGATGTACGACCAAGCTGCTGCTTTCGGTCTTCCAATGGTGCTGCCGAGGAAGGGATTGATCGAGTTGGAGGACAATTGGGACAATCCGGAGTATACTCCGCCCATGAAGAAGATCGCTGTAAAGCTGATGCGGCTTTTCTAAATTGGGCTGTTGATGATATCGCTGTACATTACTTTATACCATATGCATATTCTTGTTTCTCAAACTTGAATTGATCTTGTCTATACCCATTCGATCTTTGTTCAATCCTAATTGATTCATGCTGGATTATGTATGCCCTTGTAACATCTCCATCTAACCATGTCTCATGTTTCATTTCATTCAATGCTTCCATACTCGACGTGACGGACAGAAAAAAAGAGGCAACAAGATACGACTTGTCGATATGAAAGAAAAGGATCAAACGCCAACCCGCCATCCCCCTCCAATGTTCATCATAGCAGGCCCTACCAAGGGCAACAGACTCCAATGCAGTAACCAGAAGAAGAAAAGAAAGATAGACCAGACCAGACCAAAGACCCAAAAATGATCACCGCCTTTTTTTCCCTTCCCCTTCCCATGCCCCCTGGTCTTCAACTCCACAAAACCAAGCTCCTTCAACCCTTCAGCAAGAATACTTGAATCCCGCATGCCTGGAAAGTCCTTCGCGGGATAAACCCGAAACGGATCCGACCAAGCCTCCGCCAGGATCGGCATCGACTGCCCCGTATCCTCCACAGAACCCCAATTCATAAGGCGGAACTGAAGCCGATACAGGCCCGCTGAGCGGATGGAGAGATCAGCAAAGATGAAGAATGTAGCAGGCTGGTGGAGGCGCGCGGAGGGGTGATTGTAAGCACTTGACGGGCTGGAGAGACGGGGATCATTTATCGAGCATGGGTGCGGAGGAGCGGAGTTCGGATCTGGGTCTGCGTCGACATAGAAGGGGGACATGAAGGCTTTTCCTGAGAGGAGGGGGGTTGAGAAAGGGTCGTCTGTTCTTGCGACGCCATCGTCGCGGTCTGTTTCTCTGTCATTGTCTTTATCTCGGTCTCGGTCTCGGTCTTGATCTAGATCTCGGGTATCTGATGATTCTGTCGGTTCGGACCATGGTGATTGGGGCGAGACGGGGAAGAGGAGGCAGCCCACTGTGAAGCGTGGGTCTTGGAGGATGTCGCGGTCTTCTTGGGAGTTGGAGTCGAAGTCGTTTAGGAGGATCTGCACGATTGGGGGTGGATCCACTGGGCGGCGGTCTCGGTCGCCTGCGCCGCAGGCCTGTGCTGCTATGGGTTGTTGGCGGACGTGGAGATGGTAGCGGGATTGGGTGGATGGGCGTCTGGGAGGTGTTGGGGGTGATTCAGCGTCTGGTTCGTGGTGGAGGAGCTTGTCGAAGCCGTGGGGCATTCTGTAGTTTACATTCCGGGGCTGTTTTGAGTCTTGTTGTGCGCTTGGTAGATTCAGGGTTGATGGGTAGATTGCTGCGCTTTTGTCTGACCAGACGGGGCTGGGCATGGCCGTGGAACTGCTGCTGTGTCTATATGGATTTTCTGGAGTATTAGAGTGGGATCTTATGTCAATGATTTCTCCACTGTGCGACCTGTCACAGGTGTGACATCAGAGGGAGTGTAGATATTGAGGCCAAAAGCATCGCGCCTGGATGACTGACATATAGCGATGGTTGAAATGAAAAAGAGAGGGACTTTACTGGGACTCCACGTCGTATTGCCGGCTCCGTTGGCTATCATAGTCACGAACATTGTTCAGAATGGGATTCGGTCTCTCTTCCTGTGATGTAGAGTATCCACGAGGTTCAAATATAGGTGGATGTGATCGTAATTGGAGAGGTTGTATAGGTTGTCGGGCCATGTACGTATTGTCGGTGGAGAGCGTATATCGCGGATCTACTCTTTCGGGAAGAGGATTCAGGGCCGGAAGCCGCGGTGCAAAAGATGCCGTGGGCACAGGGCGTTCGAAGCCCAAGGTCTGTAGTTGTCGAGGCTCATGTCGCGCGTATGCATTTGGAATGGGTGGCGGACGATGTTGGATTGAGTCGATGTATGGCCACTCCGGCGCGGGATGCCCATATTCCTGCGGTGGTCTCGACATCTATTGACTTGTGCCGGGGCAGGGCCTCGTGTTATAGTTTATGTACTGCCGTATGCGGACGGGGGTTTAACAGAACAGGCATTGAAAGCGACCCCACGGAGTATTCACAGGCAGAAAATGAACAGAGTCAAAGCTGTGGAGTTATTTAAGACCAACGATGGGAACGTAGAAATACGTCAAAAACATGAATGCATATCCTGGATCTGCCTGCGGTCAAGGCATCTGATAAGCCGCATGTGAATGCAGCTTCAATAGCAGGGCCCCATGACACTGGGACCTCAATTGCTCCGATCTATACTTGCCTTGGGGGTAACGTTGGTTAAATTCAGCTTCAGCGAAAACTTGTCCACAGAGCGAAGGTTTCCCCCCCCCCCAAGTTTTTCCCTGTCCAATCACCTCAGGGCTGGATATGACAAGGAACAGTGGACACATTCAAAGGGACACTTATTTTTCAGCAGAACCACGGCCTTGACCTATTTACGATTGGCGCTGTACCCACAGATGAACGATGAAAAGGGAAGAGCCGAAGGGGGGACGGGCCGAGCGGGCATGGTTTTGCCACGGAAGGAGATATCTGTGGGATTTGTGGGCTTTGTGGGCTGTGTCTCCATGGATTTAGTGCGTGGGAGCTGGACGAACCACTTCTGTTCCTGACAGAGACTGGCGCCCGAGGATTTCCGATGTGGAAAGACGGTCAGCCCCCAGAAGCCGTTGGCACATTGTGGGACTGCGCACAGGCTGAGAAGCTTTTCCTGGGAGTCGGGATGGTGTGGCTCGTGTTACATGTGCCACCCATGTCCAGTCGTCTGTTTTTAACCCATTAGAGGTCAGATGGTTGGGGTTGGATGGGGTAATTGGGGGCACTGGGACCAGTAACCAAGTCCTTGTCTGCCTTTTGGCGGACCAGGGCGGACCAGAAGCTGAAGTCTCTAATTAAAGAGCTCCACAGTGCAGAAAACTCAGATCTCCGCTTCATTGACGAATTTTCTGAACTGTGTGTCGATCGGATGCTGACCGACTCGCTGCGCTGAAATAGTACCTTCCGCACAGTGGCTAGCTGGGGCCGCGAGGTGCGATTGGCGTCCAACCGTTGCTTGGCGTTCACCTGGATCTGCCCCCCACAACGGGGGATCAACTGGTACCGGGCTCGCCGTGGAAGCCCCAGTCTGCGGCGGCATAGCAGATAGTTCCGGCAAGCTTTCGGAGGGAACAACAGAGTCAAGAAAAGTCATCCTGGCTTTGCAGGAAGTCAATCAGCGGTTGACCATACGCTCTGACCATGGCCCCTCTCTAGGTCCTGGCACATTAGGGGGGGGGGTCAAGGGCATGTCAGATCGATCCGCAAAGCAGCTGTGGACTCGCAAGTTGGAGATAGGGCCCAAGCGTCAAGCCACGGCTCTCTCTCGCTAGAAATACGGAGTGGATGACAATCTCGCACCCGACAAGCCATGGCCATGCTTTGCCGGCAGTGTGGGTCACTCATTGGCCTCAGTACTAATACGTGCAGTTTCACAGTCCGGCCGTGGAAGGTCACGTCCAATAAATCCGGTGTGACGGGAGAGTTCGACTTGTGAAGCTAAGGCGAATTGAGCTTCAAATCCCGTAATTACCGTCGGCAGATGCGGGCTTTGACTTTGTTCGGTTCTAGGGTAGTTCTCATGCATCTTTAAACAGAAGGTAAAATGACCTCTTCGGACTCTGAGAGGACTAGGAGCCCCATACATCAAAGTTCATGATATCATGCAGCTCAACAAGGTAACTGGCTGTGCTGGCTCTGAGTGATTGCTGGGGGAGCCTTGTTGAGCCACTGCAAATATGCAGGTTATTGCAACAATGCAAAAACAAAGATCTCGTCTTCCATGTGCGCATAGTCACCCAACGGCGTGAATGCCTCGAAAGGGAAGGGATACTCCGATAGATACTGCCGTTCATGGAAAGGTACATTCAACAGTTCAGACGGCCTCTGTCAAGTGGCGTCCCCACCCTTACCGTCGATCCTGGCCTTGCAAATAGTGACCCCCATAGCGAGAGAGGCGTGGAAGCTCCATCGGGGTGCGTGTCGGTGACCCCGGTGATAGGGAGCCGAAGTCGCCGGTGCAAGGATCAGCATCCTTAATGGCCGGGTGCGTTGGCCAAGGTCTCTACATCGAGGAGACTTTGCTAATTGGAGTTTGCAACAGGGGAACCCCTATCTAGATGAAGGAAATGAAATATTCCGTGAGTTAACCGTGCAAGACAACGTCTAAATTCTGCCAAGGGACACCACACCACGTTCATCACCGCTACATCAATACATATAAAAAGTGCATCCCTGTACATTCCTGCCCAACTGCCATATGTTTGCCTCGGCTAATGCAAGTCTGGACTTGGATCTACATCCAGGAAGTAAGGCCCATAGTAATTTCGAGCATTTTTAGGAGATCCAAGAGAAGAGGATTTCGTTCGGTTAGGATCAGCTGGGAGCTTAATATGCATCAAGGCCCCAAAGGGGCCATCTGAGGGCGCTGGACCACAATCAATGATTCCGTTCCCGTGCCCGACATACAAAGCCAGGAGCTCATTGTAGTGACGATCCCATGCTACAATGTATCCAGACGACTGCCATGGCTGATCCGGACCATACCGCATGTCCATGCAGCCGAGCTGCATCAAATGTAAGGCATGGATCCCCATCTGGGGCACTCCATCAACGATCAAGCGAGCCCGAATCAGTCCGAGCCTAGCAGGAGTCCGTGGTACAGACGAGTCATGTAGCGCCGGTAATCGGGAATTGGAGAATTCTACCGGTGAATACTCTGGGGTCCATCGAAGTTCAAGAGATTCGATTTCGGAGCGAACTTCCTCAAGCCGAAGTTCGTCGTAATCGAGATGAGTGGTAATCTCCTGGTACAGACCGTCGTGATCATGTAACAGATCCATAATTCTCCCCAATACAGCTGGTGACTTGGAACAGCCATTGACCTGAAGCTCTGCATATAGTTGGCTGGTGTGACAAGAGGTGAAACGATGTCGATCAACAGGGGGCAGTGCTTGCTCGTCAAATGCTTCCCATATGGAGTCTGAGGGCTCTGACGCCGTGTGGAAATGACTTTGACTTTCGGGGTCCCACTGTATACCCAATCTCTGGTCCATGCCGTCGAGGCAAACCTCAAGTAATTCAAGGTAGTCCTCGCCTCTCACCAAATCAGGCAATGCATCACCCACAACAGGATCATCAAGGAGAGCTTGAAGAGCTTGAGGTTCAACTCTTGCAATACGGGGAAGATTGTCACCGGAAACCCGAGACACATCTTCCAGGAATTTTGCTGCTGTCTCAGGGCGTCCATTTTGGACTAGCATTAGCACCACTCTATAGGCTTTGGCGTGATCGCGCCCAGAAGACGGGAGGCCTGTCACAAATTGAGCCCAGCAGTCATGAAGCACCCTGTCACTCCCAAGTTTTGCTAGTAGATAGAGATAGAACCTATCATATTTTGGTGCTCTTTTCCCCACGTTTTCTTTTGTGGCTGGCAAGATGTCACGCAGCTTCACAGAATTTTGGGGTACAAGGTCTCCTTCACCTGTGATCTCAGCAAGCATAAGCTTGCGGTCATAGCCTGGATCTTCAAAAGTTTTCGAGTCAAGCCGTTGAGCACAGCCAACGGATATCCACATGATCTCTCGCTGATCATCCATAGCCGGGAAGCGCTCGCGGTGGTAGTCGTTCAAGAAACTTCTGAGAGCGGGCACTGACAGATCACGCATTGCAAGTCTAATACAAAGAGAATAAAGGCTTTGCTTGACTGGAAGTTGAAGGCGATGTAACCTTTCAAGAAGGTCATTTAATACTTGCAGAAGCTCTGTCGATGTGTTTCCCTGTTCAAGACTTTGCAAGATATTACTTGATGGTGCACATATTGCTTCCTGCAAGGATTCTGCCCCGGTATTATCATTAACATATCTCTCAATAGCGCTTCGTAAGGAAGAGATGTCGATGATCTCTTTTCCTGGGGATGGAGGAAGTCCTCTGAGAGAGCTCCACAACGCCGGGGGTGGACTACTTGGCTTCCATTTAGCACTGAAAAGCTCACGAAGATATGTAGGTAGAGCATCAGTTGAGCTTGAGTTGGGGCCCGGCTCCGTTGAGTCTCTCAGAACAAACCGAAGTAATTCCGATGGTGATGGGTGTAGTTGTTTTGAGGATTGAGGTACAGTGTAGAGACAGCGTGTCAATTTTGACTTTATAAGAGGTCGAAGAGGCCATTGCCTACGCAATAGCAGGCGTGGAACTCCCATGGCCCGCAAGACACTGTCAAGATCTCCAAAGGTGGAGAAGATAAACAATCGATAAGGGGGCAAGTCTGGGGTTCTGCCGGCAGGTCAAGAGCGGTGCCAATATCGGTGAGGTGAATCACATTCACGCTTTTAATCCATCGTCAACCTGCCTCTACCAGTATTCCAGCAACTCTACCACAAACTGATCACCATTTGATTATTGATTTGCAATCAACTCACTCACCGAGACCATATCATCATGGTTCAAACGAGAAAGGCGGAAAAGTCCGCGAAAGACGAGGCGAGCGAAGAATATATTGAACAGCCGATCGAGACGATTTCAGACACACCCGACACAAGCTCTGAAAACAAAGCCGGAAGCAAAGCCGATGATGGTGCCTCAAAGTCGCGCGATAGAATGGAAAGATTCAAAGCTCTACAAGCTCGAGCAGTAAGCGATCCTGAACTATCAAACCTAGCCATATACTAACTCGAGTAATAGAAATCTGCCACCGAACGCAACTTGAAAGAAACTGCTGCCGAATCCCAGCGCTTGACCACTGACCCGGCCCTACTCAACACATTGTCTCGTAAGCATGCCTTCGCTTCACACAACCTCCTCAAGGCAGACACAGAAGCTGCAGGAGAAGACTTTGAACGCAAGCGTGCATGGGACTGGACAGTCGATGAATCCGAAAAGTGGGATAAGCGTATGGCAAAGAAACAGCGCCACCGTGACGATGTGGCATTTAAGGACTACACACAAGATGCGCGCAAGGTGTACAAGAGGCAGATGAGGGAATTGCAGCCCAACTTGGACTCATATGAAAAAGACAAAATGGCTGCGATTGAGAAGGCCGCAGCCAATGGTGATCTCGAGATTGTGGAAACCGAGGATGGCGAAATGATCGCAGTCGACAAGAACGGCAGTTTCTATTCCACCGCGGATTCCACTGGCTTCACAGAGAGCAAACCAGATCGTGCAGCCGTTGACAGGCTCGTGAATGATCTGCAGAAGGCTGAGGAGGCACGTCTCAAAAAGCGCAAGGAGCGTCGTGGTGACGATGATTCCGATGTGACATACATCAACGAGAAGAACAAACAGTTCAACATGAAGCTGGCTCGTTTCTATAACAAGGTGAGTTATCATATACTTCATTCTCTTAATTATTGTGACATCGTGCTGACAAATTCCAGTACACTACCGAGATTCGGGACAGCTTTGAGCGTGGCACTATGATCTAATCTTAATGAGAAAATGATTGCAATATGATACATGGGTTGGATTGTGAATCTTGCCTAAGACAGCAAGGAACTAGCGAGACTATCGATGACTCCGAATTTTGTTCGCAAAAAAACACGTTTTACAAGCATCCATAGGTCACTCAGTTCAGACCTAGAGCATCGTCTTTCGCCAGGCCTTGGTTGCAAGTGCCTCAATCTGTTTCGTTCCGACTGCACCCTTGGTGGACTCATCCTCCAATGCCTCGACTACCGCCTCAGCGACAACATCAACTTTGAGGGGCTTCTCTGTCATCGACCCTAGAAATCCGAGCTTATTGCCGAGGAAAGTGTTGAACTCTGAGGCGATGAAACCACCCATTGCGATTGGTAACGTGAACTTTCTGCTGGAGTCATACATGAAGCCCGGACGAATGAAGATGCTTCGCAGGTCTGGGAGGGTGGATGCGATGGCTGCCTCTGCGTCCCTCTTGGTGGTGATATACCTGGCCGGGAGGAGCGGTGCGCCAGCAGCAGCCGAGATGTAGACAAAAGCTGGGACATGTTCATTACTGGATTCCTGTGCTAGTGCAATGGCTAAACGGCAAGCAAGGCATTCGTTAGCTGCTCATCTCTTCCATCCTGAATAAAATCATTATACATACCGGAATCTCGGTTCATCAACTCATAGGTCAACTGCCCATCTTTCTCCTTCGGCTCGAGAGCCTCGCCCTCTTTCCTGGATAGAGGGTTCTGGCTCCCCAGCTTAGTCGAGCTAAAGGCTCGCTGAAGGCCACTAATGATTGGCTCCCTTCCTTGCACGACACCCTTATAGTCTGCTTCAAGGAGAATGCCCATTGTATGAACAACAGCTGAAGCTCCATTGAGGTACGACTTGTAGCTCTCTGGCTTTAAGATATCGGCCTTGGCCCATTCCACGGAGCCTGCCCAGCTGGGACGCTCCTTTGATTCAGTGACTGTGTTCCACCGTGGCTCACCCGAACGACTAGAGATGCGTTAGTGCCTGTAATGTTCATAGGTCCCTGAATCATTAGGATAGGTACCTTAATGAGGTGACTGTCCATCCCCTTGCCGCCGCAGATTTACAGATTCTGGATCCTAAAAAGACAAGTTAACGATAACTCTCAGTAAAGAAGCAACTGCGTATCACAAACCCAGAAATCCACTTCCTCCAGCAACGACCAAACTTTTGGCGGCCATGTTGTAGCTCTTGATAGCTCCGGGAAAGATATCACTGGTTCAGGCGAATTGGTACCACAGCAATGACGTATGGATCTAGCAATTGAGAAACCTGAGGTAGATTGAAAGTATGCTGAAGTCCAGGTACTTATATGCCAGCTCTGAAGTCATTCAAGAATGTCCTTGTCCAAGTTTCCGCAGTGAGCGTCATTCGGTATCACCTGCTCCGAAGAGGCAAGCCTTGGCGCTTAGCCTCAGGCCTGAACTGTCGGGCGGTGTACCAAGTTGCATTTCCGCCCTTGTTCAACATAATCTATTCCTCTATCTTTGCAAACCATCTACAAAATGCCGTCAGCAATTGCAAACAAGCGCGTTAGAGTCAGTTATTCCTCACAGAAATGTGCAACGAAAGTAAACTAACGCGAATCTCGCAGGGCATCTCGATCTTCCGACCATTTGGTACGTTCGCGAAAGGCGCATCACCAACAATTTCAAGCTAATAATCACAGTATTCGGAAGTGTCGCACACCCCTTCGATCCAGAGAACAAGCCAGCAGATTGCCCACCCGACCACACCCACCGCTGGCAAATCTTCGTCCGCGGAATCAACGGCGAAGACATCTCCTACTGGCTCAAAAAAGTCCAGTTCAAGCTGCACGAGACATACGCGCAAAATGTCCGCACAATCGAGCAACCCCCCTTCGAGGTATCTGAGACCGGTTGGGGTGAATTTGAGATTCAACTCAAGCTCTTCTTTGCCCCGGAATCAGGCGAGAAGGCCCAGACCTTGTGGCACAGCTTGAAGCTACACCCCTACGGACCCGATGCGGAGGGCATGAAAGAGCGCCGCGACACGGTTGTCAGCCAGAACTATGAGGAGATCATCTTCAATGAGCCTGTGGAGGCGTTCTACGAAATTCTTACTGGTGGCCCCGGTGGTGGGCAGCCTTCTAAGAGTAAGGGAAAGAATGCCAGACAGAGTGGAACGGCTGATATCCCTATGAATGATACCCCCAACAATCCTTACAGTCGCAGTACTGAGAATAAGGAGCTTGATCGGATGGCCGAGGCTACTCAGACGGTTGAGCAGATGATAAAGGAGGAGAAGGAGCGTCTGATTGAAAGAGAGAAGTTGCTAGCTGAATTGCGAGAGAGTGAAGGTGTGCCTGCCAATACGAAGAAGAGGTGATTGTCTCCCATTTGCATGCCAAGAGGCAAGCCTATCATCGCTGTTTGGCTATTTGGCTCCCAAAAAACCTGCCAGAATGTCTTTGATCAGCAACCATCGCCACCATCCAGCAAATCAGGTCTTCTGAGGAATCAGCACCGAACACAAGAGTCGGCATCTCGAAACTGAGACCACTGTGGATGGGACCAGAGGAACTCCGAACACAGTGGTTCATCTCTAGTCCTATGTTCCCCTGAGCAAAGTCCCGAGGCGATTATTTCGGGGTGATCTCTTCAACAACTCTTATCATCTTCGTTAGTTGAATAGGGAGTCTCCACTTTGAGTGATGCTGGATTCATACACGAGACCGAGACCACATATTCTCACATGGAAAACACAAGCCACCACGCAGTCGTTCTCGGTGAGATTAAATGCCAAGGATATTGCAACTCCAGGCCCGTGAGAACATCACCTAGATTCATTGCCCGTGTCTTTATGGTAGTATAGGTTTCCATCTGTTCCAACTTCTGGGGCCAAGCCCCGCCATCGGGAAATAAAGAAATAACACAAATCAATATTGCTTATCAACACTAATCGAACAAATTATTCTAACAAATAGTCATAAAGTCATCACACCAGATCCTTTTAATAGCTTTCTAACACTTCGCTTCTTGGACAGTATCTCTGGTCCGTTTGAGGAAAGGCATCAAATCCGTACCACCAGTTCCAGCAAGATGATGTTCCTTCTCGGTGGCTTGGCTCGCCGTGGCCAAGTTGACCTTGCCAGTATTCTGCTTCAAGGGCTTGGGTTGTTTCGCAGCCATGACAATGTACCGAGTAACCATCTGGATGTGAGTGTCCCGGAAGGCCTTGAGCTCATTGACAGCAGCATTGTAGGCTTCCTTCTCAGTCGACTTATCAGCCGAGGCCTGGACATAGGCACGAACATTCGAGATCGCAGCGAGGCTTTGAAGGAAACGTCTGTGAGGACCAGGCATGTATTTGCGCATTTCCTGAAATGAAGTCAGTATAATTGCCCGAAAAGTGAGGATAAGAGCGAACAAAATCTGACCTCAATGAAATTCTCCCCAGAAGCCGAATCAGAATGCTTGATACCCAAGAAGATATCGAGCGCTTGAATCAACGAACTCTGAGCATTGCTGCCACCACTCAACTGCTTCCAGTTCTCAGGTCTCTCGACCCCATCACCGACATCATAGTAGACACCCCTGGGCAAACCAGCGGGACCCATGTTCTTGCTTCCAGCAAGGAAAGGCCGCAGCTCATGGAAGAAGACAGCAGGTCTGTTATGCTCGTACATCCTCTTGAGCGTCAACGTGAGATCACTCAGACCATCGGCGAAACGGTATAGCAGGGAAGTAAGGAGGTCAGCGTCATTGGCAGTGACGGCCTTGATGGCCTCTTGCATCTGCGAGATCAATCTGATACCCTTGGCCTCGACAGCGACGGAGATGAGCATGAACCATTCTTCGTCTTTTGTGCCAGTCCAGGAGGTCTGCACGGCGAGGTTGTCTGGGTCTGAGGTGTCTGTGTCTGCGGATGGGGCTTTGAAGTTCCAGAGAGTCAGGCCTGAGTAGGTTGCGCAGGCGGGGACTTCAAGGTGAGAAGAGATGTCAAGGAATGGTTTTGAGATGCAGGGGGGTAGGACCTGGTTGTTTTGTTCTGGTTAGGGTTCTGCTGTCCTGCGACTATGACGAGGGTGAGGTGGATGAATGGATGCTTACTTCTTTGGGCTTATCTCCTCCCCAGATGTAGGCATGGCTGAGATACCCCATGATAACATATGCACGGCGCCATTCTTGTTCGGTTTTGAGATTCTCAATCGAACAGACTGGCAGGCTCTCGATCATGTCTCTGATCTGGCCTGCCTGGACGAGGGCTGGGAGTTGGCTAGCGATATCTTCCCATGGCCTGTAGTAGGGGTTCGGGAGTCTTTCCAGGGGTAGATTTTCAGGAAGAAAGCCCTGTTGGGCATAACCTTTGAAAATGGCATCGACGAAGGTATTGGATGATTCGAGCATTGTTCAGGATGTAGGTCCGCGTGCTGTGTCACAAAGATGAAAGTTTTGCCAGCAAACAAAGTATTATTTATTCTTTTTGGCACCAAACAAAGATGATCAGGTCATGGATAGACTTAGTTGCTTACTCTTCGGCTTTTGTCGGTCAGTTTAGTCAAGATCTATAAATCACGGATGTGACCCGGATATCTATCCGTGTTTCGGCAAGTTTCGTGTTCAGCGCAATGATGAGGCCGCGCATTATGATGCTATCTTCTGTGTCGACGCATCGTGTCTATTTACGTCTCTGCAATTCCATACTGGTCTTCTTGCATTGCTGCATGGCGTCGATCAAGGGATTGCAGATGCCATTTAACCTATAGCAGAAATCCGGGTATTATACGAGGCATATTCAACCCTCTCACTAGCATAACTGTAGATCACTGGTGAAGGTTGCTATCATAATTAATTCCAAGTGATTACCAAACCCTATTGCTCCGTACATCGACATCAAGACACGGATCAGGAAGCGGAGATAAAGTGACGACAGTATGGAGACGGATCGGAGAGGCGGAAGCGGATAGTTATCCGGGCTGCATGCAAGTGGCAGTTCCCTCGCCTCCGATTTGTCTCCCAATTATTATAAGAACAGCTGCATAGCTGTCATCCATTCAATCCCTCTAGCTTTGTGTACGCTTCGTCATTAACCTACACCGACCACTTTCCCGCTTTACTATTCCCAAGATGACTGTTACTAAAGCACCCAAGCCCGTATTCCCTGCAGAGGCAACAACACTGGAATATGCCGCATCTCTGGATGCAGCGGACCCTCTAAGTGGTTTCCGCGACCAGTTCATTATTCCCTCCAAAGCCAATATCGCGACAAAGAAGCTCGCGAAGCCAGGTATGACCTTCCCTCGGGATGTAACATTGTACAACATGTGCGCATTATCAGATCTAACAAGGCTATCCAGATCTATCTTCAGAGCCCAGTACTTATTTCTGTGGCAACTCATTGGGTATCCAGCCCAAGGCCGTCTCAAAATACATGGAGGCCCAGCTGGATACCTGGTCATCCATTGGTGTCCTCGGCCACTTCACTGATCTCGAGGACTCACCGTTAAAGCAATGGCAGCTTATGTCCGAGCAAGCTTCTGCTTCCATGTCCAAAATTGTCGGTGCTGCACCTGAAGAAGTTGTCGCTATGGGCACATTGACTATGAATCTCCATTTGTTGCTTGCTAGTTTCTACAAGCCGACTGAGACCCGACGAAAGATCCTATTGGATTGGAAGGCATTCCCTAGTGATCATGTAAGTCTTGCCGAATTGATTGTTTGGGAACAAAATAGCAACCATTCGATTTCCATGTTCCCTTATTAACAAATTGCCAGTACGCGATCGAGTCCCACATTGCCTGGCACGATCTCAACTCAAAGGAGAACATGGTTCTCATTGGCCCTGATGAAGGCGAACACGAGATATCAACAGACAAGATCCTGTCGTACATCGACAAGCACGCCGAGGATGGAGCAGTGCTCCTCCTCCCCGGTATCCAGTATTACACCGGCCAGTACTTCGACATCCCTAAAATCACAGAGTACGCCCAAGCGCGCAATCTCGTCGTTGGATGGGATTGTGCTCACGCCTTCGGAAATGTGGATCTCAAGTTGCACGACTGGAACGTTGACTTTGCTGTTTGGTGTACGTACAAGTACGGAAATGCCGGCCCCGGTTCAATGGGTGGTCTCTTCGTTCACGAGAAACACGGCAAGGTCGATTACAGTGCTGGCGAGGATGCTCCTCAATTCCGTCATCGTCTGGCTGGATGGTATGGAGGTGACCGTTCGGTCAGATTTAAGATGGACAACAGTGAGTTTTCCGATTCTAGCATACGCCTATTGCAAGGTAGATATTGGACCATATGCTAACTCCCAGCAGAGTACAAGCCTATCCCAGGTGCCGGAGGTTTCCAGCTCTCCACCCCTTCAACCATGGATCTCACCTGTCTCTGCGCAGCAATGTCCGTCTTCGACCAGACCTCGATGGCAGACCTACGCCAGAAGTCTATCAAATTAACTGCTTATCTGGAGCACCTACTTCTGACGGATACTACGGAAGAGACACGTCAATTCGATATCATCTCACCCTCAGATCCCTATGCCCGCGGTGCCCAGTTGAGCGTTCTGCTTAAACCCGGCCTGTTGCACGCTGTCTCAGACCGTCTACAGAACGCAGGTATCGTTTGCGACAAGCGCGAGCCCGGTGTAGTGCGCGTTGCTCCTGTGCCTTTGTACAATACTTACACTGAAGTATTCAAGTTCGTCGAGGAATTCAAGGGTGCGCTGTCTTCATTGTGAGCGTTTTCCTTTTCTGAACTCATTATGAAGCGATTTTGCATTCATGGCATGAAAAAAATGAAAGTCAATCAATTATTTGTACGAGAATTGAATTGAACGAATATTCTATCTTATTTTTAGAAATTTCCAATGCTTTCCCAGTTATCCGCACTACGTAGAAATTCCTGGCCCTGCGAGAAGAAATTCGTAGCAAGGATTGAGAACTCATCATTCGACAGCGTCAAATTTTGCGGCGAGACCAGTGAGTTCCCCGGGTATTCCTGGGTTGGAAAGGCGGAATTGGCAGTGAATGGCTGCGATTGAAGTTTTGGAGTGCCTCCTCCTCCTTCTTGGGGATTCAGTCGGAATGGCGCTGGTAAAGGAGATGTTTGAGAGACTTCTGCGCCAGTCGAAGAAGATCCCGCATAGAGGGACTCTCCGAAAAGACGTCGGGCAGAGTCTATGTCGCTGTTTGAGGAGTATTCTAGGATTTCCCAGAAGCGGGATAGGTCAATGAGGAGGCTTTGGTTTTGGGCGTCTGGGTCTGATTGGTAGGTTGCCGAGACTGCGTCTTCTAGGCGCTGAAGTCTGTGTGCCTGTGATGAGAAAATAAAATATGGTCAATGTGTTTTTCTGTTGGTTTTGTTTCTGGGAAGAGGATGTTCATACCAATCGAGCCATATGTGGCCATCTTTCTCCTATTTGTTGCACGAACTTGACGCACTTGGTGAATCTTTCGCGCTTCTGTTCCCTGATTGTCGAGTTATCTGTGAAACTGAGTTGTAGCTCGATGGTGGCTACAACAGCAGCACTGTATCCGAGTAGCGGATCGGAAACCAAGAAGGATTTCTCTTCGAAGTAATTGATAAAATGGATGATCCAGGTTGTGTGCGAAGAGATCAAATCGGATGTATGCTGCAGGAAGATTTCTGGGATCGTATTCCGGAAATTTCGAAGACCCAAAGAGAGCAGGAGGGGATGGTTCAGAAGACACAAACTGGTGTGATACATGAACTGGTTCAGGAACCAAGGACCCCAGTATTCACGATGCGTCTGTAACTCTTCTCGGGTTCGTTCTCCTAGATTGGCAGGCTTGAACCGATGTATATAGGGCATTCGGGTCTCGAGATCCATCTGCAAAGCGAGAATCTTGGAATATTCGGAATTGGGAGACCAGGGTGGGACATTGCTTGGTCGGCCGTGAAGTCGCACGTATCGTGCTGTCCTTGAAAATGTTTCGCTCATCGTTACCACATACGCAATTATTCCATCGTCTTGCATGTCACTGCCACGCATTTCAACGGTTGATGGTCCTGGCGAAAGGAGTCGTGCTGGTCGGGCTGGACTTTGAGGAAAAGGTGGTCCTCCAACTTCAGGCATATCTAAGATCGAGAACTCTCCACCGTGTAATCGTTTCAGGAGACATATACTCCAGAAGCAGCGTCTTCGTTCCTCGCGAACTATGTTGCTTACCACAGTCCGTGGCTCTTGGTCAAGGTTGGCGCATTGTGCAAGATTCATTGCTAGACTGCTGTGGATGCTGGATCGATGCGTGTTGCCATCTTATGGGAAGTATTAGCATGCGACCAAGAGAGGTTGCCTTGTATTGAATTCATACTTGTAAAATCTACCAAGCTCAAAAGGCAGAGGCATTGAAGTGTTGAAAGCTCCACTGGTCCCTCTGAGACTCTTTTCATGATCAAGCCTCGAGCAACCTCGGCGTACCCATTCACGAGGTTTCTAGACTCCGCCCTATTAGAATGAGAATACGAGAATCGATAAGCCAGTGCTAGCATGGCAAAGACGACTTCAGAATCCCGTGTTTGCAGGCTTCTGATGAAGCTGGCCCTGTGGAAAAGAGGGAGAGGCTGAGATTCACAGTACTGCAAATAGAGTTCCGCAACGGGCATTATCTCTTCCCATGATGGCAGAGTAACATTTGAGCTTGGCCTTAACAGTGTCACAGAAGGAATGAGCTGTTCAACTGGCAGTTGTGTTTCACCTCTTGAGCTGCTGGTATTTCCAGTCAGCATTGGCCATGATATATATATTGAATGGTCTTACCCCAGCACATCGAGAATCTCTCCAAGTTTACTCTCAAGACTTCGCATTCTGTCTTCCTAGTGGAGAGTCAGCATATTAAAATGATCCACATTATTTGTGAATTACACGGAGAGGAAACTACCAAAACATTAGACGTTCGATTGTCTGCGTCGCTGACCCTCGACTGCTCCTCGAGGGGTGGTAACCGGCGCCTCTCTTCGGCATATAGACATTGCTGCCGTAGCCTGGCACAGAGTGAGCAGACAGGCTGCTCTCCGGGGCATTTAGCTTTCTTCCGCCTAAGAGTCTTGGTCAACGACTAATAAATTATCAAGTCGCATGAATACCCACCTGCAAGGCTCACAAGCCTGACGAACCCGCTTAGCGGGTCGCTCGGAATATGCATATTGGTCTTCTTCCATGTTCAGATCACGGGAATCAGCTGTCAGGGTGCATAGCTCTCAATTGTGACGGCCATATGAGAGAACATCGCAGTGGTTCAGGGGCTCAATGCACGATTTCTGTTCCAATGAGGATATGCTCGCGGAGTGCCCTCTCAACAGAATATCCGTTTTCGAAAACAGAAAAGCAGTCAGTTAGTGGGGTGTATCATTGGATTCCAGTCTATTCAGTCGGAGTCAATCCAGGGCTGTGAGATCCAGCTGACTCAGCAGGTCTTCATCCCAATTAGGAAGTTCAGATATCAAAGTGGTTTGAAACATCAGAAAGGGTCTGGCGGGGGCGCCAGATACTGTTGATCAGATTAAATGGGCTAGAGCTATGTAACAATACGCGAAGATCTTTCTCTTCTACATTTTCATTTGGGTATGGCAATGTATTGATGATAGATGCTGTCTACGATTCTGACTATTGCGTTTAGAATGTAGGGAAGCACCTGGGAGTAGCTTCAACACTCAGATCCTTGAGAAAAGAAGCTAAACTCTGATAGACTTCCCACCTACCAGGAAATAGTACATGATCGATTCTAGTGTAGTTAATTGTCTCTTACAAGTGGTTCGTCGTGCGTCTGGGTAGACGGTAGTTGTGGCTGTCCATGTAGAGTCTTAAGCAACGTCGTTTGTTAACTGGCGAGGTACAAGGTCAAGCTCTCCCACCTTTACTCACATCCACAAGGCTTCTCACACCCATGTTCATATCTCATTCCAGATTCCTCCAATTCTCACGGTTCGGGACACTCTGAGCCTTGATCACACATTGCCATGCCCCCCCCCCCCCCCCCAGCCTCACCGTCCAAGGGTCGAAAATCAAGAGGTCAACCATGACGGAAATTATGAAGCCCGAGTCGTTGGCTTGGCCAGAGTAAGTGGAGATAAATTCCTGGATGCTCTGAAAATAGCATTGAGTTCTCTGGACGAGGATAATAGAATGACTAAGTGGCTTTTCGAATACGCTGGATAGAACTTGACGAGACTCCGCGCACGCATTCAATTCGCAGGCCTCATGACCAGCAACCCATCATTCGCACTTTGTATCCTGGAGCATGTCGAACCGTCGAAAAGACTCCATGGCCGACATCGTGGGAATTGGCATGAATAGGATTTTGTGTCCTATCATGTTGTCGAAGGAGACAAGCAAGTTTTGATAATCTTAGTGGGTATCGTCAATTGCGCATATCTCGGGCAGTTTTTTTTTTGTGTTAGCACTAAGACATGAATCAATATTCTGTTCTTTGTCAATCAGCATCCACACTGCGCAGGAAATGTAGACAATGAACATAATATTGAAGCTTTCCCATATCGGCAGATCCTTGGTGAAAGGGTGCCATTATCTACCGACCAAGTAGGTAATCAGTTCACAGGTAGCCCGAACAACTGGCGAGGAATAAAGAGAAAAAGGATACGAGGCAACAATCTTGAATTGGCGCTTGAATTGATCATATGTACAGCTCCAAATTTGCGTAGCTGCCAACCAATCTAACCCCATCCTGGAGTAGAAATACACCATATAAGAAACAACTGACAACACAGCTTCACAACCAACGGAGCTGATAGTGGCATCATCTATTCTCCGCTGAGCCAAACCTCATGGCTGGTCCATTAGATCCAGGTCTTGTGGCCCTATTGAAAAGTCAGTATGCGAGCACGTCAAAATATTCACCCATCCTGATTGTCGATACAGGACAAGGGATTGGTTGGGAAAGACTGACGAAGACCATGCGGCCCATGGCATAGGTGGTAGCTATTGTCATGTTAGCTCTATGTACGCGAGTATACCACGTCGGAAAAAGGACCCACTCACCAGCACCGAGACCGTAGACGGAGATCAGGTAGGGGTACATGATATAGCTGGAGCGAGAGGTCTGCGAGACATTTCCACTGTTAGATATTGTTGATACCCAATTGAGGGCGTATGTGCCCATTCCGGGTCGAACTGACCTTCCACCATTGACGCTTGCCGTCGTGGTTCTGGAAGAGGCGCTGGTAGAAGGGCACCCGGTTCTCACGGAACACGAAGCTAGAAGGAGCAAAGTAATCAGTATAGTTTATCGTAAAAGGTTGAAATAATTTGTCCCCGCAGCAACATCAATCGCAATTGGACCCGAAGATCGCGAGGTGAAATTCGATGGTCGCACGGTCATAATCGGGTTTGTGTGCGGGGGACTTGTAAGGCGATTCAAGGGAGCGACGTACCCGGCCATGCGGGAGCTGGTAGCACGGAACATTTTGGCGGTTGGAAGCAAGAAAGGAGGGGGGACTGGAGGTTCGCAGTATGGCGAGATGTCGACGAAGAGCCGGAAGGGACAGGGACGTCAATCACGTCACGTGAACATCACCTGATCGAATCAGACGTTGTGTCTAGTCAGCCGTCCCAAAAGGGGAAAGCGCGTCTTTCCAGAAAAGTGCTTGAAGCTTTACAGTTGTTCGAAAACAATCTTCTTACTTTTCAATTTGTTGCCGGGAGCTCGCAGAAGGATGTTCGACGTCGAAACTTGTTTCCCCCGATCATCCTCTCCTTACCACTCATGCGCCCGGCGCTTCTGCGACTGTTGAAGAGGCCGTCCGCCGTCTCGATCCTTGATACCCTCACAGCAACACCGATCGGAATTGAGCAATTAGAGTCTAGGTACAGGTGTTTACGATGCCATTCACAAGGCACCAAGCCGACGCAACTCGACGAACCCGATAACAATCCGACACGAACTGAGCTTAAAGACTTGTGCCGAGGGAAACGGCCATTCAGCTTTGCGATCTACGATATTGAATCTCTGGATGAAGAGACATCTGATCCTGTACCTATCGCATTAAGGCAATCACCAAATAAAATACCACGCCATACCAAAACTCTATCACTTCGTCCGGAAAAGCTTGAATTCGAATCAGACGTCGGACACCTCAACAGCATTGGAACGCGATTAGTGGACCACCCGGAATCTCGACATAATTTTGATCTATGGGAGGAGCTTATTCGATACCGCCAACGCCACTACGGTGACAATGGCACGTTACAAATATGGGAAGGGTTGACAGTCCGGTTGGACGGGGTTCGACTGCCAACTACAGGAGAACAGGCGGACTTCTTCTGGCAGAGCTTCGTGGAATTAGGACTGAGACGGGAGCTGTACCTTGACAGTTTGATTGAATATGCCGTCAATCTGTGGAAGCGCGAAGGCGATCGATGGCCGCACCTGTATATGAGGGTTGTGGGTGGGCTTCTGGACCAAGGCAAACCGAATCGTGCGCTTGAATGCCACAAAAAGCTGCAAAAAACTCATATTGCTAGCGCAAGTGATATTATGCAGATTCTTCCATCGGCAATCCGTCTATCGTCTCTTCCAGCTGGTATGGACTTGGCAACTACGGATTTACAGGAGTCCTTGACACCTGGACTGAAGGCCTTCCAATCGATATGCTCAGCTACCCCCGATCACAAAGTTTATGGCCCGGCCATTGCTATGCTTATACAGCAAGGCCAGGGAGAGGGCGCAATCTCCATGCATCATTTCCTCGCGCGGCGGCAAGACCATCCGCAAAGTCTCGATGAAATACAACCACTGCTTGAATTTGTGGAGAAATTTGGACGACGAAAAGAGTTTAACAGGCTTCGTGGCTATGTCAAAAAGCGGTTTGATACTGAAGCATCGATTGATCAACCCGGTCCAATAGATCCCAGCCCGAAACCCAACGAAAAAAGCACGAAGGAAGGGAAGCCTTTCAAAGATGAAATAGGCGCGAAGATGTTTGCTACCCGTGCGCTCAATTTCGACATGGTTATCGGTGGACTCAAGATGCTCGGAGTATCAGAAATTGGCCCACGTACGCTGCGCGAGATGGCTATTAGAGCCCATGGCAACCAAGATATTCTGGAGAAGCTCAAAACTCTCAAACAATCTGGGATCTCCGTGGGAGATTCCATGTTTGCGCGCTTGCTTCAGAAACTCGCAGCGCAAAACCGCGACATTCTTCTTTCAGATATCCTTCGCAGCGACCAACACCCCGATGTTCTCGAAGACGTGCGCATGCAGGAGACAATGTTAGTGTCTTACTACATGGCTCGGGATTGGCGACTATATAATATGACACTGGCAATTTTGACGGAACTCCACCCCGGGGCGCCTGATCTCTTCGACATTCATTTTCGAAAGCACATCGCAGCTTGGGAGTTGCGTGCAGCAGCCAAGGTTACCGACGAGCTAGCCCTGAATGGTCGGACTTTGAGTGAAGATAGCGTGGACTTTATGGCTGAGCAGGTTCTCACCCCACGCCGAATGAACCACCGTCCGCCTCCGGGCCAGCGCCTCTCCGCGGTTGAGGAGGTCCTTTTCATCTTCAAGATTTTGAAGCGTGTGGTTCCAGCAGGAGGTTATGTCAGTGCTGCATTCTGGGTGGAGATGCTCAAGCGACTCGGCATGGCAAACGCATGGGCAGACTGGGATAAACTCCGGGATTGCTGCCAGTGGCTCGTTTGCCAATATGCCGGGACCACCAAACAGACACCTCGGGCAAAAGTCCCGTCCACTGGATCCCCGCTTGACCCTACGCAACAGGCCAATGCTCATGATCGACGAATGCTCGATCTGGTCTTCACACCCCAGATGCAAGCTGCTATTGTGTCCTGGGGATTCACGTTTCGGGTACTTGACACAACACAGTCACGATTTACCATTCCCCATCCTAGGACGAACGAAGAACTCATTCCTTGGGTTCGAGGCCTCATCCTTCTCCGAGAATTGGAAGCCTCAGGTCTTCGTCTTGATAAACGCTTGATCTCACAAGCAGTTCGACACCGAATGGCCATGCTCTACAGCCATCCTGTCCTTTCAGCACGGCGTATGAACCGTATGTTGCGGCGTCGAAATCCTTACCCACTACAAACGGTTCTGGATGACGTGCTCCGTGCCTGGGGCGACCCAACTCTTTTTGATGGAATGGAGGAAGATTGGGAGCGACTGGTGAATCCACCACGATCAACTAGAGCCAAGCGACGTGCTCCTGGTATACGTTTGTCCCTGAAGGGTCTATGAAGCGTCAGGCGTCCACTGTACATTAGCATGTAATTGTAAATAAATGAATCTAATACCCCTATGGACACTGAGCCTCCATGGACACGTATATTATAATATTCATATGAGACAGGGGAGATCGTCAGGGTTGCCACCGTGATTAATAAATAATAGTTGCCTGAGTGCCCAGACTATTAAATCGACTATGCGTAAGCCTGCAAAATTGGAGTCGCAAGTAAAAAGTGCGCCGAGCCCCAATGGCAGTGCACTGCAGATCCACGATCTAAGAATAGTTGAGACGGCAACGCGGCCTTGGTAAACAATCTGTCACTCTTCTCCCTCTTAAGTTCTACATCCTTGTCTTATTTGTACTCCTTTATATTTTACACCTTTGACATTCATATCCGGTACAATTATAAATTCATATATCATGCGCGCATTCAACTTCCTGGCCTTGCTGCCCGCGGTCCTTGCGAAACCAGTGATCCACAAGCGTACGACAGCATGCAACAACTCGCCCGACCTTTGCTCCAAGACCTATGGCGAGATTACACATCTCGGCGCTCACGATAGTCCATTCCTGCGCGACTCAAGTACCAGTAACTCGGTCGCTGGTGACCAGTATGTTCCCCGGATTTAGGCTCCGCAATATTCAGGCTAACGCAAGCTAGGTACTACGACACCCCAACACAGCTGTCAGCCGGTGTCCGGCTAGTAACAGCCCAGGTCCACAAGAGCAACTCAGAATGGCGACTATGCCATACCTCCTGCAACATTCTAGACGCGGGTTTGCTGAGCGACTGGCTGGCAGACATCAAGAGCTGGCTAGATGACAACCCCAACGAAGGTGAAATGAATGCGCGAATATCCCCTAAAAACAAGCATAAGACTAATACATTCGGACAACAGTCGTCACAATCCTTCTTGTCAACTCTGACAGCGCGACCGCCTCTGAACTTAACACCGAGTTCACGACAGCAAACATTACAGACTACGCCTATGAGCCGACCTCCCAAAGCTCCGCCCCAAGCACATGGCCAACCCTCCAAACAATGATCGACGATGGCAAGCGTCTAGTCACGTTCATCTCATCCATCGACGCGAGCACCTCCTACCCCTACCTGATGGACGAATGGACCTACGTCTGGGAGAACCCCTACGATGTGACCTCCGCCTCCAACTTCAGCTGTCAACCCGACCGACCATCCACCTACTCAGGCAATCTCGATTCCGCACTCTCATCCAATCTCCTCCCACTGATGAACCACTTCCTCTACTCAAACGATTTGTCAGCCTTCGACATCGAGTACCCCAACGCCAGCTACGTCGCAACAACCAATGCGCCCTCTGGTGGAACCGGTAACCTGGGTACTGCGGCTTCGGATTGCAAGTCTGCCTGGAAGGGCCGCCAGCCGACGTTCATCATGGTCGATTTCTTCAACCGCGGTCCGGCCATTGACACTGTCGACAGCCTGAACAATGTTACCAACGCTGTTGGTCGCACATCTGTTTCGACTTCGGACTCTAGCTCTACCAGTGATGCCTCTTCTTCAAGTAACGCTTTCAAAGCGCTGGTTGAGTTGGCTCAGTCTGCCAAGTCTGGAACTACGGTCTCTATGGGCAATTGGATTTGGGTTGGTGGGAACTGGGGCAACCTCCTTGGTGGAGGCATCTCCTTCTAAGATGGTTTATATTATACTATCTTTTGATTTTGGTATTTGAAGCGTTTCGTTCTTATATTTCGGGCATTTTGTCGGTCAAATGTGTGGCTGTATTGGTACATAGCGGGTGTCTTTTCACTCACGCAAGAGGGCTGGCGTTTTGGTTAGAATAGGGATAGGCTGGGATGTCAAGCGTTGTTTGATATATAGCCTCATAAACGAAGACATGTGAACTCTTTTCAAAAGATGACCCCGAGATGGCCTGTATACCGCTTGCTATATTAGAGCTTACATAGAGCATGACATGGAAGATCGATCGAAGACACTAAAAAAATGGACAAGATTGAGGTGAAAAAAAAGAGAAGTCAAGTTAACACACAAACAATACATCAAATGGTAGACTAGCTTCAAGTTACTCGTATGAAAACCGTCTGATGCTTCATGGCATTGTGACAGACTTTTGACTCCTGGTGTAGTAAATGAAATGGTTTGGTAGATCTCGTTTGCCCAGGAATGACATTGCCTAAGGCGGTTGGGAAGGCCTCTTTAAACATTTCCAATAAAAAATGCCAGAGGGGAGCAAAATGGATGCCTGATATATGAGGTACATCAGCTTCTGTATAAAATCCCACTTCATGGACCTCTATAATCAAGCGCATTTCGGTTTTATAGATCGCCTGCCTGCATAAGCGGGCTGCATGTCGTGCTTAGTAATGAATCATCCGGACAGCGCAGCTGGACCTCCGACATCATCTGCCAACCTACAGCTCCCTGGCATGGAATAACCCTCTAGATACCCCAAGACTGTCTTTCTGTAACCAGAAAGGCCATGAGAAAATCAGCTATGGACCGGATACGCAGCCTCATGGCCCGTCCTACGGCATATGAGCCAATCAACGAATCCGCGGAGGATGCCGATGGGACGACACAAACGCAGCGACAGGACGAACCACAGTTCTCAAGAACAGAATATGGGATCTTCTTCCTCCTTGGCATTTCCATGCTGTGGGCCTGGTAAGTGGGATCCAGCCTTCGAGCACCGGGAGCAAGCGCATCTCATCGAATAACCATGAAGCTAACGTGGAGTACGATTTAGGAACATGTTCCTTGCTGCAGCACCATATTTCTATACTAGATTCCAATCTGATGACTGGACGAAATTGCACTACCAGCCGTCTATCCTATCAGTCTCAACCGTCACCAACCTCGGGACCGCCTATATCCTGGCGAAGCTGCAGAAGAACGCATCATACCCATGGCGCATAATGCTCTCGCTGTTGATCAACTGCGCTGTGTTCACAATTCTGGCATTCTCCGCCGTCGTATTTACTGATGGGTCTGCGCGGACGTACTTCGGCTTCTTAATGGTCATGGTCTTCGGAGCAAGCTTGGCAACAGGTATCAACCAGAACGGTGTCTTTGCGTACGTTTCTGGATATGGAAGAGACGAGTATATGCAGGCAATTATGAGCGGACAGGGTGTTGCGGGTGTGCTGCCTTGTATCGTTCAGATCATCTCCGTACTCGCTGTGCCGTCGAAAGGAGACAGCGTTGATCGTGACCCGGGCCAGGATCAAGACCCGAGTATGCCGCAGACGACTTCGTCCAGATCGGCTTTTGTCTACTTCCTTACCTCGATGGCAGTGTCGGTGATTGCGCTGTTGGGCTTCCTCTATCTGCTCAGGAACCAACCTCAGTCCAGGCAAAAGGTGACAAGAGCGGACGACGAGTCTATGGCTGATGAGCATGAACATTCCAAGACTGTTAGTCTTTGGTCCTTGTTCGTGAAGCTGCGCTTCTTGGCGTTCGCTGTTTTCATGTGCTTCCTCGTCTCTATGGTCTTCCCTGTCTACACAGCGGAAATTCAATCTGTTAATGATCCCACTAGTTCACAGATCTATGACTCCAGTGTCTTTATTCCTATCGCGTTTCTACTGTGGAACCTCGGTGATTTAGTCGGAAGAATGGGTGTGGCTATTCCTGGAATTTCCCTAGGCAAGTATCCTCAGGCGGCCGCTATTTTGGCAATTACACGGGTCATGTTCATTCCAATCTACCAGCTCTGCAATATCAACGGCAAGGGGGCTGTTGTGAAGAGTGATATTTTCTATCTTGCCGTGCAATTTCTGTTCGGCGCTACCAATGGGTACCTCGGGACGAGCTGTATGATGGGTGCTAGCCATTGGGTGGTTGCTGACGAGAGGCCAGCTGCTGGTGGCTTCATGAGCATGGTACTTGTGGGTGGTCTGGCTGCTGGAAGCCTGTTGAGTTTTTCTGTTGCTAGTACATAAGTCCAACTTTAAATATCTGCCTCAATATGACAGACATGTTTTATACATTATTCATTCCAAGCAATGAAACACAATCAAAGTTTTTGCTTAGGGCATGTCCTCTGTCTACCTGTAATCTCATGAGTTGGTCTTGAGTGTGGCGATAAGACTGAACGCGGAGGCGTTTGCCCTAACTTGGGCCCAAACTCGAACTTCAACGGTATACTCCTTGGTATCCTCACTACCATTTATGCCTTCAACCATCCATTATAGTTTCTACCGTAGAGTCAAGGCAGTTTACCTCTAGCTTTACTTAGCCTCACTTGCTGCAAACCAATTTCATACCCGTTTCCCATTCCCTAATCCCAAATCCCCGGACCCCTGCTCTTCTTCTTCCTCCCTCTTCACCTCTCCCCTTTCCTGCATCCGGTGCTTCTCACCGCCAGTCCGTTTGAAGCAGTCGGCTTCGGTTTGGAGAGAAGTTGTCCTCGTCTTTGCCTTGTATTCTACGTCTTAATAGTTCATAATGTTTTGCGATTTTGTGGTTGCGGGTTTTGGTTGGCGCCATGCCCTGACCTACCTGCCTGGTTGGAAACTCCTGTCCGCTTTTCTTCTGTTGGTGAGTTATGATACAAACAAGCAAAATCAGAAGATACGGTTCTCATCATGTTTCAAACGTTATAGCTGTTGATTTACATTGTTGGTTGTATCCTCTACAACTTGCACATCCACCCGTTGTCTCGCTACCCCGGACCCAAGCTTGCTGCCATCACTCCTCTTGTTCACCTTCTCTGGGATATCCAGGGTAAACAGCACTCTACCATGAAGGCCCTGCATGACAAGTACGGAGATGTGGTTCGCATCGCCCCAAATGCCCTAGTTTACCGCGCTGCCACAGCCTGGAAAGACATCTACGGCCATCGCAAGAAGGGACACAAAATCTTCCTCAAGGACCCGGCTTTGTATGCACCCACTCCGAACGGAGTCAACGCAATCATCACAGCCAATGAGGAGGATCACTCCCGGATGCGCCGTTTGCTGACCCACGCCTTCTCGAACCAAGCTCTGCGCGCACAGGAGGAAATCCTCCAGAAATACGCAGACATGTTCATCAGTAAGCTGCAGGAAACCCTGGGTAGCTCCGCCTCAAAAGATCTCGATATCACACGCTGGTTCAACTTTACTACCTTCGACCTAATCGGCGATCTTGCATTCGGCGAGCCCTTCGGCTGTCTCGATAACAGCACCTACCACTGGTGGGTACTGATCATTTTGGACGCCGTCAAAGCCAGTGCCTATCTCAAGGTCTTTTGGTTCTACCCTTTCCTCGCCCCCATGGTAAAGTTCCTGGTGCCGAAGCATCTGCTTGAAAAGCGCCAAGCCAGTTTCGACCTGAGCGTTGAGAAAGTCCGTCGTCGTCTTGCCCATGGAACGACCAGGCCTGATTTCACCTCGTATATTCTCAAGCATTCAGCTGACGGGAAGGGCGTCTCTCCCGAGGAGATGGATGCTAATGCTGCTGTCTTTGTTCTTGCTGGTAGTGAGACTACTGCTGCCCTGCTGTCTGGTTGTACTTATTATCTCCTTCGCAACCGTGATAAGTACGAGAGACTTTTGCGCGAGATCCGTGGTGCATTCAACTCTCTGCCCATGATCAAACTGACTTCTCTTGTTGAACTGCCTTATTTGAATGCTGTCCTGACCGAGACGATGCGCGTTTACCCTCCCATCCCGTCTATGTTGCCTCGCATTGTGCCTGAAGGCGGAGCTATCATTAATGACAAATTTGTCCCTGAGAATGTAAGTTTCGTTGCTGATATATTGTGCTGTGTGCCACGAAGTGGCTAATTTGGAGCTTGTCTCGATCAGACATTGACTCATGCTCTGGTCTTCGACAACTCCACACACAACTAACTCTCTAACGTTGCCCCATTCTGGAATATGAATTCTGATATCTCCAACCCACAGGTTTCCGTATCGATCTCCTTATTCTCAACCTTCAACGCAGCATGCCACTTTAAGAAGCCCGAGTCTTTCATTCCAGAACGCTGGCTCGCCGACTCCAAGGGCTTCGAGAACGACAACAAGGACGCCTTCCAGCCATACTCATACGGACCCCGGAACTGCCTCGGCCAACAGTAAGTTACAAAGCCCCTACATACATTGAAACAATATACTAACAATTCCAACTAGCCTCGCCAACGCCGAAATGCGCCTTCTCCTGGCCAAGTTCCTCTGGACCTTTGACATGGAACTCCTCCCCGATTCCATCAACTGGACTCAGCAGAAGTCCTTCGCTCTTTGGAAGCGGCCTGATCTCAACATCAAACTCTACCGTGCCGGTGACGCTATTGCCCTGTGAGACACAGATCTTTTTGTTTTAGGACGTCCACCTGTGCGGCATACAGATTATGATTCTGCGGATACCCTACGTGAGAAACCTCTCATCCAGCGAAAAGCGACCAAGTCTTCCCTTTCCTAATTGTTAATTTTTAATTCTTTTGGTGCTGGAGATAATATCTAAAGTGTTTCGACTGCTTTGGTTTCGTTTCTGGCATCTTGGGTTCACAGTGTGATGATAACTTCTAACTTAAAATTTTTGATCTTGGGATTATTATCCTTTGACTACAGAAGTCGCTCATTTGGAAGTCTTCGGATTAGATGGGAGAGGTAGAGATAGCTTAATTGACTTTTGTTCTCATTTGCTAATGTTGGGGGATGGAGTCGTTGACTGGGATCCCTTGGGCTCCTTGTTTCGGCTTGCTCTCTGGCGAGGAATACAATGCATTCACATTTTTGGACCTTTAGATGGGTAGATCGTGTTTCATGTTGAGCAATATCTTTTGTATCTTATTTGCATGCTGGTATTTAGAAATGGGGGTGATGTTTCATGTTCATATTGTTGGTTCACGATTCATTCGAAACAACATGAATGCCCAAATTCCAACTCCAACAAGATGTATGTAAACTCCTAGCCCTAGGTATATCGAGGAAAATCAAAACGCCTCAATCCAATTTTCCAATGCTTATCAAATGCGGGGTAACCAATCAGAAAAAATCCTCTTCTCCCAGCCATTGCGAGTCCATGGCATATGCCACCAAATCAGCAGCACAGCACATATCTTCGTGGCCATGTTCCAAGTCAAGAAGTTTAAGGACGGACTTCAACCTATCCTCTAGTGTCGACTTGAGACGAGAGATACAGGCCTGAGTCTGTTGCTCTTTGACCAAGGAGCTAGCCACTTTCTGATCCTTTCCATTGGCTATTTCAGCTTTGATTGTTTTCTTGTTTGGCGAACAAGGCGCGAGAGCCTTTCGCTGGGGAACATCAAACGCTGGTTCAGGCTTGCGGTTCTTGAAGAGACTTTGGAGCAGGAAGAGTAGCCAGACAAGGTTTGTGCGTGGGGAGTATTCAGCCCAAATTCCTGGAATATCTGCTGGCTTTCCCGTTTCTGCTGGGTCCCCAGTGTAAAGCGTTGCGCGCATACTAGATATCACAGTCAGTATCAAAGCACAGATCAGATGTATAGAGTTACATACTATCTGTAGGTGTTTCGTTGCATAATTTCATCCTCATCTTGACCAACAGCATCAAACAACTGTTTCTTGTCCAAATCCGACGATGCAACCTCAATCGGTCCATTGGGGTCGTCGCTCCACCGCAACTCCGCTCGAGAGAGGGAGTAATCGATAATGGTGGTTTCGATAGAACTGAATCCAAAGCCACTCGAGCACGACTGACTCGTAATGTCCTGCTCAGTGGGAGGATCCATGCAGCCATTCCGTCGAGTAGAGCGGATACAAACATTGCCCAAGTGCAGATCTCGATGCTCAAAGAGGGCGTACTCCTCAGCACGTGCCAAAGCCATGGCGACTCCCCAGAAAATATCATAGATCTGGAAAATCGAGGACCAAGCGAATTTTTCCAGTTCACATCCTGCATCATCCATTTCGATGATTGCCCAAAGCTGGGTATCAGGGTATGCCCTCTTGTTGGATGGGTTAGGGTTCATGCAGTCATCTTTGGTTTTCTTATAGTGGTCCCAAGCATTCTGGAATGACTCTGGGAAACGGCCTTGAACGACATGAATTTCTCTGAAACGCGCAAACCCAGGAATTGGGTCAAGGTATTTCAACATTTTCACTTCAGCGACAATTTCATCAATACTAGTGAATTTCTTGGATCCGGGACCACTCTTGGCTCGCAGAGGTACGACCTTGAAGACTCCATCGCCATATGATTTCAATTTGGCCAATTTGGATTTTGATACCACTGGTCGACAGGCTTCCTCGCGCAGATGAAGCTTGTATACTTCACCATAGGAGCCCTCGGCTAGCTTTGCAACGTCGAACATGTTTGCAGACCGGGAGGCCCATGAGCTGAACTTTTGGATACTTTGCGCAGCAATTGGAGCCAGTGCTTCGTCAAGAATTGAGCGAACATAATCATTGAATTTGTTGTCATGAACAATCCCTGATGACCGTCGAGAGACAGAGATCTTCCTTCGTGGGGCTTTCCTTTCCGCTGCGTTTCTCTTTCCTTGGTCCCCGCTAGCAGACTCTGAGGTGGCGTCTGAAGAATCAGCTGTGGCAGTTTTGCATATCCTGACCTCTATCATCGATTCAAATTGCTTCAATTCTGGGCATTCTGGGGTGCTTTCGATGGATGGCGTGACCGAGATGTCCGGAGACTCCGTTTCTGGACAAGGACTCGATTGCTCCGAAATGGTGTCAGATAACGGATGATTTTGCTTGGATTCCCCCTTTTCTTCACGTTCAGTCTTCTCGTCGGGTTGGGAGGCCTGGTCTTCACCGATGGTTACTCGAGCCAGTTTCGCTTCCAGGCTTTCGACCGCATCGATACAAACATTTTCGGCCTTTTTTGGTGTGATATTTCTAGCTGGGCTAGCCTGGTCAAACACTGCTCTCGGCGTATTGGCTCTGCGTTTGCCATAGACTCGTCTCTGGGTGACCGACTTGGTCGTGGATCGGGACTCCATTGTCGCGTGACCTTCAAACAAAAGGGTGAACTAGCTGACTGGATTGATTTTCTCAGAGTGATAGCATACACTTGATATATCAGTTTGATGTCGGTAGCTCTACAACTGGGAAGTGGAGATGGCGGGCAGTGCGAAGTGCCAGACAGGAATTTGAGCGCCGCGAGCTCAGTATTGATGTTTAACCTAATACGGCTAGCGCAAGGTTGCCTGAGCAAAGCGGATATCGTCACGTGATCCGTGATCGAAGCTGCAGGGAACACCACGAGAACCATGCGACAGTTACATGTGTGTGCAATTGAAACTGATAGCCGGACGCTCAGGGGAAGGGGTACAGCATTGACTCAAAAAAGTAACCAGGTAAAAAGAGACATCTGCGAACATTTACAGTACTCTCTACTGTACTCTATATTCCTTACACGTCCGAACTCTCCCTGTGCAAGCAATATGTCTCGCTCCCATGTGGTTTGATATTGAAATGTCCTCCTCACATTAAGGTCGAACGTGGGCTGAACTTCATGTGTGCCGTGATCTACAGTATAGTAGCTCATTCCGGCCCGAGATGTCTCGTATAGAATGATTTCTGGCACCCCTTTCTCCAGATTTTTATAGTCCAAAATAGTCTGGTAGACCAAGGGCTAGGTACATGCAACACCCGCTATCCCACGTCCGTGAATGGTCCCAATGTCACCCACTGTGGGCTTCAGGCCGGGGCTGACCGGAAGTGGTGGAGGCCCATGCAAGACACACTGTGACGTATCCGTGACTTTGAATGCGACCAAAGTGAATGAAAAGAGAGGAGCATGTGAATAAAGAAGCAGCGAAAAAGACAGAAGCACTCAAGAACAATATCTGCAAGTAAAACCAATACAAGACTCGTCAAAAAGTGAGATTGGAGGAGTCGACTGTCGCGCGTGATCGGGGCGAGTCCCTCGGGAACCAGTTTTTCTTCCTGCTGATCGCCTCCTTTCAACGCCTCTCTCTGTATTCTACCTTCAACTTTTACATCCACCTAATACCCAATGCTCGGGCATGGCGTTCAACTTCAACTGGTCGCCTTTGATGGCGGACGCGAGTTTTTACACTCGCGCCCAAGATCTGCTCACTGCTGCGCTCAATAAATCGCCCAAACCTCCGATCATCGTCGACGACATTCACGTCACTGAGTTGAATTTGGGCTCTATCCCACCAGAACTAGAGATCCTTGAGATCGGAGACCTGGCCGAAGATCGTTTTCGCGGCATCTTTAAGATGTCCTATACCGGCGACGCTTTTCTCACACTAAAGACCCGCGTCCAAGCAAACCCGCTTAACACTTTTCTCCTCACACGCCCAAATTTCGCATCGCCAGTACCTCTCGCTGCTGCGTAAGTCGATAATGTATATAGCGCGTCATGTTTCGAATTCTAACTGACCCTGTCACGAACTAGTACCCCGCTCACGATACCTCTACAAATCACTCTGTCCGACTTCAAACTTTCTGGATTTGTGATACTCGTCTTTTCTAAGCAAAAAGGAATAACCGTCGTATTTCGCAATGATCCGCTCGAGTCACTTAAAGTGTCATCCACGTTCGATTCAATACCGTTTGTGCGCGATTTCCTACAAAAAGAAATTGAGGCCCAGCTCCGGATATTGTTCATGGACGAACTCCCAGCAATCATCCATCGACTCTCGCTCCGATTATGGGTTCCAGAATACCGCACCGGGGAGGAAATGAACGAACAAGCCGATAACACCGATCAGACCACTGAAGGCCCTGGTCAAGACCCGTTGGCCAGCCCCCCTCAGGACCCCGTCGATTCCCTCGGAAATGCCTTGAACGAGTCTGAAATCGCATCACTATCTTTGGATTCATCGGTCGAAACTCATTCGCTTTTCTCGCAGAAGAACCTCCTTCGCCTGGCTGCTCTTACGGACTCGCAACGAACTCTATCCTTGTTTACACCTTCTATCCAGGAAGTGGTATATCGCGCCTGGACTTCTCCCTTTGACACCAGCGACTTCCCTTCGAGTGTGATTTCTCCATTGAGCCCGACTCTCTCGCGTACCCATTCTCAAATCGGCAGCATGTCCTCCCTTCATGAGACTGCCAGCACCGTTTCCATGCAAAGTCGACCCTCTATGCCGGGTCATACGATCAGTACTTATGGTCTCAGCCTAGGCGCTGGCCGTCACTCTAAGGCGCACTCCCGACGACGCAAGAAGCGCGTTGTGGATCTGCGTCGCCCTAAGACCACTGATGACGCCATGAGCGTGAGCGACGAGAGCGTGGTGACCGAATCATCCCGACCTCCGTCTATCGCCTCGGCGCCTCTGCCTATCGTGAGCGAGCAGTCGGATGATCCTGTCACCCCACCGTTAGCCCCCGAAGCAGATTCGTATTTGCCAATGATCCCTGAACGCCACAGGGCCAGTCTCTCTCGCCCGACACAGCGACGGGACGGTGACCTCTCATACTCCCTGGAGACTATTCGTGGATCCAAGGAAGATGTTGATGCCACTCCCCGTGCTACCGTTCGTGGATACCCTCATGAAAAGGCTGAAGCGGGCCCTTCATCTAGTGCGCGCCCGCCTCTGCCCGCCTCTGCCCTTCCGTTTACCAAGGAGGAGAAGCCTACTGACAGCGTTGACTCCGTTCTGGTCGAGAGGCTAGCCGGTGAAATCGCTCGTCGTATGCGCGAAGACAAATTGATGACCAGCGCATGTAGCGGATTTTGGAGCCGTCAACATGAAGATACTCCTCCGCCTGCTTATGGCCACTGAGTGACCATCAATCTACATTCTCCGGTCGAGCAAGTCTCGAGCGTTTATGACTTTTATGACTGTTTTTAATTCTTGGATTCTGTCTTTTGTTTTATTTTGACTCTTTCTTTTCTTTGAAGCGGGATTGTACAAAATTGGGTTCTGTCGTCGAGCAGCTTTGGGCGTTTTTCGTGAGCTGCTTTTTTTACAGGATACCACACTCACTGAGCATTTTGTAAGGGATTTAGTTAGAGGTTTACATGAATTTCATTTGTCTCTAAATGTCTAAAATGTCCGAAATATCCAAAATGCCGAAGTCCCGTACTTGAGCGGGTAAAAAAGCTGGAGACATCCGCGCTAGACCCGGGAGGAACTTAGCTCCGCACTTCGACCTCTTCGATTCCTTCCCACTCCTTTCTCTTCCATCATCGACAATGGCGGGCATGTTTAAGAACGTGTTTGGCTCTGCTGGAGCCAAACCTGATGATGGTGCGTCTCAAAGTTCTGCTCAATTGCTGGCGCTGACAATCTAGATTTCGCCGACTTCGTGGAAGCTCCGAACCCGTCACCTGCGTCCCTCCTCGCCGATACGACCACCGTGCCGGCAGCCAACACCCTCGGCGCCAATGTTCCCTATACAGCATGGTACCGTGTGTGGGAGCGGACATCTCTGAGCGACTTCAAGCAGGAGGGCATGATCATGCCCGTTATCCTCTTGATCGTCCTCTTCCACCTCTGGGGCGCGCGCAAGAACCGCAGCAAGGCCAAGGCGTGGGCCCAGGCCCACGGCCCTGCCCTTCAGAAAGAGTTCGCCGTCGTCGGTTTCGACGGCATTGCCCGTCCAGCCCCTGAGGATGGCGAGAACGTTACTGTTGAGTTGGCCAACCCCGAGTCGCTGCTGAAGGAGAAGTCGGCTTGCGAGTTCGCCGCCTATGCCACCGGTCGTCAGAACGTTGCTTTCCTCGATGTCAACCTCAAGATGCCTAAGCGTTATAACCCGATCACCTACCTTATGGAATTTGTCTTCAGCTTCTTTTTCGAGAGCTGGGAGGCCCCCGTTGAGAAATACGAGGCCCTGCTGTACGCTTTCGATGGCAAGGAGAAGGACCTGGTTCCCGTGCTTAACAAGGACTCTACCCCTGTTAAGGTGCCTAGCTCGACTTACGATGGCTTTATCTGGGCTGTCGTTCACAAGAGCCACATGCGCAAGTTCCGCAACGACCGTTACGATGCCTCTATTACCTTCTCCAAGGATAACCCCAAGCTCCCCTCGTGGGTTACCGTTATGACTGAGAATGCTGAGATTAGCGATACTCTCCTCACTCCGGAGTTGTGCCAGGCTATTGAGCAGGCTGGTAACGACTTTGAGTTCCTGATCGTGACTGATCAGCCTGTCGACAAGCCCATGAAGTAAGTCCCACGCTCAACACATATTAGACCAATAACTAATACATTTATCAGGATTGAGGAGACCGTCCCCAAGAAGCGCATTCAGCTCTCTGCTAACCTCGCTTCCTCCGCCTCCGGCTACTCCACCACTCTTCCTCTGTTCAATCAGTTCCTTCGCTTGGCCGATAAGCTTGTTGCCTCTGCCCACTTCCGCACTGAGGTAATGCGCAAGGTCCGCAACATCCGTGAGGAAGAGATCAAGAAGCTGCGCCGTGTCGAGGAAGAAGAGAAGGCTGAGGAGCGCCGCATCGCTGCCGAGAAGGTCAAGAAAGAGGAACGTGAGCGTATCCTGCGTGGCCTGAGCGCTGACGAGCAGCGCAAGTTCCTGGACCGTGAGGCTCAGAAGGGCCAGAGACGTTCCATGAAGAAGAGCACCCGTAAGGGCTAAATTGATTGTCTGTTGGTGGATTCTTCTTCTGTCTTCTCACTCGTCTCTCTTTGGATGAAGAATAGCGAGAAGAATGTTTTATCCTGCGATTTTGATATACCTTTAAACCCAGATGTATTCATATATGTTGAAGTCGAATGGTCTAGGACCTAGTGTTTAATCTTTTCAATGCAAAATTTATCCTGTTCAACCTCGGAAGCCACGAAGCTATACTTGCTGCCTCCCAACTTCCCACACTTTCTTCCACTTCACATCTCCCAACATATCCTTACCTACTGATCAGCAATGCGTTTACAACACTTTGTATGGGCCGCCCTGGCAGCTCTAGTCCACGCCTCCCCAATTCAAAATGCAGACACAACACCTACCTTCAACATCAGCGCGAACAGCACCAGAACCACCTTCCCTCTCCCTCTCCCCGTCCATCTCCCCCAGATCAAAACAACAAATGATCTACTCCACACATCCACCATCCCGTTCGGTGTCTCAATCACCCACTGCACGGTCCCAGGTACAATTGCCCTGACCTTCGACGATGGCCCATTCATCTACACATCCCAAATGCTAGATACGCTCGCAGTCCACGGTGCCCGCGCTACTTTTTTTCTGAACGGCCAGAATAAGGGCAATATCTATGCTTTTCCGGACTTAGTTCAGAGGATTGTTGCCGAGGGGCATCAGTTGGGGTCTCATAGGTGAGGTTATAATTCCTTCTCCAGTCTCCACCGTTCATTTTGCTCTGTACCACTTCCTACTTGCCTCACATTTCCAGATAAATATACATGCACAATGGACCCCATTCACCCTCTTCTGACAATTAAACTAACCAACCTCCCTCCCAGTTGGAACCACCTCCCACTGGATACACTCCCCTACCCAGACATAATCCGCCAAATGACAGCCCTGGAAGAAGCATTCCAGCACATCCTCGGCTTCATCCCAACCTACATGCGCGCTCCATATCTGTACATGAACCCAGTCGTGCTGCAGGCCATGACCGACCTCGAGTATCATGTCATCGGCGCTAGCATTGACACGAAGGATTATGAGAATGATGATCCAGGCACGAGCTGGCGCAGTTTTGAGCGGTTCAAGGTTGGGCTTGATGCCGGAGGGAATGTTGTACTTGCGCATGATTCGCATGAGAATACTGTTGCTGTTCTTGTTGATAATCTTCTTGGGGAGGTTAAGAGCAGGGGGTTGAGTCGTGAGTTTCTTCTTCTGGTGTTTGACTAGAACTGACTCTTTTCATAGCTGTTACCATTGGCGAGTGCCTCGGGGATCCGGCTGACTTGTGGTATCGTTTGGGGAGGTAGACAGTTGGAGCAGGACTGTTTCGTCTTTTGAGTTTGCGTTCTTTGGTTTGATGAGTGGTCTTGGACAATTTCTTCCGTTGTGTATATCTTAGTTTTCATTCTCCACCAATCGTTTTGCAGGCAGGATAGTCTACATTCACTTGCATTGATTAAATTGGCTTAACTGGCCCCGGGGATTGCATGTATAACACCCTGGTCTAGTCTCTCATTATATTGCTTCGTTCTTCGACTCACGAGCTTGCTGTCCAAGGTATCATCATATAACCTCATGAATAGATATTGATACTAGCGAATAAATATAAAGGAACGATTCATTATACTTGCGAGTAGACTAATGCAAATGGTCAAAGATCTGATACCACCAAAGACACGTTGATCTATCAGGTAGACACTCTATTCAATATGTCTATCTCTATATCTATCTCTAAACCCGATCTCCATCACAAATCTACAACTTTCCAAAAATCTTAACCCTCTCCTCAATAGGCTTCTGTACCTTCTCCCCAGGCCCAGCCTCAGGACTACCAAAGACCATCTGCGCAACAAGCCGCCACTCAGTAGGCAGATTCCACTGCTTGGCAACACCCGCATCAATGAGGGGGTTATAGTGTTGCAGGTTTGCGCCGAAGCCTAGAGCTTCGAGGCCGGTCCAGACTGGTCATATTGTTAGTATTGCATCACTTGCAAAAAACAGGAAAGGTGAGTACATACGGAAATACTGATGCATAGCATTCGAATGATCAGCCCAGGGCGCGAAATGATCCTTGAAGGCAGGGAATTTCTCCTGGAAGGGTTTGATATGGGCTGGGTCTTCGAAGAAGAGAACCTATACAAAAAATTAGCATCAACCATACCAGACGATACCAAAAGCAGTGTATAAACATGTACATATACATACCGTTCCATAAGCAGCCTGGAACCCCTTCAACTTAGGCAATGTCTGATTCTCCCACATCTCCTTGGACACCTTGCCAGACTCAACTAGTCCACCGAAGGCCTCGATTGCAATATCCCACAGCTTGTCGTGCTCGCCATGTAGGAGGACGACCAGTCGTGTTGACTGGGTATTGAAGGAACTGGGGACGTGGAGGATAGCTTGGTTGACTAGTTCTTCGATCTTGGACTCTGCATCTTGGATTGGGGCTGTTTTGCCTAATGTATAGATTGTGCGTCTGTTTTGAGCTAGAGAGATCAGGGAGGAGGTGGACATCTTGGCTGGGGATTTGGTGATGGGCGTGTTTGTGAATTGGCGTGTCAATTGGGTTTGGCAGGGAAATGCTCTGGTTTTGGTGGTGTTCAGGGCTGTGCGCGTCATGGAGTGTAAGGTTGATTTGGTGAAGTGGGATGCCATCTTATCTATTCTTGTAGGTGATCAATTGGGGTGTTAGGGTTGAGGTTAGCAGGGCAGCATGTCAGACGGGGATGCTCCGTGTTTTATAGATCGCCAAAGGGGTAGTGCAGCCGAGGAATAGCGGAATTACGGGGGTTCGGATATGTGGCTGATTAATACGATTTCATTGGTGTCCGCCGGGTTCCAGTTCAACGGGACCAAGGCCCGCGCGTCGTTTGTCAGAAAGTGTGAATGCTTACACGCCAGAGCTTAGCCGTATGTGGCAATTGGTCTGTTTATGGGAAATGGTCTTTCAAACAGCATTTCTTTATCATGTTTCTGCTGGGGTATAGTGGGTGAGTTCTGCTTATCTGTAGTCTAGTTGACACAGGTTCTGCATAGGAAAGGCAATTAAGATGAGAACAAAGTGTAATTCATCAAGGGTATCTAACAGCTAGTCATAATGATAGGACGAGTCACCTGGTGAAAGGGATCAAGTTTCCGGCGCGTGTATCGTATTGGTAGGGCTGCCTTGCTATACCGAACACATCGCCGACTGATCGACTCGAGCGATCGCAGAACCCAGAAGCCCGCGTAAAGGCATGCATCCTATCTGAATAGTGTACCCTGTTGGTCGACTGTTTCCTCGGGTTGGGTTCAAACATCTCAACACTTTGATCCAATTAGCCATTGGTCGCAAATATTGACAACAATAACAAGAGATATTTTGGCAGACTCAGAGACCCGTCTTGAAACATATAGGAATCAAATATCACCATGGGTTGGTAAGATATGATTGATCATCATCATTGCAATGCCAGAAACAAAGAAAGTATATGAGATAAACAAGGGGAAAGGCATACCTGAAACAGCCGCGATCAAGTGGGGACATCGCGGATACCAACACGGAAAAGTAGTCCTTGCTATTGAGCCTCAAAAATGAGAATCATCCGAATTTCTGTATCTGTTTGGATAAGTGGGTAAGTCGATGATTTGGTTGAAAATCTTTTCATTTTCATTTTCATTTTTTTTTTTTTCTTCGCGATCATGTTTTCAGTGCAGAGAATTCAAGGTAAGAGTCTGTCGAAGTGCATGTTGCGCGCGAGATCACGCGAGGGCACCGTTTGCGCGGCTTGCACGGAGGCAAGGAAGAGCGCAGAACTGTAGGGATAATTGGCGCAGACATTTTTCAATTTATACGGGTCTCTTTAGGCGAGAGGGCAGTGGCCCTACCCCTGTTTTGCTTGTTTTCAGTTGATGTCGTCATTGATATTCGATCGTCGCCTATATAATCAGGCACAAGTCACAGATCTGTTCCTGGATCTACACTGGAGCATTCCTATAGCTTATTTCTACTCCTTTGGCCCACCAACCAGTACATGGTGTTGAGCACAATTTTGCACTTTGGTTGGCAGGATTTCTGATGATAATGGTCGAAGCATCGTCTCTTGTAAAGAACTGTTCAATACTTTACCAGTGATAACATATCCTCTTGTTTGCATGATTGGCTCTCTTCTAAAGACTGGTCATGATCTTTGTAGCTTCTACAATGGCCATGCCAATGATTGGCACCGTGCTCTCCCCGGAATCATCGGAATTGACGAGATTTCGGAATTATGAGAGACTCTTAAAGATCATATTGTACAACGAGAGGAACTGCGGGGATGTAAGAAGCTTGACTAACAGCAAGATTCGAAAGAGACTTACATATGAATACTACTTCTTCCATAAAAGGGAGGTCGTCCACCACTCGCACGAGTGCAAAGCCTGCCTTGCTATTTGGAAATTCCAAGTAACCTCTCGTTGTCCTTCCCACCAGCACAAGTGTTGCAATGGCGGATGGAAATTTCTTCACTGATCTTTTTCGAGAACAACATCATGTGAATCTATACACTATTCTGGTCATTGCCTTCATTACGCTCAGCTCAGCAGCCTATGGCTACGCGGCGGCGAATATCGCCACAACCCTAACCCAACCATCCCACTTACTGATTGAATTCAGATCATTTCTCATCCAAAACAGTGCTCCTATTTGGATTGCTGAGCTTGCACCGCCCAAGGTCCGTGGCGCAATTGCTGATGCGCATGCTCTTCTTATGTTATTTGGATATTGCATTGCAAGCCTTGTGGGGCTGGGGTCCTATTTTCACCCTGACAAAAATCAATGGAGAGGAATAGTGGGCATACAGATGGTCTTTCCGACAATCATTCTTTGTGGGATTTACTCAATGCCCGAGTCCCCTCGGTATCTGAATTCTCGCGATCGCACTGAAGAGGCATGGGAGATTGTCAAGCGACTACATGCTGTCAGAAATGAGCCGGGAGCCCACGAGTCTGTTACAAGGGAATTCTATCAGATGAGGAAGCAGATCGAGTTGGATCGCCGCTTTCAGACTTCATATTGGGGTACTCTTACGACTCCTTCGCTACGTAAGCGAGCTATCATGATGATTTTCTTGGAGTTTAGTATTTACAGTTGCGGAGTCCTCGTTATACTGAGTCCGGATTTCGAATCCTCCAAGTTCAAGTAATATTGCGTCTAATGCGTTCTCCGTGTTTTATCTTTCAGACTATGGGTCCGTCGTGTGGTCAAGCCTTGGCTTCGACACCCTCCAGGTCCCAGGGTTTCAAGTCGGATTCCAATCCATTGGGCTTGTAACCAATGCTCTTTCTATGTCATGGGTTGACCACAGGCCCCGGCATTGGGACATTGCCTTCGGGCTTGATACCTGTGCCGTCTTAATGGCCATTGAAGCCGCATTGCAGCGACTATCGCGGCTGTGTTTTTCATCCTCACATATCATAACACCAGGCATAAGCCGCTGGAGGAGATCGCAGCCTTGTTTGGTGGTGCGGATCAAGTGGTGGTGTATCAACGGGAGTTGATTAGGGAGGGAAACTATTTGGAGGATATTGGTATGGTATTGAGCCAAGGGGGAGGCCATTGAGATCCAGGAAGTAGAGAATGTTACTGAAAGACAGTGATAAAATGTGCCCAAACATATGAGATCTGTCTTGCATAGGTCCGCAAATCATCCGATGTCTAGGTGCATTTCGGCCCACGACCGACACACCGGGAGCACTGCGGAGTTTGACGATCACAAATCCGCTTCCCCTCCGCACATGCGACGCATGACTTTTGTCAAGAACGAGGGTCGCCGGAGCTAATAGTCATTCTGCAGGCTCTTAGTGATGCAGAGGAGGACAAGAGGGCATGCCAAAGTTGGTCTCACCCGCGTCTCTGAAACTCCGCAAACTCCGCAGGTCCCGCCGAGAGAGCCGTAAGACATCCAATGATGTCGCGAGTTTTGTCCCGATATACACGAAAATGAAGATGGCTGCTTTGAAATGATCAAGATTACGCGATAGATTATATAGCAAAACTCCGCAATTCCAACCTATCAATCTATCTTCATAAGCGTGGTTTTGTCAAGCTCATCATGCAGACAATATAAATGCTTTGTGTCTTGCGAACAACTTTGTCACTCATCATCTCTTCTTCCCAACACTGCATTGATATAGCATAATGGCCGTTATTGAACTGATCTTCCCCAAATTTAAGCCAGATCAGGCTTCAATCGACGAGCTCGAGCGAGAGTGGCCTATTATCAGCCCAAAATTGACCAACCCAAATCCGGGACTGCTGAGTGCTTTTCGAGGATGGATTCTCACCGAGAACGGGCGCAATGTGAGAGAGGAGAATAGGGCATTTCTGCTCTTTGGTAAGTCCATGTGCCTGATGGTCCTCTTCCCTACTTAACTACAATACTGACATGAAGATGTTACAATACGTAGAATGGAACACAGTGGAATCTTTCCACGCCTTCTTTGCCTCGGAGCAATTTGCGGGTTTCGTTGTCGCCATAAAGCATCTAGTAACTGAACCATCAAAGTTGCAACTTTGTGAAGTCAGCCTCAGCCCAAAGAATGCGGCATCTGCATCGAGCATTGAGATCCTCCGAGTCACCGTTCCAAGTGCTGAGAACGCGGATGGAGCTCTGAAAACATGGGAGGAAATCTCTCAGAAAGCCAAAGAGAAATACGGAAACAAAGTTGCCATCACTTACGGCAGAAGCCAGAATCTTGAGGAAGTAGTCGTTGCAGGCATCATTGGATGGTCGGGATCGGAGGTAAGACGGGATGTCAAGTCATGAATTTACCCAATGTACTAATACCTTCTAGGATTGTATTCTTGCTACTGGAGGCGGTGTCCTAGGAGATTCTTTTGAGTCACTGAAGACCTTCGGAGAGCTATCACATATCACTGTCGGGATTGGAGCTATGGAGCTTCCACCGTTGTAGACCGTTTCCTCTAAGGCTACTCGCTATCTAACCCATCCACTACTTGATATATACCGAAAGATTCTCCACTTAAAAAGAATATTTCACGGACTTTAAACCAATGTATTAGAATCCTAAATGTCGCAACTCATAGCTAGCAGCTACTGAAACTAGCTCTAGCCCAACTCCAAGAACAAGAAGGAAATTCGACCACACCGTTGCCTTCACCTCGCGCCCACTGTTCCCTTCTGATACCCAAATCGATTGTGTCGCTACAAATACCCAGACCAGGCCGATCTTTTCGAAAGCCTCTCTTCGGAAATTTTAGCGAGACACGGGCGGATAGATTTGTCGAAATTGTATATGCCCTTAGCCGCTTGACTACATATCATATTAATTACTTACAAGCTACTATGGATATGGCGCCTTTAGTGGCTTGGAGTGAGAATGACCATCGTTTCTTTATACTTGCAGTTCTTGCACGAGACATACTTTCAGTCCTTGCGACTAGTGCTAATGTTGAACGACTATTCAACACTTCTCGAGATATCTAACATTATCGCCGTGGAAGATTAAGTGCAACAACTTTCCAGGATTTAACGGTATTGCTTTGTGCTTAAAAATTCGACATCGAGGAGGAATAGGCAGTGTTTCTATAGGGGTTCTTTACACGCGACGAGATCGAAGCGGCAAAGGAAGAGGTGCAAGGTGGAAGGGACATATAAGGTATAATCCATTCTGATATAGATCCTTGTCTTCCTTCTAATAAGGAGGAAAGCACTTAGATACATGCTTTAGTAGATTCTCGAAAACGGATCAAACGTGACGAGGATCTATGTAAGTATTATTAGCGATTAATACCATGGCGAAGGAAATCTCATTACCCTAATCTTTGACGGCCGTCATCTAGTGCCGTAGCCTGAAGAACTCGTTTCACGTACGTCAAAGATTCAGGTTGTAGAGAGAGGCCTGAGATAAATACTCTGAGAAACAGAGCAAAACTGCATAAAATATGCAGTGACAATGACCCAACTACTTTGCGTTGTTTCTAGGCACTTACAACAATAATCAGCAATCGAGGCTGAAGTGAGGATGTCGGAGAGCGGAGATTGATCTTGCTGCAGTAGGAATAGGCTGGCATTTAGATCAAGTGGTATTTATTTTTGTTATGTGAGGCCCAAAACTCCCCCCTGATGAAGGCAGAATCTATTACTGGTTTCAGCCGAAGCCTTCCGAGGAGCAGATGAGAACTGAGCGCAAAATATGCAGCGCTTAAAATCATGCCTTTGCGTAGCCAACTTGACAGCTAGGCAGCTTGGCAGCTTGTCAGTACCTTTGCACCTGCATTGCTTTGTCGCATCCTTTCTGGCCTGGCTTACTTTAATTTCCCTGGATCTATTGGCAAACTCTGTGGTTGAACTCACACTGGAGGCTTGTAGTTTTGTCAAAAGCGTTCTTTTTTGGCGAGGTGAACTAGCCTCTTCATTAGGTCTTCATTAGGTCGTCGTTGTGTGATAGTGTGAAAACATTGTATGACCGAAGACTGGCGGACTCATGAACCGACACCACGGAGCATCACATGGTCCGTCCCTGCATATGATATGCGAGACCCTCTCTAACGCGGCATTAAAGCCTCGTCCTTTCTTGACCTTCTTACATGTGTTTGAATCTCGCATAGTTGCTGCACTAAATTTCTTTCGCATGATTCGTAAAAATGAGAGAAAAATTAAGCAATGTAAATTATGCTCTTACTGTGACATGATCTTGTGTGAGTGAGCTTTACAAATGCTGCAAATCACAGGGAGGTAAGCTCGATGATTTATGTGGACACAGGTTGCTGTGAAAAGTTCAAAGAATCTTACAAAGTCCATGGTCAATGCCTCCCTGTATTCCACCTGAGAACTTGGGGTGCATATTATGATGACTGGGGAGGCGATATAGCTACACACAAGGAGCTGCGCGAATTCCAATACAATATGTTGCAGAGTACGAGAAGTTAACAGTATAGACGCATCCGGCAACAGCAGCCTTCTTCAAACATACAGAACCATCCTCATTCATTAATCCCAACCCTGTTCTCACAGCAGCATAACCCCTAATACTCAACCCTTGGCTCCCCGAATAAGTACAAATAAATCCAAGATAGAAACCATACTATTGGCAGCAGCTAAACAAACTGAATCCTGACATACGGTATGTGATGGTTCGGCCACTTGATAGTCTCTTCGTAGAGACAGTTGTAGAACTGGGGGTAGCCAAAAGATCCTTTGAAGCCTGAAGCTTCGTAATTTTTAGTTGCCCATCTGGAACACGGCATGTTCATCGCAACCGGGCTCCACCGTCCATAGCTCGCTACTTTGACTTCGCTGCTCGGCACTCCACCATTGAATGGTAAGGCTGAGAGAAAATCTTGAATGGCCGACATCTTCGTTTTTATGTCTGCAATAGTTGGTGATATTCGATCTCGGAACTTTGACTGGATTGAAATTATGTTTTGGCGGGTCTCGTCACTCATGACATCCGCCTGCTGTGTCCAGGAATCCGATACAACGCTAGCTATGCTGTCGTTGATTGCCTGGGCTCGCTGGTTGAGGGCGAGTGTGAATTGCGTGATTGTAGGCATATGGTGGTGGAGATCTTTGACGAGATTTGGAAGATCTTTTGTGACTTGCAGTATTTCGACGATATCTGAAAGCTTCTTGATCTTTTGCTCGGTTATAAGGTTCACAAGTCCTTCGATATTGGGTGTTGTGGACGCAGCATCTTCAACACGTTTGATAAAGTCTGACATTCGTGATATCACCGACAAAATTCGTGGTATTGCATCTTTGTCTTTGTTGATAGCAAGTTGCAATTGAATACTTTTCGAGACTACATCAATCAGCATGTATAATAGGCTTCAAAACTTGGAGTCGTACGTACCATTCTCATTGAATTTCTTCAGTGTGTCTTTGGCACACTTATTTTGATTCTTACAAGCTGGTACTCCGAGTGTTTTAATTTGGCTTTGAATATCCTGGCTTGCGTGCCTCGCAGCATCTAAAGATGGGCCCAAGCTATCCAGCTGTTGGCGCATACCAGTAAAGTGAGTGGCCCAAGGTTCAAATATGCTCTTCAACTGGTCTGAAATACTTTGCTGAGACTGTCGTAAGTAATCGAGGAAGAACTCTTTGATGCCATTCACGTCACAAGCCCCACCAAAACAAGTTGCAATAGAACCAGCGAATTTGATATATGTAGCCAAGTCAATCTACTATAATTAGACTTTTTCAGCTAGAGGGACGGGATACCACGGGATACCTACCTCGGCAGCTCTAATAACAATTGCACCCTTTGAAGTCGATAGATCCCCAGTGGTAAGGAGCTTATTCCTATCATCTTGTATGGCGAAGGCGTTATCCAAGAAACACTATCAGAAAGTCAGGACAGAACTTTACTTTTGAGAATTTTGGATGGAAACCTTTTGAAGTTGTGCGTAAATACCCAAAATTCCTGATGTTACAGTAGAGACATCGGAATCTGCCGCAACACGTGAAAAGGCGCCGTTTCTTACAAGTTCCAAAGCCCTGGGAATGCAGTTACACATTGTAGAAGCTTTCCGTAATATGTCGGGATTAATACCAAGATTCGACTGGATTGCATCGCATAATCCAACGCTTTTAGACTTGATATTAATCCCACAGGGAACATTGATCCACTTCTCCCGAGTGCCTGGAAGCATTAGCATCTGTAATTTGAGATTAATAGCCAATCCTACCTGGGATACAAGTCCAGCCATCACAAGTTCTCCCCGGCTTTCGCCATGTAGGGCATGGATACTTATATGCTGTTTTTGTTTTGCATGCATCCGTCTGCTATTATATTAGGAATCTTTTTTAACCGAATTGGTAATGTCTCCGAACCTCAAAGAATTTGTTTGGGCAGTAAGTCGTCTCTGCTGATGTTGGAAGAGTAATTTTATTGTTGCAATTAAAGCCACCCGAGAGGCCATTGCAAATCTGTTCAATCGGCTCGGGGTGGACAAGTACTGCAAAGTACAACATGAACACCGCCCATGAATTGAGACAACACATCTTAAATTCTGGCCTCGTTGAATTGCAATACTTAGGCGAGTGTTTGTGATATTTCTTTTTGGGTCTGTTCAGATCTCATTCAACAGATAGCTTGCCCTGCTCGGTTGAGTCCTTTTTATATATTCTTCTTCGTACTTGCCACGGGAGTACCGCTTTCTATTCAATGACGACCAGAACGCAGCAAGTTCCATCCTGAATACAAATGACGAATGCCAAGGGAAATGGCTGTTCTCGACTCCCTTCATGGAACAATTCAATGCTTCGCCTTTTCTTGAGTTTTTTGGAAATTCACCGTACGTCACAACCTAACTCTTTCGGAAGTCTTCGATATAAGACCCAATCATTAACGCTACTGCGAGGATTACCATATTCAGCAATATATCTAAACGAAAGGAACTCTAACCGGCTTTTCAAAGCAACATCTAAGGTTCCTAGAAATGCCCAATTGGCTAGAGCCACGGCTAGAGTTTATATTAGCTAGTAGCCTAAGATTAGCCAAGATCATATGTAGTACCTTCCGTATACTTGTCGATGAAGCTCCCGTAACCATTTGGATAAGTCAGTTTGTTACTTTCATATGAGCATTTCAAAGATATTACAAAACATATACATAATCCGAATCCAAAGAATAGTTGAGATATGGAGACTTCTTTTAGACGAATGGAATACTGATTGATTGTTGTGATATCTTATTAAACACTTAGGAGGCTTTTTCTTACCTAGGTACACTTCCATGTCTATGACGCTTGCGGGCAAACTCGATTTTAAGGCTGGCAGATAATCGCATGAAGGTTTCAGAAGTCTATCTAGACCTCTAGTCCGCATATGACCAATAATTTTAATTTACTAAATAGAAGCCGACGCCATAGATATTTCATAGTTGTGGCTAGAACTTGACATTTCCCATGGGACTATAATATCACCTTATTCCCGCCATGGGAATTCCCGCGAGATTCCCATGGGAGTACAAAAGTTCCCCATCGGTTTTTATCTACATTAAAAGGTCTATATTTTGAATATATCTACTTTTATAAGTCTACATTTAGTGGTATATCAAGTTCTAAAATTTATGCCACTTATTGGGCGGGCTCCAACAAAGCCCTATTGTCCATACGAGTCTGTGTGCTCGATACTATTTGTCAATAACACAGGCACGAGTTCCTAAAGCCGATATGGCTGAGCCTCATGGGCATATTCCATGCCCTGGACGTACGAACATACAGTAGCTCAGTCATAATGGCTGATCGGCCATGGAAACAAGGTTTGCTGGCCATAAAGCTGCCGGTGATTGAACATCATGGATGAAGATTTTTAGGCGAAAAGGCTGATCATATTGGTACATGAAGAAGATATGAATCTAGTGGCCAGTACGTGGAAAGCAACCTGGACGTTTCTGATGCCCCAGGCTACTATCCTTTATACGCTCCCAGGTTTCACCACTACAATAGGTACGTTTTTCTCAGGGGTTATTACTACTAGTTTCTATATGGATCAAGTGTTTTATTAATCGTTGTAACATACTAAACATCCTACACCAATAGTGGAATACATCTATATCTCGCTTACAAAAAAGATATCACTTTATTTTATATAAAATTACCCTGTGAGAAGTAGTTAAAATAGGTACCAAACAAACGTATTTTTTTGTATTTGACTCCGCCGGGAATTCCCACGAGGGTTCTAGTCTCGTGGACCCACTCCCATGGGACCAAAATCTAGTCCCATGGTGGGAGTCCGGTAGGAAATGTCAAGGTCTAATTGTGTCATTGCCCATATTTTCTGCACGCGTGACAATAATAGGGCTTGGCGAGAAGTCGAGGGGCATCTAGATCATTCTGTACTTCTCGACTACGTTACAAAAGATTTGTCTGTTTGCAGCTAGTGCCACGTAGGCTCTACATAATACGTGCGTAGTCCGTTACGGTCTGAACCCGACCCACCACGGGCCTGTGGGCTTGGGCATTAGGCGGGAAACGCATCCAAAAATGTCCGGAACCACGGATGAACATCTCGGATGATCGACATGAACTATGTGGCGTGCCCCCGCATCTACAAGTTTGAAGGCGGCAAAATTGTCCACCTTGCAAACTGTCCTGCCGTCCTCTTAGCCTTGGTTAGCAATGAATGATCCCTGAATCTGGTTGGAAAAAGCTACCTTTGCTCTCGATACTTTAACAGTGATAGATTTATCAGGTGACGGAAGGTCTAGAGTACATTCGACACACCGAGCTACTAACCAAGAAACATGAGAAAACCACTGCCGTAGAGATAGGGCTAGCTAGTGAAGTACATTGTCTGGGGTAGTAGGCGAATAGCCTAAAGTAATACACATGAATCGAAACAAAGGAGCCTCAAAATTCCGCGAAATGCGCAGTTGTTCCACCATTCTATTCAAACTATTGTACAAGCCGACAGTACAACGTAGTATTACCCTAGCCGAATATTCTAATCGACACCACCCAGCGGGGGGGGGGGAGAGCAACCACATCTAACCTCGATTTACCGAAGACGCCGGCGAGCTGATCTCAATCAATCCATCAATCAAAGTTCTATAAAACTGTTGGAGCCTATCTAATATCAAATAGCTATACGGGCGCTTCTTTCCAGTTGAAGCAAAAATTCCCGTGTCTCGTACGCCTGATCATGCTCTAGTACAGAACTTGAGCTGGTCCTCGAAGCAAGAGAGAGAGTACCAGCCCTACATGTAATCTTAACCCGTAAACCTAGAAGCAAATCCCAATGCAAATGAGGAATTGAATGCACTTGAGCAGTGAATACAAATGAAGGCGTAAAGGCACTGTCCACCTCTCCAAGCCCGTCCTCTTCTCATATCTTATGTGGACACCTCTCGATCTAGATGCCAGCCAATTCCCACTGCAGCAAGATCAAACCCCGTTCTTCGACATCCTCACTTCTTGTTGATCATTTTTGTGTCCCGCAGGTCTTCCAGGCTAGTGGCTCCAGTCCCGTAGTGTATGTTCCGATAGCACATCGAGGTTCTCTCCCCCCTCGACTGTTTCAGCAAGCATTGGTGAGTACCTAGCGGCTTCGGGACTCTGCTCTATAGCCTCGGCACCAAGATATTCGGCTTCATTATCAGACTATTCTTGCTTAGCGTGTTACAATTACGTGAGAAGGCCGATCTGGGGCATGGATTTGGCAACTTAGCGGGTTACCAGTGGGTCTGATAGGCGTTGCCGCCAGGTGTGATTTTCAAAGGCAAGGTCTTCATGAAATCCTGGTTTACCGGCCCCGACCCTTTTAGAGAACTAGTTATTTTCAGTTAGTGAAAACGGGTGGGCGACAGATGCAATTGGACTTTAAAGGCCTCAAAAGATATTTACTCTATTGAGCAATAGCCGGAGGAAAGGGGGGTATCGGCTCTTAATACTAGACGGACATAACAGCTATCTCGCCCCACGCTTCCAAGAGATATACGCTCAAAATAACGTTTCTACGATTTGTATGCCTGCGTATTCATCTCACCTTCTTCAACCTCTCGATATCGGATATTTTGGGGTATTAAAACATGCTTATAACAAGGCTATCGAGACATAGACTAAGCTTAACATTATGACTATCGACGAGAATAATTTCCTAGATACATACCGGACGGCAGGACTCGAGACATTCAAACCGGAGACATTTGTGAATAGCTTTGCCGGCGCTAGCCTTATTCCATTTGATCCGCAGCGCGCTTTATCGAAACTGAATGTTCGTCTAGTCACATCACCACGTCCGACTAGCCAGAGAAGCTAATCAAGCAAAAATTCACTCCGAAAACCCCTTATACAGTGAAGATATACCGAGACAGGCATCACCTATTTGGAAGCTTGCAAGGGATAACCCTCAGGGGCTAGATAAATCTATAGATCAAATAGAGAAAGGGCGTCAGTCTGCGATGCATTGGTCTACTATTGTGCGGCAGCAGATCTCGGCTGATCTGTTCCACCCTTCCACCAAGTCCACCCCTGGAGTACACCAATCCGCCAAAGACCTGCTGTGCTTCCCGAGAGATGCTCTCGAGATTCTGGGCAGCCTGGAATTTGAGAAGAGCAGTCCAAAGTGAGAATGCAAGAGGCGCAGTACGTGTCGACCGGTGTACGATGTCTTCCATCAAAAAATGAACTGGCTCAGGCCATTTTGCTGAACTTGAGCCCAACCGCTTGGTTCTCGAACAGCTTCTTCCCAAAGGTCTCCCGTCTCAAAGCGTGTTGATAGCTGTCTTCTAAAGCAACGCGACCAAGACGCAGGGCGGTGATTCCGACCCACAGGCGTGAGTGAGTGAATGCTATTTAAGCCATTAGTATCCACCGACGTGGCCTTTGGGATTGGTGAACATACTTGACATGATGATCTCGAATCCTTGGTTCTCCTTGCCCGGGATATTCTCTGCAGGAACCACCGCATCCTGCAGATCGATGAACGTTGATCCACTGCTACTGACACCCGAGTTGTACATTTTATTTCCCTGAATTCCCGGCATCTTCATATCAAGAATGAAGACCTTGAGCCCCTTGGTACCGGGAGGGCCAGTTCGGGCAGCACAGAGAGCATGTGTAGCTAACTGACCCTGCGTAATCCAGTTCTTCTCTACGTTGATGACCCAGTGCTTCCCCATCATCACTCTTTTCTGCCGTGGTAGTGAGGCCAGCAACATCAGAGCCGGCTACAGGAGTCAACATTAGCATCTGAAACAGTCGTCCTTTTCACTGGTCTGGCTTACCGTCTGGCTCCATTACCATCAGACAGTGCTTCTGCTGTCCTCACAACAATGGTGCCAAGTACTGCCTCCTTTGCTCTGGTGTACCGTAAGACGCAATGGGCGCTCCGCCAGTGGTGGCACCACCATTAATTCCCCATATAACGCCCAAATATCCGCAGCGTACAATCTCGTCAATGAGCTATCAGATCCTCTAGGTCAGCACTTCGTTCTATACGTCCAAGGCATTCTTAGGAAACTCACAATGGCATCATGGAACTCGTCCCACTCTAGAGAATGTCAGCGCTGTTTGACCAGTCGTTCCCATATTTTACGTACCATCTGCTGGGACTCCCGCAGGCAATTTCATTCCTCGAGACAATCCTTCGAGAGTGGAAACACCGCAGCTGCCAAGAAGCCAAGCTGTGCGTGGCGTTGGAAAGCCTCATCAGGGACATACCCTTGTGCCTCCTACTCTCCTGCATTGGGCGTGATCTCACTATCAACATACTCTCGAATAAAGCGCTGTACTTTTCTGTGGGAGTCCTTGTAGTACGGGTGAGCTGTGTCCTTGCGTCAGGAGGGATCGGCAAAGGGCACATTGGATGTCAGAGCGGAAAAAGTCATGTTGTGTAGCGGTTATATCAGAGGTCAATCTTGTCCAGAGAAGATAGCGGTTATCGTTATTGGTATTCTATGGGAGCAGTTGCATTTAAAAAGGGGTTGAACTGACGCTAGTAGATTTCAAATATCATACTGCATATCCCTTCTGTCATTGCGAGTACCGAAGAAAAATGATTAATTTCGATCCATGGAGCGACAGATGCAGAATAACCAACCCGATTTTGGGCTGGTTATTCCGACATAAATTCCGAAGTGCTTTGTGATATAATACCGCGGAATTCGGTATTAGCGTCGAGGGTCTCAAAAGCAAGGCGCAGAAAAGGCGTCTCGCAGTAGTATGAAAGAGAGATTATTCCAAGTCTCACTGAAAACATTGAGAAAGAAATTTAAATCCTAATAATATGGCTCAGTGACTGCAACAAATCTCCAATCAGTTGGACCGCGATACTCCACGAGACCCCTCCAGGTAGGCACTTATCTGGGTTTATTAGAACGGAAAACATTCATACTCAATTCCTTAGGATCGACGGCCAAGTTGCTTTGATTGCGGGCGGTGCGCAAGGTCTGTGGGATTCATGTCCTAACTTCGAGTTCATGTCAAACTGATCTTCCACGGGAATTGGGCGGGCAGCGCAACCCTTCTAGCATCCAAGGGGGCCAAAATCGTCCTTGCTGATGTTGACGAGACAAAATCCAATCAAGCCGTAGATGATGTGAGACTCGCAGGGTACGAGGCCGTTTGTGTCGTTGGAGACGCAGCCAACGAAGCCTTTCCGGCAAAAGCAGTCGAGGCCGCATTGCATACCTTTGGAAAGGTTCACTGCCTTATCAATAATGCGGGTATACATCACGTCCATCCCTATCCTGCATTCCGCCAATCCTACGTATTCATTTTCATAAACGCTGATCATCCCAGGGTTCTGCTACGACAGCGCCATCCACAAGATGGGCGACGAAAAATGGGAGATAATCAAGAGAATCCACAACTACGTTCATTTTCGAATGGTTCGTGCATTATCGGCTCATTGGGTGGATCCTCAGAATATCGATATGCTCAAGACTATCATCCATGTATCCTCGAGGTCTGGGCTTCACGGTCAAATGGGTCAGATTAATTGTGCGACAGCCAAGTCGGGGATTGTGGGACTTACTGAGACCGTCGCGGCAGAGTGGGCTAGGTATTTATATCTAGACTCCTCTTGAGCTCGGCTTTCTCGCTAACATGGTGCTTAGGGCCGGATGGATACGAGATTGACCAAGCCGCCTACGGGCAAAGACCAGGTTCTACTTGCTGGATGGAATATCGTCACTGGTATTCCTGCAAATGCACACAAGTTCAGGGATACATCGGATATTCCTCTTGGGCGGCCAGGGACTGTGGATGATGCTGCCAATGTTATGCTATTGTTGGCTAGTCCGATGTCGTCATACGTCACGGCGACATGGATTGAATGTACTGGGGGTAGATATATGTAGCAAAATCAAGTACAAAACGAAGAACACATTCAAGTAGAGCGAAATATCCCCCATCGATCTTTTCATCTTTCACGTGTGCCATATTAAATCATCCATTCAAACTTCATTCGACCCATTCGACACAGTCTTCCCGGGCTGATTAGCCCAATCACTCATCCGAACGGCAATGACCTTATCCCGCTGGACTTTTCGCTGATATCTAGTCCAGAGAACAAACAAAGCAACAGCAGCTAACACCGCTCCAGCGACACAGCCAACGACAATACCTGCAATCTGACCGCCAGACAACCCCCCACCTCCATTGGAAGAAGACTTTGAAGAACTAGTCGATGTAGCAGAGCTACCCCTCGAACCAGAATCAGTAGATGTTGGCTCGGAGACATTGAAACACAGAACATTCGTCGTGAACGAGGCGAGGGGGACGTAGGTTATATCTGCACAGGCATAGAAGGTACTATTTGTCTCCATGTCAAATGTCGAGAGGTAGGAGAGTTGGAGTGTTGCATTCGCGCCGGAGGTTATGTTTGAGGGTGGGTTGGGGACGGAGTAGCATTCATGTCCTGGGTCTAGGTCTGGGAAGTTGGTTGAGGAGACGAGAGTTGTGAAATCAGCGTTGGATGTTGGGTCTAGTAGTAAGCATGAATATGAGCTGTGTTTTTGCATTGTTGAGCAATGTTTTTGAACATACTGTTGTTGAAGGAAATTGCTAGATTGACATTGTATGATTCATCTTGGAGGACTAGGGAAACTTCGCCATTTGCTGGAGCTGTTAGTATTGATTGTATAGGTATGGAAGTGAAATATAGATACTAACTCAATGGGAACTCTGTCCGGTTTGTCACTCCGGCAGAGGAACCACAGGGAGCAGTGTTGTCTTGCGCTGCTCCCCATGCTCGATCGGGGGGCCAGAGAAATGCAGCTGGACCCATGTCTGTGGCTTCAGCGGCATTAACATAAGACGCATATAGGGTAGCAAGAGCCAGTAGTGCTGTGTAAGGCTGCATGATGTCTTTTTTTTTTTAACGAGGTCTGAAAGCTTTGGGTTAATCTTCATCAGAAATGTCGGGCGACGGTGGCATATATATGTGCGCAATCGGCATCTCTTTGTCGGAGACCTCGCTTCTTCGTAAAGACAGGCCATCTCGGCATCATTTACCGCATCCATAAGTAGCAACTCTACTTGCATGGGGTGGAGTCGAACCAGGATCCGGCGTATCATAACTAACCCAAAGCACGCATCGCTTGGAGGCAGTTTACCAGTGAAAAGAATAAAAGCCCACATATTGCATGTGATTGAACTGTCTTGGCATAGTAATCACTCATCTGTTCCATGAAATGAGAGAAGCCGAGCTGCCAACGGACGGAACGGTGTGAACACCACATGGAAGTGGAGACAATTATGGGTATTATTGGTCATGGCACTATGGTGTCTAACTAGAGTCAGTCTTGGTTTAATCTACGATGCAACTCTCAGCAGGGATTTAGGGCCGGAAGGGCAGACGCCGGGGTGATGAGATTAGATTGATAAGATTACCTCCGGGTGATTGGACCCTCTTTCTTTTTTTTTTCCTTTCTTGGCCTTGTTGTTCGTCGCTATTTTCCGAAATCTAGAGCTAACGGGGACTAGTTTATATCCGACCTGGAGGAGGATTCCTTTTTCGTTTGAGGTGTCTTTTCTGGCATCAATATATGGGTTTTAAATATAGTTTTGCTTGTTACGAATTTTAAACGCAGTCTTTCTTTATAGGGCGGATTGGAGGGCTTTGCGTTCAACCTGTCAATGAGAAATATCTTTTTGTTTCGCTGTTTCTCTGAGACATTATCGTAGACTTGGTTTAACTCACTGGTCGGACTTACATCGTGACTGCAGCGTGACTGCAGCGTGACCTCTGCTTCGCGCAAGTGGGGAAGAAAACGGCCCACTCATGGTTAAACGGCTAGCTTGGCGTGTAATAATCTAGTTAGAAGAGGCTAGGTATATTGGCAAGCTACAGGATTTCCGGCTCCGAAGGAAATTACATCAGAAGACAATTCTATCGTTGCGTTCTCTTAGCTGAGACTATAAATGGAGCTTTTCCTGCTACAGTTTTGTGATGCTTCATCATATCTGGCCATTGTCATCTGTATACTATTTTCTTGCCATTGAAAGAGTTTACCTCCGGCACAATGCGCCTCTCAATCTTGTTGACAGCCTCGATGGCTATCTTCATCTCATCGACCGTGGCTTTCCAATTCCCCCATCTATCTTTGCTTTCGAAGCGCGCGGATATAACCCCCGGCTCCCCGTTATACAATTGCCACGAAGCATGCGGTAAGTCCGATTTCAAACAGACCAGTTTCTCCAAGTTAATCATTTCATGTCCAATGCAGGAGAAGTAATCCTCATCTCTCAAACAACAGATTACTGCTCAAACTCGACCTACACGACCGATCTCAGCTCTTGCTTGGATTGTGCTCTCACTTATAAAATTTGGCAGTACTATGGAGATGATGTCAAGTCAGCAGCGAAAACATGTAGCGACGATGCTACTCCCAGTGCTTCTTCCGCTGCGTCAGGCTCTAGTGCTACTGCTACTGCTACTGCCCCTGATACTGATTCTGCCACTGGTTCTGCTACTACCAGCACATCTTCCGCTGTAGCTGAGACCGCTTCCACTACGGCTAGCTCGACGGTATCTTATGCTCGGGGTTTGAATTGGATATTATGGCTAATCGTTGGCTTATAGAACACTGCGACGGGAACAGCAGCTTCCGCTTCAGCCAGCACAGGTGCTGCTTCATCTTTTGGAAAGAATACTGTTCGTTCTGTTCTGATGGGGGCTCTTGCGTGGGCAGTCTTGCTGTAACATGCATTGCTAGTTTATCATCAACCCATGTTCGTTTGTGGGGTTGGCCAGTTGGTCCTGGCTTCATTGTTATGGTAGCAGTCAATTAAGCATAGTTCGACACCCTATGGTCTCTGTTAGCACTCAAATCTTGCGTATCAAGCAATGAATTGACTTACTCGATGAGATTTCCATCGGGGTCTCTCACATATACACTGTGGATCTTTCCAACAGCCCCGGTTCTTTCTACAATCTTGGCACCCTCCAGAATCTGTAAGCATTAACATCCGGCTAGCTCCGCACCAGTAACAAGGCACGCATACTTCAATTCTTGCTTCTTTGAAGGCAGCCAGAACCGTTTCGACATTATCATCAGTCAAAAAACACAAATCGGCACTTCCGGGCATAACATCCTGGGCCTTGGGCTCGAACTCCCTGCCTGATTGGTGGAGGTTTATTTTCTGGCTTCCGAAGATAAGAGCGTGTCTTCTCGGGTCAGTACTCAACTTGAAAAGCCTATTTGGAAGATAAAAATACCTCTGTACGGCTTGATTGAGGGGTGATGTGAAGATCTCATGCCGCATGCCGAGGTAGGTTGTGTACCAGGCCACCGTCTTGGGAATGGAGCGGACGGTGAGGACCAAGTGGTCCAAAGATTTGACTGTAAACTTGCTTGCCATTGTTTCAGATCATCAGATGTACATGCCAAGTTTGTAGTTGCCTGAAGATCCCCAGGTGCCCAGGTGGGATAATGGCATGACTCAGCTAATATACGCGACACATCGGTGTACCCGAGGTTGTTGATATTAGAGTACTCACGTTACAACTACAATTTAATGTATATAAACCACCCACTCCCCTTGCTTGGGAGTGAGGGGAAAGTGGCTGACTCGTGTATCTGTCACACGAATGAAAATGTCTCATGAAACCCACCAAAGCCACTTATCTACCCCGCTGACCAAGTATAGAATAGCTTCAAGGAACAGGATATCTTGGCTGTGGCTCAGCCGTGAGATCATCGGGCATTGGACGGGCCAAATGCCGCAATATTCTTTTCGGGTTAAATAGCCCAAAGCTATTAATGCTATTTATCCAACAGTTTCCCCCCTCACGCCCTCACGCAGCTATCCCAGCCATTCAACCCCTCACCATGTCGTATACCTCCTATACAGACGCCAGATTATTCCACACATCCTCCCCCAAACCACGCAAAACCCTCCGTTCCCCGCAACGCAACATAGCCTTCCGAAACCACTATATCGCCGAAACAAAAACTGTCCTCGTGCTCAAACCATTCGGAAGCCCCCACTCCGCTGTCGCGTATAAGATCACCGAGGATGACGGTACACCCACCTTCACAGTGAGCGGTCGCAAATATGGCGATCGCTCATGTCGAGAATTCCGCGACGCCTCAGGTCTGCCGTTGTTCGAGCTGCATCGGAAATGGGGCTGGACGATATCGTGGTCGGTTAGTTTGCCGGGGTGCGACACGGCAACGATAGCAACAGGGACACCGCGGGTCGGTGGATTTGGGAGCTCGGCTGGGAATTTGAATCTGAATTTTGAGAATGCCGCTGCCTTTGAGTTGAAGTCTGTGGATGAGAAGATGCTGACGTTAAGGGTGGAGCGGCATGGGAATGCGCTTGCGGCGTTTGATGTTGTTGATGGTGATCGGAAGGTTGCTGAGATTAAGGAGAGTATCCAGCATAATGAGAAATTGGCTTTGGTTTCTAGGCAGGGGTGGCGGCCTGCGCTGGATGTTATTGTAATGCCTGGTGTGGATATCTCGTTGGTGAGTGGATGTCTTCCTGGTTTGTAGATGTGTAGACACTGACTTCTCTTCTTAGGTTGCGACTATTGCAGTCATTGTATCTGACTGGGTGTTTGGGTCGAAGTAATTGTTCCTCTAAGCATTTAAAAGCGTTTCAAGCAAATGCCAAGATGATTCCAGTTCTTATTTCTGGCTTGGCAGGTACACTGCTGGTCTGCATCAGCTTTTCAACTTTCAGTTATTCAATACCATGTTTCCCTTGCGATTCACTCGAGCATATCATTCTATAGCAAGGTGCCATTCAACATCTTACTAGTTTCTTCTATCTGATACCCCAACCCATAAGAGGACGTAGAGGTTCTTCTTTTCGATCAGGAGGGACAAGACATTGTAGAGGTGTCTCAATCCAAGCTGGAACGAGACATCAGAACTCAAGCAGCAGCCATCACAACCGGAACTCCGGACGCTGTTTAAACAATTCTGAGAGAGGCATAAACAAGTTCCGCCCCTCGCCCAAACCATCCTTCATCTCATCCCACGAAATCCATTCCCAAGCCTCACACTTTTCCGGCTCCATATTCTACAAAACCAAAAGTAAGTCTCGTATTGCATCGATGGCGGAATGCAAAATAAGCAATATAAAGCCTGTCAAGTCACACACAAAAGAAGCAAAAGGTACACCTGCAGACGACATATTGAAAAAAAGCAAAGAAAAAGCAATACTGACAGCACCAGAAAACGCCATCCCTAAATTGAAGTGAGACTCACCTCCGGTTCCTGATTCTCTGAAACATGGGCTCCCATGAAAATAGTAACATAATGTTTATTTTCTTCTCCCAGAAGTGAATTCACGGCTGTCAGAAACCGCACATTCGAGATTTTCTGCCCGGTTTCCTCGAGGACTTCACGCTCGGCGCAGGTCTCGAAGGATTCACCGAATTCGAGATGGCCGCCTGGTAGAGCCCATGTGCCTGCATTGACCAATAGATAGCTTCATTAACAGCGGCAAGGATAGCTTGTTTTGATCGCCCGCGTGCAGGGCAGTACAGCTCTGTCTACAGGAGGCAGGCAGGGGCGGGGATGCAAAAAGCGGAGATCGGGATGAAACATACCAGCACCGACACTTCCTTGTCGCTTGCCAATGACGAATTTGCCATCGGGGTTGAGGACGAAGACCCCGACTCCGACTTTGACTTGGGGATCCATGGTGGAAGTTGATGTTGGATATTGGTGTTGATGTTGTGGCTTCCCTCCCGAAGTGGAGGCGATATGTTCGATCTGCGCTGTACATTCATTCTGACTAACTTACCCCTGGACTGCACTTGCAACGCGATTGCAGTTATTCACTGTCGTGGAACATGATCTCGCCTTTATGCCCAAAAACAGGCTTTCTATGAGATCCGCAATAATTGACCGACTCTGTTTTGTCAATATTTACGCTGCCCCGGTACAATATGCACAGTTACAACCCAAACAGAAAAAGACGGTATGCACAAAAAGCAATTCTTCAGTGAGCGACTCCCTTCCCGAACTACATGAACTTGCATCGAACTATAAGGGTCTGGACGCACGAGCTAGCATGGATAATACTTCCAAGGTAGATACAGCAGATCCGTCAAAGTAGCGATGATCTTCGTCGGGAATCCTGACACCTTTTTTCGAGTCGCTATTGGGATGTACATGATGTGATCTGTACAGTACAGACAAAATTGACCCCCTTCTCCGTTGTCTTTTCCGTGAGATAGGAATTTAAGCATATATATATACCTCGTCCACGCCCGGCAACAGTAGACAGTAGCTCTCACTCCAACATTCACACAGGCCTTCTGCGAGACCTTCTCCACGGCCACCTCTTCACACTTTTTCAATTCAATCCACCAAAATGAAGTTCACTCTCATCACCATTGCCTTCACAGCCCTGACCGGCACGACCCTCGCCCAAATCGGTAACGGCGGTGCCCTCAGTGGAGATCTGGGTAAAGGCCTCGGTGGGGCTCAAGGTCAAGGCCAGGGTCATGGCCCGGGAGGTCTCGACCTCGAGAAGAATTTGGCAAAGTTGACTGGACCGGGTGCAAGGGGTCCTCAGGCTCTTCCTGCTGGTTTGACTAACCCGGGTCCGAAGGGTCCTCAGTCTCTTCCTGGTGGGTTGACTGAGCCAGATGCAAAGGCTCTTCAGGCTCCTCCTGCCTTGACTGGACCTGGTGCTGAGGCTTCTCCTCGTGCTCCCCCTGCCGTGAAGGCCCGTTCCGAAGCCATCTCATCTCCAACACCGACCCCGTCTATCCGAGCGTTCAACGGGTCCGGTTCTAGCGCCGCCTCTACCCCCATGCCTACCCTCAGACGTGTTAAGCGTACCTTGCTTGCATCTGCTGTTCCTGCTTCGTCGGCGGTTGTGGCTTCTTCGGTTACTACTCCCAGCTCTAGTGCTGGTGTTATTGCTCGTTTGGAGAAGCTTCTTTATTAGATGTTTCATGCTGTTGAGAGGCTAGGCTGGTCTGGTCTTGGTTTTGCTGGACGATGTGGAATGTTGAATCGTGCACATTGTTTCGGAGGATATGCTTGGTTTGTTGAGTGGAGGATGCGCGATGCTGTGGTAGTTGTTGCTACTGCTGTTGGCATGTGACTTTTCGGTTTTGGTTCCTTATTGCGAGTATATACTCGTGACAAAGAAAAGTAGATAAATGACCTTCTTTGCAATGCTTCTTTGTTGCAAATGACAATGTGGTTCCTGGGTGTAGAGAACGAAGCATGTATAGCGTTAAATTGTGATAATCGGTACTCACAAGCTTTCCAGGTCATAGGAGGAAGCTTCAACTTTCCTGGTCTTCAAGGATGACTCCGTCTATATCACCTAACTCATTAATACTTTCATCGCTATTTTCTGGGACTTAGTACAAGTCGACATTCTTGATGACTGAGCTTACCCAAAGACTATATAGACTGGTTGATATGACTCGGTTTGCTTTAATCCTAGGAGCCAGGCATTTTTCAAGATTTTATATTACCTATGAGTATAGCAGGACCCTATGCTTTTCATGGGAATGTTTGTCGAGTTTGTTGCACTGTTCGCGATCCTTACGCGAGACTTTTATAATATATTGCCATTCATTTGTAAGCAGTAGACCTTGGACGATGGATGCCAGCTCAAAGCATGATTGCTTCAGCGAAGCCCATTGCCGAAATGAAAACCAATATATCAGGTCAACTTCTACGATACAGTCAAGCCAACGCACTCTTTAGCCTCCAAATTGCTATCCCAGCCGACGCAATCTCAGAACCATTCTCACCAATCAGCAGCTCAGCATTCTCAATGGCAGGAAGTTTGGCCGATTCCAACCCATAGTTGAATGCCCAGAGCAAGGACCCTCTTTTCGCAAATCGCAGCGTAGGTCCAAGGTCATGGCTACTATTGGCCTGCCGCCCCGCAAAATCAGAAATCGCCGCGTCATCAGCGACCTCGCCTAGGTAAGACACGAGCAGGTCGACGGATGGATTAAAGCCAAGGTAGTGCAAGCCATCCATCGAACAGGCAGCAGGCTTGCCGAGACGATGTGACGAAGCAGATGTCATTGTCACGACACTCGTACGGTTGTTTCGTTCGCAGACAACCCACTCCTCCCAGCCCGAAATATTGAATGTCTTCCCCGCATAAACAACACCGCTATTCGCATAACTTGGCGGTGTCTCTACACGGGTGACTCTCATGGGCAGGCGGTCACGGAGGGGGCCTTTGGAGGGGTTGAGACCAGGAGTATAGCTAAACGTCGCCGTTTTCGAGCCAGTGTGTGGCCCGAAAACGACATGGCCGCTGTAGTTAGCTAGTGCTTGGTTGAATGTTTTCGGGATGATGGGTAGACTCGGGACGACGACGAGCTTGTATCCTTGGATCGGTTGCTCAGGACTGATCACATCAACAGAGAGACCGAGACGACGGAGAGCGGAATAGAAGTTATACACGAGGTCCATGTATTGGACCGTTGGATCCGTATAGCTCGTATCTTTAGAGCTCCACTCTCCACTGTAGGGATCGATGGCCCAAACTTGTACAGAAACGTAGTCGAATACAAGAGCCACATCTGCTTGATGCTCCTGTGCTTGGTCAGCATTGAGTGCTTCCCTGAGCATCGGGAGATCTTCATCTATCACTGTCTGAATCTCGAGAAAGCCTTCATCTGGGAAACCGTCTGAGGTAAACAGACCGGACAATGTCTGCTCTTGCGCGTATGGGACTTGACGCCAACGGAAGTAGGACACCATATCACCCATATCTGCGAATGTTTCGAGCGTCCAGAGGCGCACCATGCCCTTTAATGGAGACACCCGGTAAGGACTCCAGTTTAGAACGCCCGTTTGCATCTCCATGACGCCAAATGGCCCGGATGTTTTGTTGTACGCAGCACCCGCAACACCGCGATAAAGAGCATGATGCAGCGCTTGCCAGTCGGGTAGACCGGTGCGTAGATATCTTGCCTGGTCGTCCAAAGAGAGCCACGAGAATGAGCTCGGGCCAGACAGGGGATACTCGTCAAATGTTGCGAGATCGAGTCCTACCTCGCGCGAGAACTTGAAGTGGTCGAAGTCGGTGAAGCCCATCATGAAATTATGCGTGATGAATTGTGTCGGTGCATATTGCCTCAGGATCTCTGTCTGCTTCCGGGCAAATTCGATTATCATGTCTGAGCTGAATAGGTACCAATCAAGAACATGGTCGGGCTGTGGTGTGTAGACCTGCAAGAATGGAGGCTGAATCACATCAAAGCTAGTATATTGGTCCGACCAGAACAGACGGCCCTGGGCAGCGTTTAAGTTTTCGATGGTGCCGTACTTCTTTTGCAGCCATGTTTGGAATCGCCTGACGGCATGGTGATCGTAGCTCTGCGTGGTGTCGTGACATCCGAACTCGTTATCTAATTGCCAACCCGCCACAGTTGGGTTTTGACCGTACCGCTCGGCCAGTTTTCGCGTGATGTTCTGGCTCAGTATACGGTAGTCAGTCGAGGAAGTACTATAGGTTCGGCGCGACCCGAAGAGCAATGTGGTATTGGTGTGGTCCACGAAGCTGACATCGTACTTTTCAGTGAGCCAGTTGGGTGGACCTGCTGTGGGCGTTCCAATGATTGCTTTGAGGTGATAGCGAGCAAGCAGCTCGAGAGTCCTATCGAGAAGAGTGAAATTGTATTGCCCTTCAGCCGGTTCTAAGATGGCCCAGTCGAATTCGTTGACTCGCACGTACGATAGGTTCGCATCTCGCATTTGAGCAAAGTCAGACTCCCACTTCTGTTCCGGCCATTGTGAGGGGTAGTAGTCCACTGCCAAGTGAGTACCACTTGGCCAGCGATCAAGTGAGGGCTCTGATGGCCCAGATGTGTCGTGCGTAGCACCCACATAACCAACAAGGAGGGCAGTGGCTAATGAGTGAACAAGCATGGTTACAGGTATGCAAAGGTAAACTATTGATTCTGTTGGATCTTGCGGGGTTATGTAGTGCTGTGTTGGCTTCTCTTATATAGGCTTAGAAGCTGCAGGGTTCAGCTAGCGACATTTAGTTCACAATTTCGAGTTACCGAAAGCTAACAGGAGTATGATGACTTATTGTCGGAGTTGAACCGCGTGGGTTTGTCCACGAATCGGGCTTGTTCTATCGCCGAGGGCTGTTGTACAATATCTTCAAGGCCACATACGTTCAAATATAGCCTTGGAAGACTGATTCATTCTATCTTTGTTATGACGATCAGCGGCTCTTGTAAAGAGTAAGAAGTACTCGTCCGTCTAGGAGTTACTCCCAACTGTAGCATCCAACAATACCCTCATTTGGGCATTAGTATGGCTCCTTTGGGGACGAAACTCCACTTTTACTAGCATCAAGGCGGTAGGTGATCTCCAACCAAGCCATATTTAACCGGTATTTAACCGATCATATAGCTACAGGTATGTGAACATATATGTATTATATATTCATGCTTCTCTCCTATAGAAAAATGAAGCATCAAAGCTTGTACGGAGAGAGGCAACTTCTTTGTAAACGAAGCATGTTAAATGTCAATCCTGCAGAAACATACAGAGACATCTCTCTTCCATAATGGCGGCCACAGATTTATGAAACGATAAATGTAACGAGTAGCCCTCGGGGGCGAGCAACATGAGTTCGCTTGAGCCATGATTGATCCGCTTTCCGAGTGGCCAGGTGGACCATTCGGCTTGGGTAACATTGAGAGCAGGTTGAAGTGGTCAATGGCATGTCCAGCTTTACTCAAGAAGTAACCGGCATGAAAGCTTTAAAAAGAGAAATGAACGCCACAAAGCGGCAGTGATTTTCCAACACCTAGGTAAAGGAGTGATATATTAATATCTGCAGTCATTAAGCATACGTAAACCCCAAAAAAGCCGCCCGAATCTCGGGGAAGAGTTAGAAAATAACAAAAGAAGAAAAGACGAAATCGCAACGCCACCAAGACCAATAGTGAAAACTAACGTAGTGTACAAACCGAACAAGTCACACGATAAAAATGCAATATATTAGAACCTGAAAAAAGAGTCGTGTGTCCATAAACATGTCATGTTGAATGGGAATGAGAAAGTCTTCGTGAACCAAACAAAGCGCACTCACTCGGATCCTGGTTACTATTGCAGCCATCATACCAGCCTTGATCGATTAGCTGGGCCTCCAGGGATCGCCAATATCCAGCCTTTCCACCGGCCCCAGTCTTGAGATCGAGGTCGCCAAGGCGGATCTCAACTGGTCGCTTTTCATCATGGGGTATCTATCAGTAGATATCAGTATCGAGGGTAGAAGTGTCGGCTCAACTCTCCACCGTGACTGAAAGCGGTACTCACTTTGATGAACATCGTACAATCTCTTAGTGTCATAGCAAGCGACATGTCCCTCGACTTCGCCCCGGGCCCCTGCAGCCCAACATCCCCTTCAATCTTCTGCAACGACTGCAACCTCCGCAAAGTCGAATTGCAATACAAAATACGAGCCAGCCGCGATCGATCCTTGCAGCCCTTAATCAAACCGGTAGCTCGCGACACATCCTCAAATTTCTCAGACACCAAATCCAGCGGACAAAACGACCGCTGCTCTTTATGTCCGAGAAGTAAAGACTCGCGGTTCTTCATTTCGCGCAGCGCACAAGTTCGACACCTATGCGCCGCAGCCGGCGCAGAAGGCGACTGATTCAGCCATTTAGGTTTCAGTTCGGCTAAAGTCGCGTCAGGTTCACCATCAGTCGTCATGTCAGTAATGAGCAAACCAAAAGGTTCACTAAGGCACAGATAACCGCCATGGCGCTTCTTCGGACGAGAACCGGTTACTTCATCTGCACGGAGACGCTCATTACAGCGAGCGAGGAGACCGGCGGGGAGTTGGACGAGAGTTTGGTCGACTAATTCCTCCGGAGGGAAGAGCGGTCGAATGATAGTATCGAAATTGCGAACGATCTCTTTGTAAGAGATATCGGCGGCAGTTTCTTTGCGCAGTCGGAGTAATTTTCCTTTGAGGCGCGCTGGGAGAGAGTTGAGTTGGTCTTGTCGGTCAATTGCCGCGGAAAGTGACCTGTTTGGGTCTTTCAGTGTGCTTCCCGCTGTGGCGAAGCGGTAGATCACATTTGCTCCTCCCTCTGCGAGATAGATGAGCTGAACTCCCGGTGGGAGTTCAAGGAGACTGGGCTTGGTCATCCGATTGGGCGATTGAATTCAGGCTCACTGTCATGACGGGGCTAATTGGAGATAGCTGGTGATTGGATCTTAACGGGATTTGCCGCTGGGAGTGCAATGGGGCGCGAAACAAGCTCTCCGGGGGATCGCTTTTGCATGCAGGGCTGGAGGCTAATCTGATTGAGAGGGGCTAGGCCGCGCTTAGTGGGTAAATGAAACACTTCAATCTCGATCTCGATCTGTGGCCGACCGTAGACGCGAACGTTGATACTGCCCGAGGTTATTCACTCGCTCTCTCTCCGACCGCCCGGGCCGATCTCCGGAGAAAACGGACTCAAAGACGAGACGAGAAGTTGAGGCTGAACTGGTACAAACTCGATAGTTACAGTTCTCGATATTCCGAGAGTACAGTAGTGGATGACGTGCAGGGGTTCGTTCTTACTGGTATTCAGTTACCCCTGCAGTCGATCATCCCAAGTGATATAAAATAAAATAGAAGAGAAGAAGTAAAATGAGTAGAAAGAGAGAAGTCGGGCACAGACGAGCAATGGCGGTCAGCAATCTGATACCTCACAGCTCGAGAGGCGTGTGCATCGAGATAAAAAGAAGGTCTGGGATGTTCAGCCCTGCCACACCTTGACTCAAATATTCACAAACACCTCACACCATCCTTACACGACTGATATTGAAAAGTCCCAGGTCGGCCACATCGCATAGACCTCTTCTTTCTCTACCCCACCTCTTCTCATCAACAACACAACATGGACCCGACACCAACTACCATCCCAACGCCGGCTCACTGCGTCGCCGACTTCTGTCTGATTCCGGTAAGAAAAGTGCAAATACCTCTAATAAGCTCCCAACTTACACCCCCAGATCGGCACGGGCTCGCCCTCAGTCTCAGCCCAGATCGCCGACGTCCAGCGGTTGATCGAAACATGCGGCTTGAAGTATGTCATGCATTCCGCAGGCACAACCATCGGTAAGAGCTCCCCTTAGGCGTACCTACAAAGCTGCATCTGCATAACCCTGGTCCATGGCGCAATCTTTCTTGGGGTTAGCTCGGTAGCTCTGGTAGCACCTACAGTACTCTTCGTTTCCCCCGGGACGAGATGGCAATCAGAGATGCTCCCCAAAGGCACAATCAGCCGGAATCACAACCGGAGGACCTCGGTATACCCCGTGGCTATTTGCATACACCTACTTGTACAGCTACAGGTACAGGTGCCTATTCTGGAGAGCTGAGAGCTGACCTTTGTATCGCTTGTTTTCTTATAGAGGGACCCTGGGATCGGGTTCATCAGGTTATCGGGCAGGCGCATACTATCCTTCATCAGCAGGGGATTGTTCGGATTCAGACTGATATTCGTGTTGGATCGAGGTTAGTGTTTTCCTTCCTGTTTTCTGCTTATCCGAGTCTTGTTGTTTCTATGTTTTCTTCTGCATGGGATCCGGATTCCTTCCATGTCGAATCTATACTGATTTCATTACAGAACCGATAAGACGCAGTCCTTTGAGGATAAGGTTAGCAAGGTGCGAGAGCTGCTAGCCAAGGACTAGATTTCAGGCATTCCAAGGACCTCGACGGTAGTCCGGAGAAGCCAATGCAGTTGACTTGTTGAACCATGTCTTATGCCATGAATAGCGATGCTATTTCTGTTCTCACATGCCACATGGGATGCTGGCTTTTGTCAAGTAAAACCACCACATTCAACACGAAATGGAGAAGTTTTTGCGTTAGAAGTCAACATTATATTGATACCAAGATTTACATCGTTGCCGCTAACTTAATATCTATCGCAAAAAAGAAAAAAAATCATGATGCAAAATGTGTATGAGAAGAGAGAACTCGGAAGAAAGGTGAGTATAAATGCAGAGAGAACGTGTTCAATAAGAATAAGTGGAGATGCCGTAGCCGGGGGACAAGGGGGGTGAAGATAAAAAGTAACAAAAGGGTATGGAGTGCGATTACTCCTTTTTGCGAGAGGAATGTTCATCAACCCCGACTTCTGCTTCTTCTTCTTCCTCCTCCAACTCCTCCAACTCAGGCTCGGCCTCGGCCTCCTTCCCGAAATCCCAGAGCCGGTCAGTATCGACCGGCTTTGGGGCCGGAGGTTGAGCAGTTTCGCCGCCGCTCATTTGCCATTCCATAAGCTTGGAGAAAGCGCCGTCGTGGGAGCTGAGCTGCTCGTATGAGCCTTGCTCAGCGACCTTGCCATCGTTACCGAGGACGATAATCGTGTCAGAGCGCTTGATTGTGGAGAGGCGGTGGGCGATGCTGATGGTGGTGTTGTTGCCGCGGAGGAGAGCGGCTAGTGCGCTGTTTACGAGGGTTTCGGATTCGGCATCTAGGGCGGAAGTTGCTTCGTCCAGGATCAAAATATCGGGTTCCTTGATGAGGGCACGCGCAATGGCAATGCGCTGCTTTTGGCCGCCGGAGAGTTGAGCTCCGCGAGCTCCGACGTGAGTGTCGAGTCCGTTGGGGAAGTCACTGATGAATTGGCAGTTGGCCTTGCGGGCAGCTGCAATTATCTCTGATCTCGATGCGTTGGGCAGACCGTAGGAAATGTTGTCGGCAATTGTTCCGGAGAACAGGACGGGCTCTTGTGAGACAACTCCAATCTTTCTCCGCAGGGACTTGGCGTTCATTCCCTTGATGTCCTTGCCGTTGATCAGAACTCGGCCTTCGGTAGGGCCGTAGAACCGAAGTAAAATGGACGCAATGGTGGATTTACCACCTCCAGATGGTCCGACAATTGCCACGTTCGTTCCTTGAGGGATCTCAAAGTTCAAGTCCTGGAAGACCGTCACAGCAGGACGGGTGGGATAGCTGAATGTGACATTTTCGAATTTGATAGGGCCGCGGGCGGATTCAACCTTGAGACCCTTGGTCGGGTGAATTGTAGGTTGACGGTCTTGCAACTCGAAGAGTCGGCTTGCCGCACCCACGCCCTTCATCAGTTCTGAGTAGAAGCTGGACAAACCAAACATGCTAGATCCTGCATATGCTGTGTACATAAGGAATGAGGTCAGTTCTCCAATACTGATAGCACCAGATTGAACCATTCCACCGCCAACATAGAGCAGACACAGAATGGTCATATTTCCCATCAAGCCAGTCTAATATAAAGTCAGCTGAATTCACTGATTCCCCATCGCCTCAGCAAACTTACCGAACTGAAGAAGGTTGCACTAATCAAAGATTCTTTCTTTCCAAGGTTGAAGATTTTCCGAACTTGAGTGTTGTAACGGTTGACCTCAAGAACCTCACCAGCAAAAGACTGGCTAGTCTTCACATTTCCCAAGCGTTCTTCGGCAATCTTAGTCAAAGATCCTAAGTTCTTTTGGATCTTGCGACTGAGGTTCCTGATAGCGCGGCCATAGAAAAGAGCACCAAGACCAATTGGAGGTAGCAACAAAAGCAAGACACTGGACAGCTTCAAGCTGGTGTAAGCCATCAGACCGAAACCAGCAGCACCGCTAACAGCAGCTCGCAATCCATCGGACAAGTTCTGAGTGATACTCTTGCCAACAATAATAGTATCGGAGCTAAGTCGCGAGATCAGGTCACCAACTCGGTTTGCATCGAAGAACTCAGCATCCTGGACGAAAGTTTGGCGGAAAAGCTTGGAACGAAGTCTGGCAACAATTCGCTCACCGACGATTCGGAGGATAATGATGCGTCCATAGTTGGCACCAGCACCGACAAGCAAGATTCCACCGAGAGCAGTGTAGAACATGGGAAGACTCAGGCCGAACAGTTCGCCGCCTCCCTCCGCTACGCTCTTGGTTGCGGTGTCCATAATTTTACCAATGGAGAAGGGAATCGACATAGTGATAGACGAAGAGATCAAAAGGAAGAAGAAAGCAAAGCCGAGGGCCTTGGATTCGGGACGTGCAACTTTCAAGAGTCGCCAGATTTCTTGGAATCCGGACTTCTTGCCCGATGCGCCGTCCTTAGCCAATCTGGCGCTCATATTTACCTGTGCCGCCTGTGCCGCTCGCTCGGACAACTCGAATCCTTTCTCCTCTTCATCTTCCTTCGGTTCCGGAGTCGACCGGGATGCTTGGTTTTGGGCTTGCTCTTGAGGAGGCGTGGACGCGGGAGGTTTCACTTGAAGGAGGTTCGTGGTGGAAGAAAACAGGCGGGTCTGCGATACAATGCGAGACGCTAAAGGGATATATTTGACGTTTTTATGTTGAAGCAATGGCGGACTAGATCCGTCGCGGAGGGCTCCCGATGCGGTTGAGTAGAGTCGGTTCAACCCATTGCGATCGCCGGTAGCTATTGAAGGCGACGTCGTTTTGGGGAGTAGATCGCGAGTAAAGGAGCTGTATGGTCTCAAGGCCTGCCGTGGGCTAACGCCCAGGGCTAAGGACACTGGCAACCGGGTACCGCGCATCTCGGGGTTGGATCGGATGAAGCTCGAAACGAAATTAGGATGTCAGGGAAAGGAACCAAGACATGGCATATCTGATTGAGTATATTCAGGTCGAGAACATCACATGGCAGTCAATCACTTCTTGAAAGTGCCAGAGATGTTGAGATGTGACGAGATCTGGAGCTCCGACGCCCGCGGCCATCGGCAAGCGGTTTTCGGGGGCTGATTCTGCCCAGTATTACCGCCTATAGAAGCCGGTCGAGGGCTTTCGATGCTTCGTTTATTTTGGCGCCGGAAGTGTTGTATATTCAAGTTTAAACTTGAGTCGTTCACCTCAGTAACATCTTGTCCAGCTTCTTTGTTACTCTTCTAATCCATAACTGTCGCCCTATCACAACGTGACCCTCCCACCTTTGCTGATACGTACCCCACCTCATACTGTACAACTTCACTGTCAGCCCAAGATGGTTCTTGACTACAGCAAATGGGACGCTCTAGAGCTCTCGGACGACTCGGACGTTGAGGTCCACCCCAATGTCGATAAGAAGTCGTTCATCCGGGCCAAGCAGGCCCAGATTCACCAACAACGAGAGCAGCGTCGCCATGAGATCAAGACCCTCAAGTACGAGCGCATTATCAACGACGGACTTTTGTCGCGCATTGACAAGCTCTTGGAGTCTCTCAAGAAGCATGAAGACTCCTCTGCCTCCCCCGATGAGTTCATTTTCCAAACTATCATGGACTTCGCCAGCAACCCCGCCGAGGACCAAGCTCCCGCCCCACCGGAAGGAGTCTATACACACGAGAAGGAGCAGCCCAAGTACTCTGCGATGATGAGCTCTTTGGTAGACCAGGTGAAGAAGGAGTTTGAAGATTCCAAGCCCGACAACTTGTTCAAGGCATACATCAAGGGCGTGACAGGACACTTGGAAAAGGTCCAGAGTCTCCAAAAGGAATTGTTCGCAAAGCTCGCACAGCTTGAGAAAGAAGAAGGCGCAAAGATCACCAGTGATCAGTTGCATGAGGGCTTCAACCAATCACACGTCTCCAAGGCCGAGCAGGTGAAAGCTGCTTCTAAAAACAAGGAGAGCTCCGTCGAGCTGCTGAACCCGGGTGCGGGAAGCTCCGCATCGAAGGCTGACGATGAGGGCGAGGATGATGACCCCGCCAATGTCGAAATCAGCCCGCTTGCAAAGAAATTCGCTCACCTTAGGACTGGTGACTATAAAGCCTATTTACAATTCATCTCTGCCAATCCAGAGATTGTCGCCGAGAAGGAGACGGATGGTCTACTTGTCGAGGCATTCAATAGTCAGCTCAAGGGTGACGAGGACTATGCCCGTCAATGTGTCCACCAAGGTTTGCTTTTGCAATACTGCCGGTCTCTCGGTCGTGACGGTATCCAGCTATTCTTCACTCGGTATGCTCCTGAGTCATTCTTTCTCGCAAGTTTGGTACCCAGCTAATGGATATATATCAGAATTACCACCAAGGATCACCGCGCATCAACCCTATTCAGCAATGATGTGAACGATACTTACTTCCGTATCAAGTCTCGCGCTGCCGAACTCAGCAAGGAGAACTCCGCATCCAATGACCCCGCTGGCGTAGAGCAGATCCAACTTCACGCCGTTGACCCCAACACCAAGATCACTATCAATCTCCCTGCTGCTGATAGCCAGGATCCCACCGAGATCGAGGTACGCAAGATCTTCGATGCTTTCCCTAAGGACTTGCAGAAGGCATTGGAGACCGAATCTCTGGATGAGGTGAACAAGGTCCTCGGCAAGATGACCGTCGAAGAGGCGGAGGTTATCGTGGAGCAATTGGGCAACGGCGGTATGCTCAGCCTTGAGGAGGGTATTGTAGATGCTACAACGGAAGAGGGCCAGAAGAAGTTGAAGGAGTTGGAGGCTGAGGGCAAGGAAGAAGTTGGCGAGCCTGGTGGCGATGTTACTGAACTTGACTAAGGATATCCCAAAAGCAATTGCATGAACAAATTATGTTTCGATTGTTCAACCTAGTATATCTCTATCCTGTCCACAAATCCAGACATCGCTGCTCTATATATCCGATTGACAAGTTACTATAGTTCAGCCCAGGATAGTAGAAGCAAAAAAAAAACCCTTGGTATTAACGATGCTATCGATTTGAGACTAAATTACAGATCGATCTCCCTGGACGGCTCGCTGCGTGGAGTAAAAAAAGAAAGAAAAGAACAAGAGACGCAGCGGCCAGCTCAAGTTCATTGTCACCGCATCCTTCAACCCCAGACTCCCGCTCCCCGGACCTCAAGCATCAAAGTGACTCTAGATTCCACTAGCTCCGGGTGCTTCCTGGTCCTTCTTGAGCTCGATCAACAGCTCGCGGAAGCGCTCCTTTCCGGAGCCGCTGGCACCGCCTGCGGAGCCCTTGCCCGAAACATCAACCAGCTTAGCAATGCGCTCCCAGCTTGTGCCTCCGGCGGAGGTGTCCTCTCTGTTGGCGAGGAACTGCTCGGCTTCGGAGCGGGTCTGGGTGCGGCCCTTGTCGGCCTTGTTGTTGTAGGAAAGGTAGAAAGCGTCAATGTCCTCCTTGGCTTTCGCAATTCTCTCGGCCTTCTTCTCGGCAGCGATCTCCTCACGGCGGGCAATCTCGGCGTCACGCTTCTCGCGCCATTCACTGTTTATTAATATATCAAGTTAGCCTAGTGCATTTGGCCAAGGGACCGAATGCGGTACGGGAATGGTATGCGCCGAGCATCCAGGTCTCAGAGTAGACTTACCGAACGAAGGGACCTTCATCCTCATCATTTTGAGTGCCCTGGTAGCCAGTAGGGGGGAAAGGAGAGCCGGAGCCAGTAATGGTACCACCGGGGGCAACGCGCTGAGTAGATGTAACCCCTGGTCAGCAAACTGTAATATCATCATGAGATAGAAATCGACAATTTCATACCTCGTTCTGTGCCTGGGTCTCCATTGAAGGGAAAGACGACTCAAATTGACCGATCTCTTCCACGGGCTCACCGTCATCTCCGCCTAATAGGTCGTTCCCCGCGTTGAGGTCCTCATCACCAACGTGGTCCTGAGGGGTAGCGAATTGGTCGGCATCTTCGCCGAGAGCAGCACGCTCACGAGCAAGGAAGTCATCTCCGGAGGTGCGCTGGGTATCGGCCACTTCGGTCTGGCCTAAATGCGGGTCATGTTAGCTCCGACGCAGCGGCAGGACAGTAAGGCGGGATGCATACCCTCAGAGAAGTCCTCCAGGGAAGGGAAACGGTCAGCCATCTTTGTAGTATGAATGAAGTGACTGGGAGGAGTAGTGAAGCCTTTGTCAGTATCAGAGTCAGAAAGGTCGATCAACTGCGAGGTTGAGATGGCCACGGGTGTCAACACGGGCGGCGAGACCCCGTCCGATTCTGCCAACTGGGCGGTCTGCATGGAGGTCATTGTTGCAATTGAGCAATTGGAAGCTTAAGAAATCGCGTACTTTACAGAAGAAGAAGAATCTCAGCTGGGAATTCAGTTTTGTTGACTTTTTTGTTTTCTAAATGGCAGGTGCGAAGTGAGCTCTCCATTGTCGTCGTTGCCTATTTCGTCGACTTCTCAGTTCGGTCTCCAAACGGTCTTGCGACTTCCACTCCAACAATCCCATAACTACCTTTACAAAGCTCACTTTCGATTCTCTACGTCCGACATATTGTTTGCATCATGGCCTACACCGATGATGCCGTGAAGGCAAAGCTCTCAGCTCTCAATGACTCCCAGGAGAGTATCGTTACTGTTGCGCAATGGGTCATGTTCCACAGGTACACAACACTGCTTCTGACATCAATCCAAGGGCCCTCCCTGCTAACACATAATGCCCCAGGCGACACGCCGAACGAACTGGCCAGATCTGGCTTCAGAGAATCCGCGAATCCCCTCCTCCCAAACGTCTCAACTTGATCTACCTGGCGAACGGTAGGTGCCGTCCCGCGCTCAAGCTCCGCTCTGTCCACTAACAAATTTACAGAGGTGGCTCAACAATCCAGGGCGCGCGGAAAGGATGATTTCCTCATTGCCTTTTCTCCGGTCAGTCCTGAAACATGCGCTGCTTGACACACGCTGACGGAAGAACAGATCGTGGTGGAAGCTACAGCTGCAGCTTACAAGGGTAACTCGAACGACTTCCAACAGAGAATCCGCCGAGTTGTGGAGGTTTGGAGGGCACGCAATGTTTTTGAGAGTCCGATTCTGGATGCGGTGGAAGCTACTGTGGATGGTAAACTGAACCACTTGAGAATCGCTCGGACGTTGAACTGATCATTCTTTAGAAATCGACAAGGCTCGTTCTACCACCAAGAAGCAACCCCTTGGGGGCTCCTTCTTCAAAGACAATTCATCTGGATCTACTCCATCTGAGATTCAGCCTTTGGTCCCATTGCAGGTTGCTGTCTCCAAGGCCGCTCTTAGCTCGAACTCGTCTACCACAACTGCCACGACCGAGTTCGACAAACTACATGACCCCAAGAACCCGCAGCCCACCCCGCCTGTCCAAGCTGCACGTCTCAGTCAGCTCTTGAAGTCACTTGCCAATGCCGAAAGCTCAGTCTCTGAGGTTATCAAGTCGCGCCGCGTATTGATCGATGGACTAGAGAAGATGCTCCAGACTAACCGCGCGGAGCTTGCCAAGGAGGAGACTCTCAGCACAGATATCTCTACAAAGAAGACTCAAGTCGACATCAAGAAGCGCGAAGTCGAGGATGCCATTATGCGCGGCATCTCCAACGAAGACAATTCCGCCGCGCCTAGCGAGGGTGGTCATGACGAGTCCATCGCCCGTCCCGAGGTCGAGGCTCTGACTCCTCCCCCAGTTGAAGCCATCACCCCCATTGGGTCCCCGCAGCCTGAGAAGCAGCAACCAGAGAAGCAGCAAATCCGCCGTGGACCATTCACTGATGACGCGGACGAAGAGGAGACCCCAGACTGGGCCAACCTCGAAATTCCTCCCGATGCAGTCCCAGCAGGCAATGGAGCTTCAGCCACTCTTCCCCTAGGCCATGGAAATGACTTTGATCTTTCTGCTGATGGACAGGCAAAGCGACGCAAGATCTCCCACGGCGAGGAAGACTACTCGGAGTTCGCAGGCGGTGATCTGGATGCTGACGTTGCTGCATTGCTTGCCAGCCAGGGCAAGTAGGACCATATTTTCTGTGTCTGGGTAATTCTAACCAGCTTCTTTTGATTGATGTGATTTATCCTTTTCTGTATTTGCTCTTTTCTCTGCTTTTCCGGCTTTGTTCACGGGTGTATCTCAAATACCAATCATTTCCGATGGCTGAATCACGGTAGAACATTTTGTCAACATTTTTCAAATACCAGTCTTCTGTTTAAGCACATGTTAATCTCACCAAGATATCTGCACATGCAATTGTCCCTGTACAGACTACCGGGTCAATCTACAAGCAGCATAGTTTCCCGCAATCTCTGGCTGAGTACTTGTCTAGAAAGTTGAATGGGCCGCAATAGATCTGACATTATGCGGTATAGATTTACAGGTACAGGCACTTATATGCAAAGTAATATGCTCTTCTGGTTACATTGACTTTTAACCAATACTATTTGCAAGATCATCGAAATATATCAGGATCCATCCACCGATCTCGCGCAAAACGAGTCGATAAATGGTGCCCCCGGTCCCTGTTCACAGAAGCCACAGAGCGACGGATATTGTTTGAGGATTCATCTTCAGGCGGCGGTGGCGGTGCAGAGCTGCCTCCCTTTGGTTTGATTACTAGGACAATAATCAATCCTACTACAAGTAGCAGGAGTAAGATCATGACCTTGCGTTTGGTAGTTCGTCGTTGGTAGCCGGTAGCCTGAAGTCAAGTCAGTTAGCTTCCAGTCATAGTGGAGAGTATCAAGAATGATCCAGCACATACCACTTTCAGTTCCTTATCCGCGGCTTTGACCTCAGTGCCCATTCGCTCAACGTTGTAATCTATACGGTCGAGCATGGTTCCCTGGTCGATGATCATGCCCTGCAGCTCGCGGAAGATATCCGACAGCTCAATAATACCTTTTGCGATATCATTGATCTCCCGTTCTCGTTGTGCAATAGCAGCATCATTCGTCCCCGTACTCCGTTGGGAAGTATGCTGCAACATTGTCTGCGAAAAGGACCGATCCGCATCCGACTCCATCATCGACGGGTCCGTGTAGGGGTTCTGGGCCTGCGCCGCACCATCAAATGGCGTCGCGATACCCTCGAGATCTCGTAATTCTGCCCATCAAACCCCGGTCAGCACCACACCACCTCATACGAACGGGAAGGGATACCGTACTCCTCAAATAAGTACTCTGCTTCTTTCTAAAGCGCGCACTAGCCTCCTGCACTCTAGCAGCCAAAGAGATCTGGATATTCTTCGCCATAGTCTCCTCACCGGAAGTAACACTACCCTGCGCCCTAGAATCAAGCACCATAGCCTCAATGCGCTTAATAGAACGCTGGCAATCATGAAACGCGCGCGTGATGTCCTGCGTAAGGCGCTCGATCACGCCCTCATCCTGTTTGCGCAGATCTTCATCTCCAAAGCCCGGCAGGAGGTGTTTCTGGTGTAGCTTGTCCAGCTGGGAGGATTTCCCGGCGATGTCTGCTAACAGCTCGGAGACCTCCTCCTGCACATCTACCCAGCGCGGGGGCAGGAGGTCCATTTCGATAACCATGTCGCCATCTTCGTCTGTGTCGCTGATTAGGCGTCTGTTTTCTTCTGGATGGGAGGGTGTGTCGGCGAAGCCATTTGAAGAGGTGCCGAAGGCGGGTTTCTTGGCTGGGTGGTGGATTAGGGATTGGCGGTAGGAGAGGTAGCTAGTTATTAGGATTAGATGTTAGTGTTAGATTAGGTGGTTTGGTAGTTTGAGCTCGTTGCTTTGGGGTTGTCCTTTTGCGATGACGGGTTGCGTCTTGGTCCGGATGGGGTATGGGATTGGGTAATTGGGGATGGGGGGAGGCGTACAGGTTGGTGCGATCCCGCCACATTGTGTGTGTGTGCTTCAGGGATCTGGTTGGGTATGTTTATCGGGTTGTTATAGGAATCATCATCTGGATTGTAGGGCAGCGGGTGTGTGTCTGGGTGATAAGGAGCTCCGGCGTCTCTCTAGATGCAGGTCGGAGGTTGAAAGGGCGGTATTGGTTATGTAATATTTGATACTGTCCACGTTGGGAACTGTATTTATGGTACTTCTCTGTAATCTGGTACGGGCGCTCAGGTACATAACGCCAGACTTGTTAACTTTGAGTGAAATGTACTGTGATGTCAATTATACATCCGTTGTTACTTGTTATGTACAGTAGTCGTGTGATAGGTACACAGTGCTGGTTGGTGATACACCCCAGGTTTTCGTATCCCTATACACTGTGTGTGCAATGTGGCAAATGAATAACACTGTTCAGTGTATATGGCTCTACAGCATATAGATAATATCATAGTCTCTGTTTTAAATGTGAATATATCCACCTGATATGCCCCGCAGCCAGAGATAACTGGGAACTGATAGCGTCTGCCAATAAAGCAAGCTGTGTTATGTGGAAGAGGTGGCTTAGGGCGATATCTAGCTAGAGAGTTAGCTTAAGACCAAGCTTTGAACCCGCTTCCAAGAACAGAAATAACCAGGCAGATACACTAAGATAATAATAGACTAGGCATATAGACTAGACATCTAGTCTAGACATATAGTCCAAGAAATGTCAGCTCAGCCCTGGGGTTCCCACCGCCCTGGGGTGAAACAACGCTGACTGGGCACCTCAGGCACGCTATTTTGGTCTGGTAAGGCTGTCCCCCTTAAACTCTTCTTCATTTCCCCGTTTGACCCCTCCTTTCGACATTTCCCACTCTCTGCATTTTTGCCATCTATCTTCACCATGGTATGTCTAACTTCCCTCGTCCATAAAGTTGCTCTGCTGCAAAAAATAAACACCCCACCATGCGGGGCATCCTGCTGGAACCTCGCTGACGCCGCATCGCATCCTCTAGGCCGATTCTCTGACCGAAGAGCAAGTTTCTGAGTACAAGGAGGCCTTCTCCCTGTTTGTAAGTGATCAAATCCTCGGATTGAAGTTGTGGTAGCTGGACAACATACTGACGGCTTTGTTGCGAAACAGGACAAGGATGGCGATGGTAAGTGTGACCTTGCCCGACAGCCCAGTTGAACTGGCAGCAGTTTGCTTGATCCCAAATTGAAAAAGAACGAGATGCTAAGACCGATCCTACCTCCAGGACAAATCACCACCAAGGAGCTTGGCACCGTCATGCGCTCGCTAGGCCAGAACCCCTCCGAGTCTGAGCTGCAGGACATGATCAACGAGGTTGACGCCGACAACAACGGCACCATTGACTTCCCCGGTACTTTCCCGTGTTCCCTAGATCCACCAGCGAGACGGATATTGACCGGCCGATAGAGTTCTTGACCATGATGGCCCGCAAGATGAAGGACACAGATTCCGAGGAGGAGATTCGCGAGGCATTCAAGGTGTTCGACCGCGACAACAACGGCTTCATCTCCGCTGCTGAGCTGCGCCACGTCATGACCTCCATTGGTGAGAAGCTTACCGACGACGAGGTGGACGAGATGATCCGCGAGGCTGACCAGGATGGCGATGGCCGGATCGATTGTATGTTCATGTTACCCAGTTGGAGACAACCCTTGGTTGCCAACTAGATGCTAACCTTCACTCTCTATAGACAACGAGTTCGTCCAGCTCATGATGCAAAAATAAATAACGCATTTCCCTCGTGTCCTTTCAGTGTTAGTTGAAGTCGGGGTTTCAAACGATGTTTCTCTTTGATTATATCTTCCCATCTCATTTCCAATACCGGTTTCTTGTAGTCTATTCTCGTTAGACTATGTTTCTTGGACGATTCATGATCAAGCGTGTGCTTTTGCAGACGGAAGTTAGGGCGGTGCTTTGAGCTTAGTGTTCAGATAAGAATGATCGCTCTCTCTCTCTCTCTCGACTTGTGCAGTCCTTCCAGAATAAGCAGCATCCAAGGTAACGTATAATATATGTAGCAAGTATATCTCACCAATCTACCGATTAAACCGCAAAACCTCCATAAACTGTCTAGCAACATCCGTCCCTGCAGAAGGATCCAAATCCTCCTCAAACCGCTCAGAACCAACAACATCCCCAACCCGCCTCTCACCATCTTTCTGCAAAGACTCACCCCCCTTAACCCGCCTCAACCTCTCCAAAACCTCCTTCCCAATCCCAGGAACAAGAACAGCCTCCTTAGCCTCAAGCCCAAGTCTCCCCCAAAACTCCCGAATAAGCTGCGCAGTAGCCAAATACTCCGCCTCAACATCAGACTCTTCAATATCCGAAAAGGAAAACTCAACACCTGAATCGTCCCCACCAGAGCTAGGACTAGCCCCAATGCCGCCGCTGTGATTCTCTTGCTGACCCTGATCAAACCCAGGCAAAGCCTCAACAACAGACGGGCCCCGCCACTCAATCTCAACAACGGTGCCACGCACCCGCGCTGTCGGAACCGTCTGCCGCACGTCGCCGAGTCGCACGCGGAAATCGCCGATATCGTAGACTATCCCGTTCGGGACTGTGACTGTTAGGCGGTGGCACCAGAAGGGTTGGCAGGCGTAGGTGAAGTGTTGGAAGAGAGATGTGTAGGAGGCTGGGGGGATAGTTGTCATGATCATTTTGGGGTGGTCGGGTGTTGTTGTGATTCCATGTTGAATTCCATTTGCATTTTGATGTTGGTTTTGGTTCTGGGTTGGAGTGGTTGCTGCTGGACTCTGTGCTGGAGCGGGCGTGGGGTTTCCATTTGAATTGAGATTGGCCGCTACAGTTTGTTGCAGATCTGCTGGTTCAGAGGTATAGATGAAGCCGTGGGTTGGGTAATGAGTTAGTGAGAGGAATTGCATGTACCGCGGGTTCGAGGCCTTCTTGTTTGAGTTTGCTGATGCTGGGACTAGGCCAGGGGTGTCGCGGAATAGTTTTTGTTCTAGGCCCCAGCGGCCGATTGGGGTTAGTTCTTCGTCTGTGAAGGCTGCGCGGAGACGCTCTGTTACTGCTGGTAGGGCCGTTGTGGCATTTGGCATAGACGGGATGAAGTAGACGCTTGAGCATGTTATTTTAGAGTCCTTAATTTTTTTGGGGGGGGGGGGGGGGTAGTCTTTACCCGGTGATAGGCATTTTGGATGTCTTCCTGTTGGCAAATATATGGTGATGAGGGGAGAAAGGATCCGGCGGTGTCGGTGAGAGACAGCGTGATATCAAGGACGAAGGTGCCCAGGGCTAGTTAAAGAAAAAATGGCTGGGCTTCTGCGTTTTGCCAGAGGAGCTTCAGTGTGGAGGTTGGATTGTGATGGTCAATATAGCCCAGTCAATATGACTATTGATCGCTCCGATGAAGTCCAGATCAAGAGACGAATGTGGGTTGAGAAGCTTTGGAGTCTATATTCTGGTCAATATGAAAATAGGTAACGGGGCATGGGGTACTCACGTGTGCTTCAATTGACTATAGACTTGGTTTATACATAGAGAGCTCCAAAGTGGTCCGACATCTCCAACTCGGAGGAAAGAGAGTTGACGTGCAAACAATGCAAACATAACCACTCAGCCCAAAGCTCCAAGCTCCTTCAACTACACTTCGATCTTGATTAACTTATATGTTTGGTTTCATAGTTTGGCAAAATTTTCTAAGAGTTTGTCATCTACTCTCTATCTAGCTCCAGATTTACCAGGGTCGATCTGCCTTAACCACACAAAGGCCGAGCACAAGTCCCTCAATTCTATGATAATGCGATTGAAATATTGAAGAATTATTCTGTCGGTGTCAGTATTTTGCAAGCATGGGATAGATTCCAACGTCATTTATCTATGTTTCAGCCAACAGGATTGTTTCTAATCTCAGCCTCAAAATCGGAATGATCAACAAAAAAGTCCCTACCCCGATGGAATCAGGGGCCGCAGTGGAGTAGTGGCGTCGCAGACTTGAAGACTTAGCACAGTCCAGCACCGATTTATAGTGCTGTCAAGTCTAGACCTGAGATGAGAAGTTGGTACCTAATAATAACTAACTTAGCCCTTGGATACAAAGTACACCCCTGCCTTTGCATCAAAGAGGGTTACATTCTGTGAATGCGCCAATCATGACTGTTTGTATATGCAACACCATGCCTACTCCCAAACCTCGTCGATCAATGGAGCCCTTACACAGCCGTGTCTATCTTTCTGAACTGTAGACCTCTCACAATCCATGACGTGCGTCCACATGGCGTCACCCTTAAAGGGTCCCTGTCCCCTCTGTTTACCTTTGATTTTCTACTCTGAACTTCTGTACAGGGGGTACTTCTCATGGAATGTGTTACATCCGAGCTTGATTAACGCGCTGACACTCTTTTGCACCTTTCATTCTTTCACTTTCATTCCTTTTACTTTCATTCCATACATCATTTCCATTCACTATGTATTTCAAGCGCAAAACGCGACCTATTTCAACAGCGTTGTTTCTGATTACCGCGACATATGTCCTATTCTTCTGGCTACCCTCGACATCATACTACAAGCGCCTACCAAAACCAATCTCTAGAAAAGACACGACCGTCCGAAAAGATGCAATCCGCTTAAACAAAGTTGCAGAACATTATCCCGTGTCAGAATTCATTCCGCTGCCAACAAACCCAGCTTCCATTCCACACATCCAGTATGACTTCCCACCAGAATCCAACAGCGAGCGCAAATCAAGACTCAAGAGGCAAAGAGCTGTCAAGGAGGCCTTTATGCATTCCTGGAATGGATATAAGGAAAATGCGTGGCTGCGCGACGAGGTGAAACCCAGAACCGGAGGATATCAGGATACCTTCAATGGGTGGGGCGCCACACTGGTCGATTCCCTCGATGCGCTCATCATTATGGGCTTGGACGATGAGCTTGAGCTGGCCCTCGAAGCTCTAGAGGAAATTGACTTTACTACGACTGCTAGCAAACAAGTTCCGGTCTTCGAAATCATTATTCGTTACATGGGTGGTTTCATTGCCGCCCATGACTTGACGAATGGCAAGCATCCCGTGCTCTTGAGAAAGGCGGTAGAGCTTGGTGAGATGATTTTCAATGCGTTTGATACGCATAATCGCATGCCCCAGATGCGCTGGGATTGGATGAAGTAAGATTTTCCCGTGGAGTCTAGACGGCTGTGATACTTGGTACTGGCACTGCATTTTCAGAAACTATATATTAACAATACTCAGATCTGCCAAAGGCGAGGAAATCACGCCCTCTCCTCGCAGCAGTCTAGCAGAAATTGGTTCCTTGACCATGGAATTTACCCGCCTGACACAGTTAACGGGAGACCCTAAATACTACGACGCCGTCCAGCGCATTATGAACGAGCTTGAGATTGGTCAAGATAAGACGCGGATTCCCGGGATGTGGCCAACCTGGATCAATACCGACAAAATGGGATTCGACGACTCCGAATTCTCTATCGGCGGATGTGCCGATTCGGCCTACGAGTACTTCCCCAAGGAACACATCTTGTTGGGAGCACAGACGGATCAATATCGTCGCATGTACGAAAAAGCCATTGACACATTCAACGAGAACCTGCTTTTCCGGGCAATGACCAAAGACGAGGATCGGCATATCCTCTTCGCAGCAAATGTCATTGCCATGAGAGGCAACACAAAGTCGTTCCAGTACATGCCGGATCATCTCAAGTGTTTCATGGGCGGGACTGTGGCGATCGGAGCGAAGGTGTTCAATCGGCCTGAGGACATGTATGTCGCCAAGGGTTTGACCGACGGTTGTGTCTGGGCATATGATGTTATGCCGACAGGCATTATGCCAGAGGTGTTTAAGGTCAGTCGTTGTAAACAGCACGATGACTGTCCTTGGGATGAGGAGCAGTGGTATTCGGATGTGCTTTCGCGGCCAATCGACAACGAGGAGATCAGAGAGAGGGCTGCGGATCAAATCGAGGCTCATAAATTCCCGCCTGGTGTAACTGATATTCGTGATCCAACGTATAACCTTCGGTATGTTCTTTGCGATTTTATATCTCTGCCCATAGCGTTGTACTGACATTTCTATCCAGGCCCGAGGCACTTGAGTCCGTTTTCATCATGTATCGGATTACTGGCGACAGGAACCTTTTGGATACTGCATGGCGCATGTTTCAGAACATTGATAAGGCGACCCGGTCCAACTTCGGTCACTCTTCTATCAATGACGTGCGGGAGAAGAGACCGAAGCAAATTGATAAGATGGAGAGCTTCTGGCTAGCTGAGACTTTGAAGTATCTCTATCTCATCTTCTCTGAGCCAGATCATATCAGTCTAGATGAATATGTTCTGTATGTTTTTACCTACTCAAGTCTCTTTGTATGGACACAAGCTAACCCATTCCAACAGGAGTACCGAAGCACATCCATTCAAGCGGGCCAAAGCATATCATTCTTGATTTTTCGACCGTTGAGCAGGACCGGCGTTATGGGCATTCAGGATTTGTATTTCATTCAAGGCCAAGATATGATATGACATCCATCTACTACAGAATAACGCCAAAAGAATAGACCAAACAATGCACTTACTCTACTGTACGCATCAGATAGATTCTAAGGGTTCTTGGCATTCAGTTGTGCTAGACCTATCAACATTTGGTCTCAAGATGGTGAGTATTGGTTGCTGTGCTCCAATCATGGCCTATACTAATCCTATTTAAGTCCATTGAAGTGAAAATAATATCCCTTTTGACAGGGATCAAACGACGCAACTGAAGGGCCGGAAGTTGCAATACATCTTGAGTCACAGTGGTGCGCAGAGGGAAAAGAAAGAGCGCTCCCATGGTATTGAGTTCTAGTGCACAATGACTTGTTCTAGTCGACGTTAAATTTAGCACGCCGCCAGCTGGCCCTCGGTATTTTTCCTCGTCTCTGCCTCATTGCCTTTCGAGCTTTTCTCCGCAAGGGGAAGATTGAGGTCTCTGTAGAAGCCGATTACAAGGTGACCACAAGATTTCATGGATCAAAATCAACACATGGCACGACGTTTCTTGATTATTCACTACTTCAAAAAAAGCTAATATTGTATCTCTGCTACCACGAAGATGGTTAGCTTGTCACCACTTTTTATATGTTAAATCTAAATAATACAACCTAAGATGCAAGGAGAGACCATACTATACACAAGCAGAAAGATCAACACAACTCTTTCTCGGATCCTCCTGTGCAAACTGCCTCGCTTCAACATCTTCATCATCCTCATATTGAATCGAATACCGGATCTCTTTATGGATCACCATCTTATCTGGATCTTCACCCTCTCCATCGCCACGGTCATCCCCACATTCATATCGAGCATGTGGTCTCGGCACAAGCTCAATCAAATCTGAGTCTATAGGGAAGACATTTCTCTCTCCATTCCTCGAATTGTGCTTCTTTCCCTTCTCTGGTTTGAGAGGTGTGCCAAGAGAGAACATAGATCTGCGCACTGGAACACGTGGAATCTCGGCCGCAGAGTCTGGCGTCGGCCTCGGCAACCCGCCACTCGCGAGTGGTCGTTTCTTTCTCGACGATCCATGTGTATTCGCATTACCTTCCCGACAAAGCACATCCCTCGACGAAGAGGGAACATCCGAGCCCAACCCATCCAAATTAGCATCAAGATGCGGCATAAACCGCGCCGTCCCAGCCCTTTTTCGCTGAACCCGCGATTGCGATCTGGACCTGGTAGCAGATGCTGAGTTTGAACCGGATCCCGATCCAGATCCAGACCCAATGCCAGATCCAGATCTATCCTTCGAACTCCCCTTCGCACTACTCTCCAGTGTCGAATCACCCGCCGTACCGTAATTTGTACTAACAGCGGCCATGAACGGTCGAAGACAGAAAACGCTGCATGCGACTAGGGCATAGTGTAATTCGACTTGTATCCAGAGAGCGGGGCTGACAGAGGCGAGGGTTGTGTCTTTGTTTTGGAGGGCGTTGTTTAGGGAGAAGATGTGGATTAGGGAGAATATTATTAGGCTGTTTGGGACAGAGAGAGTAGATTAGTATCAGTATTTGTTTGAGCGGTTGCATGTAGATAAGATGCTTATTGAAAGTATTGATATTGATACTCACGGGAAACGAAATATAAAAGCAAAGCCTATGGCTAGTTTGCGTCGAACGGACATGAATAGACCTTTGAGGAGGACTATTGCTAGTATGAAGAGGATGAGTTCGGTTATCACGTCGACTGCCGCAATGAATTGCCATCTTTGGAACTGTTCCGCCATAGAATTAGATGATTAGATGCCAAAAGGAGAGGTGGTTTGGAAGTAGGTACCAGGTTATTGCACTGACCACCGTCCCCCCGCCAGGGTGTGTTAAGTTCACAGTTCACCAGCACTATGAATATAGCGGGTATGATCCAAGCAGTGCATAGAGCTAATGTCGCCCACGATGCCCGATTATGAGGCTTTTGCGGTGTAAGGCGGAGATAGATAGCCACGACACAGCATTTGGAGAGGTAGATGATAATCAGTGCGAGGATATCGCTTGTTGCAATTAACTAGATGCTCAGTTTTGATCTGTATGTCTGGAATGGAAGAGTACTTACTGCCTGGATCTGATTGAGTCGACCGTCAATTAATAGAGTAAGTGATGTGCCGAATCCGCGCGAGCAAGCGTAGAATACTAGGGTTGATTGTAGAACTGCGAGAGCCTGATCAAAGCCAATGTATTATGTTAGAATTGCTTCCATAGCGCAACGCATTGTGGCATGGTATATTCCATGTCGCGCAATCCTTACAGTAGCACCCAGTAATACCCAATCATCCCGCGCAAACGGCGGGATAAGCATAAGCCTCACATAAAGTCGAATGAGGAAACAGACGAGTGAAATCACCAGTCCAAGTGCAGCTGTGATAATCACCCATGCCCCGTGATGCAATTCATCGACGACCTCGAAGGGCGGCGACTGGCCTGGAGGCACATATGGGCCGCCCATGGCAGGGGGCTTGGGTGTAGATCAGGAAAATCAAAGTAGAGCAACAGGATTGACGGCCAGGACGAGGGGACCTAGAAATGATACCTCCTTGTACCAAACATGTGGGAGGGTGAAATATAAACAGGTAAACCGTCAGACGTCAGATCGGAACCCCATGTGGGCTTGACAGTAGAACGAGAAGAGAAAGAAAGAAGGGATCGACTTTGAGGTTGGAATCGAGATTGAATTGGGGACTCGGGATTCCGGGTGTATACTTTGCATTTACATGTACAGTAGTGGAGGCATGCGGCAATTAAGAGTAAGAGTATGCAGCCCGCGATAAGCATTGCAAGGCAATTGAGTGCTAGTTCTTACTTTATTTAATGCTGATATGGCGCTACAATACAGTATCTATTTAGGATCCTATGACGATGCATGCAGCCTATCGAGGCGCGGATCTATTCGGGTTGGCATTTTACGTACGGGGACTGCGCCAGGCTTCAATATACCTCTGGAATAGATGAAAAGGCAAGACGGGTGGTGCAAACCATGTCGACTGGGATCAGCAGTATGTGGCAGGTGATCTGGATCTGGATCTAATTATCCCTTTGCTCATTTTTTTTATTGGGGCATTCACTGTAACATGAAGACACCAGTGCTGAGACTTCAAAGCAATCTGAGATCACACTCTGGATGGAATGGTTATTGCCTCGCGCCCTCACGTCGAGACCATGGCGTTTATCGATGATCGACGGTTAGTGGTTCATGTAGGGCACTGCGGGCCGTAGGGTTGTAGATCAACATGCACGCCCCTTGGGGGGTATGGAGCGTGGATGGGTATGGCCTGCATCCGATAGGTTGTGTGGTTTTGGTTTCAACAGAGAAAGCGAGGGGCTGCATATCCACACAGTATTGGGCTAGGCTTGTGGCGGAATATCCGGGGGATAACTATCAAGGGAGGGATTTGCGCCCTAGATTAGAGCTTAGCGCGATACATTGAAATGCAGTGGTGTGTGCTGGCTGGATACATACTGACTGATCAAATGCTTTGGTTTGAAACACTCATCTCCCGTCTAGGTTGCAATCTTCAAAATGAGAAGCGGCTATAGAACATGGCAAACAAAAGAAAAGAGAAGGCTCTCATATATAGTAGCCTCAATGCCAATAAATCAAGCCTGAATCAAAATGCACGTCCCTCGGCATGCAAGGTCCCAATAGTCCCATTCCAGGTAGAACCAAGGGATAAGCATCAAACGCCCCTAAAACAAATCTAGCAGAGCCACCCAGCTGGACTAATTGAACCTCGATAAACCAAAGGATGTGTCATTTGGCACCGGTGTCTAGTGTCTAGTTGTTCCCACATGGCTCCTCTCGCGCGCGAGAATTCCTCCTAGGCCATGCCTTGCTCCCACGCCAATACCACGCTTCCTCTCTAAGCCTGTTATGCAGCAGTGGTTATGAATCTGGTGCTTTGGGCTCTCTCCTGATACCTGCTTCTTTCGGAACGTCCGTGTTTTCGATCTGTGATGGTATTTTGTTCGGGCGCTTTTTGTACTTCTGGTCCTTGACCCTTCCAGGCACTGAGTTGAGGACTGCGGAGGTATTAGTTGGATTTTATTGTTCTTTTATTCTGGAAATATCCCTTTCTTGCGAGGGGAGACCTTCCTACTGTATCTTCTCCTATCTTGTTCTCTCGACGAGTTTGTTTGATCGGAGCCGTGCTCTGGTCAAAATGACAATGTTCAACAGATCCAAGCCTGACTCCCAGCACACAGTGACTGGCCACGATGATGACAATGACGAAGAACATGCACAGAAAGGCCTGGTCGCGCCACGGTATATGGGCACCAAGGCTGATCAGCGCGATATGAATGCCTTAGGTCGAGTACAGGTTTTGCGAGTAAGACCATTCTTTCCCAAGTAACTAATTCAGCATCACTGACATCGATTGATCAAGAGGAACTTTCGATTTATTTCAATTGTTGGTTTCGGATGTACCTTGATCTGCACATGGGAGGTGATCTTGACGTACGTTCATGTCCATCCCTGCCATGTGGTCATGCAGATACTGACCCTGACTCCATTTATAGATTGTTATCGGCTGGCTTGACCGATGGCGGCACAGCAGGTTTGATATGGGGTTTTGTTGGTGTCTCATTTGGGTTTTCACTGGTGTATGCCAGCATAGCTGAGATGGCTTCGATGTAAGTTGTCGATTTCTCTTGTCTGATGCATCGCATCATCATCATCGCTAATGTGTCTACCTTCTTTAGGGCCCCCACTGCTGGTGGACAATACCACTGGGTCTCTGAGTTTGCACCGAGAAGGGGACAAAAGTTCCTTAGTTATATTACTGGTACTACAGCTCAAGCCATCTGTCGAGACTTTCGACTAACGATATATCCCAGGCTGGTTATCCGCAATGGGATGGCAATGTGCCATCGTATCCATCGCCTACCTCGCCGGCACCATCGTCCAGGGTCTAATCGTCTTGAATCAACCAGACTATGACTTCCAAAGATGGCACGGGACAATGCTCGTGATAGCCATATCGACATTCTCAATTCTGTTCAACACATTCCTAGCCAAAAATCTACCATTCGTAGAGGGACTCATCTTGATTATCCATGTTGTCGGCCTGTTCGCTATCATCATCCCGCTATGGGTTCTCGCACCACGGAACAATGCTCGCGCAGTGTTCACCACATTTAACAACGGCGGTGGTTGGGATAATTCGGCCACAGCTACGCTGGTGGGACTGTCAACCACTATCACGTCGATGCTTGGTTATGACTGCGCGGTTCATATGTGTAAGGCTTGCCAGTTGATTGGTTCACATGGTATATCTTACTAACGCCTGACCCTTTTAGCGGAAGAAATTAAAGATGCATCAGAGACTTTGCCTAAAGCTATGATGTCCTCTGTTGCTATCAATGGCGTGCTAGGTTTTGTGATGCTGGTCACGCTATGCTTCACCCTAGGCGAAATCGATAAAGTCCTCGACAGCCCGACGGGGTTCCCATTCATTCAGATCTTCTACAACACAACCGGCAGTTTAGCCGCTACGAACGCAATGACGGTGGTCTTGGTGGTGACACTAACAGCCAGTACGATTACCGAAGTAGCGACCGCATCACGACAATTATGGTCGTTTGCTCGTGACGAGGGTCTACCATTTTCTTCATTTTTCGCATATGTAAGTCAGCCCAGTACAACGGTGCAACAGTGCAACAAACAAGAACACGTCGGAAGCAAAAAGAGCAGATTGATAACCGGTCCAACAATCAGGTCACACCTGGCTGGAACATCCCCCTCAACTCAGTGATGGTATCACTAATAGTAACGGTCCTCCTCTCGATGATCAACATCGGATCCCAAGTCGCCCTCAACGCCGTCATATCACTCACCATAACGTCACTGCTGTCAGCGTATATCGTCTCTATTGGCTGTGTGCTCCTCAAGCGTCTTCGCGGAGAATCACTCCCGCAGCACCGGTGGACACTGGGGAAATTCGGTCTGGCGGTCAATTTGGGGGCTCTGGCTTTTTTGTGCCCCATGTTTGTTTTCGCTTTCTTTCCTTTGTCCACTGATGTTACGGCTGATACTATGAACTGGAGTGTGGTGATGTATGTTGGTGTCATTGGATCCGCGTCTGTTTACTATTGCGTTAAGGGGCGACATCATTTTATTCCGCCTGTGGCTTTGGTTAAGAGAGCTGAAGATCTTTAGGCGGTCTCGGCTGCAGCCTTGGAAAATGGAGCCTGAGCTTGGGGTTGGTCTGGGCTTTCTCCTTGTTTTTTTTTTTTCTTCTGTGAAGTACATGTTTTCTGGTTTATGCTCCTGCTCAGGACTATGGAAATGGGCTGGCAGATGTATATAGATCTCAAGTTCAGATTGTCATTATTGTTATGATTGCAAGTGTGCTACTCTTCAGTGGTGTTTTCATGATGTATCCTGTAGTGACCAGCTCCGACAATATGACGTGACAAGTACATGTACATCAGCCCCTATGCTGATAGTTACTTGATTAAGACACGCCGCGGAACTTTTTTGCCCAACAGTCAAAGTCTCCGACAAAGTTATCAGATGGAACCGTTGAGACCGGAAACCAAACAAACAACCTTGCATCCTTAGCCTGCGACAAGAGTGGATCAACTCAAGCCTCAATACACACACATACACGAACACGTACGCACGCGTATAGTGACACGCCGAATGTTACCTGTAGAAAGCCACGGAGCAAGGCTCAAAGATGTTTCCAGTTATGTGTTAATGTCCACGTAAATACGGATAACATCGTAGAGTATGTAGTAAGCAGTCAGCCGTTCCACGGCTCAGCCCCAAGACTCAGACTCAGCTCCCTATTCCAGCAGTACGGGAGACAGACTGAGGCTAGACTGGACTAAGAGACAGGCTAGCCATCTGGGAACCCGCCCCAGGGGCAGGTTTCGAAATTCGGGCCATCCCTTTTCTAGAACAGGGCGGAACATCCAATAGGCCCCACTGATTGATATCGAACGGCTTGCGTTACCCACTCTGGACCCGGTGGTTGGGAAATGATCTGGCGTGGAGGGATCGGGCAAAAGTACGGAGTACTTGTACCTGTACCCCTATACCTAGTACCGGGCGTATCGGTAGGGAGAGGGCTAGTGGGTTGTTTTGGAGCTAGTAGCCAACGAGGCTGGTTGGTGATACCCGGCGGTTCGGAAAGTGGGGGGTCTATAGAGTGATTCGTCTTGAGATTGAGAATGGGCTAGATATACATGTTGGAGTATATCCTGAGTACGGAGTCCATGGAGGTAATGGTACCCGTACTCTGTGCTCCGTATAGAAATCCATGTGTGTAGAGAGTGGAGGTAAACAAAGAGTGGGGGAATGTACCGATCATGTGAAGCTGTCACGGGTTATCAGATGTTATGTAATACAATACACCGTATTATCTGATTGATCTGATAACCGAGGTCTTGCCGTTTTTTTTAATCTTTTTTCTGTTTAATTTCCAGTCATTTATTTCCCCTTTCTTTCGGTCGGACCACTCGGATGCGAGTCTTCCTTATTCCCTGTAAACATGCCATGTCTATGACGGGTGACTCCGGTCTGGAGCCGGGAGTCGCCTCGGGTTCCGTTCACGCCACCGGTAATAGGGTAATCGCCTTACAACTTTCCATGCAGTGTCGATCTGGAGAGATGGATACAATAGCCCCAAATGGAGACACCATATCCAGTAGTAGAGTCTGTATTACCAAGTACCGAAGTACCCTATTAATCTGTCGTGTTGGATTGCCGGAAACGTGTAACATACCCGGTGGCAAATCTGATAATTCCTTACCGAGCATCCCTATTTCTGCGGAACTGCCATCCCGAAGAATTCCTCGGGTCCACGCTTCCACCCTCATCCCACTCCTCTCTTCTCTTTACTATTCATAGGAAAAGGGGTTCTTTAATTTCTGACGTTTGTGACGTCTTGATTCATATACCCTGATCTTCCCTCGCGCCGGTTTACCTCCGTCGCCACTGTGAACACTCCTCCACAGTTCCCCATGGGTATGCTACGAGTCAATGAAGACACAAACACACAATCTGACAATTCCCAGTTCACGCAGTTCAATCCGTCATGCCATCGGCAACCTATGCCTCCACGGGGCCTCGCACTCGCAGAGGCACCTATCAGGATATTCCGGTTTCCTCCACCTCACACCCAGACAACCCAATTCCCGAAGAGCCTCGAGGCGTACGTGCTCTCTCTGTGACCGACACCAACTTCAATGTCATTTCTTCTGGATCTTCCCAAACCACTGAATCGACGGGCACAGTTTCTCCCGCTACTCCTCTGACACCGCCCGAGTCACAATCCGATGAAGAGCTTGCAACCGACAAGGAGGATGGCAGCCGCCAACGACGACGGGCGTCGACCGTCCTAATCTCTCAGAACTCGAATGATATGAGACGGGTGTTGGGAACTGTTGGCACCGCAGGTACTCAGAAGCTTGAATCTCTCTGCTGTGGTGGGGGTTGTTGCCGGGGACAAGCATTGCGTCCTGTAGATGGCCCTATCTCAGGCTTCAATTCCATCGTTGGGCCCTCTAACAAGGCTTTCGACAGCCTCAAGTTGAATCTCGATCTCCTTACCATGGACAGTGAGCTCTCCAGCATTGCCCCGCTCCCAGAGAAGACAGTCTCGTTCAAGCCGGTCCCCGCATCGGCAGCCGGTATGGCATTCGGCCCCGCAGACCACCCCCCAGAGTTCGTGCAGCCGCATCCTCCTTACCAGGTGTACCGTGCACCTCTCTTCCACACCCGTGAGTTGACGGGTCCTGGTGCGGAGAAGCGTACCTACCATTTCGACATCGATGTCACACACTACCCCGCTGAAAGCGGGATGGTCGACTTCGTAGTTGGCGGTGCAATCGGCGTGTGTCCCAAGAACAAGGACTCGGAAGTTGAAGATGTGCTCAACCTGCTTGGTGTGCCCCGCTCAATGCGTGATAAGAAGATCCTCATGCGCACCACCAAGGGCCGTTGGCCCACGATCTGGGGCGACGACAAGCCCCGTGAGCTGATCACAACCCGCCGCGAAGTCCTGAGCTGGTGCTCCGATATCCAGTCCTACGCCCCGACAAAGCCTCTATTCCGCCTCCTCGCCGAGCACAGCAGCGAGCCAAATGAGAAGAAGATCCTGGAATACCTCTCCTCAGCACAAGGCCAAGGCGCCTTTTGCGATCTCCGCACCAGCTCCTTCGTCTCTCTCTCGCAGCTCCTTCACGCCTTCCCCTCCTCCCAACCACCTCTCGACCACCTTCTCTCTGTCCTCAACACCCTCATGCCACGCTTCTACTCCCTTTCTCAGGACCCCCAGATCTCCTGCACATACAAGGGTTCCGAGTGCCGCCGCCTGATTGAAGTAGCAGTGACAGTCGCCGAGTCGGACGACTGGCGCGGCGGATCCCGCACAGGCGTCGGATCCGGCTACCTGGAATCCCTCGCCCGCCGCGCCATCGCCGCCGAAGCAAAGGGCGAGAAACTCGACCTCCACGTCCCAATGTTCCGCGGCCTAATGGCCAACCCCCTCGCCACACGCTTCGCCTCGGATGGACCCATGCTCCTCATCGGCGCAGGCGTCGGCATCGCCCCATTCCGCGGCTTTGTCCAGCGCCGCTTGCAGTCCGCCAACTGCGCAAACAAGGTCTGGGTCCTGCAGGGTGTGCGCGATTCCCTGCTCGACGAGCTGTATAGTGGTGAATGGGGAGTGCACGAGGACAAGGTGCGCACAGTCGTCCAGAGTCGCAAGGGCGAGAGTCGCTACGTGCAAGAGGAAGTCCGCCACCAGGCCGATCTGGTCTGGTTCGTTATCAACTCACTCGATGGACGTGTTTTCGTCTGTGGTAGCGGTAAGGGTATGGGCGAGGGCGTCGAAGCCGCGCTCATCGAAGTCGCCATGGCGAAGGGTAATCTGAATGCCCAGGAGGCGGATATGTTCTGGCAACGCAAGAAGGAGGCTGGTCAATATATTGCTGTAAGTTGTTGCCTAACTGGATCTGTTGCAGGGGGCTGTGCTGACTGGTGTCCTGCAGGAAACTTGGTAATCAACCCGATTTGGTTGGTTGCGTGGTGTACGCCACTTTTGGTCTTCTCTTCTCGCGTCGTCTTTGCATTGCAAGACGACCTCCGGCAAAAGCATCTTTCTTTGGTCGCTTGTCCTTCGCCGTACATATTTTATCTTCTTGCATCTGCGTAGTGTCCGCAGTTTCCTTTTTTCCCTTTTATTCTGGTTCTCGACAAGCTCATCCAGTATGGCTGATACCCTTCGAGTATATCGCTATCATCCTGGCTTTTCTATCTTTCTGTGGGCTTTTTGTTTCGTCGTATTTTAGCGTGGCGGTTGTCTGTTCTCATGTTTTGTTTTGCTCGGCTTCTCTTGATTTTTGTCTTATCTTTGTGTCTTTGCGTGCATGGTTTCTCTCATCTTTCGGGTTTGGGTCTCTCGTTTCTATACAGTAACACCTGATTGAACATGGATACATTTCTTCTTTCTCATGTCGGTTCCTCTCCTGACTAGCTCTCATTGCTCACATGTCGGTCGCTCTTCGGCATGGCTGTGCCACAAACATCGCACCGATTTTACCTGGGCTGTCCGGTACGAATCTTCCTTCGGGTCGTGGAGACACAGCAGGGTGTCAAGACTGCGTACACTGCCGTGAACTTCAGTACTGGACTGTAGTTATACGATATTCTCGAAGCAAGTGTACCATTTCATCATGGACATTGTTCTCGCCGTAATTTGGCCCCTCGATTTTCACCTATATTTCGAGTGCCTCGGCTACTTATATTGATTGATGCAGTAATTTACGTACTTCACGGCGCGGGTTATAGTATGAAACCAACGTGTTATGACTTTGTTCTACCGCCGTTTCCATGCTTGCCCTACTCTAAAAGAAGACGCGGACGAAGTGCTTTCACTTAAATAACACTAAAAAACAGCAGCGAATCTGCGGTTTCGGTTTCTCGGTTGATTCAAGATACCTTTCGGCTTGAATCTAGATGGTCGAGGCATGGACAAAATTCTTTTCACTTGTTCACTCACAGGATTTATGACTCAACTTCAACAGTGCCTTCAAGCATCAAGCAATCCATTCTGATTCTTCACTCTTCTTTCCTGACTTCGATAAGTACCTTCTTCTCTCGAATCATGTTTGTCTTTCGTACAACTCCTCCATCTTTGTTCAAGCATCAAGTATATCTCTTCTAATATATGTATCTCTTCCTTGGTCCGGCTTCTTTCTCCTTCAAATCTCCGACGAAACAGTTTCCTCCGATCAACGAGCTTTCCAAGCTTCTTCGGCGCTCTTCATACCAGTCTTCCACAAGTATCTCTTCCTTCCTTCCTTCCTTCCTTCCTCATGTTATATAGTTTCATTCCACTGACAAATCTCTCCATGCAGGAGTATTAAGGAAGTCATTGTAGTCATGAGAGTTGCCGAACAAAGTCGTCTGAGTCGCTCTGTGCCCAGACTCAGAGGCAAATCTGACTGGATTTTCTGGGAGGAGCGTCTCTTATTTGTCCTCGCGGACTTCAACATCCTGGGCATACTCACGGGAAAGCACCGTTGCCCCCTACCACTGGTAGGCCAAGGCATGACTGAAGCCAAGAAGGCAAAACAGAATCACCGCATCGCCACCTGGAAAGTAGAAGACCTCAAGGTTCGTGTATGGTTAGGCTCAACACTCGACGACGAACCAGCTTCTCATGTGACAGACATCTTCGGCGTCTACAAGGCCTACCAAACGCTGATATATCAGTACAAGGAGAAGGGAGTGAAGCCCAACGCACGATGCTGGGCCGAATAGACCAAACTCAAATATGACAAGCCAAAGATGACTGCGTTGGGGTTTGTGCGCCTCTTTCAACAGGCTCTCTTCCAATTGAAAGTTTTGACGCCGCGACACGACCTAGGCCCCAAGCAACAAGTGCCTCGGTTTCTTCAAGCTATCGATACTCCTGCTTTCACTGACTATCTCAAAGAGATCGATTCGAATTCCGAAAGTCCGGAATTGATGGACATCGCGGCTGCTGCCTTCTTACATTTCGTTGAGTCGGGATGGAAATCCTTACATTGCTGTCTTCAGGACGAACTATTCTGTTCTGATATTGGATGCGAAGAAGCCCACTACCACTGACAAGGCACCCCCTGCCTCGAATTTGTTCAATGCAAACTCGTCGAAGACGACCTCTACCAAGATCAATTCGTCGAAGAATCGAGCAAAGGCAAGAAATAATCTTGTGAGGGGTCCAGGTGAGCGCGCCCCGACTCAGTGATGCGGCTCAGAAGATGTTTCAAATGGCATCGATCCCTTACCCATCGAACACGGCCTCGGATTCTCAATAGAATGGACAGAGTGCCAGCTCCCACTCGAATGGACAGAACGCTAGTTCTCAATCGAACGAACAGCATGCGAGCTCTTCTCTCTTTGTTCTTCAGGATGTGGATGGTAATGAACTTGAATTCGAGGACGATAGATGCTTGCCTTTGGTCATTGATAAAAATCTGCTTGACTCAGCCGCATGTTTTCAATTGCTTAAATTCTTGAATGTATTCCGATGCTCAGGGGTGCATATGGAAGCCTGGTATTGCTATTTACGGGAACACTTCATGGATTGCGGAGATTTCTCTATTTCTTGATTTGATATTTGATATTTATTCATATCAGCGCGGGGGTGGATGGGAGAGCTGAGCATGCCTATTCTTATCTATTTCGGGTGGATTACATATTCACAAAGTTTGCTTCTATTTTCATGTCATATGGACCATCTTATAGTATTCCCAACATCGGTGGTATAAAATCGATCTAGATTGGCATTAAGGTCAGTGTGAGACACTTTATAGAAAGAGGGTAAAGAGGAGGGGGAAAAGAGGCCACAATGGCGATTAAAGCAGGAGGCAACGAAAAGAGAAATATTCGAGTGTCGACTGCCCCCCAATTAAGCAATAAGAAACTAGATCATGTATCGGGTATGGCGTCGATCAAGCGAAAATCGCGCGATATAAACGCTCTATCCAATATGACAGCCCATCACAGCGACAACTCCTACAGGACAAGCTCCTGCCTAAAAAAAACAACTCACCACGTCGATCAACATATAAACATGCAGTGCCAGGGCGCGAGTACCATTCTGACGTTACAGACATCGCAAACCCAGCCTCGCCAGCAAGGCGGCATCTGCAAAGCCCAGCCAATGAAAAGCAAGACCCTAAGCACATCGGCTTTAGGGTTTAGACAAAGACAGAAAAACAACCTCTCGGGTCGCGTGGCACACTAGGAATCGAGGTCGAGTATCTCGCCACATATCAGATCACAAGTCACAACCAGGCTGCCGGGTCCTCCGAGAGTCAGAGAAGTCTAACTCTAATTAGAAAGGGATGGCTGGACCCACGTCATCCGACAGCATACAGTAGCCTATATGTATCCTGTACTAAGTACGAAGTACAGTACACCAAAACAAAAATAAAACAAAAATAAATAAATGACAACTCATCCCACCAATCCCCACCGACATTAAATACCACCACCCCCTCCAAGCGACGGATTGGTTGCCTTACATGAGTCGCGCATGAACGGTAGTTCATGCGACGAGACGGCAACCAGGATAACCCAGTCAGGGTCCCCCCAGAGGGGAAAAAAAGGGAAAGAAAAACATAAATTAGATGTATTAAAAACAAAAAGGGAAACAAGCAAGCAAATCAGAGTATCCCGATTCAGCGCCCGGCTGCATACTCCGTCGCATGAAGGCTGGGATGCAGAACCAGGAAACTGGAAATTGGACATGCCGGGGCTGAATTGGTTGTAATTTCAATCTGTGTACTTTATGGGTGTGTCTTGCTTGCCTTGCTTGCTGTGTGGTACATAACGGGATTTGCTAGACGTATGCTACTGTGCAGTGTAGTGTAGTGATGTGGGGCGGAGTGAAGTGCATCTACATGTAGCGTAGTGTAGTGTGCTGTAGAGTGAATTCATCCCTACCTTGGCCGTGCGGGTTCCCCCGGTGATAGAGTGACATGGGATTTACGGTAGAAGGTGAAGACATGGGTAGCAAAGGACGGAAGAAGGTGGCAAATACAGCGAAACGAGGAATTGCAGTTACTTCGTACATGTAAAAAAGAAATTGGAAGTGGAAGTGGAATGGACTGAGGAACTATTGATTCTAGAAGGAATCTTGGCGAGGACAATTATAGAAGCTCAAATGTCAGGAAAATTAAGGTTACCCAGGCCACAAAATTGGGGAAGAAAAGAAATGCAATAAACCGAAAATGAATAGAAGAAAACACCCAGTACCGGGTCATGACAAATCAGCGATTCCACAGTTCTGGAGCAATTGTTCCGTACCTAGCCCCATTCCAACACCGCCATTCTGGACCACTGCTAGGGGGACGATCGCAGTTCACTGCGAGATCCGATGATCTGCATCCCTCTATTTCATGCACGATCTCGGGCCTAAGCTGGGACCTAGCAGGTATGACGATGCCGTGTACTTGGTCCTTCGGTACCTACCTAGTAGTGAGGGGCGAATCTGTTATATCACTATACTAGTAATACATGATTTTGCATTTTTGCATTTGCGCCCTGCCTGTGCTGGTGCCTGAGCCGGAGCCTGTGCCTGTGACAAGTGTGACAGAATATGTGGACCTACCTAGGCACTAAATTAGACCAGTGTCAAAGATCAGATCTGGAATGACGAATCAGGGGAAGCCAGGATCCGAGTTCCACGGATAAAGATAAATTAAATGCTCGGAGATCTGGGAATTGGGGGTGACTGCCCTCTTTCGGAACCCATTAAACCTTGGGTTTGGGTCCTTGGGTTGTCCTCGGTCGGACAGTATCCGAAACGTCCACGGCACTGAGGGCCGGGTCAATAAGTGTCAGATTATTATAGTACAGCAGAATGATTTAATTACATTTTACCTTTAGTAGCTTTCTGAAGGATTTCCGTGTACTTTGACAGTATGTATTAGACGACCGTGAGACCAATAGCATCAGCTACCACGGGATCTGATTCAAGTGACTCCATTGTTCCGCTGGCCTGATTGGCTTGGTTGACTGTCTTGTTCAGCTTGCATCAACTCAGGCCCACTTGGGATCTCCGAGTGCGCCATTATTGAATGGTCAAATTGTGACTAGTTCTGAGGGCGTGGGCTAGTGTTGGAATTAGCGCAGAGTGTCATTTGAGATCGGGGGTTCATCTGCACCGTGTTTGCGATATCATATGCAGGCTAAGCCAGAGGCGAGAGGGGAGGACAACCAAGAAAAAGAAAAAGAGAAAAAAAAAAAGAAGAAAAAGAAAAAGAAAAAGAAAAGAAAAGTAATAAAAGAAAGACAAAAAAGAAAAGAAAAAAAAGAACGCCACTTGAGTGGAGAGAGTGAAGAACCCCTAGGCGATCTGCCTATCCCTGTCCATGGGCCGCCATGGATCCTCAGCTCGCTTCTCTTTGGTTGATCGATCTCAAGGCTCCGGGCCATCTGCGATCGAGAGTCATCTTGGGAATTTGGACTCGGCGATCTTGTCCACCTTGCTCTGTGGTATAGTGCATAAGTGTATGGTATATAGTGTGTATACTCTGTTATAAGTTTGATGTTGTTCCATGGACATGTTTCATCAGTCTCAATTTTAGAAATTCCAAACCAAATCCCGGGGAGGAGATCGTCTAGATTGACAGGAAGAGACTCCTGTCAATATGCAAGCCTCGGAACTGGTACCCACGATCGTCATTTTCGGCCCCCCCTGTTCTTGGTCTTTTTTATTAATTATTGATTTTTGGGTTAAATGTAATGGGATTCCCCAACCTTGCATATAAGCCCTTGATGTAAAACCTGGTATGCTCCCACCCCCTCTTCTCTCATGACTTGATTTAATCTTCTATAGATCTCTTCCTTCCCCTATGTCACAGCCCCGCGAGGAGGATCCAGATATGGCTATTTCATACGCAAGCCAGCCGCCGGCCGGCTCTCAAACACTCCCATCATTCCGCGAGGTACTTGCTCTATATTCTATAGGTGACAACAGCCTAATTAACCCTGTTCAGCTTCTCCCCGCTCACCTGCACGATGAAATCGAATCTACATCTTCATACTACACCCCACCACGCACCCAAGACCGTCCAGGATCAGGCCACGACATGGACCCGCGATCGATCCCAGGCTACAGCCCACACGCGAAAATGCCCTACGACGCACACCGCGAATACACCGTCAGCCGCGGCGACCACTCCCGCCACATGGCCGACCCAGCCCACCACATGCGTCTAGAAAGCTCCACCCGCGGCCCCAGCCCAATCCTCCCCCCAATCCGTGATCTGGACTCCATGCCAGGCCGAAATATGAATACCCAGCCAGGAAGTGCCAGTGGCAAAAGCTATCCCGAGCATGGTCCGGCGCCAGGCTCCATCCCGCCCCCACGCTCCGATCCCTTCGGCCAGGAGTATCGGGCTGGCGCGCCTATGCCGGATCGACGCAGTGAGGCATATCCGCATCAGGCCATGATGCATCCCGGTTCGCCGTATGGGCATGCGCATCCGGGTATGGGGTATGGGGACGAGGGCGTGCCGCAGATGATGGCGCATGGGCAGGCGAATTTCGGGATTATGGGGGATCCTATTGATCCCAAGACGAAGCGGCGACGGGGGAATTTGCCGAAGCCTGTTACGGATATTCTCCGTGCGTGGTTTCATGAGCATCTTGATCATCCGTATCCTAGTGAGGAGGACAAGCAAATGTTTATGACGAGGACTGGGTTGTCGATTAGCCAGGTATGTTGGGACAGGGTGGCACTTGGAGTGGAATGAAGGCTAATGTTGCGACAGATTAGTAACTGGTTTATCAATGCCCGGCGGCGACAGTTGCCTGCGCTGCGGAATCAGATGCGCACTGGTGATGTCGACTCGTCGCGACAGTCTCCGTTTAGTGATGCTGATGGCTCTGAGCATCTTGCTTCGCCCCATCACTGAACCGAACTGGATAGAACACAGATTACGGCCTTTTTTTTCATCATCATTCTACACGGCATTCGCCACGTCAGCGTTTATTTTACGACTGGGACGGTTGTTTCTCCCTTATATTTACGACTCAATGGGTTGAGGATACGGCAAGCTGGATAGACTGGCATTTTCCTTTTCTCCTATGTTTTACCTCTATTTTCATTTATTACTTCTTTCTCCACATCTGGGCATCAGAGTGGTCATGTCGCATTGCCGTCCGGTACGGAGACTCAGACATTCAGACATCATTTTTGATACCCTTTTTGGTTGCGTTTACCAAGCGGGAACTATTTTGATTGGGAATCAAACGGGAGGGTATGGGAAATTACTGGGAATCTCTTTGATTATTGTGACCTTATTTCGCATTTACTAGGTGTTTAGACGGCCTGGGAACTTACCACCTACTCAAATTAGGGACTATCCTTTTTTTTTTATACTTTTGTTATAAATTCTATTTTTCAAAACTTGACATGAATGCGGATCCTTCAGCTCCGTCCCACAGCTGAGTCGGCACTGGTTAATCCCACACGAAACGTGGGTCTTACCTTACGGCACCACGATGATCTTCACGGAGTCGAATATCGGGAGTTGGGATAGTTTTTACCTAATACTAGGGCGGCCTGCCAATTTCTTCACGTGTACATGGAGACTTCAAGCTAGACACGGGGAGAAGGGAATCTCCAATTATTGCGTTGATGTACACAACCATGGTTCGGGCAGCTCACTATTCCCGAATGCGTGCACTTCAATGTCGATTTGATATTTGATCATCTTTCTGTCGACCCACAAACTAGTCATCTCTGGTTGTTCTGATTGATTCGAGGTCTCGGAGATCGAGATAGCCTTTTCCTTTCCATGACGTCGAGTTCCAGAGAAAGTTCGATAATTTGACAGCGCTTAGTTTGGGTCCGCGCGGTTAAGGTTGGATATTGACCGGAGACCACCTGCCTTGACATATCCTTATATTATTATTACTTGTAATACTTCTATTATTGACTGATAGACGAGGCGTGACGTGACAGCTGAAACCTGAACTTCTCTCTCGCTTCACCTTGTCTACTCCGTATATCCACAGTCTAACCGTGGAACACCCACGCGAACTCTTCGCAATCTGAGTTTTTCAAGATCCGCGACGGGGTATTTTCGGAGGCTTCTTTCTTCTTTGACAGGTTCTCTTTCTCTTATATCAGACTTCATTTGCTTAATTTAATGTGGTCCTGGAAATGTCCAATTTCGCAACCTGATACGCTGAACCACACCCAAACTGTTCCCCATCCTTTCTTCCTTTCTACCTTTCCCTCTAGCCCCCCCTGATCCGAGACACGCCCGACTTCTGTCAACGGATGTTACGGCCCCAGAGGATTTTTCATTGGGTCCCAAATATAGTCAATTTGCTAATTTTACGGGGCACTCTGTCTTCTCCTATTTTCTTTTTCTTTCTCTTTTTCTTTTTCTTTTTCTTTTTCTTTTTCTTTTCTTGGTCCGTATTTTCGGAATTCCCCCTGGCGCAATTACGGGGTTTGACCAAACTGAATTTGACGATCGGCCGTCTTGCCGAGTTGGATTTCCTCTTGCCCCTCCTACAAATTGGGAAGTATAAGTGATCTCAAATTTGGAGACCATCAAGGGCATACATACACTACAGTAAAGTAGTCAGGGGGTACATTTACATCCAAGTTACATTTACACAATATAGAATGCACATTACACACAGATATCAACTGTCCAATCAAGTATACAATCTCCAAAAGCAAAAAACAAATCACGTCAAATCAAACCAAATCCCACCCACCCAAAACCAAGTCATGTACGGAGTACATGCACCCTGCATAATGCGATATCCACGGCATCCAAGAAAACAGCAGATAATCCTAGTCCCACCCCTGTGTGGGAAAGAAGCGGTTATGCAAGCCACCAGCACAAACCCCAGTATTTCCGGCGCCTGCGACTGGCCCAGGGCCTCGCCCAGGCCGATCTCAGCGCTCCAACTCGCATGCGACTCGCATACTGCGGACCGAAAGTGAAAAAGATTGAAAAGAAAGTCGTGCAGCTTGCATGCATTTTCCTATGCAAGGTGCCTAGTCACAATTACAATGTGCAGTAGAGTCACTGTACAGTGGTCATCCCCTACTGGTCTATCCTATCCTGCATCTCTACTCTGTACCCATCGTTAGCTTGGATCGTACAGTAGCTTGTGACCCTAGCGGCAGGATCTGGACTAAATTTATGTTTGGATTTGGATTTGAGATGAGATTCACGGAGCTGACTTCCGTGAGATGTCATTGCCTGGTCTATACTACTTCCCGTACATAGACATGTACGTGCAGTAAACCCCCGCTGCACACTGCACCGTTCATCTCGATACCCGCGTCCGATTCATCATATAGCGGTGTACCCTATCCTGTCCGTATCGTGGAAGTGTTCTCCGACGCCAACGACGCCTTCGCCCGCTAGGGTTCGCTGCTGGGTTATGTGTATAGGGAGTAACTCCGTACTGTAGGATTATGGATACATGTACGTGTGGGGAGGCGCTGTGTACTGTACATTTACTGTATACGGAGTATATGTATCTGCCTAAACTCCCTAGATTCGAATCCACCTGCTGCGCTGGCATAAATATGATATGACGTCGAAAAGGCACGGGCGCAAAGGTGTCACTTGTCACTTGTCGCAGCTGGAAAATGTGGCGGTGGCTCTTTTTGCTTTTGCTTTTGCTTTTGTGGATTGGATTTGGATTTGTTTTTTTTTTTTTTTTTTGCGTTTTACTAGCTGGGTGAAGGTTTCTAGGGTCGGAGCTGTCATTTGGGTGAAGGTTTGTGACCTGTCTCATGTCAGTTTGGGGCTTGCCTTGAGTTCGCGGTCTGCTGTAGGTCTGTGGATTGGGTTTGGGCTTTATTGGTGTTTCACTGCTTTTGGTTTACATTTCGGTGTAAAACATTTGTGTTTGGGTTATAGTTAGCTTGCAACCACGAACATGTAGTGGGGAAACATCTCCAACTTCATCCATTATTTCCCCTTTAGGATTGGTTTCTCCTTGTTGCCCTGTTTCCACTTTTGACAAATGTTAAGATGCTGTCCAATTGCCCCACGGTATACGTGCTAGGTCTAGAGCATCCCTGGTCGCGTCTGCCCTTAGGTCTAGATTTTATGTTCTACAATGGATTAGGCATCCTACTACGCACTGTGAAAAGCATCTCATCTCATCCTGCCAAGAGCCGATTGCCATCGAGGCGGTATCACCAACCATAACCCAAAGTACAGTCCATGCATCATGATTTCAAATATTCGGAGTACGCGGAGGAAACAAGATATGATATGAATTCACCGCAAGGACATCAACTTTCCTTGCGTCTCAGATCAATGTGATCTCCAAGATTTCAAGATTCCAAGATTCCAAGGTTCCAAGGTTTCAGTTTCAAGGTTCCAGGGTGTGCCCGGCTGCAGCGCTGGCGTTGCATGAACTACTAGAACGTTTTACTCAGAATGGCCTCAGTCGAAGGTTCGGCTTGGAACTATTGAATCTTCCCATATTACCCCTCCCAGCCTCCCGGCCATCTCTCCCTGCCCATGATCGACGGGACCCACCGTTCGACACTTTTTTAGTGAATTCAATAGCGCCGCTTAGTCCGTCCACCCGTGGCATTTTGACACCGGGTTTTCACTTCTTCTGGAACTTCGCCCGGAGCTTTTCTCCTCCCTCGGTCCACTTTTTTAGTGTGCATATGGGCAGGCGGGATAGCCGAGCTTCGTTTCCCCATGCGGTAACGGTAGGTCTAGCTACACACCGGTCTTTGGGGTGTACGTAAGTGTAGGGAGCTGTGTTATGGTATATACATAGCATTTTGCAATTTTGGATTCATTTATACATTATATTGGCTTATATGAGATGTCAGTCAAATTATGTCATCATGTGTCCTGATATTGCAGACTTGGGTCTAAAAATATATATTGCAGAAGTCGTGGTGCATGCTAGTCATGTTTACTGTCTGACACCTGTACTCTGTAAATCAAGTGACTTTTGGTATTAATGATGCACACTGGACGGAACATAATGCAACACGTTCATATGCAGCGTGAAGTCTCATCCTGCGAGGTGGAGGAAAAGTAACCATGGGCATGATATGAAATGAGGTACCTGTATACCGTTAGCTGTCAGTGCATATGACAGTTCAGGTACTGTAGAATGTGCAAACCCCGATATCACACTCCAGGAAGAAGATAGTGTGGCGTCTGGTCATATGGCTATAGGATCAATGCACATGATATTCAGCAGGGGACTCCTTGAATGTCTCTGGGTTGTATCGTGTTTGCTTATAAGTGCTTATCATTATTAGAACTCATCGGTGTGGTCGCGTGATTCGAGCTCTATCGTGCTGATAGAGTCAACTTCTCCAGGGGAGCTTATGAGTTATGAACAATGCTATTGTACGTATCTCGTAGAAGCGAATGCGAGTATTTAAGCCCTATCTAGATCACCGGTCCTCATTCTTCGGTTTCCTAGGAATACTTTGCCCTTCACAGACGCATTTTCCTGTCAGTCTATACTTCCTGGTATCGGCCAGTGTGAAAATAGTCTTTAGGCCTGATCATAAAGAGTCTTGTGTTGAGCTAGAGCAATATCCTTACACCAGGTATAGAGAAAATATATTCCCCTTATTGTCCTGCTTTTCAGTTTTACTGGCATGTTTCTACCACTATAGATCATCAAGGCCAATAATAGAATCCGGAGCAATCCATCCGAGCATAATCCTTAACATCGATTTCTTGCAGTCAGCCACTCACCTTCCCAGGAGTGGTGAGTGGTCGTATACAAATACAAGTTCGGGCACACATCTCACATATTGCTGTGCTATTGTATGTCTCCTGGGACGCCTGGCAGTCTGCGCTAGGATCATCATATGTCAATACTGGTTGGTGTTTGCCAGAAAAAAACCCGCTTCTAGATATATCTGACTGCTCATGTAGATCAATCGCAATATAATTCATTAATCTTGTCAATTCCATCTTGCAGCCCCTGCATACTCAGAAGCCCACGTACAAAAAAGGAAAATGCCTATTATCCAGGTCATGGCATGCCAATACATATGTTGGCGGTAATTGCTTCTTCGAACGTTTCAACGTGGTCTAACTCAAAGAAATACCACAAAAGGAACCTCTCATGGGGGAAAGCAAATAAAAATATATTATCCACAAGCCAGCTTTTCGAGTTATGAAAGACATTACTCCCCTTGACAGGTCCTGACTTGATGCGTGTAGCCGAAAAGTGGGGCCACACTCGGCTAGGGTATCAATGACACAATTTTTCTCGGTTCTTCAACAAGTAGGCCGGCTGGCCCAATGGCAAGGCGCTTGACTACGAATCAAGAGATTGCAGGTTCGACCCCTGCGTCGGTCAATAAATTTTTGTTTTTATCAACTGGAATACTGTGAAACATCGGAATAGTCTTGGCTCAATCACCATTGAACATGGATGGCCTGATTGTGGCGGGCGCATTTATTTTTACTGTGGGGTGAAAATTCAAATAGAAGCAATGGCACGTATGAGGATAAGTTGATCTAGGTTGAGAGCGAAAAGAAAGTACTAGAAGAGCGGCAGGTGATGTTTGATATTCACTATGCATACAGTAGTCATGTGGTTATCTATTGCAGTGCATACCCCCAGAGGCATGGTGTCATGCACAAAGGGTACGATACACCATCCGGAAGAATACAGTCAAGCTTGTTGATATTGTTCGGGAATGACTTGTACCAATTCCTTCTATAGAATAGGCTATGGAAGTGCCATTACCCAAGAAGAGACATCAATCCAAAAACCAATAATTATCACTCGCAGACAGAAGCCGTTCATGCTCAGCCTTCAATTTCCGAGCATCATTTTCCTCAAACCAGAAAGCCCAGGTACTTTGAGTATTAATCTCAAGATTGTCACGACTAGACCGCAAACCAACATGCTGTAACTGCTGCGGCGCCAGCGCCAATCGAGTCAAGCCAGTTTGATCTGCATACTCCTCAATCATGCTATCAGTCTGCCCGGCTTTCTTTTCCTCCAAACGAGCCACCAAAGCCGGCACCTGTTCGCGGGGGAATACCAATCCTTGTGTACAACACCCCGGACCGTTCATCTCTACTACACCTTCCAGCGGAAGTAGGGAATATTTACCCATCATGTATAGCAGTCCCGTAAAGGCGGGAATAACAACCAAACACACAGCTGCGACAGTCCAATTGTTAAGGAACGCACGAGTGCTAGGCCAGTGTCGCCGAATGAGCAGTAAAAGAGCGCCCCCAGATCCCATAACTAAGAGGAAAGCCAGAGGCATGTTTCGGTACCAGAAATCCGAGGATGACCACATCAGCGAGGTTTCAGTGTAGAAGAGGCGCAAGTAGATCCATGTATTGTTGCGTGGAGTCGATCCATGCGACATCTGGTGTAGACCGTTCATGGTCTTGACGAACCAGCCGTCTGCGAGTATGACATCGTCCTCGAGGATGAATATGTATGGGGCACCCGTCTCGAGACACTGGTTGAGTAGGTAGACGTAGTCGCTAATCAAGTCAGAACATGTATCTATCGACAACTTGTTCAGAGGGAACGTACTATACACCCTTTTCATAGAAGTTATGATGTTCTTCTAACTCTTGCAAATGGCGAAACTGCTCCTCGGAGACATTGTACGAAGACACTGAATCCACTAGCCGGCCCAACCATCTCTGGCCCCAGCTAGGATGCTGACTTGGATCGGTATTCGCGAATAACACCGAGAGGTGGAGGGCATGTCTTTCGCGAGGATCAAGATCAGCCAACAAAGATCCCACGGTCGCTTCGAAGTAATCATCCTTGTCGCGTTTTACAGTAGCGAGCGCGGCGCACATTAAGGGGCGATCAGTGCCCAGTTTGTCGCCAATCCCGCTGTCAGATGGGGCATTATACACAGACGTGAAATGCTGAGCTTGATGCTCTCGCAGGAGACTGTATTTCCACTCGAACACATTGCGAATATCGAAAAAGGCCGAGTGAGGGTCGCGCCAGAAGCGGATTCGACAGTATTGGAAGGCGAGGAGGTATACGAAACCCGCAATTAGAAGAACTTTTGCCGCGGGTTGTTTGAATAGATGCAACAGAGAATGGAGACTGCCAACTCTCATGGTTGCAGTCCTGATCGCAAAGGAAAAGTGAGATCAGGGTCTGACTTTTGCGCCCAGAGGCTCCAGTGGGGATTTGGCTTAGCTCGATGCACCTCTCCACCCTAGCTGTTCTGAGAAATGATCACATTGGGGCCAAATTTCACATGGGGGCCAAATTGAGTCGTAAATATCTGAAGTACAGTAAGGAAGTTAGCAAGGTAGACCAATGTTAAATGAAAATCAGGAATCGAGAAGATACCAAAATGAAGATATACGGAAGTGGAGAAATAGCTTCAATATACATACTTTACAGTAGAATTGCAAATCCCGGTGGAAAGCCGGGACCCCGCGGTCAAAGTTCCAATCTCACAAGCAGCTCTACGTTTAGGCCACCAGCCCTCAACTCATGTAAGACAGCCAGTGGAGATAAAATTGCGAAGTGGACCTCAACACAGCATGAATCTGTGCGAGTTGATCGACCCGTCAAGGATGATCGACGTTATTGCACGGGTCTGCGCACTGACATCTATAACTCGACTCCATATCCCCAGCAATATTAAACGTCTTTTCTTGCACGGTGATCGATTTGTCCAAGGTATCTTGGCATGCCAAGATCGAAGCGGGGCGTTGAATATGACGGATGGATCTTCCGTCAGTGAAGAAACATTGGTTTGGGACAGACCACAAGACTTGACATGGAAATTGTATATCTATATATCGCCTCTAGTGAGTTCCACACGATCCAGACTATATAGGGGCTTGTTCTTCTCAATGTCCGTAATACCATGTCTCTATTTCATGGCCTGCATAGTCAATCTCGTACAGCAAACTTGATTCTGCAAAGTCCTCGATGAGCTCCCTCTCGAAAACCGAGAGCGGGGACTCATGCAGGACTTTGCAGAACCACGTCGTTGGACAGACCTTCTCTGATCATAAACTCTACAATTATAACGCAACGCCATTCTGCGGCAAACAAGCTGCTCATTCATGACGGTTTTTGGCTGTGATGAAATGGGAGATATAAGCCCATCTCTATGAAGTAGCCTAAATAAAATAGTGCATGTGAGTGCATATCCGCCACTCTTTGCCATTCGGCCTCAGCGGATCTTTTGGTGACGCCTAAACCTTGGCATAGTAAGGATTGTCTGTCGACTATCAATTCTCACTAAGGATAGTGTTTTATAGCAGGAGACAACCAAGCGAACTTCGGTATACATTCCCCCGTGAAGTCGTATAAAAAGTGCAGCAATAGAGATTCAGCCCTATGCCTGTAGCCCCCATTTTTGAAGATATTCCTATGGCACCATGTCCTAAGACTAAGCCTGTCGGCTATAGCGCAACTTTGAATATACCCAAGCAAAAGCCAAACAAGGAAGGAAGAGGCGGAAGCGCTGGGGATAACTCATTGAGCATCCTATGGCCTCCAGTCTCATAGTCATCGCATCCGTATACTATTTCAGTTCATCAAGGACTTACCAGCCACAGTGTTGAAGGGCGATCATCTCTCAAACAAGGAAAACATACCCGACAGTCCTCTTCATTAAAGAGGGAGACAGGGGCTAGAGTATTGTTATGAAAAGTGGATTCGAGGGAAATAGATTAGAAGTTCACATGAATCCGCTGGAAAGCCCGAATCCCATAGTGAACTAACTGAATCCGAAGGATCGACCGAGGAGGGATTTAGCATCGTGAAAAATATCCCGGAGCCAAACAAGGGTCTACACTGTTTGGGTTAGACATGTATTTCCACAATCTATTGCGGGGAGTTTCCAGCGCAGGTAAACTCAGTTTAGGCATCTTCCCGAGCGGAAATATGAGCAGTCAACTGTCATAAAGAGCCTTATCTTTGAGACATACATGGTCTGATGCAGGATCATTAACGTTATCTGCTGGCAGTAAAATTAAAAAGAAGATTGCTTTCGCTTGCCGCCGCCAGGTCATAAGTTGCCTAGCTGGCTGGTTAATCCTCGAAAAAGCCTTGAGTTATCTCTAGAGGGGTGTGTCTATATGGCAGCCGATCATTGGCGGAGTTGCCGCCACACAACGCTGCAGGGAAGATGCAGAGAAGCAAAAAGGAAAGCGAGAAAACCTTCCGTCGGCCAATCAAGACCGATGTGGTATGTAGCTTGACTCGAGGCGACGCCCCGGCGTCATGATCCAAGAGATGTGTGGCTTGGACTGATGTGTTGGGATTTGAGGTCTAGACTGAACAGGAAGGTAAGCTTCGGGTGGTTATCACATCATGCAAGAAATTGACATGGTCCCCATCTGGAAATCTTCCAGAAGCATCCCCTGTGAGATGTCTATTATAATCCCCAACCTAAGACATAACCGTTGGAAGAGTTTGTTTAAGGCTCGGCATAGACTGCGTGATATTTGTCCCCTATGTATTGATCCCCACCACCTCATAGTATCCCGCGTTCGAGATGCACTGAAGCGCTGGACATTGCTTGATCGGAATTTCCCGTCCGCTTGGACCCCATGTTAGGTTTACGCAATGACTATAATAAGCGATGATAATGTGCATGAAACAGCGCCATACAAGGTCACGATAACGAACAAGCGGGAGGGGTGCATACGTTCATTTCTCAATGTGGGCCAGTGCCTACCCCAGAGTTCTCCTGAAGGCCAAGAGAGAGCCTCGAGTCAGGACCCGAATTATATTAAATGGATCTGACCGCTTGTTGGCAAAAGACACTACACTCGGACAGGCAGGCGCTAAGCCCCTGTGCATGAAGTTATATTGGCCCTAAGTGGATCCCCGAGAAGCAGGGAAAAAGAGACCTCGGCTGAGTCGTATATGTTCTCCCGCATCACCACTCGCAGTTGCGCGATTAGCAAAATATTCCATGGATTTGCCGTTCGCCTATCTCCGGGTCTAATTTATTCCACTGGTGTTTTATGCTATACTTGGGTTCACAGTACATATGAACCTATTCTGATTTCGCTTTTATTTAGCCATCTCGACACGGGGATCAGGCTGATCAGGCTGATTAGCCTGATCATGAGACTGCAAGCTTCCAGCCTCGCAAGCCGAAAAGGAGATGGATAAGACTAAAACCACACTAATGCACGCGCCGGCCAAAGACCCGTCGTTAGCCGGGACTAAAAGGAACTAAAAGTTACAATGTCACATCGATTCAACCCTCCAATCCTGATAGCCATTTCTTTGAGACAATTGCACATGCTAGCCAATTATCCCGACCTGCTTCCTCCACTCCATTGTCTATAGTCCTCTCCACTCAATGCTCATTTATCAATGCAATTGCTAATCAAGTTACTGTACATATCTCAAACAAAGCCAGATAGGAATTACCGGCTCGATAACAAAAGAGATCCAAATAAGCTCCAGGCAGACATGCTTGTTGCTCTATACTTGCTGCACGCACTCTAATCCGCCTACGGTTCTCGTCGGGGATATTCTGTAAAGTTAACCAATACTAGTCTATCACCCCCTCTCGGTGCTCAAAGCCTGCAGCAGAGCACCGGCCCTCCTTGCCTTTCTAGAAGCCACCGGGAGGTATCAGGATTGGTGGATGCCTTTTCGATTACCCCAGGTCTGCCAGAAACGGGTTTAAACGTACCTGCGCAGGCGGAGTCGATATCGTCAGTACTCATTTACTTGTCGCAATTGGCTGCCAGGCTCTCTCTAGGCTCTCTCGGTCTAGTGATCCGCTTTTATAAGGCTTGGATCTCCCTGATAGCAGAGAAATGATCTTCAGGCCTTTAAAACTTGGCTTTCCGAAGGGTCCAGCTGATCTATTTCTCTTTCTCACTTACTTCTTAAATGATATAGGCTGTACTCAACCAATGCAATGACGCGGACCGGCCCTTCAAATAACACCATCTCTTGGGAGACCAAGAGTGTTGCCCCTGACGAAGGCAGCAGAATTGATTCGGTCGCCGGTCACGATGCGAGGCCCAAAGGGCGCATTCGTCGATCCATGACGGCTTGTAATACTTGTCGCAAGCTGAAGACTCGATGCGATGTTGATCCACGAGGTCATGCTTGTCGCCGCTGTTTATCTCTGAGGTTTGTGAGGCCTTTTCCTTCATTTGCCACCCTGTAACTGCCACTTGTTCAACTTGCCCTTGCGATTCAAGCCTTTACACCCAAATGCGCCCGTGAATTCTAGACAACAAACACAACTCGGTTATTTGTATACTGACTACTTTATTTAAAGGCTCGACTGTGAACTCCCAGAGACGTCTGAACGGTTCCAGGACAATGCATCAACCTGGTCTGATGCCACTGCCGTGCCCTCGATAGAGGAACGGCTTGTCTCTCTGGAACGAGGCATGGGGGAGATGATCCACCTGATGCGGCAAATGGTTGATCGTCCTCCCAGCATGTTCGGCAGTTTAAACTCGCAGACGAGAAGCGGCAGCATAGACGAGGCCTCGAATGATAGCGTGTCGGCATCATTATACCCCCTGAAACCGGCTCAGCTCATTCGAGATCTTCAAGCGGAATGTTTTGGGGAGAGAGATCACTTCTCTTCCGACGATGATATCCTTGGGGACATCGTCACCCAGGGTATTGTAGACTCTAAGCTCTCACTGAAGCTGATTGAACTGTATGATTCTCTTGTCTCAAAGTATATCCCCCACTAACAGTGTCTCAGATTTGTGGAGTATTTCGGCCATTGGGTTTCCATAAGCCACTCGTCCAGCATTCAACGATCAAATACACTCTTATTCAACACCGCATGTCTCCTCGCTGCACGATACCTGCCTGGCTTACCACAGCATACTGTCCGCGATATCTCTCTCCACGTTCAACATGCCGTGGCTAAGATGCTGTGGAAGCCCCCACCCCTGACAAGCGATATGCTGCAGGCGTTGACATTATTATGTCTATATTCTACCGCCATTCATAAAGAAGGACTGATGGACGACTGGTTGTTGAGCGGGATCTCAATCAACCATGCCCTAATTTCCTTCAACTTCCTCAATACTCTGCCCAGGGATAGCATCAACCCTGATGAACTACTTGCCCAGTTGCGTCTGTGGAATACACTCTGCGCAACCCAACTACAGTAAGTCGCCGTCTATTCAACCAAAGCACTCAGTCTCACAATGAATGCCCAGCTCGGCTCTCGCAAACGGCCGCACCGTCAACATTCAACAGCAATATATGGATCAATGCCCCAGGATCCTAGAACACGCAGCTGCAACCGCCGAAGACGGAAAAATCGTCGCAGAAATCCAACTATATCGCATAGCACTCAAGCTCCAACACAGCCAGCACCGCCTCCAATTCGCCGAAGCCGAATACGAAGAAATCGAGCGCTGGAAAATGGAATGGGCCCATCTCCTAAGTAAACCTCACTCCCTCCCAGACACCACCACCAAAACCATCCTAACATAAACCCAGCAAACAACGAAGACTCAACCTTGGACCTAAACCTCTGGTTCTGCCAACTCCTCCTCCACAGAACAGCAACACGCCTCCAACCAGATAGCGACCGCCTAACACCCGAAATAAGCGGCACAGCCCGCCTAATAATCTCGAAATTCCTCCAAACCCGCTTCAGCACCGCCCCCAGCCTAATCGACCACGTCTACTTCATAGTCGGCTACGCAGCCCTAACACTATGCGACTACAATCTCACGGACCCGCTGATCAGCCAAGTCCGCGGCTTCCTCCTGCACCTTGCCCCAAGCGGCGATAACCTACCCTACCGCATCGCCTGTATTGTCGGCGAAGTGCAGCGCCGGTATTCAGAGGCAACGACTGTAGTCGCTACCGCCGAGCATGCTTCTTTGCCTTCTTCGTCGCCGGTTGATGCGAAGGGGACGCCGTTGTATGGTCCGCATTCGCATTCGCATGCTCATTCCCATCCCCAGGCGCAAGCGCGGAATATGGATTTATCGTCGCTTATGCCTGGTGCCGAGGTTTTGGATAATCTTGTTGAAGGGTATGGGTGTCTTGATCAGTTAATGCCTGGATATGGGGCTGCTTCGACGGGCTTTGAGCCGCCTGCGCTGTTTCAGCATCATTCTGCCCCTGTTACTGGTGGGGCACTGCCTATTGGTCTTGTTCCTAGGGCTTTGCATGATTGGTGATGGTTTAATGGGTTGCTTTGGATTGGATTGGATTTGGACTTTGAATTTGGGCTGGGATTGGGATGGGATTTCGTTTGGGTTGGGCTATTGGATTGGCGGTGGGTAGCGTTTGCCTTTTTCTCTTCTTCTACTTTTTTCTTCTCTTTCATCTGTTCATTCATTCTTTCTTTTGGACATAGATGTCATTCGAACGGGTGAGGGTGGTGTGATAGTATACTGTCTTGAAAATGAGTTGTCCCGGAACTGGAGAGTTGGGGTTTGTTTCCTGGTGCATGGTCCGCAAGTATAACCAAAAGTACATCAACTGGTCTTACATATGTTCATCGAAGAAAAGAATAAATGATGTTTGTGGGGTTTGACAGAATCCTATATCCCCGATTTCAAGAACACAAACTCGCTCCTTGGATCAAGGAAGCAGGATATAAAATCCTCGGCTGTCCTTTTGTCATAGAAACAGGAACCTTCCCACTACTATCAACAGTAACACTCGTACAAGTAATAATCTCCATCAACTTATCCCCAGGCTGGAATCCCGTGTCAGGGAGAGAAAGCGTATACGAGCTTCCACTCTCACCGAGATTCGAGAGGATGGTAATTGTCTGAGAGCCGCTGTAGCCTTTGCGCATAGCTAGCGTGATGTCGTCTTTATAAATTGGGTAGTTCTATAATGAATATCCAGTCAGTACTTCTAAGTCAAAAGTATGGATATAGAAAATTTCCATACCTTGTAAGTGGTATACTGATCACTCTTGTAGATAGCCTGATTCCGAATAGCATTTGCCTTCGCAATGAGCTTGTACAATTCACTATCGGTGTTGTACTTGGACAACCAGGTTGCCTCGCGATTGTGCGGGTCATTGCCTCCCTTGTAGTGCTGTTCCTGCCCGGCGTAGATGATTGGAATACCGTCTGCCATGATGGTAAAGGCTGCGGCGTTTTTGGCGAGTGACATGTCATCGGTGTAGCTATTTTCCAATAAGTGTGCGTTCAAATAGAGGTGTCAAGCAATTGATACTTACGAGGCAAAGCGAGGGTTATCATGGTTCTCCACGAAATTCCCTAGTAGAGTCGAGTCGGCGCAGGTTGACTTGACTGTGTTGATCATGTCGTAGAGATCGCTCATGCTTCCGCTTGTTGATTTGAAGGCTTTGAGGAGCGGGTAGTACCTGTTTATAGACAATTAGATTGGGGACTTTTTTGACGTTGGACTGAAATCTCACATTGGGTAGTTGAGTAATCCGTCCATGACCTTCTGGTAAGGACAAGTATAATCGGCATCGCCATCAAAGACCTCACCGATACAGTAGACGCCAGCGGCTTTGTTATAGCCGGGCCAAAAGCTCTTCTCGACATGTTTGACTGTGTCAACGCGAAGACCGTCAACTGAGTAGTATCAGCATTTAGATCATTGAATGGGAACAGGGCTGAGATGCTCACTTGAGTAGTTGGAGACCAATGATCCAACCCAGTCGTACCACATATTCCGGACATCCTCTCTTTCGGTATCCAGATCTGGAAGTGAAACGGTCGTATCACCGAGCCAGCAGTCTTGCACGTTGGTTTGGTTGCTGTAATCGTTGACCTCGCAGTAGGAGTGGAAGTACTTCTTCTCATTGAATGGGTCGAATGTGTCGTAGTTAATTGAGTCTCCGGAACCATCATAGCCCTTGGAATATGAGTGTCAATATAGCCCGAGAAAGCAAGACAGAGCTGGGTAGCTTGGGTTGACTAACCATGTGGTTGGCTACTACATCAACCATGAGATACATTCCACGTTTATGCAGTGCCGATGCAAGGTCTTTCAGATCATCTGCTGTGCCATAATGCGAGTTGAGGCCGTAACTTATGTTCTGTTAGTAATGCTACATCATGTACTGAAGTTGGTCCACTCACATGTCTTGCTGCCAGTATCCATGATAGGCTTGACCGTACTTGGTATCCTCAGTCAATTGGGCCGTTACAGGAGTAATCCAGATAGCCGTGAATCCCATTCCCTGGATATAATCGAGCTGTAGGATATGTTAGTGCTCTGCTAACAGTATTGATGACTAGGGTTATCACCTACTTTGTTTTCAATCCCCTTCCAGGTCCCGCCGCAGTATCTCTATTCAGCACAAATTAGTAATTCGATTCATCCTTGATCAATCGCTGAAGTCATACCCCCATACTAGCATCACAAGCCGCCGTAGTCGAACCGTCCGTCCTCGCGAACCGATCAGTAAGCATAAAGTATATAGACTGCGAGCGCCATTGAGCAGGAGTAGCCGCAATAGCAGAACCAAGCAAGCTAGCAAGCCAAGCAAAGCGTAAAAGAACCATGGCTTATCACGGTAGCTTCTAACAGCCAGCACCAAAATCAACGAAGGGGTGTCAGAGTAACTAGACAACAGGATAACAAAACAACCAAGAGACGCAGCAAGCAGCTCTATATAACGCAATCCAAGCAGAACCCCAAACTATGAAACTAACCTCCGAGTCTAGCACAACAGCCCCCAACAACCAATGAAATAGCCAAACCTGCTTCAGCCCTTTACAGTACATTAAATTCCCGCCCCTAGGTACATCGTCCGAAAAGAACCCAACCAAAACAAGAAGAAAAAAAAGCAAACCAAATCTCTACAGATATCCAGAAAAAGTAAATGCGATAGTTCCCAATAAATTAAATCTAAGCACTAAGCATCGCCCCAGTACGGAGAGTACCCATAAGAAAAACCCACAATGCGATCCTTCGCTCTCTTCAGGATGGTAACATATTTTCACGAGCACAAGTAGTAACATACACGAGTGCTGGTTTTTCACATGTTCTGAAGGATGATTAGTTGCGTTACAGGCCTGCGGGAAATTAAAAAATCCCTGTCAGCAGAACCCCTGAACGCGTGGTCGAATCAGGGTGCGCGGAGAGCGATTTGGGGTCTAAATTTGCAGGGTTGTGATGGGGATGGGTTACAATGGATTAGATCTATGTCGATCTTCTGGTTTATTGTCGGGGTTTCATCGGGTTGGATTGTTTCTTGTTGATTTTACGAGGACTGAATGAATAGTACATAGTTCCGGATCGACTGATTCTGTCTTCTTTTACTATACACTGGGATCATGTATACATGAAGCTAAAAGAAGTGAAAGAAATGAGGATTGTCTATATTGAGGCCGACTTTGCAATTTGGACTGAGACTGTGAATGCATCACGAGCGGAATCTATGGATGGTTATAGACGTTTTGGTAATGCGATCGGTGGGACATAAATTTCTTGCTTAACTTTGCCGAATAAGACATAACCGCTGTAAGGGATTCTATATTCCGCGATATAACAACAAAAAAGAGATTGATTGGGCTAGAAACCGCATTCTATACCAATAAGCAATCTGATGATAACTCATCTCCCGGCAAACAGATCTACCACTTAAGCACCCAGTTCTCACTAAACGCACCCTCACCTGTCAACTTCTCCAACCCAGTAACAGAAAGCACACGCGTGGTAGCATTATACTTCACATCAGACACAGGGACATGCTTGCCATTCAGCGTAACGGCATGCGGCATCTCAGAGACACCGAGAACAGTAACGTTAGCCAGCGGGTTCGACTCCTTCCATTCGCCGGTGGCATGGGCAGTCAAGCTTGAATCCTGTGCCTTGAATGCTACATTCAGGCTAGTGTCCGGCTTCACACTCTCCCCATCATCGATGTACAAGTCACCAACCGCAGACCCGTTAGTCGATAGTGCAGCGAGCAGCGACCATGGCGTGTTGCGTGCTTCCTTCGTTGTCAGTGCTGGCTCTTGCATGGGTAGGATACTACCGCCGCGCACAAAGACGGGGATGTGGCCCAGCGGAGCGGGGATGGTTGTGTTCACGCCTGGCTCGGCGGTGATTGCTGTTTGGTTGTACCAGTCGTACCAGACCTCTCCATGTTTCAGGCCTGGGAAGACGCCCTTGACGGTGTCGACTTGTGGTGCTAGGGCTGGGACGACCATTATCGATGGACCTAGGAGGAATTGGGTGTCGATTGCTGCTAGGGAGGGGTCTGTTGGGAATTCCCAGGCTAGGGCGCGCATGACTGTCGAGCCGGCTGTGTGTGCTTGGTGGAAGAGGGTGTAGAAGTAGGGGAGGATTGCGTAGCGGATGCTCATGGCTGCTTTTGTGGCTTCTGTGACGGAGGCCCAGATGTAGGGCTCTTGTGGGTTTGCTGAGAGGGTGTTGTGGTTTCGGTAGAAGGGGAAAAAGGCTGACAGTTGCATCCAGCGGTTGCAGAGTTCTTCGTCGCTGTTACCGCTGAAGCCGCAGGTGTCCACGCCAAACATTGGGATCCCGAAAAGGGAGAATGAGAGGGCTTGGGGGATTGAGAAGAACATGTAGGCCCATTTCGAGTAATTGTCGCCGCCCCAGTGACCGGCCCATTTGCCTGAGCCGGCGAATGTTGAGCGGCCGATTATGAAGGGGCGCTTTTGCTCGTCCACTGCGCGCAGGCCGTTGTAGGTGGCATTGAGGATTTGGTGGCCGAATAGATTGTGCACGTCGTATTCCTGGACGCCGTCGGAGTGGGTGGCGTTGGGAGACACGGCGTGGATGGCTAGGTCATGACCTGTCTGATCGTGGTTGAGGACATATGGCGGGTAATTGATGTTGCGCACACCAGGAGTGGGTGTAGTTCGCAAGTAGGAGACGCTGGAAGACGATTCAGAGGAACTTGTTGCGGCCGCAGCTTGACTAGATGAGGCTGACGATGCGGAGGCAGCCTCAGTCTTGTTTGTCAACTCGAATCCTTCGGGGTAGTCATAGATCACATTGCCAGGCTCTCCAGGCAGTGTGGTACCATGAACTGGGTTCAGGCTGAGGTTACCAGATCCGCAGCTACCGGTACAGAAGGAAGACACTTCGCTCATATCAATCCAGATACCGTCGATGGCTATTTTCTTGTGATAGGCCACAATCTCGTTTGACCAGAAGTCGCTTGTGTTGGGGTTATGCCAGTCAGGGAAGACTGTGTATCCGGGCCAGACAGCTCCGATGTACTCACTTCCATCGGGATTCTTCAAGAAGACGTTGTCCTTGTGACCGCGAGTGTAGGTCTCGTAGCTAGATTGCAGTTAGTAGATTCTTGCGTAAGAGTCTACGACAGACTTACGCATCAGATTTATTGTTAGGGTTCGGGATGTAGATGGCAGAGTCGATGATGGGGACATAATGACGGCCACTCTTGTGCAGCTTGTCAAGGAACTCCTCACCCTCACTGTAGGAGTAGCGATCCTTGTCATTTTCAAAGTCACGATAACCATGCATGTAATCAATGTCATTCCTGAATGAATTAGCATATTATGTGGACTAAATTGATTGATAGACCACCTACCAGATGGTTTCAAGAGGAATTCCAAACTTCTCAAAATTAGAAACGACCCTCTCAAGGGCAGTCCAGTTCTCATATCCCCAGCGACACTGGTGGAAACCAAGAGTAAAGTACTGCTGCAATGCAGGCAGTCCAATGGTGCTCAATTGGTAATTCTTGGTGACATCGGCCTGAGTAGGTCCCGAGTAGAAGGTGAGATCGATGCTACCACCCAGAGTGCGCCACTTGAATCCCTCGGGCTGCATAATCACTTCTTGGCCATGAGCATTTCGCGAGAACACACCGTGTGAGTAGGAGACATAGTCTTTGGACTGATCGGCCTTGTCACTCGCAACGAGGGTATGGCCGCCATTGTCGTTGACTTCGTAGTAGCGGGTATCGAGATAGAAAGGATGAGACCCATAGATATTTCTGATGAAACAATTAGTGTCAAGAAGAGAGCTATTTCCAATTCGACTTACTCGTTTATTGGATCACCCTGGTCCGAAGCGTAGAGAGTCAATGTGGCGTTGTCCAAAAGACGCAGCTGCTGAATGTGCTCCCCAATACCGTAAAGGTTGTAGCCTTTGGGCAAAGAGGTCATAAACTCAATGAATTGGTCTTCAAATACCAAGTGCGAACCGGTTGTATCAAAGATGGCATCCCCAGTAGCCTTGCGGGTAATCTTGAATTGGAAAGAAGGTTCATTAGACCAGGTGATTTCCAGATCACTATCCGTCTTCGAAGCATGCCCATCCGACTTGGCTCGAGGGACGGTATTCTCATCCAACAAGAACCAAGAGGAATTCGACGAATCAATGTAAGTTGGAACAATTTGAACATTGAGTCGATCATTGGCAAGGTACTCAACCGACAAATCCAGCGAGTCAACATCGGTACCATAGGCATTGCATGCCTTCCCAGCGAGCCCTAGAGTAGCAGTCAACCCCCTGGCAGACTCCTTCACGTTGGAAGCCTTATACCCAGGACAGGCCGACTGGGCATCGATAGCCTCAGGATCATCGATATTGGCAATCAAATCGGCGCCAACATCCGCACTAGCAGGCAGACTGAACTGAGAGTACGCCGCAGCCGAAGTAGAGGATGCCGAAGTAGAAGCCGAATGGGAGGAAGCTCTGGAGGCGGATGTAGAGAAAGCACCGTAGGCAGCCGGCACCAGGCAAGCGCCCACGAGGAAATCCGATAAACCAACCATGGCAACCGATTCCAAAATCAATTGATGAGAGAAAGCCTGGGTTTCAGCAGTGCATGCTCAGACCGGGTTGTTCTTATAGTCTGCTCGGAACACGGGTCGCTGCACTATGGTACATGTACAGCAGATGTAGACTTGCCCGAGAATCAGACCGCCATCCCGAGACCGGCAGCAGAGTGATTCTCCGTTGATTCTCCGTCGAGACTGGATATCCCGATCGCATTCCTTCCCGAGTGGCTGAATGCTTTTGCGGGGTGAGGCTACTGAAGCTGGGGCTGGGAATGTGGAGTCCCTTGCGTGTAGTGCAACTGGGAAATGGCATGGATGTTGCAGATCGGAATGCAATCCAGGCCTGGAACATTACTCATGTACAGTTTGAAGGAATTGTATCCTATTAGAATTTCGCCCTTCTTTCGCCATTTCCCGAGTCGCTTTTCAAGCCGTTTGGCAAGCCCTATTGAAGAGAGTTTCGAGCACATCTCCCACTATACAAAGCTGTTAGCTAGAAGCCCATAGTGCTCCAGAAAATAGATCAGTCACACAGTCATTCAGGCCATCCATATTGCATGGCGGTAGAGCCCATGCTCTACCTGAAAGAGGATTCACGATGTCATAGTCCCACATCACATTTCCGACGTAGCAGTCGGCGAAAGAGAGTTAAAGCAAGAGTGTACGAGATTGACGAGCATTGGAATAATCATAGAGTGTCGATCGCCAGAATCAAGACCTGTGATTGGCCAAATGCCCGATAAATGTCCGTCTGGCAAGTTAACAAGCTCTCGGACTCGGACATAGCATCATAGCTGAAATCATACGAATGCCGAGGTGCGGTGAGCCCTTTCTCACTAGTGGAGAAGCTTATAAGTACGCAAGAAACCTGGAGTAATTGGAGTTCTGCTTTCGCTGGAACCTCGGTGTTTATTTCTCTGGATATCCGGGGGCCAGTCCCACTTAGCCATGAGAGAAGCCAAGAAACTCTTTATTCAATATGGCATGATCCCAGTGGGAGTGCGGCGATATCCCTCTTTGCTGTCTCTCGGCTTCCCGAGGAAAAAGAATTTTTGCCGACACTTCCAGGCATTTCCAGGCCCAGAACTATACTGGGGCTAGTGAGAAGCCGTGAAGAAGTTGATTGGAGAAGCCAAGGCCATTGAAGCGAGGTGCCTAGTGTCCACTTCATATTAATACGGTTAAGCGGCAGTGGAAAATCGCGCATCGCATCCAAGTTGGTTTAGTTGCAGAGCGAGATGTCAGACATAGCCGACCCGGCCAGTGCGTCAGGGCTTCAGATCTCAAGTTCATGTACCTGGATAGCTGCGTGTATACGGGGGTACCGGATCAGTCGGAATAGAAAGAGGAGAAGAGCAGTAGAAGATGCCAACATCCCACAGACCTAGTCATGTAGGTACGTACCATCGAATCAGCAGCGAACAGACAAAGCATTCAAGCGAACTCGGCCCGACAGCCTCGCCCCTGATGAGATTTATATGAAGATGTGCAGGGGCCTTGCGGGGGTACACCCCGCCCTTCCCCAGGTTCTCAAGTTCTCAACTTGTTTAGAATGTCAACTTTCTCATCTTCACTTCTGGTACAAAATGGACAAAAAACAGGCATGCGACAACTGTCGCCGCCGCAAAATAAAATGTTCCCGAGAACTCCCCTGTGACAAATGCCAACGACTCCTATTGTCATGTTCATACAGCGATGTGCTCCGTCGCAAAGGCCCGAAGTTCCGAACCCTGTACCCGTTGGCACCGGTCAACCAAGCCCCCGAAGTGTATCCCGAAAAGGACATCCCGTACCGATTCGAATCGCCAATTTCACCATTTAACATTGCCGATTCCCAATTCGCCAATCAAGACTTTTCAGACGCTTTTTCGCATCTACCACCAGAACTCGTTTCTTCACCCGGATCAACAGATTCAACCGTCGAATCTGCAAATGGATATGCCCGCCCCCATGCACGCCGTCTGTCACCACAGATCCTCCTCGCGCATGTAAATGTCTACCTGAAGTACCTATTTCCAATCATGCCAGTGGTGCGCGGCGACCAGCTACGCCAGGATAGCCACCAACCAACCCGACTATCACCGAAGCGCTACGCATTCCTGGCATCTCTCTGTGCGGCAACGCACATCCAGTTAAAATTGGACGGCGCGACGCCGGTACCGGATCCGGCTCGGTTACAGAGTATTGGGAATGGGCATTCGTTGATGTCTGGTGAAGAGCTGCTTGCTGAGGCTGTGCGGGCGCGGCGGGAGTGCGATGTTGTTGAGGATATTGGGACGGAGTCGCTGTTGACTTCTTTCTTTTTGTTTGCTTCGTATGGGAATTTGGATCGGCAGGATCATGCTTGGTTTTATTTGTGTCAGGCTACCTCCATGGTGTTTAGTCTTGGTTTGCATCGAGAGTCTACGTTTGGTGAGTTTGGGGTTGAGGAGGCTGAGGAGAGGAGAAGGATATTTTGGTTATTGTTCATTACGGAGAGGTGAGTGGATTGGATTAGATGGCTGATGAGGATGGATTGATGCTAATGTGGATGACAGAGGGTATGCTCTTCAACAAGCCAAGCCAGTGATGCTGCGCAGCTCGATTCATAAGCCACAGGTTCTTGGCTCCGAGGATCCCATCTTGGCATATGGGTTCATCAACTTGATCAACATTTTCGAGAAACTCACTCCAGATCTATACGACTGGTTATCAGCCGGAGGCGGAGATAGTACTTTGGAAAGACCACCGACATCTACAATTCAATCCGGTCTATGCAAGAATATTTCACTGGATGGAGTACTTGAGATCCAACAAGTCGATATTCTGATCACGCAGCAATGGCTACAAGCAATGATGTGGAAATTGTCCATGAGCCATGCCACACAACCTGGTTCTCATGACAATGCAGTGCTCCCATTCCACCTGCCAGTGATGGTAGGCAAAGCCGTCATGAGTGTGATCGGTGCTGCATCACAGGGGGCGGTAGACGCCCATGGTATTGGAATGGTAAGACTTTCCACACCCCGAGACTGAGATCCCAATTTCCCAAATACTGATTCATATTGTAGGAACAAAAACTGTTCGACATGGGCTCCTCCGTCGCAGACGTCACACGATCCCTAGGCTCAAAAGCCGTCCACCGAATAGCCGAGTCAACAATCGACCCGAACGAGTTACTATGGGGAATACTGCACACGCTATCCCAGATTCGTGGCTCACCTTCATACCTCTTCCCGACATTATTGGAGCGTTGCAAGACCGTGCTTGGACTAGACGGCACCATAAACACAGGGAACTTCCTGCCTATTCTTGGTGCTGCAGTGCCGGATCAGTTGGCTTCGTGGTCTGGTCAGCATGTTTGGGATTACTCCGCTAGTTCAGAGGATATCCGAGAGATGCGTGAGGTTGATCATGACCATGAGAGGGACTTGGTTCCCCAGGATCTTGGTTTCCAGACTGGTTTGTTGGGATAGCGCTATTGTTTGAGTCTGTCGATTTTGGACGCGGTGCGTCATATGATACCACTGGAGTTTATAGATGATATGAGTATTTGGGAGCATTATTGGAATTTTTTATAGAGAATGCAAGCAATCAGAGTGTTCAATCGGGTCTTGCACGTTGCATGTTGATATAGTTCTCCGTCACATGACTCTCCAAACGGTCTTGGCATGTTTGTCTCGGCATCGGTGAATCTCCAATTTGACGATCAGCTTCATGCGACTTTCTTCCCAATTGCTTGCAACATCACGATAATGCTATACTGGTACTTACTCATTTGTTTTGTATCCTTATTCAAATATCCATAAAACTAACTCTTGTCCACCCAGAGCAATCCGGTTCTCGCATCATTCAAAGCTCCCAGAGCCAACCCTCTAGAGCTAATTCTCATTCAGCCTTGACTAAACACCCAAAATGGCCTCCCTCAGAGCAAGGACAACTCCCCTCCGAGCTCTCTGCTCACTCCAGCCACTCAAAAGAACAACACCACTGAAACCAACACTCACCACACGCTCAAACATCCAATCCGTAACACTCCCAACCCGCAACCATTCAACCTCCTCCGTCTCAGCCGATGAACTCTCCCACTTCTCAGCCCTAGCCAGCTCCTGGTGGGACCCAATGGGCCCCTCGCGAATCCTCCACCTTATGAACCCCCTCCGCCACGAGTTCATCGCATCCTGCCTAGCCGAAGGCTCAACCGAAACAACACCCTCCCCCTCAAACCCCAACTCCGCAACCTTCAACTACCTAGACGTCGGCTGCGGCGGCGGCATTTTTGCGGAATCCCTCGCCCGCACAATCCCCCCTAGACGCCAACGGCCCAGCACCAACACCCACCCGGGCAGCCTCAATGACAGCCATCGACCCATCAACAAATCTAATCCAGATGGCGCGCGAGCACGCGCGCATGGATCCAACCGTTGATGCGCATTTGCGCAGTGGGAAATTCAAATACTTGAATACAACGCTTGAGGATGTTCTCGCTTCAACTTCACCATCAACCACAACACCTGCTTCAACAATCACCACAGCAACACCCCAATTCGACATCGTAACCCTCTTCGAAGTCCTCGAACACATCGACCCGAAAACCTCCAGCCCACTTACATTCCTAACAAACTGCCTGCGCGCCCTCAAGCCCGGCGGCTGGCTAATCGGCTCGACAATCTCGCGCACATTGCCCTCATTCATTCTGAACCAGGTTATCGCCGAAGCGCCGTGGCCGATCGGTGTTGTGCCGCGTGGGACACATGAGTGGAGTAAGTTTGTCAACCCGCCTGAGGTGAAGGGGTGGTTGCAGGAAGGTCTTATGAGGGCTGCTGATACGGGTGTTTCGAGGGGCGGGGCGAGCGTTGCGGAAGATATGAGTTGGAAGTGTGTTGGTGCGATTTATGTTCCTGGGCTTGGGTGGAAGATGGTTCCTGGGAGTGAGGACTGGGGGAATTATTTCTGGGCTGTTAGGAAGGGGTTTTAGTTGTTGGATTTTGTATATTGCATTTTGCATTTTCTTTGTTTTAGACATTGTATATTAGAATGAGTTGTTTGGTTTGAATTGTATCATTTGATTGTGTTTTGATGGTGTAGGTATTTTTAAATGGGGACCTCTTCTTAATATTTTTTTTGATATTTGTAATTCATTCGGTGCACTTGTATACACATGCTATATACAATACAAGGCAGGCCAGTCCAAAGAACAGACAGAGCACAAGTACAAGTTTTGTTCATAATAATGTTGACGGTAAGGTGAGTTAGTCACCTCGCCGCATTGAGCTGCTCACTGAGCAAGCTGATCGCTCACCCCGTTGCTCTCCCCTGACCAGCCCTTCTATTCTCGTTATGCTTTCTAGCTTTTGCCGGCTCCGATTGTGAACGAACTGCCTACTAGTGTTCCTAGGAGTTTAAGTCTAGAGACAAGATATTCCCACGTCGCTATAGTGACTTGCTGTCCTCTTCGAACTCTCGGCCGATCGGCACTCCTGTAGGAATGAAAGCACCTAGAGGAGTGAGTGATCCTCCTTGAAACTCCGCCCTAGTGGTAGTCTCTTCATCTCTTACCCTTTCGTCAGATAAATAGGCTGCGCGCTAGTAGGGTGAGACTTACAGTGGCGTGCCTTCTGTAGAGTATTCTTGCCAACAAATGAAGAAAGCACAGCTTGATTTGGCTATTCGGACGTCAGAAACGAATAGGTTAAATTCTGGATTCACCTCGATATTTCTAATGACGGATGAAGGTGAGGACATTCCGGCAAGCCTGTTTTGTGTTTGAGAGAGATTTCGCTTTTCACCTAATCATAGGGCTCGAGGAAGAGGCGTCGTGGAGTAAATAAAACAGAATTGTTTGGGGAGCTATAGATATAGAGCGAGGAGAAATAGATATATTTCAGCTATCGGTGGATGACATGAATAGAAATTGCAAGATTATAAGGGGATTGGATTACGACTTAATTAATCGGACAATAATTCTTTTCCTTCTTTATTATTCTTTACCTGGCTCGTGACAGAGTCAAAATAATTATGTACAATACGCGCTGGTAGAATAGGTCGCTAATTGTTCTGGTGCTTCACCCGTGATGTTGCAAACTAGTGGAGACCTTTTACGGGTTTAGTATTTTCTGGCTTATCTACCGCAGATTTAGTGACCCTATAGGGGCTGGTAGCAATTGGGGTCATCTGCTCTAAATCCTTATCTATTTCCTGCTCGATTTTCGGTTCCCAAAACACTTATATGTAATTTGGTAGAAGCCATCGAAACAAGATAGAAGACAAGCACTCCATAGGGCCACTTTGTCAAAGAGATTTAAATTGTGTAGACGAGTATATGGTAAAAGCATCAATAGAGAGTTTTTGAACTTAGGCTAGTGCTTTTTTATTTAACCTAGGAGTTTACAAGGGGACCTATTTCTACCGTCTAAGGTGGCCATCATTGCACCTTATTATTGAACCGAAGATCTAGTTATGGTGAATACCCGCCTATCTCTCCAGTGACGATAGTATACTTACATTAGAAGCCGGCCCCGATTCCTGTCCAAATCCTGTATAGGCCGGCAAAAATTGCTTTGAAGGCATTGCGCTTCTTGAGAATTGCGTCTCCGTCACACTTAGAATAGAGGTCCTCGGAAAACCTCAGCCAAGATGCTAGAATGTTGCTACGTGTCTGCAACACTTTGAGAAGCAGAAGATACCAGGAACCCCGTCTCGAAGAGAGCAGTTCTCTCAAAAAATGACTTATACGTCCACATGGGGGATATATTACCCGACCTCAGTTATGGTATTGTTCTAATACTAGCGCCGATAACTGGGCATTTTGATGCTTTATCTTCTGAAGTATCACATGGCTTAATTATTTTCTTGAGAAAGACTTACAACAGTGAAGTGGACTAACATCGAACCAATCATATAAGAGGGAAATAGAATTGGTAGAAGCCGTTCATGTTCGTTCTTACCGTCCATTGAACTAGAGAGAGAAAACCCCAATTTGCTCCAGGCCCAAGGATTATCTCAGTACCTGTAGATCAATCCATCTCTTTTGGGCACTTCACGAATCCATAAACAAGAAGTAAATGATTTGATTGCCTGGCTGAAGCTGCTCCAAATCATACTCAAGTTGCAACTATTGAAATGAAACCCGTCTCGCTTGGGACAGGAAGTCCCCTGGACACAAGCTTGCTAGCCCTTTTAGCTCTTGTCTTCGAAGACAGGCGTTCCCATTTTTCATACAGAGTTAAGTCCGAGCATGAGATCCTTGCTATGTGGCCTTGATCAGGAGCCTCTTGAAATTTTTCGGCATTAGGCGTATCTCTGGGTAACAAGGAAGCGCGCGACCAGCCGTCAGCATCATCAGGCACTCGGGAAATGGTCCACTGCTCGCTATCTTTTTCAGCAGGGAGCTCTTCGGGGACAGACTCAGGGTCTTCCAGGACAGGCTCAGGCTCTTCCGGGACAGGCTCAGGGTCTTCCGACACAGGCTCAGGGTCTTCCAGGACAGGCTCAGGGTCTTCCGACACAGGCTCAGGGTCTTCGGGGACAGGCTCAGGCTCTTCCGACACAGGCTCAGGGTCTTCGGGGACAGGCTCAGGCTCTTCCAGGACAGGTCCTTGAAGAGGAGAGTTATTTGAGATGATGCCGTTCGGTATCTTCACTAATAATGCCGTAAAAATTAGGTTCAGTCTGATTACCGTATCGTCAATCTGTTGGAAACGACTTACCATACTGATCGTTCATAGAAAATAAGCGAATAGATAGTATCTCGAGAATCATTTTCATCACTGCATTATCAAACTGATGGTCCTGGCCGAGAATATTGTAAAACTCGCGTAAACCAAGCTCTGGATCTTCAGGCTTTAGTAATCGCTGCAGGTTCCCATGAATGTAACCTGGAAGCCAGGTTTCACCTGCGGGGAGGCTTGAAAACACGTCCCTCATGACCCGCAGTATTTCAAGAACAGGAACCTCCTCATCTAAGTGCTGCATCTTTTGCTGAGCAAGGGTTTCAAGACCAGTAAGGCCCCAGTTCCTTGACGCATGGTATACTAGAGCGCTTCTCTTGTATTCTCTGGCAAGATCTGATGTGCCTTCGTCAAGAGGCGAGCTGACCGTCTCGTAGCCGCCTGTGTATAAGAAGTGCACCACGGTATGCCCAACGTCTTCGTCAACATTAGACATGATGATAGTTGATAGTGCAGGAACTGAAAGGGCGAATTTTTGGTAATTCCGAAGGAAATGAGCGGGAATGCCATATTGCTTGCTCCCTATAATGAGGGTAACAAGAGGGAACTCGTAGGGCCAGTGAATAGGTCAGAAAACGCTGATTGTAACTCATTCAAAAAACTTACGATGACAAAGGCCGATGATAGTCAATTTTGGGGGAGATCTCTGGGGTGAAGGGTCGCCTGGACACCTCATTCGACTTTCGCTGTTTCGTTTTCTTTTTTGCCATGGTTCAGTCTTAAGTTTTGCCGGCTATCAAGCAATTTTCAGGATATTCTCCAAGAAACATATGAGAGATAAAGATGAGAGAAAGCCAGACTACTTCTAATATGGGGGAGGGGGTATGCGGGAGAAGCAAGGTAATGCAAGTATGAGTTGTCCTACAAAGCGTCCGGAACACGTCATCTGTGCAGTGAATGGCAATTTAGTGTCAATTATTGAAATGCAATGTGAGCCAGTAGATGACCTGCTACGAATAACTCTTTTCTCTTCTCTTCGACCCTTGATGTCGATAGACCATGGAGATAGCTTATGCGACAAGCTTGGGTGGGTTGCTGATGATCGCCCGGGCCGTGAACGGAACCGGGCCGACGTGGGACTGTCCTACTTTGCTCCGATATAAGAAAAAATTCTGCAACGAAACAGAACTCAAAAGACTACAACAATAATCCACGAGGGCACTTCTTTGGCTACCCTTAAATCATACCTTACTGAAATTTGCACCTCAGATGCCGTTCGTGAATTGCGACTCAGAAAATGTGTGGTGGTTCAAAGGTAAAATCTGGTCGAACTTATTTGATTGATTCATCGCTACTCCTTTTTCCACCGTGGAGAAGCTATATTATCTTGGCGGAATAAATACAAACTCTGTATGACTGGATTATTATACGGCCAGTATCATGTGACCTATAGCCTCTTGTAGGGCTTGTGCTCTTCGGTGATATCTCACGTGAAAAAAATACTGTACCAGACAGCCTAACTACAGAATATCAAATAGAACCACACTAGTCGGTCAAGCTCTACAGAAGTGCTCGATTTTCTCGCAACGTCACAAGAATAAAGGGACTTGCGCAGAGCCTATGTCTGCCCATTTATACTATCAACATAGTACCAGAAAACCACTGAAAGATGAAATTCCGAGGGTTGGGGTTTGGGTCAAACAAATTACCGGTGGTTGGACAAAGACAGATCCGTGTGGAACTTGGGACGCAGTGGGTAATCGCTTTCCTTTTGACTGCGGCCTTCCCAATGACTAATTAACGAACGTGCGGAACCTTTGGGGCTGCGATGGGTTCACCGATTTTATGGGAATAAAGCCTATTAATAACGAATCGGCGTTGAAGCCCTATACGCTGGCAACCCTTGTTTAGGGTCTGACCCGTAAGGACCAAATTCAGCTACGTAGAGGTGCAATTAGCATTTTCTAAGGCAATTAAAGGTATTTGTATATTGGATAATGATCTGAAAAAAGATTGGCAGCAGAATCACTAGCACCATATTTGAAGCTGTAATTACATATGACCTGCCCACTTGGTTTTCGTGTCAGTTATTTGAACCTCGATTCCCGACTGGGCTCCTAAATCTCTAAGTCCCTGTATCATTGTAGATTTCTAATCCCGCACTTCTATCACACTCCCTAACAGACAGTATCCTCGGAGATACGGCGTGTATCTCTTCTAGTTTTGGAGCCATAATCGAATAGCCTCCAATAAGTAGTCAGTCTTCTATTCCTTCCCATTGTTCTTGCATATATAAGCCGTTAGTCAAAGTCAACTATTCAAGGCTTCTAGGTAGTGCCACTGCTAAATGATTCGCATTTGACATCGAGGGAGAAAATCCGAGCAGAAATAGAATCGGAACCTCTAGACTTACCGGCGCATGATTGCAAGCATACCGACGGAGCTAAAAAACGACGCAATACGCCTCCTGCAATTCCTAGTACACTCCACGCGACCTCTCAAGCTGGCCGAGGCCGAACAAATAATTGCGACGCAGATCGAAAATGAGCCAAGAGGGGTTGACATCAAGCGTCGACTGTTACTGTCCCGGATTAGTGACTGTCATTCACGCTACCGATAAAGAGCTACATCTTGCCCACTTTTGCGCCAAAGAGTATCTTCTCGGTGAGAATCAATTCAAGATGACTACTGCCAGTATTTCCATCACGAGGACGTGCTTGACTTATCTTACGGACATCACCGGTAGCAACAGAGAGATCAAGCGGGATTTTCCGATGGCAAGGTATGCGGCAGAACTTTTGACAGGCCATGCTTCGTTAGCTCAGGCTTCCGAAGATACAGTTCAAATGACTCGGCCTCCTAGAGGAAGTATTCTAGTGGAATTTGCTCCTCTTTTCCGATGCTAGCCCATCGTCGGACTTATCTTTAGACTCAGAGTTAGGTTCGCTGCTTGAGTCGAAGACGTTAGGTGCGGTGGAGGAATCAGAGTCGGAAGCGTTGTGCGAGAAGATCTCGGGCACGCCTAAGCTAGTGTCGCTCTTATCGGTAGGCGGAACAGGATATGAAGAAGATATAGCAGCGGAACGCAGTGTGTGATCAAAGAGGGGACAGGAGGAGGGAAGACGAGTTGAAGCACGAGAGCATAGTTGAGATACGTCAGCTGTGTAGATAAAAAACCGCTGGCACTTTCGCCGAGTCAGTTCAGTAGGGCATTCTTTACCATGCACCAATGGGTAAACTCTTACCAAGAAAATATGTCTGCATAAGTTTTAAAAGACTCCTCGGGATTGGTAACAGATGCCATCTTTATCACCTTGGAAGATAGTCTGGTCGATGCCGGCGTAGCCAGGCTTGCACGTATGTGCGCACACGATATCGTTCCTCAAGATCTTGCAGATGCTCGTTCAAAAGATATAAAGAAAATAAAACCACGAACGCGACTACCATTGCGATGCGCACGCTATTATGCATGATGAAGGCAGAATCACGAATTCAAGACGCTGTTGCAAACTGCGCTGTGTGTTCTCCGCGGCAGGAACCCAGTGTCCCTCGATAGAAGATATCCTGACCCATCAATATCGTAGCATAAGTGGCGAGTTGGCTGATAAATAGGCAACAAGATAAGAAAAGTAGCTGATATTGCTCTTATACGCATTCGGATAGGGCGGCAAGTCTCTTGACCACTGGACCGTCACCAGTACATGGGCGTTTGTTGATTACCTGGATGGTCTTGGCGCTCTACTCCATGGCAGCAAAAGTTCCTCGCCTCTTCAGCTCCATCCTATCAAAATGCATCTTTGGAGAACGCTATGGGTCAGCGTATTCTGTGGAGCGGCTGCCGCAGCATTCAGCGAGCATCCAGCGGCATCCAGCGAACATCCAGCGAACATCCAGCGAAGCAAATCTAGATTACCAGATGGCCTCTTCCAACTTTGTCTTCGATTTACGCTCTTTTTTCGCCCTTTTGAATTTACTTTGTTTTCCGTCTGGTTACTCCTTATTTATTCTGTCTCGCCTTGGTTTCGCTCGCGCTCGAGCCTGGGTTCTGTCGCCTCCTCGACTCTATGTCCCGGCGCTAGAAACGACCAATCATTTGTTGCGCGACTCTCGAGATATTTAGGCCTGAAAGGCCTGTGATACTAGCTCACCGAAACCATTTGACGACTCCAGACTCTAGGTTCACTTGACTTGTCGCATTTGTCTCCTGACTTGACCACCGTCAACCACCATCATGCAGCGCGGTCTTTTCGTCTTTCTCCTGATCAACCTTTTCATTCTTATTCTCCTGGTTCGCAATGTCTCGACGCTGCTATCGCTACTCGTCGAAGATGCTGCCGCCGACGCGATTCACCGCGCCGAGTTGCCCTCGCCAAACTCCAGCCTGATCGAACAACACCCCCAGATCATCCCTAAGATCATTCACCAGACCTACAAAAACGAGACCATTCCTGAAGTCTGGGTCAATGCCCAGCAGAGCTGCATTGACCTGCACCCGGACTACGAATATATTGTACGACCCGCGTGTGACCCGGCCTGAATCTGTGTTAACGATTGTTCCAGCTGTGGACGGATGAAACGTCGCGCGAGTTTATCACAGCCAAATATCCCTGGTTCCTCGAGACCTTTGACGGCTACAAATACCCCATCCAACGCGCAGACTCGATTCGTTATTTCGTTCTGGCCCACTATGGCGGAATTTATATCGATTTGGACGACGTATGTAGTTACCTAGCAATAGCCACTTTTGATACGGATGTTCTAACCATCACCAGGGCTGCAATCGTCGCTTAGATCCTCTGCTTACTTACCCTGCGTGGGCGCGCCGCACTGTACCCACTGGTATCTCCAACGATGCAATGGGCTCAGTGCCCCAACACCCCTTCTTCCTGCGCGTGATCGAATTGCTCCAGCAGTACGACCGCCACTGGCTCCTCCCCTACATCACCGTTATGTACTCGACCGGGCCGCTGTTCCTATCAGTTATCTGGAAAGAGTATATACAAGACTACCCGTCCGAGATGAGCCGTGTCCGCATTCTTATGCCGGATGAGTACAAGAAGTACTCCTGGAGCTTTTTCACCCACCACACTGGAAACAGCTGGCACGGCAAGGACGCGCATTTCATTTTCTGGGTAAAGAGATTTCGAAACCCCGGGCCGTTTGATCACCACTAACAGACATAGATGGGCCAACACTGGATGTTCCTCACCTTCTGCGGCTTCCTCCTCGCCGCCGTCGTCGGCTTCTGCCTCTTCTGGACCTATGGTCGAATCTTGCTCCTAGGGGCCCAGTATCGCTACCGCTACAGCAAGGTCTCTTCAATCATCAGCCCGTCCCGCTTTTCCTCCTCGCCTTCGCGACGTGCGCGTCGCATAATGCCCATCCTACTGCGGAGGGTAAGCTTCAAAAGAGACGAGGCCACCGAGACCTCGTTCGAACTCGGTCTCCGCGACGACTGAGACATTTGCGATTCTTTTCGCTTTCAGTTTTCGTGTATCGATACGGCCTTGTACACGATTCCTGCATACCTAATAGCATTTGGTGTATATGTACATATTTCTGTCTATAAGCGCTACATGCATAGCGTCTATCTTCCGGGATCCGGGATTGGTTGCTTTCACCTGGAGCACCTCGGGGTCCTTTTTCTCGTCTTTTTTCCTCACCTTGATCTACCCTATGGGGGGTGGTGAGATGCACTGCGTACTAATGAGGGTTTTTGTTTTACTATAAAGGAAATTGGCGCTGGTGCAGGTTGACTACTTGGATTTCGCGAGTATATTTAAATTTATCGGTTAGACGAATTTAGAATTTGAGTTATAATTTGGAGACTACTTAATACCTTTAGTTTAGACATCGCCTAAGTATTAGATAAGGTTAGACATTGACATGTCCCGCCTATAGTGATACCCACGTGGGTAGGGCCTGACTTGACTGTCATGCACGACTACCTGGTCGTCGTTATGCTAGAAGAATCCTGGGTTATACTCGCCTATGCTTCTCTGTCTTCCAATTTCAATGATCCGTCTCGCAGCTGTACCGTTGCCGAACAGACCTTATACGGGCAGAGTCCTTTTGAGCATATCGAGTAATGGTGCCAGGTGGAGCGCCGAATAGATCTATATGGGAGTATTGGTCTATTTGTGAATGGGATCAAGTTATAATCAAGTAAAGAGTCGCCGAGTATCCAAAGCGTAAATACAGGTGACAATGTGGAACTGAACACCAAGAACTATACTAGATACATGAATGAGTATCCTTATATATCCTGGGCCTCATATGGTAGATGAGTAGAAAGTAGAATAGTAGATTTGTCTTGGCAAGATCTACCTGTTGACCGTCGACCTTTCTACTACTTAAATGATCGTGTCATTGATATTTCAAAGGAAAGCGCAGCATAATCAGAACCAGCAAGTCTTTATCGATCTAGCCCTAGTCTTCCGCATCCCATCAGAAACATCTCCGATTTTTGATGGGAAGGAAATGGGAGATAACTCAGATAGGCCATTATAAATCTGAGAACGCTCGGAGTTGGTCAGACCTCTCACCATCCCTGCCACCAATTTGCGTATATTTAGAAGCATCTCATCAGCCTGAACCGAGCACAAATGATATTTAATCACGAGGATCCACCTATATTCTCGCTGAGAAAGAGTAGGTCATCATTATCCTGCCAATTCACATTCCATTCCATCGGATCCAATATCGAGAAATCGAGGTCAAAATTCGAATCGACCTCTGGCGAAACTCCTGCCGCTACGGCTTCCCGGCTATCGCGTTCGGTTTGTGCAGCTGCATGCCGTATATTTGCTTTGATCATGCCCCTGGCCGCAACATCTGCGACATAGTTATTAGCCATAAATGACTCGGCTTTGCCTAAGAACGGCGTGTCTTTGTTCCAGTCTTCGTCAATCATATGCTCGATGATTCTGCAGACCCGCACGCACTGAGACCGTCGGTCATTTGCTGTTTGAGACATTTCCCTCATGAGTGTAAAAGTCTGTCTGATGATATTTCTGATACCTGTCTCGTCGATTAACTCACTGGGTGCTGTCTTAAGAATGCGTAAGAGGAAGAAGACGGCGTAGCTTGCAGAGCGAAACACATGGAATGTCCCTTTGCTTAGTGCGTCCGGAAATGTAGTCAGCACGATTAGGAGCTGTCTTGCCGTGATACTGCTTTGGACGATGAGTTCATTCTCTGGATGAAGGGTTTTGAAGGTCTCGGTTTTTTGCTGGTCGAGAACGTAAGAGTACAGGCTGAGCCGCGCGTCAAGGAATGATACTTCATCGGCAGGCGACCATTCGCACGTGTATCTGTCTTGTATCATGCAAAGCTCAGTTTCAAACACCCGCACAAGCGGAAGGGGGTCTGCAGTGAGCCCGGTGGCCGAAGTCTCACATTCTCCCAGGGCAGCCGAAATCTTCGAGGTGACGACGGCGATGTGAAGTTGAATTCTTGTAGTCGCTGGTACCCAAGGCATCGAAACATTCAGGGCATGAAGGACAGTGTGGTCGATCCTGATGGAACTTGGCACCCCGAATCTAGCAGTATGCCTGCGAAGTAATCAGCGAGCTCATGAACAGCTCAGGAGCAATCCTACCATTGATCCACAACGAAACAAGACAACCAGGTTGCCGTCCGAGTTTCCAAGGTTCCGATCTCCGACGCCTTTGCCGCAAATAAAAGGAATGGATGTTGTGGACGATGCAAACCAAGAGACCGTGCCATAGAAATGGCCAGTGCACAGTACATTGAAAACGGCTCCTTGTTCATGTCTTCATGGGGAAAAGACCAAACACAGAGTAGAAGTAGAGCTTGAACGAGGTAGATGGACCGGGTACCAACGATGAGAATGTCGGCTACCAATTGCCTCAAAAGAATTTGTAACCGAGCGTAGTCAGATGCATACTTCTCTGAATCTTTGCTTGCAATGGCCAATACGCTCCAAAACAGCAAGGGTGCTTTCTCGTAGCTATCGATTGTGGTGGCAGGGTCAAGCAACAGCGGGAACCTTGGGTGTAGACGAGAATAATACCTAAAGGGTCGTGAGCGGGTAGAACATGAAACACCACTGGCTTGCCATACTCTTCTAGCAGTTCTGCTACAACACTGGATGTGAGGTTGACCCCAGTAGCCTCATGGGTAAACCGAGCAGATCTCTTCCCGCCGAGGCGCAATTCGGCAGTTATACTTGCTACGGAAGAATCCGAGCCAGGTAAAGGTCCATCCGGTCTCGACGACAAGCTAGTCGGCTCAGTGCCTGATCCTTCGGAGCGGGGCGCCCTGTATGCAGGATGACATTCTTCATATACATGGCTGGGCTTCAGACTATGTTCGATTAGAGTGAAAATACGGCAGGAAAACAATAGGCATTGGGCCGGTGTTACCTTCTCTTGGATGTCCTCTTGAACGAGGGGTCAACAGAGCACCGCTCACCTGCTTTTTCGCAAGCCGAGCAAGCTGCCGGAAACTTTTGACTGGCATTACATTTCACCTGAAGACATTAATTGATTTTCGAAGTGGTGGCGTTGGCTCCGAGAACAAGAACCGGAGAGCGGTCTGATTCTCACCTTCATCTGGCGACATCGCACACAAGGAACGCCAGCCCGGCGCGGCTTGATATGAGAGGTCGAGTTTGCATGCGAGCGAGCCCCTGTAGATTGAAGGTTCTCCATTTCGATAGATCGAAAGGCGGTGGCCACTGGCACTTCGCGCCCCGTTATCTCGGCAATCTAATGAATGACCAAGATCAACTCGTTGACAAGCCACAGTAGTAAACCTTCATCGGTCATCTGACAAGTGAATGTTCATCGAACACCGACGGCTATATGGATGCGTGTCTGCTCGACACGACGTGCGTTCCGAGCCGATCAGCACCGTTTCCGGCCAGTTTCGCTGCATCTAGCGCGATATCGCTGGCACTTCTGATTCGAAGAGCGAATCAGGCCCCCACTGGCTCACGCCCAATCTTTGTTACTAAGTTGGTGACTATGATATCAGTCCTACAAATAGCAACGTGATTTCAACTCACCCGTCACGGTAGAACACCATATCATGTACTAAAGATCATGTTTATCCAGGATAAATTAAAGTGATGAAATATTGGATACTCCCCTGGGAATGACCTTGCAACCAATATGATGTACCCAGCAATTGCATCCTATCCATTTCCGAGAGCTGCCCATGCTTCACTCGAGATGTTTCACCGAGTATTAATGTTGACGTTAGCAAGGAGGTCGGCATAACCGTCAAGACCACACAGTATTGGAACCTACCGGCTCTAACTCGGAGTTCGGCTCAGTAACGCGATTCCTTTTACAAAGACCGGGGGCATGTCACCTTGACTTGCTTTACATCACAGGGGCTCGGTCTCAACGAGACTAGGCCTGTACGTTACAAATAATCTAGTAGGCTGCCATTTTTATAAGAAGTGGCGGCTCCGGTCGAATAGAGCGATGGTCTAGCCTAGTGCCGGTGCGGTTGTGGCTGATGATCGCCGAATCATGCTCTAGCGACTGTGCTGTAAATTGGGTTGTCGATAGCCGTTGGAAGATCGCAGGTCCCCCCCGGGGTGATCGCCGGATGATCGCTGGCTGTTCGCCGGATGTCCGCTGGGTGTTGCCTAGCAATCGCTCGACAAAACTCGCGCCGATGAGCCTTTTTGGCTGCTTTGCTTTTTCTTTCTTTTTTTTTTGATCTACTAATTTGCGACGTAAATCCGGTGATTCCTTTTTAACTTATTAAATCCCTGCACCCTGCCTCCTCGAGCTGGTTCTGTTATATAGCACCCACACTTATACTCCTGTTTTCCTCAGCCCTATACCATTCCGCGTCCCAACACCACCACCCAACACCACCGCCAGTCTAGGTACGTGTATGAGCACGGCCTCGGTTAGTCCACATCCAAATAGTCCGGGTCTGGAGCAAAGTCAACAATTTCATTGTCGAGAGAGCTTGCATTTCCAGGACCTGGCAGTGTCGCTACGTCACGATTCGACAGAGCTTCGCTCTTTTGCGCCGATTGAAGTTCTGCCTCCATTTCGACCTCTTGTAATTCCAGCAACCCTCTGGGTACTTCTCACGAGCTTTGCGATCATTTTCCCGGCCCCATGCGGTTGTTAACTCGAGCTGCCTACGCGACGCTTTTCCTCGCGTCCCTTGCAATCGCTCACGGTGACGATGAATCAATGGATATAGAGAGGGCAATGAGCATGGATATACACGCTACCGCCAGTGCAGTAACTCCAACAGCTTCCGTCTCACACAATGCCCAAAACGAAGGTCCCACGAGCTACTTTTCCTATGGCCAGCACTCGAGCACCATCCTGGCGCACATTACGCTCATGACCCTGGGCTGGTGCTTTATTCTTCCTGCAGGTAAGCTAATTTCTAGTTCCGGCAAGTATTGAAATCGCCACTAATTTCGCAACAGCCGTCATACTTAGCATTGGCCGGTCGCGCCTTGCGCTCCCGTCGCAGTTCCTGTTCCTGGTCTTTAATGCCATCGGTCTGCTCTTCGGAATCATCTATAATAGCCAGACTCCCGATCTGTACGAGAATAACGCCCACCACAAGATCGGCTGGATTGTGACATTGGTCATCAGTGCGCAGGTCGTTCTGGCCTTGATATTTGCGTATGCTGGTCGTGGCGAGTCCAAGCAGCCGCAATCGAGATGTTTTAGTCGCGCTACGTTCCTACCTGTCGCTACAGATGAGCATGAGTGTCCTTGCTCAACTAGGGCTATGCACGAGTACTGCTGGTCCCGCGATAGTGACCAGGCAACTGAGCCTAGCTCTTCCATTCGCAGCCCTTTATCGCCGTCCTGTGAGTACCAAGCCGAGTTCGACGGCTTTGTCAAGCCGGAGGAGCTCCATCCGAAGATTTCTAGTTTACGTGGCTGGTTTTACAAATCTATTGTCGATCGGTTCCTCTTGAAGTGCGTACGTGGAAGAGTCTCGAACCGTGCCCTACGCATTTTAAATAGCGTATATAATGTGATTGATCGGATCATTCTTCCCTTTGGCTTCATTGCTACTACCACTGGAGCTGTTACTTATGGTGGTATCTTCCATGGTATCGAGATCTTTAACGGTCTGGCGCACTTTATTAAAGGTGGAATCTTCTTCTGGTATGGTGTCCTCACTCTTGGACGGTTTATCGGAGCCTGGGCGGACTTAGGATGGGCCTGGAACAAGAAGCCCCCAGCGTGTGTCGTCGGCTGGAAGGCAAAAGTCCCCTCAGGCGAGTTTGTGGAGTCGTTCGTCATCTGGTTGTATGGTGTTACCAATGTCTTCTTAGAGCACCTGGCCGGCAAGGGGAAAGAGTGGTCCGCGACCGATATGGAGCACGTCTCAATCTCTATTATGTTCTTCGGTGGTGGTCTTGTCGGCATGCTCTTTGAATCCCAGCGTATTCGCGACGCGCTCAACAACACCTTGCTACAATCCCCTACCTATGATTCTGGCGATGAGAAGTGGCAGCCTCCTGAGTCACAGGGTGTTCCCCTTAACCCGATGCCAGCTCTTATCATCCTGCTCCTGGGTATGATCATGGGATCGCACCACCAGGACAGCATGACTTCAACTATGGTGCATAAGCAGTGGGGTCATATGCTCGTTGGATTCGCGATTGCTCGCGGAATGACATATGTTCTGCTGTTCCTGCGCCCACCAACCTCGTACCTCCCAGCTCGCCCTCCCACTGAGATCGTGGCTGGTTTCTGTCTTATGTCTGGGGGGCTCATCTTCATGCTAAGTGTAAGTGATTTCCGCAGATCGATCCCATACGGCCGCCTTACTAACATTGAATAGGCCCGCCAAGTGATTGAAGCCATGGAGTTCTTTGAGCTGGACGCCATGTTCACCTTCACCGTGGGCATGGGCTTCACAGCCTTCGTTATGTCGCTGGTGGTTCTGACCATCGCAATAAAGGCGTGGGCAGTGAAGCGCGAGCGAACACAAGAGCAACGGCTATCCTCCAGATGATAGGAAGGGGTTAAAGGGGCGATGAAAAGATAGGCGGGGTCCATTCGTATGTTAAGACATGAAACTGGATGGGATATAAAAAACTGAAACACAGAGAAAGGAAAAGGAAAAAGGAAAGGCGCAATAGGGGACGAAACGAAATAAGTTGATGGATACTTCATGATTTAACCCACGGCGTTCGAGCTTTATACGGATAGTTGTCTTCCATGTAAGCATTCATGTCTGCCCGGGTTAGGCTAAATGCCGACACGTTCTGAAAGTTCTGAAAAGAGTAAAACGAGCCCCGGGCGACAATTTGGGTCTGAATTTCCGGGACAGATGTATTGATACTAATAGTACATTGGTGTAATATCAGTTATTTTCCTTGATCTTCTTCTTCCTTTGTTCTTCCCTACCCACCTTTAATTTTCCTTTCTGTACTTCTGAATGAACCTGCATTTGGTCAGCATTATCAAATCTTCGGAATTTATCTCCTTGCCCTCGCTTCTCCTGGTGTATAATGGTTCTACGATGAGCGTCTCGATGTCTAGCGGGGTTCAGCCAGGCACACATTCCGTCTAGTCGCTTCTAACAAGACTATTCAAGGGTCTATTATAGTATTGGATTCAAAGAATTAAAGTCCTTTTCTCAGCACATGGCTTAAAACGTAATAGTCAGAGGTGTTATGGCTAGAGCAATACAGGCCATTGCTCACCCCAAGCTATGAACGTGGATGCAGAGTAAGCGAGTTTTTGAATCGGGTGATCACTATCGTGTACAGCGAAGGATATTGGATAATAACTACATCCGGACGCTTCGCAACCCTAGAATGAAGTTGATCAAGGACTGGATTGTGCAAGTCGGTTCGAAGAGTGCGATGACGAGCTCAGGCGGGGAAACCCCGGTTGATTTCATCGTGAGTTGTACTTGGACAGATGTATTCATAACTCATGCTAGCCACAGATTGTGAATTTTGGCGACGGGATTCGAGTTCACGCAGTGGAAAGACCGACCCTGTGATAGGCAGGCAAGGCAAATCGTTGGAACAGCACTGGGACGATCAAGGTGGCATCAGTGCTTAGATTCTCAACATGTTCTATTTACTGGGCCCAAATTCTGGCAGCGGACACGCATCTGTTCTTTTTGCGATAACCTAGATTTTGGTAAAGAAGGGAGCTTAAACCGGCGTCCAGTGTGGCTATTTTCGGCAGCCGATTTACCGTCAATTAGCGTTGTTTTTGCAACGCATAAATCCGGACAAGATGTCGGTCGAATACATGCAGGAGAAAAAATATTGCGCAAGAGAACGAAGACACCAAGCCCTAGTGTCAATGTGAACAGTATCTAGAATAGAAAGACACAGTGAAGCATTAATCACTTCTTACCCTTCCCCTTGCCCTTGGATTTCTTCTTAGGAGGATCAGGAACACTAACCGTCCCCTCCGTAACCTCCTCACCCTGATGCTGCAAGCGCTGCGACCCACTAATAAAGAAAGTGAGATCACGGTTCTGCTCAGCAAGATCAGCATTGGAAGCCTTCAGCCCCTCAACCTCCGTTGCAAGAAGATTAAGCCGCTGCATCATATTCCCGTTCATAGATTTCTCTTCTTGCCAATTCTTCTCGAACATTCTTGCCAACGCCTCGAATTTTTCCGCGCGTTTCTCAGCGCGGGAACGGTCGTGGTCCAATGATGGAATCGTTTCTAGTGAGAGGGTATCATATTTCGATTGGAGGTCTTCGAGCTGGGAGGAGGCGGTGCGAGCAGAGATTTGAGCTGCGACTGCTGCGGCGCTGGCTTGGGAGGCTTTGTCGACGGCGCGTTCGACAACTTCTTCGAAGTAGGCGCGTTGGCTTTCTAATTGGCTGGTTAGGAGGTGGGTATATTCGACGCTCATGTTTTCGAGTTTCTCTCGGGGTACGGCGTCGCTCCAGTCTGGTGGGTCGAGGGCGCTGTGGTCTGCTGCTGGGAGTTCGACCAGCTTGCCGTCTGTTTTGCTTTGAATTATGCGGTGGACGTAGGAGTCGCCTACATAGTCCCATACTCGTTGCGTGGTGAGATCCATCGAAAAGGCGTGGGCTGTTTCTTTCCAGTGTTCGAAGGCGTGGGCGCCGTCGTAACGGCCGCAGCCGACGGTTCCACAGATTAGACAGGCCCAGAGATTCATGTCTGCGTGGCATACTGCGCATTCTTGGGGCTCAGCGTCGGCTTCGGCATCTGCGTTGCTTTTGCGGAAGTCGTCTTGTGTGTATCGACAGATAGGGCAGCCGCTGCCTTTCCATTTCTGTAGACAGGTGCAGTGAAAGACGTGTTGACAGATGATAGTAAGTAGCCCTGTTGTCTCATCCATTCGCTCTAGGCAAACGGGACATGTTGGCAATTCGATCAAAGCGGGAGTAGGTGGTGCGAGAGGCTTCCCAGTGAGAGTTGCCTGTCCAGCAGAAGTAACTGGAGGCCGAGTAGGAGTGGAGAGATTAGGCGACAGAGCACCATGTTCATCTGGCGAAAAAGCTTCTGAAGACTCCGGTTCCACAACCTGGATCTCAACAGTCTTGACAAACACAACATGGCAAGTTTCAGGCTAGCAATAGCAGTTAGTACAAAGCCCGCGCAAACATTAGGAATCCAAGATCACAACATACCTCCATACTATTGAATACCTTCCCATTCCACTCCTTCTGCCACTCAGCCGCCTTCCTCCCACTCCGAAACTTCATCAAAACCATATATCGATTCGCCCGCGCAGTCCTAATCATCCTGAAATGACTAACCTCATCTCTAGTCTCCTCTCCGACGAACCCCAGAAAGTCAGGAGGGGACAAATAAGACGGCACAGCGAGGATGCACAGAGTAGTACAATCCTCATCAGGATGCAGCGCAGACGAAGAAGCAGTCGCAGGGAACGGATACGCCGTAGCCCCCGCAGCAGAACCCCCCGCCGGAGCAGCACCGGCCAAATCCCCCCTTAGTGTAGCCTGCTGATCGCCCGGGTTGCGTGCAGCAGCGGCAGATCCCTTTAGGTAGGTGGGGTAGTCGTCATCGCGGGCGAGGTAGGGCGTTTCCTGTGCGTCGCGGTAGAGGTGGACGATTCCCCAGATGCTATCGGTGACTTGTTGATCGAGAGGAATGTAGCGGCCTTTTGTGCGCAGTCCGCCTAGGATGTCGGTACCGATTCCGGCTGCTACTAGGTTCTCCGGTTCTTGGGCGGAGCTGCGCTTTGAGGTGCGTTTTGTGGGGTCTTTTGGTGGGGCGACCATGTCAATGCACTCTATCGAGATTGCGTCAAAGCGCTTGTCAGATTTGAGGGTTCCAGGTGTGAATTCGGAGCTTGGTGTGGAACAGGTTGAGGATAAGGTGTTTGGCGAGGAGCCGGAGGAGCTGGTTCGGGGTGCGGTTGTGGTAGCCGGCGAGGAGAAGGGAGAGTGATTTTTTTGGCGATACGAGAGATTTTGATGTGTGCTCAGCGCCTGGCTATCTCCAGCGCTTGTCCCTGATAGTGGTGACAAGCGACTGGAGCTTGGAGACCTGCTTGGTTGGAATGGTTGGAAAGCTTCCCTTGCAGAGTGCAAGGCCAGAGGGGAAGCAGTGGATGTTGGGATATCTTGGCTATTTGAGAGGACCTGAACATTGAGGTGATAAAAGTAAGCGGGCATCCCGAGTGGTGGGCTCACATTGTCTGGTTCGAGATGCTTGAAGGTGCTGTGATAGCTGATAACGATGTGCTTACCTAATGTTGGGGCATTCCGAGGTCATGACGGCGGTGAGAGTAAGGCGGTGAGGCCGTAAAGTCCGCCACGGTGCCTGGCACGCGTGAGTGGCAAAGAGGAGGGAAGAATCTAGATGTTTACAGAATATTTGTTGGTTCATTGTGTTCAGGTGGCAAGAGTCAAAACTGGTAATGAGTTGCCTAGATGTCCGCAAGTGCCCACTGTTCTCTGTAAGTGTCTTGCTTTGGTGGGGTCTACGTCTTTACCTACTGTGGATAGACTACATCAAGCATGATGTATGCAAGGCTTAACATGTAAAGAATAATATACACCCCTATAAGCAATATCTCCTACTTCTCAATCTCCCAAAGGAAACACTCAACAAACTACACGACGACCACAGCTGCCTAGACGGAGTCAGCCACAAAATTCAATGGTGATGTCCGTGTTGTTCTTATTGCTGTTGACTATGTAGCTCGGTTCTCATTTTTGAGATGTGGCAGATGGATGCCGCAGTAGATCCTGCGTCTCATACTGGGAGAACGGCATATTCTTCCTCGAATAGGGTGACTGTGACGGACAAGGATCCCAGAAGGGAGAATAGTGACTCGACAGTTGACGATGTTGTTGGTGCGCCTCTGGTTCTTCCGTTTGAGGGGTTGTTTTGGAAGATACCTATATATTATACTTTTCCGAAGTGCACTTTTTTTTTTTGCGAGTGACTTTTGAGGGTTGCTAGGAATATAATTTGATGTTTTGATTTGTTCTATTGGACTTATTATGACAACCTGGAGCATTGGCGTAGTAGAGAGATTGCTATCAAAAGTTTTGCTCATTAATACGGACACGGACAGCTGGGTTTGATAGAAAAATAGATAATCATGATTATAGTACTGTTCCCTATGTTCAATCATGTATGTTTACCCGTCACTTGAAGGACTTGGAGTATAAAAAGTGTAACCCGAGACAGACCCACTTAGTACTGACTAGCTATACTTCCTCACCGTCAGAGAAGTATGAGGACATCAAGCATATATATCTACTCCGACATTCTACACATCTCACAAAGATATAAATGCAAACAAAGACCAGCAAATAAAGCTTGGGTCAATTCAGAGGGTAGGTTTAACTAGTAGATAAAACTAGGTGATCACATCAAGGTGTGAAACAATGTCAAGGAAAGGCAAAGAAAAAAAAAGAGAAGCCTCAGCTTCGAAAAACCGACCAAACGCCATGCAGGTCATAGTAGAACCCATATCGTAGTCGAGAAAAATAAAGAAGCATCGTAAACATCAATTACTGGCCACCACGCAGACGGAGGACCAAGTGCAGGGTGCTCTCCTTCTGGATGTTGTAGTCAGAGAGGGTGCGGCCATCCTCCAGCTGCTTACCGGCGAAGATAAGACGCTGCTGGTCTGGGGGGATACCCTCCTTATCCTGGATCTTGCTCTTGACGTTGTCGATGGTGTCGGATGATTCCACTTCCAGCGTGATGGTCTTGCCAGTGAGTGTCTTGACGAAGATTTGCATACCACCACGGAGACGGAGGACCAGGTGTAGAGTGGACTCCTTCTGGATGTTGTAGTCGGACAAGGTACGACCATCCTCCAGTTGCTTGCCCGCGAAGATGAGACGTTGCTGGTCTGGGGGGATGCCTTCCTTGTCTTGAATCTTTGACTTGACGTTATCGATGGTGTCCGACGACTCTACTTCGAGGGTAATGGTCTTTCCGGTGAGAGTCTTGACGAAGATTTGCATACCACCACGGAGGCGGAGGACGAGGTGGAGAGTGGACTCCTTCTGGATGTTGTAGTCGGAGAGGGTGCGGCCATCCTCAAGCTGCTTTCCAGCGAAAATGAGACGCTGCTGGTCGGGTGGGATACCCTCCTTGTCCTGGATCTTGGACTTAACGTTGTCAATGGTGTCAGAAGACTCAACCTCGAGGGTGATGGTCTTTCCGGTGAGGGTCTTGACGACTATAGAGGGGGTTAGTGAACAGACGATGATAAGGGAAGGCGCTTAACACATACAGATCTGCATACCACCACGGAGGCGGAGGACAAGGTGAAGGGTGGACTCCTTCTGAATGTTGTAATCGCTCAGGGTGCGGCCATCCTCAAGCTGCTTTCCAGCGAAGATGAGGCGCTGCTGGTCAGGAGGAATGCCTTCCTTGTCCTGAATCTTGGACTTGACGTTGTCGATGGTGTCGGAAGACTCAACCTCGAGGGTGATGGTCTTGCCGGTGACTGGTGGCAAAGGATGTTAGCAAGAATGTCAAAGCCAAAGCCAAGTGGCGAGGGACGCAGTAAAGCCAGGAAGCCAGAATACTGGGAAACCGGCCAAGCCGATCAAGCCGATCAAATCAGGCACGGGGAAACTCACGGGTCTTGACGAAGATCTGCATGGTTGCGATATGAAATAAAACGCAGTAGAAAGAGTATGGGAAGGTGGAGAGGTAAAACACCAGAAAGGTGAAAAGAAAGGAGAGGGGGAAAGTCGGCTTATGTATCGGAGGGGGCGAAGGATCTTAGTCAGGCAAAGTGACGCGAGATGGCCAGTGGCTTGTGCCAGAAGATGCCGGATGTGAGTCAAGAGGTGCCTGGAAACAGTCGCTTTGACGCCACCACATCAAAGTCTGCCGGGTAAATGTTCTTTTTTGGAATATCTGTACAATAATAAAGTAGTGGCTTATTGATCAATACATTCTATAATATTCTATTCCCTTTCACTGTCCATCCTCACTTTTCGACCAAGGGGTGATGACGTTGCTTATCGCAAAAAGAGGGGGTGGGCCAACGCTAATGCCCAAAGGTACTTGGTACGGGGCTGTATGCGGCAATCGTCTCTGCGCCCCGGGTACCCTGTACCCGCATCCAAATTTAGAGGTCAGATGATATGCCGGATCCGGATACACCGCCTTGTTATACTTCCATAGTCAACAATTACTCCGTTTACACCATACTTACGCTCACATTAAGCTTAATTTAAAATTTCATATGATGAGAATATGGCCCGAAGCCCGTCAATAGGCAATATATAAACAAAAGCTGGGAAATCCACACTAGACTGACGCCTTTTCCCGGATCCGAAGGCCACAATTGGGACAAACGCCCCGTTCTTCACTCTTCAGAGCCCGGTAAACTTTGATTGTTGCGTCTGTGGCGGGTGCCAGGTGCCACAATGAAAACAAAACAAAAAACACCTTCGGCCGTACACGGTCATGACAGTCGTGATCCTCGTTCATCGCTGAAGACAAAGCTATGCGAAGAAAGGTATACACCAAAGACAAGAGCAAAGTAACAAATAAATAAAACGATTCCGTAAAAAAAAAAAAATAGACAGTGTTCAAGGAGACAGGAAAATATATCAAATAAAAAAAGGAGTAAATGAGTAAATGAGACAAGACCAAAACAAGGCTGAAAAAAAAAGGAACTAATGAGAGTCGGCTCTCCCTGGAACCACAATACAAGTAAGAGGGTCAGCCTCACTGGGAGGTACCCGTCGGAGTCATTCGTTAAAAGAGTGGAAACGTATGCGCTCGCGCATCGTCACGACCAAAGTGGCATATTCTCATCCAGTTCGTGTCATTGAGCAAATCAAAAACGGAATCGCGGAACTGTACTCGCTGCTGGAAACAATAGTCGTGTAAATATCATCATCATAATGCGTTTACGCATCGGGTCATTTAGTTGGCGCGAATCACCAGTCGCGACACAAACTTATTTGAAAGGCAGTCGAAATCGCCCCGGTTGAATTTGGAACCGGTGCGACTGCGGAGGTAGCTCTCTGGAATGTGGGTTAGTCAGATTCCACGACGGGGGAAGGAGGTGGTTCTTACCATGCTGCTCGACGTGTTGACGCACTTCTGTCATCGTGTTGCACACATCGGGGTTGGAGTAGAGGAGCTGGTGGTGCTTTTGCGAGTCCCATTCAGTGAAGGGAGGCAGCTTTTGGGAGATGGCCTGGAAAAGTCCGACAATGACTCCCACCGGGGTGGTCTCCATGTCGGTACAGAACTTGTCGACGGCAGCCTGGTCCTACTCGTTGTTAGTATTGCTGGTCACTATTGTCCTCTCGGATTGAACTTACCGGTGTGCGGTAGTGGCTATCGAACTGCATCTCTTCCCAGACAGCCAGCAGAATGGAAGCCAGGATGAAAATAGTGGGCCAGTTCTTCAGTTTGTCTCCACTGTACACGCTCGAATAAAGTGCTGAAAGCTCCTCTAGCACATCTTTCTGCAACTCACGCCACATGCTAGCCATGGCGCACTTAATCTGGAAGTTGATCATGACAGGAGCCATGGTCTTGCCAGAGAACTTGGAAGACTTGCTCTCAATCTTGCCCATGAAACCTTCTTCCTCGCCGATACCCTCAACCATGGTAACGTGGAGAGTAAGGTTGTAGGCAACGATCAGCTTCAATGCCTTGCGAATGACAGGCAGCTTGGTGCGGAAATAGAAACGGAAGGCAGTCTTGAGCATCTGCGTCAGGAACGGTGTGCCCTCGAAGTAGTCATCGACGAACTTCTCAAAGGTACCGTTGCCGTCGATGTGGCGGTCGAGGTAGTCGGACAGCATGGCGTGCGAGATACCCTCCATACCAGCGGAGAGCTTCGCAGTCTCGACCTCGTATTGTGTCGGGTCACGCTGCATAGTCTCAATCCAGTCAACGGTAAAACATTGCTCATCCCGTACATACACCTCGCGGGCGTTGATTGGAAGGATCTGGCCATAGCCGTGAGTGATGAAGAGCGTGCGCTCCTGGTCGGAGAACCCCTTGATGTTGCCGACCGAGAATCCCATGGAAATGTGGCGCTCGTAGTCGGCCTTCCAGTCCTTCATGAAGTACCCAATCTCCTTGATATCAATGCGAGTACATGGCACCTGCCATAATCGGGCATGAGATGGCTGGCATCCTGCACATGGCTCACCTTTGTCGCAAGTCTTCTTGAGGAACTTGCAACGCAGACAAGCACGCAACTTCCGGATCTCACTGGCCTGCTTACGCTGGTCGGGCTTGAGAGGGCCCTTTCTCTTGCCAACTCGCTTCTCGGTCTCGGGCTTACCGGTCTGGGATTGCTTGCGGACCTTGGTCTCGGATGTTTTGGCGGCAATGGGGCTCTTGCGGGACGGTTTCCGACTTGGTGGTGAGGCCGATGATGCTTGAGAAGATCCAGATGAGCGGGCGGGCGATGTGGACTTCTTGATCGGAACTGGGATCGGCCGCACCATGCCAATGGGGCTGACGGCTGATGGCGAGCGAGAGCCTGACGAAGATTGCTCACGACGAACGACGGCGCTGCTGGTCGGGGAAGTGTGAGGCATGCCGATCGAGCTGCTGTGGCTGTGACTATGGCTATGGCTGTGACTATAGCTGTGACTGTGACTGTGGCTATGGCCATGGTTATAACAGGGCAAGTCCATGTTGTTTTCGGAGCCTGGAGAGCCGATCGGGTTCGCAATATCCACAAAGCTGCCGTAAGAGGTGGAATATGAAGACTCTGAAAGGCTGCGGTCGTGCAGTGTCTGAGTGGGATTGACAAAAACACCCTGTTCCGGGAAGCCAAAGTCGAGAGAGCGGCGGTGGTCGACAGTGCTCCAACCGTTGTCGCTGCTGGAACTGGTCAGGGAGCGAACCTCCAGATATGTATCCGTGGGAGAGCTGCTCTCGAGCACGGGGTGCGGGGCATATGAGAAATCCGGAGGTCCGTTGGGAAACGCCATCAGATCCGCTTGGAAGTCCTGATACGTGAATGGTACCATATCCACGGGGGCTGACATGGGTAGATAAGGACCCTCGAGCAAGCCGGCGTTCATCTGGCCCTGGCCAGCCATGAGATCCACCGGGGAAGACTGCATGGGCATGCCATAACTCGTGGTAAATTGTGTCGCTGACGGGTCTTCGGGCGAATATGGAAGGTGTTGCTGGTGAGGGGTGTGTTGTAGCGGTTGAAAGTGCCAATCGACCATGAGATTCGGGTCCTGGGTCACCGACTGTTCCAGAGGGTGACCGCTGGTTTGCAAAGGTGAGAGACCATGGCCTTCTTCTGACCGGGGGGCTGATCTACCACGGGCCAGTGCTGGAGATAGCCTCTGGAGTCGTAATCGACCCCAATAAGGCCATCGCTTGATATATCGACATTGGACATGACTGAGAGGTGAAGTTGGAAGGGAGGAAGTAAAGGACCAGCCTGGATGAGAGGACCTTCTTCAGAAGAGTCACACAGGCAAGAAGAGAGAAAGTGAGGCGGTGGGGGGGACAAAGCAGCGGTGAGGAAGAAATGCGCTAGGGGACTGTGGGGAGTGGAGATGATGTGGCAGTAGGATAATTCCACGACACTAAGTAAAATAGTGTTGAGGGGACACTTGGCATTGAGGACATTGGGGATTGGAGAAGATAAATTGGAGAGTGGGTGGTTGGTGGTGCATTTAGGTGAGGTGGTCCCATGATCTCGGAGATCTATTGAAGTTTTGCCTATTTGGGTTATCCACCTCTACATACTTCACCACTCAGTATACTCTAGAATATCACCATCTTCGTTTATACAGTCTATTCTCATACTATACTACTGTATACGGAATACTGGGTCTTCCCATCTCCATCTTGGTAAGACACGGGAACAAGTCGGGACGGGAGATCAGTGGAGAGCACGAAAAATGAGCCACATCACTAGTGGCCAGTGCCAATACAGATCAGCCGTGGCAATAGGAGCACGATCTGACAGTCGGATCGTGTTATACACTTTCTTCCTAATCAGACCCAATCACAGACAGCATTCGTCTAGCGCGTAACGCCATACCGTATCAGTGGCTAGTGGGCCAGTTCTGGATGCTGACCGCGCATGTTGAGCATTTCCTTCCCTGTTTCCTAGACATGAACTATACAGTAGGCAGCTAATAGCCAAGGATCAAAGCTAACAAGCCAAGCCACGTTAATCAGCCAGTTAGCCTAACCGTCATGAACCCTGGAGTCGACAGGTCACTTGAACGCAAGGGAGAAGCATAAGGAAACTGAAATTTGGACCCATCACACCATGGCGATTGGCCTATGCAGGTCATCTTGACGGAGCAATAGCCTGTATGATATGGGCCACGAGAAGTCCAACCCTTTAAGTGGCTTGGCTTCTTTTTTCGTCTTTTTTTTGGGTCGATTTTGGGTCACTTTTCTTCTTTTTTTTTTCTCTCCCACCTATTTTTGCCTTTTCAGACCTAAACCTGATTGGGATGAGTCAGTAAAAGCGAACATACTAAAGTGAAACAAAATCGTTACATACTATACAGTATGGATTGCTGTAACCCTGTGTGTAAAAGTGAAGCGCAGAATTGTATCCGTAGTGGAAGGGAAGGGAAGAACCCCGCGGAAGAACAATGAACAATCTTAACTCTACACATTCATGTAAGAACAATAGCACCCTTTGAAATACAAAACTTCGATTCCCCCTTGATGCCCGGAAAACGAAAAGTTCGATTCCAACGCACTCAAGTCCAGCCACTCGAGACCAAACGCACAGGGAAAAAAATGAGCCAAAACCAACCGCGCCCGGGGATCCCGGCTTTGTTCACGCAGCCGCCGGCCATCCGTGACCCGCTCATCACAGAAACAATTGATCTGCAGAATGCAACGCTTGAGAAATGCTTGCCTTTTCTCAAGGGCATTCACAGTAGTCAAAAAGGCCCCTTCAATGCCTGCGGGGTGCCCGCTCTCCTCCGCGACGATCATGTCGGTTACCTCTATGACTCCCTAGAGGATTATCCCGCGGGCTTTGTAGCTATGGACGCTAGCCGCCCGTGGATGGTGTACTGGGCACTGGTGAGCTTTGCCATGCTGGGCGAGGATGCGAGTCGATTCCGCGAACGGTGAGTGTGCCTTGCTTTTTCGCTTACCTTCCCGCCTCGATTACTTTTCTTCTGTCAAATAAGGCCCTCTAGGGGAGGCCTCGAAGGAGGAAGGATCGGCTATCTATGGGAATATGAATGGCTTCCTCTAACATGTGCATTGCAGGGTGCTTGCTACGCTTCGGCCTATGCAGAACCCCACCGGTGGCTTCGGTGGTGGTCATGGTCAGATATCTCATCTGGCAGGCAGTTATGCGGCCGTGCTGTCGCTGGCGATGGTAGGAGGCGAGGAGGCCTTTGGATTGGTGGATCGACACGCGATGTGAGTTGTTCTCTTCGGCAGATTCCTGTATGCGTTCTGACCCGGGGGGTTAGGTGGCAATGGCTGGGCCGCTTGAAGCAGGCCGATGGGGGCTTTCGTGTTTGCGAGGGCGGGGAGGAGGATGTGCGGTAAGCCCCATGCAGATGCAGCTCATATGTCCCCCCGTGCTGGACCCGTGGCTCTGACATGTCATTGCAGAGGCGCATATTGCGCTATGACGATCATCTCGCTACTGGACCTCCCACTGACGCTGCCTCTGGATTCTCAAGCGCGCCTGGCGGGTCTCGAGACTTTGACTCATGGTCTTCCCCAGTATCTCTCACGATGTAAGAGTTGATGCGTCCATTTCGTGGATAAAGTGCTGACATCACTCTAGGCCAAACTTTTGAAGGGGGCATCTCTGGAAGCCCTGGGTCAGAGGCCCATGGCGCTTATGCTTTCTGTGCGTTGGCATGTCTATCTATAATGGGGGCCCCAGAAGAGATATTCAACAGGTGAGAACTACTGGCGGGATGTTTGATCCGATACTAATAGCGGTTAGGCATATGGACATTCCCATGCTGGTATCCTGGCTCTCAGCACGTCAGTCGGCTCCAGAAGGCGGTCTTTCGGGACGCACAAATAAGCTAGTAGACGGGTGCTACAGCCATTGGGTCGGAGGATGCTGGCCATTGCTTGAGTCGGCCTTGAACGGAAAGCCGGGCAATACCGAGACGCCAGTTGGCAGTCTATTCAGTCGCGAAGGTCTGACAAGATACATCCTAGGATGCTGTCAAGGTCACACCGGAGGTCTTCGTGACAAACCGGGCAAGTATGATTCTCCTTCTCCATCGCAGACTTCCTGTGGATGTAGCTGACGGAACCCCAGACACGTCGACTCATACCATACCTGCTACGTTCTGGCAGGCTTGAGCGCAACCCAACACAATCATTACCGCACAGACTCGAGTGTCTCCAGCGAGGGATTTGCGTCAGCATTCTCCTGGAAGTCTACGCCGTCTCAAGCCGAAGACAATGTCTTTGACAAAGCCGATCGGCTGGAATCCTTGCATCCTCTGTATGTGATCCCGCACAAGGCAGCGGAGAAAATGCGGCTCTGGTTCGAAGCCCAGCCCCTCGATGTCTGACCAGAAACGGATGATCACCCGAAACAAGAAGACACGGGGCCGCCACGGAGGTCACCCAGGTGAATGTGGTAGATCGCAACATTAGCAAGGGGCTCTGAGCGAACCTATTCATGCATGAATTGGTCATCCTTGAAAATGCAAGCCCCCGCGATCATAGTAACATGGGAGCCACGCGGATGAGTCCCATGGGGAATGTGAAGGAGAAGACGCAAGGGATACTAGGAGTCGAAAAACCCGAGTATCGTCATAGCGGTCTATTCAATTCATTCTGTTCTCAAATCTGTTCTCTCTGTTCCAGTACTTTACTGCAAGAAATCGATATTCAGATCTATTCAATGTTTGCCACATGCACGAGGCCCAAGAGGGCAAAGGTAATCAAATAAAACCCAACGACCTCCCACATATGCCAGCTCATCACTGCATCCACTGTCGAGTAACTTTCTGCATTTCCCAACTCTTGACTCATCCCTCAGTCTGCACAACATCCCTCCTTTCACCAATCACCAGCGAAGGAAAAGTGCGCGTCTCCATAAGTATATCAAGGGGCGGCAATTTTACTTTCTCTGATGCGTCTACTGCGGGGCAAAATAAGTGTGCACAGAACCCCGAGGCCATAGCCCTTCCAGGATCACTATTCGGACATTAACAGAACCGTAGGCGAACGTCACTTTTCTGCAGCCATTGCAGCACGTCTTTCTAGGTCCCTTAGTCTCCGAGTCTATCGATTGGCGAATTGGCCTTTCTTCTCACCCCTGTCCCCCGGTTCTCTCTCTCTTTTGCTTCGGTTTGAATCTACTGGTGAAGAGACGTGCCAGCGCATCAGTCTTAAACCCGCCGAACGGGCCACGAAACAGGACATGGGTACACTGTACAGCTCTTGGGTGTTTTCTGTTTTCTGCCTTCTTGTTGCCTTTTCTGCCTTTGTGCCTGGGTCAATGTATTGTTCAAGTTGTTACTTTGTACTGACATTGACAAGTTGTAGTCTATTCTCATGGTGGACTCGGGAGTTGCAAGTGTTTCAACGGTGGGTATTAGAATTGGATTTGACTTTTGCTCTAATTGGTCTTATCTTTTCCTTCTTCAGGTCGTCTGCAGCTTGTCTTTGTGCGCTGTCGCAATTGCAACGGGTTCCCGTATGGTGTACTTCCTACTGCGTACACTGGACAACTCATACTATGACCTTACACTTACAATGCCAATTGCCCCACCCGTTTTCCAGTAAATTAACTACTGTATATGGAATTGCCTCTCCCCCTCATTTCTTTTTTCCGTTTCCCGGGTGGGTTGGTTTTGTATAATCTGTACAGATAGTATATGGTGGCATCTCCCTGTCAAGCTTTTATTTTTGTCCTCGATCTCTTCCTCTTCTCTCTTTTCCTCTCCGATTCAATTCAATCAGCCCACTTGCAACCACATCGTGCTTTTGCCAAAGTACGCTGTCTGTACGCCAGTGCCAACACACACATCCCCCACTACTGCCCGCAAACGCACTCCCGCCTAATCATTTCCAATCCAATCCAATCCATCCAGGCCCCATCACCAGGGCAGTTCGCAGTGTACAGTTCACAGTTGGGTATCACGATCCACATACCACTGCATCACCTTCTTCTCCGCTGTGCCGTGCGGCATTCTGTTCTATTCTCGGTTTCTGTCTCAGTCCGGAACAGGAACTGTGTCAGCCTCAACACTAGCATCCCGTGCTCGCAGCAAGCCCCAATCCTTCCAATGCAGTCCGAGTAACGTGTCTATCCCGATTCGAAGTGATTCGACTCGTTGTAGGGTCGAACGCGGCTACGCACAATCCATTCCAATCCCATCCAATCTCCCCGCCTCGTTTCGATTCACTTGTTGTCCTGTCTATGAGCCTTGGCTGTTTGGCTTTCTAGCCCGGTTTTCAAGATGTACTATATCCTTTACTTGACGAGTAAGTACTGTACCGCACAGCACAGCATATCACAGCACAACACAACACGCGCATGCTATGTCCAGCGTTGCATTCTGTGTTGTTGTATTTGCATTTGCATTGACATTCTCCAACGCAACGCAATGCAATGCAATTAGTGATTCAAATGCACATGTGCATCAATCCTCCATCCCCAAATGCAAATCAATCCCACGCAAAACATAGAACTAACAAAAACAGGTCTCTGCCGCCGCCGCCATTGGCCGGAACCAACCTACAACAGCTACACAAGCAGCTCAGGATCAGGCTACACATGCGTAGTACGGGTCAACAATCGCGAATACCAAACAGACACAGTCTACGCATCGGAAACGCTAGCACGCGAAAGCGCCGCCATGCGCGCATACCTCATCTGCCGCAATTTCTCTGTGAATGATGGTATGTACCCCGCCGGTCATGACCATGGCGGGGTTGTGCAGGGGATTCCGGTTGCTATTGGGACTGGAAGGAAGATTAGGGGATATCCCGTGCATGAGCATGAACATGTGCATATGAATGAGCATGATATTGATGAATCTCAGTCTGGGTCGTCTGGTGGTGGGTCGGTTTGTGGGAGTCAGAGTGGGGGGAGTAGTCCTGTTAGGGTTGGGGAGATGAGATGATTTTGAACGAGTTTGGGGTGGGCGGTGGTAGGATGGGGATGGAAGTTACGACTTTATGATTCTTATGACTATGTTTTTGGTTTGATGTTGTGATTGCTTTTGACGATATAGATGGAAAAGCTGTGCTGCTGTTCTTGCTGATGAGTGGTTGGCTGTGGCTGTGACTACTACTTTGGTCATCGATGAATCCTCTGCCGGGGCTAATGATGCTTATCTAGATGGTGGATTGGGATTCATCTCCCAATTGTGGTTTTTCGTTTGTTATTGCGGAGGTCAGCGATGAGTTTACGAAATAAGTCGAAATTTCTATTCTATACTGTACTGATGTTGAATTATGAACTGTGTGGAATATCACCGTTAGCGAGCTAGGTGGCTTGTATCCAATCGGCTATGTTCCGAATATTACTATTGCTGTGGCTATTATTTCCTGTTCCTGTTGACGCCATGGACCAAATCACGTAGATGTACTGCTACAGTTTGGCTACTGAGTGTCTACTCCTTGTTTGTAACTCACAATGACTGGCGTTCTGAAAATATCACTTTGCTACTTTCTAAAAGGCAATGAACTGGAATAATAGTCGATATTATGCGCTATCCTATCATTGAGTCAGCTTCGACAAGACGCAAGAATAGTTAGTGAGTACTGAGAAGCTCTATCGGGACTCCAAAGCTCATATTGATAATGTTACTTGGTAAAGGAACGGGATCGTATCAGGTTGGAATGAATTTGTGTCTTATTTGAAAGACAAATATGCACCTAGGCCTCATCTGCATGTTGAATGACACTTGTGAGATGTGTATACCTCGGGTCCGTCATTCCGTATGCTTCGCAGAAATCAGCTTCACTGTAATTTCTCAAATGCCGATACTAGAGGGAATAGCGAAAAATACTCATAAATCAGTCTAACACCGCCAGTTTACATGAGGGTTGACAAATAGACAGATCAACATGAGCAAGTTCGTACAGATAAAAAACCCTGCAAAGCCCTAGATACCCTCGTAACACTCGAGAAGCAAGGATAGATGCTTAGGCACTCACCGCAACAGTCGTGAAGACCAAAAGCTGCCTGAATTCGCTGGATCATACTTGCACAGTCGCGATCGCAAGAGGTCGATCACGTCTAGAACCCGACACCGCCACACCAGCCACAAGTAACAGTCTATGCGCCACCGTGACGTCAGGCAACTTTCCAAGGAAGTGCAAGCTGTTGCAGCCTGTACTCCGTACCTGGATCATTTCGACTAAATTGCTTGGACTGTTAGCGCCATACATCATTGTTCTCCACGTGTACACGAAACGCCGCTTCGTCATGCCTTGAGCTTGCGCCTCTTTACCTCTACCCTTTCCCCAGATTATACACCCTCGTTTCCTTCCAATCCGATCCACACGTCTATATTCTATAAGCAACCGGAGCAGCGAAACAACATTCCGGTTTCATAATGCATTTCCCGGCACGGAACTGCGCCCCTATCGTGTCGGCAGCAACAGCCATGGGGCGGGTATCACGCGGCATCCCGTATGCTTCACTGAGGAGATTGGGTTCTGCGGGGTGGAATGGCTGCAATGGGAAAGGCTCTGGGCTAGCAACCCGACACTTTCATTCGACTATCATGAGGGACTATGGAATTAGAGCTTCTGGTGTACCGCCTGCGACAAAAATGCAACGCATTGGACTGGAAGCAGTGTCTCCTAATCGTCTTGGGTGGAGCCAGTTCAGGAGTTTCAGCAAGGCAGACCACACGCAAGTCTCTGGCGATAACCAGAAGACGGAAGAGTTGTTGGAGAAGTTTGAGGTTCAAGAGGGGAATCAGGAGGCTCGGCCTCAGCATCATATTCTCCATGAGGATGGTAAGGGCGAGCAGCCTGCGACGCAGGGAGAACAATGGCCGGAAAGAATGACCAAAGGTATGGACGCAATTGGCTTCGCTGGGAGGTATCAATGCTGACCGAAGACAGGCAAAATGCTGACGACGCCATCAAGGCTGTTCAAGCTGATCATTCCGTTAACGATTGTTGGCGATCTCGGCCATGACAAAGGTAAGCTAAAGCTACCTGTGATTGAATTGGCCAGCCAACTAACACATCAACAGAGATCGAACCGATAGCTATCCTCGTTCACCCACAGCAACCTCTATCCTACCTAGAACGTCTTATCCAGTCCGAGCTCCCTCCAATTAAAGGACAAACAGACAAACTCCGACCACCGGCCATCTCCTTCATCGCACTTCAGCACGAAGACAACGCAATCAAACCCAAAAAGAAAGTCGAAGATGACATCGACGTTGATGCAGAACACCCGGACAACGTCAACAGCAAAGATTACGTCCCAGGAAACGACGGTGTTGGTGGCAGCAAGCCGCTCGGCAGTAAGCCAGCCTTTCAGCGTCGTCGTCGTACCCAGGATGAAGACGCAGAAACATACAGCTACCCGCGGAATACAGAAGGCTCGGATAACGGCGAACCAGACCGATTCGTGCGCTGGTCCCAGGCCACCGAAGTAGGCGACTTTATCCGCGACGCAGCCAGAGCCCGCGAGTTCATCGTCACTATTGAAGGAGCGCCAGTGGGTCTTGGCCAGATCCGGGTTGCAGTGCCGTCTTTCAACGAACGCACATACTACCTGCGCATGCGACTGCGCAAGCTCTCGAGGCGGATTCAAACCTTGGCCGAAATCAAAGAAACATGCGATGCTTTAGCGCACCGAGGTGCCCAGCGCGTTGCAATCGGTGGATTTGGAATTCTTTCCGTGTGGTGGTTCACAGTCTACAAGTTGACGTTTGAAACGGACTTGGGATGGGATACCATGGAACCGGTGACCTACTTGGTCAGTTTGTCCACGTTGATGGGAGGTTATCTGTGGTTTTTGTACCACAACCGAGAAATCTCTTACAAGTCGGCATTAGACTTTACAATTAGCGCCAGACAGAAGAAGCTGTATCAGCTGCACAAGGTGGACTTGCAGCTTTGGGAGTCTCTGATTGACGAGGGTAACTCTCTTCGTCGGGAGATCAAGAACATCGCTGCTGAATATGATGCCGAATGGGATGAGCGTGCTGATGAGCAAGATCGGCGCGTGACTGAAGTCCTCAAGTCTGAGCGCAGGCAAAAGAATAATAAACAGTCGGAGTCTGATGATAAGGATGACAAGGATGACGATTGATCTCGTCTCGGCCTTCTTTCATCCTTCTCCATCTACCCAGGCTTGTCTGTTATACTAGAGATGTTGTTTCATATCGGTACATTATTCCAACAATTAGAATCAGGCCTCAAAAACGAAAGATGTCGGGTTTAGAGTTCTTTCAAAGCCCCAGGTGCTTCCTATCTCCTTTCTTGCTCCTGTAGAAAACCCTTACATATCAATATAAACGGGCGCACGCTGATGAAACGGATGAAAGATAGTGAAACCAGTGCCGCGATAAGAAAAAAAGAGTGATGCTAATGTACATTTTGATTAGAACATAAGGTCCTAAGAATATCGAGATGATTTCAAATAAAGAAGCTCAAATGGCGTAATTGGCTCTACCCTCCATAGCCATGATGTGCAAAGTCGTCTACAGTGAATGTTCACCCTGCTAACGAAATTCATTTCACATTTTATTACCCTCTCTTTTCTCTTCTGTGACAATATGATCTAAGAGCAGCCCTATGAACACAAAGATTTTAAATATATTTGAGTAATTCATCAGCTTTATTGAATTCCTACATTTGAGTGGAGGGGAGTTATTTGCGACCCTCAATTCTCAGACCGAAGACATTTGCTTGAGTACTGTATACAACATACACTCTACCGCCGTTGCCCACTAGGGTTGTTTCGACAATAAGCAATCCGACTATCTTGATTACACTAAAAGAGGCCAAAGAAACAATACAGCAGCCAAAGACAAGAGAAGAAAAGCCCGAGAGAAATAAATCACAAAGTCCCATTCCGCACAGGATCATAATACTTCTTCGGCGCCTCTTCAACCTGCCTGCGCCTGTCTATAACGGAATGGCCAAAGTCAGCAAACCATCGATTAAGAATAAGAAAGAAACCATATACATACCAGCCTCAGCAGAACCCCCCGACCCCCCAGTCCCAGCCTCGCCCTTCCTCCGATTTCGATTGTTCCTCACATCCCGCGATCGAAAAACACTATATAGCAACCACCCAGCAACCCAATTGGGTCCATACTCGCCATTGGTGATCCCGCGATCGAAGAGTGGTCTCGTGAGTGGTGCGGAATTCCGCCACATCTCGAGGATTGCCCAGCGCTGGCGGTCTGGGCGGATGTGATGCCAGAAGAAGGGAGGTCGCGTGTTTGGGTCGGCGCGGATGTTGTCTAGCAGGTTTGTTGTGTCTTGGTTCATGCGGTTGTAGACCATTATTGCTTCGTCCTGGGGAGAGGTTGTTAGATTGTATTTTGTTGGGTTAGAGGGAGATGGTGAGATGATTTGCTTACTCGCATGGCACGGTAATATTGCTCGTGATGGGCATCTTGGGGGTTTAGACCCAGTGCATGCATGAATTCTTCTTTGGAGACTCGGGGGCCAACAGGCATTGTGTTGATGGATAGGCTCCTTAATATGGATATTGATAGAACGACGATGAAGATTTGAAAAGAAAAGCTTCGAATATGAAGCCTCAATGCAGATTCGAGAAGAAGAAAAGCCACAGGGCTGAACCTTCCCAAAGCCAGCGCCAAAGACAAGACCTTTATATCAACGACGAGGTCGGCCCAACCAAACTCCTTCATCTATAAACGAAGCAAAGACCTGCCACCATTCCCATGCCTCCCAACAGCCGTTGGTAGCCTTAACCAACCTAGACGAATTGCACGAGTCCGAAACCGTCCACGAGCCGACGCAATCAGATCCAAAGCGCGGAACGAGGCACAGGCAGCGAACGGCCAGGACACGAGCGAGACAGAGACAATCAGACAAGCGGGGAATGAGGAGCCGGCAATCAGATTGACGAGGATGAGATGGACGAGTGCTCAAGCGCAAGTAGGAGCATAGATATGAGCATGATCACAAGCACGAACGAGGACCGGGTGTTTGCTTCCTAGGGCTAGCTAGCTGCTGGATAGGCTAAGACATACGTTGATGATCGTTTCTCTGGGATGTGTATGGGGTGCATGCATGGCTAAAGCAATTGATGGGGAATAATGTAGACTGTACAGCTTGGTAGTTGATACATGGGGCTGGACGAGGAGACCACTAAGATTGTTGAGCTAATGCCTCGCTTTCTGGCTCTTGCGGATCATGAACAGGGAGATTTCGAGGCTTAGCTTTGGATAGGAATGTACACACCCCGATCTATATTCTGACTGGATAGTCGAGACTCGGGAGAAGGACAGGCATCTACAGTACGATAGCTGTGATAGCTGGTCTCGTTTCCATGCACCTGTATGCTTCCGCGAAGCAGCCATCGAGAGGAAGGTGTGATTGTACCGATATGGAACATGCAGATATAGCCGAGGACGTGCACCGGATACTGTGCAAATGTGTGGAGAAAGCTGGAGCTGGAGCTCGAGAAATCATTTTGTATACACTGTATAAGAGTATCAAGGCGCTCCAAGACCAATCCAGCACCCGCGGGAAAACCCCCTGCTAGCGGATCCTCAAGATCAACTAGCCTCCTGTATCTATCCGTAAGCTTGATCTCTGTACATCCTGCAGAGAAACGCCCTTCGAGTCTGCTGTGTGACCAGGCCGGGCCAGGATGCAATTCGCTAGTTTGGACAGACTGAGACCCCCCAAACGGTGCAGCTTTTGCATTTGGGATTTTGATGTTTGACTATTGCCTTTGGGCGCGTACTTGCTTTTTGGTGCGGGGAATTAGGAGTACAGGATATAGAGTATACCTTTACTCGATTCCGGCTCTATTTGTGATGTATCGTGCAATGAGATGTATGAAGCCTCGTCTGCTATGAGTGATCAAGGTTGAGGACAAGGAATGTGGCGAGGCAAAGCCAAATATAAACACCTTCATAGAAATTTCGGTCTATCATATTGAGTTGAGTGAGTGGAACGGATTGTCCTTGAAGATTTTCATTTTGACAGTGGCGCTAAACTTATGTCGTCTGGGTAGTTCTTCTTTGTTGATGGACCATGAAGGAATAGATATAGTAGCAGATAGTCAATTCTGAGCTGTCAGTCACTTGCTTTGTCTTCTGTTCGCTTGCTTCGAAGAGATTGACATATACGCGAGGCGAAAACTAAGTAAGCTATACCGCCTGGACAATGCAATGTTCCGAGGCTACATTGCATGCTCTCACGGCCGTTGAGAGACTGGTCTATTCAACGGTCTAGCCACCTCGTCAGAATGTTTGCTCTCGACTGTATGTTGTCCACGGCTTGTAAACTATAGAACAGTTCTTGATAGATCTAGCCATAAGAAATTCAGCATGTGGAAAATCATCCGGGGAAAATCATCCGCGGAAAGGCAGTGGGGGAAGTAGGAGTGGAAAATTGGCTTCCACCTGTTAGCGGCAAGGACATTGAGAAAGCAGATGGGTGAAGACAGGGGTATGAAGGCGGAGAGGAATCCGCATGATAACAGAATAGAGATCATAATCAACCTAAAGAATACAATCCAGAATTAATAGGCCATAGATAACCCTACAGTATGTACCCCGCTCCCAGCGAGCCAAAATACTTACTATACAGGCATACAAGCACAGAACAAAGAACTCAACAAAACCAAATAGATTTAACGAAAAAAAAAAAAATAGAACCAAACTACTACCAATACCCAAAAGATGAAGAAGCTACTAGAACAAAATAACAAAAAGCCAAGCACCAACAACCAACAGCCATCCCCCCAATCGATCGAAAACAAGCTCCGATTAGGTCGGGCATCACTCCCAAATCGGGGATGCCAGGAACAAGTCGAATCAAGCTTATTTACGCAGGCCCACGCAAGTGGCTGAAGGAAGCTTTTTAGGGCGCCACCCGGGTCCAGGGCTTGGTTCAGATTGATTAGGGATCGGCTGTACTATATACAGTACCCAGTACCATGTGTAGTATAAATATAGGGTATATCCCCTTGCTAGGGGGTTTTTCCCCTTCTTCTTTGGTTGTTTGCCTGGCAGTTGATACTTTATAATCTACATCCGGATACATTTATCTCCACCTACGTCTACATCTACGCCGCTGCCACCGATGAAAACAGAACCAGACATATCCATTCGGATTTCCATATCTCGGTACTGTTCAAGACTCCTCGAAATCGTCACGATTCTCGCGCCTGCACCTACGTGACAGACAGACCGGGAATATCCGTTCCTCACCCGTTTGCCAGGAGAAAGAAAAAATGGCGGGGAATTTGGTTATGTACGTCAAGAAAGCCAGAAAAAAAAAAGCCAGGTTCAAAAGCATAGAGGGAACATGGGAGGGATGGAAAGGGTAAAGGGAATGGAATGATAGGGAGGGGGTTAACTTTCAAGGTAAAGGGCAAAGATGATGAAAGGAAAAAGCCGCGTGCCATGCTCCATCCGTCGCTAAAAAGAAAAAGGGGAAGGGATATCAACCAGCCCGCATGATCATGATCAAGATCATGATTCAGACATGACCTATTTCGAAGCTGTGGCTTCCTTGGTCTCTTTCTTGGGCTCTTCCTTTGGCTTTTCCTCCTTTTTCTCTTCCTTCTTCTCTTTTTTCTCCTCCTTCTTCTCTTCGGGTTCGGGCTTCTTTTCTTCTTCGTCTTTCACTTCCTCGCCATAGTATCGGCGCAGGAGCTTCTCGACCTTGCGGTATGCGATCTTGACGTCATTCAGAGTCTTCTTGATAGCCTCAAGGGAGACCTCGTTATCCGGTTCGTCGATCGTGCCTGTCTCGTCCTTGCTAGCGCCGAAGTGCTGGATCTTCTCGCAGCCATCCTTGACCTTGATCAGACCGAGTGTGGCAGATGAACCCTTGAGGAAGTGACCGAGAGCGGAGAGTTCGTTGAGGTTCTTGTCAGCTCTGTTTGGTATTAGCCATTATCCACTGCCAACCGGCGGCAAGAACAACACTCACAGTTCCTTTTCCATCTTCTTGAAAGTGTTTTCGGCCTGCTCGAAGAATCCATAGACGATGCTCTTGCTGAAATCGCGATCCTCCTCGTCATCATCCATCTCAAGGATCTGTTCAAATGTGCTCTCATCCAGAATCTCCTTATAATCAGAAAGCTTGGGTGGGCCCTACGTGACCAGTCTCGTCAGTCCATGAAGCATACGCCCGCAAACAACTCAGCACTTACCGACTCGGCCTTCTTGGTATCGGCTGGCGCCATGATGTGTATGTGTGTGTGTTTTGAGAATGTAGAGAGGTGAAAGAGGAACGTGGCACACGTCGATCACGGAAGGAACGTTTGTTCGTGTTTCCGATATATTGCCCAATCCAGGTGGGATAGGCAGATCTGCAACTCCCAGTCAGTCAGATCCCAGGATGATACGTTGAAATCGCAAATATCATCAGCACTCGCATATGTCGTCTTACAAGGCCAGGGTGTTACGGATCCAGGCACGTAGTAGTAAGAGTGGAGGGGAAGATGGAGGGGTTCTATGGTCAAGGGAGGAGGGGCACCAGATGGAGGTATGGAAGTATAGCAGCAGGGTCGTAGCTTACTGTCAAGCCGGGAAGTACAGGGGAATGGAAATCGCAGGGGAGGGGGGGGGAGATTAAGTGTGTGGTATATGAGCCCTGAACATTCGCATATATGGCCACTAGCGCGGAAAAAGCCAGGGAACCAGGGGAGGGGAAGAAAAAGGGAGAGGGGCAAGTTGGAAGTTCCCACCTTAATTTTTGAATGAGCAGAGCTCCAAAGAAGGAAAAGAAGGACAGGGAGAAAGGGGGGAAAGAAGTTGAGAGGGGAAAAAAGAGAGAAACGGAGGGGCGGAGAACGTTAGGTGGGTATGGAATCGGCAACTCGTCTTTTATAACTTGGCATTTTTCCTATATTCTCTGCTTTTTATCTATCTTTATTGTCTTAGCTTGACAATCATTCAATAGTCACAAACTTGAGAATATATCTGAATTACCTGGGGAATAGAGTAGACATAGTTCGACTGCCTATACAGACGACATCATATTACTGATCCCCAAAACGTCATGGTAGCCCTGTCACACATAAACGAGACATTTCCCCAGAACCATAGAGTTTTTCTCAGATCCTCTCCTCTGAGACAAAATAGATAACTTCGCAATTTTTTTAGCACGTATTCATAAAATGAGAGGAACCTGATCAGGCCTGGACCGCCGAGGACCGTGTCCAAGAAGTGAGTGTGTTGCATGGGTTCGCGTCTGACGTAGAGCTGAAGGCTCCACGGCTTCGAAGGGGTTGGTGGGATACTAATTGGCAATTTTCATTTCCGGTTGTTCCCGTGGCTGGAGACTGGAGGCTGGACTCGATATTCTAAAATTGCCTATATCGCAGCCATCTCTTTTACTTATATAGGAATGGGGCATTTGTGCATCTTCGTGCCCTTTGCTGGTTTTCACGCGAAGTGATTGATGGTAGCCTTTTTGCACCAATCAGATAGGGAGAATATAGCCATGACATCATTTAAGTGGACATCTCATCAGCCTCTGATGTCATTTCGCGTAACAGCATTACCTGTTTACTCTACGTCATCTTATACTTTGTTATACTCTATACTCTTTCTCTATGTTATACAATTATAGTTAACTTATACTCTATACATAACATGTCCAGGGCATAATTGTTGGTTTGTATACATTCTGCAGGTTTAACATATCTGAAGACAGTGGGTATGTCCACTTGTGGCTATACCCCATAGAACCACACTTCAAGACCACCAAATATAGCATCACGGCCAGACGATGGAGTACGCACAAGTGGTCGTTGGTTATCGACTGACGTAGAGGTGGGGCTCCCACTACCTCACAATACTATACATCCACTGCATATCTAAGCACATTCCTATCTTGGCCCCAAGTGCATCCTGTCTACACTCCAATGCAAGCAAGGAACAGGAACAAAACACATACCCCCGATATCAGGCTCGGACAACACCCCCAAACCAGCCAAGTCAGACACACCTGTACAGTCCATGTACATGTGAACCCCATCACGCAATACGAGGTGACAGACGCCCCAACGATAGTTTGGACTAGATCGTGCAGTGGTACATGCAGCCATGCACACACTACGGAACCACCGAGTCAGCATTCAGTATCTCAGCCAAGAACGCCCCGAAAGGAAAGCTTCCGCTTGGGTGTCGGCTCATGTAGTTCAATTGCCTAGCGCCTAACTAGATTAGCCATACGTCTCTGCAGGGATAGGGGCTAAAAGTTTCTCCTCGGGACGCACTATTGAGATTTGGGGTTATTGGACCCGGCTCCGACATCCCTGTCCAGACCATATTCGGCACCAATGAACAATTTCCTACATTGTCTGAAGTGTGGCTGACCTCTAACGAACGGTGACGGTCCAGCGGTCTGTCGTTCTAACCGAGCGATATACCGCCAATTCAGTAAAACAGATCGAGTATCAGAGCGCAAACATGAAATATGAAACACTAAATAGCAAATATCAACTCAAAGCCAAACACAAAAGACAAACTTACCCCAGATAAAATGACACTTTTCTCCCGAGGTCCACTCCAATCTTCCAGAATGCTTACATAACGCCCAACCTCGGTCAAATCGACACCAAACTCCCATCCCAACCAAATCACAACAGCACCAAAAGAGCAACACAATGGCCACCAAAACCCCCCGTTCCGGGCCTACAGGCTTCACAAGAGCCTATCTCTTCCTATACAACACCCTAAACCTCCTCTCCTGGGGCACCTGCCTGGCATACACAGCAACCCTCCTCCCGGAACATGCCTCAACAAACCGCATCGCGAACATCTTCAACCTGACCTTCTCGCCATTGCTCCTAGCCACACAATCCCTGGCCGTGCTGGAGGTCGTGCACAGCCTTGTTGGGCTTGTGCGCGCACCGCTCTTGACGACTGCTATGCAGGTTGCTAGTCGGTTATTGCTGGTTTGGGGTATTATGGCGCAGTTTGGTGGGGACATTGTTGGTGCGCGCAGCACTCAGCTGGGTGATTATGCTTATCTGGGCTGTGTTGCTGCTTGGGGCGTTACTGAGGTCATTCGTTATGGGTTCTTTGCTATTACGCTTTCTGGGAATTCGGTTCCTGGCTGGTGGACGTGGTTGCGGTATGTTTCTTTTTATATGATTGTAGTTCGATGGTATGGGGTATGGGTCGCTGATTGATTTGATACAGGTATAACACTTTCTATGTTCTCTACCCTATTGGTATCTCTAGCGAGTGCACTCTCATTGTCAAGGCCCTTGGTCCTGCTGGGAACATTAACCCGCTTTTCCGCTTCGGGCTGATTGCTATTCTTGCTATCTATATTCCTGGTATGTTGTGCTGTTCTTGGATATCCTGTTCTTTGCTGATTGTTCCTAGGCTCTTATATCCTGTACACCCACATGATTGCTCAGCGCCGCAAGGTCATGCGCGGCAAGCAGCGCGTCGATTAAACAATACAATTGACCTGCGGTGATCAAAACGATATTGAAAGATCAACATCAAAAGGGGAATGAGCGTTCTGGTGGTATGGGCGACAAACTATGAAGACGAAGGAAAAGTGACATATCATGCCCTTGATGTGCTCGGCAGATAAGGGTCCTGTATCAAAAGACTCAATGTCAACCAATTGATGGCCAAAAGTACATAATCACGGCCTAATTACTTTAATAAGTTCAAATAATTGCAACATGATTATTCTATACAGTCTAGCAAATACCACCTTAATCAAATCAAAGCTCGCGCATGATATCCTGCACCGCCTTAGCTGCAAACCGCTTGCGCTGATCTTCAGGCAATTCATTGCTCATATCTAGATTGCGAATATGTCAGCAGTCTTTAACAAAACCATTGTATCAGATCAATACATGGACACACCCTTAATAGCCTGCATGCGCATCATCAATGCCTCCATAGACTCAACATCAAGCTCATCGTCACCATTGTCCTCTCCCTCCTCTTCTTCATCTCCAAACCCATCACCACCACCCCGCTCAATTGCCATCCGCAATCCGAACATCTCCCGCTCCAACTCATGGACCTCATTTCCAAAGCCACGAGTCTGCCCAGATGACATACCTAACAATTGATCCTCGAGATCATCGTCAGAATCCATATCAGGATCTTGTTCCCCATCAAGCCCAAGACCCCCCGATCCAGAAGCAGACCAGTCATGCGTTTCAAGAACTTCCTTGATACGAGGCATGCCCACTCGTTCTACTCAATGACACTGTTAGCAAACCCACGCACGCAGAAATATTCCATATAATAAACCCACCTCCATAAACATTCCTCATCTCCCCTTCTTTCCCCTCCTCCCCATCACCCTTAGGATCCCACTGAACAACCTCCCACCCCAACAATCCCAGATCATAGAATTGATCCTCCCACCACCCAACCGAGAACGGGGTTGCATCCTCACCACCAAGGTCATCCTCCTCAACACCAAGAGCTAGTTCATCTGCATCTGCATCTGCATCACGGTTCCCAGACGCAGTTCCAGATTGAGAAATACCACCCTTCTTCCCAACTAAAACAAATATACCGGGAACATCACCGACCCCACCTCTTTCCTCATCAATACGTCCCTTAACAGCGCCAACATTCCGCATTAGTGTCAAGAGAGCAACGACATCGGGGTGCTTGGCTGGATCTTTGTCTGGGTCTGCCTGCCCATCTGTATCTGGATTCGAGGTCGGAGGTGTGTTTGACTCGGATGGAATATGCGCGCATACAGCTAATGCACCGACAGCATCGCGGACGATATCAGCTTCCGGACTTAGGAATTCTGTTTTCCATTGTTCTGCTGTTGGCGTCTGCGTTTCCGGTTCCGATTCGGAAGTTTGGGGCGCGGGAAGCGGAATTTCATCTACCCAGAGTGGGACTTCGGCTGTGTAATATTTTGTTGAGAGGGACAGAGGCGCGTGGGTTGTGTACCCAGCGAATGTGGTAGTCGTTGGTGGTGTTTCGGTGTTCGGTGATGCATTGTCCGGCACGGTTGGTTTTGTATCTTGTTGCGGTGGATTTTCGATTGGTGTGCCCGTCAAGGAAGTTAGGAGGGGAGGGATTATCGAGATGGATTGCGAGGTTGGTGAGAGGATTAGGAGGCGGCGGGGGTTGGAGATTGTCTTGACTTTTGGGTTGGACTTCGCGCTTGTTGCGGGGTTTATTTGGGTTGAGAAGGCCATTGTGGCAAACTCTGCTAGTGTCTGGCTGTTTGGTTGAGGTTCTTTTGGTGGTGGTTTGAAGCTGTTTAGTCCATTGGGGGAATTGGTGATGAAGAGGTGAGTGTCCCCCGCATCGGGAGGAAAAGTTGCGGAGTGGATAAGCAGTCGTCAGACTATCAGTCACTATGAACCATTAGGAAGCTTGGTAGGTTTTGCGAAGCAAGGTCGTATGAACACTCGTTTCATCAATAACATATTGCTCTGGCCTTAATTGTCAATACCTCAGGACATAAGTAGCTATCGCTAGACAGAGTATGCCCTTGAGAGGTCACTCTCATACTACCATTTGATACAACAGAAAGTATAGTATCGGGTATTGATTCATAAATTGAATTGTGATATGACGGAAATCCCACGAGGAGAAATGCCAGTATTTTAAGACTCAGCAAGACCAAAGAAGCCCGAGAAAAAATTCCCCTAACCAAGAAAACAACAAAGAAAAACGCCAACCACTCTGTATCGGTGCGGTCTTGAAACTGCGCTCTCTAACCACTTATCCCCGGCGCTGGCCGCGCGCGCGCTGCACTGTGGCCTTACCACGCGCCAAACCGACACCGCGCCCGCGCTGGCCTCGTGAACGGAACATTGGAGCGTTCCTACAAAGCAGTCAGTATCGAACCAATGCACAGTTCCAGTGTGGAAAAATTGAAATGTGGCAGCGGAGAATTGCGATGCAAGGGTATAGCAGAACCGTACCTCAACATGTCTGGCACAATGAAGAATCGCACATGGCTGCCGCGGATGTAGACCTGGTCGAGATGGGAGACACGACCGTCGCGAGCGGTGACCGTGATATCCTTGAGCTGGACGTTCATGTTGTCCTCAGCTGATTGGGAAGCATGTCAGTAGTGGTCTGGACCTGCGCAGAGGGGGACATGGACATCACAGGCACTGTTTCGCAGCCCGAGCCTCAGATCTGGAAATCGGACTGAAAACACCCTGGATTATCTGAGATCACGCACCTTCCAAGAGCTTCCCCCGGTAAACAACTCCGGATGTGATTTCGAGAGTAACGACATGGCCCTATTTGAAAATTGAAGTCAGCGCTCTGTCTCGCGCTATCCACGCTGTCGCTTTCGTCATTGGATTTCATAGTTTGTTCCTTCAACGAATAATTCGGCAGTGATTCGGGGGATTCAACGCACCTGCGCTTCGTTGAGGAGCTTAATTGGGATGCCGATCGTGCTGGTGAGCTTGCCCATTTTGACGGAGAATGTGCGGCGGGGGTCGAAAGGGGGTTTGCGAGAACGCGAATAATCGGCGGCAGCTGTCCTGAATAACTTAAAGTGGACAGAGCAGGTCAATGAGGTGTTGGGGATGGTGGGACGATGGAGGAGGTTCGAGGTTGGCGGAAGGTGAGTTTTGCGGCTAAGCTCGTCCTTTCCGCTTTGGGTCACGCATCAACTTCACCAACAATTGATATTCTGATCCTTTCACCACAATATGTGTTTATAGCCTATACAACCACATAATACATACCCTACACCATCTGCACACAACATTCTACAGCCTCACTCCACCCAACCTCCCAACGAAACCCTGACAATGGCCGGCTCCCCAAACTCCAATCTCCGCGGCTTCAACCACGCCGTGCAAACCCTCCTCAAACAGCCCACCCAATTCCTCCCACACCTGACAATCTCGACAATCACTCACCTCCCCGAGAACCTAGGCCCACACCTAGTCAAACAACCTCCAACTTCAACTGCAACCTCATCTTTAACAGCAACCTCACCACGCACACCAACAATCCGCGCCCTGGTCCTAGACAAAGATAACACCCTCTGCCCAGCAAAAACAACAACCTTCCCACCACAAATCCTCGCAAAACTCAGCACCCTCCGCACCTCCCCAACCTCCCCATTCAACCAAACCAAAAACCCAAACTCAGTCCTCATAGTCTCCAATCGCGCCGGTAGCCACGCAACCTTCGACAACGAAATAAGTGAACTAGAAGCCCAGCTAGCACACCTGCAAATCCCCGTCTTTAGACTACCCGCCGGCGCGGAGAAGAAGCCATTCTGTGGGGACGAGGTCGTTGCTTGGTTCCGGGATCGGGGGGTTGTGAAGGATGCGGGTGAGATTGCTGTTGTTGGGGATCGTTTAGGTACCGATGTGCTTATGGCTGGTATGATGGGGTCTTGGAGTGTTTGGTGTAAGGAGGGGGTTTTTGAGGTTGGGGCAGTTGGAAAGCCTGGGCGAAATGTGCTTGAGAAGATGGAGGTTTGGATTGAGGGGGCTTTGAGGGGGTGGGGATATACTGCGCCTGTGCCTAGCGGGTGGGAAGAGGGTAGGAAGGACATTTAGATTGGGGTTGAGTAAACTTGTGATGATAATCGGTGGCGTGAATGTGAGGTATGGGGAGTTGGTTGGGATATTCGATATCGAGATCCCCTTGTATAATAGTAATACAATACAGCTACTCGGGCTCCAGTGTACAATATACGAGAACATCGCGAAACAAAATGAATTGATTCAGAGCCTAGTGTCAATCCCCCACACTCGTATACCACCAGACCAGCACTGTCCTATATCAAGCACCCTGCGCAGAAGATATTACAACTCCGTGCAAGCCACTGGAGGAGTGCTGGCTGGTTGTCAGACCCAAACAGGCGCCGACGGGACAAGCTCAAGTGCAAAAACCGACTCCAGACCCATGATAAGGAAATGGCCGTAACCACAAGAAGGTCAAAAAAGAACAAAAAAGAAATGAAAAGTTGAGGGGAATGGAGTCGCCGTCCAAGTCGGTCTGTTTGGCATAACCACGTAATGAAAAAAAAGCGAAAAAAAAGAAGAAAATTCCCGGTCAGTGAATCAAAAGAAAATGGAAAAGAAAAATGACCGGGAGACAAAGAAGTAAAAAGTAAAGCACAAAAATCGCTTCAGGACCGGCCCCAGAATGGAAAGGGTATTAATAACACAAGACACAAGGGTATGTCACGCAAGAAACAGAACCAAAAATCGCTTCCCTAGCCATCGCCAGCGAGACGAGAATTGACCAAAGGGTGGCAAGCAGCCACAACGAGATCTTTGGGTTTGGTACCTTTTTTGCTGTCAAACCTAAAGACTCGCCATGGCTGACCTCAGTGGCCAATTAAGAAACCTCTCCAAAGTAAAGAAAAAAGAACCCATTCACAAGCACAAGCGCCGCATGGACTCCAAAAAAGGCCGTGAAACATCAAGAGACAAAGGAGAAACACAAACTTAAACCACTCGCTATCATGACCCGGTGGGCATGCCCTGTGAGTTGATCTCATCCAGGTTGGTCATGTCGTGAGAGTAGTCACCCATACCCGGAGAAGGGTGAGCAGAGAGGCCATGCATAGGCAACTCAAAGCTAGAGTTCTCATGAGAAATGCCAAAGTTGACTTGGTGCTTCGAGTACATGTCATTCATTGAAAGACCATCGTCGAAGCCAGATTGCTGATCATGCGAAAAGTTGTACATGTCGGACGAACCGTGCGACATGTTCGACAGTGGCGGCGAGTGGTTAGCAATCAATGGGTCCGCAGGGCTCACGCTCGAGTAGGGAGACGGTGCGTGGGAGCCCATTGTCGAGGCATCGGTCGATCCTCCCGAGACAAAGGGGGGCACATTGAACTGAGGAGCCATGGTAGCGACTGGCGTTGACTCGCCTTGGCCAGCGTTGCTGAACATTGGGCTAGCAAATTCAGATGGCGAGCCAGTCGTGGTAGCAGACATAGGGTTAGTTCGGAAATCCAATCCATATCCTTGGGTGTCAATGCGCAAGTCGGTAGGAAGGTGGTGCACAGACTGCGGGACAGGCGCGTAGATACCAGCCTCGGTGTGATTAAACGGAGGGGGAGGTGGTGGCGGCACGTGGAAGGAACCCATGGGACCCTGAAGTGTCGAGATGTCAACGGCAGCAGGCACTGATCGGCTGCGTTGGCGCTTGTGGCCACGAGCCGCAGGCATGTTGAAGCCGAGGTGGTTGCTGTCTTGGTACATGTTCATGTAGGTGGGAGCTGCGAACTGGTTGGGTTGAGAGGCTGGGCGCTGGATGAAAGGGGGGGACATGGCAGCTGGCGCAGCAGGCACAGCGAAGCTGTTGTTGTTATAAGCCAGACGGTTCTGGAAGGATTCCAATGACACCAGCTTGGCAAGCTGAACGCTTAAGACCTTGGGGTGGCCTCCAAGGTGATGAACCATGATCTGACTAGCTTGCTGTTCCTCGGTGAAATCACCACACTGGTAAAAGCCTCCAGAGTTGGATGAGTCCATGTAGAAGTGCGGTGGGCGGTTCAGTTCCACAACAAGACCACCTGGCCGAGGGGGTGCACCGTTCGGGCCAGGAGAGGGATCACCGGTTTCCAAGGTGATGTTCTTGATGTAGGAGAATGGGTACTCGATCTTATATCCGGCAGCATCGTTGTTGATGTAGTATGTCATGCAAGCCTTATCGGGGGAGTAGAAAACGACCAGGTCCATGGCGTTCTGTCCAATGCGCCGCCAACTACCGACGGTCAAAGAACGGCAAGTAAAGTGTGAAATCACTGAAAGAGTCAGCAGATGAAAAGCAGCGAGTTCAAATCGAATACATACCAACTTTGCCAGAGGGGTTGGCGTCGTTTGTGTACATGTTGGACGCGCTGTATGCGCCCGCACGTCCAAAGGGATCTCTTGCACCAGGCTTGTTCGGGTCAAATTGCATCGCGAGATAGTGTCGCATAGACTCGGGGATCGAATCGCATCCTTCACCGGTCTCAATGCTCTTTTTCGCTAGCATCTTGATTTTAGCGCGACTGTCTTGGGTTAGCAACCAAAATTGACAATTGATACCGAGGAAAGACCTACCGATTCTGGAACCAAATCTGAACGGATCGCTCGGTCATATTAATGTCCGAGGCAATGCGCTCTCTGGTAGACGCGGTGGGGGTAGGGTTCTTGTTGAATTCCACTTCCAGAGTGACAAGTTGATCCTGAGTAGCCCGTTGGCGTTTGTTGTTCTTTTGCTGTTGAGTCAAGGTGCTCTTGCGCGGAGGTCGGCGCGCAGCAGACGAATGGGCCGTGGTGGCACTCGAAGTCGAAGGAGAAGGGGTGGAGGCAGGAGGCGAGGATGAGGATGCCATGGGCGCATTCGCGCTCGGCGGGTAATTCATTTCTGTCAACGAAGACATAACGGAAAGTGCCAAGTAAGAAATATATCTGAACACAAATTCAAACTCGTAGTCAAAGTGAATATGCTTTTTTTGTTTGCGTAGATGTTATTTTTTTTTCCGGAAAGAAAAGGTGAGAAGTGTGACGATCCGGCCGACGAGTGATGGGGTGGATGTACGAAAAAAGGGCGGATGGTCTTCCAAGTCTTATTCCTCTCGAAGCAGCCTCAGGCGCGAGAGTTCAGGTTAAAAAAAATGAATGGATGTTCTGGCGTAGGAGAATCGCGTTCGGGGGGCGTCCACGTCAGAGGCTTGGGGGGTGGTTGGGTAAGGGCGCGTCGCAGAGGCGTCCAGCAAACGATAGAATAAATAAAAGGCTGGCCTAAGCAGCTGATAAGGAAGGGCAGAGGAATAATCGTAGACTTCAATTATTGATGAAGTTCAGAGGAATCGCAATGCCTGGTTGAATCGATCAACGGGGCGAGAACGGGGGTAAAACCGGTCGCGAGGGAAAAGAAGGAGGGTAAAGAGCGGTACGGTCGTCGTGAAAGAATGAAACGAACGACCTAGCAAAAAAGAAAAGAATGGGTGGAATAGAGAAGAAACAAAGATGTGAGGCCCGAGAGGAGGATCAGGAGATGCTGACTACGCATGGAGAACCGGACCAAACTTCTCTACGGCTGTTTGGGTCGACTGGCGCTACGCTATTGGCACCTCGTGGGGCACAAGCGAGGCCCCATTGTTTTCTCAGGGTCTCGAATTGCCTATTTGCTTTACGGTGGATTTGACTGTACCAGAGATTATCATACTCTCTTTCTTTGGGTTGCCAGTGTGGACGGAACAGAGAAAGATCCTGGGTTTTGGCCCCTGCGTCAGAATCTGCAGGTGCCCAAACACCGTCACGGAGGTCTGGATCAATGAGGACACAGCCTGAGCCTCCATTGTCTGAGGGGTACAGCGCAGTCCCCTTACTCGACTGTCCTGCATTGGTGCGACCTCCAGGGGGAAAACCTGTCATGGGAACCGTGGCGTCGAACCAAAAGAAATAGGCCATCGCTGGATCGTCGCCAAATGCCGCCGAACGGCATCCACGTGAGATCCGCGGGGAATCTGAAACACCGGCACTGTTGATAGTATCTCGATCGGGCCAATCTGAACATCAAAGGGGGAAAACGAGCGACACTCGAAACGTACACTGCCTAATCCAGCCAGGACAGCCACAAAGGCCCGTCAGGTCAAAGTTGCAGAGTCTTTCTCGGCACATTCTCCTCGGGCGCCACACAACTTCCAGGGGCTGCTCCAATGGCTTCGGCCAATAAGCTTGCAGTTACACGTGCAGTTCCGTGGACCGCCAAAGGAGAAACATTCAGGTACCCGCCTCAGTGTTGATTATGATTGGCTGTGCAGACGTGACAGGTCCAGACCAAGACTGAATGTCTCTCGTCGTAGGCTTGAACTATGAACGGCCGTGCGTCTTCCGTCACTTCCGAGTTCGGCTCAGGAGAACAATGCTAGCGGATAAACAGAATGCAGAAGGACATAACATTGAACAGGATCTATATCTCGACCACCTGCAGACGATTACGTATGCCCTCTAGGATCATCTCGCCTCGTTCCTGCCACTGCGGTCTAGCGTTGCCTCACTTTATTTTGCTTTGGCTACTGCATGCAGTAATCATCCGGCTGAAAAATGGCTTTATCCGCCATTGTTGACATGCAAGTTACTAAGATTGCCAACTGGGTACCCCTGACATCTTCGACACAGACCAAATCCCGATCCTACAGTATCCACCAAAAGCAGTATTGCCAGGGACTAACCCTTAAAAGATAAAGAAACAAGATTCTCTATCAAGCGCCTGAACGTACCCATCAACAATAGAAAAGCCACACCCCCTACTAGAACGACTAGTAGATCTGACAACCCCACCCTTCTCCCTCAACGAATCAGTAACCTCCCAAATACGCTCAATAAGCCCCATAGCCGAATTTCGTTGCTGCTCCCGATAGTACGCCGTCATAGACTCATGCTTCCGTCGAACCCAGGCCCGATCCTCGGGTGATACAGCCTCCCTCGCAGCAAGATAAAACGGCTGCGGCAAAGACGAATCAGGTCCACACCCTGTTGAGAGATGATCCATCAACCCGAAACATATGCGCACCAGATGCTGTACCCGCGGCGAGCAGGTTTGGTCTTGGAAGACGCGGCGCGCAAGTAAGAGATGCGCTGTCCAATAGAAACATTCGCTTAGAATGTCTAATGGGGTTCGTTCATTCCGCCCTGGGATCTGGCCGTTGTACTTGTATTCGGTGCCCCATACGCGGAGCTCGCTTTCTATTTGGAATGCCGAGACGAGTATGGTCGCTTCACTCTTGGTTTCTGCTTCTGTTTCTAGGCTTTCGCTCATGTCGCATGCCAGATGTGATATTCGGACTAGGAAGCACATCAATGGCTGTGGACATCCTGTCATTTTATAAAATGATGGCTCAGTTGTGTCCCAGTGGTTTTGATCTGGTTGGTTTAAGATGAAGGTTTGCGGTGCGTATGGTCTACGCTGTCGCGATATCGCTAGCATCAGGTCAACCATGCCAAACCGTTGGACTATCATGCGTGCGATCGGGTTTTGTGGTATTTCCTCGAAGTAACCCAGCGCCTGCATGAGCCAAGAGGCGCATTTAACATGGGGCTCCAGGACACCATCCGCGGTTTGTGCGACCACAATTCCTTGTAGGACGACGGCGGTGAGTAGTGCTTCTCTTTCGATTTTATTGGCTGTCGTGATGGCTGTCGGGTTAGAATTGGTTTCTGCGTCTATGGTGATCAGGTTCTGGCCCAGGGTTCGTAGCATTCGTTGCTGACGTTGTGCGGCAAGATCGATGCTTGTTAAGCCGAAGTTAAGCATGTGCTCTGTTGCTATGCAGATTATTGTCTCGAGAAGGATGGGGGAGGATAGAGCTGGGATTGAGAGTTGCCGGTAAGGGTTGTCTGGTCCGTCTAATGCAGGAACATTCGATGAGACGAGCCTCACGTCTGAATTGTCTTAATCAGATCTGACACTTGGTTTTGCTTGGATGCGGGCACATACAGTATTCCCATGCCAACTTTTCTTCTGTGGTTTCAAAGCATGTGTCCGCGAACAGTGCAGGAGACCGAGCTAGTGACTCCAGTTCCGCAGTGCAGATGTCTCTCGGTCGAGGTCTATGTCTCGACAACGTAGGTTGTGTTCGTTGAATCCATTTCAGATTAGATGGATATTTGCAATCCAGGTCTCGGACTGCGCAAAATGAACATTTTGGCTGCTGTTCTTCGCATTTGTTATGTTTCTTTCGGCATTGTAGACATCCTATCAGGCAGACATCAGTGCCTATGTCTCGGGCTGCAACAATTCCACCTACCGGTTCGTGATCTTGAGAATGTCTCTCCCCGAGGCATCTCAACCAGCAAGTCTCTCATAAATAATTGCCCAGAAACTCGCGAGTGTCGAGAAGAATGAAGTATGAGTGGGTTCCCCGCAGGCTCATCTCCACTATACACAAGCCGGTCACATGTTAACAGCCGACCAATCAGACAGGTCGATTGGATATATCTCATCTTTCGAATCTTATACATTGTATTTTGATGTTCTTTAAAACATATGCGCCTCTACATGAAAAATAGTAGAGCATTCATATCCCCGAATCCGTAATGGTTTCGTTCACGAATATATCATATTGAATTATAGAACAAGTGCCTATGTAATATACAGCCAGTCTGCGATGGTAAGAATTCAACTAGATACAGCAAAATCAAATTCAATGAATTTATTCTCCCAGCACGTCCTTGATAACCCGAACAGTCAGATCGACTATCAAGTCAATCTCAGCCCGAGTAGTATTATAGGGTGGCGCCAAAATGATATGATCACCATTGACACCATCAATACCACCACTACCAGGCATCAAAGAAATCGAATATTCAGGCTTGAGGCCTGTGGTATGCAGAGTCCAAGAAAGTGTCTTGGATGGCGGATACGGTTCCTTGGTCGCTTTGTCTTGAACGAACTCCATCTACAAGCGAATCAGTAGGAAAACCAAAGATGATAGTATCGGGGAGAGAACATACAGCCCAGAATAGACCCCGTCCACGAATATCACCCACATGAGGATGGCCATCCAACCGCTCATGAAGCATCTGACCAAGATATTCACCCATCGCACGAACATTCGGTAACAAATTATCCTCTTGGATGATCTGTTGCACCTTATACGCAGCTGCACAGGAAACAGGATGACCCTGGTACGTCTGGCTGTGAACAAAAGCCCCCGTTCCATTGCTGAGCGTGTCGACGACATGCTTGTTAATGAGGAGGCCGGCAATAGGCGCATATCCTGCACCCAGACCCTTGGCGATAGTCTGAAGATCCGGAACGACATCTTCTTGTTCCCAGGCATGGAGGGTTCCCGTGCGGCCCATGCCGGACATTACTTCGTCTAAGATGAGTAGGGCCCCGTGTTTCTCGCAGACTGCTTTCATTGCTTTGAGGTAGCCTGGCAATGGTGGTACACAGCCGAGTGTCTATTTGAGCTGCGTTAGTTGCGATAAGTAGTCGGGCGATATTTAATTATACTTACAGCTCCAGTCATAGTCTCCGCAACGAAAGCGCAGACAGTGTTAGGACCAAGTCTTTGAAATTCGTCCTCCAACTCTTGAACTAGACTTGCAACGTAGTATTCGACGCTTTCATTGGCCTGCATTCCTCGGTATGGGTAACATTGAGAAATATAGTGCACATTCTTTGAAAGAAGGCTCTCATAGATTCTCCGCCGGGAAGCGTGATGTCCGACAGCAAGGGACCCAAGTGTGTTGCCGTGGTAGGAAGACTTTCGAGATATAATGTTCACACGCTGGGTCTGAGGCACCGGTAACTCTGTAAAATACTGAATAGACATTTTAACAGCGGCTTCCACAGCTTCGGTGCCTGTTTCAATTCCAACGTGTTAGCAACAGTACTTGTTCTAGCATAGGGATACTTCTCACCCGAGCTAACAATGTAAGCACGAGACATTCTGCCTCCAGTAGAGTCTACCAGAAACTTTGATAGACTCTCTGCAGCACTGTTGGTAAAGTACATGGAATAGCAGTATGGGATCTTTTTGAGTTGTTCCAGGATTGCTTCGTGTACGCGCTCGTCACTGTGACCCAGACAGGAGACTGCTGCACCGCATGTTGCATCGAGAATCTCCATGCCAGTATCAGTGATCAGGTAACTTCCCCTTCCCCCGACAATGTTTTGAGGCTCTCTGCGGAGCTGATGGTATAGAACCCCACTTGGAGGCTTGACATCAGTGGTCGCGACCTGCTTTCCAGCAAGTGCTGGCACGGCAGTGTCTGCCAGGTCTGGTGTATAGTCACCCATAGTGTCGTCAAGTTCGATGTATTTGTGTAAATAAAACTCTTGCGAAGTGCTTGTCACTGAATACTTTATGATGGTAGTTGATAGAAGAAAGAGCAGGTGGATGATCAAGGGTGCTTTATAGCCCAGGCCGCGCCATGGCCCAGAACTAAACTTTGATAACACACAACCCCATTTGGAGAACAGGTCAGCTTATCGCCGTGATTGGTGAAACGCACCATCATCCAGTCGTTGAAATTCATACTTGCCGGCTATGCGCTAATCCCGAAGAGGAAATCTTTGTCGGACCCACAGTACTTAGGAAGATAGGCCGCCTGACCAAAATTCCATAGGACATAATGTTGTAATAATGAAAGCTGTCATCGCCGCTCAAATGTGGCTTACATATCATAAGCATATGCGATGGCTGCTGGGGGCAAGCTGACCCAACGCCAGAATCTTACGTAGTTCTTGGTATCGTCATACATAATATAGCATATTATACGGACATCAACGGCTCTAATCAGAAGGTTTGTGACCATTCGGCCATATAAGGCCATGACCGGGGAAGGGAAGATTGCCATTGAAAAGGATCCTCTAGGGGACGAGTTTATAAGGGCAATGGAATCGCTTTTGGGGTATTAGGTAGCGGACATATACGTTCGACAAAATTCCGTGGACAAATGTTTGCCATGAGAAGCCTTAGGGTACATAATACTTGCGCCACCCGCGAGGGCCAACTTTACGTTTTTCGTGGTCCCCTTCATAACACTCAAACCGTCTATCCCTCTCGATGCCCAACTCTCTTGAACCGCCTAGACCCAATTTTCCAACTTCCTCACTAGTCTCGGAGTAATCACCAATCCAACCGGGAATTTCATCGAGAGCTTTGATTTTGCCCTGCTCTCGTCCAATCTGTAGGGGCACTTTGTCGGCCACAGAAGCACCCATTCTCATCATAGTGAACGCGTCAAGTTGTGGGGTCCACCGCAGGGCAATAGATGCATATAGTGCCAGGGGGAGGAGGATGCAAATCAGTAGACCAAGGAGAATCGATACCACGGTAATACCGGCCACAGATATCGTCGGAACTTGTGTATCGGCTCCCATGTCGTAAGTTATCATTAGGCCCCCGTGGCTATGCTCCATCCAAGCTTGGTTGGCGAGAAACGCAGCAATGGTGAAGTCCGCCGCCAGGAAGTCTTCATTTGTCAGCGGATTTTTATCCGGCGTAAAACTTAGCATCCACGTCATAAGCGAATCGCCTACGTCTCCGCCATCAACGTCTGCGATACAACCTGTTGGTAGACTTGCTATATGCTGCTCTGATGTGCCTTGTGATTTGAAAAGGAAACCAAGGGGCGCCTGGTTGATGCAAGTCCCCGAGTACTCCCAGGTATCGCTAGATGCAATCACTTTATGCGGGTGTTCTAGGCGGGTTTGAGGAAAGGACCCATTCCCAAAAAGAGCCATGGCTACCGTTCGAAGGGGACCCTTATTTGCGATATTCTGCTGCTCATAAGATCTTTTCAAGTCTTAGTTTGGTCACTCCATCAAGTATGGGTGATAATTAGAAGCATCTCAAAACTTACATGGGTGAGCTCGGGTTGTGCCATTGCCACGCACATTCTGTTCCCCGGCCGCAAGTAGCGGTGGTGTTGGGCCCTTCATCTAACAAGTGGCCAGCGACTCCGTTGTTCATGTAGTTTGGAAGCTCAAAATAGCCCGCTGTGGTATCCAGCTTGACCTTGTAGAAAGTGCTTTCGGCCTTGGTCATATTGGAATTAGCTACTGTAAAATTGAGATATAATTCTTCGAAGAAGTCCTGGCGGTCTCTTGTAGGTCTCCATGGTGACTTGGTAATGTCGTTCGGGATACACGCTCGGATCCCCCAGGCAAACAATTCTTGGTGCCATCTAATGCCTGTGTCCGACCAGCTGGTATTATTACCGTCGGAGTAGCTGTAGTTCACATAGAACGAGCCAGGGATCTTATCGCACTCACTTGGAAAGCCGTTTGCGTCAATCCTGGTGTATTGCGCGCTGGAATTGATTCGGGGGATGTATTGGCGAACAAGGCCAGTATGGAAAGTGTTGGTTAATTGAGCTATGAAGGGATCATTCAGATCTGCAATTTCCCCAAGGGTCAGGCGGGTTCCCGTGATGCAATCCTGAGATTGTGTGAAATTGTTGATCGCACAGGACGAGTTGCTACTTGCCCAAAGCTGGGCCATCGGCTGAGCCACAGTTGCTGCCGTCAAGGTACTTCGAGCCAGGATCACAACTTCATCGTACCTGTCTGCGTCATAGTACGTCCATGAGCTAGCGAACTCAAAGAGATTCAGGATATAAGACCCTTCAGTCGGTGTCTTAATTGTTGTGGTGGATATGAATAACTGTTGCAGAGGCGATATTATTGCACCTAGAAGGTTCAAAAGCATGGCAAAAAGTAGAAACGAACTGCCGTGTCTTTTCCACCCATTAGTAGAAAAGAATGGTAGCACTCTGGCGTATGTGGTAAGATCCGTCCAACCCTTGTCCGCAAGAGTTATAACTTGCCGAATGCTGAGCTTATCACGAGCCTGTTTCCGCTGGATGAACATGACTGCTGTGCTCGAGCAAACTGCAGATATCAAGGGGATAGTTAAAACGCTGACGACTGACTGAATGATCCGAGCAGCGCGATACCACCGTTCATTTCTGACATAAAGGTCCTGTTGATTCCAACTACTTATAATATCTGCCGCGCGTTGAGAGCTTCGTGTGGTCCAAAACCCATACTGGCGGTCGTTTGCTGGGCGGAAGGATAGATAGCAAGTAGTTACCCACGAGAAGAGGGCCATGCTAATGTATGTGGATATCAACACGATAATGTAGCCAGAGCGGTATAGCCTGGCGGACGGAAAAGCCGGAGTATTTGCTTTTGGGGGGCTGTCTTGTGCCGGTTTTGAATTTCTTGGATCGTCAACTCCGCTTGGGTGGTCGATCGCTTCATAGTGTGTGCGAGTGTCATCTTGGCGGAGAGGCTTATCCTGAATGGTGCTAACAGGGGTGTAATCATGCGTTCCTAGAGAACCAGAGTCTATGAACTTCGGGCGAACAGATTCCTCTGCCATGGTTATACAGTAAAAACAGGGAAAAGAAAGTCAGAAACAATCTGACATTATATATCGTCTGCCTAGTCACTCCTGCAGAGAAACATGAAGCGGCTCCAACTAGGGGGCCGGGTGTTTGTGCCCGCCTTTCCTGCAGCTAAAGGCTGGGCGCTCCAATCAGGAATCGCAAGGCAGACTCCAGGTTTTTTGTTTTTTTCGCTCTATCCGACGAAGACCAAACATGAGATGCAGTTCAAACTAGAGCCGAGCACAGCGCCAAGGTGAGCGCCCCGCTAGTCGAAATGAGAGTTGGTCGACAGAGAGAAACCCCCCGGGATGAGATCTGACACTAAAAACTAAGCGGAGGGTTGATGCCTGAGCTCCTAGACACCCACAACAGTTTGATAGTTTTAGTCTCTTATAGACGTTTTGCTCATTATCAGAGGTTGGAGAAACGGTGTCGTAGGTGCCATGCTCATATTGGGAGACGTTATGTTACCTAGTACATAGTTGCGGGCCGCGGGACTACATGTGCGCGCTTGAGTGTACGTGCATCCGGGGCTTCTGTCGGAAATTTCCACGCTCAATTGTTCTATTTTTGGTCCCTGAACGAGGGGCGGAGGTTTCTCTATTGTAGTTTTGGTTAGGCATCGCTCAATTGCCAAGAGCCGCCATCCCGTATCTCCACAGGGGGCCGACTTGGCACCAGGCCCCCACATAAAGGTCTATCCAGCTATTTTGCAAGGATTATTGATCCTTTCTCTCTACCTTCTAGAGTGGTCTAGCCTAGAGATATTCAAGAGCTGCACTCGGTTGTATCGTGTACTAGTAGGGAATATGAACCCGGTGCTTTGTCTTCTCTCGCCCAAATAGGAAAATCATGCCCTACTTCGAGCCTAGAGAAGGAGAAACAATATTGGATCGTTCGCACGATTCCTGCTATCAGAAGCCTTGAAAACAATGAACCTAGCGAGACAATAGGAATTCAAAATGATTTGACCCAACCCCGCTACCACCGTGGCGAAAGGAGGCGGTCTCACAAATCTAGATTGAATCAGACAAGGAAATCGCGGTCGAAAGGGCCGAGGCTGCGCTGGAACCGCGGACGTCGTGATATACTCGGACGCCTCAGAACAACACGGTCATTTAGGCGCTGCAGCTGCCGTGCTGGACGGCTAGCTAGAAACAACAGACAGCATACAAGCCCAGGTTGGACCTAGGATTTGATTGATCCAAGGATCCTTGATCCTTCTATAATCAGTCAAAATTAGGGACCTCAATCTTGGGATTAGGCGCTTATGCAATCGAACCATCTATATAAGCACGATATCAGAAAAGGCTTGTCTAGTGAAACGATATATTTATACAAAACCCTTGCTGTTAAATTAAATGCTACTTGTGCCATAGTTTGTCTGTAGTATAGCTTTCTTAGCTCTGTATTATCATGGCCATGTCTTGGCAGTGGAAGAAAGGCAACAATAATATGAGGTTATTATTGATGAAGAAGGACGGAGAGGGGAAGAAGTCCCGCTCTCCAAGCTAGCAAACTAACTACTCTCAGGTCTATCCTGGATCACGTGATCTCGACACCATGTAAGCCATTGCGTTCAACTCTACGCAGGTCAGGCCACTTAATATAAAAAGCTGTCTTTTGCGAGTTCTTGATGAACCCCTTAGTCCTAACCGACATCTCACCTACTATACGATAAGAGCTGATATGACAAGGAGTTTGTATTTAGTAGGCATTAATACCTCAGACATGCCTCTAGCCCTGGACTATTCTATCTGTTGTTTTCTAGGGTCCTTCTCACGACGCTTCATTTCCATCATCTCAATCCTCTGCGCCTTGATCTTTCTTTCCAGGGGATGCTGCTTCATACTGATCATTTGAAGCCCATCGATTGTCTCGTCGCACATTCGAATGCCTTCGTCAAATCTATTCTGTAACCTATAACAATGTGCAAGTTCAGCCATTGCATGGAGTCGATCAGGATGGAAGTCACCCCAATAAGATGACAGATACCGCTGCTGTTCAATCACGTCCACTAGTATATCCTCTGCCTCGGAAAGTTTTGATTCACATGTGAGAATGTTCGCTAGTATCCCTCTCCCCATCAGGGTCCAGGTGTGATTTTTACTGAGATTGCGGTCCGCAATTTGCAGCCCCTGGCGCACCAAAGCTTCTGCCTGACTATGCTGACCAAGTGCAGTCTTCACTCTTGCCAAATTAACCATCGCATGAAGTGTATGCGGGTGTTCCTTGCCGAGCTTTTTCGTTCGGCATTCAAAAATCTGCTGCATCATCTCTAGGATGGTGAGAAATTGACTTTTCTCTCCTATTTTTAGGATGACCATTGCCAAGTATTCTTTCGCAGCCAAGGTATTGAGATGCGTGGGACCGAGTATGGCACACATACCGTCGAAAGCTTCCTGGAGGAAACGGCTCGCTTCGTCTAAGTCGTACAACTTGGCAAGCGTTTGGCCGAGGCTACACATCGCGGTTAGAGTATCCTTATGTGCCGTGCCATGCAGCCTGATCAGGCCATCAAGAGCCTGTTGGTGAAGAACCCTAGCTTCGGTGTACCGTCCTTGCTGCCATCTTGTCCGACCGAGGAGGTCCATTGTCATCAGCATTTCAGCGTTGTCAGGTCCTAATGAGGCGATGGATGCCTTCGCAACTGCATCTTGTAGATTCGCTGCCTCGTCTCCGCGGCCTTGATTCCAATATGTGCCTACCAAGGCTAGCGTTATGCGTCGAGTGACAGAATGATTTAGCCCAAGGACGCTTTCTGTATATCTTTTTGCTGCCAGCTGAAGCTCCTCGGCGTCTTCCCAACGTCCATTCTGGGCATACACGAGACTGAACTTGACGTAGAGGACTACCTGTGCTTGACCGAACCTTGATCCTGTCCCGGGCCAGTCATTAAGTCTTGGCCAGCGACTTTTCCTATTCTCCAAGATTTTGCGCTCCACAACTTCCTGGCAGCTCCGAACATGATCGACATGTGGGAGGATATCCTTTCGGAAAAGCTCATCAGCTTCATTATCACCAAGAGGCGGGAGAAGGATTGAGTGAGCGAGTGTTGTAGCTGCAGCCTGTGACCAGACAGCCTGTTCCGATGTACTCATACCAGGCCTCTGCCGCACCCATATGTGTAATAGAGGGTGGATCGAATAGCTGTCATTGGCTTCATGATGCGTAATAAGAGACACTTGGATAAGTTCACTCAGCGCGTAGCGTACCCTTGGCTCGTCAAGAACCCCTAACTCTCGGCCTTCCCGTATGAAGGAAGGCAACGCAGGCGGGCCACGGTTATGCGCGATGAAGCCCAGTATAGAGAGCCGTAAGTCATTGTATCTCTGATTCCATGCCAACGGCCGACTCTTTTTCTCTTGATCTGCCTCTTCCTGTTGAGCTTTCTCAATCTGGAGGTTGGTGATAGCTTTCCTCAAAATATCGAACCGGATTTTTTTAAAGTAAAGAAAAGAAAACATCTTGAGTAGTTGAATCGCGTCCTCCGAAGATTCTGTTCTTCTCTGTTCGAGACTGCAATAGACAAGCTCGAACGTAGCATACGCGCTCAGGTACTTCTCGTAATATTCACTGGGGTGATGTGGTCTCCGCGTGCGGCGAATACGACCCCAGTCCTTGTCATAGAAACCCAAGTAATCCTTCAGCGTACACAGGCCGTTCCTAATTGTGGCACCGGCATGAATTATAGCAATTACAAGGCGTCCAAGTTGTTCGGTTATCTTTGTAGCTGATGCCAATGTATCAGCGTCCCATGGCTCTGGTAACATTGCTGAACGTAAGAGAAGAAAGGTTGCTTCCTCTTTATCCATTCCCTCGAAGTCAAAAAAGCCACACTCAAGGTTACCATATACTTTTTGAGCTGGGTTGCGGGTGGTGATGAGAATATTCCCTCGATCTCTTTCTGGGAAGTAATCGTCAAGTTTGATGCTCAGATCATCAGCATTATCGATTATCAAAAGCCATCGCTCTTTGCAGCTAGAGAGCCAATGCATTGCAGCATGATGATTTGGCTCTAGCCTCACTTGCGTCGCGATTTCAGCATAGGTCTGTTTGATACGTTCATGAGAGCTAGCGTCAATCCAAAAGACCCCCCAAAAGCTTCTCCAAGTCAGAACACTAAAGCTTCTGTCTTGGGGTGGAAAACAAGTTACCGGTCTCTATTGACTTCCGCAAATTTATAGCAAAATTCACTCTTTCCCGATCCACTGATACCGTAGATGACGAAGCGCTGCTGACTTTGCACTACCCCATCAAAATCTGTAGGCAAAAGCATCTCTCGAAGCCTTTCCAGATACCGGGAACGGCCTGTATATAAATTGCTTACAGGCTGAGGAATATTGAAAAATACATTTGGCCTGATGACAGACACAAAATTCGCCACAGAATCAACGGAAGTTCGAAACTGTTTAAGTCTGACGATGGTCGCCAGCTTTTGTGAGTATTTGTCCAAGTAAGACTCAATACCAATTTCCAATTGGCTCTCCAGTGTCACAATCTCTGCTTCAAGTTTCCTGTTAAGTGAGCGCATGTCGGCAGATATTTGATCAAATGTGTCCTGAGAGGCTTTGTGTTCGTAGCTAATAGTATTAGTCGTTTGCCATGAGCTGTGCAAGTCGACTACTCACAGGCCAATTCCAGTAAGCAAAACCTTCAGATTTTGCTTTTCAATGGAGAGGTTATCACGGAGCATCTGAAGCTCGCCAGGCTTGTCGCGGCTGACGAGTACTTTACTTGGCCTATTCAGCTTTCCAGTACTATCAAGGCCGATTTCGCCCCAAACGGCATGAAGAATCTCTTCAAGCTGCATCGCGGCTTGCTGGCATGTAGCGAGGTTTTGTTTACAATCCTTCCATAGCTGGTCAAGGAGGCTAACAATCGAATGCGATATGGTCTCGCGCACTGGGGTGTTCTTCTCAAAAGCCCCCTGAACCGCAACAACTATGTTCTTCAATGATTCCACCTCCACAGCCAAGTTGCCAGCTTCTGTCTGAGCAGATGCAACTGTGCTTTGGATATCTTTCAGAAACTTGATGATGCGCCCCAACACATCTGTGAGTCCAGTAGCTCCTTTCGATATGGAAGGTGAATTCATCTCTTATAATAAGATGATGAAGACTGCTCTCAGGGAATAAGGTCACCTGCTGAGTCTATCACCTTTGATGAAAATTAAGCGTCTCGAGAATTGTTTGATGAAGCGCTCTTAATTTCGATGGTATGTGGCGACAGTCGTGTCATTTTATTTGGGGGACTATGACTGGTCTCAATGACCCCTGCTATGCCAAGGGCCAAGCCTCAACTCCTCTCATCACCAGTGCCTGGTACGCTTTTTCCTTCATGATCTCACATGTGATTCATGCAGCTGCTACATGCGTCACATCTGTGATAGCCTATCATGATTTTCAACCGTATACTGATGAGGCTACGTGCATCTACATTTCCATACAGGGGAATTCTGTACATGTCGAGGTCAGATGTGAGCGGCATTAACTTTCCATAAGCTAATTACCGCGCTACGCTCGCAACATGGAACGGAATATAACGTTACGGGCCGTTTTGCGACATCAAAATAGCTGAAACCTTTAATATTGATCTCAATAAGTTGGAAACAGCCGCTATTGACGTTGCTGTGAAAATCTCTCATTCCAGCACCGACGTTGGCATTATGGCTACCAAATTCCACGACCGGCTCCACTTACTGCCGACCCTTGTTGCGCATTGGCCTGGCTGGGCGGTGCCTGAATCTCATCTTTGGTTCCAACCAGGCTTATATAGATTGTGTCATCGCTCATTACAAGCCGGTAAGGTGGATGGAATTCAAGACGCATTCCTTTCGCTATTTCTTCTTCATAAAATGGAAGTTGGTATGATCGCTAGAATGAGGTAGTAGCAACCTTTGGATTTTAAGTATGCCTGAGCCTACAGTAGAACGCCAGAAGTAACTGGCAGATCTTGCCTTTACCAACGCCTCTATTCGATTAAGAGCTAGAAGTGCGACACCAATCGCTATTGTATGAATGGAGCCAATGCATATGCTAACGCTAGGAGGAAAAGACTTATAGCGCACAGTGTAAGGTCACCGAATATTGGACGGAACGTCACCTGATGAATAGCAAGGCTGACACGCCGTCACTTAAGCGACGTTTGTCCGGCTTTCCCCACCTACATGCCAGGGTAACCTTCTACTGCTGGGATAATGGATCCTGCAGTATCATTTGGTGACTTGAATTTCGGCTTACAAGTCGGAAATAGTTATGGCCCGATCACCGCTGAGATACGTCTTCCTTCAAGTAAGTTACGACAGACTTCACTCAGGTTATATGGTACCAATCATCGCATAGGCCTCGACGAAAAGCTACCCGTTGTACACGGGGCTGCATTTGACTCATACATGAATCAGCATGAAGATTCATGTCTTCCAGGCACGAGGGTGGATATTATCCAGCAAATTGAAAAGTGGCCCTTTTCACCGCAGGGAAGATGTATCTTTTGGTTGAATGGAATGGCCGGGACAGGAAAATCCACCATATCTCGGACAGTCGCAATGTCGTTCAAGCATACTGGGTCACTTGGGGCAAGCTTCTTTTTCAAGCGAAACGAAGGGGACCGAGGGGATGCTATGAAGCTTTTCCCAACAATCTCAAGGCAATTGGCAAGCAGTATTCCCGAACTGATCCCTAGTATTGAAAAGTCGATCCAGGAAGACCCAGGGATTGCGGCGAAGGCAATGAAGGAACAATTTGACAGATTACTCCTTCAACCACTCCTAAGTTTAACAACATCCCGTCTCCCGCCCCCGACTGTAATCATTGTGATTGATGCATTGGACGAGTGTGATGCGGACAACGACATACGACTTATCCTCCAACTTTTACCGCAGCTACACAAATCAAGCGCTCTGCGTCTCCGAGTTTTCTTAACTAGCCGGCCTGATTTGCCAATTCGCCTGGGATTCTCAAGGCTTGAAAAAGATGACTATAGAGACATGGTACTTCATGAGACAGCTAAGGATGCGATCCAACACGATATTTCATTGTTCTTAAATCACCGACTGTCAGATATAAGAAAAGAGCGCGACCTGCCTTCTGGCTGGCCTGGAAGTACGAATATCCAGAGCCTAGTGACATTCTCTGTTCCGCTATTCATTTTCGCCGCTACTATATGCCGCATATTTGAGGATCCTTACTGGGACCCAGTGGACAGTCTCACTGAGATCCTCGCACATCGGAATGATAGATGTCAATTAGATGGCACATACCTTCCTGTGCTTGATCGGCTTTTGAAAGAACAAAGCGAGAAACAGAACAAGCAACTAGTTCAACAGTTTCAGCAAGTGATTGGTGCAATCATACTACTAGAGAGTCCACTCTCGGTCGGCTCACTGTCAAAGCTCATAGGCCTCCCAAAGAGGCTTATATACCTTAGGCTGAGCCCACTTCATTCAGTTCTAAATGTACCAGATGATGAGGCGTTGCCAGTGCGGCTCTTTCATCTTTCGCTTCGGGACTTTCTTCTTGATCCAGAAACTCGCAATAAAACTCGATTTTGGGTTGACCATCGAGATATACACCATACTCTGGCCATGCAATGCCTCCTTATGTGTCAAAATCTACGGAAAAATATATGTAGGCTACCAAGTGATGGTACCAAACGCGCAGACGTTGATCGCAGGACTGTCGATCGCTATATTTCCCCGGAATTGCAATACGCCTGTCGCTACTGGGCACACCATCTAGTACAATGCACAGATTTGGTTGTTGTGGCACACGATGCTCTTTTGTTTCTTCAAAAGAGATTTTTGCACTGGATGGAGGCAATGAGCCTTCTAGGACTCATTTCAGAAGTGGTGGGGACTATCAATCTCCTCCAATCGATTCAACCAGTATGTCCATCGAACACTTGTGTGAAACTCACCCTAATGGACCTAGGACAGCGAGCAGTCCGCAGTGTCCGAGTTTTTGCATGATGCGAAGCGGTTCATTCTCAAAAACCGACAGATAGCCGATGAGGCGCCTCTTCAACTGTATTGCTCAGGACTTATATTTGCACCTCGGAAATCGGTAATCCGTAGAGAGTTTCAAAAGGATCTCCCTAAGTGGATATACCGGTCACCACGCGTCGAAGAAAGCTGGAGCGCAGAATTGCAGGCCCTCGAGGGCCATTCAGATTCAGTACAGTTGGTGACCTTTTCGCCCGATGGCCGGCTGCTAGCGTCTTCTTCCCATGATAAGACAGTCCGGCTATGGGATACCATGACGGGTGCTCTGCAGCAGACTCTCAAAGGTGATCCAACTTCGGTTCAGATGATGGCTTTCTCACCCAATAGTCGACTGCTAGCGTCTAGTTCCGACAAAATAATCCGAATATGGGACACCACGACAGGCGTTCAACAGCAGACTCTCGAGGGCCATTCGGACTCGGTAAACTCGGTAGTATGTTCGCCAAATGGCTTTCATTTAGCCTCTGGATCTAATGATAAGACAATACGTCTCTGGGACATCCCGACAGGTGCCCTTCAGCAGATTTTCGGGGGCCATTCAGGCTCGATAAACTCGGTGGCATTTTCGCCTGACGGGCGACTAATAGCTTCTGGATCTAATGATAAGACAGTACGACTCTGGAACGCTACGACGAATTCTCTGCATCAAATTCTTCAGGGCCACCCAGACGCGATTCAGTCTGTGGTCTTCTCGTCTGATGGCCGGCTACTCGCTTCTAGTTCTAATAAGCTGATACGGCTCTGGGACAGCACGAAAGGCACCCTGAAGCAGACACTCGAGGGGTATTCCGGCTTGGCTGCGTCAGTTACTTTTTCACCCGAGGGCCGGCTGCTAGCTTCTGGTTCGTACGATAAGACCGTTCGGGTTTGGAACACTACGACAGGAGCCCTGCAGCAGACCCTAAGGGGCCATTCAGACTCGGTTCAGTCTGTATTCTTCTCGCCGGATGGCCGGCTACTAGCGTCTGGTTCAAATGACGAAACAGTCCAGCTCTGGGATACTACGGCGGGCGCCCGGCAGCAGACTCTCGACGGCCATTCGGGCTCTGTAAACTCGGTAACTTTCTCACCCGACAGTCGACTGCTAGTGTCTTGTTCCTATGATAAGACGGTCCGTTTCTGGGACACCACGCCGAGCGGCCTACAGCAGACCCTTAAGGGACACTCGAGCTGCGTTTGGTCGATGGCATTCTCTCCAGATAGCCGTCTGCTAGCGTCCTGTTCGAATGATACTACTGTCCTACTCTGGGACACTATGACAGGCGCTCCAACACACACTCTCGAGGGCCATGTGGGCTCCGTTAGGTCGGTGGTGTTCTCTCCAGATGGCCGGCTGCTAGCATCCGCTTCTAATGATACGACCATCCGGCTCTGGAACACCACGACAGGTGCCCTAGAGCATATTCTAGAGGGTCATTTGAGCTCGATCTGGTCCATAGCTTTCTCGCCAGACGGTCGGTCGCTATCGTCTGGATCTCATGATAAGACAATCCACATTTGGGACATCACGACAAGCGCTCAACATCAGATTCTCGAGGGTCACTCAGGATCAGTCCGGTCGGTGGCATTTTCTCCCGATGGCCGGCTTCTAGCATCCGGTTCTAATGATACGACAGTCCGACTCTGGGACATCACAACAGGAGCCTTGCAGCAGACTCTCAAAGGTCATTTAGGCTCCGTTCGGTCCGTGGCATTCTCGCCCGATGGCCGGCTGCTGGCTTCCAGTTCTAATGATACGACAGTCCGGCTTTGGGACAACATGACGGGTGCCCTCATGCAGACTCATTCTGTCAAAGGCCTAGCTACTGGCGTCGAATTCTCCCAAGACGGCTCATACTTGAGCACTAGTCTAGATGTCATTGATATTCAGCCTAAAGGTGGGAATCCTACGTCTAGCTTACCCAAATCAAGCTTAGGAATCTCTGTAGTCCAGGAGCAGTGGGTAACTATGCACGATGAGCATGTTCTATGGCTTCCTGTTGAATTTCGGCCTTCGTGCTCAGCGATGAAAGACAGTATGCTTGCTCTTGGTCATGTGTCAGGGTGGATTTCTTTCATGGAATTTCGCCTATAGTAGATATCCGTAGTCGCTATTAGTTTTCAGTCTGACTTTTCCCATGAAAATCTTCAGATAGGGACTTGAGCAAGCTAGTCGATATATGTGGGTCTTTCATGCGAGTACAGCGCGCTATAGTCCCCATAAACAGTTTCACGGTAGACTATTCGGCTGCCGACCAATGTGAGTAGTCGATTGAAGTTCTCTCCTTCGCGACTATGATTTTATTTGGCTTTGGAAACGACGAGCCGATCCCAAAAGGCCGAAAAGGCCATTCATATAGGTAGCTATACGTACTGGTTCCAAGGTGTCACGATAATAGTGCCGAAGGATTATTTCAAAAGCATGAGCGATTCAACACTGCTTCGGGGCCATGCAGCTCGAGTCAAAGTAGTCGATATAGCTACATAATGCTGATTCCTGTACTGATGAGCTTGCGATTCGCCGCTGAGCGCGAGAAACCGGAGCCTTCCATAGGTTTTACAGTCTTGGAAGCGGAGGTACATTTACAAGATAAAAGTACCAAGGAAGGCATGACTCGGAATCTATGAGCTACTCAGTCAGATCGACTCTCATTGATATGCCACGCAATGGTTCTCCTCAGCCCCTCCTCTAGCTGAACCACTGGTTTCCAATGTAAAATCTCTCCCGCCAAAGTAATATCCGGCCGACGAACCGTGGGATCATCCAAAGGCGATGGAAGGTGCGAAATCGATACTCGAGGTTTGCACGTCATGTGCGAAACAAGGTCGATGACAATCTCAGCAAGACACTCAATAGTGAATTCCCCATCATTCCCGATATTCACCGGCCCCTGGCTATAGTCACTGTTCATTAGTGTATAAAGCCCCTCCACACAATCTGTAACGAACTGGAACGACCGTGTAGCCGAACCATCTCCTGTGACTTTGAGGTCTTCTCCGGCTAAAGCGGATACAATGAAGCTTGACACTACTCGTCCGTCGTTGGCACCCATGCGTGGCCCGTATGTATTGAAGATACGCGCGATGCAGATGTCAACGTCATGTTGTTCGCGGTATGCATAGCAGAGAGCTTCAGCTACGCGCTTTCCTTCGTCGTAGCAGGCTCGTGGACCAAATGAATTTACATTTCCCCAGTAGTGCTCAGGCTGTGGATGAACAGACGGGTTACCGTAGACTTCTATTATTTGGTGATCACTTTCGTTAGCGGGAGCGGAGACTAGAGATAGTTTTGGTCACTTGCCGGAAGTGCTTGTATGAAGGATTCGGATTTTCTTTGACCTTGCGATCTCTAGGAGATTCCGGGTCCCGAGATAGCAGGCGTCGAGAGTCGAGATTGGGTCTTTCTGATAGTGAATGGGACTTGCTGGACATGCTAAATTGTAGATTTGGTCGAGTCCTTCTAGATCTGGAAGGGAAGAAAAGATATTGTGACTAAGTTTTCCATTGGTGCCATTAGCTATCCTTAGAGATCTTCCCTGTATGTAGTGTGTGGTGGATATTTACTTCAAGAATTCGAACTGAGTGTGATTATTCAAATGCTCCAAGTTTCTGGATGAGCCACTTTGGAAATTGTCTAGCCCAATTACTGAGTGGCCTTTCACAAGGAGAAAATCAACCAAGTTGGATCCAAGAAATCCCGCTGCCTATGCAAAGAGTAAGCCATCTGCCGAAGAGTGGCTATCTTAAATCATCGCTTACACCTGTAACGAGCACCTTGAGTGGAGGTTTGTTGTTCTCCATAGAGTCGTCTGCAACCTTTCAGTATATGAAGCTTTACCAGAGCTAGAGTGAAAAGAAAAACCAACGGGGAAAATGGGCTACAAATGCTGGCATTGTATAAAAATCTTGCACGGGGCTGGGAGTTAATGAAGTCATGCAGGCGGCTGGCCGCCGGTGGTTTGCACGACAAATTACTTGGAGTGTGACTATATCTGCAGCCAATAGATTCAATGCTACCTTTGTTTTATTGTGTGGTGACATTCAACATGCAATAAAGCGGAGCTGCCTAACGCGAGTAGTCTTGAAGATCGATGATCAGTAGGGAACCATGTCCGTGCATGCCCAAATTTACAGCCAGCCACCTTTTAGTGCGTCGCTATACGCAAGGTTTTTTTTTCAGTAACTAGAGTACGGCTGATAGCCTTACTTCGCGCTTATGGAACATGTCACGTATATTTCAGCTGGCCTTTCCATGAGCTGGCACAGCCCTTCCGGGCTATTAGAGTGAAAGCGTAGCGTTTGGATGTATTACAGTTTTGCTGTAATTAATCAAGTCTGCGCGTACAAATATATCAACAAAGGCGGCGAGGCTTGATTTCCCTGGGGTGAGCCTGGAGTTTGATCTGTAGTCACAAAAGGTTAGCATATGTTGATCATGTTAGGACTGCATGGTAGATTACCAGCGGCGAAATCAATCCGCCCGGCCTCGCAGTTGCGAGCTATCACATCCACGTCTATACAGGGCGTCGGTCAAAATTCATAGTTCCCAGTATTATCTTTTTCCGACCGAAAGGCATACAGGCCGTTCCACTCAAACCGCGAACTGTGGGATGCCTTGAGCCTCAATCTCCACAATCCACCTCACAAGTCGTTTCCGGAATGGGCCTTGGAGAATGTAAAGAAAACGACTTCCTAAATGTGAACCATACGTTTTTACCCATTGTGATCTTAAGTTGGGCAATATCGTTGTCAAAGATGGGAAATTGGTCGGAGTCCTCGACTGCGAATATGCTGCATACTATCCTATTTGGTATGAATATGTCTCAGCCTCTTGGGGCTGGGCTGATGACGACGCCGAGTGGAAGAGGCCGCTATGAGGTCGTGGGTTTGAACATGGCGATGGGCACAGAAATGCAAAAAAAACCTCTGTACCACTTTGGGTCATTTGAGGAAGTATTCAGAACTAGACAAAAAGAGCAGAGAAAACTTGGAGAACTTATCGTTGGAATAGTCTCATGACTAAATAGTTCCAGGAACCCCCGGTGAAATATTTATGGAATAAAGAACAGCAGTGCTTACAGGATATCGGCCAGTTCTTCATACTTTTGATCAAAAGCACACCTTAAAACTTTCGGCGATTGTGATAAGACAAAGCTGTCGTATACCTTCACAAGTAGCCATCAAGCGTTGACATATTGGGGCCTCGGTAAAGTGGGGTGACTCACGCACCGGGGCAACCTTGGAACCCGTGCATCTTGTCAACTTCCTAGAAGAACTGTTCACCGAATCATCCACTGGTCTCAATTTTCCAAAAAAAAAAACTCCATTGCATATCGAGCAAAGAATCCCAAAATGGCATCATCTTCAAATTTCCATTTCCCCATCCACGGGGTCTCAAACGACCGCCTCAAGCTCGTGCCTTTCAACCCAGAGCAGCATTGCGAAACTTTCTTCCGTCTATCCTCGCCCCATCCAGAGATATACTCGCACATGCCCATGCTACCACCACGCTCCGCAGCGGAGCTCAAAGCTCGCTTCTATGACAACTCACCAGGAAACATCCTCTCATTCGCTAATCCTGAGTCATTTGCCTTCGCAATTATTGACAAGACTCGTCCTGCTGCTGTGGATGATGCAGAGGGTGAATTGGCAGGCACGGTTAGCTTCATCCATGCCTCATCTGCAAATCTTTGCGCAGAGATTGGCTTTATTGTAATCCTACCGCCGTACCAGCGGACCCATGTGGCAACGCACGCGGTTGGACTTGCTCTGCAGCTTGCTTTGAATTCTTCGGAGCAGGGTGGACTTGGATTGTGTAGAGTTCATTGGTCAGCGAACTCGGAGAATTTCGCTAGTGTTAAACTTGCTGAGAGGATGGGATTTGTGCAGGTTGGGATGATTCCTTGGCATATGCGATTTGTGAACGGCAAAGTGAATGGGAAGGTTGGAAATGGGAAGGAGCTTCCTCCTGGAAGTGATTCTGATGATTTGTGGAGGGATACGTTGAGTTTCAGTTTGGGGTGGGACATGTGGAGGGATGGTGCTAGAGAGAAAATTGAGAAAGCGATGGCTCGATAGATGAAAAGTAGAATGTCACATCAAAATGACATAGGAATTGTCACGCCCCGATGGGACGTATTCTTTGGAATGTCTATTGACCAGAGTGACACCAAGGAATATATAGAAGCAAAGATCACAGCGAACCACCACGGGCATGGAACCAAGCCTTAGTCTCATCGATACCAAGCTTCGTAACAATCAACATCCTCCCGAACAAATCGACATCATCAGGCTTCGCGTCCTGAAGCAGACCCGAGAAGTCCGCATTATACACAATGAAATGCAGATTCTCAGTCCAAGCAACAGCAAAATCAAAAGCACTCTGCGCATTCCACAAATGCGCAGATTGATACCACGCAAGTTCAAGTCCTAGCCTCCCATCACAGATTGGGTGCGGTCTCCCTTGTACAAAATTATGTATAGAAATAAAATAGAAAACCATCATCACGGTGCGCCTAGCTGATTCCTGGAATATCCATGAATCCCAGAAATTCATTACCGAGTCCATTGATAAGGGGAGTAATTCCAGGGGCTCCGATGGGTGGGGTAGGTAAATGGAACCCAGTATAGACTGGACCGAAATTTCTAATGCATCAAATAGGCACTGTGAGGATGGCTGTGATCTCGTGTCTCCGTCGAATAGTCGCATTATGAGGTATAGGATAAGGGCGTGGATTCGAGCGAGGAGCTCCAAGGGTGTTGTAGGTGGTGGTGATGATAGGAGGTCATTAATTCGGGAGTCAAATATTGACATGAGCACCGGTGCGTTGATTTCGTTCTTTGTAATGTAGAGAGAACAACAGGTAAACGCATCTAGCAAGTTGTTAGCCATGTGGCTTTGTGGACACTCAATCATGGTAGTGGCACTTACCTTGCATTTCTTTTGGCAAATTATTCTTATAAAGCTGGCGATGACACCATGGGGTCTGCGTCTCAGTAACCATCATCCTGGGAATATCTTTGAGCACATCAACCGCAAATTGAATGCGACTGGCAAATATGTCAGACAGCGGCTTTGGTGGATTGGTTCGTCGCAGAGCCAGTTCAAGTTCATGTATTGGTGGAGAGTTTTCATATAGATCGACGCCTTGGTCTGGATGGACTATAGTGATATACCGGAACGGCGAATGGACCACGACCGGATGGAGACCCATGTCGATCGCCGCCATAAGATCGGCATCAGATGGATATGAAGTCATAGTATCGTGGAAGGTTTCACAATTATTCATGATGGGAGTGGCATTGAATATCTCGGGACAATCCTGGGCCAGTCTGCCGGGGTACGTGCATTGGATATTTCTTTGCATGCACCGCGAGCATGCTGGGAATGCCAAGTCGCATCGTCGCTTGGCTGTTTTGCATGCCTCGCAGGACTTGCGCCGCGGAGGAGCTTTGGTCTCTGTATTCTGTAACATGGCGAAATTGGTGGAATTGACACTGAGAGAAAAGTCACAGGAAAATGTTGCAGTGGGTCGCAGCCAGCGGAATTCCGCACGCTAGTCAAATGTGGCTGTGGCAGACCAATCAGACGTCGCTCGGGGTAAGTGGAGTTCCGGCATCTATAGAAAAAGAAACACTCATTGAACGTCACTAAAGTGCTATATAAGGGGTGCAGTGTCCGCTGGAACGAAAAGTTTCTACAAAGATTCATACTTCTCGCATCAAACTCTCGTTTACTCAAAATGTCTGTTCCAACCGTCTTCGTCTGTGGTGCAACTGGCACTCAAGGCGGTGCCCTCATCGACCATCTACTTAAACACAACGTCAAAGTTCACGCGATTACCCGGTCCCTTGATTCTCCTGCTGCAAAACGCCTCCAAAGCCTAGGTGTGACAATTACCGAGGGTGATTTCGACAATGAAGAATCCGTCAAACAAAACATGATCCACTGCACCAGCCTCTTCCTCAACCTGATGCCTGCGTTCACAGACCTCAACACGAGCCTTGATCAAGCCCGCCGGCTCCTCAAAATAGCCAAGGAATGTGGCGTCAATCAAGTCATCTACACCAGCGGCGTATCCGCCAACGATCCCTCTCGCAACAAACACTGGGATCCCAACAACATCATCGGTAAAATGATGCTCAACAAACAAGCAATCGAAAACGAAATCCACAACGCAGGATTTGAGGCCTGGAGTATCCTTCGACCAGGCAATTTCATGACAAACTTCCTGTTCCCTATGAATCAAATGTATCCCGGGTTGGCAGAGAAGGGGGTATTCACAACAGCTCTCGCACCGGATACAGTGCTGCCTATGGTCGACCCGAATGATATTGGCCGATTCGCTGCCGCGGCAATCCTCGAGCCTGTCAAGTTCAATCACCATGAGATCGAGATTGCGTCAGAATTTATGGGAGCGGAGGAGATTATGCGAGCTTTGGCGCATGCCACTGGAAGGGATTTCAAGGCGGTCTTTATGTCCGAGGAAGAAGTTGATAAGCAGAAAGCTACCAATCCTTTCGTTGCAGGCCAGCTTATGATGCGTGATCTGTCCTCATTTGTGGATATGGAGAAGGTAAAGGCTTGGGGTCTTCCTCTTGGGACTTTTGCTCAGTTCTTAATGCGTGAAAAGGAAAGAGTGGATACAAGTTACCCATGAGAAGGAAAAGACTCCTTGAAGGATCGAAGAAATGATTGTTCAAAAGCAAGAAGATATCAGAAGTCTCACGTTGTGCTTTTTTTGGAATATTGGTTTGAGTGATAATAGTCTGATGACTTTTCATGAGTTTAGTATGCAGTCCTGATTGTAAGGCCATTCGCAATTTTTCAACATACAAAAGATCCATGAATCAGATTAAATGATTAGATAATCATGCTGGTGCTCTGATTCCGTGCGAGTCTGGAAAAGTCAGCGACAAAGAAACGCCCAAGTAGATGAAAAGAACTTACAAACGACATCCAAGGAACATTGCGATTATCATCCTTTATCTGGCTCCCACGCGCATCCCAGACTGACTGAAGTAGCGATAGCGGAGCCGGATGCCCAAACCCTGCTCTAGCCTTGATATGATCGAACCGCAGGAGGACATAATGACGAGCATAAGAAGACAGAGCATCAGTCCCAGCCATGAATAGAGGCATGACTAGCAACTCAATCAGATGACAGCCAGGCGGAATTTCCGCAATAGCATCAAGGATGGCTGTCACAGATATTTGTATCATTGTCGCCTCAGCTGGTTGGTACACATCCAACAAGCGGGATGTGTGTAGTATGCAAGCGTGTCGGAATGCCTCAGCGACTGCCGGCCAGCGTGAATGGTCGCTTGGATATATGCCTGGCGAAAGACGCCATGCGTGGAGCTCATCCCGGGCGGCATTGAGAAAACGCTCGTACTGAAGTGTGTCCATATGGCCTGCTTCATGGGCTTTTGCATGCTCCATAACAGTTCCTATTATGAGGAAGAGCTCGCGTGGACAACCGTTTACTTGCTCAAATTTAAGATCACTTAATTTGGCGATTGTTTCGCGGAGGGAGGGAGGGAAACACAGCTTTTGCGGGTCTGCAAGGGACCTGATTATGTCCAGCCTACATCCTGTATTAGTCTTTGGGTGGGAGGGGGAGGCTGAAAGTGAGGACTCACCATGCCAGATTACCTAGGAAAAATACGGTCCGTTCATGGCCCTCAGTCAAGATGTCAGATAGGCGTAGTTGGTTGCAAATTGATAGAGCGCCAGTAATGTGAATCCCGTGGGTAGAGATTCCTGTTTCGAAAATCTTCGCTCGGATTAATCCTCTAGTTCCAACTCGAATGAATCCAACAATTGACTGACATCTTGTAGCAATAGGATCTGAATGGTAGCAAAGATTCCGTCACGTTCGTTTTCCTCCAACTCCCCAGAAATACCATTCTGGAGCGTTTCTCCAAGGCAACGAATAGCTCTGGCTTGATACTCGACTGCCAATGTGTCTCGTAGGTAAACATCATCTTTCTTGATCCCAATATGGCATGCCGTGAGCCCGAGAACGGCGTAAAGTAAACCAATTTTCTCATATGCTAGCGGTAAGATATAGAGTCTGTAGGGATTGTCTGCATCGTCAGTTGGGAGCGCAATCTGATGCGGACAAATCTCCCGATCATCTGGAGGAATTTCAATGAGCATAGTTCAAATGAGGACTGAAGAAAGTCTACCCACAATGCGACAATAAAAGCTCTGTTCTTTCTAGCATTAGTAAATCATCCAACTCCACAGTTCGTCCTCGATGTGACAGCGGATGATCTGCGCTCGAAAAGAAAAATTCAACATCCGGATCGACTAAAGTAGCAGAAGATCTTGTGTGGGTGTTAAGTACTTGACTGACGCTTGGAGGATTATCTGCAGTTTGAGTCTGAGGAATATTGTGGCCCACAGTAGGAAATGCCCGACCTTTCCACTTTCCCCAGGTGGTCAACCGCACAAAGCGATATTTTTCGGGATATCCTTTGCATTCAAGGCCTTTGGAAATGCATCGCTGACAGCTGGGTTGTGTGCGGTCGCATTTGCGACACTTTTCACGGCATGTTATACAGGCCGGGCCTGATACTGTTAAATTGCTTTCTTCCGGATCAGCATTTCACGAACCTCTCGAAGGCATGTCCACGTTTTTTGAAGCTGATGTTTGGCGAAATTGATTGTTCCTGAGATATGAGTGAAGTAAAAGAGGAAAGTAGCTGGGTGATGTTGAATGGGGAGAGGCCACGTGATGAGATTTATACTTGGCGATTTCTGATGTATGCTAGATTGACTTGAATCAAGGCGTTGCGCTCCTTGGGGTCAAGTTATGCATTAAACTGATCGAGTACAGAAATTATGTAACAGGCAAAGTCCACTAAGCCCTAATTTATGGAATTTCAGGAACTCGGCAAGTGGTCAGCCTTGTCTAAAAGCTCTACATCCTACTTCCGAACTTGTCGGGAAAGGTATAGTACATATCTTTGAATTTCCCCCTGGGGTGGCCAAAGCAGCCAGGACAAAGCGTAAGGGTATTTAAATATATCAAATCATGCTGTAGGTGACGCGCTCGGTAGACTTTTCTCTACGGTGGATCGAAATTGAACCAGCATCTGTCAATTAGGTAGCAAAAAAGAGCAGAACGCGCATAAATACAGCTCAAAAACCAAATATCAGCCATCAGCCATAAGACCAAGAATAGAACGCTCGATCAATCACCATACAATCCCTATTAATATACCATCCCCTTATCTTCTTTCAAGCAGCAATCTGACTCAAAGTCAACACCTTTCCAGTACTAATCTTCCGTAGCTGATTTTGGTGTTTGTTTGTCTTCCCAGAGTTAAGAAAGCCATAGCTAGTAGGTGGCTGCCACAAGCCCAAATTATCAGCACCCTTAGGCTGCCACTTCTCAACACTCTCAACGGAAGACTGCGACCAAGTTTTCTCGGCCTTCAACTGCTCATTGACCTTCCCAAGAAGATCAGTGTAGAGACTCGACTGTTTGGCCCAGCCACCGTTCCGCTGGTAAGCGCGCTTCAGCAATTCAGTGTGCTTGACAGCAAATGCGCCCATCTCGGCGGATGTAACGTCTGCCTGGGGGTGCGTTACTTGGCGCAGGGATGTCTCGTGCACGGCCATTGCACCAGCATAGTTACCCGTTGCCGTGTATAACTCCGACAAGAGGGTTGTGAGTTCCAGGGTGATGCGGTCAAACTGGCCCCATACGCGGCCGATGTTGTAGCATAGGTCTGTGCAGAGGCGGATGGCTTGTTCTTTGCGGCCGCAGGAGAAGCGGGCTTCGACGAGGCGTCGGCCGATGGAGATGATTGTGTCGGATGACCAGGTCTTTTGAACGATACGAGAGGACCAGAGGTCACTGAGAACGTACTACATGTCAATGTTAGTATCTGTTGCGATAACGTCTGAAATCAAAGATATCTGCTTACCTCAAGATCTTCAAAATTCTTCTGTTCACCCAAGAGAATAGTGATCTCATTCACCTCGCTCACATCCAAATCAGTGAAGCGGACGCCAGTGGCGCGGTACACAATTAGGATATCCTGGAGCACAACACGAGAGAGCTCGGACATGGCCTTGTTAAGTTTAGCATCTGGAGATTTCTTGGCATCATGACCGAGGAGGTACTTGGTAAGCAAAATACCCTCCTTGGTGTTACTGTGAGTGCTGAAGCCATCAACCTGCTGGATAAACTTGTGCAAGATGCTAGAAAGCTCACATGCCTTCTGGAATTGGCCCTGTTCAATCTCATGGTGAACAGCACGGACAGTCCTGGTAATGATATGAGCATCATACTCGCGCTTGGTAATCTCAGTAATGGCAATCTGGTAGAAAGCCTGGATGCTGAGCTTGCTAGACTGGGTCTTGACGGAGAAATGCTCAGTGAACAGGCGGAACAGTTCGATATCGGTTTTCTGAAGCTCCTCCGTGGCATTGCGAGTCCGCTGGAAGTTCAGCAGGCGGACACCGCTTATGAAGATGGAGAGGAATTCCTTCTCCTTCCGGGCTGTGTAGAATGACTCGTACAGATTGATCTCGGAGACGAGCTCGGCCATGATCGCGGTGTACGTGCGCTTTTGGAAGAGCGACTCCTCAAATGCGACGATGAATACTGCAACCTTTCGGGAAATCGTGGTCTTCTCGATACTGGTAGTCTCGCGGATTAGACGAGACCGAAGGGTCTGCAGGAGAGTCCATGCAGCCTCTTGGTGGCCAACGGTCTTGTACATCTGTGCGATTGTCTGAGAAGACTTGTACATACGCTGAGAGTCGGTCTCTTGCTCAAAGATATAAGTAGTCGCCGTGGTCAAAGCCTTCACAGCCTCTGTGGTCGAAGTCTTGGTGTTCTGCTTGTGGTAGGATGTCACAAGCTGTTCAAGAGCAGTGAGACTAGCCTGGGACGCGTAGCCCTCTTGCTTGACAGAAAAATGATAGTCTTCTTCATAGAGGGAGACGGCCTTCGAAGCAGTCTCGGTGCTGCTTGAGTACAGCTTAGCAAGCCGCTGCTTGATGATACTGACAGTTGAGGTGGTAGTAGTTGTGCTCGACTCGGAAAATTCGCGGTTATCGACAGTGGAAGAAAACTTTGAGCTCATCTTGAGTGCAAACTCGTACAGCGAGAGGGATTCCTTGTGGTACTTCTCGCTGGAGTGGCTGATCTCGGCCAGCCTCATCGTCGCCTTGTAAGTGGAGACATGGGACTCGCCGTAGATCTTCAAGCAGGTTTCGCGATAGCTGGTTGCGAGACTGTGGATCACAGTGACATCCGCCTTCACGTGTGTCTCTAGCAAGTACGAGTAGCGGGAGTAGATCGTCTCAATCTCCTCACTTTCGATAGATAGCTCCTGGCCCTTTAGAGTGACGGATTTCCACAGAAGTTCATAAACTTGCTGGGCATCCTTCCAGCGCTTGCTACTCTCATAGATAGTGCAGAGAGCACGAGCGGCGCGGATGGATCGGACATTGAGAGTTTCCTTCTTCTCGAAGGCAACGTAGATCTCGTAGTAGGCTTTCTCTGCTTCTGCCTCATGATGATACTTGATAGCCTGGTCACCCCAGCTGTAGAGAGCTTGGATAGTCTTCTCGTTTGTGTTTCCAATTTGGGTCGACAGCACGTTGTAAATCGCCTGGTACATAGATATAACCTTGGAGAACTGGTACGTAGTCTGATAGAAAGTTATGGCATCCTTGATGACACTGGTGAACAGCTCATCTTTGACAGAGACCGAAGAGATGACAGATTTGAAGGTATTCTCGTAGACAGTAGATGCCTTCTCAATCTGCAAGTTCTTGAAGTAGACCTGGGCAAGTCTTATGGCCTGTCGAGCTACGCGGGTTGTCTCAGTGGTGAGCTTGATAACGGATGTCTTGCTCTCAATACCGGACCAGAACTTTTGCATTGAGCGCTGGTGAACTTCAATAGCCTTCTCGTACTTGCCTTGCTGAACATACGACTCAGCAATGGTCTCTGCCATCTGAACAGTAGTAGCAACAGACTTCTTGGATACCGAGGTTGACTGAGAAGCAGTCTCGAAAACCTCACGCAAGAGCTCGAACTGTTGATGCGTCTGAACGGTAGTAAATGAAGACGAGCTCAAGGATGTGCTGGAGCGAGTCGTAGTGATAGACTCTTGAACAATCTCGCTCAGAGCTGAAGCAACGGCAACAGTGGAAGAACTGCTGGTGCGTTTTTCAGACTTGTATTGAGTCCAGAGAGAGGAGAGGGCTGACTCGGCCAAAGAGTACCACTTTTGTGTCTTGATATGGGAGGTGAATTTCTCGATAGTAGAACTTAGGCTCTCAAAGCGAGAAGACTGCTGTTGCAGAGATACCCACATGCCACTGACGATACTTTCAGCTTCCTCCTTGCGGCCGTGCCTGGTGAGGAATTCAGAGTATTTCAGAGTCACATCGACCTGTTGCTTGATCACCGACTCTGACGTCTGCTCCACACAGGAAAGACTCTGCCAGAGCTCAAAGAGACTGGATTCAGCACGGCTGATCTCACCGCGCTGCTCGAAGGCTTCCACGCTGGAGACTGTAGATGTGATACGACGCTCATCAGTAACCTCTAAATGCTGAATGTTGTACTCATGGCGGGTCTGCATGACTTCAGACACAAACTCCGACTTGCCGAAGTACTGCAGCTGTTCAAAGAAGATTTCGGTGGTCTCTTGTGTCTCGGAAGAGAAGCGACCGTAGCGTGTTGCGCTTAACTCATACAGCTCCTTGCAGAAATTAGAAGCTGCTTCGATATTCTTAACATCAATATAGAGCTGAATAAGTGAGCGGGTGTACTTGATAGTCAGATCATGGGACACGCCTCTCTCTTCTTTGGTGCGCTCAATCAGGTAGCGGAGTACAGTTTCCTTCTTCGTGATAATGGTGGTCTCTTTAATGTCAATTTTGATCACTGACTGCATGAACAGCTCAGCGTTAGCCTTGACCACACTACTCTGCGAGCCAAGAAGTTTCTCGCTGAGAACCCAAGTTTCGTAGAGATATTCCACGCTTGCTTTAAGACCAAGGTTGTGGGTCAACCGACCATGAAGCACGAGGCTCTGCAGCAAAGACTGAGAGACATCTTTGAATAGCAAGCGGCGAAGCTTAACAGACAGAGACAAGTACTCTTCGGCTGTGTGCAAGGAGAACTGAGCCTGCTGAGTGCTAGTCTCAAGTAGGGCCAACAGAATTGAGTCAGGCAGGCATTGCTTGAAAGTGGCAGTAAGCTTGTAAGTATCCTTGCCTTCCACCATGGGAGACAAGGAGAAATGAGCAGGCCAGTAACGTGCGGTATACTCCAGCAGCTCATACCGATCGAAGAAGTGGTTCTGAGTTGACGGGCCGATAGTAACGGAAGACACCTCTAAATCGTCCTGGACGTGGAATTTCACATATGCCAGGCAGCGGGTGACAAGGTCATAATGAGCTTCCTTCAAGTGGAATGGGAAACCGCCCTTGTTGGTGAAGTCGGTAACCGCGCTAGCCACAGAGATCAAGTATTGGCGTAAAGCGGGATGACGGAAATTTACAAAGCCGTCATAAACAGTCACAAATTTTCCAATGGCGTTGAGAATATCTTTAGTGGTGTCGCCGATGTGGTGCACAGGCTCCATGCGTTTGGTGTCAGTCTCGAACAAGGCGTGTACCTCACTGATACGGAAGGGACGGTGAGCTGCCAGAGTCCAAGCCAGCAGAGAGCGAGTCTCTGTATCTTGGAGATTGATGGTGGCGAGTAGCTTGTTGAGCGCCTCGCTCAAAGACACAGGGGTAGACTGTACAGCCGACAAGATGTCAGGTAGAGTTCGCAGCCTCGTGAGGTTGGAGACTACCACTGCCGCCCAAATGAAGGATCCCTGAGACTTTTGGACAATAGTCTCAAGGATCTCTTCCCGATTATCGGGTTTGAGCACATTGAATGGACTGGTAGACTCCAAGTCAGTCGAAATCACAGTCTTGATATCCCCAAGCACATGAGCTGGCTCGATAGTAAAGTTGTGCGTTCCTTGAGGGAGGGAGCAGCGGAGAGGTCGTGACAGCACAACAGCTCGTACACCAGAGCTATGCGAAGTAAGACGAGAAAGATGGCTTAACACACGAGGAACAGAATCTGCAGGGCTCGAAAGCTCACTCAGGCCATCAATGATGACTATAACGTCATGGAGACCCTTCGAGGCAATCAGGGCGGCGTTCCAAAGAGACTCTTCGATGTCCTTGATTGAGGTACTAGAGCGCGCGATGCGGATGGCACGGTCAAGAGCCTCAAGGAAAGCAGCATCTCCGACCCGACGATCCAAGAGTTGAAGCAGCACGCCTTTGATAACGTTGGTACTAGCGGCAGTCTCGCTGATATCATCGTAGACTCTGTACAAGACAACATCGGTGTCGTCGCCATCAGGAGAGGAATGCAACTTGTCCACAATCCACTGAGATAGAACGGTCTTTCCAGTACCGATGCCACCATTGATGACAGTCAGGCCTGGACGGCGAGTCTGTTGATGAGTCAATTGACTCTCAAACCACTCGCAAGTATACTCAGCTGCACGATGCTGGCGAGCAGCCAGGATGGCAGAAATAGCACGGTCGTGGAAAGAAAGGAATTCGCGAATCTCCCGAACTTTGACCACCGGGTTTGTAGTAAGTTCCAAAGTAGCAGAGCTACTGGTCCACAATACCTCGATGAGGGAAGCACGGTGAGACTGAAAGGAATGAATGTGGTGGGAGAAACGAGCGTGGAAATCCGAAACATCGACAGCCCGAGAGAAGTTGTGCGCCTTGCGGTAATAGTGTACGCTCACATTACAGATGAGCTCAACGAGATCAGAATACGCGGCAATGACCTCACTCTGGGCATCGGTAACCGATTCCTGAGAGCGCCATTGGGCTGTCAGGCGGGAAACATCCTGCGCCAAATTGTGGAAAGCGCCGAAGACATAAGAAAGCAGATCAATTTGATCGGGACCAAGCTATTGAACGTCAGTCTTTACCCCAGCTCGAGACAAACATTACAGCATACCGAAAGCAAGACTAGACAAGATCCCCACATAGACTGAACAGCCTCCTCGGAGTACAGGGCAAAAGGCTGGATCTCCTTAGACAGTTGATCCAATTGAGCAATGAGGTAGGCAGTCCATTTGAACACACGGTCAAGCTGGCTACCATCTCGAGGCATGTAACGCAAACGTTCAACGGCAATGCTATCGAAGACCTCGTCGGCCGTTTTCACACTCTCCAGTATGGAGCGAGCTTCGACGTCCAACTTGGCAAAGACGCGAGACGTCATTCGATAGTTCAGCTCACGCAAAACGCCAAGACGGTTTGACTCCGGTTGGTCAATGGGAGTAACAGTTACGTGGCCATTCTTAATTGGGATGAATTGAGCCTTCATCAAATCAGTAACGCCATTGCCATTGGTAGGGGCTGGAACTGGAACGGGGGCGCTCTCAACCTGGGCGGCCATATTGAGATCCTGTTATGGTTTGCTATACATTGAGTCAATTGGTCAGTGTATTTCCAGGTGGCTCCATGCAGCATCATAACTTACGGGTATACGCTTTTTGATTTTTATGTTGGAATTTGTTTGCGTAACGATTTGCTGGTAGGGCTGTGCTGGCGTATTAGACGAAGGTATAAGATTAATGCAAATTATGAAAGGAGAGATGATATAGAAACAAGACAGAGGCTGTAGAAGAAGCAGTTTGCTGGCAAACAAATTTCCTCGGGCTCCCATCCTATATAAGTAGATATGGCACAGCCCCCCCTGTCAATCACCGGCTTAGATGCCCAGAGGGGGATTAACATGAGAATCAGAAAAAGTGGCAACACCGGCTGAGAATAGAAGTGGCTGCATTGCCGGGCTTCTGAATTGGGTCTGTACAGAAAGCCACCAGGCATGGATAGGGGACGGCAACGAATCAGGAAAATCGTGGTAACGACCATAGTACGGACCAGTATAGCGCTGGTTTTACCGACTGCACACCATGAGGCGGCGCCCTCCTCCGTAGAACTTAGCAGACCGTCACATAGAGGCGTCGAGACTATGGAGGTGCAGGCATCTGAGGGGATGATGAGCTCGGGGAGGCGGATACGCTGATATGCTGCCATTGAACAATACATTCGGTAGATTTAGTGACCGTTGAAGTGCCGTTTTTGGTATATCCGTGCATAGAATGGAAAGCCACCTAGGGGTTGACCGAAATGGGCGTGCGTGGCATCAAAGAAACAGCCATTCATGGGATGAGACTGCAGTAAGACCTCAAAAGTATGTTCGCCCTGCTATCGGATTGTCAGACTCAGTCGGGGAGAAACTTCACCTGTACGAGACATATAGGCCGATCTTATCATTTGAAAGGTTTCAAGACCATTTTTGACTCTTGTTATGAGTAAATGTCAATTCCATCAAACAAAAGGCTGTATATCATTGGCAATGAACATACCCCATGTCAAAGCATAGTGCATGTGAATAGTCGAATTATGTCCAACGGGGCAATCAATGCCGAGACCTGGACAACAAGGTTGGTGCAAACCACCTCAGAGTTCGTGCTTCTCGGGGCAGCCGTGGTTGTGGCTTGCGTAGACACACCATATCCTGCAAGCCATTGAGTTAGCGCTTCCAAATACTCCAATCACAAAAGTACGGAGTGCCTAGGTGTGAAAGAACAGCATGTCGAGTTGACTATTTAGGAGTGTTGTTTCTGCGCAGATTCCTCACAAGACTCTCGACAAAGCATCATTCTTTTCCCTAGGGGTTATTTGGCTCAAATTTGGGCTGGGTTGCATGGTCAGCTCGCATGTTCAGGGATGAAGCTTATTGGACGCCATTTTGGGCCAAATGAGTTTGGATCTGCCGGAAGTGGGGAGGGGCTAGCTACGCCACAGCAGAGAGATAGGACTTCGACAGCTGGGGGCCGGGATATGGCTGTTTGCTCACGAACTTAACAGTAAGCCCGTATCCTCATCCGGAACAAGCCATTTTTGCCGAGTTGCAAGCCCGGGAGAACATGTTAGAATCTTGCATGATGAGCAAATCCAGCGTACCAGTGTGTTGGAAATCATAGCAATTTCGCAACCGCGAAACAAATAGCAGTGACTGGGGCAACTTGCATACTCGTCTCAAGTGACAGAGGTCAACTTTAGTGGGAATCCGCGGGAGTTGGCAGGGATTGTCGATTAATTGCGAGTGAGATCCACTGTTCGTCCGGTGTTCCCTAGCGTGATTGGGATAATACAGCTTATCATTGTATTTGCGGTCAAATTGGCCGAGTTGTCACATATGCTATGCAGAGTGGAAGCCCGAGTGTCTGAAAGCGCTAAGCATATATCCCGAAGTATACAATCCGCGTGTTCGCAAACCCTAACTTGCATGTTCCTTTTCCCCGCATCCGATCGATCGAAAATACGTAAACTCCAAGTCTAATATTACATTCATGACTCCGCCATAATTCGCTTAAGGCGAATCTCCAGTCCTTGGGAACCGGGCGGAAGACCGGCTCCATTATCATGCTGGTCAAAATACAAGCGCCAAATCTCGCGGCCATCGCCGATTTCGAGGTCTGTCTCCGCTTGATCCCGCATGTCATCTTCAGGCAACCGAATCGCTAGCCACCCTTCCCATCCCTCCAGCGTCATGTATAACTCGTCGTTTGTCCAATCGAAGGGCCCACATACGTGGCCTACACTGTCAGGACGCCCTCCCCAGCGCATCTCATGCGTGTTAGCATCCAAGAATACCCATCGCAAGGTAGGTGTTTCTTCTCCAGTAATGGTTACCACGCCGGCTGTATTGTCAGGCGGGAAATCGGGGTGGGTGTAAAAGCCACCATTGAAAGGAGACAGAGCGGAGCTGGGCTTTTTGGAGATATAGAGCTGCAATGAAACCATTGGTTAGCAAGATTTTTGTTTATTTATTCTATGTTTCAGATGCGTGACGATACTTACTTTCCCGTCTCGCCCCACATGTACACGGGCATTCTGGACTTGTTCGCGCTGGCTCTCTGTGCCCTGGCTGAGAGAGCATGTGGCCACCAAGTTACATCGTTGCTTGCGATGTGAGGACTTTCGGCTTTCTTCCTGTTGACGTGTACCTTGGGTAGCTTCGTTTAACCCAATCATGGTTGGCAACATTGTCGCCATCATGGCTACTCCAAGAACCATTGTGGGTGATTTGAGGCCGATGTCAAAATTTCAAATGGGTGTGTGTGTGTGTGTATGTGATAGATGCGCGGGCATACATGTAACAGCTAATTACCGAGCTTTCAGCTTACCTTCAGCTCTCCCTAGCGCTGTGGGCGTAGATGGCGCTAGGAGCGAATGAGCCCACTTTACTCCATACATTGCATCACTTTTTCTGCAACTAGACAAATCGATGCAGATATTCACTGCACAGACTTGAGATGAACGTGAGGAGATTTGCAGATCCTATAGCTCATCCAGCTATGTTATCATATTACAGCAATGTGGAACCGAGATAGATTGGTCTATCGAATAAACAGATCTTTCACGTCCCCAGCGGCCTATATAATTTTTACTGTCTCGTCCGGCTGCTCTCAGAGTATTTTTTTTTGAGTCCCCTCTCCTCTTCTCCGCTCAATTTTTTACCTCAGGTCAACCCTAAGCCTCGTCCCTTAAAACCACAATGTCCAGGTATACTTCAACCCATCTCCCCTCCCATCCCATCCCAAATGATACTCTTCCCACTCAATCACTTCTCATAACACGAAATTACCTTCCTTGCACAAATCACCCCCAATGGCAAATAAGGCATCAAAAAAGTCCAAGAAGCCAAAGAACATTCAACCACCACCCCCAATCGATCCCCCAAGCCACGAACAGCCACCAGAAACCATTCAATTGCCACCCGATACTCCTCCTCTGGGCCTAAGTGAGACTGACTTCCCCATGCTTCCGCACAGCCCCGTCGAGAACAACCCTCTAGGCGGCGCCCTCGCCACAGCCCCCCTGGGTGACCGCAAGAACCGTGGCGACGACAACAACCCCGTCAGCAACGCTCCCGACGCTACCAACGGTCTCGTTCCTGACGACGGTATGGGGCTTCCCGGCAAAACCACGGTCCCAGCCGGCAAAGAAGAGAAGAACAGCTTGCAGATCAAGATTCACCTCAACCTGCACGCCAAGGTTCGTCTCGACCTCGACGCTAAACTTTATGGTGATGTTGTCATTGGATTGCTGTAACGATATATTGCTTTGGTTTGAGTTTGTGTCGTAAATATAAGATGTAGGTTGTTTTCTGTCTGTGTCTATTACCTTGTAGGGGATCGGCTGCTAACGGGTTTTATATCAGGCTTATGTGGCTAGTCTAACGGAAGACTATTACCATATCCGCAGCTGTGCTATGCATAGAATACTATGATTGTATTTAAATGAATTATTTCTCTTGGGTAATCATCACAACCTGAAATCTGATTTCCTGTTTCAAGTTAGCCGTCCAGGTATTGGTACCTCTACTATATCTCAAGACCTGTATCACAACATCAATAACTTCGTATCGTAAAAAGCCCAAACAGAGGGCTCCACCATCCTGGAGGACAGGGATCAAGCCTCCGTTTACATACATACTGTGCATACAGTATCCCGGGTTTCGGGTCCTCAGCCATAGGTATCCAAGTCCGCCACCAGACCCTGTATAGCTCAGGATATCAACAAACTAATGCAAATGCACAAGAAAAGTATACGGTCATGCAATGCAAGAAATAAACTTACCTCCGTGCGTTATTTTATTCCATTTATGTTTCAGTACTGTACAGTATTTGCCCCATCCAGCCAAAGTAGCCTCCACATCCATGTTCTACATTGTCTCGAAGAGCCGACGCTCTATCGGATCATTTCCATGAAGGCCTGCGGGTCCAATTGCTCTCTCTTTGCGTACTGACTTGGTACTAAGTATCGCTGCTCGTGTACAAATTATGTGCAATTTACCCTGTTTCAGCTTCGGGGCATGGTTATGTATTAACTTGAAAGTGGCTCCTTGGGAATTCATTATTTATTTATGTACCTATATGGTTCTTTCCAGAACACTTTGTAAATATGTGGGTTATCGTTGTCGGAGCCAATTGCAGGGCATTTTTGCTAGTGTGCATCATGCGTTGGTGCACTATTTTCCTTCTTTTTCTGGAATGAGCTTATCTTGAATTCTTCCTGTAGAATCTATGGCATTGCTTTGTTCTTATCTTCGTATTAGATATCAAGCCTTGTGATGGAAAATTCAACTTGCACGTAGCAGCGCGACGAGGAGGCCTACTAGGCTTCCTAGCTGTCTAAACAAGGCCCCCAATGCCCTAAGTTGTCAATATTTTAGTATTTTCTTACCTCGTATTAGTTCTTTAGTTTGTATAAAGTATCTCATGTTTATCTCACTTCTAACATCTATCTAAAATCTACTCTTATAATCAAAGGGAACAATTTCCTCGCATTCACTTTCTCGCTTCCTTATATCTCTCCATACTATTTATACCTCAAAATTACACTGTCCTACATCCATGTCAACCCTCCCAAATTTATACTGTCCTTCACCTCGAAAATGTCTGACGACAAAAAGAAGGACAAGGAAAAGAGAAGGTGAAGCGAGCCATTCGTCAAAGAGATCTCGGTCAAGAACATCGTTCGCATAACAGCATAACGGGCTCTCAGGGTGCCTGCAGCCCAAACAAGGATATGCTGGATGTGGTTAGTCACATGGCCAAACCGAACCAACGTCTCCAGCCTTGTCAGTCGTTTCCGGTTAATGACATCCAAGAAAATCACTTTTTTTAAAAAAAAAAGAGTTCAAGAGATATAGACAAACGTCAAAAAATTAATTTGAAGGCCAAGGTCCCAGTAAAGCTATATACGTAAAGCCGAGCCCAAAACGAATGTCATGCGTATGCAACAAGACAATCTCAGCAAGGTATTGTGGGGGAAAAGGCCAGACTACCAACAATAGTCGGGATATGGGTATCTTAATCTGTCAGCGACTGTGCGGAACCGAGCAGATTTACAAGGAAAGACCGAAACTGAAAAACTGAAACTGAAACAAAAGCCAAGCATGCAATATGCAACATGCAAACCCAACGCCTTTTAATATTGATACCCTCTTTTTGGATGAAGAGAGCGAGAGAGGGATCCAATAGGGAGGGAATGAAATTGTAGGCGTGGAGATATGCGTGTGCAAGTCAAGGCGGGAAACAACGCAGACGCAAACGCTATGAGGGAATGAATATTTTCAGACGAAAAGGCGACCGCCACACGGGTATACATGTACAGAACGAAGGAGAGACAGGTCACAAAATCACTTGAGTTGGCCCTTGCGGACAGTTCCAAAGCCCTTGCTGAAGAGCTCCTGGATTTCGACGGAGCGACGACGGCCAGTACCATCGTCGGTAGAAGCAGTGTCATGCGTATGGCCAGGAGTACTCAGAACTTCTTGAGCAACGGGAGCAGTACGACTGGGCACGCTACCATTCTGACTAGCAGTGGCACTAGCACTGGTATAGCCATCCATTTCAAGCTCCTGGGTTGCAGGCTTGGAATCGGCCATAACACGCGGTCTGGCGAGTAACTCCGCAACCTGACGTTCGCGTTCACGCTCCAGAGCTTCAGATTCGGCGTCCTCACGCGCAATTTCGAAAGAGGATTTCTTTGAACCGCGATTCCAGCCCTGCTGGAGTTCTGAGGCGGCAGCTTCTTCAAACCGCTTGCGGATGTCGAGGTCTTGTTCGTATTCTTGGAAAAGGTCGACGTCTGTTGGGAAGAAGAGGGCGCGCAGAGTGCTGACGGTAAATTCGAAGAGGAGGACTGCTGTCACGGCGAGGAGGAGGACTGTCCAGAAGAGAAGATTGTGGCCGGCGTGTTGGAGGAAGTTGTGAGGCACGTAGTAGACGCCTTTGCCGGAGGACATTGTGTATTGTTGGTCGAGGATTATGTCCCAGAGGAACCAGCCGCCGACGGAGATTATGATCACGATTAGGGAGAGGTAGGTTTTGTTGTGGACCTCCAGAGCTTGCAATTTCAGGTTGATCACCACAATGCAGGCCGAGAAGGTGAGCAGGCCCAGTGTGAAGGTGTCGTTGTCGCTTGGGTTCACTCTGGCCATGCCGAAGAGGCCGTACATCGTGAAGAAAATTATGACTGCTTCACAGGTTGCCATGAATGACCAGCCGAGATAGAGCCAGATATTGAAGCCGCCGTGCTTTTGGCCCTTGGTGTAGAGTTCCGGCACGGCGAGCAGGGTTGATGCTGATAGGTCTTTGGTGAAGATGCCGAGGAAGATGACTGCCAGTGAGGTAAAGAGAGTGTTAAACATACTCAAACTCCACGGCTCGTACAAACTGGTACCGGTGTAGCCGTTCCAGCGTTGGTAAAACGCCTGAGTGAGATAGAACAACATTTCCTTCCAGAAAGTGCCAAGTGTGTACTTGCAAGCACGCATGTAGTTCCAACGACCGTGCACCAGAAGCAGCTTGAGAAGGAACCGGAACTGCGCAATCGAGTAATCTGAAATACGAGCTGCCTGCAATCCTTCCTTTCCGGTGATTCCAATACCAACATGCGCTTCCTGGATCATAGCAATATCATTGGCGCCATCACCGATAGCAAGGGTAATCGCGTCGTTGAGATGCTTACGGATTGATTTCACCAGGAATGCCTTCTGCTTGGGACTTGCTCGGCAGCAAATGACCGAGTCGGTCTTGACAGCCAACTGGAAGAACCGCTCGCGAACAGGCTCATTCGCCTCGATGGCTGACAATGTCTGACCATCAACCACTACCACGGAATGGGCCACCCGACCGCGAGTAATCTCACCAATGAGATCAATGATGCTTTGGTCAACATCGCCAATCTCTTGATCCAAGATGGTGAGGGTAGAGTACTCCTTCACAAGACGACACGAGTGACCAACATTAATGGCAGTCTCGCGCTTGTCACCAGTCAGCATCCACATCTTGATATTGGCTCGTCGCAGCTTATCAATGGCCTCGGGAACACCCTTCTGGAGCTTATCCTCAATAGCAGTAGCACCAGTAAGTTCAAGCTGCTGCTCGATCTGCTCGCCGACCTGTTCAATCTTTTCCTGTCGGTCGACAATGCTGGTACAAGCCTCGTTGTAAGCAGTCTTCCAGCAGGTATAAGTCGCTTCATCCAAGAACCGATGACCATACAGAAGAGTCCGGAGACCATCAGTGGCGAAGTCATTCAGGTGCTGGAAACAACGCTCGAAGATAGCAGTCTCGTTAACAACAAGAGCCTCTTCAACAAGATCCTCCTCATCCTCGCCATTGGTGGAACTCCCAGAATCAGAAATCGCAGCAGAGTGCCGACTCAACTGCGCCGAAGGCCGAGGGCTGTAGTACTCGCTATCAGCCTCCTTGTTCAGGATTCCACCATCAGTCTCCCGATCCTTAAGCCAGACATCGATACTAGCCCGAAGAGTGGAGCCATTCTGGCCAGTGATAGACGAGCGTCGACGCGTGAAACTGGGCCTGGTCATGCTGCTGCGGACACCGCTGTTCTTCCGATTATGATGTTCACTGTTGCGTCGGATGACCTGTGTCGCTTCGGCGGCCTTGCGTCGACTGGCACGGCGCTCGATCTCGTTTGCCTTCTCCTGGGCAAGCGCAGCTTGCTTCAGAAGACGCATCAGCGTGGTATCGGCTCCTTTGCAGAACAAGCAGATACGGCGATCGGGCATGCGGACGACGACGGACATGCGCTTTCGCGCGCTGGAAAACTCAATCACGTCCATAATCTCGTATACTTCGTCGCTGGTTGCTTCGTCCGGGCCGTTGGGTTGAGTGCGGATAGTCAGGGTGTTTGACTGGCGGTCCATTACAAGATATCCCATTTCCTGAGCAGCCAGAACGAGGGCTAGCTCGTCCGGCGAGGAAGCCTGGAAAGTGGTGACGCCATGCTCATCTTCCTCCGGAATGCAGGTGTGACACAGGGCCATGGACAGGATGAAGAGCTTGGCTTTGCGGGCGAAGATCGTGTAGGGCTTGCGTTGGATATATTCAATCATCTCCTCGGTGCGGTGAGTAGTGGCGGAACGGCCAGGCTGGCGGATCGCATCAAGAGCACCAGAGACATTCGATGGGCGGGGACCCATGTGCATCTCCGAGACATTGGACTTGCGGCCCATGGCCTTCTTTCCCTTGGCACTTCGCTTCTTGTGGATCAACTTGGTCTGGTCTCCTTCGCGGGCGGCTTCCTCTTGAAGATCGGCGTCGTGCAACCAGGCGGTGCCAGCCACGCTCATCTTACGGAAGCGCATTGAGTTGTTTGTCAAGGTACCAGTCTTGTCGGAAAAGATATAGCTGACTTGGCCAAGCTCTTCGTTAATAGTGGAAGTGCGAGCTTCGAGGGGTGTGTTGGTCTCAGGGTCGTACATGTCGATGTCGTTCAAGAGGAGCATTTGCGCAACCTTCACAATTTCCATACTGACGTACAGCGAGATTGGAATCATGGTGTTAAACATGATCAAGAACGAGGTGAAGATAGGGCCGTATTCGACGCTGGCGTCGATCAGGTACCAGGATTTGCTCTCCACGTCTTGCGACCAGTATTTATAGGCCACGGTGCAGACAACAGCCAAAAGGACGACCAGAACCACAATCAACATGACAACACGGTTGACCTTATCTTGGAGGGCTGGCTTCTTGATACGCGGGTTCTTGTTGGCGTTCATGCGAATCTTGCACTCTTCACCGGTGTAAATGACCATTCCAAGGGCGCGGTCAGTGTTCCGAATGATACTGCCACGATAGGCGATTTCATTGTTGGTCAAAGGCAGCTTCTCTTGAGCATTGACGGTGACATGTCCATCGAATTTGTAGAGATCTAAATTTGGGTCCTCAACAACGAAATGCAAGGAATTGCTGGTGATATCTTCAACGGTCGAACACAGCTTTGACACAGGCTGGCAGGGTTGCTTGTTCTTCAGATTGGTCTCTCCGTCAAGAGCCATGGTTTCGATGTAGGCCACGCCATTGGGTCCACTGGCATGAAGGAGAGCGATATCAGCAGGGATCGGCTGATCACGCTCAAGCTTGATAACATCGCCCACACGGATATCCTTCCACTTGATCAATACCCAATCCTGAGCATTGCTGGTAATGGAAGCACCATCCGCGATCGTACCATGACCCGGACGGAGCACGAAAGCGTCCCGGTTGTTCTCTTCTTTGTCGAGACGATACCGGCGCCAGTCATCGAAGCCCTCTTTACCCATCGAGATACCAACGAAAATCAAAAGCGGAACGATAGTGGTGTATGTTCCAGTCGTACTCAGGCCGGGAATCATCTGCAAGATCGCAACAACCAAGAAATAGAAATTGGCCACTTTGGTAAACTGAGCGAACAACTGACGAGGGAAGAAACTCCAAAGACTGTACCGACTCGAGCGGATCGAATTACTTATGTAAGGCTTGCTGGTGCGCTCATCAATCATGGTGTCAATCTCCGTGGGATTCAAATCAAGATGACGGCCATCCTTCGTAGGTGGGATATCCTTGATACGCAGAATGAATTTCTGAACAGAAGTCAAAGCTTCCTGAACGCGCAGTTCAACAGCGTCCTTTCTCGCGATCCACTTCTGATGCGCCACAGGCATGGAAAGGCCCTTGAAACCCTTCTCAGAAGGCTCAGAAGAAACATATGTCGAAACCTCCTCCTTATGCTGCGAATCCAGCGTCGCAGTGGGTGCGAAAGTCAACGCATTCTTCTCATCAGAGCTAGTCCCTTCAGCCTGAGCTGGGGCTGGAGCTACCTCCGCAGCAGGTTCCTTGGCCTCACCCAGCTCAGCCAGGGTGAGATCATCCTGTTCCGTATTCGAGTGGATAGTCTTATTAAAAATAGTGCGACGCAGCGAATAACCACGGTTTCGCGATCGAGACCGACCGGCGGGCTCAGGATTCTGCGGGGAAGTCGGAGAAAGGGTAGCGTTCGCATTCGCATTTGCGGTCTGGGTATTAGGCGACAGCGGCGATGTAGGCGAGCGACCAGCGGGCAGAACAGACGGAGGCGCCAGCGCCGTGTCGATAGTCAAGCCGCGGGAATTGGGACGGCGGTCCCAGTTGTTCTGGCGTTGTTCCTCAGCCGAGGGGCGGTCGAGATCTGTTGAGAACCGGACATGTTGTGAGGAGATCCGGCGTCCAGAGTCGGAGAGTGTTCGCGACGAAACGATCGAAGGGCGGCGGAGAACGTCGCTGGTCTGGGTGTTCTGCTCCGGTCGGAGGCCCTCGTTGTCGGCGGGCTCGTCGTGGTGGGACATGGCGCCAGGCTGGAATTCCTCGCTGTGCCTGCGCGGGACAGATCCCGACGATCACTTGAATTTTTCGTTTTCGGGTCCTGTCGCTTCCTTCTCGTGCGTTCTCTTGCTCAAATGTAATTGTAGCTAGAGTGATCGGTCGAACTGAGTCCAATCACACTATCACTCATCCTTCTCTTTGGCAGGGTATGGCGTCTTTTCCCCTGTCGCAAAGCAAACGAGGGTTTTCTGTTGCGAGGATCGAGCTCAAACGAGAGATGCTCCGACGCAAGGAACAGTAAAGGGCTCAATCAACGAGTGTTTAAGAGTACCAAAGAAGAGAGAGTGTGTAGAGTCGAAGACCAAGAGACCTGGGGGTAACACGGATCCGGTAGTATACCCAAAGCGGTCTAGTGGCAGCAGTCTAGAAGAGTGTCATGGAGGATAGGATGTGATAGGCAGAAGCGATAGAAAATTGGAGTTTGGAGGCGAGTCTGTAAAATCTAATAAAATCTAAAACAAACTCCCCATCGAACCCTTTCTGGTTCGGTGGAGAGCGAAAGTCTGGGCAACGCGTGTAGGGATGCAACCGATAGCCCTGACATGAGGCACAGCCCCCATCCACGCAACGGTTTAAGAATAGCCGTCAGGGCCTGAAGTGGCTATTTGTCTGCATCCATGGGGCGAAGACCGGGCTGAATCCAGTTGTATACTTGGTTGTGGCCGCTATTGGCCACTTCACATTCCTCCCCGAGTGCGTCAAAGTCTGAACCTGACAACTGACTTTATGTGGCAACCTTGAACCAACGTTAAAACGTTTTACGCCTAACGCCTGACGCACATACAAACGCACACACACAAAGTCACACACCAACCATAGTGCTCAGGCCTCTTGGAAAGCCCCCGAACCCATGGCCCTTCCTCCGAGATTGTTCTTCACTATACGGGCCTTGGCGGGGCGGATCCCAGTTCTGGGAGATTGACCCCTTGACGAATTCGAAGAGTTTGGTACAAATAAAATTTCATTGAATTTACAAACGTCAGTGGAGATAACCGTTTATTGAACATCATCGAATATCATCGCCGATCCTTCAAAGCCGCATGGCAAAAAGCCCTGTGACGTCATGTGCTAATAGCGTGGCGGTTGGCCATATGGCGGATGTCCAGATCCCTGCTGGGGTGGATAGCCGTACGGTTGTTGCTGCCCATAGGCACTGCGGGACGCCTGGTACTGGGGTTGCTGAGGGGCCTGCTGTGGTGCCTGTGGGTATCCAGGTCCAGCTTGCGGGTTGTAACCTGGAGGCGCACCTGGTGGTGGGTTGAAGGAAGTAGGTGGACCTTGACTTTGGGGAGGAGGCTGGTTGTATCCTCCGTATTGACCTGCGGGTGCAGGTGGGGGTCCACGACGGTCGTTGTCTTGCTCGTCCTTGGTGTCGTAGGAGGAGTCGATGGCACCGAGCATTAGCTTGGCGCACTGTGGAATAGTTAGTCATAGCACTTCAATCAACGGGATGATAGAATGGCATACCCAAAGTTCACGGGTCAAGTGGACTGGTGGGTTAGCACGAGACATCTCATCCTGTTCGACCTCGAAGTCTAAAACACCACGTTAGCTGGGTCCACCGTGGACATTGGATGGGACTTACTGGAGGTGCAGTCGATCAAGTGGCCAATGTGAGGATCCTCATCGAGGGAAGACAAGAAGTCACGGGCCCGTGTATCTGTGCCAACCTGCGAGAATTGGAAGGACACAGCTCCGGGACCATAACGAGTGCGCGAGGTCTCCTCGACAGCGTGACGAATGACATCGCCCACGGCACCATGAGGTTCACCGGCAGGCTGTCCATCAGTGATGGTGATGACAAGTACAGGCTTCTCAAGACGGTTTTGGCGAGCCGGTCCCACGACCATGGGGTCGATGACCTTGCTCTTCAAGCTAGTACCGAGAGGAGTGAGACCGGAGAAGCGGACGCGAGACACCAGGCGGTTGACATCCTCCGCATCACGGATTCCATCTCCCTGCTCTACGGAGTTCATGAAGCGGACGGAGATGCCATCCTCGTCGAAGGTCGATGCAGCAGTAGCGACAATGCCCAGGATCTGTCTCAACTGGTCCTTTCGGAGTCCCTTCTCTTCGAATTCAATGGAGCCACTGTCGTCCACGTAGAGGATAACATCGAACAGCGCGAGCTTCATGACATCGGTAGCAACTTCCATGGGCACAGCCCATTCGTGGATCAGCCGAGCGAGCTTGCTGGGTGCCTGAGCGGCAAGCGACTGGACAAGTCGGTCCAGGCGCTCCGGGGGGTAGAAAGGTTGCAGGTTCTTCTCTTGGATGCAGCTAATCAAGAGCTGTCTGTATGCTGCAGCCTGTTGCTGCGTGGCCGGTGGAGCTGAGGCCGAGGGGCCACCGGGGACACCGCCAGGAGGACCATAATGGCCGGGAGGTGGTCCGCTTGGTGGTCCAGGCGAGGGACCAGGACGTCCTTGACCTCCGGGGTACGGAGCTCCCTGGGGAGGTCCCTGTGTAGGATAGGGTGGTGCCTGTCCCTACTTTGGTCAGCATGGTTCTGAAACAACTGTAGCAATCAAACAATGACTGCAAGACGCATCAAGCACAAAACAAAACATGGGAGCATATGGCACTGGGGTTCGACTGTACATAAGCGGGCTGTTGTCCGAGGTATGGTTGCTGTCCGGGATACTGGGGTTGTCCAGGGTACTGGGGTTGCGCAGGTTGTTGTCCAGGGTATGGCGATCCAGTCTGTCCAGGGTGTCCATAGGGCTGTCCCGGGTGAGGCGAACCGGAGGAGGCATAGGGCTGGCCTTGCGGTGGAGGTGGAGGTGGGCGCCCATAGCCTTGAGATTGTGCGGGGTAGGGTGAAGTGGGCTGCGGAGGAGGTCTCGAGTAGGATCCAGGAGCTGGTGAGGATGGATTTTGAGACTGATATTGTTGGTGTGAGCCGTATGGAGCATATCCTTGGTTGTATCCCGACATGGTGGATTTGATGTCCCGAGGATGTTGAAGTTGAAGAAGAAAAAAACAAATCACAAAATACTAGGAAAAGTTGCTTACCGAGCCCTGAGGGGGAGGGGAGCCTGGATATGCCTGATATTGACTCTACGTGGGGTTAGTGATTTTCATGACGTCGGGGACTTCGATACTTACATTTCCAGGCTGCAGCGCTGAAGGAGGTCCTCCTGTGTATCCCGAAGGGGGTGCTCCGCCGTTTGTGCCCGGCATTTGATTGTTCTGACTTGCAGCGATCTTCTGTGCGAACTAAGTGATGGGTCAGATCTGTCAGATCAATGTAGAATGCAGAGACTTACACCCATGATTGTTGGGGAAGAGGAGTTGAAAAGTAAGAGAAGTCAGCATTTGCTCAGGTGGTCCCACGAGTGAATGACGTTGAGGCCAGGTAGTGCCCCTCGTATTCTGAGGCTGAGCTGTATACGCGTGGTACCGCTGGGTACTTGGCGGCCCGCATGATTCCACCCAGTGACAAAGTATCATCAGGTTCCTCAAATGAAGTCACACGGAGGACCTGTTTTCGTCGGGTTATAGTCATACATGTATGTCATTGTTATTGTATGTACTGGATCTGACTTCTAGTGTTTTAAACATGCCGTAGGCCCGATCAAGGCTGATTGCTTGGTGCCAGAGAGGCCCACAACCCCACCTGCGATGCTTCCAGAAGGTGTGGGCTGAAGGTTGTTGCATACACTCGCATAGCTCTATACCATTCAGATGTCTTGAATATACGGAGTATAGTACCTAATATATTCCTGTAATTGTTGCCTTTATATTACATGGATACAAGTACTCCTTGCATCAACCAATCTATATACAACCACCTATTACCGACCCCCGATCTATACACGATCGACACACAGCTATGACCAAGATGAATATGCATCGAATTAGATCAAGTATGCCAGATCTTGATATCTTGAATCCGGGGTACAATATCAGCTGAACCATTGAAATTTATCCTGGACCATGGATGGGTGATGTCACAGGGCATGTCCCCTTGATACATCACAGCTTCCTCCTTTTCTCAGCTCGACCTCACCTCATTCTTCCTTGAGACAATGTTAGCCATCGCGCTTACCGAAACCTTTTGCTTTCTCCAGCATTCACCTTCTCTTTGATTCACAAAATCCTGGAGCTTGCTACGAGTACATCATAGCTTGCTATATCATCCCTGTCATTCGCCACACTCAGGTACAAAGGGCACAAAGCAAATCAATCATCGAATTAATCTTCATAATCATCAACTCTCACCTTCGCACCCCTCAGCTCTTCTTAAAATGACCAACACCGTTCTCCGCCTAGGAATCCTAGGCGCAACGACCGCAGTCCAAGCAACCTACCTCCCAGTCCTACGATCCCTGAAAAGCCACTACGCCCTGACAATAATCTACGATCCCAGCGAAGAGATCGCCAAACAATGCCAAAACCGCTTCGGTATAACTCACATCACAACCAATATCGAAGACGTCCTACTCCACAAAGATGTGGATGTAGTCCTGAACCTCCTCCCAATGGAATACCACGAAAAACACACCGTCACAGCCTTAGAAGCCGGCAAAGATGTCATGGTTGAAGTCCCACTCACAATGAGCATCCCAATCCTGCGCCGAATCCGCGAAGCAGCCAAAAAAGGCCAAGCTCTTCGATCCAACAACACCAACAACCCGGACGGACCGAAAGTCTTTGTCGGATGCGCGCGTCGATACGCACCTTGCTTCACAGATGTCTTCAAAAAAGAACTATCAACACTGGGCCGTATACACTACGCACGTTGCCGCAACATCGCCGGCCCAGTGGACATCTCAGCACCATCAAAATCAACAACATCAAACGGAACCAGCACAGCAAAAACACTAAAAACGCTCAATAGCCCCGCGCAATTCACCAGCCTTCTAGAAGACATCTTTGGCGAAGACATCACGCCAGACCGAATCGCTTTCTGTCGATATCTGGGTATGCTAGGCTGTCACGATCTCTCGGTGATGCGCGAATCACTCGGATTCCCAGATGCAGTCTCGAATGTGGCCATCACAGACCCATTTTACTCTGCTATTTTTCATTACACAAATTCCTCTGATGGGCATCCTTTCACGCTTGTTTATGAGGCGGGTGTTGATGCTGTTCCGCGCTGCGATGCCCATTTGACTGTTTATGGTGCCCATAAGACTGTCAGTGTTGAGTATAATTTTCCTGGGCCTGCGGAGAAGATTAGTACGGGGACTTTTGTAAGGGTTATTGTTGAGGAGGTCGAGGAGGTGGAAGAAGGGGGTATGGGTAATGGCAATGGCAATGGCCATGTCAACGGCAATGAAAGTAATCACCAAGCCGAAAATGGGAACGGGGATGGACTCACCCGTCCACGCATCAAGCGCACTGAAACACTCAGTTCTTGGGAAGAAGCATACGAGCGTGAGTTCCTGGTGTTGCATTCTTATCTGCTCGACGGGGATTCAGCTGCGAAGACAACTGCTGAAGATGCTGTTATGGATTTGCGCTTGCTGCTTATGATCTTTGATCACTATAACCGGCAGTGTGGTACTATTCGTACTCCGCTAGGTTGAGATCTGCTTTGAGGTGTTTCATGGGTGTTCTGGGTTTCAAACGGGAAATTGCGTTAATACCTATGCTTTTAGTGGCCGTATGTCCTGGTAATTGTTTCTTTACGAAGCTCCCACAAGACTGGTATGCTTATAGTGTTAATATCCACTCTGGTTAAACCTGCTTCTGTATTCATGGGTTGTGATTGAAAAGTAGGGCTTGGATAGCTGAGGTAGTGCTTTATGTTATCTATAATCCAAGCAGGCAAATTCAGCACCCAAGGGCCCTACTGGACCTAGCATACAAGATACAGATACAAAATCGCAACATAGATCCATACATCACAAGCTATACACATTCCAAGCTAACAATGCAGCGTAATGATCTCATACAAAAACGAACTAGATCACCGCTTCCCCTTCTTCTTATTCTTCTTCACATTAGAACCGCCACCGCCGCCGCCGCCGGCCTTCTGTTGCTGACTAGCAGCCTCGTTGGCTTTTTCATCAACAACACCACCCTGCGTCAAAGCCGCAGCACGCTGCTTACCCTTCTTGCCCTTAGGTCTGTAAGAGGAGCGGTCACGCACAGGCAGCCAGCGCTCAGGATCAGCCTTCTTAGCAGGATCGAAGTCTTTGGGAAGACGGGACTTGCGGACACGCTTGCTGGCACGGTCATCGGCTCCGGCGGTGCGTTTGCGTGCACCTGCGATGGCGGCGGCAGCTGCTGCCGCTGATGAGGCGGAGGGGGAACGCCGGCAGACTCCAGGGCGGAGATGTCGATGTCGGCGATTAGGTCGGAGACTTGAGGCAGGGAGTTGAGTTGGGATTCAATTTGCGAGTAGTCCAGGGTTGCTTGGGAGGCGACGTAGCCAGCAATTGCGAGACGGTCGTTCGGATTTTTCTTGGCAAGATCTTGGAAGAGGTCGCCGGCTGTGGAGAGGTCGGCGCGGTCTTCCGAGTGGAGGAGGGAGGCGGCTGCGGCGCGGAGGAGGGATGATGGGGACTCGGGCTTGCTGCGCCAGTAGGTGGCGGCTTGGGCTAGGACTGTGCGGATTTGGACCTTGCGGCCTTCGAGCTGATATAGGGAGACCAGGACACTGAGGAAGCCTGGGTTGAAGCGGGCGTTTTGATCGGCTTCGGAGATCGATCCCTCTAGGCTGCGGAGGGTGCGCTCCATTGCTTGAATAGCGGAGGTGGTGTTGCCGTCGTTGACGTACAGTTGGACTACCGTCAGGAGGAGGCCGAGGTCTGTGGGACGTCTCTCAAGCATAGGAAGGATCTGGTTCAGGGCCTTGGATCCGGTTTGGCCTTGCGCTTGGGCTGCGGCATTGTAGACAGAAAGAAGGTTGGTGTCGGCATCGGTTGAGGGCGATGGGCGCTGGGAGAGGGCCTTCGATGTGGACCGAATGATACCATCGTATTTCTGGACAAGGAGATCAGTGGCATGAGCATTGCCGACTAGGTCGCGGTCCTGGAATTCAAATAACCGGTCATTGTCGATAGCATCTGGGGTCTCGTGGAGGGCCTTGAAGAGGAAGAAGGGGTTTGCGACAGTCTGGCGGGCGAGGACAATGTTGTTCCGGGCGATCTTCTTGGTCGATAATTCGGGGATGCTAATAAACGTAAGTTTCTGCCCAATGTATGCAAAAATGTTCTACTTACTCGTCCACGGAGATATCTTTGAGAACTGCCTCGGCCTCTGCCAGCTTACCAAGTCGGATCAAGACATACAGGTACTGCACAGCAATTGGCAACAGCTCCGCAGCCTTATCTTCGGGAGAAAGGTCCTCCGATGTTCGGCAGATGTCTATTAACAATGTCAGTCCGAACTCAATTTATACTGGTAATGGCGGGGTCTGACTTTGGGCGCGGTTGAGCAAGACTTCGCCTTGCTTGTATGCTCCCTTCGCAATGTTTAAGCAAGCTGCATTGTAGGTTATTTCGAAAGATTCCAAGTCCTCCCTCGACAGACGATCATGGCGCACGAACTCCGGCTCTCCCTTCCACTGTAGTTGCGCATCGGTGGCCCAGGAATTAATGTTCAGGTCGTTGATCTCATGGCTGTGAGATGCCGTATTTTGCGAGAGTTTTTCGTAAAGCTCAGCGGCACGTCGGAACTCTTCAGCACGGTAGCGCTATTGTTGCAAAAGTATATTAGCATTGGTGCTTCGGTAGCAGTGAATAAGACACGGTACCACTTGTGCCTCCAAATGATCAGCACCGCGGCCAGAAGCGGTGCGAGTGACAGCCTCCGTGGCTTGCTCAAGCTTTCCACATTTGTATGATGCATAAGCATACTCCAACCCAGCGCTCTTCTTCAGCGCATCACCTCCGGCCTCGAATGTGCGGAGAGCCTCATCGTAGCGGTCGAGTTTTAATAGAGCAACAATCTTCATGTGTTGCGCTTGCAAGTCTGACTTGGACTTGGCAAGGACTGCATTGCACGACTGAAGGACTTCTTCGTGGTCGTCAATCGATGCTCGCTGCAGCAGCGAAGCCAGCGATTGCGCAACCATGGCGGGGGGAGGTCGGGGTTTCGGAGGTATTAAGGTCGAGTGTGGCAATTGCACCTGGTAGTTTCAAATGGAAGTTATTCGGATACAGAAAAGCACGGTTCACTGTATTCCCCGGGTCATCTGATATCAAAGTCACAATGTGCGGAACTGTTCTTTCCCCATTGGGGCAACGTTGCATCTCTGGCCGTGTAGGCCACCGTATGTCATGTGATATGGGGTTGAACGGCCTTCGATTATTTCGGCATCTTTTTGCTCCAATTCTCTCGGTCATAAGCCTGTCTCCTCGCGCAAAAACCTGCAAGAGCCTGCAAGGTATATCTAACAAAAAGTCGAGTTGGTTTGTCGCTTTATCATAGCGAGTCTTCATGCGGGAACTGCTTTCTCGCTGCCTTTTTGCTTGAAATAGCTTCCTTACCTCTTGCTTCATCAATTAAGTTTGAAGTAATGAAATTACTTGGTGGACTTAAAGGTAAAGAAGCTATCTATGGTGAAAAATGCTAAGTGAAAAAGCATTTTTGGCAAGACAAATCGCTATAATACAGCAACCAAACAACTCTCCTTTCGGCAGCCCTGTAAAGGATTGCTTTTTGACGTCGTTACTGAGTGTGAGCCTGAAATATGAGAGAACCTAGAATAAAGATAACTTCTGTTCTCGTTTGATATTCCATGTTCAACGTTGATGCAGATCCCATGCGTTAATATATATAGCACGGCAGAAGTATAATCCTAGAGTAAATTTGGCAGCATTGATAAACAACAGTTTAATTAGACCATTTTAATTCAGGATAATTCCAGCAAAGGAAGCGTGCACTAAATCGTGGGAGTCTTCAAACCCCAGAGTCAAATTGATGACCTTGTTCTATGCTCTATACTCCGATTCACAAGAGCAACCATAAGATGACACATTACCAAATCCGGAGGAAAAAACAAACAATACATCTACATGTATGACAGCTACATTTCTAGCTATGAAACCTGGCTGATCAGACGAGGCCACCACATTCCCAAAATACATTGAAATCGGCCATGTGCCGATATGACCCATCGCCGACCCGATAGTCTCTACAGTATATTAGAACTCGTGCTGTAGAGCATCGGTAAGAACGACTGGATTGGCTGTTGAGTTAATGAAACAGACTCGGGAGATAAACCCCCCAGTCCCTGACCAGCGTGCTCAACTCGGTGATCTTTGGGGCTGTGTCTGGTACGTGTACACGGAGTACACCTGACACATCCGGCAGGCCGGATTGGATACAATTGGATCAATGATACCTGCCGGGGCTTTCCAAGTACTGTACTCCGTGCAGCATACTGTGGTAGCGAGTATCAAGACCCTGAAAATGTAACTAAGCTTTGGATACATCAGAGAAAAAGGCCCCAAATCCGTCAAGACACCGTGCAGTGGGTGAAGAATATCCAGTCATCGACAGGGGCAGATCGGCAAAGAGATCCTCGAGGATAACGTTCCAAACAAAGTATCAAAGCTCCATAAGAATGCCTAGGGGGGAACATGTAAATTGTTTGCGCCTTGGGGAAAGCCTGCGGAATGGGCGCAAACCAACACGAAGAACTTCGTTCCGATGGCTTGTAGGGCAGAGCGTAGCGGCTTGGCCTGCAAGATAGACAGCCTCAACAAGGCAATGGGGGCGGGCGACGCGCGGACGTGGAGCCCGAAAGTCCTGAGGGCGAGTGAGAGAGAGGAAGCGGTGGTTAGAGGTCTTGGCACCGGCAGGGTTCAATATAGTCATGGGGACCGAGTTATGTCCAGGGTCTTTGAAGCATCTTCGCTGTAAATCAGAGGTTAGATGGAATTTCAACCATTTGAGATGTTGAAACAGAATATGTAACATCACCGAAAGGATAGACCTAGGGAGCTAGAGGAGACGGTAACATGAAAGCACGTGACCTCCAACACGAATCCGCCTGCACGTCATGATCGCCTGGCCCCTTGGGAGAGTTGGCCGCCAAAAACCATGGAACTATGATCGTCCCTCGTTTTCCCGTCTCGTCCTTTCTTCCTTTCCCTTCACCCTCGTTACTTCTGACGTTTCACTCACCCTCGCCTGCGCTCTGGGCCCCCTAATTGTGCTCTAGATCTCTGTCGTACAATGCGGTAGGAGCCAACACACACGGCCTGATTATACAAGATGCTTCTTAACGCGCGAGACGGAACGTTCCCGGGGGCATCATGGGCGTGGAAGAAGATTCTGCGGTTTGGTGTCGCATTCCTAGTCATCCTAGGGTTCGTTGCCATGCTATGGCCCTCGGTTGAGACACCCGCCTTGCCCTTGACAACCGTTTCCAACATCACAATCTCGTCCGAAATCAAATGCGAAATCGATACCGATCTGCTGTCCCGACTGGATGTGCTCAAACTCGCCCAATTCACTCGCCGGGAAATCGTGGTGGACATTACGGATGAACATCTGCCCATCACACAGAGACTTGATGCGCCACTCATGATCGCAAAGGGTGGCGAGGGCGCGCAGGATGAATGCTCAATGCCCGTTCCAATGGAGGTGAAGGTTCCGAGACCTCCGAAGTTGACTATTGCATCCCATATCGATTTTGGAGTCGCGACTAGTGTCGGCAGATTGAACGATTCTTTGAACGCTTTCCAGCATTGGGCTGGATACACTCGGACTCGCATCTTTGCTCTGCTCGAACCCGATGAGACAGGTGGTGAGGCTATTCGCGAGGTCAAGGCCAAGGCTGACGCCATGGGCATCAACCTTGTCATCACCGAGTCGGAAGACGATTACCTCCGCCGATATTTCGCCCTGATCCCTCTACTGGAGGAGAACGCCCGCGAGTCTACCCAGTGGGGCTGCATTATCGACGACGACACCTTCTTCCTCTCTATGCCTAGGCTCGTAGATGCCTTGGCTAAATACGACCACACCACACCCATGTATATCGGCGGTCTGTCAGAGTCTCTCCCGCAGATTGCGACATTTGGAATGATCGGATTCGGAGGCGCAGGCGTCTTCCTATCACGACCCCTCATGACCCAACTCGCCGAAGTATACGACGAATGTTCCGCGATGGACTTCACAGGCGATCGCCGCATCGCGATGTGCGTCTACTCATACACCACAACCCGTCTGACCGTGGACCACCGTCTGCGCCAGCTGGACCTGATGCACGACGCATCAGGATTCTTCGAGTCTGGTCGTGAACCACCTCTCACAGTGCACCACTGGAAGTCCTGGTTCCAAGCGGACATGCCAAAGCTCTCTGTGGTCGCCGAGCTCTGCGGCGATACCTGTCTCCTCCGGCAATGGCACTTCGGTGACGGCTGGATCCTCACAAACGGGTTTTCAGTCATCAAGTACCACTACGACCCCGAAGCCGGCGACCTCGCCATGGAGCAAACCTGGGACCCGCACAACGGTGCCAGCGACGAGGCCTACCTACACGAACTGGGTCCCCTCCGTCGCAAAGACGACAACAAGAAGAGCTACCAGCTGCAAGATGCCGCCATCGAGGACCAGCGTGTCACGCAGTGGTACATCTTGCGCGATTTGAAGTATGGCGATGAAATCTTGGAGCTGACATGGCGCGCAAGAGGTAAATAAATACGATTGGTTTTGTTCTTTCGCCTTGTACAGTCGGCAGCTTGCTTCCCTCTTGCAGTTAGGTGCTTGGGGTGACTCGCGGCTTCTTCGATCTGTACTGGCTCTCATTTTCATGTATCTGGGCCCAGGTGGTCTCGCCGGATTTCATGTGGCGCTTGATAAAGGATTCACACTTTGCATGGAGTTTCGTTGTTTATAGACCAGAGATACACTTTATGTTTACTCTGTATAATGAATGCCCTGGACGAGTCATTATGTGTCATGGTACTTTGGATTAGGTCAAGGTAGCTGTTTAGTTAATTGAAATCTTCCTTGTTTAATAAGTGGTGTTTGGGTGTGACGTGTATATTTCTGTGTTGTACTCCGTACTGACCGACCGTGGTTCCAATCCTATGTTGCCAATGTTCATTTCCTTCTAGTCAGGACCCTTGAGTTCTAGTATAGGATGACGCATCGCAGCACGAAGTGACTGATATCACGGAACACGAGTCCCTGATACCCCTGGTCATGACGGCTCACGAAATCATATTTACAACGAAGTTGATCTAGCTCAGGAAAAACCTCAGCAGAAACCAACCCATCTCTGCGAAGGCTCGATATAATAGCAGCTTGGTATCAGGCTGTATAAGTCTACCATCAGGCAATAGAAAATAGCCACAAAGTACTCGTGAGTTGATTCATTTAGTACAAGCTGTAGTACAAGCTGTAATCGTATGACCACGCCGCCATCAAGCTACATAGCTACAACTAGACTCACAGATAGACGGAAAAGGAGAGAAAAGGGATAGCTACACCTTCCCCATGACCAACAACAATAACCCTGAGGTCCAGAACACATAGCTCAGGAGGTCAACAGAGCAAAGAAGGCATCACCACCTCCCTCCCCTATACAAATCCAAGACACGGCACGGAGACCAACAGTAATAGCAACACCATAACCACCTATTTCGGGTTAGCACAAGCACATAGCTTCACCTTGACCACCAGCTTGACCATCAGCACCCCCATATAAAAAAAACAAATCAAACCGTTGCCCCGTCCTAGCCTGAGCTCGTGCGCATACGAAGACCAAAGGAGCAGAAACACCGAACCACCAGCCCGAACACCGGCCGAAAGCCAAAGGTCACACCGACAGCCGTTCCTCCTGATTACCGTAGATCTAGATCCACCGTCGAACCATACTCACCTCACCTCACCACCGTTTTCACGCTGCCCCGTGACTGCTCCGTGATTCGTAATTGTACACCCGGACTCCGCTCACAGTCAAGCCCCAGCGAAGATCCTATGGAACCCCTGAAGATCGATCGGCGTTGGGCGTCGATCGAGATGGACGTGATATACGGGATTTGCGATGTGGAGTCGGGCAGTTGCGCCCAGTGCAAGTCTGGAGAAAAGGCGTGTTACAGATCGTGAGATGAGCAGGTGGACAGGGCAACGGGAAACAGGAACTAGGAAACTCGGCTTTGCGCGGAAGGCTAGAACGTTGATGCCCAATTTTGGGTTTGTGAGGTGTTCCTTTTTTCTGCACTGTAGAAGACCCAGATCTAGAAGACAGGAGATGAGAGGATAGGAGAGGAGAGAAGGTCTGTATAGGATTGTTTCAGTTGCTCTGTCTATACACCCTATAGTAACGTTCCTTTCCGCCGAGCCACTCTAGTGGAGCAAGGAACACTGTAGGTGCATTAGCTCAGGCCTAAGCGGAAGAATGGGGGTTTCTCAGGGCGATCGTGTGTGTTTTCCGCAGAAGCCGGAGACGAAGCTAGTGTTGCTAATTACATTGGTGTGAAGACTTAGGCACATCGGTGGGCCAGTGCATTTTCCCCCAGGAGAATCGTGACATCAGAGCAGAAAAATGGGTCAGTCATAGCGTGAATTTTGTTGTTTACATGTACTATACTATACTAACTTGAACCTAGAGCAGTAAATTAGTCCCAAAAGATCACTGTTTATCCAGCTCAACGGATACTACCTACTGGAAGTAGATAGGCAATTTGTCAGAAACCAAGCTACTCTCCCAAACAAACAGACATGCTAGGGGTGTTCTACTAATAGAAAAAATGGAGACTAGCGTGGGACATGATACACCAAGACACGTCTCAGCCACAACCATGTGGGAATAGTCTCGTGTCGAGCGTCCAATATGCGGCCTGACCCGCGTTAGCTTCTCTTCTTCCCTGCAGAATCAAGGAAAATAAATAATACACTAAATCACCGTGCTGGTCATTGGCCACACGCCACACCTGAGACGCAAGGCTTTTATTATCTATTCTTTTTTACTATTACCCTTTTTGGTATACGGGATCCTCGTACGAGATAATCTCCGCAAGCCCCCGAGTTTCGAGAAACCTGGATGCACGTTTCGTCACTTTCGTCACGGTCGCCAGGGGTGTTAATTAGTGTATGCATGTATGCACAGATGATGTATACTGTACTGTAGGAAGAAAGTCGATCACGACAATGAATAGGAGTACATATACGGACGTAGTCCGTATAATAATAGTGAGAATAGGTAATTCTGGTGCCCAACCCCCTTTTTTTCTTTGCAGTCATATGCTGTTTTAACTCTGGTTAGGCAGCTACTTTTCTTAATATCTCAAAGTGAAGATTCATCTACAACAGAGTCGAAGTTACTGTACAGTACGGTAGAGTAGTATACAGACTTCATGGGATAGGGCTCCGCACCGTCCAGGAAAAGGACCGGGCAATAACAGCAGTGATTTCCTTCTGGAAGCCTGCTAGAAGGTCAGGAGAAGGCTTGGCAGAGCCGTGCCGCGGTGGAGTGGAGAGGCTTGATGCCGGAGTCTCATAGTGCCCCCGGGAAAAGGGGCGTATAATTACCGCAGTCCTATAATGGAAGTGAGTGGATGCATTGGAAACATTGGAAACCTTCTAGAAGGACTGCAAATCTCCATTTTAGCGTTCGGCCGGGCTAACAATAGTCGGATCAGACTATCGAGATAGTCTATGTTTGGGTGTACTTGTGTTGCACCATAGGTTTGTGCTCTTGTACCCTTGTGCTCTGTGTGCTATGACAGTGATAGTGACAGTCTTGTGTCTGTATCTGTCTGATATTTGTCTGTTACATGATTCTCTGTCTGTAAAAGCTGATGGAAATCCACCGCTCTATTGTTTTGCATCTCTTAGCTTCAGGGGTGGTTCGGGCGTTTCCCCCTTTCACTGGAATCCACTATTTTAGCCTCACTTCGTCATAGTCAACTGCACGTAGAGATTTAGGGGAGGGAAATCTGATTCAGATCGTCATCGCTCCACTGTAGCAGGGACGGGGGGAAGCGCACGTTGTGGAGCCCAGTGCTGACGGGGGGCCTTCTGGTGCCAATTTTCCTTCTAGCGGGCTTCGCTGGGGCAGACTAGGAGAACTAGACTACCCATAAGGGAGATACATGGATTGGGCATCAGCGTTGTGATGTATAGAATGGTGAGATAGAACATGGGATTTATAGAGATAAATACATAGGGAATCTGACAAGGATCTATATCAGATATTTGAAATCGAATCCACAGAGAACACTCTAATAATAAAGAATAAAATGTATGCAAATGGCACCTACCACACCTAAATGATACCAGGCCCCCCCCTTTCTATTTTTCTACTTTTATCTTCCTTTAATCTCCCAACTTCATTCCTACTTCTTCCCGGCCTTTCCCTCCCCCACTGCACCTTGCTTCTCTCTTTCTCTCCCTCTCTCTCTATCACTTTCAAAGGTAAGTTTCCCTGTGGTATCCTGTGGTATGACGTGGTGCCTCTTTGTGTTGGATATACACAATCTTCCGGGTATCTGACGCCTCTCCGCATTCCAATAATATTGCATCGCGCAAAAGAATTCAAGAAATGCATGGCTAAATCGACTGGACATTACATGTTGAGTACTAACGATCTTTTGTTTCCAGAAAATACACTGGCAATACTTCTATATCTTCCCGCTCACCGATCACGCGTTCCGTCTCCAGCCGACCACTGTTTTCAATCTCACCCCTCGCGAGAAAATCATCCCCGCAGACAAGCTTCAGGCTTCCACGCTTTGATCGTCTAACCAAGACGACCCGCTACGAAAAGAGTCCGGATCCTTCGGAGATCGTGTAATCCCGCAGGGTGAGTCCTTGCCTCGTCCTCCCACGCGCGACATTACGGTGCCCTCAGCTTGATTATCTGAGTTGCGCCTGGCTTTATGTATATCTTATAATTCTAACCATATTTTCAGTATCTTTGACAGAGCTTGCGACTTGTGACCGATCCGAACCCTGAACCCTGAGCCGCGAACCACCGATCCCTACGCGCGCAGGATCATTATCAAGAACGCCAGAACTCTGTGGAAACTCCAGCTTGATTTGAGCCTATAGGCCTGCTGAAGGACGTCTTCGAAAGCAGTCCTTGACTACGGTCACTTGGCGATTTCCTGGGTCGGGTCATGGACTTCACGACCATCCTGAACAGGAAAAACTCCGCCGCTGCAGCAGCCGCCGCCGAAGCGCAGCTACAACAACAGTACTTTCAGCAGAGTGCCCAGTTGCACGGAGCATCGCCCACGATGAAGAGCGAATCTGGTGGCTCGGACAACCCGGTCAACGCATACCCTCCCCACGGTCCCCCACCCATGCAGATGGACGCTGGGCTCGCCGACACCTTCTACTACGCACAGCCCACGGGCTCCACCCCCGAAACATGGCCTATGCTCCTGCGGGATACGCTGGCGATCCGCAGATGCAGCAGGAACCTGTTCCTCAAGGGAGGTCGGGCGTTGACCCGCCTCCCAAGACCTTCCATTGCTCAACCTGTAACAAGGGATTCGCGCGGCGCAGCGACCTTGCACGTCATGGTATGTACCTTCGTTTCAATTTCATCGCGGCTGCTAACATCTCAAAGAGCGTATTCATACTGGAGTTAGACCCCACGCTTGCGATTGGCCTGGGTGTGGGAAGCAATTCATCCAGCGCTCCGCGCTGACAGTGCATTCCCGTGTGCATACTGGAGAGAAGCCGCATATGTGCGAGCGTTGTGGCAAGGTGTGTATCTCGATTATCGCGTTATTGACTTGAAACTAACAGCATGCAGCCTTTCAGTGACTCGTCTTCGTTGGCAAGACATCGCCGTATTCACTCCGGGAAGCGCCCCTACAAATGCCCGTACGCCAACTGTCAGAAGACATTCACGCGCCGCACGACATTAACCCGACACCAAAATCACCACACTGGTACAATCGAAGAGGCCGCGGCTGAGACCGAGGCCCAATTGCGCCAAAACAAGGACCGTGGTCGACCTGGCGAAGGAATGTTCTCCGAGCATGGCTCAATCCACTCCACACCCTCTCCTGCACAGCACCCATCTATGTCACCCGGTGGTGAGCTTCCTCCTTTGAACATGCACCGCTCCGCTGGCGACTACTACATGGGCACCGGTCCCATCCCGCCTCATGTGCGCGGCGATTTCCCCCAAGCCAGCCCCCGGGCTTCCCCAACTGCCACATCCCCCTCGCTCTCCAGCTACGGTAGTGCGCCTCATGCTCGGCCATCCATGACCTCGCATCCCTATGCTCCGCCCCAACCACTGGAGCCGCCCGCCAACAGCGACCACCGGCCCAATAGCGTCAGCGGGAGCCCTCATATGACCAGCCTAGGCTGGGCATCTCCCTCGCATGGCAGCATGCCTTCCCCAGGCTCAGCCAACGACTTCACCTACCCCGAGCCGAATGGTCCGGCATACCCTACCTCCATGCCACCACACATGTACTTCCCCAACTCCACCATCCGTCGTCCTACCAGCACGGAGCCGGAGAACTACGAAATGAAGCCTCGCGGCGATCACTCATGGTCCACAGCTGTATGATGCATACCAAACAAATGTGCTGAACAAAGCTGAAAGTTCATTACCCTATCTTTCCTTTGTTTTATTACTTCATTGCATAAGCCCTTGATTCCCACGAGAGCATTACAATCTCGAATTTCATTTATTTCCTTTGTTTGTTCTCTTTGTTGTTCAATGCATTTTCTTATCTGTTTTTTGTACTTATATCGTTATTGATGGGAAACCAGCACACTTGGAAAGGAGTCGGGATTATCTGATCGTGTTTCCAGAATCAGAATTGGAGAATCTGGTATTTATTGCGCTTTTCACCTTTGTTGTTTCAGGTTGTCAGTTGTCATCCTCACTGCCGGCCTACTTGCCTCTGTTACGTTTTCCTTTGTTGATTGCTGGCGCGTGGATGGCATTTGCTTACTGGGACACACGATCAGATGAGGAACTGGGACTGGAACTGGAATCTGGAATCTGGATCTGCATCCGTGGGATAGATAGAGAAGCGTGGGATTAGGGATTTATATCTTTCTGGGTAACAAGGATGGGTTCGGAATCGGAACGGGTTGGGTTTTGCTTTGTTATGCTGGTTATGGGGATTTTTATTTATGTTTCCTTGTTCTTGTTCTTACTCTGTTTTGTTCTGCTTTGTTATCGTGTTTGATACATCTAATTACTGTTCACTGCTTTTCTACTCGTGCATCTGCTCTTCGTTGTCTTTGCTGCTTTGGTTTTTGCTACGCCAAATACCATTTTTCAAAAGTGGTCGTCTTCCACCAGCGATCCCTTTTGTGTATGATAGATTAAGATTAATAGACTGGTGGTGTTTTGACTGATTTCCTTCGGCCCTGGGATACAATACACTCCGTACGTATCACAAAAGACCGATCAGTCTTCTAGAACAAGGTAGTGTGTAATACCTCGTCGATGGATGGATAGATATCTAGCGATCCGTTACACAACAAGACAAAGATTCAAAGACATATAGAAATTCCTTAATAATTAGACTGATATGTTTGAACAGACTGACATCTCACTTCCTGGAAAAGTGCCGTGCATATATATTCGTTACACGAGACAATCTTCGTTACGAGGTTGCATTTGCAGTATAGCATCATGCATAATGTATCACATTTTCGAGAGCAATGGAAATGTTAACGCGTATGGTGAACCCAGGGACGTCAAGACCAGCGTGATAGCCCTAAATCCTTAGATAGATCAATCACGTCCTTGTATTTAAGGACGAAGTCTGAGACACTGCTAACTGCCTTTGTGGCCTTGTGATTTTGGAGTTATAGATCTTCTCCATGCCTGCTTTGACAGCAGCTTGCATCAGCTCTTGTCTTTGAAATGGATTTTGCATGTCATCGCGGCCAGCCCCTCATCCCCTGTCCCAATGACCCTGGAGCTGTCGTCTGATTCTCCAAAACCATCATCTTCTGATATGGCCGCTACAGGAATGAGCTTCGTGGAGGCCTCAAAGAAGTCCTTCATGTCTTGGTCGCTTGCAACCCCATCACAGGCACGATTCCATACCCGCTGGGGGATGTTTTCGCATGAAGTTTTCTGCTCCTTCGATGGCTCCTGCTCTTTGAACGGTGTTCCATGAGCCAGAGAGTTCGATTCCTTGTTATGCTCTTGGTGACTCGGATCGGGGGATATGTCAGGGGGTATAGGGTGAATGTTGTCCGCTTCACTTTTTCCTCGGTAGCCTACTGCGTCTCCCTTCCACGCAGATGCAGAATGCAATTTTGATGAGTAAGGATGTCATTGCGGATGGCAACTTTCATGTATACCAGAGATGTCTTGAAAGTCGTATGGCTTGGTAGCACGGTTGATATAAAGATCAAAAGTTGACAGAGCCCTCAGGTGGATCTGGAACTAGACCAACACATCAGTACGCCTGAGAAATGCCCAATCGCTCAGCTTGCAGGGGTGCCTGTTGACGATTCCAATATGTAGAACAGAGGTCATTTATTCCCACATGTTCTCAACCTACCAGATTCAAAAACTACAGCCCGAGGCAACTGATCACGAGCATAAAATATGTCAAAAAATCTATTAAAAAATAGTGAAAAAAGAGTGTCCAAAGGTAGACCAAAACCAAAGCATGAAACAGCACACCCGCTTTGTCGCCTTGAGGGTTCTATGTAGTAAATTTTCAACACTTTATTACTGGCTCTGTTTAAAATCCCGTGGCATCTGCAGTAACTGATGGTATGTTCCGTAAAACGGTGGCTGGTGCGATCTTGTTAGTAAATATCAGTGATGTATGTGGGGACAGAACCTACCCGTCCCTGGAGCGGGCCGATCCATCAACCAAACCAACATGCACCAAGCAGCACCTGCGCATTTTGCCTGTATTTTTTGGCGGCGGTTGAGCATTGTTAATTGTACTGCTCGCGGAAAGCGGGAGTTGCCATTCTAAGAGCAAGAACGCGGGGTGTCCAGCGCCGGGAATCTTGGCCAGTCGGGACCATCGCATATTTACTGGGTTTGGTTGTTGGCAGTAGCGGGTTCATCTGAATGGCAATTCAATCAAGGTCTTAGGGTATTAAAGCTCAACCTATGGCGCTGGACATGTGTCTCGATTTTAAGATCATTTGGCTTGGACAACGGTAGGCTATGTTTACAAGATGGATCGAATAGAATGAGCAGACAGCCGTGGTTTCAAAGACGCTGAAAACGAGATGATTCACGGACAATCACTTGCTTCCTAAGCCCAGAGAGCTTCCAAGGAGGAGAATTGTATGTTGATGCCTGAGATATAGATATGGGAACTGTGCCCTAACTACGCAGCGATGACGAGAAATCGCAGGATAAGCTATAAGACCTACAGGAGGCAAAGCAGCCTATCTTCATCCATTTGCTATTGATGAGAACTTTTTATAGTAGGGTGTTTGGCTTTGCGCTATCTATTGAGCGAGAAAACATAAGACGAAGAACTACTTCTTCGTTTGTTGGCTCTCTACTCCCGCTAAACTGCAGACGCAGATGCCTAAGTTGGGAAGATCATGAATACTGTGTGTGAGCGAACACCCTCTCCCGCATCTATATGCAAGTAAATGTTCAAAGTGGACACATCATCTATATGGGTCGCTATGAGCACTTAGGTCTCCAGAAGACCCATCCTCGTCCGGCAAGCAGTCTCCTGCTGCTTGTCTCTTTGAATGCCCATTCAAGTCAATGTAACGCGTAGGAAAGTGTGAGGCAATTCATGGTGTTCTAGACGCGCCTCGTTCTTGCCCGCTTCGTATGTTGTGCTTCTTCGTTCCTCCGTTCCTCCGTCCCTCTCTCCTCTTCTCTTCTTCTTCTTCTTCTTCTTCTTCTCTTCACCTGTTCATCCCGTGTCTTCCTTTCATGACCACAGTCTTCTGGTTTCGACCTCTGGACATATCTATCTCATTCAAGCTAATGTTCATCTTTCCAACGGTCCTAGACCCATCCTCCGGGAGGGCCAGGCAGACTTGCGGCCCCGATCGCTTGTTTTCATCCCATTTTTCTACCACGCTACCACCACTGCTTTGATCTCGGCATTTGCTAGATTACTCTTTGCATTCTAATCCTCTGTCCTTTACCTTGTTTCTTCAATACCCTAGCGCTTGGCACCCACTACTTCAATCTCGTACTCCATTGTGCAGATCTCCTAGACCGTTCTGGTCCTGCGTCTACTTTCTCGCCTTCTTCTTGTACTGGGATGTAGTATCCGCTGCTTTGAGCTCATCTCCATTGCTTCAGATCTCTACTACGCCGTGTCTTCATCTTACCCATTTTCTATTGCACTGTGTCTATCCATTGCTTTGATCCAATCTTCATTGCACTGGTATCATAATATCCCGATCAGAATCTACTGTTATTGATCCATCTTTGCGTATATCTCTACTGTTTCCTACCCGATCGCCTCATACTTGCCATCTTTAAGACAATGGTGTCAATTCAGCAGGCACAGCTTACTTCAGTCAATTGGGTAGCTCTCACAAATCCAGTTCCCACTTGCTGGGCTGGTGACGTCCTCACAGGAAGTGTGAAGGTTGCTGGAAATGTCCAAGCTGGAGGAAATGCTGAAGTGTCAAATGACTCTAGCTCACACCTGCACATTGCGCTTCAAGGTAAGTCTATACTTGCATCATCTTCTTCCTCACCAGCTCCTGACTATGATATTCCTATAGGCAGGATCCGTACCGCTATCGGCAAAGTCCGACACAACCCTTTGTTGTTCGATATCGAGCATCTCCTTATTAATCCCGTTGCCGATATCTACGAAATCGTCCGAGCAACGCCGAAGGACTCAGCCACCGTCCCCGACCATGAATTCGGTTTCTCTGTGCGCGTCCCTAATGAATGCGAATCAGGAAGATGCATGCACTTCATAGATGACTCCAGTTCTGAGCAACACTTGCTGCTGCACGATCAGATGCCACCAAGCACAGCTAGTAAGAGCGAGCCTGGAAACAAGGATGAGGCCGCAGACCTCATCAGCATCACTTACTGCGTGCACATCACACTGTGGGAAAATGGGCACATCAAAGTTCACGAAACCCTCCCAATTCTTATCCAGCCAAAGCTCCAGCTGCTCTCCTTCCCCAAGAGCGAGCAGAGCGGCAGCGAGATCTATGTGGAGAAGAACTTCCGCGACCTGGGAAGTCTCCGCTTGGCGGTAACCTGCCCCGACAAGTCCTATCTTCCGTGGCCTCCCAAGGCCGAAAGCACCTCCATCGTCCTGTGGGTGAAGCTTAGCTTCATCCCAGACCACCCTGTGTGGGGGCTGCCCCCAATGAGCGAAGTGAGCACAAAGCTCATCGCAAAGACGGCCTTCCAGAAGGCAGAGGCTACGGAGGGTAAGAAGTGGACCAAGTCTCAGGTCCTGAGCAGGACGACCTTCGCGGTGGGCAACGTTTCCTGGGATGAGATTGCCCTGCCCCTGTCTGGGGGCTTTGAATACGTTCTGCAAGCCCCTGTGCCCATCCAATTCCCCACTGGGGGAAACATGCTGACTTCGTTCAAGTCATGCATTGCCGGACGTGAGTTCGCCGCTCACATCGGCTTCTCTTTCGGCCTCCGTGTAGGGCGAGATGTTGATGTGATGGTTCCCATCAGCATTGAGCCTTGCATCGAGGTCACCGCGGCCTGGTGAGGGCCAATACTTCTCTGGGGTGGGGGGAGGGTGGTGGCCCTTTGAATACTTGTTCTGAAAATGTTGTGAATGTACGAGTAAGAAGAATGCGATGGAAATTGACTAAAACTTACGTGCCTGAGTAAAGTGTAGATCAAGATGTATTTGAGCCTGAAGTGACTCGAGTCTAGTAGGAATTTAATCGAGAAAGGAGTCTAGATAGACTCGAAAAGTATGGTATTCGATCCCCCATCTGATTCTTACGTCGCTCCAAGAATGTTCGGCTTGAAGGTTAGAGCTAATAGTATATTGTCAGTCAATCAGGCACTGTTGCCGTTACATTAGTTAGGCCTCTTTGTTTTGAAGGATACACAGACTATCTTTCTTGAATATATCAATAGATCACTCTTCTGTATTCTTTTTGTCTATAGATATATAGATAAGAATAGATATGGAAAAAGGACGGTCTTGAAATTTACAGCCCATAAAATAGCTACACCATCGGGGTATAGACCAGGCGCATGGATAACAGACGCCCCAAGAGCAATATATGCTCACTAGTCCTCATAATATAGTCTACGAGCAACTGCAACAGAAAACGAACATGTGCCATTTCATGCCGATTTAACGCGCACAGGAGCAAGTGAGTACCTTGAACCAGCATGCCACGTGAGTCTTTTTTGGATATAAATTCTGAATCTATCTACCAACGATGCACCCCGCATTCAGAACACCATCCCACATCAATGGTCTCCGAGAGATGCTCCTCCCTGAAGCGTTCGAGCTGATTTCATCTCCTCTCACAGCTCTGCAACATCACTTCCCTACCAAGCAGCACACGATCTGCTCGCGATTAAATGGCATCGCGTGATCCTCGAAGGTACGACTCAATGAGAGGTTCCGACCCTTCTCCATGCTAATCCTTTGTATAGGGGGTCATTTTATCAAGAATTCGAAGATACAGAGGTGAGTCACAGTTCGAGCACTACGGGTAAACTATCAGTGTTGCTATTTTAGAAGGGGGGGTTTTTTTTTCTTTTCCAGATATTCGTTGCTTTCTTCTTAACTTTTACATATTAACTTCCGATTTGCTTCACTTGAAAACTTCCTAACTATTTACCTGACCAAGCTGATTACGACATCTGGCAAGCCGAAGGCATCCACCTCTGCGACTTCTGACAGCAGCAAAGGAAAGAGCAAGGTCAAGGAGACACTATCCTAAATAACCAAGTCTATTCTCTCATCAAGGCTCGGTTCTGAAACAGTAAATAGTGATGCGACGGTGACTACACCATTCCCTTCCTCGGCGACAAGAATATGGGATAGAATCCTGAAAAGAAGAGGCTCGAACTGATCGATCGATCGGATGGACGGTGCTCAGTGTTCAAGATCTTGCCGTACCATACTATCTCGTTCGCAATCCACTGGGTCTGAGGCGTGCAAATTGTAGTCGACGATGCATTCGAAGCCGGTACCGCAGGGGGAAGACCATAAGACCAAGAGTGATTTTCGACCAAGTTGAACGATTATAGATGAAAGAGGGACCTCGTCGTAAACTAATGTGTGATCATGACGCGGAGTCAGGCGTTCAAGCAATTCTCTACTTTGTTGAGGAGCACGCGACACGCAACGGTAGACCGAACCAGACTCAGTCCTAGGGGTATGATACATGCAATCCAGACTGGCCCTAAAGGACTGACAGCCCAAGTAATTACTCCAATCCGCTTATGCCCATGCAATTCTTATCGTACGGAAATAAAATTCAAGCCGAACCACCAGTCGCTAGTTTTGACTCGATTAGGATTGAATCTCGGCAGTCTGCAACTTTCTCTCCGTTCATATCACTCCGGGAAGCGAGAGAACTTTTTTTCTGACTGGTCTTATTCAGAGGGTAAAGTATCGCCTCTTTCACTTTGGAAAGATGGCTGGATTTTGTTACTAGGATCTTTCACCGGGAACACTGTGACATATAAGCATTCTGGCTGTACGGCGTGCGTTGATCGGTAGTCATTTCCCGGGTTTGCTCTTCCGACGGAATGAGATGGATGTACCCGATACCACAATTCAACAGAGACATGTCGAAGTCACACGGGGTGGACGAGTCGAGACATGGGATGTACTGCGGGTACACAGGGAATTAGAGGTGCAACACTATCTTTTTTTTTTTTCTTCTTCTTCTTCTAGTAGACACTAGACGCCCATAATAACGAAAGGCGGGGTGAAAGTAGACTCTCGCCTGCTATCCGTGGAAAATACCGGAAAGCTTAGGAACCCGACCGGATATTATGACTTTAGCTTCCACGGTTCTGTAAATTGGTGCGGAGTAGACAACAAAGTCTTTTCCTGCACACACCCCGAAGCACGAGACGGTTCATCGGTGCTTAGACTGCAACACCGACACAGTCTTAGCCCTGTGGAAGGTTTCCCTGCAGAGGAAGCTGTTTTGGGGTCACGGCAGGGTGGCTAGATTTGGTATAGGTCAGCTGCTACAGGTTCTTTGGGGATGGGGGTTGTTGTTTCTGGACATGATGTGGGATGGAGCGATCATATCGAATGATTGGCCTGTAGTCACAAGATTGGTTCGTAGATAGATTCAATCTGGTACCTGTTTTCAGCCCCGTGTTTGGGCTGTTCTTTGCCACAGAGCGGAACGAAGAGAACTCGTTGTGTCTTGTTGTTTGAATAGCCGGATGGTCATGCTCCCTAGGATAATATTGTCATAGGTCAGGGCTCATGACTGATTTACTATATCAGAATGAAAGACATACCGCATGAAGGATTTACGTTCTCTGCTGTCTTAAACAGCACCAATTGGAATTTGTTCTGCGTGGATCCTATCTCGTGTAGACCTCGTATTCATGTGGCGGCGGAAACACAGACCGCGGTTCAGACTGTAAATCCGGGGTAAGGGCAAGAACCGGTAGAGATAGACATCGACTTTTGGTGATTTTATGTATCCTCGTACATGGGCATCGGATTGTACATACTATTGAGATCCCATGCTGTTAGGAGTTGTGTCTTGCTCTGAATGTGCCGAAGGCAGCTTGCGCGTCCACTTTGTCAACCACCGAGGAGTTTCTCTACCTACTTGTAAAAAGACTTTCTTGTATCGCAAGTGGAAAATCACTACAGGAGTAGAGAAGCCAAGAGGTATCTCTTCACCCTAAGCAATATGTCGCCACCCCCAAACCAAAAACCCAACTAACAACCCCCAGATGCATCCTGCCCAGCACAAACATATGAAACCCAATCCAAGCATCGGACATATTGAACTTATTCAACTCCATGAATGCATACAACCACGGCTCAGGACCAATCTGTTGCTCGGAAAACTGCGCCGGAACAAGATGCCGATCGACAGATTGATAATGGACCTTGTGGTGTGGATGATGCTGGTTGTTATGGGAGTACCTGTATGGATGGGATTTGTTCCAGGCGGCCGTAGTGAGATTGGGAAGCGTAAGCGTGAGGGGAATGGGCGAGGACATCGGTCGGTGGAGCCGAGAGGTTTAATATGCGTATCCGGTAGTACATTGTATTGCCATCTAGGGATTTTGAGTTCTATTTCCTATCCCTACGGTACAAAGTATGAGGACAAAGCGGGTTTTTTGATCCGGTGCTGTACTGTTGATCCTTGGAGGCTGCTAAATTAAAGCACGCTATCAGGAGAACCAGGGACCTTGACATCTTCAGTGGACGCCCTAGACTAGGGGGGCCTGATGAGGCTTGACAAGCCCGACTTGGGACTTCGATCTGAGTGGCGCAGAAACGACAGCACTGTTTTCCGTGATGTACGTAGCCTTGCGCCTCGGCTGCGGGTGAGTACATGTACAGTTAAAGTAAGTGATTCCATCTCGTGACCTTCGGGTATGTACCCGAGGTGACCTAGCAATCACATTCTCGATATAGCTAACTGGACGCGTCGAGAGTGACACGATCGAAGGCGGTTGTCGTGATTGCTGTCGTATTCTTTGTGTTGAGTTGGTCGATGTCGATCACTGCGGCTATGGCGATATAGTTGCTTTGGCCAGGAGTGGCGAGTGCTGCGGCTGCGGCGCAGAATACCTAACAAGGTACGGGTGGATGCTTTTGGCACGGATGGGGCCATTTCGGAGTGGAGCGGACTGAAAATAGACAGGAACGGAGTAGCTGGTTTGGTGAGTACGGAGATTATTGTTTTTAGGTGCCGATTTGGAATCACTGTTCGTGTATGGGAAAAGGGTAAGGGTAAGGGTAAGGGTAAGATGGGAAATGGTAAGATGTTTCCCGGGCAGAACAGAATCCAGAATCCAGAAGTCGGACCCCATGCAGGATCAGGGACATGGGGCCCTTTAACAATTGCATGCCGATCAGGATTGAGCAAGGATGCAGGGCTATTTCCCCTTGTCTCAGACTTCACCGCAAGGGGATCCACGCCTCTTCGCCTTGTTACTTCGCTTTTCTGTAGGTGTTTGCCACAGCGTCATCCAGTAGGAATGTGCATCTGATCGGATCGAGACTCGAGACTGGTAATACCAGACCTGTGAAACCAGAGCCAATAGTCCAATCGTTTCGGGGAATGGGTGTCTTTTTTTCTGACTAGCATACGTTAGGCGATATTACCTGCCCGAGACCTAAAAGGAGTAAGAGTCCGGAGGTCCACTGTTACACTTACGAGGGGCAAAGGCTGGCTGGCATTCTTGGGAGAGAAAAGGTCCGAGGGAGTTGGTATGTCGAGAACCAGTTTCGAGTGTTTCAGCTCATTTGAGTAGGGGAAGTAAGTACCTGGGTGACGAAAGTGTAGGGTAAACAGACGTGAATAAGTAATAAGTAATATGGAAAGTAATCAAGAAGTAATCAAGAAGTAATAAAGAAATGCCCGGACACACCCGTAAAGTCTGGACTCGGGGTTTCTCCTCACGGTATCCGGTATTGTTCCGAGAGAGTAGAGAGTAGAATGAGAATCAAAGTAGACAAAGCAGAAAGAAAAGAAGGAGAAGTTGAGTAGACGGCAATGTAGTTGCTACGTACTACCTCCCTCCCCCGATAGTCACTAGAGCATGCTACTATGTACACAGTGAAAAAGATTCAACAGAAGAAAAGATGTATCTAGCGTGTAATATAACGGGCCCCTGTAATTTTACCATCCGTCAGCTCTCCCCACTCTCCGCTTCGCCTTGACTCCCTCTCTTCTTTCCTTTCTCACACTCTCTCTTGCATTGCTCACACTACATAGCATACTATCCTATTCCATTCACTCCTTGATCTTATGGCGTATGGTTGTGCCTCTCTCCGTGCAGTTGGCCGCCTGACCTGCAGCTCTCACGCTGCCATCCGACCCTGCTCACCTCGACGTCTCCCTTCCTCTTGACCTCATGTCTACTCTAGAGATCCCACAATCTGGACTGGCTCTCCGTCAAGGAGACCAGTCCGGAGATCCTTCCAAGCCGAGTCAGATCTTGCGGCTAAACCTGGTGCAGAGCACCCTCGATGATCTGATTCAGAGCCTCCGGAAGGATCAACCGGTCCGAGTCCGCCTAGGAAAGCACCCTTCAATTCACTATGGGGGCAAATCCCAATCCTTCCATGCGTATCCCGAAACCCACCGATCCGAGATCTACCAAAGCTCCGACGATAAACAAACCTTGTACTTCACGGGCCTCTTGAGCCATAGTCTGGAGGTGGAAAAGGCGAAAAGTGCTACGGCGGCTACGGACCAGGCCCTAGCCAATCTGGAGGAAAGTCTGAATGCATTTGAGCGAGGAAAGGAGTCAAAAAAGACGCACATTATCTCTCACCCTGATGAGCTGAAAGGGTTTCGGGGTTCCAAGTCAGGCCTCAAAGCTCCAACCAGCAAAGTCGAGCTGGAGAAAGATCGATTCCTCAAAGCTGCCCGCTCTTCGGCTTCTGCCAGTCCCACCTTCCCTCCCAAATCACCCTCACTTGCAATGGCTCCTACCTCAGCTCCGATGTCGCAAGCCAAGGATAACCCAAGGCTGGCTGCTCTCAAGAAGCCTTTGATCCATATCCTGGCTATTCGGGCTGTTTCAATCCGCTATCTCGCTCAGACAACTCGCTCCCACCCCGAAGACTGCACCGTTCTCGCCGAAAAGTACGGTCTCCAGCACCGCATTGACACGAACAAGTACCATCTCAGAGACAAGCTTTACAAGGATCTCGACGTTTGGGACTTCAGGTTTCCTAGTGAGGACGACCGCAAAGCTGCCATTGACAACTGCATTGGCGCCTTCGATCGCATGCGCCTCGAGCGGAGTGATCCCGCCTGGCAGATGATTTTGCCCAAGGACGAACGCGGAAAGGGCACCTGCCTTTCTCGTCTAAAGCTCCGGACCGCTCCTACCAAGGCGGAGACACCCAAACCAGACAAGAAGGACCCTTCCAAGGCCGAGAAGAAGGAGCCCGCAAAAGCAGCTGCGACCCAGAAGCCCCGGTCCGCGGACAAGCGGCCCAAGGCTAAGGCAGCCAACAACACTACCCTCACTGGTCGTGTGACCAAGAAGACCGTTGCGAAGCCTGCCGCCAAGGTTGACAGCAAGATAAAGTCTGCCGAGTTTGTCAACAGCTCTGATGACGATGATGAGGATGTGGCCATGTCTGATGCTCCCGCTTCCGCCCCCAAGAAGCCGCAGGGACATCAGCGAACCCCCTCCGCCACGAAGCCCCCTCCCAAGCCCGCACCGAGGCCTCGTGCTGCCGAGACTCCAGCTGCTTCCAAGGTCCCGAAGGCCGAGACCCCCAAGACCGAGGCTCCGAAACCCAAGCTTGAGCCAACCAAGTCAGCCACTCAGGTTGCAGCTGCAGCTTCCAAGCGCCCTCCATCTCGTCCTTCCACCTCACCCCAAAAGCCGTCTCCTCTCGGATCATCTCCCCCTGCTAATGCATCTGATACTACTGGCCGCAACCGCTCCGACAGCCAAAACCAGTCCTCCTCCGGATCCTCCTCATCTTCGCCTCTGATTGCCCAGTCTCGCAACAAGGTCGCTCGTCCTGCTCCTGTCGCCACCAAGTCTGCTCAGACCAACGGTGTCAAAAATGTGCCAGCCGCCAATCCCTTGAAACGCAAGGCGGAGTCTGACCGACTGTCCGCTCCGCGCGCTACTGCCGGACGTCCCACCGGAGACCTGGAAGCCAAGCGTCGTCGCGCAGCCAGCCCATCAAGTGGTGGCAGCACCGGCAGCGCATCTCCACCTATGAGCTACGAGCTTCTGCGTCAGCAGCTACGCGAGAAATCCCAGATGTTCAAGCAGTACTACACCAAGTATCGCTCCTTGCATGACTCACTAGCGGCCCTTGCCGACCCCGCGCCAGCTGACCTGGAGCGTCTGCAACGTCAGCATAATCGCTTGCGTCGCATGAAAAAAGAGATTTGGGATGAAGATCGGCAGCTACATGACGGTCTCCGCCCTTGATCTTGATTTGATCCCATCTATCCCATCTGCATAACCATTCTGCATGGTTGTCCTCGAATGAACCGACAGCTTACCCGGCGCATGATTTGTCATTTGCTCTTTTTCCTTTCTTTACTTCTTATATTTCATATTGCATCTTATCCCCCCTATCGCATGCCTTATTTTCGCATCTTTATGATTTCCTTTTCATATTTCCTGGACTAGTTCCACAGTACACAAACATATTGGGGCTAGACCCTGTTAACAAATAAGCAAATAAAAACATCATCATTATCTGACTCTTCTCTCATAAGCTCACGTAGTTTGCCTATTGATCTTCATGTTACCCCAGATCGCCCAACTAGTCCCACTTCAGCCTAATGGGCCACCGGCATCAGTTCTGATTGGCTTTCCTCGCACGTGGCAGGATCACGGGACGGGACTGCTCAGTAAGCAGAATCACATGATTGTTTCACGTCATTTGATACTTACCACGCTATTCCATATTAGGAATAGCCTTGCAGACATTCGAACTTGCTGGTTCGGAGCATCATACATTGCAGGTTGCACCCACGGCCAATTTCTACCCCAGTCTGGTGATTTTCACCTCAAAACAATTCTTGTTGTCATCAGATTACCCAAGAGCGCACTCTCAGAGCTTATTTAACAATGACGCCCCCGGCCCGAGGACGGGGGACTTCCCAGCGCAGCCCGACCGTCTTGGTATGATACTCCCAACACCCCCGTACTACCAATTGATACAAGCTCTACTAACACATGATCCAACTACCAGGTTACAGATTCCCGTGACCAGCAACCGCCTTCAACACCCCGGCGCCGGCGCTCCCCCGCAACCCGCTTCATTACCGTAGACAATGTCCTTCAATATGCTTCGGATGTTCCCTCAATGCAGCAACGTGGCCCACCACCAACGTCAAGATCCAGACGTCTCGCATCTGCCGCTGGCGGTCTAATCGGCAGCTCAGGAAGCAGCAGTTCCAGCGCCGTAGCTTCAGCAGCGGGCAAAGCAGGCCGATTAGCTGCCCAGCCGCGTCTTCCACCCCGAACAACAAAAGTCAGCGAGAAGCTTGTCCTCCTGCCCGACACTGGTGAGCTGGAGGAAGATGAAATTGACGACGACGAGGCTGATGAGGGTGACAACGCGGACCTCGTGGACGAGGAGGTCGTTGTCCGTATTGCCCGCGAGAAAAATATTGATCCCGAAATGGTTCGGCATCAATTGCTAGTGCAAAAGCGGCTCGGTGGCGACTTCGGTGTCGATAATGATCTTGCGCCGTTGCTTGCTGAGGAGGAGATCCTACGGAAACGGCGTGTTGCGCCGGAGCGGGCGAAGAGTTATGCGGAGCGGCTGCCGAAGGCGCGTCGGACGGAGAAGCTGGCGCGTGTTACGGCTTATTGTACCGCTCAGGCATATAAGATGGGCTCGCTTGCTTCTTTTGTTAAGGAGACTCATGGTGGACGGACGAAGCTTTATGATGATTGTCTTTATACGGCTTATCATTTGCCGCTTTTGCCTGGTCATGAGGGTTATCGATTGCGGAGTAGTCCTGTCTTGAAGTATCCTGGTGGGAAGTCCTTGCTGGATGAGGAGATTGAACGCAATGAGCTTCGCGATCATCATGATGATTTCGGCGTCGAGGCCGAGGAGCATTCTGTCGGTGGGCGGAATCGTCCTGATCAGGAGCATCATTATGAGGCTTCACCGAGGGAGTTGGACGATCATACTTCTCGTGACGAGCATCCGGAGGAGTTCCTGACTCGGATTACTGAGGAGGCGCATCGCCTTCCGGACGAGCATGAGCATGCTGCCAGCTCTAGTGAGAGTATAGAAGGGCTGCAGCATATCCCACAGTCCAATGGTACAGAGGAGAACCGGCCGCCATCCCCTGAACCTGCCCTCCGCCGTCGTCGACACAGTACCGATGACAGCCATGCTTTACTCCGAGATCGTCCCTCCCCACCACTCCATGCAACATCCGCGCCATCAACACCCCAAGCCCCAGCCCGCACACTGTACAACGTCGCTGAGATGTTCGTCTTCAGCTACGGCGTCGTCGTCTTCTGGAACTTCACAGAACGCCAAGAAAAAGATCTCCTCGCCGATCTGGCTTTCGCTACATCCTCTGCAACAGGCATCCCCATCCCACTGGCGACAATGCCGCTCGACGAAGAAGATTTCGAAACAGAGGAATTCCACTTCGAATACTCAACCGAGATCCTCCGTCCCCGTGTCTACAATGACATGATCACCCTTCGCAGTGGTGACCACATGATCAAGCTTGCAATCAGTCACGGCATATCCCAAAGCACAAAGCTATGCTTCTTCGAAGAAGTCATGGCCCGCCAAATGGATGATGCAAAGGACGTCCCAAGACGACTCGCCGTGACCGGCCAACTAGGCATGAAACGCGAAGAAGTCTTCCGAATCCTAGGCCGACTCTTCAAGAGTCGTGTGGAAGTCAATCTTTGTATGTTGCCCTCTAACCCCCAGTATTGAGTATTTACTAATGATCAAATCCCAGCATCAAACATGCTCGACGTCCCAAACTTCTTCTGGGAAAGCGAACCAACCCTCTACCCCCTCTACATCGCCGTACGCGAATATCTCGAAATCAAACCCCGAATCCAAGTCCTCAACGAACGATGCCGCGTCTTCTTAGATCTTGCTGAGATTCTGTCAGACTCAATAGCTGATAACCGCACTTCTCGTATGCCTCCACCTCAACCTCATCAAACCATCACATCCAATACTAATAAATTACAAACAGACCAAACATGGATTATCATCGTTCTAATCATAATCTCCATCATCGTCACTATGGCCGAAGTCTTCCTCCGCTTCGGTCTGTTACATGCGCGCGAGGGTGAAGGCGTTGTCGGTACGCCTGTTAGTATTATCGTCCGTGCTATGGGACGGGGACGGTCTGTTCCTTCTCCGGTTGAGGGGTGGTATCCGGCTAATATGCCTGCTGGCTGTGTTTGTCCTTCTTTGGGCGCTGGAACTGGAGCTGGGGTTGGGCAGGGGGGTGTAAGTGGGATGATGGGGCTTTGATTTGGATTTGTTGACTGGATCATCCTTGAAGGTTGAGAGTTAAGGTTGAGGTTGAGGCTGAAGTTGAACTTTAGGTTGCAGCTGTGAATCGTGAGATATGAGCACAAAAGAGTTTCAGGGTTTCCATTATTTGGCGTGTGTTGGTGTTCTCACTCTTTCAGGGTTAGCATTGGGTTGGATTGGACTGGATTCATCTGACTTGATTTGGCCTTGTTTCTTATTCTTACTACGGTTGCATATTATCAAACTGCCAGGCTAATACATACTCCATTGATATCTCATCTGTGAATTATCACTTTGAATATCTTACTTACAGACTCACTCCTACAACAATACCTCGACATCCATCTACAGCATACCAATCTACCGTAACCAAGATAACAGTATGAAAGAATCCAAAATCCCCGTTATAACGGACAATGCTAAATATGAAACACAGAGACATTAGATATCAGTACAAAGGGCCCGGAATCCAGTTAGTCAATCCATGTCACGGGAAGACTGAGAATGACCAAGGAAACCCATTTTGTTACAACCCCGCTACGTTCGTTTTATCGTATCTATCCCTCGATTTTTCTTCGTGTATCCGGTTATGCTTTTCTCTCTTTGAAGGAAAAAAGTAATTTAACCGGTGATCTTGAAGATGGACTCGGCGAGTCTGCCGACGTTGCCGGAGGTGATACCAGCGACGGAGATACGGCCGTCCTTGGTGGCGTAGACGGAGTGCTGTATGTTGTGTTAGGAATTGTTCTTGTTTGGATTTATGGTGGATTATGGGAATATGCTTACCTCCTTGGCGAGGGCGTCCATCTGCTCGGGCTTCAGGCCGGTGTAGGCGAACATGCCGATCTGAGGGTCTTTGTTAAATACTAGACTCTATATGGACATGGTTGCTGTATCTTACCTGGCTGGTGATGTGGGACCAGTCGTGCTTGCTGCCGAGCTTCTCGAGGTTGGTGCGGAGGAGAGACCGCATCTCAATGATGCGGTCAGCCATGCCCTTGACCTCACCGAGCCACTGCTGGTTGAGGGCAGGGTCGTTCATGATGGTGGAGGCGACACGGGCGCCGTGGATGGGAGGGTTGGAATATTGGGGACGGATGAGAATCTTGATCTGAGACTCAACGCGCTTCTTCTCCTCGGTGTTCTCGCAGACGAGGGAGAAGGCACCGACACGCTCACCGTACAGACCCTATATCTGTTAGCTGTTTTTTCTTTCATCTGAAGTGTTACTGGAACTCACCATGTTCTTGGCGAATGACTGGCACAGAGCAATGTTGTGGCCCTCCTTGACAAAGTGACGAGGAGCGAAGGCATCCTTGTCAGCGTTACCACTGGCGAAGCCCTGGTAGGCCATGTCGAAGAAGGCGAAGTGGCCCTTCTCCTTCATGACATCGCTGATCTGGCGCCAGTGAGCCTCAGTAGGGTCAACACCGGTAGGGTTGTGGGCGCAAGCGTGGAGCAGGATGATGCTGCTCTCGGGGGCGTTCTTGATATCGGCGATCAGACCGTCAAAGTCAAGACCGATGGTGTCCTTGTTGTAGTAACTGTAGTTGGCAACCTCGAGACCAGCATCGGTGAAGACAGCCTTGTGGTTGGCCCAGCTGGGGGTGGGGAGGTAGATCTTCTTTGCGCCGGGGTAGAAGCGCTTCAGGAAAGATCCGCCGATACGGAGGGCACCGGTTCCGGAGATAGTCTGGGTGATGACGAGGCGGTCATCCTTGATGGCAGAGGAGTCGGCGCCGTAGGCGAGCTCAGCAGCGGCGCTGGTGAAGGCGGGGATACCGGTGATGCCAGCGTACTCTTTGTCGAGGCGGGATGCCACGACCTTGTCCTCGGCAGCGCGGACGGAAGGCAGGACGTAGGGCTTGCCCTTGTCATCACCTGACATTCAATTGTTAGCTATCGATTGCGCGAAGGCTGTTGGTGATGGAAGTCGAGACGTACGGTAAGCACCAACACCTAGGTTGATCTTCTCCTTGAAGGAGTCGGCCTTGAAAGCTTCGGTAATACCGAGAATAGCATCCTATTGACCCAATTAAGTCAGAAGAGGCCCTTTAACCCATCATCGCGATGATGGCAAGCTCCAAATCAAAGCTTACAGGGGGACCCTGGGGAACGTTAGCCCAGGCCGAGGCCTGTCTAGCTCCGAGGACGACGATGCGCTGGTTGGCCTGGGGAGCAGCCGAGCGGCTGGCAACTCTAAGAGTGGAGAGCATGATGATGGCAGGAAAAATCAAAAAAGGCAGTACCTCTAAGAATGGGAAGGGGAAAGGAAGAAACCGGGAGGAGAGGAATATTAAAGGATCGGAGACGTAGTCCCGATGTTTTTGCCTGACTCATGTGATGACGGTACCGGGTACCTGCCCTATGGTATGTTGCCCTGCCGCGGCACAAGTACCAGGTACAAGACCCCGAGAAATGCGACAAAAGACGGGTAAATAGAATATAATGTAGCTATTACTACAGCTATACTTAGTGTCAGTATTGTAGAACTACACCATTGCATTATTACACTGATTCTTACAGTGAAATTAAAATTATAAAAATGGCTCAATTGTACTCCTCAGCGGGCTATACCCTAACCCATACATGTTACTCCAGACATAACTATCGACTTCACATCAGCCCATCATTTCGCCATTCGGGAATTCGAATGCCCGGTGAACTGATTGAGAATCTCCACACTTCCCCTCATACAGTCGGGGTACATTTGTCTGCCACGTACGTAGCTGTTTTCGGAGAGATGCCCCTTGCTCGGTGTTCACTAGCGAATACTAACCCCCGGTTCATTTCAGTGGGAATTCCCGCAATTCTCCCCCACACGGAGAGATCGAATCTTATTACGCTAATTTCGGTAGGGCATGACAGAAACAGCTAAGGTGGAACTTTTCCTTTGGGATATCGTAGTAGCTTGACTCTATACAGAGGTACATTAAAGGCTTCAACCCAAGCGCACTCCAGCTTGGCGGTTCTTGCGCGCAGCAGTTCCCACAGCGTTGTTCATACCGGTGTGTTGGCTACTGTCCAGGGTACTCATGGCCTCGCGCTTCTTCTCTTCGTCAATCTTCTTCAAGCGCTTCTCGGTCTTCATCTTGCCACTGCCCTTGCCGTGGAATTGGTGACTGAGTTGCTTGAACGCCTCCTTCTGGTTCATGTTGCGACCGAATTCATCCACGTAGCGAAGCTGGACATCGGGTTTGTACTCCTTGTTAAATGCCTCGGCGGTATGTCGCGCCTCTTGCTGGTCACGGTGCTTGTTCTCCAACTGTGCGTACTCATCGCGCTCACGGGCTGACATGCGGTCCAGCTTACCAGAGGCACGGTCTCGCTCACGCTGTTGACGGGCACGTCTCTCGGCTTCGGACTCACGGTTGTTCTTTTCCTGCAAGAAGCGTTGGCGGTCGCGCATGAGCGCATTTTGACTGCTGCTGTTGCTTTCTTTCACCAGGCCGCGTGATTTCAACATCGACAAGGTAGCAGCCAGACCCGTATCCAGAGTAGACTCCTCTTCCAATCCGGTGCCGGTGAGCTGTTGTTGTGGTTCAGCCTTGGTTTGTTCGTCGCGCTTGATTTGTGCTGCCAGCTCTTCTTCGTCTTCAATGTGGGCATAACGGTCCATATCCACTTCCACGCCGTCTGTCTCGGGCTCCGGCTGTGGTTCCGCGGATTTCTCCGCGGCGGGGGTGGATGCATGTCTCTCGTCCCGTTCGGGAAGCGTAGGCTTTTGTAGATTCGACACAAACTCGGAGGTCTCGTCGATAACGAGGCCTGGTCCTTCCTCATCTTCGTTTTCTACCTCCATTGGAGTCTGTTCTTCGTCTTCTCGAAGTTGTCGGGCCAGTTCCTCTGGGCTGATCTTCTTGCGCTTCTTGAATGCTGCTCGTCGTTGCAAGGCAAGAGAAGCTTGGAGGTCGTCATCATCGACGAAAGAGACATCTTGGTTGGCGGTTTTGCGGGGGCCAGCAACTGGAATCCCACCCTTGGAATCAATATCCATTGCCGGACCCTGTGCTGCTGACTCCGATGGGACATTATCATCGTAGTCCATGACGGCTCTCTGTTTCGTCGCCTTGGCCTTCTTCTTCTTCGGCTTCTTAATTTTGACCTCGCTGATATCCATGTAATCGGATGATGGTACTTCAGGCTCAAATTCGAGGCTGATAACGTTCTTCTTCAAGCGATCAGAAACCTCCTGACGCTTTGCTTCTCGTTCCTCCTCCGTCGAGCCTTGAGCATCGAGTGTAAATCGCTTGCGCTTCTTGCCATCAATCTCCTCGTCGTATTGTGAAAGAATGCCTTGGTTTTCGGCTGTGGGATCGTAAACGGGCTTTTTCTTCTTAAGCTCCAGCTTCTCCTCCGTCTTCTCTTTTTCGACCAGGTTGACATCCTGGAGCTCATCGCCCTCCTCGTCATCATCCACCGCAGCGTCCTTCAACGTCAAAATGTGATCTTCGCCACCATCGAAATCACCGGCGGAGTGTCCAACTTTGATTCCAGCGAGATCGGCTGCAGTGTACTCAGCGGCCGCGGCGCGTTCCCGCTCTTCAAGTTCCTCAGCAAGTTTGCGAGCGCGTTCCTTTTCGATCTTCTTCGAGCGCTTCTTAGATTGCATCAACCAAGCCTTTGTATCGAGTTCGTCGCCATTCGCTTCTCCTAGTGTAGATCCTTCGAGCTTGAGATTCCGCTGGGCGATATCGCGCGCACGCTTAATGGCGGCGTTCTTTTCTTCGCGCTTCCGTTTCGCTTCGAAGTCATCTTGAAGTTTCTTCCAGTTGTCGTATCCTGCTGCCTGTCGCGTCTCGACTGTGCTCGCGGGCTCTTCCTCCTCGCCGGAGGAGCTGTCATCTTCTTTGAATTCAGGTCCGGCGCCGGGGACAGGGAGTGGCTTAAGACCCAAGGCGACACGGATCTTGTTATTTTGCTCGATGGATAGAGCGTCCGCCATTTTGACGGTTGAAAGGAGAGCAGAAAACAAAGTGAGGACTGGAGAAAGTAATGATGTCGCCCCAAGTACCACGCTCTTTCCTGATACCAGATCACCTGATTGATAACACTAGTCCCAAAGCAGCCTAGCGTGTCAAAAAATCTTAGGCCATAAATATCAGCCCTCCCGCCCTCTTCCTTTTTTTTTTTTTTTCTTCACCAAAACACGGATCTGTGTCCAGCTTTCCTGTCCATGAACTCCTTCGGGGGTCTGTGTGATGGTTGAGAGCTGGGCAGTTCAACGATATTGGAGCCATCATTTTTCGCGTGGATGGCACTTACGGTTTCCGGTTGACAGATCTCAGATTAAATGTCTGCGCCTTGTGATGCGGGTCTTGAGCTCCCACTGGTGAGCTCGGCTTGATAGCTTGGTTGCGGACGGCGTCATATTCCTAATCTCTTTGCCGATTGGCCGTTGGCCGCTGAGGCTAGGGAATAACCATGACCAGCCAACATCTCTTATTTAGCTAGTAATCTGTGTATTCTGTAGTCATGTTTGGTATTGTCTCTGTTTTATAGGAAACTGTCCGGATTTTACCACTTGGGATACGCTCGCTCAATGCGAAGCGCTCGAGACCGTGAGCTCAAGCTACGGTACATGTGTGTACCCGCTTGCTGCAAGGGATCCACAGAAAAGCTCTTCATTGAGGTCATGATCATAACTGCCTATGCAAAACGCCTATACACGACGAGGGAGGGCAAAGTAGTTTATAGAAGCTTCAAGTGTCCCGTCACGCCATCGACAACACTTTTGGGTCCTAGAATTCCCAACACGGTCTTGCTACCGCTAGCAATCTGAGTGCGACCCGCATCCTGGATAACGCGCGCGCAAAGTCCAAGGCTCATAGCCTGAGCCTGCATAACGAGAACCTCCTCCTCGGACTTAACCTGCAGTGCGATCTTGGCCTGGCCGCCGCGCTCCCATCTCCGGAGGATGGCCGAGTCAGGCGCGAATTCGAGGAAGTATTTGTAGCAGGCGAGGGTAGCGTGGGAGCATTGGGCGGCGATTTTGCCTGTCAAGAAAGAATGAGGACTTTAGCAATCTGTAGCGCAAGTCATGTAGCACGGCTGTAAAAGGCCGTTTCGGAGAGCGCATCACATACCCTTGGTCATGCCCAGGTCCATCCGGACGACTAGCACAAGCTTCACTTCCTCGGTGCTGTCCTTGAAGCTGGCGAGTTCATCGCCATTGCCTTCGTCTTCTGAGTCACTCCCTTCCTCGGATTCTTCTTCCTCTTCGTCGGAGGAGTGGCTGTGGACCTTCACATTGTAGCTGTTTGGCCAGCCTTCCTTCTCTTTGAAGAGGTTGAGCGAGGAGCCTTGGCCGATGAAGTAGCCGGTGACACCTGCGATGATGGCTGTTGCGATCACGTAGGCAGTCGTCGTTGGGGGCAGGCGATCGAGAGGTACAGGGGCAGCCATTTTAGTTTGGTGGGTGGTTGTTGGAATGTTGGCGTTCGCTGACGGAATAATTTCAGGATGGGAGCTCGACCGCCCTGGAGTTGATATCAATGGTATGCCACGCTTTCAATTCTACAATGTTAGAATGATCTACGATGTTTTTCAAATCTATCTAAATTATAATTGATTGGGCAGGCGACAGATGTGCTGGATCAATTCGTTCTTTAAAATTATTTCTTTTGAGCCTCCAATCATTGTCATCAACCAGCTTTCGAAGCCCTATCTCGCAGTGGTAAAAGAAACACATCTATAACGCTAGTCCCATGAATAGCCTATGTAATGTTTTCAAGTTTCAGCAAACAAGTTCAAAGCTATACACAATAATGTCTAAAAAGCTTGTTCTTCTCCCCAGTTTTCCCTCTGTATCACCAAACGAAATGCAAAGCACATCAACCAACAATGCTCTATATCAAAGTAGCCCGATCCTTCAAAACGCCATTATAAATCCCAAATCAAGAACCATCAGAAACAATCTCAGCCCCAGAAATAATCCGATAAGAAGTCTGCACCTGATCATCCAAACCCCTCAAAAGCCCAGCAAGCTCATCAGCCGCAGCAACAAGATCCTGGTCCGAAAGCGGCTTCAAAGCATCAAGAATAAACAAACCCCGTCTCGTCTCATCCGTCAACACCGTTCGAGGTCCCTGTCTCCAATTCCACCGTCGACAAGTGATACCCGTCTGATCACACCAAATCGGCTCCCCAGGCGCCGCAGTCTCGCTCAAAGCCTCGCCACTAGAAAACGTCTGGAATTCCTCCATGCCAGTAGCACGCACCAGGAACGGCGTTCCATCGTATTTATCCAGGTCCTCGCCACCTAGTGGGATCTGATGCTTGACAGAGATGGCATTGTAGATATCTGTTAATCGGTTTACGCGCGGTAAGCCGCCCTCTGCGCGGCGGGTCAGAGCTTCCAGGCTGTTGCGGGTTTTATTGGGCTTTGCGCCGAAGGCTTTGTAGGCTTCGCGCCAGGTGGATATGTGGGGGAGTTCTGTCACGGGTGTTTTGGAGAGTTGGGCTTTGATGCTCGTTTCGGCTTGTCGGAGGAGGGCCTCGCTGTGACTGTCACTTGCTCCTGGTGGTATGCCTTCGACTACCATTAGGAGGGCACGGTAGTCGGGGCGGAGTTGGAAGATTTGGGGGGATATGTGTGCTGCTTCGAGCATCTTTTGTGCGGTTTGTGTCACGCCCATGGTTGGAACTGCAAGAGGGAGTGTTGGACCTTGGCTGTATAGTTTTTGGTAGTCTTTAAGTTCTAAGGCGAGAGAGGAAGAGTGAAAAGGACTTGATGAGTCCGAAATTTGAGGGAGGATGGCTTCATAGATATAGTAGACTGTGGGTCAAGTCCGGACATATACCTTTGAGAAGGAAATGCTGGACCCTTCAAAATTTCCATTGGCGAGCAGATAATAGACTATAATAGATTCCTACATAAATTTTTGCCTGGAAAATAAGACAAAATAAGCAGTATATACTCGGTTAACGATCGAAATCTTCATCTATGTTGACCCACACTCCCTTCAAGTTCCTAATACAGTAATTTGTGGGTCTCCAGGGCGCTGGATATAGATGTTGTGAGGAGAGGACTGATGCGACTAGGAACATAGGAACATGGAAAAGAAATATCATCATTATAAGATATGGCTCAACTAATTTTTTCTTACCAGTTCAAGATTTCGGTCCTGCACTACCAGTCACAAAATGGAAAAGCATAGCGACTCGATCAACCGAAGTCGCCAACAAATGAACTAAACTTAAGAAACATGTGAATAATCCTCGGAGCAGACGGCTGAGAGGCAATTTACGGTACATACATTACTTCGAATTACTAGAGCTAAGAGTTGAAGAATATGTGCAATTTGAAACGGCTGGATAATTATAACACCACGATACCAGCTCAGGAATGGTAAGGACAGCTAGGGTAGTAAATCAGCAACAGACGTTTTCAAGGAAACCGAGTTTAAAAAAAAATACAAGAAAAGTGGAGAAGCGCGATGCATTTCAAGACTTATGCTTTGTACAAAGTATCCAAGAAGCCCTCTGCCAGACGGCTGACAACGCTCTTGTCAGGAATGCTGCCGGCCACACCGTACAGGGCGGATGTGTCACCACGCTTGAGGATGTAGGCCTTGCCCTGGGCGCGGCGCTCCTCGGCCTTCTCGAGCTCCTTGCCGATGACTTCGGACAGGTCGGCGATGAGTTGGTCCACAGCCTTGGCGGTCGGGATGGTGAAGGCGACGTGGATGGCAGCTGGGGACTGGAGGGCGTTAAGATGCCAGCCCTTAGCGGAGAGGTCGTCGGCGATATCGTAGATGTCGATGGCGCCGTTCTTGCTGCGGAAGGCGACTACGCTGACGATTGGGTTACCGATGACTTCCATGTGCAGGGAGATGGTTGAGTCAGTGCGGATAGATGTTTCGAACTTGCGGGCAGCGTTGATGATCTCGGTGCAGCTGTTGATGTAGCCGGTTTCACCAATGCTCATCAGACTGGCCCAGCAGCCGGCAATGAGAGCACCAGGACGAGAGCCTGCCACTGAGGGCGAAGCGTAAACACCACCAGACCAGTCGGGGTAGATAAAGTACTGGTTGTTTCGGTAGGACTTGTTACGGTAGATCAAAACGGAGTTACCCTTGGGTGCAAAGCCGTACTTGTGGGTGTCGACACTAATACTGGTGACGCCGGGCTGACGGAAGTCAAAGCCACCGTCCTCCTCGTAGGGCTCAGGGAATCCGGCCTTCTTGAGAAGTGCGACAACGAAGGATCCCAGACAGCAGTCGACGTGAAGGGGAATCTTGTACTTGGTAGCCAGCTTGGAAAGAGCGGGGATATTATCGACAATACCATGGGGGAAGTTAGGTGCGGAGCCAACGAGAAGGACAGTGTTGGGGTTAATCAGACGGCGAACGGCATTAATGTCAACCTTGAACTCGGGCTCCGGGCAAGGGACACGGTGCAGCTTAATCTTGAAGTAATTGCAAGCCTTGATGAAGGCCGCGTGGGCGGTATCGGGGATAATCCTGCAATTATCGATTAGCTGTACTCCTTACTGCAGTATAATGGGGCGAGGCCTCACATCTCAGGCTCCGTAACACCGCGCTCCAAGAAGGCCTTTTGCCGGGCAGCCAGGCAAGCCATGAGAATAGATTCTGTGCCACCACTCGTAGTCACACCAGCACCATCCGAGGGAGCATTGAAGAGAGCCAAGACCTAAATACTCATTAGCACTGTGTCCCACGACCATGACGTAAAACCCATTCAGAGGAGTAATACCATAGAGACAACCTCAGCCTCCATCTTCCGAACTCCAGGGAACACATCCGGATGGATCGGGTTCGCGACACCAAATTGACCAAAGGCCTCAGCCTGGAGTTTCAACAACTCCTCACCGCCATGGTAAACAGCACCACTAACGCGGCCATCCTCCCAGCGAGTATGCTCAAGGCCGGCCAACTTATCAAGTTCGGCGCGGACCTGCTCTGGCGTCATTCCCTCCTTGGGCAGAGTAAGATAGCGGACAACATCGGGACCGGTGTTGACAAGCTTAGTCTCGAGGTTTGTGATCGCCTCCTTCACCTGTTTATCGACCTGGCCGCGGACGCCGGGGATGCGCAGGAAGATACCATAGAAGAACAGGCGGAGCGAAATGTAGACATTGCGAATGCTGCCGAAGATGCCGTAGCCGCGGAGGGAATAGAAGGTCTTGCGCGTATATCGAAAGATAAAGAGAATGAATACTATGTTGCGGATTCTATGGAGTGCGATTGCAAATGCGTCAGCGATCATCCCCGGTTTGGAGTCCGCGGGGAACAGGGTCTTACAGGTCGATATTGAGGGCCGATAGGTGCGCGCTAGACGCCCGACCGTAGCCGACCAGCTTGTTCTGTAGAGCGACCGGTAACATTGACGAGCTCATTAGGGATGGTGGAATAAGGATGAGGTTGTGGCGATGGGAGGTTGCAATTGAACGTGACTGGTTAAGCCTAGCGTGCCTCGGCTGCCACATGAAGCAGGCGCTCAGCGTCTGACTCTTTGTACTTTGAGCATTTGAGCATTATTAAATATCTATACTCCATAATAAATCCGTTCATTTTTTTAATATGCCGATATGATTATATTTGAGATCACTTATACCACCTCCGTACTCTATTATTATTTTCGCTCTACTCTACCTGGACTGACGTAATTGGTCCAGGCTCCTACTTGTCTAACATTGCCGATATTGAAGAATAAGTCACGGATGGAATTGTGCGCTTATATACAAGATGGAGAGAACTCTCTCCTAACACCAGTCGTTCTTTTGAGTCTCCAAAAAGGGGAAGACGTATCAAACCCAAAAAATAAAAGTCCCAAACACATAAAAAAACATGAAATCATCAAAGATCCACCACATCTGACTTGGGATAAGCCATTGCGGTATGAAGCGCAAAGGGGGAATCTGGGCAAAATGAAATCTTGCATCCAGACACTTAACCGATAACACCGGCGGTCTTAGCCTCAGCCTCAAGCTCCTTCTCCTTGGCGGCAAAGGCGGCCTGCTCCTCGGGGGAAAGGTCGAGAAGGGGCTTGTTCTCACCGGACTTCAGGTTACGGTGGTAAGCACGGATGATGCTGTCAGCGTCATCGACAGCAATGGGGCGAATGTCAGCAAGAGCCTTGATCTTGGCGGTGCACTCCTTGTAGTTGGCGTCGGTCATCTCGAGCTTGAGCTGCTGGGCACGCGACTTGATGGCGTTCCAGCCAGTCAAACGGGAGGCGAAGTGGACGTAACGGGTCATGCCGAAGTCGGCCGGGTTGATGATCTCGTAGGTACTAGGGTTGTTGAGGATAGCCTTGGCGTGGATACCGGCCTTGTGGGTGAAGGCACAGAAACCAGTGATGTAGTTGTTGAAGGGAATGTTGACCTCAACAGCCTCGGCGACGAGGTCCTCAATGTCCTTGAGCTTCTCAAGGCGGTACTTGCCCTTAACGTACTCGGGGTCGGCGACCATCATACGGGCCATCAGACCACCGAGAGGAGTGATACCGTTACGCTCACCGATACCGAGAACGGAGGTATCAATGTGAGTTGCACCGGCCTCGAGAGCACAGTAGGCGTTGGCAATGGCACAGCCAGTATCGTTGTGGAAGTGAGTCTCAATGTCACAGCCAACAACTCCACGCAGGACACGAACAAGCTCGTAGACCTGACGGGGGGAAGCACAGCCAACAGTGTCGGCAATACCAACACGGTTCACACCAACCTTGTCAACAGCGGAGTAGATGGACAGAAGGTCAACGAGGTCGGAGCGGAAGGAGTCCTCACTGGAGAAACGGATCTCAATGCCCTTGGACTTAACGAACTCAATGACTTCAATGGCGGCGTTCTTAATGTAGGTCATATCCTTACCGTGAGAGTGCTCACGGAGGTAGGAGGAAGTGCCAATGACGACATCACTAAAGACATTATCAGTAAAGAAATTCCACACAATGCATACGATTTGACTCACACTCCGTCAACACCGGTCTCGACGGCGATACGGGCATCATCCATGTGGCAGCGAATATGAGTGAGAATCTGTTATACTTGTTAGACCACTTCTCACAAGACTTGGGCACCGCCAATCATACCTTCGCCTTCAAGCCGAGCTTGCAAATGGCCTCGCAGTCAGCGCGGGACTGCTCTGAAGCGCAAGGGCTGGTGAGCTCAATCTATAATAGCAGTCTCTGTCAACCTCTGATCATCCACAGTGCATATCTCATTTTCCGCTTTGACTCACGTAGTCCACACCGAAATCATCGAGGGCCCTGGCGATCTCTATCTTCTTCTCGGTATCAAAGAAAGCGTTGGCGAACTGCTCACCCTCACGCAGAGTAGACTCAATGATCTGGAAGCGGGAAACGTTGCTCAGGAAATCGGTGACGCCAACATTGTGGCCGTAAGGGTTGCGGGAGGCAGAGGGGTGGGGGTTCTGGCGGGTCTCAATGCCAGTGAAACCGGGGTGCTCGCCATCTATAGGTGAATTAGTGGTGAGTTCCCGGATGAATCGTCAGTGGACATACTGGGGCCAAGAGCCTGGCCATTGGTTTGCCCATTGGGCTCGGGGTCGGCACCAGGACACATTGTGCGCAGATGGTGGGGAAGTATGGAGGGTTATCGAGGTGAAGCAGGACTCGGGAGTGAGGCAATGGACGAAATATGGATCTTAATGAAAGATGATCCAGATGCAAGCTATTTATGATCTTTTTAGAAAGGAAAAAGGGAAGAAAGAGTCATAGGCAAATATAGCGGGCGGTGTGATATCCATTTGCGTAGTAATCGGCATTCGCTCGCTCGGCGGCAAAAAACTGAAAAATTTCGCCTGGGGGTGGGGAAGACCGAGCGATGTCATAGGATACTTTACTCCGTTGCATGCTCTACTTCCATATCATTTGGTGCTTTTATGACTCAAATGGTAATCATTACCATTTTCTGCCTTGCCGACATACCAGAAAAATACATCAGTATTCTTGGAAGCAGAAGCGACATGCCAGTATACATTTGCACTTCATACCCGACATCGGACCTGTGGGGTCTGAGTCATCCATAGACTGTCACCGGCCCCTCGATATTGATAATCGTCGTCTCTTCACTTACGCTGCAAGATAAGATACATAGGTCAAGCATCAAAGTAGCCCTAGAGCCTAGAGAGTCTTGATGTCATCTCATTTTTGGTCTCCTATGATCAACACAGATCGTGTTCACAATCTCACATGCTTGAATTGTGGAGAAACAGCTATTCACACGCGGAACAGCTTAATGGTTCATCCTGAGATAACATTTCTATGGCACAGTCTTCTATGGAGACATTGAAGAGATTCCATATTGATCTTGCTAGTTGACAAGCTTAGAACTCACCTCTCAGCTAATGAACAACTGATGCATTGAAATGTTACACACTGAGGTCCTAGTAGGTATATCGATCTCAGTCCCCGGTGGGCCATGTTCTTGTTCTTGGTGAAACTTAATATCTAATTTATCAGACATATGCATCTATGTTGCATTTTGTTGCACAACGAATCTTCCGTACTGCCTAGTATGTAAATACTTAGCCTATTGTGGAATAAATTTATAGCAATCCACACTTTCATAAGCAAGAGCTATATTCATGAACTTGAACATCAACCTTTGAAGTATCCATCTTACTTTATACTATGTGGTTCTCTAAATAGCTCTCTAGGTGTGAGCATTTGTGTCTGTCCTATGCTATGAGAATGTTCACATGCGACTGGATTATCTTAATTAAATTGGTCAGAAAGCTAAAATGGGTATAGCATAACACCGAAGTAAGATGATACCGTTTATCCATGGGGTTATGTTATTGTTGACCTCGTGCAGAAGTATATATTGCCCACATTAGCCTGTTTACTGTCCTTGCTTATACCAAACCAGGATCAAAATTGAAACCTGTATAGACTCACGACATGATCTTTCACTTGAGCTCTATACTACTCCAATATTCCTAACATATATCGGTAGACTCCGTACTCCGTAGAACTTATTGGTTTAATGACGCTACTCTAAGTTGTGGGGACGGGGAGATATGCAAGCCAGAATCCACATGGATGCAAAGGATTTCCATAGATGTCCAAATATAGTAGTATAATATAGTGCAATACTAGAAATACCTTCAGAATAAAATAGAACCTTCTATGCATTAGTTCGGCCGTAATCAAACATGGCGTGGTGGACAACTTGAAGTAAATGAAACCGATGTGGTTGGTCAGCGCTCAGGCCAGCTGTCGTTCCAACTGCCCTGAACTTCCTCACCACTCCTCTTCTGTCTTCGACTGTGTCAATCCCATCGCCATCGCGCCTTTCAGTCTCAGGTGAGTTCCTTGATCTAGTTGTATCAGTGGATCCATCTACTGGCTTAAGCCTCGACTGTCCGCTAATTCATCCGCGCTTTAGCCTCAAGATGCGTTTCACGTCGCTCGTCACCCTCCTCCCTGCCCTGGCCGTGGCCCAGGAGCAGGTCCCCCTCGCCGACCGCGTGCAGGGATGGTTCAACCAGGTCAAGTCTTACGTGCCGACAGCCGCCCCGGTTGCCCCGGTTGAGAAGCTGGCGGAGAAGGTCACCGAGCAGCGCGTCACCCCGGTCACCCTCAACAACTGGCAGTCCATCCTCACCCCAGGCCCTAAGGAAGAGGATTGGCTGATCTTCGCCACTGGTGGTAACAAGACCTGCTTCGGTCGCTGCGAGCGCGCCGAGAAGGCCTTCAATGTAAGTTGATACCCCCAGCGATGCGTTTACCAGGTCCCCTAGCTAATTCCATCTCCAACGTTTAGGAATCCGTTCTTCTGTTCTCCGCCAACCCTACCTCTCCTCATCTCGGTTACCTGGACTGCGAGGCCAACCAGGTCCTTTGCGCCATCTGGTCAGCCAGCGCCCCCGCCGTCTACTACTACCAGGTTCCTCAGGAGCGTCCCGCCGGCGAGGAACGCGCCCCTACTCCCCTCCGTGCTATCCACCTGAACTCCACCACCGTTACTCCCGAGGTTATCTACGATATCCACGGCAAGAAGACCTACGAGAAATCCCCCATTTACGAGGGTGCTTTCCACCCCGTTGACGGCTGGCTCGCCAAGTACCACCTCAACGTTATCATTGGCTACGCTATCTGGGCTCTCGGGGCTGTTCCCAGTTGGCTGTTCATGATTGGCATCAGTTTCTTCAGCCGTACCATGATGTAAGTGGATTCCCCTTTTGATTTCTTGTTGATAGTCTGACCTCAGAATTAGGAGCCGCCGTATGGGCCCTACTGGAAACGGTCCCGCTCGTGCCGCCCCCGCTGGCAGCGCGAACTAGATTGTTGGTTTCTTTCAGTGTCTTGGGTTGTATATAATAAGCGGTAGGGTATTGGATCACTCCAGTATGCTTGGGTTGGCTTGTGTTATTTGATCGGCGAGCAACTTTGGGAATAGGGTCTCTTCGAACTTGGGCTTTTCTTAGTTATCATTTTAATTGACCTATTCTAGACACCTTCATTTATCGTAATACATCACAAGATGCCCTCATAGTTCTCCACTAGTTCCGACAGATTGAGCAGAGAAAGCCTTTCACTGCTGGGGAGTCTGTGAAATCCTTACTTCTCCTTTATTTGCAGGTATTTCGGTCTCAATAGAACCAGAATTAGGACGTTGAGATCGTCAAGAATCAGTGCGTTGTTGACTTGTTCATATTTCATTAAGGTGATACCAATAAGCGTGTCCAACCCCCAGAGCCATCCGCGGCGTCACAAGGTCGACGAAACCAATGATTGATTCTCGTCGGACTCGCGGCCGAAATATGCCTCCTATCAAAACGAGCCCCCAGAGGAACCAGCTCATCTGGTCTGAAACCAGCATGTTGCTTTCCGATAATCGGCTCCAACTGAGCGGCGAGATGACCAGACCCCCAGAAGCCCTCTTGCCGCCGAGATTTACGCATTAGATGCACTGACATCCAGCGAGTGTGCCAGTTACGGCATTTGGAGGCAGCGAAATAGAGTACTTGCAGAATCATGGGTCTGGTCGAGAACGTCAACCCTTGATCCCCCATGTCCACGTATTGCGCGGCCAACTCGTTAATCCGCTTGAACTGGGGCAGACAAGAGTCAAAAGCCATCTCATTCATGCCATCGCTGATGCAATGAGTCATGATATTATTATTCTCAGTCCATATCTGCATTAGGGTTATTGAACCGCAGTCTTTTGGCAATAATGTATTCCCATAGGCCGAACCGAAAGCCGAAAGCTCGCGGTTCCAGCCTTCCATTCTCGCCGTCAGCGTCTTTTACGCACTATCCTTGTTTGAAAGGAGTAGATCGGCAAGGGCAGCGTTCAAACCGTGCACTTTGGATCCCATACGACGTTCAAGGCCCAGTGGATAATCTGTCGAGATGATCGATCCAAGCGTGGTTCCAAGATCGCCCTGAATAGCCAAATACCCCCACAGAGGCTGGCTTGATCTACAGTATCCCAAAGCGAGAACTTCTCCTCAACGTCCTCAAGCTGCGGCGGAGCAGGATTTGTAAACCGATGTAGCTGCGGCTCTCGAAAAACGCGGGCAATGATATGACCAGAGGTATTTCCATTGAAATTAGCCTTCCGCCATTGCATAAGTACGCCATAACCTGATTGCAGGTGCGAGATAGTGGTCTTGATATCGCACTGGAAGAGAGCCAGTGATACCAGCATAACACACGTCACAAGACCGGCCTCTATGCGCGCGCTGCTACTTGTATAGGCATTTTCCATTACCATACTCTGACGCAGAGAAGCAAGAGCCTTGGTACTCTGCTGCAGAGCGAAAGAAAGGGTTCTATCCTCCAGATGCACAGTCTCAAACCCGAAATTCGAGTTCGAAGAGCCGACAAGTGCAACAATAACGAATGGCTCTTTACTTTAGAAAGACTGCAAAAACCCTGACAGGCTCCCTAACAAAGGGGCATTAATGCGCCACATTGACACACAGCATGTCGTTCCGCGTTCATTCGACTGTTCCAAATGTGAAAAACTCCTCAGCCGTAAGCACGGCATAACCTACCATCTGGCAAGGGTCATCGAGATTGACGTTGATAGCGGCATGGTAGATTTAAGAGTATTGGGGGTTTGGGTCTGGGTCGAACCTAATCGGTGATTAACTTTTATGGGGAGTAACATCTTGTGATTCTTTGGCACAGTTCCTATGTGAAGATGAATGAGGATGACTTGCCTGGAAAGATGCCATTGAAAATAAAATCAATAAAATAATAGCTACAACACATGATTTTGCCGGTGATCATAGGAAACGGGAGAGCATCAGGGAGTTGTAAATTAGTGGCACGAAGGAGACATCTTAGCTGAGCGCATATCGCTTTACCAAGATCATATTTGAGTAGAAAATCAATCGTGAATGTCATTCTCAAACTCAATATATATACAAGATAAAACAATATCTAAGAAATTACAACAAAAAGTGATCAATTAATCTTCACAGATGCCAACAGGTTGATCTTCTCATTAAGCGGAGCAAGCCCTCCACTTTGCGAACTCAACGGGCGATCCGAGCCAGTTGGGCTGGTCGGGCTATTTGGCAGTGTCGGGGTTGTCGGAGTAACTGGGCTACTCGGGGGAGAGAGGTGCGAGTTGATACCGCTGACCATAGCCTTAACAACGCCACTGAGACCACGACCACTGCTCTTTCGAGGAGGATCAACAGGAGCAGGGGCAGGAGCAGGAGTGACCTTGCGGCCTGGCTCGGGAAGAGGTATTTGGGGCTTCTGGGAACGCATCTGGTGCGTGATCAGCGGGCCCTCGACGTTGCTGGAGATCAGCGCCAGCTTGGAGCCGAGCTTCTTCAGCATGCTGTCGGCAAACTCGCGCGGGATGGCGTGGCTCGAGAAGATCATCTCAATGCGGATTTTATCGCCAGCGGGTGTGGCCAGGATGGACATGTCACAGGCATCAGGCGAGGGACAGACGAAACCAGGAGCACACTTAAGAATACCCTCAAAGTTCACAGGCTGACCTGGGGCAGCTTCTTCGCCACCGAAGTCCTGGTATTGGAAGACGGAGCTGAAGCGAGTTGCTGCAGACCAGTTGGTGCACTTGTTGATGATCTGCTGGAAGCCCATGCTTTCGTGGGGAATTGTGTCGGTCTGCTGCTGCTGGATGTGGCGCAGGAGCTCGAGGACAGTGGTCATATTTGTCATGTCAGCTCGTACTGGAACAATGTTCAGACATGGGCCGACGATGCCCTCGACACCATCGAGCGACAAGTTACGTCCAGACACCATGTGTCCATACACAACATCGGGTGTTGCGGCCATATCGGCGAGCACAAGAGCCCACGCGGCCTTGACGACAGTGGCAGCTGTGATGCCGTGGCTCTTGAATGCCACTAGAGGCACCATATCTGCAGCCATTGTGTTTAGCACGTTGGTTTTAGATGATGTAGTGTGCGTGACGACCGAGGTCATGTTCGCACCAGCGAGCATCTCCTTGTAGAAGGCTTCGGCGTTCTCACTGCTGTAGAGCTGCATGCGCACGAAGTCCCCGAATTGGGTTCTCTCAGGCAATTCGTCACGGCGGTAAGCAGTACGTAAGTCCTGCATCAGATGAGGCATAGAGCCACCATCATACTGAGCGTGCGAAATGCGCATGATCAGTCGGTGCTTGGTGGCGCCGTTCTTGACAAGCATGAAGCGCACGATAACCTCGCCCAGATGAGGTGGCCGAGCGAGATCCTCACGGATGAGAGTTTCAGTTGGGTCTTGCTCATCTTGGTAGTGTAAGCTGTACTCGGGGGTGACTGTACGGAGCACGACCTGGATCAGTGCTGAGCCAGTCGAAACGAATACGGTACGGAGGATGTCATGACGGGCGATGAGCTTCTCACAGGCCGTCTGCAACCGGTGGAGGTCAATGGGTCCGTCGAAATCGAAGACCAAGTAGTTGCTCCAACCACGGGTCTGGTTGAGACCGCCGTTGATGGCGAGCGACTGGAAGTCAGTGGCCTCCAGGGCATCTTGGACCTGGAATGCAGGCACGCCGACCTGGGGGAGAATGATGTCGTCAAGAAGTCTATTCTTGGAGATTGATTTGAGGGTGGAGAACGGCTCGAAAGTTTGAGGTAGCTGCTGCTGCGACAGAGACTCAGCAAGAGTACTCATGGCTTCAAGAGTTGGGTGCTGGAAGATGATGGCAGTGGATAGGGGGATGCCTCGAGTACGCGATGCCGAGGCCAATCGCATGGCAGTAATAGAATCACCACCCAGGCGAATGAAGTTGTCATTCAAGCTGATCTGCGCAGCAGGCATCTTCAAGACCTCTGCCCACATCTGCTGCATAGTAACCTGCATATCAGTAGTGGCTGGGCGAGTATCCTCAGTGGCACCAGAGTACTCAGCCATCTGGCGATGCGTAAATCCACTTCCGATCTTGATCAAGGTCTTCCGATCAGCCTTGCCAGAGGGCATCTTGGGAATGTGATAAACCGGAAGATAGGCACTGGGAATCATGTGCATGGGGAGGAAGTCTGACAGTCGGTCCTCAAGGCCAGAGACAGAAGTCAAGTGTCGCTCATTCAGCGCAGGAATGATTGTCTCGGGCTGATTCATCATGAAGATCGAGTTTGGCTTGCGGCGGGCCTCTTCAGGAGGCACGGGGATGAATGCAACCAATCGAGGCTGGTCAGAGGCATCCTTTGGGCAAACAATGTCGACAACGGCATCGGGCTTGTTGGGCAAGCTTTGTTTAATGCGATACTCAATCTCTCCCAGTTCGACACGCTGGCCGCGCAGCTTGACTTGAGTATCCTTTCGGCGCTGGAAGTCGAGGGACCCATCAGCATTGTAACGAACTAGATCGCCGGTCTTGTAGACAATAGGAGATCTCATCTCGTTACCAAGGTCCATCCACAACGGGTTCTCAACAAATGCAGCCTGTGTCTTGGCTGGCTCCTCCAGATAACCGCGGCCAACGTTCCAGCCCTCGAGAACCAACTCTCCGACACTGCCAACAGGCACCAGTCGGTGGTGATTTGTGGGCATAACAACCCAGGCAACACCAGAGCACATGTGTCCAATGTTACGTGGGCTGGTACTGAGCGTCACATCAATGTTGGAAGTGGAGGCAACGCAGCACTCAGATGGACCGTAGCCATTGACCAGTCGCACACGGTGACCCCATGTTTCGATGTGGGATTGAGACATGGCTTCTCCAGCCAGAATCAGAACCTTGATGGATGGTACATCATCAGGGCTGAGCAGGTTGACAAAGGATGGCGTGAGCGCCGCCCAGTTGGCCCTTGTGTTGCGAACTGCCTCGGCTACATCTCTCTTTCGCTGCTCCTCAGATGCAATACAGACACAGCCACCAGCGATCAGCATGGTGATTGTCTCAACTATACTGGCATCGAAGGTCCAGGAGGCAAATTGCAGGCCACGAGAGTTACCATCAATCAGCATTGCGGGAGCATGGGTCACTGAGCCAATGGCAAAGTGGCCGTGTTGAATGATGGTACCTTTGGGCTCACCAGTACTTCCAGATGTGAAAATGACATACGCAGCATTCTCAGGCTTCACATCAGATGGAGATGGCTCCGGAAGATTTGCCTCGGGGGTCTCAGCATCCAGAACGACGATATTGAGATCTTCGCTCATGCTACGGCAAAGATCGTATTGCTGGGGAGAACAGACGACAGTCTTAGCCTTGAGCTTCCTGATCATGAGCTGAATACGGTTGGCAGGCTGGGATGGATCAAGGTTGAGGAAGGCACCTCCAGCACGCAAGACACCGAGCATGGCGGGCAACGCCCAGCGACTCTTCTCAAAGCAGCAAGGAACAAAGGTTTCCGGCTGGGTGTCCAATTGGCGAAGGCGGCGTGCAAGACGGGCAGCATGCTGGTCCAGTTCAGAGTAGGTGAAAGAGCCGTCCCAGGAGCAAACCGCCTCGTGATCAGGGCGTTCGGCAATGCGTTCTCCGATCATCTGGTGAATAGTTTTGTGGATAGGCTTCGGAATGTGCTTGTTCCACTCGCGGATACTCTTCTGGTCTTGGGCACTGATAAAGACCAATTCATTCAGCTTCTTGTCCGCGGGGGCGGAGCACATCTGCTGCACAAGGTTCTCGAGCTGACCGAGGATGCGCTGTACAAGGTCCTTAGAAACCAGACTAGAATCATAGTGGGCGGCAAAAGCGGCCCCATTAAACTTGAGGCTACATTCCAGAGTCAAGGCGTAGGTTCCAAAGTTAGCATCAACATCGGAGACAGCTCGCAAGTCAATCTCGTCGGTTGGGATATATTTCTCCTTGTGGGGCTGCACCACCAGAAGGGTCTGGAAGTCGCAAGCCTGAGTAGCAGCTGCGCTCACACGGCTGATGTTCTGCAAACCAGCTTGTTCAAACGAGATCATCTTTGTAGACTGGGCCTGGACCTCACCGATGAAATCGCGGATCGTCAGAGTGTCGTTATCAGGGAACTTGACGCGCAGTGGGACTGCGGCAATACCTGGCCCGAAGAGTTGGTCTGCATTGGCAATGGGTGCGTTACGACCGGACACAATGGAGCCAAACACCACGTCGTCTGCCTCCGAGTGGGAGCCGATGAGAACACCCCACGCGGCGCGGATCATGGAGGCGACAGTGATACCGGCAAGCTCATCGGTGCGGTTAATGGTCATCTCATGCTCCACGGAGGCGTCTGCGACTGGCTGCTTGGATGTGGAAACGGCCGAAGGGAACTCGTTTCGGGTGGCACCCGCCAGGTACTCCTGCCAGAACTTCTTAGTAGCGTCGGCATCGGTGCTGACCACATGGGCCATGAACTCCTTGAAAGTGCTATCACGTTCCATGGTCTGGCCCTTGTATGCCTTGTCCAGACGATCAAAGGTCAAGTCCAGCGTCCAGGCATCGTAGACGGCATGGTGAACGGTCCAGACAAAAGTCCATCCATGTCCATTAGGAACAAGGCCATAGCGGGTCAAGAGCTGGCCTGCCCTCATGGGGCGCTGCTTGTCCATTTTCATGTAAGCCTCGAGAGTATCGGCGGTGCGCCATTCGATGTCCCCCTTAATAACAGCCTGGTGCGAGCCAGTCTGCTCAGGGTAGACGATGCACGTCCGAAGGACAGGATGAGCTGTCACCACCTCCTGGAAGGCGCGCTTGAACTGGTTCAAATCGACCGCTGGGCTCAGAGCGAGGGTGTGATGGGCCACATAGGCGCCATCACGGCTATCCGAGAGAGCCATCAGACCCTCCTGCATTGCAGTACATGGGTATAAGTCTTCGATCTCCAATGGAGTGACCTGGCAGAGCTTGGCGACCTCCTGAATGAGAGAGTCAGCATTATCGCCGACCAGGGAGAATGGGACATCTTCAAAGGTCTGGTAATCCAGCTGAGACACGGACTCGGCCATTTCATCCAGAACAGGGAGGGTAAAGATCTCTGCCACGCTGAGCTTAATGCTTGCATTCCGGGCCAAATTGACCAGCTTCATGGCATCGATGGAGTTTCCTCCAAGCTCAAGGAAGCTGTCGCCCGCAGAGATGGCTTCTTCCTTCAAGTCCAAAGCTTCAGCCCACATGCTGCGTAGCACCTTGCCGGTGCTCGTGGCAGGTTCCTTGTAGTCCTTCTTTGCAGCTCCAGTTAACTCAGCCACTGTGAGTGTGCAGGCAAAGTCGCCAATAGCCTTACGGTTGATCTTTCCAGAAGCGGTTAAAGGCAAATGATTGAGCTTAACGGCGGTGGATGGGACCATGTACCCAGGAACGGATTCGGCCACCTTGCTCTTCCACCCAGTCAGCTGAGATTCAAGTTGTCCAGCGACCTCCTCATCAACAGGATAGAAGTTATCACCAAACGCCTTCTTCAAGGCGACGAAGGCGGCAAGCATGGGCCGATCGAGCTGGTCAACGGGCTTTGCCAGACCGACTACGACCTCAATGCCGCGAGGGACGACCTGTCGCAGGTGGAACTCGACCTCTTCCAGCTCGATTCGCTGACCTCTGAGTTTGACCTGCATGTCCTTTCGGCCAACAAGGTTGATGCGGCCATCAGTTCCATATCTAACCAAATCACCGGTTTTGTATGCACGCGTTGGCACACCGCCACGCATCTCCTCCATCCAGGGTGTGCCGGAGATGAAAACGTCGGCCGTCTTGTCAGGCTGGTGGATGTACTCACGACCGAGGATCGGGCCCTCGACGACCAACTCTCCAGTTGCTCCGAGAGGTGCAAGTCGGTCATGATCCGTCGGGTCCACAATCCAGGTTATGCAACCAGTACCAGTTCCAATAGTTGATCGTTCAACTTTGCCCGACAAGTCTCCAGTCACGCAAACTGAAGCCTCGGAGGCACCGTACATGTTCATCATTGTCACCCGGCTGCGCCATGTGTCGAGACTGTCTTGTTGAACGGGCTCTCCAGCCAGGAGGAGGGTTCGGAGCTGTGGAATGTCTTCGGGCTTGATCGACCGGAGGAAGGACGGGGTCAAACATGCCCAATTGGCATTTAAGTCACGCATGGCACCAGCGGTGCGTCCCAGTCGATCCTCCTTGGAGGGGACACAGACGCAACCACCTTCCACCAAGGGAGTAAATAGCTCGAATGTGTTGACAATGAAGGTATATGAGGCAAATTGGAAGGTGCGGGTCTCGCTGTTGATATTCATCTTCGCAGCGTGTCGTCTGGCACTAGAGCACATGGCGCGGTGCTCATGGACCACGCCCTTTGGCTTGCCAGTGCTTCCCGATGTGAAGATGGCAAAAGCGGCATCATGGGGGGAGGCACGACGAGGAAGAGGGGAGGAGGAGGGAAGGCCGAGGATGAAGTCGGCGTCGACTGGGATGACGTTCGAAGTCATGCCAGATAGCAGATCGCGGTAAGCTGGGGCTCCCAACGCGATCTGCGCATCTACTTCGCTTATGATCGTTTGCAACCGATCTACTGGCTGCGCCGGGTCAATACACACAAAGGCACCGCCAGCCTTCAAGACACCTAGCATGGAGACTACGGCCCAGAGGGACTTATCGAAACAGACGGGCACAAAGACTTCAGGGCCAACATTTTGGGAGATCAAAAAGTTGCCCAGTCGGTCAGTGTAGTCTACCAATTGCGCGTACGATATGGAGCCGTCCCAGCACTCCAATGCTGTGGATTCGGGACGAGTCTGCGCTTGTTGGTCGATAATCTCATGCATACACTCCTCGATCATTTCGGGGAGGTCCGCGTTCCACTCTTCGAGCTGGGACCATGACGCAGGACCAAAGAGATCTACTGCGCCAATTGTGGTTTGAGGTGAGTTGGTAATTATGCTGGCCACATGGGCCACGCCTTCAGCTGCGGCAGTGGCCACGTTCTCGCCAATCGTATGTGAAGCGTATGCTAAGGAGGGGGTATCGGAAACTAAGAGGGCAAGAGAGCACTGTAATGATTAGCAACCCGAAACTAACCACATAAGCTAGCGACATACCGATGTGTTCTCCAAATCATCAAGTGAGGAGTTTGCGCTTATCCACACAAGAGTGTTGAAGGTATTTGATGCGATCCATTCTGAAATAGACGAGCTATTTGACTCGCCCGAAGCGTGTGAAACCTGCAATTTTTCCAGCGCAGCAGACGCAGGAATATCGCCATGGCAGACTGCAAATCGCGACGCAGGATTGCCATCGTCAACTCTGCCAAATGCGATCGTATCGCTACCCACATAGTATCGCAGAACAACTGCCCAAGCGCGCAGCAGCACCTTGCTGGCGACTGGGCTAGAACCAGAGAGGCTTAATGGGATGGATTTGAATCTCCGCTCCTGGAGGTTCTCCGTGGGAAACACGCATGGCGCGATGTCCAACGAGCCTGATACAGCTTCCAACATGGCGATTAATTGAAATTAACGAAATCAGGCGAGATATCGGCCAAAAATCCAAGATATTATAGTATATGACGAACGAGGGGCAATCTGTAGGCTGTGAGGGACTGCGTCAGTTGAGAAGACTGACAGGTAAATCATCAACAATCTCCGATACACCGACCACTTTCGCGTCGGATCTGCAAAGTTTTTTTTTTTTCATTTCTAACCCACGACTCGGTTACAAATTCATGACTTCTTCCGATCTGACCCATCATGAACCTAGGATCAACCTCCAAGGGGTAGACTAGTTGAGATAGCTTGAAAGGGGGTGGTCCACCCGTGGGGGGCACCTGAATGATGTGGATGCGGCTGAAGTGTATGTGTAGATGGAAAATAGTGGGACCTGACATGAGATATGTATCGCAGTGTATCTGAGGTAATCCCATGGAACGGACCCATGGGTACTGCCGTACATACGACGTCATTACCGCGTATTGAGATCTTCCTGGCGTGGTCTTGCCATCCGTAATACAGATTGAGATCGATACGATCATGTGGGTCGATTGATGGATTTTCATTGGCACGGAGGTCTTCTCAGCTCGTTTATTTGTTTGTTTTTTTCTGGCGCTGTGCGACACCCGGCATTCTTAAATGAACATCCATCTCGACATGGGTGGCATTGAGCATTATGGTTCTCATGGCATATTCTAAAGGTGTATATATGCCCAATTATCATGCATTCACTCATTACGCTCCAAAAGTCAAACATCAAGCTAGACGGGCTTCAGTGAGATCAGAACATTCAGCGATGATGTGGGTTTCCTAACAAGGCAATCTCAAGGAACATCACCAGGCAGTGGACCTGAAAACCGGCTTCTCGGCCCAAACCTATCCACCAGCTCGAACATGCTGTAGATTTTAACCCAGATTATTCACGGTTATCTCGCTCCACCCCAGGTTTTTTCTTCCCCTGACGCTAAAATGAAATGTGTACATACAGTACAGAGTAATGTCTATTGATAATCCGGCAATGCCTTGATCTCGGGAGATGCCAAGGCAACTAAGGTCCTGGACCCCATATAGGGAGATTAAGACTTTGAAAGCGATGATCGTAGAAAATTAATAAGTAGTAGAGCATTCGCTTCACGTCAAACGTTTGACCTGTCAGTCGCATCAATCGCATCAGCACCATGCAGGACACAGAAAGTGTACTCGTACAAAGCAACATTGACCGCCGCACATGCGGCCGCGTCAAGCCTATGCAGGTTCTAGTCTTGGGACTGTGCCGCACTGGTACCCTATGTAAGTATTTACACTTAGCAACTGATAGGATTAAATCCTTCAAGCCGCCTCGGCGAACGCCACTGACAACTTCCAGCAACATGGCTTGCTCTCCAGGAATTAGGTTACGACACGTACCACATGACGTCCATCATGCAGAACCCTAAGGATGCCGAGATGTGGACTGAGGCCTTCCAGGCCAAGTATCATGGCGGCAACCCTTATAAACGCAAGGATTGGGACCAACTGCTTGGCCACGTTGAGGCCATCACCGATTTTCCTGGTGCCGTGTTCGTCGAGGAGCTGACACAAGCCTACCCCGACGCTAAGGTCGTGCTGACTCTGCGCGACCCAGATGACTGGGTGCGCTCAATGCAAAAGACCATTATGACCCAGACCTACAGCCCAATTGCCACGCTCATGGGCTGGATCGACTGGGAGGCCTTTGGCGTCGGCAACCACATGTGTCGCGTCGGCTTTAACGGAATGTTCCGGGGTGATTTCGAGCGCAATGGCCGCCAGGCCTTTGTCGAACACTACGACCTTGTCCGCCGAGTGGTCCCGGCTGACAATCTTCTCGAATGGAACCCAAAAGAAGGATGGGAGCCGCTCTGCCAATTCCTAGGCAAGCCAGTCCCCGAAACTCCCTTCCCTCGGGCCAATGATGCCGCTATCTTCAAGGACAAGTCGGCGACCGTCGTGCGAGCCGCTTTCCTTCGGTTGGGAAGGAAGATTGCCGTGTACGGTCTGGGCATTACCGCCGCCTACTTCGCGGCCCGATATGGTCATCGTGAGCTTTTACGAAGATCTTAATTTTGGATGTGAGACGATGCATGGGCATAAAAGACTTCTGTGTAAATAGTACAGTATACATGTATTTTTAATTCCATAACTTAATACAATCATTTGATCTTCAAGGTACATGTAGTTCGGCAACACGGTTCGGCATTGCAGTCAAAACAAAAATAAGGGTTAATAACCATAATAAATTAATTGATTTAAAAATAAAAGCAATAATAATCCAAAATAGTGGGTCCCATGTCGATCTGTAAACTTTGTGGACTAGGGGTACTTCCCGTATGGTAAAGGTACGAAATCGTGGCCTCCATGCGGAATACCAAAATTTCCCGAAGACCCACAGAACACCTGGTCCTTCATCGTAAACTTGTAATGCTCCTCTGATCCACTATTCCCCCACATGCTGAGCACTATTAATCTAGTTGTTCCAGTGTTTCAATTCTAGGGAATTGACAGACCCTAGTTCTCATGCACGGCCTATTTTATTAAGATAACTAGGAACACAGGTGGTTTCTATCCCAGAGCTTTATAGTTCATGCAATGTGGCTGGGAGGCGGCTTAAGCGCCGGGTGGATACCATTAGATCATATACTCAAATCTGGGTAACGATCGACCCTGATCTATATCCACTTCCCACCCCTTTCTGATCCACTCAAGCCCACACTCTATCTGGCTCCTTCCCGATCCCCTGATCGTCGGGAGCTGTGCGATGGAGCTGAAAATCTCTGAACTTTCGTCTCGCTCATTTTCCCTACTCCTTTCTCTTTCCTTAGTTCTCCAGTCTCTCTTTGAATCTCTCACTTTTTGCCATTACCCTTCTGAGACCCTCTTTTTTGCCCCAACTCTCATTCACTCTTTTCTTTCCCCCCACTTTTATCCTCTTGGTGATTACCTTTTCCTTCCCTGATCATCCGACTCCCACTGTATAATGCGGTTCATCTGGATCACTGCGGCCCTCGTCGCCGGCTGTCTCGGAGCTCCTACGACCAACCCAATGAACCCCGTATGTTGTCTCTCGCGACGGTCACTCCGTCTGGTTAAGTATACATTTGCTGATATTTCTTCATCGCTCCATAGAATGGTGATGTGGTAAGGATCTCCTCTTGAGCTCGATATACTTCCAAGCTAACCTGGCAGGCTGTATGTGAACCCACCCAATCGGATGTGTCCGACCTGAGTTGCTAACCTGGTGTGATTGACATTTCTAGCCTGTGTGTTGATCCGATCTTTTCCATCTTGGGCACAACATTGATATATTCCATAGGTTGTATGACTCCATTCTCAAGATCTACAGATTATTGACTGAAAACAATGATTTCTAACGGGGTTCCAGAACGTGAGTCGCTCCACCGCTTGTTCAATTGAATGTACAGAATACTGACCTTATTTAGAATGTATGACCTGTCACCGCCATGTCTCTGGATTTATGCTAAACAAACCAGGGCGTGAGTGTCTCATGAATGATAGTACTCAATATCTAGATACTAACCAGGCATTCTTCTCGGTACCAGACTGTATGTATATCTCATGGTGTTGTGATATCCGATTGGACTAACATTTGACTCTAGGTGGTATGTGCATCTCTTATCCAACCAACAAATGCATCAGCTGAACTCCACTGACACGATGCTTGCCGAAATACCCAGACAGTAAGTTCTTTATTCACCTGAAATTGTATGTCGGATCTGGCTAACCGAGATAAAGAACGTAAGTGCCACAGATCTACGCCTGGATATCTAATCGACCCAGCATAACTGACACGATACATACAGAATGTAAGTGGATCGACTTCTGACTGTATTGGTATTCCGCTAACGAGTTTACAGGTTGTGAGTACCCGGTGATCCCGAGGTCTATGGAAGGGCTGACTACGGTGAATACGGAGCACGGCTGATTGATAACAGAGCGTGAGTGTTCATTCGGTTGCAACTGGTGAGTGAGTATGCTAACAGTCGCAGTTTGTGAGAGTCCCTGTTGAAGACGTCAGTAAGGTAGTGCCAAACTGACCTTGTTGCTTGGTTGATTCTAGTTGGTAAGTGGCCGTTTGCTCTTTAAATCGCACGACTGTGTATGCTAACCCTTTATAGAGCGTAAGTGCATAATAACCTAATGAGTTATGAAGACACGACATGTGCTAAAATGTCTCTTTCACCAAATATAGCTTGTATGGCCGACCCCTTCCCCCATCCGTTTAACTCGGTACTAACTTGCAGCAGTGCGTAAGATCTCCCGATCTTTACCCATGTTGAATCGCAATTAATCTAACCCACTCACAGCGGAAGCTGAAGATGGTAAGTCCGATTCAAAGCCCATTATCAGTGAATATATGCTAACAAGCCCAGCGTTCCGGCCCTCCGACCGACGGCAACGTGGACCCTGTGAACGAAGGCGATGTTACTAACAACATCTCCTTCCTTCGCTTATGCTAGATCGATCGATCGACAGGCACGGTATGTACTGTACCTGAAGATCCAGATCTACATGTAGCTGGGTATGGATAGCGGAACGGCAACTGACAGATCTGTAGACTAGAAACTGAAACCCGCGGACAGAAGTAGGGTTACGGTTAGAGACGGAGGACGATGGAGGACGGCAAGAGAAGGGGCTGTGCATAACTAGGGCTGCATTCATAGTGGCTATCCGCTTACCCGGTCAGATTAAATTACCATGTGTTTGCAGCGCCCTAATCGCTTTTCCGGTATAGATTTGTTCCACCGTGTGTAAATGTAGCTAAGCTATAAGGAACTCTCCCCTCCTTTCCACAATATGGTTCTATTCTGCTGGTGCTTTTTGCCTATCCTGTTGGTGTACTTAACACCATGCAGTGGCAGCTAAAGGAGGCCGACACTCAAGGATGGTCACTAATCACTTGAACATTTATTGTGGATCTTTTGCAACGCGATTTTTGAACCTTCCAGGTCGAAAGAGTCTTTATGACTTGCTTTCTATTCATGTCTTCGCCGGAAACTGAAATTCTTACAGGCTATGAGGGTTCAGGTATGAATCTCCTTGAATTGAATATACATTCCAGCCATCCACACAACACACTTCACATTGACATTGACACGATTAAATATATTAAGCCGGCTAACACACAACTGCTAATTAAGTACTATCATGAACTCCGAACACTGACATGACTTTTAGTTCTTGCCAATGGCGGCACGCGCCCGGCGGTCACGCACGGCCGAAGCAAGCGAGCGCATCGACTGCTCAGTGGTCTCCCAGTCGATACAGGCGTCAGTAATACTGACTCCCTTCTCACAGCCCTCCAAGCGCTTAGCAGGCTTCTGATTACCCTCACGGATGTTTGACTCAACCATGACACCGATGATGCAGTTCTCACCCTGGCGCATCTGCTCCTCGATAACCTTGAGAACCTTGGGTTGGTTACGATGATCCTTTTGAGAGTTACCTGTGATTGTCAGTGATGATCCTATCAACTGGATGCGCAGTACATACCGTGAGAGCAGTCGATCATGACGACCTCGCGCTCGTTCTTGGAGCGCAGCAGCTCGCAAGTGGCCTGCACTGAAGCAGCATCGAAATTGGTGCCCTTGGAGCCTCCGCGCAAGATGACATAGCCGTCCTCGTTACCTTTAGTGGTAGTGGTGGCAATGACACCCTGCTTGGTGACACTGAGGAAGTTGTGACGGGCACGCATGGACTTGAGAGAGTCTACGGCGGAGCCAACGGTACCGTCGGTGGAGTTCTTGAAGCCGACGGGGAAGGAGAGACCAGAGGCCAGCTCACGGTGCAGCTGGGACTCAGTAGTACGGGCGCCAATAGCACCGACACTGATGAGATCCGCAGTGTACTGGGGAGAGATGGTGTCCAGCATCTCACAAGCCACGGGCACACCTGTGTTGGTGATGTCTACAAGCAGCTGACGAGCAACCTTGACACCCTTGTTTGTGTCAAAGGATTCATCGACGTCGGGATCATTGATCAGACCCTTCCAGCCGACAGTTGAACGTGGCTTCTCCAGGTAGGCGCGCATAACGATGCACAGATCGTCCCGCAGCTCCTCTGCCAGCTCGCGGAGACGGCCGGCATATTCGAGAGCAGACTCGGGGTCGTGAATGCTACAGGGACCAACAAGGACGAGGAGGCGATCGGACTCGCGGCGGATGATCTGACGAGCCTCAATGCGGCTGTTCAGAACTGTGAGAAGACTGTTGGCAGTGTGTCTGATCTCGTACTGGACCAGTTCGGGAGGCGCCAAGGGGGTGTATTTTTCGATCCGGACATCTTCGGCGAGCTTCTGACGCAGAAGCTCGAGGTCAGAGGTGTTCAGAAGTGGGGTTGCTGAAACGCTAGGCATGTTGCTATGAATGAAAGATGGAACTTGATTAAAAAAGGTCGAATATGGAATCACCCGGCAGACTGGCGAAGCTATAAATGTTTTCCAGGATACCTCCTTACCACTACTTCAACACATGTGCAAATTTAATTTTTCCATTACTTTCTAGTTTATGAGGGATAAAGCTGGATTGGAGCTCTGGGTCCAGTCTATCTTGCCGTAGACGGAGCTTATGATCGAATTAGATCGTTCTTCCAAAGGACACTAGAATCTCTCCTGGCGATCCCTCGCAATTCTTTCACTTTTCAGCTACACCGTACCGGTGCACGGATATATCTCTGACGTTCGTACATACATGAGCGGGCCATAGCCTCATAGAGTTCTGCTCGCCACCAAATTATAAGCTGCTCTGGCCCAAGAGTTGGCACGTTGTGGATCAACTGGCGATAAGATTGGTATTTTTTTTTTTTACCAGAACAGAGGGCATCAATCACACTGCATAGCGGGAAATGATAATCGGAGACGTGTTCAAGCGCTACGAGCTTTAGGAAAGTGGGGATGATGTGGATTTGGCGGAATGAGATCGATGAATCCGCACGGGTGAGGTTGTGATATAGAGCGCATATATTACATACCGTATGTAATAATGGTAATCCACCGATACACGTATTGGCGGCGATACTCGGTACATCGCCCCACCGATTGAGCTAGCCCAACTGGGACAGTGGGATCCACACGGCACAACCTCATCTTCACCTTCACCTCAACCAAGCTCCACCACAGCTGTCTGTGACAATATGGGTATGAACATCCCTGAGTTCCATGGTTCCTAGTCGCAGTGTCGTACCCACTATACATTGGTTTGTTAATCTGGGAATTCAAGCAAATGCAAGGGAGAAATCTGAGTTCAATGGTTGTGTTGGATGTCAGACATCTAATGTACTTGCTACAGTATGTACACGTCAAAGCCGGCTTGCCAAATGATCACCGTAGATCGTTTCTACTGTTTGGGTCAGGCACATCCAGGAGCGGGAAACAGAATTTGTCAAACCTTCGGTTATATCCCGTCCACTGCACTGTGAGTCCACGTCAGAATGGAGTCATCTGCTTCTACCGACAGACCGGATCGGCAACTGGGCAAAGTTCGACGCACTGGCGTGACACGATCCCTAGTTGTAGTGATGTACGAAACTAGTACTTTATGTACGCCCTGGTTGGGCCACTTAGGGGAACTCCAGTTCGCCTGTCTCGATGCTCGAATTGGACCCGCTTTGCCTCTCAGCTGGTTCAGATTTCAGATTCAGTGGCCAAGTACCCATGCATGTCCACAATAGGAGGTCCCCGAAGTCCGGGAGAATCATTAGAAACCCCCATGTGAAAAAAGGATCACATAATAGAGTGGGCCTGTACTTCATCGTATTCTTGCTTTCCACAAACCTAACTTCCTTTCCTTTCCCAGATTTCATGCGTTCTTTTGTGTTTTTGTCTTTGCACAGTCTGTCAGACCGGACCGCCACTTACTGGTCCTGGATATAGTAATTGTTTGATTGAAAAATGCCGGCCACTGTACTCGATGATGCCAGTCGGCTTCGCCAGCTGTGGACGCAGCTGGTGACCGATGTGACTCCGTCACAACTCCCTTCGGGGCTCTTCTCGAAGAACCCAGTTCAATCCCCAATTGGACGTCTCAATGTGCCCATGGACATGGCTGCCGTCCATGCTTGCTGTCAGCAGTGTGGTGTTTCCCCATTGATGGTTGTCCAGGCCGCCTGGACTGCCGTTCTGCGTTCCTACTCTGGCGCGGACAATGTGATGTTTGCTGGCATTGGCATGAATCCACGATCAGCGAAGCAGCCATGGACAAACACCTCTGTCTGTTTGGCCCGTTTGGAGCATGAGAGCTCCGTCATCTCCGTTCTCGACACAACTCGCGAGGAAGGCCTGCTACAGGCAGAGTCAATGGTTTCTGTCCCCGAAGCCTTGAGCATCTTTTCCACATTAGATCCCAAGCCGTGCAATTCGGCCATTTGGCTCAAGAACCCCCAGGTTAAGGCCGAGCTGTCCTTGACTGATGCTGTCAATGAAAGGACTGTAAGTAAACATTCTGATTAGAAAGCCAAAGTCAGAATTAACACCGTGTAGTTCGACTATGTCGTCCAGATCGATCCTTCATTGTCCAAATTGGACCTCGTTTTCTACAAGCCCCATGTTTCTCGTGCCCAAGCCGAGTATATCGCCAACACATTCGCCGACTACCTCCAGATTGTTTGCGAGGACCCATTGCAAACTGCGTCCAACGTGTGCCACCCCAGTGAGCTAGACGCACTTCAGATCGAGACATGGAATCGTATCCTCCCGAGAGGTAGAAATGTCTGCGTCGATCAGTTGATTGAGAAGGCCGCCAAGGAGACTCCTGATGCCCCGGCTCTGGTTTCTTGGGACGGTGAGATGTCATACTCTCAATTCAACCAGGCTGCCAACAAGGTGGCTGCCTACCTTGAATCTGCTGGCGTCAAGCGTGGTGAGCTGGTCCCTATTTGTTTCCAAAAGACCATGTGGACCATCGTTACCATGATCGCTCTCTGGAAGTTGGGTGCCGCCTGGGTGCCTTTGGATCCTAAGCAGCCACGGCAGCGCTTGGATACCATCATCCAGTCAGTGGAAGCTCGCACAGTAATTACTTCCGCACCTAACAAGGACCTCGTTCAAGGCCTCGCCTCACAAGTCCTCGTGCTCGATCCCTCCTACATCCAAAATGTCCCAGAGGTCGCTTTCACGTCTCGCTCACAACCTCACGACATTTCCTTTGTGATGTTTACCTCTGGAAGCACCGGAAAGCCAAAGGGCGTTGTCCACGACCATGCTTCCGTGTCTTCCAGCGCATTACATCATGCGTCCGCTATGAATATCTCTAATAATACCCGCGCCCTTCAATTCGGCGCCTACACATTCATTATCAGCACATTCGAAATCTTTACTACTCTAATATTTGGTGGATGCCTCTGCATCCCGTCAGACCATGACCGACATACTGACATTCGTCCCGCCATTCGCTCTTTGAACGCCAACTGGGCCATCTTCACCCCCAGTTTCGCCCGCTCTATCCACCACGAAGACATCCCTTCTTTGACAACTCTCATCGTGGCCGGAGAGGCTGTGGCGCAAGATATTATCGACCGCTGGGGCCCTGTTGCCCAACTAATTAATATTTACGGCGCCTCCGAATGTAGTGTCGTTATGATTGGCCGCATGTATGCCGATACACCGAGGAGTTGCATTGGCAGAGCCACAGGAGGTCTCTCATGGCTTGTTGACCCCAATGACCACGACCGTCTGGTGCCAATTGGATCCATTGGTGAGCTTGTCATTGAGGGTCCTACTCTGGCTCGTGGCTACCTCGCAGACCCTGAGAAGACCAAGGCTGTCTACATCGAAAACCCTGAATGGGCTCGCCAGAACGGCATCACTCGCCGCTTCTACAAGACTGGTGATCTGGCTCGCTATGATGACCAGGGTCGCGTGCACTTGATCGGTCGCAAGGACCTGCAGGTGAAGATCCGTGGCCAGCGTGTTGAGCTGACTGAGATTGAGGCTCACATGCGTGCCATTAATAACAGCGTCAAGACTGCGGTCGCCATGATTTCTCCCGCTGGCAAGCCAATGCTGGCTGCCTTCATCTCAAGCAAGAGTGGATTTGGCCCTGAGTTTTCTCATGAGTTCTCTTCTGCTCCAGCTGACAAGGCATCCATGGTTACTATTGCTGCTCAGATGAGCGACCAGCTCAGCAAGCAATTGCCATCGTACATGATTCCCTCAGTGTTCCTCCCGTTGGCTTTCATGCCTCTGACTGCCTCCGGAAAGACTGATCGCCGTATCATCACCTCCTTCGGTGACAGCCTCACCTTGAATGGACTTGCTGCCGCCGCCGGCAATGCCACCACCGCTGAGCGCCGCATGCCCAACACCCCAGCCGAGTTCACCCTCCGTCAAATCTGGTCTGACATCCTTCACTACCCTGTGGAGGATATTGCTGCTACTGACAACTTCTTCCACCTGGGAGGTGACTCAATTGAGTCCATGAACTTGACTCGCCGCTGCCGTGCTGGAGGCTTCCAGCTTCAGGTAGGTGATATATTGGGCAACCTTGTCCTGGGTGACATGGCCAAGGCCATGGTGCCTACAACCACATCTGAGATCCCTGCAGCCGCGCCATTCGAGCTTCTTGATAAGGACACCAAAATGGCCCATGTCAACATTGTCTCTGCTACTGGAATGCCTTCTGGCCTCATTCAGGATGCCTACCCCTGCAGTCCTCTGCAAATTGGTCTTATGGCCTTGTCCAACAAGATTCCTGGCTCTTACATTGCTCGCCACACTTTGGAGCTTCCTAGCAATGTCACTGTCGACAAGTTCAAGGAGCATTGGGAGCAGATCGTCGCCAACAACGATGTTCTTCGCACCAGAATCGTCGAGACCGACGAGTACGGTACTGTTCAGGTTGTCGACCGCGCTCATGTTGAGTGGGTTCACGGCACAGACTTGGAGAGCTACATGGAGTCAGACGAGAAGTCTCACATGGGCATGGGCAACGCCCTCGTTCACTACGGCATCATCACTGGTTCCACGAACACATTTGTGCTGACTATCCACCACTCTATCTACGATGGTATGTCTCTGGAGATGATGTTCAATGACCTTGTTCAGGCTATTGAGGGTGTCACCCCACCTGTCCGTGCTCAGTTCCGTGACTTCATCCAGCACATGATGCAGAAGAACGCGGACAAAGCCACCGAAGAGTACTGGCGCACGGAGCTCTCTGAGGGCGACATGACTACCTTCCCCACTCTCCCCTCTACCACTCACCAGCCTCTGGCCAACGAGTCGCTCGTTCACAACCTCAAGCTCAGCCGCAAGGGTCCTTCCGACTTCACCACTGCAACACTCATCCGTGCTGCTTGGTCTATGGTGCAAGCTCGGTACTGCGATGCTCCCGAGACCGTCTTTGGTTGCACTCTCAGTGG